ACTAGCTAAGCTAACGTTTTTATTAGCACCGGCGATTAAAATAATTACAAATTTAACTATATAAATAAAAAATAAGTTTAATTAATAAACTCTTAGCCCGGTAAAAACTTTATTTTTTTTATCGCCTTTTATAATAATATTGGTATTTTTTTATTAAATAAATAACGCTTTATTACTATTTTAAAACTTAATATATCGCGCTTCGAATCTATTAAAATATTAATTATTATTAACGTTAATAATAAAACTTAAGGTTATACCGATTTAATATATTAATCCGTTAATAGCTAAACCGCTTTAATTAAAATATTTATCTCGTTCGTCTATCCGGCTACGCTCCTTTTATTTATTCATATTTAATATATTTATAAACTTTATAATAACTATTACACCGCTATTTTAATAAAAATTTTAATTAAAACTCTCTTTAATATACCTATTATTAAACTAATTTACTAAAATAACCTTACTTAAATAATACGCCTTAGACCTAACGATTATATTAAAGAATTTTATATCCGCGATTTTTTAAACCTCGATTTAAAAATTAACCTCCGTCTTTATTAAATATATAAAATAGATTTTATCCCTTCGGACCCTAAATATAAAAAAAAAAAAGCTCGTATTACTTAACTCCTTAATGTATAATATAATAATCTTTTTAATCATAATAATAACTTACTATTTATTACCCTCTTTATAATAAAAAATCAAGATATTTTCTCTAACTATTTTATTAATCTCGTTTATAAATTTAATATTATTATTTTAACCTTTAAAAATTTATAAGTAAATGTAAACGTATATTTCTTTAATATAACTAACCTTAAATAACTTAATTAAAAAATTATTAAATTAAATAACGCGCGCTTTTTTACTCTTAACGCCGTTTATATTATATTTTATAATAATACGTCTTATATACTTAGCTTTTAATTATCTTTTATAAAAAAGTTAAAAATCTTACTTACTTTATTAAAAAAAGCCTTTACTGTTTAATTTTTAAGACTTTTCTTTTTATATAAGCGCTCCGTTTAAATTAAAAAATATAATAAAGGTTATTCCTAATAATATATTTAAAAAGTATTTTATAGTTATTACTATTACTAATAAAGAACGCTATTTAATCTTAAAGATTAATTAATTATACCGCTTTATTTTTAATTAACTTTTTCTTTATATTCGCAATATATTAATAAATAAAAACGATTTTAATAAATTTAAACTTCGTATTATTAAATACTTTATTAAAAAAGCCGGTAAATTATATTATATTTAAAAAATAATATAAACGGAAAATAATAAGGACTCGGCTACCGAATAATATAATACTTTTATAATTATTTAAATCGCGTCCGCTTTTTTAATACCGATTCTTTAATATATAAAAAAGAATCTTAATATTCTTAATAAATTTTAAAATAACTCTATTCGAATCCTTATCGCTACTAAATATTTTAATAATTTTTATTTTATTTTCATAAATATTAACGAAATAGCTTAGAATATTTTTAAAAAACTTAAAAATATCCTATTTAACTATTTATATAACGTAACCCTTTTTAAATAGGCTATTACCTATATTAAAGCTTTTTAAAATATAAACACTTCCTTATTTTATTTTATTATATAAACCCTTATTAAGTTCGGATAACTAATTAACTTCCTTCGCTTATTTATATATTATAACTTATACGAAATTAAAATAAAAAAGAATATCTAATCTACGGTTAATAATAACCGTAATATTACGAATCGTATCGAATTTATTATTAAATACGAACCTAACTTAATTACTATTTATTTTAAAATAAACGCTATTTAAATTATAACGACTACGGATATTATTATTATAAAAAGTAAAATATAAAAACTTATGATAAAATTTATTATAACTAATATAATTATAAATATAATAAAGACTTTCTTTTTTTTTAAAAACTACGTCTTTAAAATCCTTAAAATCGTAAACTAAATCTCCCTTTATATAGTCTTAAATATATTATTAAAAAATATTAAGAACTTTATTACTATATACGTAAATAACTTTAGTTTAAAAAAAACCACCTTTAGTATTAAGCTTATTATTAAATTATATAAAAACGTTTATTTTAAAATAATATAATATATATATTTAAACGAATTATACGACGACGCTATTTTTAAACTTATATCCGCTATTTTTTAATACGCTATCGTTATCCGTATATACTTTATTCGATGTATAATTAATATATTAATAAGCCGTATTTATCTTAATGCTAATAAAATTATTAAACCCCGTTTTTAAAACGTTAATAAATAAATCGAAATAGCTTTTTATAATACTTATCTAATTAGCTAAAAAAACAATCTATTATTACGTTAAGATTTAATTATATCTTATACCCTTAAGCTTATTTAAGAGTTAAAAAGCTTCTTTAAATTCCGCGAACTTTATTAAAAAAATTAATTAAATAAAAATATTTATATAGAACTTATTAGTTATATATACCGATTTTTTACTTAAACCCTAATTAAAATTAATATTATTATAAGAATATTAATCGTTTTAAAATAGCTCGTTCGTATATTAAAGCTTAAATAATAAGATATTAGTAAATAAAACCCCGCCGTTATTTTTATTAATAAAGCCGGTCATTTACTTAAAATATAATTTTAAATCCTAATCGTATTTAACGATTTAAAATAAGTTATTATTATTAAAAACACTTACTAATTTAAATTAATATTTATAAGAATATAAGTATACGGCTAAGGCGAACTTAGTTTATACTAGCTCTTAACCTTTAGACTTTAATATATTATATCCTTTTTACGCCGTTTTAAAAAAACTAGCGTTTTAAATTATAAAATTTTAATTAACCGTTATAATTATAATATAATTATAAAATAAGCTAACAAAACCTTATATAATAATAAAATACGTATCGTATACTACTATAACAAAAATATTTCTTATTTCGTAACTATTAAAAATAATATTTTCCGCTCTAAAAGCTTTATTAACTCCTTTATTATTAATATTTATAAAAGAAATAAAAATATTTTAAGTTTTTCCTATATTAATAACGCTAATTATAATTAAGTCTTTTAATTTATCTTTACCGTCTTTAGCAAAAGTTTTTTATTTACTTTTTTCACTACCCTTAAAAGCTATAATATTTAAAATATTTTTATAATTATAATTTTATATACTATGTAACTTATTAAATATATAAATATATAAAAAACCTTTTATTTTAATAATATTATACGTAATAAAATTTAATTCCGTATAATTAACGATTTAATAAGCGCTAAAATAAATATCGTTATTTATAATATTATTTAAATAAACGGTTAAGGCTTTATTGCTAAACCTATTTATATAGCCGTTATAATTAATTATATTTAAAATATAATAATTACCGTCCTTTTAATTAAAAAATAATTTAAGAATACAAAAAGCACTTTTAAAATTACTAATAAAAAAAAGATTAATTATATCGTCGACTTTTTTAATTATTATTTTTTATATAATACCTAAATAAATATTAAATACGGTATAAAAGGCTTTAATAAAATTTATATTTAATACGGACGTAATAAACACTTTAAAAATAAGTATAATAAAACTCCTAAAAAATATCGTTTTTATAAAACGAAAGGCTATTATAAACGATTTTACGACCGAGAATTCTAAATACGCTTTACTTATCGTATTAAAAACATTTTTACCTTTATCATTAACTTTAATATTTTATTTTTAATGTAAATTCGTTATAATCCTATTATTCTTTATATAATAGTTTAAATTCGTAATAGCGATACTCCGAATATCTTTATTAAAAATAATACTTAATTAATCGATACCCTTTTTATTATTATAAATACTTAAACCGCTATACGTAATATTAACCTAATTTATTATAACGCCTTATTTAATATTAAATTTAATAAAAAAACTATATTTTATAATACTATTACTATATTAAACGACCTAAACGCTAAAAATAAAGAAATTATTAAAAAAGAAAAAGAATAAAGCTTTTTAATTAAGAACTTCGGCGATAAAAACCTAATTAATTATAATATCCCCATAATCATTAATAAACTATTAATTAATATTAAACTTAAGTCCGACGATAACGCTTATTAATCCGAAACCCTAACCACCGATTTATAAAATATTATAAATAATATATTTAATTAAAATAATAACGGATATAAATATAATAATAATAAATATAATAATAATAAATATAATAATAAAAAATATAATAATATTAAAAGAATATAATAGTAATTACGTACGCTTAAAAGGATTAATAAGCCATATTAATAAACGTAACGAGGACGTTATTTTATTTTTAAAAAAGGATTATTATATATAATTAGTCAGTAAGTTCTACCTTAGCTACACCTTAACGTCACCTCCAGCCTATAGCTAGCTAGACTTCTCTCTTTATTATACACACTATAGAGAGACTAGATAGACTAGATAGTCAGCTTGTCTTTAGGCAGTACATTCATTCTATTCTTTCCAGATCGTTAGCTTGCTTCCTTCACATTGCCGTTTAGATTGTTTCTTCGAGAGTTGAGACTAGCTGTACATGCGATTGCCAAAATGGATTCCATCAAGTTTTCATCGTTGCCATCTACGCTAACTTCGTCATCCTGCGAGTACTCCTTGACGTGTCGCGGTGGAAAGGGGGTGTTGAGCCCGCTGCTTGGTTTCATGAGACCTAATCTAAGCCGTACAACGTGAGAAGTCCTCGAATGGAAGCCTAGCTCTATAGAATTAGGTTTTTCGTACAAGGACTTTACTAGCGATCTTACACTTTTAAAGTGTAATAACTAGGACTCTTGAACTACTTACTTTAGATAAGTTGTTTTAAGGTCACGTGGTCGAACCTGGAAGGCTTTCATTTCAGCCTCCGAGGGTAGAGCACTTAACACACACATACATGTATCTGTGGACCATGTTCCCGTTGGCTCGCTTGGCGGATCGTGAATATTCAAGTGACCACAGCCTGCGGCGTGTCTACCTCGACCGTTTCCTCATCCGAAGCCGCCGCAGTCCACTTGAACTCTTCGGACCCAAAGTTAATACGCACTCTAGCTTTGCCGTCCCTGTGGCTGAGGCAGGGATATATTTTACGATAGATGAGACTGGACTTTTTCTCGACTGCGACCTTTCAGCTGTGTCACTGGCAATGCGGCTCGGGAAGCGGGTGGGACGGCCTTACTGATGATATCGCCGTCCAGCGTAAAGAAATATTTCCCTTTGGCGTAGTCGATCCCACAGCCGACCGTGCTCCCGGGTCTATAGGCTTTATACCGCCCCTTTTTCGATCCTGACTGTTCAAAGAGTCCACCGTCGTCGCTGTGATAACCAACGGACAATTTTCTCCAACCCGTGTTGGCAGCCGTCATGTTGGAGAATTCACTGCAGAAGCCGATAGTGACGATGGCGTCATCGTCGGTTCCGCCGGCCTGGATAGCAAGTTCGAAATACGGGGACGGCGAGCCACCCGTCTCTCGAGGCGGGAAAGGGTGGTCTGACCGGAGACAGACGGCTTGGACATTCTCTATTTTGGCGGCTTGAGGTTCAGCAAGATGAGAAGTCGAGGCAGTAGGAAGCACCGGGGGACACAATCACTCACTCTCAAATTCAACCACCAACCCGTTTTCCTCGATGTCCATCCGCTCTGTTGGGGATCCGTAGCTGCTGTCCTCAGCCCAGACCTGTGGAAAAATAACGGCTCCCGGGTGCTGTGTGATACCTCGAACTGGGACTCTGTCCGACTCCTGAATGTAGTCTGTTCGGGGTTGCGCTTGGTGGATGTAGTCGTCCAAAGTCCACCCATCCTCGTCATGAGTATCGCTTGGGACTTTGCTCCTTGCATCAAGCTTCACAAGAGTACCCCACAGGTCCTCGTCATCGCAGTCGATGGCAAGATGGAATAGTCGTAAAACTATGTGCCCTTCGTCGAGGGTAATATGAGGAGATCCGTCATCCCCATTGAGCCGACTGGCGTCCAAGAGACGGCCTTCCTTTTCGATCAGCGGTTTCAGGCAGTCCATTCTGTCTTGCTCGATGAGTTTCCAATATGAACGCGCGAGATCTTGGTAGTCCCAGTCAGCTGCTTTCAAAAGGGTCTCGAGCATGCGGGCGCTGGTAGCGAGGTCTAAGCAGGATAAACCGTCGGCGGTCCTGGCCCGAACATCTACTACGCTACCGTCATCAGGCCGCTGTGTCGCATTATCGCCGTCAGGGCTGGCGCGCCCGTGGTCCAGCATGACGTCCACAGTGCTTTGCGCATCATTCAGGACAGCTAAGTGCAGCGGTGCTTTGCCGCTGTGGCTCAGGAGGTTCGCCTTCGCTCCGTTCTCCAGGAGACACCTTACGACTTCTGGACGATCCCAAGAGCAAGCCATATGAAGGGGGTTCCAACCGTCCGCCTTTTGGTAATTGATGTCTGCTCCTGCCGTAACCAACTTTTGGCAGACGTCAGAGTTATCCGCCGCCGCGTGCAAACTCGACCACGAGTCTCCGTCCCGCCAGTTTACGTCCGCACCGCAACGTTGATCTAGCAGGACCCGGACGACATCGCCTCGGCCATGATACGACGCTTGGAACAGAGGCGTTCTCCCGAATTGCCCCTCATCGTTGACCGCAGCCCCACCGTCGAGGAGGGCCTCGCAGGTCTCGGGAGCGTCCTTCTCACCAACGCATGCGAGTAGAAGCGGTGTCTTTCCCTCTTTGTCAGTCCTCGAGAGGTCCGCCTCCGCTTCCAGGAGAGCCTTGACCGCGTCCACGTTTCCGGAGGCAGCCGCAACGTGCAGAGGTGTCCTGCCGTCGCTTCCAGCCAAGTTGGCACTCAGTTCAAAGCTCAGGAGCTGGTTAACCATATCTGCGTTAGAGCCTCGAGCCGCGATGTGCAGCAAAGAGTCTGAGGGTCCTTGGGTGATATCCAGGGGTTGCGCGGCCAGGGGGTATCTTGTCAACAGGAAATCGACGACTTCTAAAGCCGACCTCTCGACTGCCGTTATAAGATCGCGGCGTTGAAACTCCAAGGGGTAGCGGGAGCTAATATCGCCACTTTCTATGCCGTTGGGGGTGGAGAGAAGCAGAGCTCGCACCATTGGAGCATCCCGACGGTCGACGGCGTACCCCACGGGGTGTTTGTCGTCCTGGTCGAGTGTTGTGAGGCTCGCGCCGTGTTTGAAGACCAAGAGGTGTGCTGCTTGCCGCATCCCAGCTCGGACGGCGAGGTGTAGTGGTGTCTGACGCTGAGCCGAGCGCGACTCGACGTTTGCTCCCCGATGTAGTAGTAGCTCTATGAGACTCTTATCCCCAGCCGATGCGGCCACATGGAGCGGCGTCTGTCGAGACGAGTCGGGGGTGTCCACCACGATGTCCGACGTAGGCGCCCCTCCCCCGGCGCCGTCCCCCGGGACGAGCAGAATCTCCACTACCTCGTGCCTCTTGTGCTGTACGGCTAGGTAAAGGGGAGTCTTTCGGCCTTGGCTGGTGAGATTGACGTCAGCTCCACACCGAAGTAACGAGTGGACGACCTGAATAAACCCCCTGGCCGAGGCCAGGCCCAGCGGCGTGCGGCCGGATGCGGGTTCACCGTCTGGGTGCATGCCGCGTTGTAGGAGGTACTCGACGACCAGGAGCTGTCCGGCGCCAGCTGCCGCTGCCAGGAGGGAGCAGTCGATTGGAGTTTCGCCGGGATACAACGCATCGAGGACGTCGATGTGACCTCGCCCAGCAGCAAGGTCTCCGGGGGCGTTGCCACTCGAGTCTCTATATTTTCTCATCAAGTCACCCCAGCCCTCCAAGAACCCGTTCATCTCCCGGATTAGTAGCTCTAGAACCTCGCGTTGGCCATTCTCGGCTGCGTGGTGTACTGGGAGTCTGCCTTCGTGGTCCGTGACTAGCATCACCCTCCCGAACGTTGAAGGATTGATTCTAGAAAAGATATTTACCAGCTTGGTGAGGACATCGTCGATCATAGACCGGGGTACGATAGAATAGAGCGTCCGCAATTTACTCCGTGAAGGCTCGGGTTCGTGATCCAATAATTCGTTGAACGTCGACGGGAGGTTTAATAGCACTTTCTCACGATTCTTGGCCGTTTCGCACTCTAGTGTCGGCAGTTCACGCATTATAGGGTAAAGAAGCAAGGTAGAATGTCCACCCCATTCCCGCAGAGTCCGCGGCAAGGTGAATCGACCAGGCTCGTCGCCACTGGTGCTCGCGAAAGCCGATTCCCGCGTCGATCTCGGTGACTTCTCAGCTGCACGTTGGAGCAGTCCTCCGATTTCTGACAGCATCACGAAGAGCCGCTCAGTTTGCCGTCGATAGGTCGAGCTGAGGCCCGGGTCCATCTCCGCGGAGCCCTCGACCAGCGCCAGCGCAGCCTCTAGAATGGTCTTGACCGCGTCGATGCTACCGGAGCGCGCGGCGAGGTGCAATAGCGTTAGCCCATCTTGGTCTCCCTTGATGAGCTTAGTAACTGTGCTGCCGGCAAGAAGGTCCTCGAGGAGCTGCGGGCAGCTTTCGATCGCGTAGTGGGCAGGGTACCTTCCTCTCATATCGTCAATCCAGACCCCTTGCCTCTCGGAAAGGTCAATCAAGAGCTTGGCCGCAGCTACGTTGCCGGCTTGCGTCGCCAGGAGCAGGGGTGTGTCCCAGTTCTTGTCTCTATGGTTGTAGATGTCTATGTTACCCTCCACTAGCGGCCCCTGCAGAAGCTCGAGTATTTCGCGTCGCCCGCCAAGAGCGGCCACGTGGAGAGCGGTTCGACCCCTTTTATCGGTATTCCTGCTCGATTGCCGAACGGTCTCCCTTTCAAGGAGCATCAGGACCATGTCCGGGCTTCCCATGAAGGCGGCCAGGTGCAGAGGGCAGTAAGAGTCGATGGTCTTCTCGTCCAGTCCATCAACCATATCTCTCACGGCCTGCACGTCGTCGGAAGCAATGGCGCATTCGAGATAGAGCTTGGAGCGATTTTCGTCGAAGAAAACTATCTGGCGCTCCAAGCCGCCGCGCCTTACTTGCATCTTTGGGAGGCTGCTGCCATCATGAGCGCTGCCATCGTCCTCGACCAGCAGAAACGACACCATGGGCCAAAGGCCAGCGTGGCCAGCCATCTCAGCTGGTTTCAGGCCAAGCACGTCTTCGGTATCGTCGCGGGTGGATTGGCACGCATGGTCTTGCAGGTAGCTCAGGGGCTGCGAGTCGTCGTTACTTGCTGTGTACAGCCGAAACCACCGGTTGGCCGCGGGCGAGCTTCCCAGAAATTTAGCTACCTCTGTGCAGAGGTATTCTCCGGGCTTGACAATCCTCAAAAAGTGAGCCGGCCAGGAGCGGACAGCGTAGTCGACGAAGGCAGTCCCGGCAGCGCGTCGGGCAGGTTGCTGGCCGAGCGCCGTGGAGAGGTAACGCAGGCATCGGAGGACCAGCTCATCATCTCCCAAAAGTTTCAGACCGCTGGTGCCGGAGGCGCCGAGTGCCGCCCTGGCCGTGGGGCTGGCTATGCGGACGTAGCCATTCTCGACACTGAGAAGGCCGGCAAGGTTTCTGTGGATGTCTCTCTCAATATCCAGCGTGATTGCCTCGTCCATTGCCACCGGTTGTCCCTGATTTAGATTGATGGCCACGGCCTCTGCAAGCTCTTGGGCCTGCAGCGGCCGGATCGACATGAAAATCCATGAGAAAACTGCTGTCGTCCAGGACAGCAGCTCTTTATCCATGCCATGCAGGACGGCGGCAATCTAGCCGCAGTAGAACTCGTTTGTCGTCTCGGGGATCGGACCGATTCTTCGGAGAATAGCCCTCGGGGTGCTCAGAGTCAAGCCTCGCAGAAGGTGGTCAAGATAGCGGCCGATCTCGCCAAAGGACCCGGGGATGCTCAGCACTCTGGTTACGATCTCGTTTTGGATGTGTATTCCGCGCGCGCCCCGCAAGAAGCCCGAACTCGCAGATCCAATCTCGGCGAGGATTCGGGCGCACTCCTTGCGAATAAAGTCGGCCTTTTTCTGCTCGTAGTTCTCTGTCAAGTCAAGCCGATGAAGGTTCCTCCCAGCATGGTGCTTGTCATTCTGTAGCCCCGTGCCGCTCACGAGGAGGGTGCAAATGGAAGCGCCCGACCGGCGCGTCTCCCTCGACTCATCCACGAGGCCGGACCACCACTTCCTAGCCACGTCCGGCCAGAGGGGGAACCCATAATCGTGAACAACGATAAGAAAGTCTGCGTCACAAGATGCAAACAGCACTGAAAGCAGGTTCTGGACCGCGCCCTCGGCCCAGGCGTCCCTCTGAAGCAGCTCGTTCATCAGCATCTGCACGGGCCGAGTAAGGAGGCTTGGCTTCTGGGATAGGATGTGGTGCAAGGTCGAGACCATCAAGCTGTAGAAGGCAGTGGGGTGCTCCGCGTCGCTCAACTGCCCGGGGAAATTGTCAATCACGACGAGAGACGCTTGAGCTTGCAGGTGCCGTGACAGCAGCTTGACCACAGCTGACCTTCCCCGGCCGTCAGGCGCCGTGACATACACAATGCCTCCCCGGACCGCTGAGAACTTGCATTGCTGGAACTCTTTATCGTAAACGGCTTTGAGGGTCCCCATTGTATCCACCGCATCCGGGGCCATATTCTCGTAGATGATGCGTGTCGAGGGAGAGAGCGTTTTCAACGCATCAAAATATGCCAGCCTGTGCGGAGGTGGGCTTGGGTCGACACTTCTGGTGTCCCAAGTTGGCGTGAAACACGTCCTGAGAAGTCGCAGGCTGGGAATATCATCCACCTTACAGCTTCCGATCTGGGCCGTCCCGGGCCACTGGACAGCGCGGCGCAGGCTGTTGAGCCAACTTGAGGATTCTTCGACTGACGCCCTCATTGGTGCTGTCGACTCATGAGCGTGATGTGGGAACACATTCATAATGCGGTACTTGGGCTCAAACTTGGAGAAGGAGGTGGACAGCTCCGCAACGCGACGTGCGAGTCGGGATACAGTGCTATACAGGCTGTTCTGGAGCTTCACCGATGGTGTAGTCTTGACGAGGTTGACTAACAAGCCTTCCCATGGTTGATGGCTGGCGGACTCGTGTGGCACGTCGAAAAAAATGAGCGAAGAGATTTGGGAGGCCAGCTGATAGAAAGTCGGCTTCGTGTTAGCTGTCACGACTGCCTGTGATAACGTCCTGTCAGCGCCATTCCATCACCTGAACTTGTGCAGGAGATCTATGTCCCAGGGTCCTGCGGGTACATACCTGCTTTGCGACAATGCCACCAAGTCCGTACCCAGACAAAATTATCTCCTCTTGCTTGGAGGCACTTTTCTGCATCGTTTCAAGAAGGCATCTGGCTTCGGTGAAGATCCAATCCAACGGCAGGGAGATGCCAGTGCCACGTCCGTCTGATTCAGCGTTGACATTCTCGCTGGGGTCCAAAAGCTCGTATGGAACGACAGACGCGTCTGGCACGAGGTGACCGACCATGTCCACCACGGTGCTGAGGGTAGAATCCGGCAGCGTTGTCGGAAAGCCAACCATGAATATCCTAGACCAGACATCCAAGGTTAGACCTTGGAATCGACCGCTAGATCAGGGGGAGTCTGGATGCGAAGAGATATTCGACTGACATACTTGCAAACCGGCCTTGCATCACCTCCCGACGGGATGTTGGAAGGACGCGACATAATGGCCAACGATGCACAGTTCAGCAACGTTTAGCTCGCCTATCTCCAAAGCGTACGTGTGCACATGTGCAGGCAAGCCGGGCGAGAGACAGGAAGGTCGATAGAAAATTGTGTGAAGCAAAGCCGCACATAGCGTCTCGTCCTCTACAGGTTTTGGCTAGGAGGAGGGAGGGTAGTCACGGTGCTGAGAAGCAGAATCCGCAAAAGACTTTTGACCTAAGGACTCAAATCACTCGACTTTCTGCGAGACAAAGATTGCACCTTCCATTCGCGCCATCCGTAAGTTCCGTTCCTGCTCGAGGTACATTGGGTGTTGGTGCATTGTACCTGCCCTCCCTGTCCCGAGACATCCAATATTCCTTATTGAATGGGACCGCTTGCATGGTGCATAAGGTACTCCTGCACCTACTCCTATCCCTCCTAAGGGCCAATTACCTTCCTCAATATTGCATATCCATGTATAACACGCTTACAACATCCACTAATTACTAATTAATACTTTCTAAAATCAACGTCGAGATTACCAAGGTCGATAATTGAACCTTCTCCTCATCCAGGTTTACATTTCCTTCAATAGCCTCATCTATAAATTAAAAAAGTGAGATCGGGATGATACCTAGATAGCTCGAGTTGCCAAGTACTTGACGCGAGGAACTGTGACGATCCCTGCAAGTGCCAAGTTTTCTTTTCCACCACTCCAACCAATGCCAAAATAGATCACGTCTCTTGCATCAAAGACGCTGATCACAAGAAGGACCGCTTGCATACATGTGCGCATTTTCGGGCGGACTCGGGATGAGCAGGCGCAGGATGGGCGGTATGGTTCATCGCCAACAGCAAATCACACACACAACAACAAAGCAGTAAGGGCTGGTAATGGCTGGATTTACGATCGGTCACGCCACCTTTGCATACCATGTGTAACAATATAAATTCGAGTTGGTGAGCCGACTCGGGCGATAATTGGATGCCTGCTCGTGGGCGGTTGAGGACAAGGCGGTCGAGGACGAGGCTGTTAGGCTGCAACCGTGAGAGCGGTTGTACTCAGCAACCCCGCGAGCCCCTCAAGTTTGTCTGCGCTCAGCTCGGTGTCTGCAATCTTTGCCGAAAGATTTCCCCCAATGGCAGTGCTCCCAGTGGGCGGTCGCAAATATTGGATGCCCGGCTTGAACCGGACAGGGTCGTTGGCGGGAGCAAAGGGCGTGACGTCCCGGACGGTCCGGGTGGCTTTGTGCAGGAAATCGGCCTTGCCCGTCATCTTCACCTTTGCCGTGAAGACATCTGTGTCGTTCTTGCGCTCCAGCAACACCGCTGCCCGAAACTCTGCCACGACGCTGGTTGCCGCCGCATCGTCTTCGGATAGCGTCAGGAGAACGGCGTTTGACGGCCCATGTTCCCGGACAGAGAAGTCTAAGAAGATGGAGCCAGTTAATTTCGAACTGCGCTTCCGGCTGAACAACTTTTTCTTCTCCCAGGAGCGGACAAAGTGCGCCCCAACCGTGACGACTGGCGCGCCGGCCGGTATATCGACATTACCCCCGACCTCGCCCGCTGCCGTGTCTTCAACCTGCACTGCAGTGGCTTCGCCAAGGGTGAAGTCGCCATTTGGCCAAAGCGCTACCACTTTGGGATCGTAGTCGGCGCCGCGTTCTTTCTCGTCCTCGAAAACGACGGTAATGGTCGCGCTCTTGAACCGCCGGTTGCCATGGAGGCCGTGAAACCGGAAACCAAACACCACCAGCGTGGCTTGGGGGCCCGACTCTGCGGCGCGGCCGTGGATGACGCGGTCCACGCGCGCCTGCAAGAGTAGACCGAGGCACAAATCGTCAAGAATGTCAGGTCTCTGCACCTCATCAGGCCCCGAGTTCTTCTGATGCATGCCGCGTTGCTCTGTCACCGTAGTGAGCTGGATTGGCGTGAATGCAAACGGATCATTCTCCTCGTTACCACTGCCCAGGACAACGGTAGGAGCAGCTGTGGCGCCGAAACTCGCTGAGGGAGCAGCCATGGCGCAGTATCAGTTGACGATAAGATGATGAAGGGCTTACCTTATGATGAGGCGAGGCAAGATGCTGGAATGTTGCATAGCAAGGACCCGATAGACAAGATCTGGCGCTGAAGTGCACCTATTTATCGTTTCTTCGGCCCCATCTTCAATAGCCAATCGAGCAAAGTATGTTTCTGTCGGGTGCCCAAGATCGGAAAGAGGAACTGTACATGTATCTAGACAGTACCAGTACCTGAGGGCCTGGGTACCTACCTAAGGTACCTACCTACCTTACCGACTGAGGATCGAATGAGGTAGGTAGGTAAGGTAAGGTATTATTAAACATGCACCACCCAATCGGTGCTGGCATCTGACCTCCGCACCTGCACCTTCCACATAGAGGTGAGGCAACAATAAGGCCACTGCTGGATTCGATAAAGGATCAAGACAGAGGGAATTTCCCAGCCTGATCGCTAGTGTTTGGGCCCCGGGTTCACTACGTCAAAAATCAAGACATCTCAAACCAAGGGAGATTATCGCCTCACGCTACACCAGACGTACACCCAGCAATCATGACTCAGCCGAACACAAAGGCCTTCCGGGCGAATCAACCAGCAACGCCAACGAACGGTCTGCCGCCCAAGGGTTTGGAAAAACAACGGAAGAAGTCACGCGGCGGATTGCCTCCAGGGAAAGAAGATCACAATCCTTACTCCGACGACGGACTCGAGCAGCGGAACTCCCGGAAAAAGAGGACGCAAATATATCACGATCAGATCCTTGACAGGTGGTCGAATGGGGGTGAAGAGCAGCCGACTGTCGAGAATGAACGCAACTGGCCCCAGTCGCTTTTCGAGACGACCGGCAGTAATAACAAGACCAACTTCTTCCATAACCTCTTGGTCACACTGACTGGCGAGATTCCCCACGATGCAAAAGGCGAACTTGCGAGTCTCGTACTCGAGAGACCCGATCTGCTTGCTTCGGAAAACGAATGGAACGTCTTGCCAATCATCAAGGCGGCAAAGACGCTGCCCGACCTGGTTTTCCTCATCTTTAATATCGTCGTCCCAGAAACCACGCGTAAGATTCTCGAGGCGCACGGCGCCAATCCAAGCCCCTGTGAGGTTTGCCCATTATGGGACGTCTCTCTAGCGCTGATGAATTTCCGCCCTCTGAGAGAGGCAGCTCCCAACAAGGATGATGAGGTCTCTGAAGTCACGGCCGTCGCCGTACACAACATCACTACCCCGGAAGCCCAGGACGACGTACAGGCCTCGGGCAGACCACGGGCGTGCCTTCACACTAAAATCAATGTTGAAACGTTGCTAGACCGGGACAAGGAGCTGCGGCGCTCCTTAAAAGGAGTGCTTGACATTCCCAAACTGGCATGTGAGGTCTTGGAATCGCTCCTTGATGAGAATAGGTTCGACACTGAACAGGAGAATGCGCAGGCGATCAAGCTCCAGAGCTTCCGGAATATTTTGGAACTTTCTCCTAACGACGCCTTTACCACAGCTACTAATTCAGATGGCTACAACTTGTTGCAGTTGGCAGTGGGTCTATTCGACAAAACTTCGATCGACTATGACCTGCAATACAATGTCATCGAGGCGCTGGTGCAGCGTTCTCCGGCATCCATATTCTTTGAGTACGGGACCCATGATGGGGAGAAGAAGAATGTCTACTGTCGCTTAGGAGAGCTGAGGAAATCAGCAGACCGACAGCGGGTCGACGACGTACGGAATCTCATCAAGGTCGAATGCATCCGCTACAGTGGGGAGGGTTTGGATCCCATCAGCCCAGATAAGCTTAAGGCTATGAAGAGGAGCTTGCTTTATGGCCATGGTGAAACCGGTAGGCGCAACACCAACCCACTTAGCAACGACTAGTGGGCGCGAGATCGTGACCAGGTGCTTGGCTAACGCAGTGTCTTGGGCAGAGAAAAAGCTCTTTCTTGACCTGACGGGAGAGTCCGCAATCATTGATGAGGTCTACGTCAAGATGGTAACGAGCAAATCTGGCATGCAACTGGAGACAGTCCTGGAGTTTGTGCGTCTCCCCAACTGGAAGCCCAACGGAGCCGAACTCTACCGGTCCAAGAGGGAACAGCGTCCGGAACCAGACACGTTAGGCGCGTTCCCCGACCCGTACGTCGGAATTTTTGACTGGTTGTGGGATGAGTGCAAGGTGCGCAAGATCATGACACTCGAGATCGACGACAGCGGCCCAGAGCCGCACACCGACGCGGCCATCCGAGCGGCCCTCCAAGGTCCCCAACTGGAGCGGGATTTCGGAGTTGAGGTTTGGAAGTGGCAGAAGTTTGACATGCATGTTGGAACCATTGTTGCGGCAGTCCCACGAGCCCGCGAGGTCCACCTCTTTTCTTATGGAAATATAGCCGTACTTCAAGGCTGGAGCTGCCGGTCTGGCTTGGCCAAGCTGACCGAGTTGGAGAAGCTCGTCGTTAATATCTACTCAAAGGTTGGTAATCCTCGCCACAGCTGTGACCCAGGAAGCATATGCAAAGCTGTTTGCATCAGCGGTTGTACTGCCCTGTACCACTAACTCTAAGGCGCTACTAGAACCCAAGGGACAAGGATGATTGTGTCAAGTATGAAACGACTTTCAAGACAAGGCTAACCAAGCATTGCCTCCGCCTCAAGGAAAGCGACATCCAGGTAATGTATCACGGCCAAGGCGGTGCGGATGGGTCTGAAACATTCCTCACCGTTGCGGCGACAGCCGGCCCAGGACCCACCTTATCCGCTAGGCCGAAGCGGGAAGAATGGATCGAGGAGCTCAAGGCTTACAAGCAGTTCATCACGAACTTGGGCAATGCGGCTTCGATAGAGGGCGGCAAGCCAGCGCCCAAGGCCAAGGTTGCCATCTTGGATGACGGCGCCAGGCTGGCGGACCTCAACGGGGTGCAGAGCGGATGGTCGTTCCGCGCCGACGGCCAAGAGTACTTCGTCGGACCCTCCCCGCACGGCACCGAGATGGCTGTCTGCGTGCGCGATATATGCTCTGTGGCTGAGCTGTACATCGCCCGCCTCGACGACTCGCATGTATCGGAGAAGAGCCACGCGTTCACGATTTCGTCCTGCGTCAAGGCGCTCAGATGGGCACTGGACCTGGGTGCCGATGTCATCTCCATGAGCTGGACCTATGAGATGCGCCACGACAACAAGGACCCGGACAAGACCGAGTTTGAGAAGCTCGTCAAGGAGGCGGTGGATAGCCACAAGGCGGTTCTGTTCGGCTCCCTTCCCGACCTGGGCCCCAACAAGGATGCCTCCAGCCGCTCACCAGTGGGGCTAAACAACGTCATCAAGATCAGCTCGGCGACGAGGGCCGGCCATGTCGTCGACGACAACATCCACCAGTTCTCCGAGTTCTTACTCCCTGGCCACGACATCGAGAGTTCGCGCCGCGAGCTAGTGCGGGGCAGCTCCTTCGCTACAGCTTACGCCGCCGGGCTGGCGGCACTGGTCTTGTACTCGTTCAGGGTCTTAGATGCCTTCACTTACGACGACGTTGACGATCTCGCCCGAAAGGCGCTCCGGGTGGCGAAAAGCCCAGAAGGGATGAAAGGCATTTTTGAACGTCTAGCGCCCGAGCCGGGGAGGGAGGCCGGTGGTATCAACAGTAACATTGGCCGCTTTGTCCGGCCCTCTAGTGTTCTGTACGGCCCGGACACCTTGAACATGAGTGAGGAGGGCAAAGTAGCCCGTCTCAGGAATATCGTAAACAACCTTGTACCGGACAGCTTGATAAAACGTGTCTTCCCGGGAGGCGTCCCGGAAGACTAAGTGGACCGGCTTAGCTTACGTCTGGCATTGTTAAACCCAGAAAGAGAGAAAAGAAAACATCGTTTAAAGACGCGATGCCCAGCGTCTCGAAGCTTACATCTCGGATAGACAAGGACGGTTTGGAATTATGTATAAACATTGAAATTGCTTAGGGCAACTTTTGTGTCATTTGTGATTAGTCAGCAGGCTCCGCCTCAGCTACACCTTGACGTCACCTCCACACCTGTAGCTAGCTAGACCTCTCTGTCAGATTAGAAGTCTAATTCGACCTCGAGTCGGGGCAAGCGTCAGGAACACTAACGGTTCGCTATCTCAACTTCTAACTAGCCGGCTGATTTACAATTAAAACCTCTCTTTTTTAACCAATATAGAAAATTAATACATAATTAATCAACCCTTAGTTACTCCTTAAAACTACGGTTCGAACTAGTAACCCTGTGGTACGGATACTAACACGCGCTTAGGTAACACCCTTTGCGCATCTAAAGTCTCGACCTTAGCAAATTTGCCATTAGTGAGTACTAAGGAACCACCATATTGTGGATCAACTATGAGACTGTCATCTTAAGGATCCGTGACCACGAATCGCAAGTTCAAGTTTACAGACTTGGGGTCTGCATCGAGTTTGCAGCCATCATTTCCGCACCATACCGCCACCTCCGTAATCCTCTTGGGGCCAAGAATTGCCTTGTGCTGAATCAGAAATAAGGCAGGGCCGGAGCCATGGGTGCTCCCGAGGATCGCAAGTCCCTGATCCGTGTCCATGGAAAAAATAGCCCGTTGGTCCCAGCCCGGAACAGAGCTATAACCGGCGTTCATCAGAGCCTTGACGATCAGATCGACGCTGGGCTGGTATGTGATTTTGGATCTGAAGATGATGTTGATGTGGCTGGGATGGACTTTCCTTGCTACGCAAGCGTCGAGCCACTGGAAGTATACAATATCTGACAGCTGCTCAAGGTCTGGTACGTTGCCTATCTTGTTCGTGGCCACTTCGTAGCGAGGGCTGAAGTTTACGTCAAAGATGATTGCGCCGGATTCTGGGTTGAGCACATTCATGTATGAAGCCATTGAGGGCTGTCAAAGGAGGAAACGTCAGCACGCACTCATCAGTTGAAATTAATGTTAAAGAGAATCAAGGAAAGGGGCACTTACATGTCCAACTGAAACCCTATCCCGGAGGTAGAAGAATTTTTCGTGACGGAAGTTGGACAAGCCGTTATTTCCGGGATTTACAGGGTAGTCCGAGTCCTCGAAGGCTTTATCAAGGAGGTCACCGAAGCCAGGCGAGCTGTCGGGTTCGTTGACTGCATTGGATTCTCCCTCGTTTTCGCCTTCTTCGTCGTTGTCGAACCAGTCATCGTAGTCGACAGTTGTAAACGGGGCCCATTTCAGACTGCGAACCCATCCCAACGCTCGACGTATCTGGTGTCCTGCCAAGGGCTAGCAACAGCGTACCCGCTGTTCTTGAGAGTTGCCTCTATATCGCTCAAGGGCAAGAGCTCCTTGAGGTAACCGCCCTTCTTAACGCGACCGTTGTAGTCTTCGGAAAATCTGGGGAACTGCCCTACCATTCTCTTCGCCAGCGCTTCATGGGACAAGCCGAAAGCATCGCTATCGATTTCAGCTTCGGCTGGGTAGGGGTACGCCCCGACGAGGGCAATTTGAACAGCCAGCCATGAGGCCAGTAGGCGAACGCTCAGCAGCCCCAAGGAGTCAAGAGAAATGACCATTGTGAGTCGAAATTATTATTCACTTGTCGAGGCAGTGAAGGGGAACGGAGGTGGATCCGGGGGATGCGATGGAAGATGAATGCGAGCTTTCCCACGTATGTCCTAAGTGTGGTGGTTGCGAAGGCCATTGTGAGAGTGGAGTCTATCGGGAGACCCGGGCCAGAATATGAAATGGAGATGCCGTCTTACATTTGTTCTCCATAGATCCGGCGAGATGTGAAGTCCTTCATATCGCATAATACATGATGATTTGAACTCATAGTCTCTCGGGCGCGCCGCGAGAGGTAAGTCTGATGGAACAGTTTATTATTTGATGATCCACTATTCCAAGTTTAGAAAGAGAGAGAGTCAGCACCTGTTGATGCTCTTATTCGGGCTTGGGTAGATTAGCTCGTCGGTGCAATCACCAACGCACCGGATTACCTCACCAACGTTCGTTGTGGTGGCCGGCTGCAGTCACCTCACCTTACCTCCCCCCGTCGGATCTCGGCCTCCCCCCCACGCCCGTGCACTGCAATCCACCACAATAATGAAACTATGCCAGGATCATATAACTAGCTTAATTTTGATATCAATAATTCAAAATAAATGACGGCTAGGGTATCCGTAAGAAGTAAGGACTAACAGTTAGATCAAAGCTAGATTGATAAGGGATTCAAAATATATATATTAAGATTCAGTAAAGACGTTTAAAAATGAGAGGGGAGCATGTCTACTTCAAAATACAAACATGACACGGATCTGAATCTATCACGGATCGCTCTAGTAGGCCTAGTATGCATGGTTGAGGGTAAGTGTAAACCTTGGAGCCCGGTGATGCCGCCTAATCAAACTTGAGAGGATGACTGAGTTCGAGGCGTTTCAGGCAAGATGGCAGAATTTCTCGCAACGCGCCATTGCCTTCAACTCAACAGTGTTATCAGCACATAAGTATGTACTCGCCTCGAGATGAGTTTTCGACACCGTTTCCTTGGCGCCAGCGTTTTTGACCGGACTCACCTCACGCCTACAAGGGCAACATGTTTAAGTCGTCTGCAAGATCTGCAGGGACCGGGATCTCAACAGGCCTGTCAGTTCGGCGGATTCATCCGGTGCTGCGGGCATTGGTCACCGCTATCGGCAGATAAATCAAGTGATTTATCAACGGGCGCGGCCTGGACCAGACTATGAGAGCCGCGCGGCATCTTTGGAAGGACAATTTGACTGCACCTGGAACCAAGCCGCATCATATCACTTGCTTCAACCAATCCAATACTTCACGATGGCGCAAAGACAAGTTGACTGGATTGGGCATGGCTCAATGGGAACTGGCATGTCAACGAACCTACAGAAGTTTCTCTCTTCATCTGCAGCGCCCAACCTGGCTTACACCTAGCGGACATGGACATCATCGCGCGGCGAATCACTAAAGGAACTGGGCGCCATTCCGGTTGAGACTGTTTGAGAGGTGACCAAAAAGTATGGGATCATCCCCTCTTGCGTTAGTGAACTCTCTCGCCCCAACCACAACATTACAGTTCTTAATCTAAAGTTCCGCAACGGTGAGCGACGATGCCGCGTTTCGAGAAACTACGAACGAAATCATTAAGTTTAGAGATATCACAAATAAGATCTACGTCAACTGTTCAACAGCCCACCCCAATAATTCCGCTGCTGTTTCGAAACAGCTCACCGAGGTCGGTGACCAATTTGTTGCCGGTTAGTTCAATTCCAATCGACGAACAACCATACTCGGCCTGACTCTGGACAGCTCCCCTCTTCGGCGCCGCACCACTAGCGGCGGCCGGCAAGCTCATTTTCGTCACTGCCGGACACCCAAATCCGCAACGTCAGCCATTTTTCTATTTCTTGATGGCAGAATGGGACGCTCTGTTATTCTAAAGATGTGACCAAGTCAAACCTGCTCAGTATTGCCAGAACCATCGTCGTGGTATCCTTCATGGAGTTTCTCTCCGAAGCCCTCGCCTTTGCCAAGAAGACCGGTCTCGGGTGACCGGTGCTAGAGAACATGATCTCGGACATGCTTGGGCCCGTTCTCGAAACTTATAGCTAGCGCATCATGGTTCCTACGCTCCGCCACCCGATGCCAAGACTGGAGTCGACGTGGCGCTTGCGAATTTGAGGCATGTCCTCATATGTGCCAAGGATACTATTACAAGATCACAGACAATTGAAGCTGCGTTAATTCTTAGGGAAAAGGCACGGGAGTATGAGGCAGTTCGGCCTTTGGACAGTAGCTCAACGTAAGGTATGCTGCAGTACGTCTAGAGGCTGGGCTCGACTTTTACTCTGATGTCTGCTGGGAAAGAGACGCAAAGAAGTAATCGCAAATGCGTGTTCGAATAACATTACCATTGAAAAATCCAACTCGTCTTGTTACAATGTTGTAACTTCCTACTTATGTGCCACTTTGATCATTATCTCTCAAGTTGTGTCGGCGATATCACTGTCGACATCACCGTCGCCTTCGTTACAATAAAGCTAGCAAACCAAATTAAGTGAGAAGAAAGGACACGCAAGAACACACTTAGTTGACCCTATAATTACCCCGAAAGTTTCTCTCGCCAGAAGAAACAGATCAATAGGGCGGCCACGCCACTCAGAGCCAAAAACAACATTTCCCACCACCTGCGATATCCGACCGAGGAGCAGATAAAATAAATGCGTCGAGGGGGAATCGAACCCCCGGCTCCCCGACGCTGCTTGATGGCAACGGAGAATTTTACCACTAAACCATCGACGCTGTCAAAGCTGGTGATGCTTCTTGTGGATTGGGATCCTGTGTCTGGATGCTAGTTTATGGAGCAACTGGGGATCTTGGTGGATTATAGTGGAGGTAGACTATGGGCCGTAGTGAAGCGCTAACAAATTCCGTTTTCTCGGAGGTGAAAATAAGCTCCAGTAACAAGGTAAGCCTCCCTCAAACCAGAAATTCTATTCATTTTTAAGTTGCAACCCCGAGAGGCTGAGGTACATACTCCCGGTGCAGTGAACCTTGATCTGCCCCCAATCCTTCCCACCTGGACCGGGACTGATTAAAGTCTAATCTCATGTATCTACGCTTTCTTGTATGTAAGTATTGTGACATTGCGAATGGAAATCTTCTAGTCCAATGGTTTGTGAATGCCCAGTCTCTGGAGCAAGGGACTGTCGAGAGGGTGAAGCCGTTGATTGTCTAATGGCCTCGCAAAGTGAATGATCCCCAATCCCTTCACCCTTTCCTCCTCTAGTGGCGGCTTGAAGACTCAATGCACTATGACTCGAAAGGGTCCACCTGTCAGTGCTTCACCGACATTGACAATGAGGGCCCCTGGAACGTAGCGCACTCACTTCCAGTCGCTTGATGGTAGTCATATCTGCAACGCTGATACGAGTTGAGAAAAGAGGAGTTTGCAGCAACCTAGATCGGATTGTCCTCCCAGCTATGAGTCTCGGTATTGTGTTTCGCTGTTTGCAGGGCGTGGGCTACATAGGAGGTAGCGTAGGTTATTCCGAGCGTGGTTGAGTACCTGAGGCGTGTATGGAAAGTAGACACTCTTCAGACACCTTGAGTGTAATTGTTACGAGTGCCAAAGGCTTCGACAGGAGATCGGGACGAAAGTGACTCATAATCTCGTCGACCTGTACAAGATGCGGCTGCAGAAATCTTGGGTATGTATAGTGGTGGGGATGGTAATCCGTTTGGATGTTGTAATGATCCAAGGCCTTATGGAAACTCTCCTTGTGCTTCTGATTCCTCGAGGGATGTTCCAGCGGAACGACTTAGCTCTCGCTAGGCGGTTGTGTCAAGTCTTTGCTCGGAAGCCATGATGAGGGATGTCCAACAAGACGACATAATCTGCCAGGCTGCAATGTTGTATTGAAAAGAAATTTCTGGGCACGGGAACCTGCACCAGTCCTCGGCAAAGAGGCTGAAAATCGAGGACTGGAGAGTCACGGAAGTCGATATTACCAAATATTGTGGCGTCATCATGTACAACGACGGAATGATTCCGCCGACTCTATTCAATTTCAATCTATAATATGATCTTCCATTCGACGGATACCGATTATTCTTGAACGCACATGCAGTCTAGTTGTCGATAAAAGTCCGATTACAGTCGCAGGCTACAGTAGACGTGTACCTGGGAATTTTGCTACACAAAACTCACTCGTACTCATGATAATATCCGAATATTAATGAGGTTCCCAATATCCGAGGCTGCTTGGAATTCAAGGGCAAATATGTTTTCTTCGCGACGTCCTGATACCCATTCAGAAGACCTGACCTAGGTACACATCATGCAAGGTACTTCGCATGCGTTGAGTTGTCAATACTCTCCCTATTTCTTCAATTTTTTTAGTTGTATTATTTTCGGCACCGCTTTGCAGAAAACATTGAATTCAGCAAAGCAAAATCCAACTCTTATGAAAGTGCAATGCTGCATCTTTTGACTCCCGTGGCTGGACCACATGGAGATACAGTACTTGCTAACGTTACTTTATAAGTTAGTCATGACCGCAGCGACCTGCATCAGAACAATAGGCAATAATTTGTGCGGCAAGGATCAACGACTCAGCCACGTGCGGGCCAACGACAGAGCGGCAGTAAGTCAACGCGACTAAAACTAAGCGAATCCGATGAGACCCCTGGCGCAAACCGCATCAGTAGGTGATGGCGTGGGCCGGAAGCGCTTTGCGTTGACGTATGTGGCTCATCTGAAATTCGCCGTCCCGCCGCCATCCTCCATCATCCCACCCGGCCGTCCCTCGTCCTCGCCGGCGGTCGTCCGCTTCACCGCCGTTGGGCCGACGGGTTTGTCACCGTTAGCGAGTGCGAAGAGCAGCATTCGTCATCTAGCCCCCCCAAACTTCCCCAAATTCCCCATCGTCCCATGTCCCAGCTCATCGGCGACAAGGTTGTCCCTCCTCTTCGCTTGGTGTACTTAAGTTTCCGTTCCGCGTGGCTTACACTAGTATTGCTCTGTGTCTGCTGTGTGTCCCCTTGTAAGGACGCTCCGCTCTTGGATCCTGGGCTAACCCATTCTCGTATGTGAGCACAGTCCTCGACCTGGGGCCTCCATCGACTGCTATCGCCAAACACACGTGTCCACCTCGCATGTTGTCCGATCTAATCATCTAGCGCTCCTGCGCTTTCGCTTCTTTTTTCCCTCCAAATCCATGTGATCCACGTAGCCGGGACTCGGGCTTGAAACTTCAATTCCTCCTTCCCGGTTCAGTTTTCCGCCAAACAGCAATAATTCAACAAGGGTCAAGTGATTCACTCAGGCACGTCTGACATGGGCTTGCCAACGGCTTTATTGGAAGGAGGGAAAAGGCGCTAATGAGCCTTTTCAGCTTCCTTTTTCACTGACGTATAGATATAAAGCAAGGGACTAGCCAGTTCCTTCCTTCTCTTTATCCTCATTTGAATCGCAGAGTTCCACAACGCCATCATCACACCCACGCACCTCACATTCACACTCATATTCAACCTCATACTCACCCTCATACTCGCATCAAACCCATATTCGCAGAGCACCTTTGAATACACTTTCCAACGCTCAAAATATCCGTGCTCACAATGGAGAATACTGCTACGGAGGACAAGGCCGCCGACCGGTTCAATGGCATCTTCAAGCCGACCGAGTCTCCTCTATGGAACAAGTCGTACAACGTTCTTCCTGTGAGTTCTTCCTTATCACATCGCACCCGAGTGTTACGTCGCACCAAAGCAAATATTGATGGCTTGTTCTTTTTCAGCTGCTCATCAAGGACGGCTTCAACCTCACTACCCTCTTCACTATTGGCGCCTTGATGCAGTCCATCCTCTTCCTCATCCTGCCCGCCAAGTACGCTCTCATCCCAGCTTCGGCCCTGGGCCTCAGCTCCATCGTCTCGACCATCATGGAGACCCGCTCTGAGAAGTCCAACCCCTACATGAAGGGCGTCGTCCGGGGTCGCACCAGCGCCCAGTTCCCCAACCCAGCCACCGGCGCCATCCCAGCTGTCGCCGCCTCCCAGTCCCTCGTCGTCTTTCACCTTGGCGTCCGCTTCAACCACCCCATGGGCCTTCTCTGCCCCGGCGGCCGCGAGATCGGCGACTTCTTCCAAGAGATGAACAAGGACCTCGCCCAGCGCGCTTCCGAGTACGGCCTCTACCACGTCTCCAACTGGCTGGGCACCGACGGCCCGCGCAACAACTCCCTGCTCAACATCTACTACTTCCGCGACGTCGAGGGCCTCAACAAATTCGCCCACGACCCCATTCACCGCAAGGGCTGGGACTGGTACAACAGCTTCAAGCAGCAGCACAGCCACATTGGCATCTACCACGAGAACTTTGTCACCAACGCGGGACAGTACGAGACCATCTACGGCAACATGAAGCCTCTGCTCCTTGGTGCCGCCAGCGTTGAGTGTCAGAACGAGGAGTCAGGGGCTAAGGTCTGGGTCAACACGCTCGTCGACGCCAACGTTGGCCCCCTTCGCGGTATGATGCGCCGCATGGGCAAGAAAGAAACCCCTCTCGCACACTATGCGTAGATCTTCTCTTTTTTCCCCCCCTTCCTCTGACCCAAGGCGGATTATGGAACCAGTTTTCCGACGCCTGCTTGTCTGAATAAGGGTTGGCATTGGGTGGTGTTTGGCGTTGGGCGGGCTGTGGCCTAGGTTCCATGTATTGAATACGAGGCTGGTCGCCTCATTATCGGGATTGTTTTATTTGAGACGGCGTGTCTCGTCGTGACCTCGGAAGGCCACGTTTCTTTCGGTGTGGTTCGAATGATACACTGGCAAAAGTCCACATAGCATAGCTGCAGAATCAGAATAGATTCAAAGTACACATTTCATCACTAGACGCGTTCTCGTGTCTTGCAAGTAATCCCTCTTGTGCTCCCAAACTGGCGTTGATGAATGTTCTTTCCGCCACCAGCTTGAAGTAACCCACCTGGCAGATAATGAAGGAGCGAAGTTTAGGAACAGGCCATCCCATGCAGCCACGCTGACACCTTTGACTCGACCATCGCTTAACATTTCCTCGACTTCCCGGGATATGATGCTCCTAAGAAGGCGACCTTGGAGCTGCGGGGGGGCATTCTTGAACTATTTTATCTTGACCCCATCATATTGACCCTTCCAAACAGTGCTTGATGCTCCTGACAAGAGCCACCCTTCAAACGCTTTCCTCTCAGCATATCTTCCCGTCAAAGCTGCCTTCTTGGCCGACCCGCCAACAATCGAAGCCCAACTTCACGTCAGGGCACCCCACGTCGCCTGGCGCGAGTGGTTTGCTCTCTCACCTGACGCAGAACACTGAACAAGCTCACAGCAGGTCTTTGATCAGCCGGTTTTACCATGATTCCGCAACATAGCCCTCATTCACCGCCTCCTCAATGGCTTTTGCCAAAGCCTGTACCGCAATGAGCTTGTCCTCGCCTTTGGTAAGGTGCTGCGCCGTGTACGTACGTCATGATGACTTTTTCCCAAGGAAGGTACGCCTCCTCGAGAATCATTGGGTATTTCTACTGTTTTGGGATGGTTTTCAGATGCTTTGATAGTATTTGAGGAAGGCACGCGGATCGCGGTTGCTTTAAGGTCTGCCAAAAGACTCTATGCAGTCGTTCAAATGCTCAAAATGTCCTATCCGATAGTCTATGCCGCACTGCCAAAACAGCTGGTTGCGTGAGAAGCGAGATGCCCGTGGTAAGAAGAGTCGCCCCTGTAGCACCCAGAGGCATGTGTTTAAGAGTGCCTCCTCGACCCCTCGCTGCCAGCTTTGCTGTTCAGTAGGCAGGAGTCTCCAAGCTCTACGACATGCGACCGTTCCAGGTCGTTCGGTTACACTGCGGTAGTGCTTTCAATGGGTTGAGTGAAGAAGATGCAAAGACGCTGTGAACTATCGGATCAGGAATGACATAAACTCCATCTCCCCACCAGAGGCGGCCGTGGCGGCAATATTGATGACGCCTTTGCGATACACTTCGACTATGGTAATGGACTCTTTTCGCCAGTTGTCAACCGACTCTCATGATGCCTGCAATATCCCTGTAGGCTACTTACTCACGAACAATGAGTCACGTAGCGAGTCAATCCAGAGAAAACGCAGCCCAAGTCTCCTGAGGATAGATGGTGTCTCGGAAGTTCTTGGGCAGTGTTCTCACTTGGATGCCACATCGGAAGGACTCCATATTGGTTTGTTTCAACGTCAAGATCTGGAACTTGCCCCAACAGTGGCTGAGAGTAGCATACTTCTCATGGGTGAGAATATAAGTAGATAAACTCACCTCGCTGTTATCGGTTTCTCAAGGTCGAGCAGTCATGTCAAAATGAATCCACGCGTGCCTTTTCTACAGTATTTTTAATGATTCGTAATACAGTCATCCAGCCACGTTCTCGTCATGATCAAATCCCTGTCTTGCGGGGTCACGTCGTCTTCAACCAGGCATAGAAACTCATGTTCTCCACCTGCTTGATGTTACTGACTCTGCCTCTACTCAAATCGAGCCTAACCTTGATTCTTCACCACACAACAGCCAGTGCCTGTTCTACAGACTCTAATGACAACAATTCGTGAGATCCCGTTCGCTCAAGGCACAGATACAGCGCAGTTTGTGGTAATCCTTCCCATATAGATGGCGAGAAGATAAAGTAGCCACCTAGCATACTCGTTGCCACGTGAGCCTGCAAATACAATGACGCTATACCGGGTTTACTGACAGGTATGAGTCAGCCCGTAGCGACGCCATCTTGAACCGACGCCGCTGCCGCGGCTGCCGCGTGGTAGGTGAGAACACGGCTTGAAAAATGGCCCGAAAGCCTGTTCGGAATGTCATTCGGCTTCTTTACCCCGTTCACTGCGAAGTCCTGGCAGCTTTGACAAAGCATTTCGATAGCACATGTGTCCCACATGCGACTTGGTTTGGTGCAGCGCCGAGACTCAAGAAAGATTGGCGGGGTCTTGCGAACAAGGTATAATGAGCTAGAGCGAACTTGGCTAGATCCGGCGTGATCTCTTTCCGAGGTGGTGTCTGGAGACATGTTGTTGGTGATGGTCAGCTTACGACTTCGACTCCCTCCGGCGGCCGGGTCTGCGTGCCCTTGAGCCTGTCTGCCCTCATGATCTCATTACTGGCTATCATTACCGTATGGCTTTACTTTGGAGATGGCACTGCAAGTATCAGAAAAACTTGACGCTTACGATGTTTTGGAGACACTGCTTGACTTATTTCTATTTGACGGATCTGTTGGGAATTAGAATGGCGCCCTTCGGTGTTATAACGCCGCCATCACCTTCGTTTCAAATTCAATTGAAGTCCTTCGGGCATTTGATGTCGCGGCCACAGTCACTTGTTCTATAACACCACGTACGACTGCCAAGATCCACTAGTGACTGGAAGACTATTGATCATTGACTATCTCCGAATCGGCGAGAAACCTCAATTCCATACCGTCAAGAACAATGATCAAATGTTGTGCTCCGTGCAATGTAACCCAAGCAGAGAGTGCCAACAAAAACCTCGAGAAGAACCGACAAGAAATATCCCAAGTTCATAGACATCACCCCTAGCATTCTGTAGATATCAGCACCGGTGAGACTATTCCATGCATCTGCGAGGATTGGCACTCACGGGAGGTACCCTAGAAATGCGATGGCAGCCTCATAGGCAGCATGAGCAACTCTGACAAGAACTGTCTCTGGCGTAGGAGCAAAAAAGGTTTCTTCATGCCCATAATCCTCGCCATTGCTCAAGCGGCTTTTTCCATGCTCGCGTTCCGAGACTGCCGCTTCCAACAAGGGTTTGAAGGCGATCAAAGTACGGAGAATTAGGGTAAAGAGGACGAGAGCGAGACAAGTAGCGGTGTACTGCCCTGAAGTCCGCGGTGTCCACGCTTCAGAAAGAAAAGCTGTTCCCGTCTTGGTATGGAAGATAACTGGCATGGTCTCAGTACCATGAGAACGGGATTGGGTGTCGGACGTGTCCATCGCGAGGTTCCCTTGGAACGAGTCGAATCGGGCTTCACAGATGAGCGAGTCGCGCCTGCTTTCAATGCGGAAACAAGCGCTTTTTCTAGAATTTTAGGTGTTCAAGTGAGCGCATTAGAACCTCATGTTTGTCTTTGGCTGCTTGAGTCGGAAGCAAGGATGTGAGTTATGCATAGCGTCTCATCATCTCGCTCAGGATCCTGAAAGGGAGGCTCCGTAAGCCACATCCTATTAGGCATACCGGAAGGGGTCAGCTGCCTAGAACAACGCAAGTGCTTCCAGTGTGGAAATTCCAATTCGTGTCCTCGGCAAATTAGAGAAGAGAGAAATGGGCGTTCAAGGTGCGGCAATGCTAGCTTGAGGTTGCGGGGGATCAGGCAGTTTGAGAAGGTTTCTAGGATGAATTTTTTGGCTTCCGTGTTCAGTCCTTATTTCTTATTGCACTGCTGAATAACTTTAGAATCACTTTAGCTGCCAGTGAGCAAGATCTTCAAGATTAATCATTAATCTGATTCATTTGAATATGTGTTATAAGTAGCATGTCTCCAGTTCCTTCTTCCTGTTAGTTCAGGTGCCTGTTTCGACTACCCCTAGCGACGAGCGTTTATTCAAGAGCAAAACAGCGCTCGGAACTCGAAGCCTCATTGCCCCACCAGTTGGGCATGGTGACAATCTTCCCAGCACCAAAAAATAGGAACGTCAGCAGCATGTTGAAGTTGAATCCGGCATCGAAAGCAGCAGCCAAGATGTAGTTCCACCTCGCCCAGAGGTCATACCGGTAGCGATACGCCCAGAACATGACTACGAAACCACCAATCAAGCTGCTCACGTAACCAGTGCTGATGTTGCCATAGAAGCTAGCCATGGCCGAGAAGAAGATGGTCGAGTTCCACAACTGGAACTTGGCGCGAGGGAAGGCGCGGTGAAGGCCGTAGATGAGGAGTGGAGTGAAGGCGCCGACGAGGAAGCCGTACGGGAGGACCTTGTAGATGTGTTGCTGGAAGAGCCTTCGGGGACCGATGAGGACGTACTGTACACCCATTGTGAGGTTGGAGGTCAGGGACTGAGCGGTCCATTGGTGCGCGGGGTCTTCCTTCGCTCCCGTGAGGTAGTCAAACTTGGTGTCCAAAACCCAGCGAACAACAGCATAGTTGATGGGTACACCAAGAAATGAGCCAAAGACCTGCGAGAAGAACACCGCCTTCGGACTCACGTGCATGTAATGTCCGACCTTCATATCCTGGAGATTGAGTTGTGCGCGGTACCATGCGTTTCCGGCAATGGCGCCGTATGCTGATGCGCCAGTCGGGTTCTTGAACCCGCTCACAGAGTTGACCATTAATCCGTAAAGCAGCTCATTAACTGTACCAATAGCCAGCTGGAAATTGCTTAGTGCGTACAGCCAGCCAAGGGGTACAACCAAGATTGCACCGGTTCCAATGGCAACGAAGTATGTCCATACGGGGATGAACATGTTTCCGGTGGCTGTGATCGTAATAAGAGCGATGGCTGACGCACCAAAAAGCGCAGCAAACCATGATAGGGGCACTTCCTTGTAGCTCCGCTGCAGGATGCTGAGCTGGTCGTTGTACTGCGTACTGATTTGCGATCCGTTCCTCATACGGTCCAGCATCTTTTGAAGACTGGTCTTGATAGTCTTGTATCCGAAAAGAGCGGCCCATGCAATTGCCGACGTGTACGCAGCATAATCACTAGAGGGAAGTGCCGGTCAGAACATGAGTGAACAGCCAAATGGGAAGGGATCTTACAAGAACATGGTCCATAGAACCTGAGTGCTGACAAAGGGAGGGCCATACAACTCGTAGGCCGTCTCGTTGAAGGAGACATCCGCGGTGAGCAGCTTGGTGGTGGGATACGCCGTGCCGTTCTCGAGGAAGAGTCTGTTCGACATCAAGTGCTTATGCCATTCGCCGAGATGACCGTACTTTGCCGCCGGGATCAAGATCCACACGCTGCAGACGAAACCGGCAAACATGACGACCTGGGTCCACCACGGAGTCAGGAAGAGAGATCCGTTTGTCGAGATATTGGACCAGTCCAGCGACAGGTTCAGGACGCCCATTCCTCCGAATCCAGAACCGACAAAGTTGGCAACCGGGTTGTTGGGTGCCACCCAGCAGAGGAAAGCCAGAGATCCGAGCATCGGGAAGATGTACTCGGGCAGGAATTGCCACAAGGTCATGCCGAGAAGAGCCCAGAAGAAGACCTTTGTTTGCTTGCGAGACGAGGCCGTCGGGGCCTCGCGCTGCTTCTTTTGCGTCTCAAATAAGGCGGTCTGGCAGAGCGCCGTAAACCACGGGAACTGAGGATCGTAGATCAGGAATTGCCTGGCCAGCGCGGCAAACGAGTAGCCAGTCTGTCTTTGTCAGCACAGTTATTCACACGATTGAGGTCGCTCGGCGTGCCAGAGTGACATCTTGGAAGCAAACTTACCCAGACAATACCCCACATGAAGAAGATTGCCGCTGCTGGGTGAATCTTGGAGTTGAAGTAAAGCTCAGCCATTGCAACCGGGGTGTATCCAAGGTTGTAAGTGGCGCCCGATGCCGCCGAAATCGTAATCAGGACATGCTCTTTCACGTTGAACGGCCCCGGGTTGAGGTTGAAGCTGAACTTTGTGAACGGAACCTTCACCTCCCACGCCGGCAAGACCTTGGCAAGCCATGCGCCGCAATAACTGGAAGCGATCTGGACGAAGAAGATAGAGTATGGCGCATAGGTCGTGCGGAAATGGCTCATCATCGACAAAAAGGCGCCAGGTATGACGAAGATAATAGTGAGGACGAAGTACCGGAAGGTGAGGCAGGGCAGATCCGGGTCGTCGTGCAGCGAAACGATGCGGCGCACATAGGCCGGGATGTCCTTAATTCTGGGGTCGTTCTCGTCAAAGGCTTCTTCTTCGCCATTGGCCTGCGTTGTGAACACAAATGGAGGCTTCTCCATATCGCCTTCGGTGTAAGGAGCAGCAGGCTCGCCGGACGTCTTCTCGGGCGTACCGTTGCTGGGAGAGTCGACAGAAATGGCGTCGCCATCGCGAAGACCGCCGGTCTTTGGCTCACCGGCGGCCTGTTGATGTTGGTTGGGGGATGGAGACATGGTGGAGGTCGTTCAGGGCGGCTGATCGCCAAGATGCTTGGAAGAGAACGCCACACGGAAGCCAAGTTGGCCAAGCCTGGAGGGATCAGAGACGTCTTTTTCCGAACGCAACGCTTCTGGCAGCTGGGCGTTCAACTTATATCAAGAACCTTCCATGGCTGTTTGTTCACCCGCCGTCTGGAAACTGATTCTAGTCAACTCCTGGATGCGGGAGGCCCGTCGACCATTACAGTTAGTTGGCGGAGCCATGCGATGGTGTCATCGGCGTTTTTCATATTTATATTGCCAGCATCGCGCGATGGCATGAGCACAAGTGGATATGCGGCTCCTAACTGTGGCTCCAAGTTCAAGAATGTAACCCGACGGGGTGTTTCGAATGCCCCGCAGGATCGCCGGGGCACTGCATCGTATTGCGGCAAGAGTGCCATCCCCTTCAAGTTTGGTCAATCATACCATGGGGGCGAGAGCGTGTTCGCATATTGTGCCATAGTAAGCAGCAGAAGTTCCTGAGCTCCTCATGGCGAACAAACACCACTATGTTGTCAAAAAGTTTCTTCACCAATCCCGTACATAACAGCTATTGCGCCATCGTCAAAAGTCCCTCGAGTGAGGATCAACCTCGATCTTCACGACCACTAGACAGACACAACGGGCTAGCCGAGATGGATACTGTGGAACACGCCCTTTGACCGGTGGATACATGTGCTATGGAGGTGGATAATGGATATGGAGTACGTAAAGCTTAAAATTTCGTTTAATTGGGCAAAAGGCAAAAAAAAACGTTGGTCGGATCCGACATGTTCGGTTGCGTTATGCCGCCTTGTTCGCTTCCAAATGTCAGAAGCGGATGAATGAACCCCGATTTCCAGTCGCCGAACCATGACTCATTCCGTCACAGAGGATTTTGTATCTGTAATCACGAGCAATAACTAACTAGTTCCAAGGCTGGAGTTTGCCTCCATTCTGTAGAGTATAGGTCCGACCCTGAAGCCAAGAGCTCTCCGGAGCATTCTGATCATATGCGACTGTGAACCCCTGGTCCTGGATGCGCCCAAGGTCTCCACCAACGACTGACAAACCTCGGACAAACGAGTTCTGTGCAACGGTCCAGATGCTTGTCTCGTCAATCTGCAAGGTCAGTCCACCTCGATTATTGACGAGAGATGCGTTCGCGGCGCCATGCCACGTGCTGTTCGCCAACAGCTGAACCGTGATGGTACAGGCACCCCGGGTGACAATGTCCCCAGAAATTCCATCCGAACCCATCAGCGTCAGGGAGGAGTTGGAAGAGATTGGGCTCCCGCTCCAAAGCTGTGGCTCGATCCTCTCGAGGTCCCGGGATGCTGTGTTCGTATCCGCTAGGAGCAGAATTCCTGAAGGATTGTATATCCTTGCATCCACCAAGACGATCTCGGCGGAAAACGTTGCCAGGTAAAAGGCTGGGCCCTCGCGAACCGTAAGATTGAGAAAAGTCGCCTCCAGCGTTCCGACGCCATGCTGTGCAGTGATGGACCAATCGAAGAATAGAAACCCGCTGATGGTTCCCGAAGTGATGGTAGAACCGTTCAGATGTACATACTGAGGTCCCTCCATGATGATGGCGGGGGATCTATCGGCCCAACCAGTCAAGTTAGATGACATGGTTCGCCCCAGGGAGTAGATTAATGGCGACCCCGGGCCAGTGGTGTGGGCGACGCCCCCACGGCTGTCGATATTGAGACCCGCGAGGGTAGGTGATCGGTAGCCACCCGAGCAGTGGCGGAGATTGGTGACATCCAGACTGGCCCCCCGGATGGCAAAGAGACCAATGGCTCCCGGACCGCTGCTGTACAGTCGGGGTGCGTCAAGGGTGGCCGTCGTTCCGGCTCCGGTGGCGTAGAGGTTGATTGCGCCATTGTGGGTTTCACTGCAGAGAACCGAATTGTTGTTCTTTCTCCCTGTTTGGAAGTCGGTAAGCTTTTTAAATCACGTTAGATTCCAGGGTACTGTCAGTCTTACTACAAGGACGGCACTGTTATATCCTACTCCAAGGGATCGGGGCAAGTCTTCCGGCGCTCCAGTCTTCAGGACGTCAGCCTGCAGTAAGTCAACGATGACTCCCGTCATGTAGAGTACGCTGGTCTGCTGGAGGTTAGTCTCATATGACATGCCAGTCTCTGAAGTCTGGGGTTGATCCAAGATTCTCTGAGCGATAACTGTCCACGGGCTTGTTATTTAACAATCATTATGGCCTGTGATGATCCCTCTAGGCCTATCATTCTGCGGAAAGAAAACATCTTAACTTACTAGGTCTTTCCTCCGTCGTTGCCGGGACGTAGTTTGGGTGGACGAAATTGTCATCAACCCATTTTGCGGCAAGAACGCCAGAATCCAGGCACGGATCTAGGTTCTCAGGGGTTGGATTCTGGGATCTACTAGGTAGAACCAAGACAACGACGGCCAGAGCGAGAGAAGCTCGAACGCCCATGATGTATTCTGTATTATATGCGTCAAGTTAGAGATATCGAATCATCATTGAGGGGCGCCTCTGAGCTGAAGGGTTCAAATATCATCCAGAAATGGTCCAGAAGATGGCACTTTTGCCTAGCAGATCTGGCAAGTTTCGGTCTTAGACTACTTACCTCAGTGGCGTACAAAGGAGGACGAGCATCAACCCAGGAGCCGAGACGCCCCGGGGAGGTAGCCAATGTGTAATACCTTTTGCAAGATGTTACACTGCCAACAATGAGACACCCGGTGCATCATCTTACAAGTTGAGTGCTTGAATCACTCCCACTCTGTACTTACCGTGGCATATTCAGTTCACAGAACTACTGAGATCGATGCAGACAACCAAGGAGAAAATACCAGGGAGCTCTCAATTGTTGCCTTGTATCAGGTCCCAGTCTATGACTTCGTAACGGCTTCGACCCTTACATCCTGCCTAAGAACTTTACACCAAGACGTACCAAAGTGAGACATCGATTCTAGTTTCATGCAAATGACCAAGTGTGATGACTTGAAAGAGAAATGTAGATAGCCAATTCTAGCCGAGGAATTGGAGACAGGCTGCAAGTAACTCTTTTTCTGGGATACGTGTCACTCAAATCATGAGGTGCGAGCCAAATCTGTCGGATAGTATGAGGGAGCAGACGGTAGACCGTTCATAGACACAGTTGATTATAAGGTATACATTTGAAGGTCTCAGAATCGTACTGAAATGGATTGTCATGTTTTCCAAATAGGAAAGTTGCTGTCACACAATTCCATTCTTGTCTCACATGTTCCTCGGCCCAAAGTCTCACACAAGGATCTCGCCGTTTATGCCCTCAGTCCCATCGCGAGGACCCATGTACATGATGTCGTGAAAGATCTGGATCCAAATTCCCTCCTCTCTCCTCCACCAATACTGCACCTTGACTAAGAGATCTTCCTTTCCATCCGATGCATCATCTAACGATTCATCCCAAAGGTCGACCCTCATTCCAACCCATCCCTCCGCCCTAGCCTTCCGTTTGACCTCCTCCGCCGAGGCGAAGCCAGCAGGAGTGGTCTGCTCATCATTGCCAAACTCAAATTCGGTGTCTTCAAGTGGCCGTATTGTGTAAAAGTTGCTCTTCTTCGGCTTTCGCTTTGACTCCGATGCAACCTCTTTATTGGTCGGTGCATACTCGTGCAAGTAGCGTACAATCGTCTCTCGATCATGCGCAGCAAACGAGGGCTTGGGGCGACATATTTGATAACAGGAAGGAGAAAAGAATGCCCCTTTAGCATCAATATCAGAGGTATGTCTATAAGCCGCATATACCATCTTCAGATGGTCGGTGAGATCCATGGTGGGCGTCTGTGAAGCCATCAATCTCGAAGAAGTGTCGTCGATGTCGGGATGATCACTGTTCATGATATAGTCTTATGCAACCCAGGACGAATTGCTTCAGACCTAATGGTAACTTCGATAGGTAGTTTTGCAGAATTTCTTTTCAAACTGATGATCCGAGATTGATGTGCGGTTCTCGGTCTCGCAGAGTCAGCATTTAGCGCCATGCAAGACAAGCCAGGAGATGGCGCAATCTGTCCTCTCGAAGTTTTCTGGCAGTTTTCATTGGTCTGGAGATATTCTTGTGATAATGTACACGTCAAGAGACATTAAACTCTTCTCCCTTGCCTGTATACGTCCGCAAACTGTGCCACGGGCGGACGAAGGCAATCCTTCAGCTTATCCAGCCTGACATCTCGAAGAGCCCCAGTATCTGCGTTGATTGCTCATGGGTGACTACATTGAGATCCAGCTGTGCGTTCCGATGAGATGTGGAAACGTTCAATCTGGCTGCAGTATCTTGAACGCGTTGACTTTATCATTGACGGTATACTGACCACCATTGGGGGGTAGTCTCCCAGAAGACATATCTGCAACAAAGAAAGACGCCAAGTGAAGTAGGGGAATGTCTTGGATATCGCAAACCCGTTCTGAGCAAGGTCAGTCGCAGCACATGCACAGATCGGATAGGCACTTTTGGCGGCGACGACTTCCACGTCTCAAACATCTTGTCAATCTCTGAGTCGTGACCATCCCACAAGATGCTGAGCTCGCCAATCCCCGCCGAGAAATCTCGACATGTCGATAGAGCAGTTTACTATCGTACGGAGTCGGTATTACTAGGACGAACAAGACCTGAGACCGACGGCACATGACTCTCTGCGAGGTCGAATGACCTGCTAGGGAGCTTCCTGGCGATGCGCCTCGCACAGAGCCTATTCAGCCCTGAGCTTGCCTGCTGCGGAGACCGTGTGTCTTCCCACTCAGTCCTGCCGAAGGCCAGGAGAATAGGCCGCCGGCCTATTAACATCATCTCCTCATTGTACGTTTCCAATGTCATCTCTCGTGGCACCCCGGGGTCTGGATCGGCTACGGCGCTGAACGGAGACGTGTAGAGCAATCTTTCGCCATTGGATTTCGGTAAAAAGAGCAAGACTTCCAAACCATCTTCAAGGAGATTCAACGGCTGCAAAGCCGGGGACGTCGGCAAGTTCAAACTTTTACGCACCATACTTTTCAAGGAACAAGACTCTAAGCCATGGGATACACTTCGTTGTATGAGAGACGACCCGACGACAGTGACCTTCATGTTTTCAAGAAGGAATTCGTAAATCAAGCTTCTCATGGAACTACTTCCGCCTGTGACCACTATGACACATCCAGGATGCAAGGCCAATGTTGGAAGAATAAAAGTGACTCCAGAGGGCATTTGGGCTGCAAGATCTGGGTAAGAGGACTTTGACAAATGAGATGAAGCTTAGTACATGGTTTGGTAAACGAACCAGGTTGATGAATTTCGCCTTCCTTGAAGACGAATGAAGCAAACATACTTATGCTTCGAAACAAAACTTTTTGGGCTTTGACTTTGCAACTCATACTTCAGCGAGTAATGTCATGTCGAGTACTCTTTGAGTGGAGAGATCATACATGTACGATAATATCGAAGCAGCAGTTCCCAACCTGTCTAATATACCATTGAAGAAGAGTATCGGTGTTATTGGCGTCTTAGACTAGGAGCCTACCCTGAGCTGGGGCCGAACGTGGCGCGGGTTGGTCCGCTGCCGTCGCAGGTTTGTGAGGTCTGAGCCACAGACGGAGATGGACATTTGGATACGCATCCCTGCTCGGTCCCCTCGGAGGCCGGCACAAACTTCCCACCGGCGGCGTGGTCATCGGAATGACCGAGGAGCCCGAGATGAGATTCCAGAATTCCCGCTCCGACAAGTCGATAGCGACTGACCGCCTGCATCCGATCCCGAAAGCCCGCTATGGATTCAAGGGCAACTGCAGTAAGGACACACCTAGACGTCATGATGGCCCTGCTTGATTCCTGATCTGACCGAAAGCTGTCTAGTGCGACTTGTGCCGGTTGCGCAAGGTAAGTGAGAAGCGCCGAGAAGAAGTGAAATGGAAAAAAGACACTATTATCAGAATCTTGGTCTTGGTTTCTTGACACATCGGAACCAGCAAGTCGTTGACGAGCATTGTGATAGGTCCGATGTGATAAGACCGTGCCTTGCTTCAACTGTCGCCAGTCATCACAGGATTGCACATTCACGGGGGCTGGGCAAAAACCCAAGATCCCTCGACAGAGGGTCCACGTCTCTTTGCAGTAGTATGGCATCCAGAGATGTCTTTTTCTCTGTGGTTTCTTGCTCTAACGGATTCACAGCGAAGAGAAGATAGACCTTTTGGACAAACGCTTGGCCAACATTGAGTCGTTGCTTCTCAAGCAACAGGGCACGGCGTCACCGCAGTGTTCATGCTCTACTTCGACGCCGGAAACATCATTGCCAAAAGCTACAACCTCGGCGAAGGCTGCGTCTCATATTGCCACAGTATTTGATGAGGGCGAAGAAGTTCCGCCCGTCGAAGGTCCTTCATCATTGAAGTTCCAGCTGGCAGCAACAAGAAAGCTTACAGAAGCCGCCGCAATCGAAATCGGAACCTCATGCTACGTCAACGCCTTAGCCACCGCGCGTCGGGTTGCGGGATCTCAGAGTCCAAGAGGGGACGCTGAACAGCAAAAGGCTCAGAGGCCACTGACTTACCGAAGCATGCCTTTACCGCCAACATCTGCTGTCATCAACATACTCAGACAATTGAAAGGTAAAGGACTCTCTTATACTACTTGTTCAAGCTACTACCAAATTTCTATTGCTCACAAGTTATAGAAAGCCCTCCGAACAATTTCTTTGTCCTGAGGTGTTTTCTGACATGTTCGCAATTTATCGATCTTTGCCGAAACGTGTACTTCTCCGTGGATGACTATACTTCTATCGACTTCATCATAGTCAATTCGGGGTTGCACTATCTTTTCATCGAGTACTTCTGCCCTGTCGGAAATTCTGACCTCCAGAAGCAACACCTGGCTTGGGGCTCAATGTGTAGGAACGCTCTTGCGGCGGCCGTGGGATCCATAAGCGCCGGGTTATCTGCTAAAGTGGAGAACGTACAAGCACTCATTCTCGGGGTATGTCATATTTTTTTTGTCTAGGTAAAGTCCTCTCTAACGATAAGATACAGTCTATACACGCCATTGAAATGGCCAAGCCCTGGTTGGCGTGGAGGCTAGTATGCCTCGCAGCGCAGATTTGCATGGCTGCAGGCTTTCACGACGAGAGTCTTATTGCAGCTGATGACAAGGATACCAGGAGCGTCAAGGCTTTATTATTCTGGCATATCTACGGACTGGAAAAGACTCTTTCATTACGTGTGGGAAGAGCCTCTATGATTGGAGACTGTGACATCCTTATACCCAAGGGCCAAGAATCAATGTCTCTGCCCAGGCTGTGGGCATCGGAGAAGATTGTGCCATTTTGGGTGTCAAATGCCTCGATTCACGGCAAGTTGTACGACTTGCTGTACAGTCGAAGTGCACAGCTGGTCTCGCAAGAAGCCTTGTCTGATCGTGCGGATCTGCTGCTTGCTGACCTGAGAATGACGGAGCCCATCGATCTGGTGAGACTTGAAATTCCAATTGCCTGCTGATATTGACTTGCAAATAGATAAACTCGATAGTTGCCTCTGCATACAGTGCCACACCAATGACAAGGCTGGAAGATGTTCTCGCGGTATCCTCCAAAGTCATGTATTACACAACAGCAACTCTGATCTGCCGAGCAAAAACGTCGCGAGCTTCTGTGCCGCGTTTCTCACCGGACTGTCTAGAATACGCCCGCGCGACGATTGATGCTCATCTCGAATGTATTCCATTGATGGGCAACAATTTGCACATTGTGAATCTTTACCTTCATTGGTAAGTCATGCAGACCACCAAACTGGATACATTGAATTCTCAATCTTGCTCGGTACTAGTATGTACTAACTTGTCTCAAGGCGCCTGTTACAAACCCCTTTTATCCCCCTCCTGGTAGTGTTTTGTCACATCGTCGAGACTGAAGATAGGGATGATGCACAGAGACTCAAAAGTTTTGCAGACAGCCTGGAGCAAGGAGCCAATCTGTCACCGTCTGCCAAGGAGTTTTATCATATTACCCGAGAGCTCAATACTATTGCAGAGAAGCACATTGAGACAAGCAGCGAGCAAGACTGGGCGTCTGTTCCGTCGCTTTCAACCTTTGGACTCAGCCAATATTTTCCGGCCAATACTTTGACGGAGAATTATCCTTTGACATCTGAACATGTGCAGTCTACTCAAGACATGGAGATGATGTTTGATGAGCAGGACGTCATGGGCTTCTTTTAGAGCGGTTTTTTGTAATATAGAGAGGTAAATAGGGCCTCGGAAACATACATGTATTTTCAGGATGCTTTTATTTTGGAACAGTTAACCGCCAAGATGATGAATCAAGCGGGTGTAAATCCATAAAGACCGCCAGAGACAATCAAGCTGGCTGAGTACCCCAATCGCTTCGTGTTCGACTCCCAACGCAGTGACAGGCAACAAGCCTTAAGCTAATTCCCTTCATACCTCACTCGTGTCACGTTAGAGAAAATAAACTCGCCCAGAGAAACACCTGGCATCAAAAAGAAGCTCTGGAATTCAACGGAATGACGACTAGATCTGCATCAAGAGTACGATCGATCTCCGCCGGGTGGTAAGGGGGCCAACGTGGTACTCGGTCCCCGAGAGCCCCGAAACCTACGAGAACCCGTGTCCGCTCCAGCGCACATAACGCTGGCAATTATCGGGCGCCCGCCGTGAAGGCCAGTGCCGGATTGCATTTCTAAGCTTCTTCATCATTCCTTGTCTAGGCCTTCGCGGGCCCGAAATCTCCTATTCAATCTCCGTTTCATGACGTTATCACCTCCTTATGGACATCTTCGTTCTTTCCGAAGAGCGAGCCTTCGGGCTTGGCTTAGGCAGGGCTGATGAGACGCTAGACCGTCAGTGGCTCGCAGGCATCTTGATGTAGAGTAAATTGTGGGGTCGATGGAATCGTATAACAAGCCTGTGAGGCTTTCTATGATTCCAAGTATGATGTATCACGACACTCACCGCATTGTTTGTTCTCGAGATACCCTGAGAATCATTTGTTTCCACGACGACCCAAGATATAAAATGTCTGTAGCAATCTCTGGCGGCACTGGTGGTCTCTGCTGTGAGCTCGTTAAAGTATTTGCAACTCAAGGCACGCACGAGGTCGTTGTATTCACGAGGAAGGTATATATCAGACGATACTATGTCAATCATTCGAACAATACAGCTGACAACCGCTTGTGCAGGTTTCAGGAAGGCCCGGAGGCGCAGCTCCCAACATCCATTTTGTGGCTGTCGACTACTCAAATATTGACTCGCTCGTCTCTGTCCTCGAGAGGTACAACGTCGACACCGTCATCTCCACCGTCAATAACATCACCGGCGAGAACCACGCAGAGTTGAATCTCATTGCGGCCACCGAGAGAAGCAAGACGACAAGAAGATTCATAACAAGCTACTCTGGTGTTCCATATCTACCTGAGTATGGTTTCTCGACGCTGCCCCCGTATCCTGCAGATTCACCGGTCTAGGAATGCCGATGGCTCACTCACCATCATCACCTCGGATCCAGGTAATACGAATCATTTCCACCCGCCATCTGACACATGTTGGCTCTGACCAAACTGAAGTTGACTCCTCTGGATGGCCTGGAGTTGCCTCTGAGGTACCTTAAGCAAAGTGGCTTTCTTCATCGACGTCGCTAACAACGTTGCGTAGATGCCTAGACCAGGGAATATTCCCGTCGTCTTACTCAATCATTTAATAATGCTCGCTGCATCACCGCTCTTCTTCACAGCACGAGCTGGCGCCTGGACAGCTACATCATTGGCGACAAGATCACATTTAATGAACTTGTCCGTCTCGCAGAGGATACGAAAGGTGAACCGTCTATTCTCTCAATGTTTGTGCAGAACAACCTGACTCTCTCAAGGCACCAATTTCACCGTCGTGCACGACTCGATCGATGAACCCAAGGGTGATAAGATGGAGGGGTCAGCATCCTCCCATCGGGTCTTCAAGTTGTACCCGAAAGAGACGCCTTTTCAGCTCCCTTCTCACCTTATCACCACTTGGTCTTAGCTGTGAGCGAACTCAAGCTGACCTCAAGCCGGTCGTGCATTGAACGGTGACTTTTCAAAGACCGAGGCCTCGGCTGCAAAGGAGATTCTTGAGCGTGGCTAGGGACAGCAGTCTTGATACTGGTAACCCGTGGCGTGGGGTTCCAAGGGCTGCGACTTCCTCGAATTAGCTGGGCCTCGAAACAGTTTCTACGTTTCTACAAGAGTGCGGGGGCGTTTTAAAGGTTCTTGCGGCATTCCTCATGTTCCTGTCAGCCACACAGTCTTGGCTGTCTGGCGCAGCTCCGGAGGTGTAGGAGGGGAACTCCGCCCTTGTTACAACATTTAAACTCGAATGAGCCATGTTGCCCGCAGCTGACAAAATTCTTCTCAGAATAAACTAACCCATATTTGATTGGCACATGTATCAATGTCAAGGGCTTATATCTTCGACGCTGCGACGCTCCTCATTACAACATTACTCTACCATTCTATCTGGTTTATCTTTCACCGTTGTTCCTACCGCCATCACCTCTATTTTTCCTCTGCTTGCCCCAGTCGCATTTACTAGCCAGACACAGAAATAGACACGCTCCATGATGCCGAGAAAAGACACGAACGGAGACGGAATCGGCGGCTAGGGCGGAGAACGGGATGGCGGGCTGTGTCCACACTCCGAACGGCATAATGAGACGAGCCGGGTGCTCTCCAAGCATTTCATAGGTTCCTTGTTAGACTTCCGCTTCGCAGAAAGTTTAATTTCCATCAGACAACCTTCTTCAGATGAAATCCCACCTGCACAGTCCTCGCCGCGATGAAAACACCAACCGCCGCCAACATCGAGAAGCCGCAAAACAGCTGCAGGCCAAGATACGACCCTCCTTGCGACGCGACGATGGCGCCGGCAATGGGACTACCCGCCAACGCGCCAAACGACTGCACGGCGAACGCGGTACCAGTGCGTACGCCGATTTGTCTAATGTCGGAGATTTGAGCAATGCAAGCGGGGCCCAGCGAGATGAAGCCGCCAGAGGAGAAGCCGAAGATAACGAGGAAGACGATGATGGCGGCGTTGCTCTTGCCCGGGATCCAGAGACCGAGACAGAAGACGGCGCTGATGAAGGTGATGCAGATCATCACGTTGTACCGGCCCACCTTGTCGGCGACAATGCCGGGGATGATGCGACCGAGGATGCTGCGCCTTGTTAGCTAACGTTGTACGGGACGGCCGGCGATGGAGGGACAGGAGGGTCTTACCTGACGGCATTCATGATGGGAAGCAGGTAGATGACGAGGTTCTCGTCCATGCCTTGCGCTTGCGCCTGGAGGATGACAAAGTTGAAAGGCAAGAACATGCCGAGGAAGAAGAAGAACAGAGCGCACACAGTGATAGCCATGGGCGGCTCGCGCAGACCGTCGACATACTCCTTGAACACAAACGGTCGAGGCCGAGGCGGCAGCCGCGACTTGACCGTGAGACACGCGATGCTCAGCAAGAATAGGAACAGGAACGCGACAGCGCGGATGGCCCAGGGGAAGCCGACCTGGGGAATCATCTTGGACATCATGATGGGAAGGATGACACCGCCGAGCGACGAGCCGGAGACCATGATACCAAAGGCAGCGGCGCGTCTTCTGAAGAACCACGAGGTCACGGCCGAGACGCAGGCATTGAAGCACGCGCTGGAGCCGATGGAGGAGACGAGACTCTGGGCCAGGATGAACTGGTAGTACTTTGTCGACAGCGAGGTCATCATCAGGCCAAAGACGTAGACGACGGTGCCGCAGTACAGGAGGTATTTGGGGCCAATTGTGTCGTACAGACGACCGAACTAGAACAACGGCATCAGCTGTTGGACAGGCGGTGAAGAAGGGTCTCGAAGAGAACTCACGATAACGCCCATGAAAGTCATCGCCCAGACCTGCAGACTGGTGATCCACGCGACGGTCGACGACGGATACGCGCTGAGAGGACCCGACAGGTAGTACGCCTGGAATACGCCGACGCAGTTGATCAACCCGAACGTGCAGAACAAGGCGCACCACCCGCCAAAGACGACAAGCCAAGCCTCGGCGCCGCCATCAGGAAAGTCGGAGGGCCTCATTCCCGGGGGCGGGCCGGCAGCAGGCGGTGCCGCATCACCGGCCGGGCCATCGGTCTTGGCAAAAGTCGCGTGCGGCGCCAAGCCGCCCTTTTCGAGATCGGCCTCGACGACATTGGCCGGTTCCGGGTAGATGTTGGCATCGGTCTCGCGCTGCTGGGAGGGGATGCGCTCTATGGATTGGCGGGCCGAGGAGGAAGACTCGTAGGGTATCGGGTCCGACTTTTCTGGGTCTGCCGGCGCGGTGGACCTGTCCATGACGGTCGACGAGTTGGACGACGTCGAGGGGGCGTGGTGGGAGCGTGGCATGGTTGCGACCGTTGGCGTTGTTTGCGCTGTTTTCCTCACTCAGTGTCTTTCGGTCTTCACTTCCTTCTCTTCTGTTTTCTCTCCAGGAAACCTGGGTGAGATTTTGATTCTGAGCCCCCTTTTACCCTGTGGACGAATTCCCTGTTGGCGAAAATTTCTGAATGGGATCAGACAAGTTATCCCTGGGGGCACGAGCGGGTAATGTTTGTGGGGCGAAATGTTGCGTCGTTTCGTCTTGTCGCTGAGTACCTTAGCTGGACGAGGTTGCTTGCTTCTTGTCGGCTAATTATGAGACTATCAAGTCGCAGCTGCTCGTCGTCGTCTTAGTGTCGGGGGCCGCCTATATACAAATCAAGCAAGTGTTCCCACGATAACTTCCATGGTGCGGCTCAACCAGGGGTGAATTAATAATGACATTTGAGTCACAACGAGCGTTGGCAGAAGTTCCCTCGCGCTCTTCTCGCCGTTCAAGAAACAAGGCTGGTTGGGGTAAGACTCGGAGAATGCAGCCTCCTGACAAACCCTTGCTCGGTTCTAAACGCCGTGCCCTTCTGGATCGACGCAATTCTGGATCCCCAAATCCTGGGGACGGAGTGGGCAATAGGGTGGTAGCGTCCACAGCGGGCCGGGGATAACAAGCCACTTACCGGCCGAAGACCTCTGCTTTGTCCGGTTTAGAACTTAAGCCGTTAGGCATAGATGGAAAGGTGAACCGTTTGCTCCAAGCGGGCCAGCTAAGGTATGGCCAGCTGTCGCGGTGACGAGTAAGCTTGGCTGTTTATCTCCTAGCTTGATAACCTCATCGCCTGTCGTCGTGTGACTGTGATTTTCCCGCCGGGAACATGCGCTTGCGGTTCACGGGAACGGATGTCGGCCGCCAGATCGGTCGCTAACCCCTCTCTCTCATCAACCAATGCGGTTTCAACTTTCAAGCAAGCGACGAGTAGTCGCTGATCTTAGCTTATTAGCAGTGGGAGAGTCGGTCAGCCTGCATCCCATTCAACAAGGGGCGACTATGGAATTTCATTTGTGCGGCAGCTTTTTCGGTTGTTTTAGGCCGACAGACTGATCGATTTGGATGGAAAACCTGGTTCACGGCAGGGCTCATCTTCCCCATCGTCTTCAGGAACTCGGTGAGGTTCCTGAATCAAGCTCTTGGCACCACAAAATTCAGTCTATTCTTTGAGAAGCCACCTTGGCTGCAAGATCCCGTCACGACATCCATTCTTAGGGCCGTGTTCCGTGGTTGAGGGCCGGCATGCACTTTGTGGCTCGGTGTTGAGATGAAAACGCGAGGCCCGAGACTCTGGAATGGCGATGAGGATGCCGTTGGCTTGCTTGGCCAATCACCACAGTTCTACTGCTTCGGAAGGGTGTGCTCGGCGCTCGGAACGGAAATCGACGTGTCATTCGAATGCCAGACTTGTTAATAATACCAGCCCCCGTGGCTGTTTTCCGCTAGCCGGAATGAATCAACGGCGCAAAACCACGTGGGTTTTTAGACGTGATGGCTGTCATTGATGAAGCTTGTTCTGACGAGCGGGAGGTCCATGCTAGATTGTCCCGGGACCGGACATCAAACATGCTCATATCTCCGGGATGTCAACTACATCCGTCCGACAGCATCTGTACAGGAAGACGAGTTATGTAAACTCGAATGATGCGCGGAATCAATTCGCAACAGGCGGACTTTGTTCTTTGTAAGTCGCTTTGCGTGCAGTCTTGCGGCCCGGCCATTTTGGTGTCTATTACACAGTAGATTTACATTTACATTCGTCAGCTCCAAGGCTGTGTGGTCCAATTACCATGGCAATCCTGCTTTGCGGTGCAGGGTGTGCCCGTCCATGATTCCGATTTTGCTCCCGCCGTTATCGAATGAATTCTTTGAGGTCCTTTGCGTCCTGGAAGCTGACCTTGCCGTCACGTGAAACGCTGGCGACGTGGATGGCCGAGGGCGGCTGCTCGACCGATGCGGGCTTCGCCTCGATCTTCGGCTTGGTAGTCAGTTCAACGACATCCGGAACCATGCCGGCCGGCGCATCTGCGATCTCGTTGACCTCCTTGTTGGTGAGAGAATCGGCAACCCTGATGCCCCTGCTGGACATGAGAAGGGTTGTCGGGCCTCGGAACTGGAGGAACAACCGGTCTCCCCAGATGGTCCGTCTGAGGGACGTCCTCAGAGTGAACAACCACCGAGACAAGTTCTTGTAAGTACTCGTTTCGCGCATCGCCTTTATGAAATTTGTCTCGGGGAAGAAGCCAGTAATGCTTGGGATCTGGAAGCGCAATATGTTCGACTTCAGACGCATCGGCAGGGGAGGGTTGCGAGACACGGCGTATGCGACCACGTGCGAGGGGTGAGCGACAAACTCCTCGCCTTCTGCGAGGGTGACTTCGTAGACTTGACCTGGGGAGGACAGGGCAGCCAGACCTCGGCCGGTGAGGTGGGTGCTTCCCCAGTGGGCAAGCGAGAGGCCTCGGCTTATACGCGGCGATACAGAGAGTGTGTGGCCCGTCCAAGCAAGAAGCGCATTGCGTTGTGACACCATGTAGTCGGTGGTACCATCGAGGTGGAGGACGGAGAAGGTCGTCGTAGGAGATTTTGTGGAAATAAGGGCCGTGAGCGGCGTTGAGGATGAAATACGTTGGTATAGGAAAGGGACGCCGAGGAAGGCTCGTGTGAAGGGGGAAAGAATGGACAGTGTCGATTGGGCCTGCGGATCAGTGATTAGAGGCCGATCAGAGAAGCAGAGTCTGCATTGATGCTCACGTTTTCAGCCTTGCCTGCCACTCCTACCAATGTTCCCCTTCTGGTGAAGAGCTGCTGCGACGGCGACAGGGTGACGGAAAGGAGCGAGTAAGGGGAGCCAAGAACCTCGAATCGGGCATCTGTAGAAGCAAAGTCAGCACTGCGAGGTCCGTTGCGATCAGTACATGGTCTATACCGGCCGCGTCCCGCGATGCTCCTCGAGCTCCAAAGACATCCCCGCCAACCCTGGGGGCTTCAGTGGTTGGCGCAGCGCTGATCTGGATGCCCCTGCATTGCCTGCAGACGTGCAAAGGCGATTGACGTTGTCGCACACCTCGCGCCGTCCTCAGCAAGGGCAATTGGGCGCGCATGGCGGACATGTGGGAGGCTGATGACGTCGGCCGTTCGGATCGTGACTTGAAAGCTCCAGCAGCTGTCGCCTCTGCTCCATCAAGAATTTGGAGGGCCGACCTTGACGGCAAAATTCCGGACCGGGAGCTTTCGTCACGGGTCAATGCCATCCCGAGCCGGAGAGGAGCCTCCTTTCCGATACGTACCGCTTGGAGCTGCCCCTACCTGCTTACCTAAAGCACGCCCCCACCAGAAGCTCTAAGATGAGAGTGGGGCTCCATCTTCGCTTCCAGAGATTAGCGCCGTCACCCCAGCAACGGCCCATGTCAAGACCCCTGTTGACAAGGCCTCGGTGCAAACCTTCCATATTCCTTGCACAACATTTGAATAAGTCACGAACACGGTTCAAACACCTCAAAAGTCTTCTCGTCGAACCATTTCGACACGTCGCGTCGACTCCGACACCTTACCCCGAGTGTCGCCCTGTTCCGAGTTCGTCCCTCCTCGCCTGGGCTGCTGCCACCTTTTCTTTTGAATCGATTCCCGGACTGGCCTCACAATGTCGGTTCGTGTGGTCGCGCGTATCCGTCCCCTCCTCGAAAAGGAGCTGGATAAGGACGTCATTGTCCGCGCGGACAGCACCGAGCCAGGCAAGCCAGCCACGCTGGTCAAGATCCCGAGTCCGAAAAACGAGAGCGAGGAATTCTCCTTTGCCTTCACCAGCGTCTACGACCAATCGACGACACAGGACGCACTCTTTACATCAGAGGGTACGGATACCTTACGCAAGACACGGATATCGAGACACCATTCTTACTAACTTGACCAGTCGCGCCCCACATCAAGGCGCTCTTCCAAGGTCTCGATGTCACCATCTTCGCCTATGGAGTCACGGGAACTGGCAAGACACATACGATGCGAGGTGGACTGAAGCTGGCAGATCGAGGTGTAATCCCGCGGCTGCTGAGCGGTGTGTATCGACGCGGCAAGAAGATTGCCAAGGACACCGGCGGCAAGACGACTGTCGACGTTGTCTTGTCATACTACGAGATCTACAACGACAAGGTCTTTGACCTGTTCGAACCTCCCGAGAAACGGCAGCCTGCTGGCCTACCCCTCCGCGAAAAGGATGGCAAGACGATGGTAGTGGGTCTATCCGAGCGCGCCTGCGAGGACCTGCAGGACTTCTCCCGGCTGTACATCGAGGCGAATAACAACCGCGTCACGGCATCGACGAAGCTCAATGCGCACAGCAGTCGAAGCCATGCCATCATGAGGATCAAGGTGACTCAAACGACTGGAGACCAGGTCCGTGAAAGCACGGCCTCAGCCATTGACTTGGCTGGCTCGGAAGATAACCGTCGTACGGACAATGGAAAGGAAAGATTGGTCGAGTCTGCTGCCATCAACAAGAGTCTTTTCGTCTTGTCTCAGTGCATTGACGCCATCTCCCGAGGCGACAAGCGGATTCCTTATCGCGAGTCAAAGATGACGCGTATTCTGAGCTTAGGCCAGAACAACGGCATCACCATTATGATTCTAAACCTGGCTCCTATCCGCAGCTACCACCTTGACACGTTGAGCAGCTTAAACGTCAGCTCTAGAGCCAAACGCATCGAAGTCCGCGAAATCGAGAACGAGGTCGTCTTCAAGCAGGTCCCGCGTACGAACTCAGGCAGTTCCACAACTACTCTGCGACAACCCCTCCGTCCCTTGGCCAATGCCCACAACATTCACAGCGGCACTATTGCAGCCAAGGCCAACGAGAAAGCTGATCCGACGCGGCCAGTGAAGCTTTTCAACGTTTACACCGACCGCAGCAAGTCTGCTGGCCCTGTCCGACCGACGGCCAACATGACACAGACCCGGAAGCCCCTCGTCGAACGCGAACTTCTGTCTAAGACTAGCAAGCTCGCTCGGCCATCGCAGCCATCACAGACAGTTCAGCCAGTCCAGCCAGCCCAGCCAGCCGAACAAAAGCTTTCGATCTCTGCGGAGCAATTGGAGGCCATCGTGGAGAAGAAGGTCAGCGAGATCCTTGCCTCAAGGGAGAACAAGATGGTAGAGCCCGCCCCAGCACCTGCTCATCCCGATATCAACGATGCTGTGCGCCGCCGATTAGAAGCCTTGGAGCGCCGCATTGCGAATGAGGAGCGGGAACGCGATGATGGTCGCTCAGAGGGACTCCGTTTCTTGCTGGCTGCTAGACAGGCGAAGGAGGCTGGCAATGACGTTGTGGCACTCCAGATGTACGAGGAGGCCCTTCCTTTCTTCCCGGGCCAGGCTAAGCTGCTGGGCAAGATTGAGAAGCTTAGGGTCAAGCTTGGAAACATGCTTCCCACAGAGTCTGTTCCGGTGTCCTCCTCCCCACGAAACGGACACGAGAAGAAGCGTAGAAGAATTGCTGCTGATGACAGCGACGATGAGTACCATCAAGACAAAGGGGACGAAGATATGAGCTTTGTGGATGCCGCCACGAAGACGAAGAGCCGAAAGGCCAAGCCTGCGAGGCCCCCCAAGATGGTCCTCCCTGACGTAACCGGTCCAGTCTCTCCCCGGGCCCAGAACTTGTTGAGCATCATCAACTCGAGAGACCTTGCCCAGATCAAGGGCTTGCACGGCTTCGGCTCGAAGAAGGCCCAGGACCTCGTCGATTACCTAGAAACGATGGCAGATGAGGACGGCGCCCAGATTGAAACATTGGCGCAACTCAAGACCATCCCTGGAATGGGTGGTCGGACCGTCGAGCGTGCTTACGACGGCCTTGTTGGACTGGCCATTTGAAGCGAGTGATATCCTACCTAGCATGGCGCATCGGGCGGCTATAGGTGCATTGGGCATGGTGTTTCTGGAGTTCAACATACAATACAGGCCGCGGCGGCCTTGAGAAACAGGTTGCTTATAGAATGTTGCATATTGTGGCGAGAATTCTTCAGAACAATGCATACCAGATCGGCAATTCAGTTCGTTCCAGTCACGGTGACATGCATTTTTGTAACATGATCAAACCTTTCGGTTCCATTTATATGTAAAGTAAGCATTACAAAGTGTGTCTTTGACAAACATCGAGGGCAGACTGACGGCCGACATCACCCTTCCCCATTGATGTAGGCTGACATGACATTACCGAGAAGTGCAACGTTTCTTTGCCTTGATGAGGTCTGAATGATCTGAGAATGGTTTCGACCGGTATTTCACAAGGGTATCCTGGATAGCTTGACGTAGTATGGACGAGGCTTGACAGTCAATCCGCCATAGCCTCTATAGTCAAACAACCTTGGAGGAGACTATATGAAGTCAATGTTCCAGATGAGCAGCGCGGTAAACATGCGGAGCTCGAGACAAGCTAGCCGTTGTCCAAAGCAAGCTCGTGGACCGAAGCCAAAAGCCATCAGAGGCATAGCTGAGGCGTCGTACGCTATTTGCTCCGGGTCTCGGTCTGAAATCACAAGTCAACGCTCTGGCTTGAAGTCAGCCGTGGAATACGGCAAGGTCTTCCAGCTTCGGATCCGGCTGGAGGCGTCGAGTGCTGTCTTGGATCGCAGGGCGTCGGGGATATGGAAGGGAGGCTTCACGAAGCTCTTGCCAATGGTGACCATCTTCACGTTCGTGTCCTTCGGGAAATGGTGGTTGAGTATCGTCATATCCTGCATTGCTTGACGATTTGTGACTGAGGTCATTCCAGCAAAGCGGAGGGTTTCTTCAACAGTGGCGTCGAGGTATGGAGTCGTGGCCTTGATAATATCATCACTTGTTGGGCCCCGTCCCCCCTCGAGTGCATTAGCGATGTGCTTGTGAAGCTCTTTACGGTCTTTCTGTGCGTCCGGGTCATCTGTGAGGTACTTGATTCCATCTAATCGTTATGGCAGTCGTCTCATGCCCGGCCTTCGAGAATTCAAACACCTAGTCATCGTCATCAGAATGTTTTACCACAGACATTCAAGCAATTGACGCGAATCAAATTACTCCACCATGCATACCGACCGATATGTAAATTGGGTCCCTGCCTTCCTTCTCGGCTACTCTTTTCTCTCTACAGACCATGTGTTCGAACACTGAAGACGCGGGCACACCAGCCCCAAATTTTTGAATGCCTATCTCGAGCTCTTGCTTGATAGACTCATCTCTGATCCTCTTGGCAGTTTTGATGCAGAAGGTCTGGTGGATATACCAGCACCGCAGCCATGGCAAGACGCTTCGTCGATCCAAAGGTCAAAGGCAACAATTTCAATGATTCACAGTGTCCGATATGATCCACTCCAGCGAGTGGAACTTAACCTTGCCATGATGTGTCTGACTCTGACCCCGACCCCAAAGCGTGCTTCAGACTCGCTATTATGCCTAGCATACATTGATGACTGTGTAAAGCGCGTGAGTGCTTATCTCTTGATTGGGGTCTGTCTGAAAGTTTCCCTCCAAGTCGTCTGGAGGTCAGTCGAGTTGCCTATAGCCTATAACTCTTTGCTGCCCCCTTCGCCAAAGTAGTTCAACGAACGTTGGGGACTTTGCATGGCCAAGTTTCTAACCACCAGTAGTCAGCCGACGACATTATTTTCTACAGATGGATAATTCTTACGTCTAGACCACAAGGAAGCCTAATGGGGAGAAACGGAGTGATGTTGCTCCATTGGTAACAAAACGTATCAGTGTAGCGTTTCTGACTTATACATGTATATCTCCATGTGTAAGTGAAATTCATTCCTACCTAGCACATTGCGGAGTGGATTTAGTGGCTGTCAAAAAGAAATGGTTTCTATTCAAGCTCTGTCTTTCGGAAATTGCGTTCCTCCTGACATGAATAGTGCATCAGACTGTCAGTCAGTTTCGTAGAGCTGTCGTCTTCTGGAACTTGAAAAAATGGATACAGATGCGAAGGCCCCCGCCCTTCCGTCCCCCTCTTTCCCATATCCAGTTCCGCATCTGCAATTATAGTTCCGGGATTCAAATCAAAAGCTTCTCCGAGTGGGCGGTATTTGGGCATTTCTCCAAGTCGGCTACTTGCGGCAATCTGACACCTCCGCATCGGATACGTCATTCCCGGATATCTTGCCCCGAGACCGATGCTTACGCGGAGAAAGAAAGCCACAAACGTCCGTCTGAGACGCATCCTCCTCTCCGTCGGCCGACTTTCAATCAGACACATTACGGTACATATTAGGTATGTTGCAGCCATTTGTTCACTTTGATCATCAAGTGGCTGTCTATGAACTTTCTCTAAATCTCAAACACCATGGCCTCTCACAAGATTCTCGTTCTACCAGGTGACGGCGTTGGACCAGAGATTATCGCTGAGGCTATCAAGGTGCTTGATGTGATCCAAAAGACCTCTGGCGTGAAGTTTGACATCCGTTCAGAGTTGATGGGAGGTTGCAGTATCGACAAGCATGGCGTAGCCTTGACTCAAGACGTCTTGGATATGGCCAAGGCAAGCGACGCAGTCTTGTTCGGGTCAGTCGGAGGGCCTAAATGGTAAGTTGGATCATTAAGGCAACTTTTATACGTGGCGACGACTGAAACTTGCATCAAGGGGTGCTGGGAAAGTGCGACCAGAGCAGGGTGTCCTCGCTTTGCGCCAAGGACTGAACGCCTTTGCGAACCTCCGTCCTTGCAAGTTCGCAAGCAGGTCGCTTGTCGACCGAGGTCCCATTCGGCCCGAGCTCACAAAAGGCACCGACTTTGTGCTTGTTCGAGAGAACTGCGGGGGTGCTTATTTTGGGGACAAGATTGAGGAGGAAGATTTCGCATCGGATGCCTGGGCTTACTCTCGCGCTGAAGTTGAGCGGGTTGCAAAGATCGCCGCCGACCTGGCCATGGAAACGGACCCTCCTCAGCAAGTTATCTCGTGCGACAAGGCCAATGTCCTTGCAGTGAGCCGGCTCTGGCGTCGAGCTGTGACCGACTTCTTTGCAAGAGAGTATCCGCAGATCAAGCTATCCCATCAGCTTGCTGACAGCGCGGCCATGCTAATGGTCAAGGATCCTCGTTCGTTCAACGGAGTGGTTCTTATGGATAACACGTAAGTTTTAAGTCCTATGGATTTCTTTAAGTCTTATTTTGGGAGACTTATTCACTTTATACTTGTCCAGGTTCGGTGACATCTTGTCAGACGTCAGTAGCGTGATCCCAGGATCGCTGGGGCTTCTTCCATCCGCTTCAATCTCGAGCACTACCCCTGGCTCTGCGGGAATCGGTCTCTATGAGCCTATCCATGGAAGTGCACCCGATATTGCGGGCAAAGGTAACAGATTCCACGTGTGCAGTCCTGGCTTCACGGCCCAGCCGATCAAGGCGACAACGCTAATGCCTATCACCCCAGGTATCGCCAACCCTGTTGCGACTGTTCTTGCGGCGGCGATGATGCTCAAATATTCGTTCGGGATGAATGATGAGGCAAAAGCCATAGAGAGAGCGGTAGAGAAGATTTTAGACTCTAAAGACATCGGTGGTCTCGAGATACGGACTGGGTGAGTTGTCCTCACGTCTCAAGCTGAGCCACACTTCTGACTTGTCATCTTAGTGACCTGGGAGGGAGTGCAACGACAATTGAGGTCGGTGATGCGATCTGCAGTCAACTCGAAAGCCTGATGAAGCGAAGTATTTCTTAGTAGCAGGGTGAAAGACAGGTCATTTGGACCACTTTATCCATAACGACACTATATTCATGATGAAGTTGGCCAGAAGATCGAGAAACCCTTGTGATTCTAAGGAAAGACACACGAAAGATATAAGAAACATCTCGAGGCCTTCGCCCTTGAATATTTCCGTGTAAACAGGATGGCAATGCTTGTCTCATTACGGGGAGAGAAGGCTTGAGCGATGGATATTCGAAATTCAGTAGTTCTACAGATCAGTCCTGCTGTAGCTTACTGCAACGCGCCTTTTTCTTTTTTTTTTTTAAATTCTATCAAGCGCTTCAGTAACGATTATTATCTCTTGATCGCTACATGTACGAGATGATACTTATGCGATACGTCGCTTCCCTGGATTTTCCTTTCACGCTTGTGCCTGGCCCTGTCTTCCACCGCTCACGAGATGACTGCGTTGATGCTGCCCTGCAGACCACATACAGAAATCTACCATTAGTCGACACGAACGAGCCGCTCTCGGATCTCCTGAGACTTGCAAGTAATGAAGAACGCTGGCCGGAAGAATGTGAAAGATTATGCGTTTTTTTTTTTGACTATTGTGTCTGCTGCGGCAGAGGTAGTCTTGGAAAGCAAGTCCGCCAAAGGTGAGATGGCAGAACGATGTAAAGAGGCTATCGCAAATTCGAAGGCACTGCTGTCGAACATGGCTGGGGCAGCAACCTTTGAGCCGACTGGAGCTCTTCAATATAAGCAGAGAGAGATTGATGTTGGGGATATCGGAGTTTTCTGGACAGGCGACTTTCCGGATCTGCACTGGAGTGGGTTTATGCCAATGTAACAGGCCTCAGTTTTGACTATGCTGTGATTTTGTGATCGAGGCTGAAGGTAACAGGCTGGGAGAGTGAGAGTGAATCCGAATGTCAGCATCCCTAGATTGATGGGAATACCCAAATTTTTGCTCTAGCACTTCGTAAATTGTATTAATGTCATGCTAAAACTTTTGGCCGGACAAATTTGTGAATGTTTCGGGGTGCGCAAGGCACGGCATACCAAGTGTCTTTCCGTTGAGCATGGGTTAACGAATTTGCGTCTGGATGATGAGTTCGAACAAGATTCCATTCATGTGCAATATGTAGAAGCTCGAGTGGAAGATTGATTTAAGCTGCATTCTCTCGATCTTGAAATTTCCAAACTCTGCACATCCACTCTCAGCGTGTTGTCATCGAATACGGACAATGAAACCAACTCAGCCGATGCAAACTAGTCCTCTTGTACCTATCGGACAATATGGCGTGTGAGTGGTCCATTACTTCTTCATAATCCTCCGATATATAGCAGGGTCTTCATCACCTCCCGGCAAGTATGGCTTATACCAGCGGCTAATTGAAACCTCCGATGGAAAGGGTGGTGGGGAAATATTGGTACGTGTTTTCCAAAGTGATATTCATAACTCCAGGGTTATTGACCGTAAACTCTTGAAGACGGTGAGAAGCAAAAGGGCATAATCACACACAGCATTGTCCCAACTCGCTTGAATATTTTGGCCGAGGCTGGCCATGGTGCCGTGTTCAATGTTTGGCGACGCTCTTTGAGCCAGGTGTGGTTTTTCGGTCCATCAATGATCGCAGCCGGTGCATTGTGCATTGGGAAGATTAAAGGCATGACTACACGTGTCAATTGACTGCTCCAGGTCAGATCTTAAGGTAACTTATCTTGATTTAAGTTTGTGCCTGTCTGGAAGCTAAAGCAGATGGAAAGGCTGTGTTGACCTAATAACCGCTGTGAAAGTAAGCAACCTAGTCATTGTATGATTTCCACACGCTAATATATTGATGAATTTAAGTAGGATAACAGAAATCAGTAAATTTTCAGGTATTTCGACACGTTTCCCACGTCGTTCTGGTGCATTTGGTCTGGCAATCCACGGACAGATTGTTTAAACCAGCATCAACGTCCTGGTGCTACTTTCGTTGCTTTAAACGCTGTAGAAGAATAATTCCCGTATCAATCTACGTCCTATCACGGCGTGCAGGAGAACTTGTTATACTACGTGGGATGATCTTTACAAAATCGTGCGGGCCTGCTTAGCCAGTATCCCTTCCCTTGCGTAGCTGAACCCAAAAACCAAAATCGTGGGAGCGTTAACCCGAGCCAAAAACGTAAATATCATACCTACTTGGCAGGCTAAATCATTACCCGGTCCGATTATCCTCAATCACCGAAACTCACTCGCTATCATATCTCTTCCCAGCCACGGCGCCGGAGCAAACCCCTACAAGGATAAGGGAAACCTCTTTCGCTGATGATTTTGCACGATGAACCAAAAATAGTCACCAGGGCGAACTACAGGCCATAACGAAGCATTTCGCGCTAGAGAGTGAACAAAACCTACCATATTTTCGGATCCGTGGTGGCGTAGAAAGCTTGGAGGGCTTGGCCACCTCAGAGAGAAATGTGTCAATCCATGTTCCCCAGTCCATTTTATTCGGTGTCCTCTCGCCAAAGTCGCTCATCGACTTTGTGCTGCTATCTCGACATCTACGCGTCCCCACTGGTTACATAAGTCCAAACTTTGGGGCAACGCCGCTTCCTACCTCGAATTATTATTAGATGCCTAGAAATCCTTCTCCGGGGACTCCCGGGGGCCATCGTTGCGAACCGCTCAAGTTCTAGCATTTCTCCAAAGTGTTACTCATCTCGCCGGAGATCCTCAAATTAGTTGCGAGCTGCCCGGCTACCAAGCTACTCCGTCGCTCCCATCCGTCCGGATCCGTAACCTATCATAATGCCATCAGGGAAGCGCCGGCTTGAGGGGCCACTCGGCCGGCCCAATGTTGTAGCACTAATAAAGCCGAGGGAGTAGAATGAAGCTTGTCGCTGAGCCTGGACCACATTTTAGCCCGCATGTCCCGCGAGCACGACTAATTCGTTGGGAAGAGACAACAAGCTTTCCCCTGAACATAGCTGGAAACGTCTAGCAGCATCATCCATGCGTCTCATGAGTCGCGAGGGTACGCCTGACTAACCTGCGACGAAAAAGTGCCCCTACGCCGCACTCAAAAACCCTGTGTGCTTCCATTTGGGGAATTTTTCCAAAACTGAACTTAATTCAGTCGGGGATTCCCCATGTTCATCGCGACTAGTAAGCCCTGAATGAAGCTTCTTGAATGGGGCTTTCGCATTTTGAAATCATGTCCGGCGGATGTGGCGGTTGTTGCATCCCATCCCGACCAACACCCGCTGGGCTAAGCTTTCTTTGCCAATTTCAATTCCCAATTCCAGAAGAGATCCGAACGATTGAGGCACCTGTTACTCACACAGTGATCAACGCCAATTAGCGACAACATGAACCGGAATATAGAGGCCCATGATGCGCCGATGTCCACAAGAAGGAAAAGCAGCATTATTGCAACGACAGAAAAGCAGCTGCTGTCAGTAGATCCAAGCCTCACATCCACAGATGTGTTTCCGTCTGTCTCCAAGGACGTGAAGTATAGTCCAGAGACAACGATCACTGAGAAAGAGACCAGTCCAATCGCGGAGAAGGACGAAGAAAAAGACGAAGCTCCGAACAATGATACACCAGCGGCACTTGTACCAAAGTATCTATCAGGTGCCCAGCTCTGTGTCGTCATCACATGTGTTATTATTGTTGCCTGGTTGATGTTTCTTGACAGCTCTATCATTGTGACCGTGAGAGCACCAATGAGAAAAGGGATACCATCCGTTTGCTAATCATACAATGTATCCTAGGCTATTCCTGCAATCAGTGATGAGTTTCATTCCCTTCAAGATATCGGTTGGTACGGCAGTGCATATCACGTTTCCAATGCCGCGTTCCAGCCGCTCACGGGCAAAATCTACCGCTACTTCAGCTCAAAGGTACGGCTCCGTTGAACCCCCTCAATATGTATCTATACATATATGTACTAACCCATATAGTGGTCCTTTTTCGTCTTCCTGGTCGTATTCGAAATTGGATCTCTGATCTGCGGGGCCGCGCCCTCGTCCCTGATATTGATCGCGGGCAGAGTAATCGCGGGGATCGGTAGTGCTGGCATTATGAGTGGTAGCTTGACAATCATCGCCGGGTCAGTGCCTTTAGAAAAAAGACCTGGTATGATTAACCTTTGCTGCTTTTTTCTGACCAAGCCTTTACTAATTCGTGTTGACTATTAGCCCTGATGGGTCTGGTCATCGGACGTACGTAGAGGCTCTTGACCGCTACACCAGCAGCTAACGTCAAACTAAAGTTGCAAACTCTGGGAGCGTTTGCGGTCGTACGTACACAAAAGTGCCCCCAAAGGCGAAAGCCTCGCCATCAATACTGACTTTGGCATAAAGCTGTTCTTGGCGGAGTCCTGACCGACTATGCCAATTGGCGTTGGAGTAAGATATGGTGTTCATCCGAGTTGAGACGACTCTCGCAGTATCAGCTAAACTCAAACAGCGTTCTACATCAATCTCCCGATAGGAGGCGTCGTCCTTCTGTTTCTGGCATGGTGCCAAATTCCCGATCAGGTGCCGAAACCGAAGCCAATGGCAGTCATCTCGAAAGTGCACACATATCTCGATTTGCCTGGCTTCTTGCTGTGCGCTGGTGCCGCGGTCCTATTTCTCACGGCGCTCGAGCTTGGCGGGAACAAATATGCTTTCCACAGCCTCACGGTAATAGGACTGTTCTGCGGCTCTGCTGTGGCTCTCGCAGCCTTTCTGGTGTGGAATTACCGAAAAGGAGATGACGGGCTGATCCCATCATCAATGGCCGGCAAGAGGCCCGTCTGGTCCGCTGCCGCCACCACCTTCACGCTTGTTGGATCGGCAATGATTCAGATCTACCTGCTTCCGCTCTACTTTCAAGCTGTCCAAGGTGCCACGCCGGTTCAGAGCGGGATCAATGTCCTGCCAAGCATCTTGTCACAACTAGCTTTTGCTTACGGCGGTGGCGTGCTAGGTATGCAAGCCTGCGGAATAATTCCATATGATTTTGAGTTTAGCTAATCTTCCTGTCATCCTCTCAGTCGGTAAGTTTGGGTATTATTTGCCGTGGGCTATTGCCGGCACAGCGGCGACCATCATTGCTAGCGGCCTCTTCACTTCACTCACACCGACAACTTCTGTTGCTCAATGGGTTGGTTATCAAATCATCACTGGCGGTGGACGGGGCATTGTTCTACAACTGGTGAGACTCGCTTATATGGGGGGAGGTTTCCCACTAAAACGAGCCCGACTAACTTGACTGCTCCAAGCCGAGCATTGCTATTCAAGCGAACTTGCCTCCGGAACAGATCTCAATGGGTATGTCACTCGTAATGTTCTCGCAATTTATGGGATCTGCCGTTGCTCTGGCTGTAGGCAACGTGATATTTGTCGGGGCATTGCGGCAAGACCTTTCTAAATTTGCACCGAATGTCGATCCGTTAACGGTGCTCGCGGCCGGAGCTACCGGGTTCCGCAAAGTCGTCGCCCAAAAAGAACTGCCCGGAGTGCTCATGGCATACGTATCGAGCGTCAACAAGGAATTCTACCTGTCCCTCGGGCTGGCTATAGCATCATTCTGCTTTGCGTGGGGCATGGGATGGAGAGACATTCGACCAACAGAGAAATAGTTCGTGGTCAAGGAAAAACAATGACTCGAGCGCATCACCAGTGCCGAGGCTCAGCTCCATGGGCACTGACGTCTCCAAGATTGGAACTTTGAGGTGGCCCTTGCTAGTGGTGAGTGCCGTAGTCAAGCTCTACCAAAAATTTCACTGAAATAATGACAACTCGTAAGCACATCGCTTGAATATTCGTTCCATCTAGCTCGGAGTGGTTCGATACGAGGCCCAGTCACCATGATTCCTTGATTTTTAAGGTTGACCCTAAGGGACTGCTTGCACTCGGACCCGACGGGATATTGCTGGATCGGAGGAGAGAAATTGAGGCTTCAGATGCATCGCTCACCCCGTGCAACTAAGAAAACCACCAGCTTCGTAGTAGTAAGGGGCAATCGGCGGCGTTTTCCGGTCTGATGTATGTAGGTTCGCCCGAAGGAACCAACCGAATTAGGACTGATGCATCGATTCGGGACGAAAAGACGATCAGAGTGTCTGAATGAAGCTAAACTGCATAGTCCACAGCTTGCGACGGTATACGATTAATTGCAGGTCGTTCACGGAGCCTCCGTCTACTTGCGCTACCGGAGCCCAGAACCTCTGGCTGTCCGGAGACGTTGCGGATGTAGGAGGTTGGCTAGTACTCTTGCTGGATTCCTACGTTTTGCTGTATCCGTAGGAATCCAGCCTATCCTATCTCCGAAGCATCAACTTGCAAGCTCGCCAGACTGTCATCCCATGAGCTGATTTGTTTAACGCGATCGCGCATCATCTGATCCCGGCGATGATAGAAAAAAGCTGCGAAAATCATCCACGGGCGTGCTCGTGTAACGCGGTCATATGTAATCCCGCAGATGCTCCGTAATTAGCCTGGAAAGGGGACCCCAACGACTCATTCTCAGGCTTCATCAGTTGACCCGAGTCCCTAGTTGGCTGGAATTGGTACCGCAAAGCAAGCTGAAACAAATCTGAGAGGTTTGCCGCGGGAGCAAAGGTAAATTGGGCTGCCCAATGCGCTCAGGCCGTCTCTCTTCGACTGATGTTAAGTGCACAATAACGCCAGGCTTGACTCGAGGAGCAGCGGCGCGCCCGCAGCGTGACATTGGAAGCATTGGGTCGTGCTTTGCAGACGAAAACGAGAGTCCAATGTTAGAGTTCACGCGATCTGCGGGTTCATCTTGTCGTCCCACAGCTTCTGCTGCTAAGTTTTTGTGTACACACGTGCAGCTTTCAATGATGCCGTGGGGAGCGATATGTCCGAACCCGAAGTCGCATTGGTATCACATTCCAGCCTGTGAGGTGTGTTCACTTTAACGCAACGTTGTTACTGTTGCCCTATGGGTAGAACTTGTCAAGTTGACCCTGTGGTCGTGAACCTCTCAAGGTTACCTCAGGCATGATTCCCTCCCCGGATGCCAAGAGAGAGGCACTAGGTTGTTTCTTAAGCAATCCAAGGCATTTTACTCTGGCCTCCAAGAGCCCCAGCCATGCGTCAACGTCACGTATTCTTGCCACAGCCTGCGGACAAGATTCACGTGCTGCAAGCGCCGAATAAGCGGCAGGAGAAGTCTGCGCTTGCGGACACCAGCAGCCATGGATCACGCGTTCAGCGGCTCGCCGTACCATCCCTGCGATTAATGAATGAATGGCCTATAATAGTCGGGTAGATAGAAACCTTAATTTACTTGCTCGCAACAGGACAGGGCCACCACGGCCACCAATTTGGCGGGGCACACAGGCTCAAGGTGCCGACTCGAGCAGCTCAAACCTGCCGAGACAAAGTTAGGTAGTTGAGGCGTCCAAGTAGGTAGGGCGTTTTGGACTCGCTGTCTTCTGAGCACCAGATACGAAGTATGCTATACGGATACAGTCTTGGCTCTTTTCCTCTTGCCAAGCCACCACGATCGATCTCTTGGTCAAGTCGATCGCCCAATCGCGACCCCATAGGAGAGGCTTTGGCTTGGGGGTTGGGTTGTTTATAGGAAGAGACATGAAGCTGTCAGCAAATGACGCCTGGATGATGATGCATCGTGTGGCAAAATAGGTAACAAAACATGGCATGATGGTGCGAGGAGTTGCAAATGTTCGGTAATTACTATTCAATCAAAGCATGCTTTCTGACACGATGAGAAAGCCTCACCGGGCCACACCACCTTTGTGAGGCGGTGGGCCCCAATTCCAAAGAGAGTTTGCATAGCACTCATCAAGGTTGCAAAGCCCTGGGAACTCGTCAGAACTCTGAGGTCCGAGCTAGCGGAACGCGATCCCACTCAACAGGTAAACCTGCACACCCACCCACTTATCGAATGATTGGCACCTTTTCCAGAGTTGCGGTAAAGCTAATGTCTACCATGTGGAATTCGCAGTCCTCACAGTCAGACCTGTGCTGAATCGACAATGTCATACGTGAGAAGTTTCCTTGAAACCTTAAAAAAAATAAGAAAACAACATTACGCATGAGAGCCATTCCCCAAAGAGGGAGGGTAGGTTCAACCGAGACATCTCATCTAGATCTGACGTGTCCCCCGCGCCCCTTGCAAGACGCCAGAACCCTGACATGAGTCGAACGGCCCAGGTAAGTTGGTGTGGCTAAGAGAAAATCTTGGCAGAATTGCCTTATTTCGAATAGTACGCAAGTCGCGAGAACAAAGTCATATAAACTTCGGCCGTTGCCACCCGGCGCATCTGATCGCATTCGTTCCTTCGTCCTTGTTGTGCATCTACATGAACCTTTTGCCATCATGTTGTTCTCTCAAAGAAGTGCCTGCGATCGCTGCCGAGCTCTCAAGAGCCGCTGCTCCAGAGAGTCTGGAGCGGCCAAGTGCGAAAGATGCCAACGACTCCAGATTGACTGTTTCTATAGTCCTCCGCGGCGGATGGGACGGCCGGCCAAGAAGCGCTTGCACCAGGAAAGCGCCCAGTTGACCCCGTCAACCACATTCCGACGATCATCGACAATGTCCAGTAGCACCACGATCCAAACAATGACAAGCCCATCCGAAGTGGTTCCATCCAACGTCAACGACGCGAGCGACTTTCAATACGGATTAGGGGTCGTACCGAGCCATCCGGAGGAAGACGGAGCTTGGACTGGCAACTTTCAAGATCCTTTGCTTGAACTTTTGCAGAGCAACGGCACGAAGCTGATGTCTACGGAATGGATGGACACAGATACGTTGGGATTCTTGGCCCATCAAGACGAAAGTCTTCTGGCGCAACCCCACGACATGCCTCTCACGCCTCCAACAACGATAGGCTCTTTACCCAATACCACAGAGGACAGCTGGATACCAAGTTGTGATCACCCATCCGAATTTGGCCACGCCGAGTCCTTCGCCGGTGATACTCTTCCGCCGTCGCCAGAAACAACTATAAGGTCATCCGAGTCGGCAGCTCAGCGACTCATCGATCTTCAGTCTCTCCTATTCTCGAGGCACCTAATGGGGGCACAGGATGTAGACGGGCTTTCGGCACTCATCAACAAAACCGTGCACTCGACGGAAACTCTCATTGAGATTCTGGAGAGCTTACCGCAGCTGAGGCCGAGCGTGGAAGGACGACGATCTACCTCACCGCCATCCTACTGTGCAGCAGCAACCGATACTTCCGGCTTCGCCACCGATTCATTATTAGCACAGCACCCGGAAGAGACACAGCAGCACCCACCAAACCTCACACTCATTATCTCTCTTTTTATGACAAATTATCTTCTTCTTTTGGATTCATACGAAGAACTTCTCGGCGCCCTTAGGAGTTGTCTACAGTGTTCACGACAGAGCCAGGGGCCGAGTCCTGGCAGCGAGTTTAGCCTTGTACAGCCATTCCTGGGCAGCAATACCCCCGGCGGGAATTTCAGCAAGTTCAACGTTTTCAGCTCGTTTGACTTGGATGTCAACTCGGTTGTGTTCTTGTTGTCACGAATGATGAAGAGACTGCAGAAATCTACGGAAAGCCGCTTCGCTGCGGTTTCCATGACACCACCTGCTGTTGGCCAATCCCAAAGGCAGGGGCTCCCGGTCTCAGCTACGTCCCACAACTTTGACTTCCAAGACGGGATAGGCCAGGATAGGGACGGGTGTTCGGATACGTCAGGGTCTTATTCTCCGATGGCTTTGATGGGGCATTACGCGCTGCGGGAAGTGAGCCAGAAGCACCAGAGCGTGATGGAGTCGCTCCGAGTCGTCGGGTGGCTTGCGGATGAATTATGATAGAGCCTGTACAACAGATGTAGACGCATTTGTGAAACTAAAGTTAAAGATACATCAATTGAATAAGCGACAGCCACATGAGTCGTTTAAGACTGCAGATCAAGCTTCGTTGACCAACGACTTTCGACTAATATCCACACTTGCCAAGCTCGTTCTCGGATTTTGAATCCCGTCCCCGGGGTTAATGATCATCCCGTCATGTGGGATTTTCTCCGGGAAAGCCGTTGCAAGATCCGAAGCCGTGTGCCATTGATCATCTGGTTTAACAAATTTCCCAAACATTTGGAATTTCATCCCATCAGAGCCAAACTTTCACACTCGACTTCGGGCGACACCTCACGTCTCTTCCGAGACGCTGCCTCGGTGCGGGTAGTGGCCAATGCTTCCAGACGAGGAGCCACACCCAGCGCGCTGCTTTGAAGGCAAGACTGGAATGCCTGTCTGCAACAATGGTTGTGACATTGACGCCCGCTGGGGGGGCGGCGGTCATCTTACGTTGTCACCACGTCACTTGCTTAGGTTGAAAGTGATACTTCTCAAGGAGTTCGGATCATGGAACTTTCACCGAGATGAAAACTGTGTTCGGCGCTTTAGCTCACCAGAGCTGGTTCATGATGAGACCATCAAACCTACGCAGGCCTTGAGCCGAACTTTGTCTCGTCTCATTCGGCTAATCACTTCCATTAAGTAGATCGGCATTCAATGCATCAGAGACGTGATCATTGCGCACAGACTTTTCAAGTTGTTGCTGTTGTATTATTTTACGCCGGTAAGTCCCGTAGGTAAAGGGCGTTCGCATCTTCATCAAGCTGAAATATCTTTCTAAATACCTTACAAAAATCATTGCTGCCAAAATATTCCACCTTGCTGATAATGAATACTGTATTGATTCCCTGTGCTGAATGTAAATAGACTTTTCAAATGTGTGTAAGAAAGAACACGTACACCTAATACCTCTATCCATCTACCGGCTTCATCTTCTCTATTGACGGCCATAAGTGATGCAATAGAGAGATATTTCTCAGCACATTGTTCTCTTAAACGTGACAATTTGTATCAATGTTGCTCATAACCTCAAGTCTAAGCCTTAGGTTGCTCGTAGCTCGATTGCACCTGAAAAGCGAAATATCAATTCGAGAGCAGCGGTCTTGATGAAATGTGTATCTCTTGCATATTGGCTGACACATCACTGCTTGTGACGTTTTACTTCTGGGGCCTCTAACCATTTCAGACGGTTCTTTTGTCCTGAGTTGTATGGTTCCAGTGTGACCTGTGAGCAGTCTGAGTATTTCACTTTGCATAAGGTTGACTGAGACTTACAGACACAACTAGCAACGGCAAACCCGCAGCTTGATGCCCTCTATTTCAGTCTTTGTTTGGTACACATACTGAGTAGAGAAATGCCTTGTTGATGCAATTCTTCGACCTTGATGTAGAAGCACTTACGTCAACTCATGACTTGATCAAGTCCCTCAAATTTCCACTTCTGTCGACATCAACAGCCTAGCGTCCACATAGCACTTCTAGCCCCCAGCGCAAACTAAATGCCCACCTTACATCTCCCGGTGCAGCGCCGAGCCTCACAAAAACCTATTCCTGCAAAATTTTCTGGCATTGAACTATAGATGTGGTATTAGCATTTGAGGATTCAGAGTGTCCCGCAGCGTTACATTCGGTTTCCGGCGTGGAGGACTTGGGCTTATCTAGAAAGCTTGGCTCTCTTGGCTCGGCCACCTAAATCTCTTGTCTCCTTCCAAATCCATACTGGGCCATATTTTACAGACCGGTAGAAGGCGGGGTATCAACCCTAAGAGCAACGAGGTTTTTTTGGTGTCGAGAGTTGTCAAAAACGCGGAGATAACCTTTGGCCTGAATAGCTCTGTGGAGTATGCTCAGATGCTCGCCGACACCGCTATCTGCCAAGAGGTTCGTTTCCTGCCTGTTCAGGAAACGGGGGCAGACTTGAGAACCACTGAATGATGTGACAGAAAGATAGAGAATCTATATATTACAAGTCCGTGTCACCTTGAAGCCCTCGGCCGGAATTGGTTTGATCGAATCTCTCTCCAGTCCAGGGTTACTGCTCCACATCCTCGACTTTGAGCATTCCAAGAGCCTCATCCCAGCCACGTTGAACCCGTCGTAGCAAAGCAAAGGGTCACATCGCTGTCTCCGTGCACCATGCATCTCGTCTCGTTTACTAGGGTCGTTGCTCTAACGGCAGCTGTCGTTCATGGAAGGGAACTTCCCAAGGACGAGGCTCGCGCTGCTGGTAAGGATATTAGTCGAATCATACTAGCGGAGGTTCCTGACATTGAGTAGAACTCTATGATTCTGGTGTCATACACGACAGACTCATGTCGGCGAAGATTGTAGGCAACATATTGTTACGAGATGTCATCGGGCTACGAACTGACAATATTATCTAGGCACACTGGGAAGCCGAAGAAGCGGTCGGCCTCATGAACTCATCTCAGTGGCCTAGACTAGGCTACACTAAGTGTGTCGATGGCTACGCTGAGGCTATTCCGGATAGCCCATTACACAACTTCAAATGCAAAAATGTAGGTTCTCTTGGTCGCGACGTCGACGGATGTTTGCTTTGTGAAAAACGTAGTGACATTGCGTCGATTTAGATGGATCTTTATGACTTCATCAACCACGCGGAACTAGGATCATCGAATGCCGATTACCGCGGCAAGAGTGGGAGCTCTTCCTGGGGATGGACTGATCCAGATTCTGGCCGTGAGTTCATTGGTGAGCACGGCCCCAACCTATCACCGATTACCCTTCTTTTTTGGCTGACTCTGTCATCAAAGTAAGCGGCATGTTTGATGGGTGCGCTTTTATCGAGATTCTGCCCGAGGGCAAGATGCTCAACCTTGGATTCTTGTGAGACCCCCCGAGCTTCACAAATATGGCGAATAACACCCCATAACTAATCCTGTGCGATGTCAGACCTACGTACTCGCCCGTTGGCAATAGGGCATACTGGCATGAGATTCGTCCGTATCATAACTATATGCTCATTGGCTCTGAACTCGAGGGGCATGGCATCCAAATCTTTGACATGAAAAAGGTAAGAAGTTGTTCCAGATCATGAGGGCAACTGATATTTACTCGTATCATTAGCTTTTGGATATTGATCCCATCGAAGCAACCGTTTTGTTCACCAACGAGAATGACTTGACCGGACATTTCATCGAGTCTCTCCCATTGGGTCGCAGCCATAATGTTGTTGTCAATGAGGAGGCCAAGTACGCAGTTGCTGTCGGTGTCCAGCCTCGCGCGGAGGGCTGCATGGGCGGTCTACACTTTTTCAGTCTCGAGGACCCTGGTAACCCTGTCGCCCTGGGTTGTGATGGTCAGGATGGTTATGTCCATGACGTAAGTCTCCATTTTTACCCAAGGATAATTCCCAATCTGTCTACTTGTCGACTAATGGAAGTGAGTTCAGGCGCAATGTCTTATCTACAGAGGCCCTGATGCCAAGTACCAGGGCCGTGACATCTGCTATGGATACAACGAAGACACATTGACTATTTATGATGTTTCTGACAAGAAGAATTCCAAGATAATTTCCCGCACGAGCTATGAGGGTGCAACTTTCACGCACCAGGGCTGGGTCAATGACGTAAATTGGCAAGGTAAGGTGCTCCAGGCTGTCACAAGGAAAGGGAACACGGCTAACATCCTGATAGAATGGCTCTTCATGGATGACGAGTACGATGAGGATGATCTCGCGGGCCCTGCTGCTGATGGGTACCCCGTCACGTACATTTGGGACATTCGATCTCTTGAAGCCCCGAAGCAAACTGGTCTATTCAAACACACAGTGAAGGGGATCGATCACAACCAATATGTTGTTGGCAACTTGCTTCTTCAATCAAACTACGGCGCCGGTGTCCGAGTATGGGATATTTCGTCTGTACCCGCAGATCCTACTGGAGGAAGCGTGTGCGAAATCGCCTATTTTGACATATATCCCGAGGATGACTCCCTCCCTGGAGGCGGTGCCATCCAGTTCTCCGGAACATGGTCATCCTACGCCTACTTCAAGTCGGGCTTCATTTTCGTCAATACAATCGAGCGCGGGGCGTACTTGGTCAAAATGACAAAGAAAGAAGCCTGCAAGCCCAAGACTTGTACTGCGGATAACTGTCTGCGTGCCCTCAGAGCTTCCAGCGTTCCTCGTCGGTTGGAGGAAAGTGAGAAGTTCTGTGGCGAGTTCACAAAGAATGTTATCGCCGACGTTACGGTTGTCCCCGCGTATGCTTCCGTGGCATGCCCGACTAATGTCATCTCGCGCGTGAGCTCGGCGTGCGCGTGCTTGCCAACACCCACCGCCTGAGCGAGCAACACGTCACGATCAAGCAAATAATAGAAGTTTTAGCAGTGCCCAGCATGCAATTCTTGCAAAAAAATGGTCATTTCTGGCAGAGATCACGAAAGCTGTTGACAGTTCCACACTTCGGCACCATGATGAGGAATCTTCTCCATGAGGGCCGGCGAGGGGCCGATCTTCGCTACCGAAGATCAGAGTGCAAGTCACCAAAAGGCGTAGAGGCAGAGATCTAAGAGAGTGTGCAGACTAATCGCGGTTTCACTATGAGAGATAATGGCGACTAATCACCGGCAATGAGAAGTTTTATTGGTGAAAGTACGAAGATTTTGGGATATGTAGGAACTGAACATCAATGCCGATTCTACATGCAAATTCTAGGGCAGCCGATGCCACGAGAAAAGCTCAATGGTCACCTGTAGCGCAACGCTTACTTATGCATGTTGGGACCCTGATCGATTAGCTATTCCAAACAAAGACTGATGCGCTTAGCAAGAGAAGGCAGCATCAGTTGAAGCAGCGGTGGAGGTGGAGGCAGCGGAAGAAGCGCCGGCGGGCGTAGATCCAGCGGGAGCAGTGCCGTTGGGGGGAGAGCCGCCAGAGTTGGAGTGGGTGACACCACCCTCAGCATAGAGTGAAGCGGCGGGGGTGATGGTCTGGGCCTGGGTGGTGTTGATACCGAAGGCCATCCAGGCGAAGAGGCCGTCAGTGACGCTGTTGCCAAGAAGGGTGTACTCCATGACAGGGTCGACGCCATTGGTGGCAGCCTCCTCGCTCAAGATGGAGTCGTCGGCATTGGTGGTGAGGTCCTGGGTGTTGGTGTTGTAAGGGGCAATAGCCTCAACAGCAGAGATGAGCTCCTGGTCAAAGAAGGCCTGGCCGACATGGGAGGCAATGATGACGTTGCCGAGGGTGTTGTTGGAGTAGAGAGTGGCATTCCGGTGCACCATCACGTGGATGTGGGTGGCGCGGGAGGTGTAGTGGCCGGGGAAGATGGACTCGAACTGAGCAACACCGTCAGAGTCGGTCGTCTGGATGCCGCGGAGCCAAGTCTTGTCGATTTTGGTCTCATCGGAAGAGTCTCCGTTGCCAGAAGCAATGATGCCGGAGTAGACACCGGTGGAGTTGCAGTGCCACATCTCGAGGTAGACGTTCGGGACGGGCTCGCAGGTGTCAACGTCGATGACCTGGTAGTCAAGGACAATGTCGACACCCTCCTGCTCCTCGATGATGTTGCGGCGGACATACTCGCCAGAGACGTCTAAGGAAACCTATTAGCAACTGGTTGTAGCGGAAGTGTATTTTTTTCTTAGGTGCTGGCTTACAGTAAGGGCCTTGGGTAACCTCAGGGGTCAAGACGCAAGAGTTGTTGCCGGAAAAGAGAGAAGAGTTGTCAGTGTTCAGGGTGTAGTTGAGTTCGGTCGAGTTGTGGCTCGCGGCGAGGACGGATTCAGTATCACGCTTAATGTTGCGCTTCTTTCGGGCCTGGTGGACCTGAGCGGAGCGGGGGGCGATGTTGCGGGCAGTGACACTGCGAGTGGCGAGTTTGTCGGCGCAGTGAGCCAAGTTGGAACGCTTGACGGTGCTCAAAAAAGCGCGACGCTCGGCAATCTCCTCCGTGAGATCGTGGCCCGGGTGGCCAACGGCGCTGGAAAGAAGGGTGAGGCCCGAGGCGACGGTGGAGAAACGCATGGAGGCGGTTGTTGGGGGAGCTGGGGGTGAGAAGCCTGCTGAAAGACGTGTTTATACGATTTCTCGAATTGAACGAGAGGGTTTGTTGGAAGTAAAAACGAGAGGGGTGTTGGTAAAGAGAGAATGTGATGCAACTAAGGAGTTTCTTCTTAGTTCTTGGTGGCTTCGACCTTGGGTTATTGTACTCGACGAGATGGTATCCTGTCTCCATGTATAGTCAACCACCCTCTCCCACTAACCGCGTCAGTGCCATAATGGTAGTTCGTCGCAAGAGATCAAACGGTGGAGCTCGACTCAACATACGGTACTCATCACCACAAGTCTCGTTGACTCGTGAGGCGAGGACGGCGGCTCCGGGAGGCCTCGATTGCGTGGGCTCCCGTTGCGGCTACGGAATAAGCATAGAGAAGACACCCCAGTCTCAGGCCCAGGCAACGTCCACATTCCTTCTGAACCTCGATGGTATCACCGGTAGGTGAGATAGTATTGGACAACGGCTAAGACAATCTCACAGGAGTATAGACCATCGTCAAATGTTTCTAGGTACAGCACCTTGGCAGGGGCTTATTCTCTCACTTTGGGGTAGTGACCAGTGACGTCTTGGGCATAACAAACCAGCCCCGGGCACATCTCCACATGGTCTAATTTTGCCTTCCTCTTGTCCCGGCTCGTATCACTGTTTCTCAGTGACTGTTGGGATCGCTTTCCCAAGTCTGAGCATGCGGACGTGGCCCTACGCGCAAGCATTTGGGAGACGGTGGAGTCTGGATTGTGGTTTAAGCCTCCCTTCTTGCGTTTCGATGGAGCTCCCTCCCAAATACCGTGGCAAACTCTCCCCGCTCTTGGGAAAATTCCCCGTCGGAGCGCGTCTACGCGTCACGCATTCATTGTCCATCCGACGTTGACTTGTTGTTTAACTGACGCTGTAAGGATATACTTCGATACAGCATGTGCTTCCTGTCCTCGGGTTGTCTTCCCAGAACCCCCCCCCCCCTGACACGTTTAAAATTCGTCACTTTTAACTCTGAGTATCAACGCACCAGCCCGCGTAGTTCAAATTATCTGCCCAATGGGATTATCCGTCTGCGAAAAGTATTTTATCTCGAGAGGGTGGCTGTGCCCGGGCCGCAGGAAGAGTACATGTATCCTCTAGAAAGACTAGCCGACGTTCAGGCTTGACATGCTTGCACATCTGTTCGCAGATTGCGGTGTTTGAACGTGGTGAATAGTCTCAATTGTATCAGCTTGGATCGTGTAGGCGGCTGGAGTCCCGGACCAGCTGCCTTTAAAGCAAGCATTCTGCGAGTATTCCGTTGGACTTGACGCTTCGGAGCCTCCATACATGTACTCTTAGCCACTTCGCATGCTCAAGGTGAGAGAGCATAGCGGAAGATCAAGGCTCCAAGGATCCGTCATCACGGTCGCCCAAGGTTCTTGGATATCCTATGCTACCTTAGTTGTCATATCGAAAAATCATGCACCACGCCGTGCAGCTCGGAGTGGTTGAAAGAAAGTCGTAAACGGAACATAACTGTCGTCTGTTTCATCCCGTCTTCCCTTCGATCATGCGGTCCGAACTACCAGATGATAGCCAGGTTTGCATGTTTCCTGAACGCGCGTAAACTTACGGAGAACTTGATTCTAGTAACCATTGATGAAGTAGTGACGGGTCGGGCCACTACTATCACAAAGATTCCCTGGGTCAAGACTGTGCTGGCGAAGCATTTCACAGGCAAGCAGCCAATGAACCTGATGCAAATATCAGCTTGGCCGGTGACTTGTCATCTAAACCTTCGACTTTCCCTGTTCTAAGCCCCTTGTTCACAGCCTAGTTGACTTTTTTCATCTTGACAGAACGGTCAAGGACGGTTGATCGGCTGGCTTCCACAGCTGGTTGGCGAGGAACATAGCATTCCATTCAATGGCAAACGTGGTATTGCCAAACCGTCAGCTCCCCACGCAAGTTGGACACCTGCCGATTGCCTTCCTTGAAATTGAGATACAAGCATATGCCGAAGGGAGGCGGGAGGCTCTCGACGGGGTGTGGACGGCCACAACCACATGCACCTACGGGCTGCCTCCATGTAGACTATTTCCCCAGAGGAATCTGAAAAGCGCAATCGCGATCCCTGATCCGAAGATTGCGTCACAAGAAACTCCACTTTATACCATCCTACGATCTCCGGACACATTCACGGTCTCCAGTGAAGTGACCAGTCTCTATTCACTGCCTGCCAGATATCGTGTCATAAGGTAGCTCATCGTCAAATATAGAAGAGAGTACTTTGACGAGGATCTTGGGCCGGCCACCCAAACCTACGCTTTGCTTGGCAACTTGACAATGCTCATCCTTACTCTCTGGTCGAAACCTCTGCCGTTTACTGTTATTCTGTCCAGATATCGGGGACTTCTGGTCCCGACGAGGGACGAGTCACCCAATCAACCGGAGAAGTCTCAGTGACGTACTCCCCGTACCACTGTTGGTTGCAAAGCCCCCGAAAATATTGAGTGTTGGTACATTGGAAGAGTTAAGGATTGGAGCAACAAAGTGTGCAAACCACAAGGATTCGACGGGAAGAAGAGGTGGGAACACAGGCTACGTACCCAGCGCCTAAGCCAAGCCATCATGCGCTCCGCTCCGTTGATCGGCGCTGACGCTCAAGGCCTAACGTGCCCAACGTTGACGTGTGTCGCCATTGGAACTTCTCCCTATTTCATCACCCTCGGCCGAACAGCGACTTACGACTGACTCTGACAGAAGGGCACTTTCATTTCAGCAATCGTCATGGCGGAGCCACGAGTAAACAATGACGATCAGGTCCAACCATTGTCTTTGATACAGTCGGCCGGTGGGCAGTCCCTTGTACGCCAGCTCTTAGAGATCCAGACGGCTACTATCGAGCAATCAAAATCACTCCATTTCATCCAGAACCTCGATTGTTTGTACCTTGACAAAAGCCGAAAGCGCCACCCTGAAACCCGTGATTCGGCATCTCAAGATAATAGCCCCGTGTGGCTTCGCGAACGAGGCCTGAATGCCTTATCATCCGACCTTAAATATATGGCCGTGTCGTGGACATGGGGCATTTCAGAACCTTATGAAGACTCTGCCGCGGGCAGACACCTTGTCCAGCCCCCTGACGGTAGCCCTAATCAACAGTCTGAAGTTCGAGACCGGGTCTTCGACCGTATACAGCGATACCTGGAAGCCCAGCCTGACTTACGCTACGTATGGTTGGATAGGCACTGCATCTGCCAGGAACCGGGTCCGGAGAAGACTCGAGGCATGCAGGCGATGGATTTGGTCTACAAGCTCAGCAGTCACCATGTTGCTCTACTTGCACGGCCAATATCCCGAGAAGAGCTTGGCCTTCTCGCCGACGTTCTTCGTGGCAATCTTGTGTCCGAACAGCCTACTGGGGAGTTTCGTCTGAGGCCCATCACAGAAAATGCTCTCGACAGACTTCACAAAGCTCTGGTCCTTCTTGAGGCCATAACCTCCGATCTGTGGTGGACAAGAGCATGGACTTTCCAAGAGAACTATCGCAGCAAGGATAAGATGACACTGCTCATTCCTCATCCTAGGGATATTGACATGGAGAAGGACAAGAGACATGACAGCAAACTTTTTGGCGAAATCGTTGGGGAAGTATCGATCTCATCTGACCTTTTCGAGAAACAATTCACAAAGCTTCCAAGCATGCATGGCAACGAAACGGCAACATGGCGTTCTCGATCTGTACGGTTTTGCCGAAAAAATCCTCAAAAGAGCCCCCAGTTACGAAGTCCTCTTACGGGAGACAATGCCCGATGGGCAATATTCAGCCCGCTGGTCACAATCTCCGAGGATCATCAAGGACATCGAGTCACGCGGAAGCAAGTTCTGCGTGGACAGATTGGCCATAGTCGCAAATTGCTGCCAGTACTCTATTAGGCTAGATGACGCCAAATTGCGGCGAGGACCACACAGCATGAGTCTGTCCATGCTCGCCCTGTATCTTTTGAATGGGGAGATTATGGAAATCAGAGTCATGGAGGATCGGAAGGTGATGAGATGTCGAGGTGAAACCGTGGCCGGATTCATCTTAGATCAGTCCTTTGATGGCTTCTGTCCACCTCTGCAGCTGTTGCAGCGCCCTCTTGTCTACAACAATAGTTGCCGATTCATCAACGTCCGGCTAACCGAAGAGGGGCTGCAGACTTCAGGTCACGTTTGGAAGCTCTATCAAGTCATACCAACGGAGCAATTCGCTCTCCAACCTTCAATAGATCGAAGACATCATAGTCTAAGGGACCGCCGAAGGCACGTCATTAAGCGGCTTGCGGATCTGCGAGATGTCCTCGACGAGCTCAGACGTAAACCACTGGTGCGAAAGCTGGACCAATTTCTCGATACGGCTATACGATCCAGGGAAGGAGGTTCCTTTTCCGAAAAGTACATGTGGACAATGGCCAAGATGATTGTTGCGGCAATGGATGCGCAGAAGCCGCTCGTGCTCGGCGGTCTACTCGAGCTCGGCGGTCTGCTCGACGACCAGCGCTTTCCCTACACCGGTATCTTCGTGCTGGAAGATCTTGAAGAAGAAGAAGAGGAAGAAGAAGAAGATGATGTGGTATATTGGGACCGAGATGACTATGTAGACGCAGGTTACGACGTACATGGTCTTTGTTTCTTCCAGGGACACCCTCGTCGATCGGTAGTGTTCCCATGGCATCCTGCGTTGAAAGAAGGCGTTGGAATGTGAACACCACATGTACCCTGAATATGGACCATGTCCAAGTATGACGACCATCGGCCAGTTAAACTTGCGTTGGAAGTTATGAGATATGTACATAACCTCAGCTTGGCCGGCACACTTATATATCACGAAATGTTTGATTGCTTTTACTCTCAGCCTTGCTGTCCACTGTCTTCATGAATTGTGGCTTCAGCGAGCCTGATCAATTGGACAATCTCCTGAAATCTTTAGACGAAGCACTTCGCGTTGCTCGCTGGACGATGCTGTCGCGATATCATTTGCATGAGACGGCTTTCGTTTGCACAGCTCCCTCCGCTGCAATTCCGAGAACGTAGAATATTTCTAACATCCAGTTCTAAGACGAAGAGTCCAAGTCAAGACTCATTCACACCCACCCGGGCTATCTTCTGTAGCGGCCATCAGTCGAAGGCTCAAGTCTGCATGGTACACATCCCCGATGCTTTGGCCTTCCCCGACGGCCAATACTCCAGATTACGCATGGGCTTTGACTAGCTCAAGGTGGCACCTATCCAAGCATGCTCAGCGGGAGACACGTTTCTGGTGCCTCTGCGGCGGTTAAAAGAGGGACAACGGAAGCGCGGGATCTTAGGATCCCCCCGCAGTGACAAGCCCCAGGGATGTTCCAGCTTGACTTGCCGAAGCGGCATCCCCGTGAGACCGCTGGGGAGCACCCGTCAACGGAGTGTTGTCGGCTGCGTGAGTGTGCTTGTCCTCGCCTGTGGGCCAGCGTGGCAGGTAAATATACCCTGGGTGCCTGGTCGGGAAGTTCGGTGTTGCGATGCGACTCGGGACGTCTACGACATGCTGTGATTGTCTGTCAGTCAACTTGGCGAGAATGACAATGACGAATTGACTCGACTGACTGGACAACTGGAGACATCGAAGGTACTTCAAGAGTGGGCGACGAGACCTCGGATGGTTTGTGCAACGATCCTCGACACTGGCACCAAGTAACCCAAAATAACTTACGGCGAAGCGAGACCGGTCGGTCACGATAATGGCCACACCGAGGACGAAGAAGCCGGTTCCCCCGTGGATAGAGAATACGTACCCGCATGTCGAACACAGTCTGATATCGTTCCCCCGAAAACACATCTTTCTTGTGACGATCAACCGGCCGGAGCCGATGAACTGTCTTCCCGTCGAGGCAACAATCGAACTCGGTGCACTTTGGAAATGGTATGACGCCGAGCCGGAACCAGGGCCTTTTGCACCAGCATTGATTTGAAGCAATGATTGGACATAGTCAAAATAAAGGATGTGGCCTTCGACCATCCACGGGGTCAATTTGCGGGCATGAGCAATCGAACGGGAAGACAACCAATCACTGTCGCATGTAACGGCCATGCTAACGGTAAGCTCGCGACTTGAACGAACCAGAAGAGACCAGCGGCAGATGCTCACCCAACACTAATGTGGCATGCAGACGGTGGCTTTGAGGCTATTCTCAACGCAGACGTTATCTTCGCTTCACCAAATGCGACCTTTCGTCTCCCCGAAGTCCTCCGCGGTGTCTCTGCTCTCACAGGCGCATTGACCCGGTGTATGATGCTCTTCGGCAACCACCGGACGATAGACCTCGCACTCACAGGCCGGATCATGTCGGTGGATGAGGCGCATACTTGGGAGTTGGTCAAGGAGATTGCAACGCAGGAGAAGCTGCTCGAGAGAGCACTTGACTATGCTCGTCTGATCGTTGCATTGAGTCTTGACAGCGTTATTATCTCGCGATTGGAGGCGCGTGAAGCATGGGAGACTGGCGTTAGCCGAGCGACTATGCGCGGACAGGAGCTGTGGGCCGAAGCGATGCTCAGGAGCAAAAATACGACGGAGGGACTGGCGGCATATCGTGAGAAGAGGGACTCAAAGTGGTTTCTATCGCATTTATAGGCTCGCAACTAACTAGATTCTATGCAAATCCCTAGTAGCTAACAAAACTTTAGTTGATATACCTGGACCTGAGGAGAAGAGTCAAATCAGATGAGAACCAGCGTCGATGGTTTAGTGGTAAAATTCTCCGTTGCCATCCAGCAGCGTCGGGGAGCCGGGGGTTCGATTCCCCCTCGACGCATTCATTTTGTTTTGCCATCGACTGGAAGCCACAGACGTTCTTTTTGGATGCTGTCACGAGATATCAACATGGAGGTTTCCCGGCACAAAGCCGAGGTTATGTTCCGTGCCCTTCAGCAAACCCTTGCACCCCGTTTTGCTGGCTGGCATTACCTGGCATGCTGACGAACAACCCGCCTCTGCAGGGGCAGTCCTCAACCTGTTGGCCAGTGTCATCGTTTTCTTCCTTTGAAAGTATACCCCTTCGAAGAAAGAGTCTTTGCGCCTCTTTTGACTCAAAGACTGATAAGACAGCCGGTATTGCAGCGGCATAGATAGATTGGCCTCATTTCGCGACTGAGTCCGAGTTTGGACGAAGATGGTACATGACGCAAACTCTGCCTCAAATCCAAAGTCGCTCTCTCCTTGCCGACAGCCGTATCCGACCTTCCGCATACGCAACATCAATGTCATACCTTTGGTTTCGCTTGCAAAATCTTGGCGTATCCGTTGGATCTGACTGATCGTTAGCTTCCTGTCTCACTACTTGTCATTTGGGTGCAGAATATGGCACCATGTGCGAACTTACAGAGCGATTCGCCCGTCGTCCTGGACAACTGTCTCAAAGACAACATCATCCATTCCGCCTCCGCTCTTGACAACCCACATGCGCGTCTCGAGAGTTTCTCCGGGATAAACGACGCTCTTGAACCTGGCCCCATAGGCTTTGAATCGACTTGGGTCGCTGCCGCCCAGCTACTGCAGCAAACCATGTGCGGCCATGTTCCAGGTGCCCAGGCCTTGTAGGATGGACCCCTTGAATCCGGCGCGCTGCCCAAACGCCTCGTTCGCGTGGAGGGAGCTGTAGTCTCCGCAGAGGCGGTACAGGAGGGCCGCCTCCGGAGTGGCCTTGATGATGTGCACGGCATCCGGGGCGCGCTCCGGCGCTTTCACGGCCGGCTTCGTCGGGCCTCGGGGTCCGTTGTAGCCGCCTTTTCCTATGCCGAATGCGGTAGATGTCATTGTGGTGTAGGTTGTATCGGTCTTCTTATCGACCAAGAGCTGCTCTGCTTGTTCATTGGCAAGAGCTCGTTAATCCGACAGGGTGTTTGAGCCCAAAACTCAAAAGGGATGCATCAACCATCATGACGATGAGGACATACGCATCCAAGTCTATCGATGTTCCTCGCCATCGAAATCTTACCGAGCTGATTCACACGAACGCGAGCTCCATTCCAGAGTCTCATGTCATCGCCGCCGATAGTCTTACGAACCGGAGCATCACTCTCGGCGAGCTACGGAGCCATGTAGGACGGATTGCAAAAGGTCTCGCGGATAAGCCGAGTCCGCCGGATCAAGCACGATGGGTAATTGTGTTACCCAACTGTTTCGAGTTCCTCGAGGTCTTTCATGCCATCTTATGGACAGGCGGGGTCGTGTGTCCCGTCAATCATGCCCTCAAGGCAACTGAAATCGGCCATGGAATCGCGGTCTCGAGACCGCAATTTGTTGTGGCATATAGCTCGATATCAGGAACAATACAGGAGGCCGTCGATATGGCAGCAAGAGAGCTGCTAGGTAAAGGGGTATCATGGAGACCACCACCGATTCTATCCATCGTGGAACGGAGCAAGCAAGCGAAACATATAGCGAATGACCTCCTGGCGTCAAGTCAGCTGTCCATACCACACTGGCCAGACACATCAAGACGACTGGCCTCAATACACCTCTCATCCAGAACCACAGGGAAACCAAAGGCGTCGAACTGACACATTACAACTTCGTTGCCAGCGTCATGCAACTCATCGCCCTCGACCCCAAAGGCCAAATGTTCAACTCGGCAAATAGAACCGTCATATTCACGCCCTGGGCTCACATTGCCATGACGGCAGCGCTCCTCTTCCTCGGTCCGTACACCGGTAGATTTCACCACGCGATGCCGCAGTACAGCATCAAGAGTTTGGCAGGCTCGTGGGCTCTGCGCAGGCCAACATGTTCCAGGGCGTCCCGAGCATGGTGCTCAGGCTGACCAAATCGGATCTGACGGAGCGGTACGACTTTTCCAAGGCGCAAGTCATCAATATTGGTGGCACTCTGCCAAATCCGGTGCAGCTCTCGAGACCACTAAGCCGGGCGCCGTGGAGGCTTATTCAGGTGTGTGGGATGACGGAGGCGGCTGCATATGTAGCCTACCAGGAGTTTGACAAAGTCGTTCCTGATGGCTGTACTGGGAAGCTTCTGCCTGATATCGAAGCGGCTCTGCAGAAAGAGGGAACAACTGAAGATACGCTTTTGGGCGGTCCTGGAGAGTTGTGGAGAGTTGCGGCTTCGGGGCCTAAACATCACACGCGAATATGCGTTGAACCCAGGCGCGCTCAAGGAAGCGTTTCCCGTCGAGGGTTGATACAACACCGGAGACGTGTGCCGTATATATGAGCAGGGACGGCTGTCAATCGTCGGGCGCACAAAGGAGTTGATCAAGTACAAGGGCTTCTAGATGATCTCGATGGAACTCGAGCAGATTGTCAACTCTCATCCCCTCGTGAGGGAGTCTGGCGTCGGGGCTCTCTGGGATGAGAGCCAGTTGACGGAGGTCCCTACTGCCTGGGTTGTCTTTCAGGAGCACGACGGGAGCAACTTGAAGAGAGGCGAGATCGTTGGAGCTTTGAAGGAGATTCAGAAGGCTGTAGACGAACAGGTCAGCGGGTACAAGAAGCTTAGAGGCGGTCTTTGGGTTGTTGACAAGCTTCTGAGGAACGCAACTGGGAAGATCTTGAGGAGAGACTTGGTGCGGGCAACTGAAGGTTTGTGTTATTCAGAGGAAGGCAACAAATTCTGGGCCAAGCTCTAAGGATGGAACCGAGTTAGAAGAGCGCCCTGAGATTCAGCGTGCCTGATCTCCTGGTCTCATGGAAACCAATGCCACTTACTACACCCAAAGAGTGATAGTGTCAACACTCTAGGTAGTCTCTATAGAACCACATATTGTATATTGTGGAGTTGCTGAATTAGGGTTCTTCCGTTGGAGCAAAGTTTCTGGCAGGGTAGTCATGTCTGGATAGCCAGCCGAACAAGCACACCCACACTGATGGCCTGGTTTAGTTCTCACTCTCTGAAGGCGAATGGGCCTCGACAGCCAGTCTCAGCTGCATCGACTTGGCTCTCGTTTACTCGCCCAACTCTCTGAAAATTTCGTCAATTTCCAATTACGACGTGGCATTTGTGCGCTCGGAATGATTGTCCGAAGTGGTCTAGAGCAATTATTACACCTACCCAGGGATTTCATACGTTAGCGCAGTGAAATGACAGGGAGGGTCCACTGCAAGTACCAGTTTTATCTTCTTCGCCTAATTTCTATAGCCGGTCTAGAGGCAGTACTTCTAGATCTGAAGGCCGAAATTCTCTACTAAAGCTGAACCTCTTAATCACAAATATTCCATTACTTTCCCACTAATTTTCCCGCCGACTTTACTAAAATTATAATTATTTTTAATATTTTAATAAAGTAAAAGAAGGTATCGGTCCTTATTTTACTATATATTTTATATATAAATATAAGTATTGTGACTTTGCAGGGCTATTACCGAATTTGGTTAAGTCCGTCTCCGCAAGTACCGCACTAACGTATGAAATCCTAGGACGTTGTACATGACATGATGATAGAACAAACCCTTGTCAAGAAGCGGACGCGCGGGTGCCGAGGCAAATTAAAAAAGAGTCGCGAACGATTATAGATCCATCTGGGCCGCTACAGTATGGATATTCGCAAAGCAAATGGTAGTACACGGCAGTCCGCGGGTCCGATTCGGCCGGTAGTTACACAGCACCAGAATGTTCAACACTCTGTACGATCTCTGAGGACACTTTGCCACTCACACGAACGTAGGAACCTCGCACCAATGTCGCTCTGCTCACGCTTGCTGCTCGGATCCGGGTAGTATTCAACAATAAGGCCCAGATCCCGAAAATATTGTAGGCTGAAGTAGTAGTCAAAGCCTCAACTTCATGTTGGTTCTAATCACCTGTAATCAAGGTCATTTCTTTTGGGTTCCTCAGGATACATCTCACACACCGTCTCTGACAGAACCTGCGTCAGGCCGGTCCCAGAGCTTGCAACTAGTCACAGTCGAGAGATGGGTGCATTTACGCGTCTCTCATTCATCACATGTGGATAATCATAGAGCCCATACATTCATTCTGGGCTGAGGGTATCGCTGGAAAGTCGTTACCATACGAAGTCACCCTTCCCTTGTACCGTCTCCACGGGATCTCCGTCGCACAAAATTCCTGTCATTCCCCGTTCCAGTGGTCGTTCATGTGACTAGTCGTTACGCCCTCTCCCGCTCCTGTCTGCGGACTTCCTCCTGAAATACGTTCCTACCCGGCGCGGAGCCCGGCGGCGGACTCGTCGGCTCGAGCTGGATATCCGCGCTGCCCTTCTGCCTATGCATGCTCCGTGGTTGCCCCGTGGGATGCGCCGCATTCTGGCGTTCCACCGCGGCAGCGACAGCCGCGTGGCGGCGACGACGCCTGATGTACAGCCACGTCATCACCGCGGCAATGGTGAGAGAGATGAGGATGACGGGTAATACAATGGCAAGGAGGTTCGGTTTAGGGGTGGAGGGGTTGACGTTCAAGGCCGACCTCAGTGTGAAAACGGGTCCGGTGATGTTGTTCTCTTCGCCGGTGTCGGGGTCGTTGTACATGAGGATAATGGTTATGTTGTTGGCGCTCTTATCCGCCAGGTCGGTCATATGGGGTGTCCAAGGAACCCAGCCATCGCCGCCGTTGATGTTCGTTACAGAGAATGAGGGTGCGCTGTCAGTGATGCCGTTGTCTACGTCGAAGCCGACGATGCCAATGGGCGTGGCGGGGTCGGCGAAGAAAGTCGTATCCCAAGTGACTTGGAGAAAATTGTTAGCAGAGCGGACTTGAGGCGCAGCGGTACGATAGTCGCGCGCTTCAGACGGGCCGGGTATGAATTTAAGCTTACTGAAGTACGTCGTCTCCACGTACAGAGTGCTCCCCCGTCGGGGCTGACAAAACGGACCGTCCTGCCCGATGTTGTTGTTGCACACGCCAAAGACTCCCCCATATCCCAAGGTGTTGCTCGCCTGCGGCGGCGGCGGTACGCCTGTGCTTGTCGTGAGTCCGCCAGAGGTGGCCGTGACGGTGTAGACGGTGCCCGTTAACGAGTACGGCGGCGGACTGATTGTTGTGCGTGCGCCATTGCTGGTAACGACCGATGGCGAGATTGTTCGGGCATTGCCGTTTGAGTCGATGGTGATCCAGTCGTTCACCGGACCGGGACCTTGCCTGGGTTGGACGGCCGTGGCTGATGATGATGTTGCGAAGAGGAGAGCTGTCGCAGCAAAGGCTGACAGCAGTCGTTGTGTGTTTAGGAACATGGTCTCGAGCATCTGCGGTGCGGTACGATGCGATGCTTCAAATGTCGGGCGAGCACAGACGCTGTCGGTGAAAGTGCATGAGGTAGAGTCTTGGTCCGTCTTCCCAACTCAAGTCCACCTTTGGTTCCGACCAGAGTTGATGAGAACCCCCAGCTTGCAGGAAAGGAATATCTCGAGGGGAAACTAAGTCGCAATGGAGAGCCTCGCTAAGAACGATAGATCGACATGGATCGTAAGACAAGACAAGGATCGGTTGGTGATGGACCACTTCGTCCCGGCCCTCTACACCTCAGCGTGCCGTATCTTGCTGGGTATCAAGTATTCAGCGGCGCCGCTGAGCAACGGGAATCTGCTGAGAAATAAAGAAAATTTGGGGGGCCCCAGAAGAAGCGGATGTTTACCTGCTGGGGGTCTCGCAACCCGTCCGTCATACGAACTTGGAATAGAGGGGCATCGGCGTTGGTAGCAGTAGGAGCAGCGGCAGCGGCAGCGGCAGCAAACAAGCAAATGTATTCGTTCGCGATTCTCGAGTTCGAGCCAAGTCCAAGTCCAGGGTTGGTTGCGCCGGTTTGGCTAGGTAGCGTAGCGCACCCACTTTGTGTCCAGGCGGCACAGCTTGGCTTCTTCTTATTTTACTTGGTGGCTGGCGAAGTAGAGCATTGGAACTGGATCTCAGGAAGATGGCGCTAGGACAGGACAGACTTCAATGGGAAAAGAAGACTCGGGCCAGTCAGTCAATTCAAGAAGTGGGAAGAGGAAGACGCTTGAATCCAAGGTGGAATGGCCTTTCTTCTTGTGCTCCGCCTGTCCCGCTCCCCAATGGCTCTTTGGCGAGGGGACAGCGCTCTCATGGTCGTCAGCACCAATGAAGAGGATGCTAGGCGTGAGCAACGCATGCTTGGCAAGAGACGATCGCGGGCATGGCACGGCAGCGTGGCAACCGATTGATAATGGGCGGAGAAAGCCAAGGAGGTTGGCACCGTGGTCTTGGAAGAGGAGCTTGGACGGAGTCGACCAGCACGTTGTTGTCTCGGCAAGCTCCAGAATCGCTGGTTCGAACCCGGAACGCCCCTGTCGAGCAGTGCTGGCGTGCTCTGGGCCCATGTCTCACAGCATGCCATCAAATGGTCTTGTGAGCTTGGTAATCACAGAAATATACATATAGGTATCCGTGCTCTACAATGTATACCATGCCACCATTCACCGGAGTACCGCAGGGTCCTCCATGAAGTCTGCCGGTCCGTCTTGGGACGTGACTTATTAACTACTAAGTTATCATGTGTTCGAGCGCTGACTGGCATTTCGTGAACTCTTGACAATGCCGTCTCAACTGGTCTACCCTCGAAAGTTTGACAGGCCAAACTGGAGACAGCTTTGTTTTAGCTCAGGTAAAGCGGACGAACACCTATTGGAACACCTGTACAGCACAGTAGTGTAGTGCCGGCCTGCCTTGCGCTTCTCTTTCGGTTCGACGCCGGGGCTGAACTCTCTGAAGCGAAAGCTGCGAGTTTCTTGCAGGAAAGAGGGGCTATACGATGGAGCAGACAGGGGACCACGTCTGTACGGCAGCAACTTTGCAGGCCCTGCCCTGCAGCCACCACTCAAAGCACCAAAGTCTGATGGGCGCCAAGCGGTTTGTCTGCCGTGACAGGAGGGTGATGGTGCTGTTTCTGTCTCTGCCGTTACCGTGTTGCCCCCGGGGAGCCACTATCGCCATCCTCGGGATGCGAGAGATGGAGTCGCTAGCCTTTCCTGCAACGTGACAAGAAATGATCGCGGTCCGCGGGCGATGGGGTCCAAAACTTTGATACAGCTTGGTGGTGATTGTCGAACTCGCCCAAGGAATCAGAAGAAATTGGTCGGTTGATGCATGCTATCCTATCTTTGGGAGCCGACCTTAAGGTTGGTGTCGTGCCGTGCATGGTGTAACACGAGAATGGCTTAGCCCAAACAGTTTTACGCACTTGGCTTCGATGCGCTTGTGTCAAGAGGCAGTGGGAAACATTTGTTCGAAGTGGTGGGATGGCAGGATGGTTGCGACTGGGAAGCGTGAGGTAGGACAGCGAGGTGGTTGGTCAATGGACCTCAGGGCAAAGGAAGGGGGCAAAGGGCCGGATTCAGACACCACTTGGTGGACTTGGCCTCTCTCGTACTTTTGCCAAGACTCATCAATGATCAATGGAGCCGATGTGCCGTGTGATGAATCTGTAGACGGACCAGGCCCGACAGCTGCGCCGCGGAGAAGGCCGGAGAGTGGACTGATGCGCCGGATCAGGGGGCTCGGGCCCTACGAGAATGGGAGCGGAGGATTTCTAGCTTGCAGTGCTTGCAGTGCGGCCTTTTCTTTGCTTTGGAACATCAACATGACTTCGGCCTGTTCCCGTTGAGTCGTTGATTGAGCCAAATGCAGCAAATCCGTATCTATGGATGCTACCAGAGTCCAGCCAAGGCGCCATTCAGGAACCAACATGTGTCATCCTAGACATGCTAGACCAGCAGCGGTGAAGCCCAGTCTGACAGAGCTAGCTTGAAGTGCTTCGGCTGAATCCGTCGCCATGCGAGAGACACATGGGCGCTTACATCCTCTCTCCCTCGGTGTTGCCAGAAACCAGCATGCCAGAGAGATGTTGCACAGGTTTGCGGATGGCGGCTTGTCCTTCAAAACAGCTGAATAGCAGTCGTCAATGGCCTCAAACCTCTTGATGAACTCAGAACACATATGCAACTTTGAGTAGATCGGACTGGGCAACGAGTCGACGAACCCATGGCCGCCACCACATGGGTTGCCCCTCATCACGACACCCACGATCCGCCCAGGGCCAGCTCCAACAAGACGTAAATCCGACGACCTGCCTCCTTCGGCCACTATCGGGGCGTGGATCCCGCTCTTGTGCCCACTGAACAGACGCAGCTAAGGTTGTCTTGCATGCTTATTCCCCCACATCAAACGTGATCCGTCCGATAGCATGGCTCGACGCTACGACAAGAAGCGCGTTTTTGCACGCCTTACTGAATCCGCCGCGCCATTTCACGCACTTGTCCGCCCAGCCGCTGGTGGGAAACGATCCAATGCCTCGATGCAGGACTCAAACCTCGTCCTGTAGAAAGAGCTAAGAAGTTGTCGAATTCCGCTTCAGCTCATCATGTCTTGCCCTGTGAATAAGGTCCAAAGCTCTGGGCAACGTGAACCTTCCAGACTGCATGCTATCCGTCCCGTCGCATCTCGGGACCTGAGCCATTGCTCTATTCCTATGGTCGCGAAGCCCTCAGCAACTGCCGTCTGCATCGTCCAGCAGCCATGCCATGCAGAGTGGCTGGTCGCAAAAGCAACGCCGGTGCGTTGGCTCAATGCAAGGGGCCCAACATGGCCAGACACGCACCTGTGAGGCGTTGTCCAGCCATACCTCTCTGATCCTTATCCAATATGAAACCATAGAAAGCCCAAAGAGCCTTCGTGGGTCGACTTGCCCCTCCGCGCCGCCCAGTCGCCGTTCCCCGATTGCGCTAGAGCAGGTGAGCAGCTCCCAGCTCCCAAAAGAGGCACAGAGGATCACCCGCTCGCGTCCATCTCGACCACTCGCCGCACGAGGAGGCGATGGAGGGGAAGATGGAGGGGCACATTCAGAACCAAAGAGCTTGTCCCTCGATTGTTAAGTGGAGTTTGTTTCGTGCCACCCCGAAGGTCGACCGACGCATCGTTCCAATCTGCTCTGAGGCTACTGAAATGCTACTGGACGGCACATTTCTTCACCTTGCCACTGAGCGTCCCCTCACCTTCAACACATCAGGGGCTCATTTATGTACACAGGGAGGCTTTCAAGGTGAAGCGTTGTAGCCGCTCGTCAATTGCTTGCTTGCTTTCAGATTCCTTCACCCGCCCACCAGCTAGAATGAAGGGATTCGCAACCGCCGCGCTCGCGGTAGCAGCCGCCACTACGGTGCTCGCGCAACAATGCGCCGATGTCATTGTCCCCCGCTACCCTGCCCCTCAGGTCGCCGCTGGCTGGCAAGCACAGCTCGTCGCCAATGGCTTCAAGAAGCCTCGGACAATCCACGTTGATAGCCAGGGTGCTCTGCTCGTCCTGGATGCAGCTGTTGGTGTTTATCGCGTCACATTCAAGGACAATGGCGGCACATGTCTATCGGTGATTGAGAGCAAGCTCCTGGTCAACAACACAAGGGTGAGAGCTTACTTTCGACAAGCATATAGTAGTGTATTGCTGACGCTTCATCTTCCAGCTCACACATGGCATGGCCTTTTCAGAAGATGGCAAGACGTTGTACGCCTCCTCCGTCGACCAAGTCCTCGCCTGGGCCTACGACGCAGCAGCCGGTACCGTCAACGCAGAGCCCGCCGTCGTCATTGATAACATGGCAAACAATGACCAGACCACGCGCACCTTGGTCATGTCCAAGGCCTCGAGCAACTGGCTCGTCGTCTCCCGTGGCGTCGATGAGAACTTTGACATTGACGCGCTCGATGCCACCAGCGGTCACGCTCAGGTCAAGGCCTTCGACCTGAGCAAGTCTGGCAACAATCCCTTTGACTTCAACACTGATGGGAAGCTTCTCGGCTGGGGCATCCGCAACGCCGTCGCCGTCGCCGAAGACCCGGTCACCGGTAACGTCTGGGCTATGGATAACTCCATCGACGATATCACGCGCAACGGCGTCGACATCCATGCCAACAACCCCGGCGAGGAGCTGAACCTGCTCGGTACCATTGCAAACGAGACCGACGCCGGAAACTACGGATACCCGCGGTGCTTCGCCGTCTGGGATACCAGCATCCCGCTGAACAGCTCCCTCACCGTCGGCGACCAGTTCTCCATGGAGCAGAACACGACGATGAATGATACCCGCTGCCACAACGACTACATTGCTCCCCGCCTCACCTTCCAATCGCACTCGTCTCCCGTTTTCCTCAAGTTCAGCAACGACGGATCAACCGCCTTCATATCTTTCCGCGGAAGCTGTGAGTTCCAGTACCCCCTCAGAACCTCACATTGACTTGAAGCTAACATGACGCAGTCAACCGCCCCGACCCCGTTGGCTACGCCCTCACCGCAGTCGATTTCTCCAACGGCGAGCCTGTGGCGAGCAGCGACTCGACCGACACGCTCAAGAACATTATGTATAACAAGGACCTCAGCACCTGCCCCGATCAGTGCTTCCGCCCCGTCGGTCTCGCGTGGGACTCCCATAACCGCCTGTTCATGACGTCCGACTCCACGGGCGAGATCTACATCCTACAACAAAACAACACCACGCCGACGTCGACGACGCCTGGCACCATAGTCACCGCGACTGCTAAGCCCAATGCTGCTAGTGGCTTTGCCTCTTCGCTTGGTCTTGGTTTCGCTGCGTTGGTCGCGGCAACCTTCTTCTCTTTCTAGACTGATGCAGAGATAAAATTAGCGCTGGAAAGAAACGTCAGTCGATCACCACTGCTATGGTGTTTGCCATACCCTTTTAAAATCTGAATTATTTCTGGCAGAGCAGTGTTACGATGAATGAATATATCTAAAGTACTTGCTTGATGAACACTTGCGAACAAACGGGTTGAGATTGGCCCAGAACCATGGTTTCTCTTATTTCCCCTCTGATTGAAGCCATTTTTAAGGACGCTCTTGTGACACAGAACGATTTTGAGGTCCTGACGGTGTTATCATTTGATGAATAAGTCTAGTTTTGTCTTTGTTTTTGTGCGCTGTCTACTCCAAGGCAGTGAGCTGATCCCTCGTACCATCCTCTCCATCCTGACTCCATCATGATTTCCTCGTCTTGTCCTTAAGCTCTGCAGACCACATCTGTCTTGCAGCTTCTCTTTGACAAAATCACTTTTCGACAAGCTCTTTGAAAAATTAAAACATCGGCCACTCATCGGCCACAAGGACCAATCCAAAGAGCCATGTTGCTTCCCAAACCCGTGCTTGTTCTTGAGCACTTCCCATCATCCACATCGACATACCCACATCTCCTTCCGTCTGGTATCTCCTGTTCTTCAAACACTGCCCGCATCCACATCGATACCTTCGCCTCTGAGTTTCCTATGACAGCCATCAACCTTTGTCGCGACCCCAGCCGTTCCGATGACGGCAAGAGCCCAAGCAATGAAGAAGAAGCCTAGAACTCCAAGGATGATGTCGATGATCAAGCTCACGATTTGAGCGTTGACAAGGCGTAAGATTGATACCAGGGATCACCTGGCGTCTTTCCTTCCAACGAACCATTCCAATCCATTCTCTTGGCGTCAGACACTCCCTGGGAGATCTTGGAACGTTGACCGGGGTTGTGGAGAACAGTGCCTGTTCCCCTATGCCAATCGTCAATCAGGCACTTGCAGATCTCCCAGATGGCTCCCTTGATGCCCTCGGGTGTGCCCTGCACCTCTACGATGCGCTCAGTGGACTGAGGGAGCATCTCCCTCTGGGCGACCATGCGGACGCCAGAGCCATCCTGGATGTCCTCCAGGAGTAGTCAGAGGCGTCCACCGCCCCCATTCGTTTAAGCTAAATTTCGAACATGACGCTCACCACACGTCAACGTGGATGCTGCCTTCAAACTCTCTGCCTGTCGCCTAGGCTGGTGGTTGGAGCCATTACAGATTCAATGTCGAAAGTAGCGAAGGTCAGAGATCTTGCAATGTCCACGGCCACAACGTTCTGTGGGGAAACACTGTCCCACGCAGAAATCGTTGTCGCCTAGAACTTTGCAAGATCTCTGCTGGTATTTGTATTCGATGCTCGGCCGCTTCGGCGCGCAGACGAAGTTGTCGCCAGCTCTCAGGGCAAATCCATGATTAATGCCATCGACACCCAAAAGGGTACGTCTGACTGAAAGGTGAGCCAGTCTTTGGAAAAAGATGTCGGATTCTCAATTCAAACCTGTTCTTGAAGCTTTTTTGAACCAGCTGGCTCCGACCCACTCCGATTATTCACGTCCCGGTCGGCGGTGACGTTGGGCGCCAGCCAGAGATTGAAATCGTCGATAATGCCGACGGCATCGTTGGGCAATTTGGCGATCTGTCACCATAATTTGAAGTTATTAGCAGCTGTTTTCAAAAGGATGGGTGCAGGGCAAGGAAGATCCGGGCTCAACTTACGGTGCCCACGCCAGAACTTGCCGAGGGGATCATCACGCCTCCCTTGTTCTGACCACCGCCACCAGCTATGTTCGATCCAGTAGTTTCGATCTGGCGAATTCAAGCGAATTGAGAGATTCGACATCTGCGGCTGCGTCACAAAGAGGCCAAGATCATCGTCGTCAGCATCGGCGTCGGGAGCAAGGCCGGCGGCGGCGGGGGGACAACGGCGTCGCGGCGGTGAGCGCCGGCCGCAGTGCCTCCCCGGGCACGCTTCCTTTCGATGCACATCGGATGATCATGGCGACCCTCGTCGCCCCAGTAGCAGGGGCAGAAGGCCCCGACGTCATTTTGATTCCAGGGTGCGTTTTCACGCACCCATTCAGCGGGGTCCAAAGTGGCCCGGTTTGGGGACCACTGACAGTGGTTACACGTGGCAAAGGTCTTTCGACCTAAGCCACGGTTGTTCGAGTCTTTTGCAGGCTCCTGGCTTGCTGGGCATGGCTCTGAGCCTGCTGAGCGTAGCCAGAAGCCTGCTAAGAACCTGAACATGGCCAGTAGTCTGCTGAGCATGGCCAGGAAAGGAGCCTTTCCAAATGAAGCACTTCTAGGCAAGTAACCGCTTGGGCCTGCGGCCTCTGGCAGGCTTCTGGCTTGCTGGGCATGACTCCGAGTCTGACGAGCGAAGCCAGAAGCCTGCTGAGAATTTGAGCCTGGCCAGTAGTCTGCTGAGAATAGCCAGGAGCAGACAGGGGAAAGCAGTAAGGCAGATGGGCGTATGCATAGCCAGGAACCGGGCCACCGTTATCTCGTTGTTGGGATTGCTTGTGAAAACGCAGACTTGTTCGAGCTTCTGATTCCAAAGAAGCTGATGCTGAATTGAAACAGGCTGATGTCGGGAGAGCATACGCAGAGAGGGTTGAGGCTGTATCGTGTCTGTTGAGGAGCCTGGGAAAAGGTATTTGTTAGCCACTATTCATGAGATCCAGAGAGACAAGAATTCGAGACCGAACCAGCCCAATGAAAGACAAGTTTCTTACTTGAAGGAATTTGGTTGAACATGCTCATCTTTCCACAATCGAACTTGAAGCCTTTCTTGTTGACCTGCAATTTGAACATCAAGCTGGTGACAAACCCGATTTCTGGTGCCTTTCCAGCCGGCCTGATAGCATTGAGAACATGGCTCCTGTCCTTGTTGTACCCAGAGACAGCTCTTGAAAGGAACTCATGCCCATTTTTTGGCGATTCGACTCATGGTTGATGGGGATTTGATCGTCGTTTTGTTGTTGATGCCCCTTGTGAAGAGGGGATTTGTAGCATGAATGCGTTGTTGGAACGTTTCCCTCGCTAGACTTGGGCAGTACGCAAAGTCTGCACCTCTCTGCCATTCATTTGAGCTGGCCATTGATAGACGTCAGGGATTTTCATGAGTCCTCTGAGGAGCCATCATTGACCTGCTGCCCATGGAAGGGGAGTCGTGGAGGGGCAAGATTCTCGATGTGAAGCTTAATACTGTAATGCACATTATTAGTAATGAAGTAAGACTATGTAGCTAGGGAAGACGCACCGCCTTGGACTTTTCTGTGCGTTTTGAAGCATTCTTGAACGCAATCTTCACCCTCAAGCATAAACAAGGTGTGAAGAAGCCTTTTTGTCAGGCAGTTCATTCTGCTAGCCAATAGGCAACTTGTCTGTTAGGAACGAACCCTTTGAAAACATGAAAGTTAGTTGTGAGCCTCGTCTCGCTGAATTTTCTAAACGATGCTGAGCACTTGCCTGATGTGAGGTTACTGACCTCGTCTGACACACTCGAGCTAAATATTGCTGTCGATTTTTCTCGGATTGCGACGCAAAATGTTCGGTTGGACTTCGTCGGAAGTAGCAATCGGATGGGAATGAAATAATGCTGAAGATGCGACGGAACCTTCGTCGCATACTTCAGACGGTGCCTTCCGTCGGATTTCCGTCACTCGAGCACCTCCAGTGGACGAGGAAGTCTGGATTGCAAATTCTTCTCACAGGGAAAGGCCGAGGGGGGGAGCGTGTGAGGGTTGCGAAATTTGATACACCTTTCTGATGTGTCTGGTGAAAGTTGGTGAGGCCAGTGGCCAGGCCTTGGATTAAGGTAAGGTGCGATGATGAAAGAGGCTCGTCTGAGCTGACTGCTAAGGCTGTGATGGAGGTGCAAAGTGAAGAGACGAGGAGTAAACGGACAAAGAATGAGCGGACAAAAAGTAGATGGAAGAAGTGTGAAGACACGAAGAATGAAGAGACGGAAAATAGAGGGATGACGAGTGAACGGACGAAGAATGAACGGACGAAGAATGAAGAGACGAAGACTGAAAGGACGGAGTTTGTAGGAACTGAGCTTTTAGGGTCGAAGAGTGAAGGGACGAAAATTGTATGGACGAAGAGTGAAGAGACGAAGATTGTAGGGACGAAGAGGGAAAGATGAAGAGTGAAAGATGAAGAGTAAGCACGATGGGGCGTTAGCTTTGAGGAAGGCAAAATAGGAGGAATATTTCCGCCCCAGAACAACCACCAAGTCACGTGCCCCTCGGAACCTGGCAGCAGCTCCCTCCGGACTCCTGGTGAGGAAGGTGCATTTCCAGACCTTCCTCGGTCCTTCCCAGTCGGGAGTCTCTAGATACCTTACCTAATGCGAGGTATCTATACCTAATTTACCTTGGTACACATATGCACATGTACGTACCCAAGTTGAGCAATAGCGGTGCCTCTTCCCTGAAGATATGATGGACAAAAGGAGGGTATTTCACTGGATATTAAGGTTCTCATTGGTCTTCCCACCATATACATGACGCAGGAGGAACCCAGGCAGAATCGGTCTTGCAAAGATCAAATAGTAGTACACTAGCCAAGACCCCGAGAGCTCAATATCTTGGAGTAAGGTACTGACATAAAGCCCAAATGACAAGAAAAAGCATGTAGTATTCCACAATTTTGAAGTGTCCCGGACCCCTAAGCTACTAATACTTTCATATCTTTGCCCGATAGACAGCCATGTCTGGCAAGATAGTGGTATGATCCAAGAAAGCAGAGGTAAACTTCCATGCATACGCAAATGGGACCCTACTGGCCATGAATCGAAATACCTTGACGATGACCTTGACCGACTTGGCATCCTTTGGAAGATTCTCCCAAAGCACCTGCTCAACATTGTTGCGGCGGTCAAACATCTTCTTCGATCCGAGCACAAACCGATGACCGTTCTGGTTTCCATGGAGCTCCTCGCCACCAATGACAACAATCAGGTTCAGATCGTTCTGCAGCTTGCCGCCAGGCAAATCGGCATAGGCAAGTGTGACTTTGAAATTCCTCGTGGCTCCGTTCACAGTTGGTGCTGGAATCGGGATCGCGAGGTGGAAGGGGCCATTGCCATCTTCGTCGGCGATGCCGATGCCGTATCCTGAAAGAGGATCGTTCAACCTGGGTAGCGAGCCGACTACATTGACTCGACCGTAGCCAGAGTGAGGATTGGGCTCAGCAGAAACAAGCGGAGGGATATATTGTCCCTTGATGGGCTCCGCCCCGTTGATCAAGAGCGCTTTGAGCAGTGATCCCGTGGGGTTCTTGACGCCGTCTTGTTCATCAAGATAACCAGTTTCCAGGAGAGCCTCCCGAATGACTGCGCAGGTCCCCGCTACCAGGGGTGTGGCCATACTGGTGCCGGAAAGGTACATGTACTTGGAGTCTCCAGATACGCCGGTGAGGTTGATCGAGGTCAAGAATCTCTTGTTTTGAGAACGGGCTGACAGTATCGCGGTTCCTGGAGCAACAACATCCGGCTTCAACCTGTCCTCAGTGGTCGGGCCCCGGCTGCTGAATGCGGCGAGTCCCTCGGGATTATCAGCCATGTGGTCATCCTTGAGAGGATTCCTAGGAAACTTCTGAGACCAGAAGCCTCCATACGTGTACGGCCGATTAGAATCGCCAGACATGAGATCGGGCCGGAGATTCTCGGTGGCCCCGACCGTGATACAATTCTTCGACGCCGCTTCTGCGCCGAGGGAGCGAGGATTAACCGTCCCATCAACCTTTCCGTCGGTGTCGATATCCTGGCCATCGTTACCAGCCGCGAAGAGAATGGTCATGTCTTGGTGATCCCAGACGAACTGATCAATGCTCTCTGACCGCCCATCATATGGTCGTTGGATTCTGGTCAGGGGCGGCAGCGCGGAGCCCCAAGAGTTGGTATGGATCCGGGCGCCGGCATCATACGCCTGGCTGAAAAGGGGACTTAGTGAACCTTTTGGGATGCCGCCAAGCATGGGGGAGTCGTATTTGAACGGATTGAAGCCGCTGAAGAGAGACTGCACAATAAGCTCAGCATCCGGTGCAGTGCCTTCGATTAACCCCTCGGAAGCATGGAGGCCGTTGCCCAACACGGATCCGCAAACATGGGTGCCGTGACCATCGATGTCGTCCGTCGCACCGCCCTTTTCGGCACGACCCCACGAGTACAAGGCCTTGACCCGACCGGCAAATGCGTCATGGGCGTCGGTGCTGGTCCCGTTGTCGAAGCCCGTGTCCGCGACACATACGATTTGACCTTTGCCTCGATAGCCGGTATTCTTGACGGGCATAGCGTCGTCAAATTTGAGAATTCCACGGGCAACGTTATTGAACAGGGCAGCCTCATTCGCGGTGTGAAGAACGCGGACTTCGTCTAATGCCGCAATGTCGTTGAGCTTGGCAACATCCACCTTGATCTGTACGGAACCATCTCCCACCGTAATATCCGACGGTCGCACGTCTGCAGCATCCGCGATCTTTTGAAGTAGTTCATCCGCCACGCTGCTTACGTCGCTGTGAAGCAAGACATCAATATGAACCGTCGCAGTCTGCGATGCCGCCACGACAACTGGCGGCAGAACAAATTCGTCAGAGTAGATGCCAACATAGTTGATGAAATCGAGTTTGTCAATCTGTACAAGGGAATTCTTCGGGTATCCACACAGGTAGATTTGCTCTTCCTCATCTCCGACGAATTCCGCGACATTGACGCCGAGTTCTGACAGCTGGGCCTTTTGTTGTTTGTTCAACGGGTCGCCCGTGGTGCGAATGATGATGTAGTCTGTACTGGAGCAGTCGAGGTCATGGCTAAGAGCCACTCTTTTGCCATTGATTGCGATTGATGCAAACATTTCCTAATCAGGCAGTCAAAAGAAAACAGATTTGAGCCATTTACCTAAGGCCAGGAGTAATCTTCGTAGCAGATGCCCAGCAACAGTCGTACAACGGTAAATCTGGTGTCGCCCCTGAAGAGAAGGTATCGCCAGTCCGAATTTTGTTTAGAGAGAAAGCAAGAAGGCCAAAGAGCTTCTTTTAATCATGAAAAGTGATGCAATCTGCTATTATTCCTTTTCTACCCGCTTGGGCGCGCCGCGGAACTCTGTATTCCACAGTATTATATTCTGTCGATATCCGCCAGGACGTATGCCGGTCCAGGATTCTAGACCACCAATCTCGAACACCACCGCCATCTTCTTCTATTCCAAAAATATAACCCCCCCAAGAAAACAAAACTTATGCTGCAATTCATGTTACTTACCGGGAGGTTCTTGCAGCTCCGATGTTTTACGCTACAGCGACTACCCGAGGATCGACGACGCGAACGCCCTATTCTTACGAGACTTACCGGCGTTAAACAATACAACAACAACAACTACCCGAGGATCGTCTGATAAGTTCCAAGCCTCTTATGATGGAGTGTTACATTGCGGGAACTATCGCCTGCGTTTGATCCCATCATGGGACAGAGGCAAATCGACTAAGACACCATATATTCTGCAGTACTCCGGCTACGTAGCACATGAAGTACCACATGAATGAATACCCGTGATACTCTCTTGATTCATAGGAAGACATGTGGTCTAACGCTTACTTGAGGTCTATCCAATAATATTCGGACTCACCGAATGTTGGAAAAGCTCTATGTAGTATTACGATTCTCCAACAATCTTCAAAATTGAACTCTGGGTATTGAGTATGGTATGAGTATTGCCACAAAGCTACATGAATTTAGGTCTAGATATCCTTCAACAAACGGAGCTGCTTCTGAGGGACAAGCTGCTTGCCAACAGCATATGAAGCTTCATCTTGAGGTGCAGCCTGGTTCCATTGGTTGAAGTCAAAATTGACTGAGGTGTTGATGTACTCAATGGCAGCCGCATAGAGTTTCCCTTGCGGTGTCACGGCTGATTTTCCACGAGAAAGGAGACCCTTTCCGGCCGGCGTTGGGGCTGGCGCCGAAGTTTCCGTCAACTGAACCTTGAAAATGAAGGATTTGATAGCTGGGAAAGATCAGTATCCGTAATGGAAGAGGACTTTGAAACTGACAGGCTACGATGATGTCGCTGACCGTATCATGGCCATATTCAATGACATAGAAGACATGCGGCTGCACAGTCTGTTCGAGGGCGTGGAAGCCAGCACCCATAGCCTTCACAACGTTCAGTGCCTGCGGAGAGTCGGAAATTCCGGAAGCACCGAGGATGCTATGCAGCACCCAAAGGCTGATCTTGTCTTCCCCTGCTGTAGTGGTAGAGGTTTTGGTGATAGTCGAGACCATGGGTAACCTAAGAAAGGAACATATCCAGTCAAATGGCGCTCTTTCGCACGAATTGACGGGAAATACCAGTGTACACGTCGAAAACAAATCATGCTTACCATGGTGACAGTTCTCGCGTTGCTGATACAACCTTGGATCGGTAGGCGGTTCTCTTGGACTTGGAAGCGATGGATTCATCGCCTGGCAACTCGCCACTCTTGATTTTATTCTCAACCTGTTTTTCGACTCTGGTCAACTCCCAAGCCAGCCAGGAATTGATGCTCTTGATGCAGGCATCAAGCTCATTCTTTTTCGTGTCGGGCACAACAGGAATGTTCTGGACGTAGAGAATGTTGGCGAGATCCAAGTCTCTGGTATTGGAGTAGTCGACTTCTGAGGGCCCACCGCCCGGTTGAGATTCGGAATCGGCAACGTTTGAGCTCATTTGAAAGATTATACCAATCAGTAAAAGGTTGTGAGAGATGGGTGGACCGAGATGGTATAGATGGCTTGGGGGATCCTGACTCGCAGACTGATGACAGAATATATGAATTGGGTGAGTTCGGGGCGAAGGCTAACTGGTCTATCTCTCATCGGAACCTTCAGGCGCCCTTGTTCTGTCGCCTGTCACTTTTCCATTACTGCCAACCATTGCTCGTCGCTCTCGGCCCTCTGCATTGATGTATCACTTCACTCGTACAAGTGAGACTCTGGGCTCTGAGCTGGTGACGGGTGAAACCCTTTGCTGTGCCAGTGAAAAAGGTTTCTTCCGATATGCTAGTTTCCGTAACGAGTACAACGTGCATTCTTTCCTAGGACTATGACGTCGAATCAAGCACATAGCTTGAAAAGTATGCTTCAGTCATTGAGTAATTTAAGCAAGATGCATGCTTCAATGCAACCGTGTCCATTTTCGGTTACCAAGTCTCACATAGTGTGATGAGAGCCTGGGTGAACGGAAGTAATGAGTAGAGTGATGGAGCACAGCGCAAGGAGTTTGCATTGCAGTCTCTATGTAGGCCCCCGTCCGATGGCATGATTATTGGGCGACGATGGGGTGAGGTTTAGAGCCATCAATACTAGCTCCGGCTGCCTCGCTGAGACTTGAAGCTTTTCGCCCAGGATCTTCGTCCAACCCAAGTACGTGTGTCTAGCCACAAAACCCCCACTCTGTCGGAAGCTTGTACAGCCCGACCCAGCCTCTTGCCAATAAGTTGCTGTATACAAGCAGCAGGGGGCCGTAACGCCGCTCCGAACGTTGATCAAATGAAACCTAGATTGCAACAAAGCCTGCCTCTTGAGCTGATCTTAGCCGAGGACGAGATTGCCTCCGGCGATACATCGAAAGTAGCGGATGACCAGAATACTAAGCTAGGGCTGGCAAGGAAGTCTATGGTAGTCTCAACAGGTTTTATCAAGAGTGATCTGGGCATCGAGTTCAGAAAGCCATGATCAGTGTGGGAAGATATAATCAGCGGAACTGCCACGTATCACTCTTCCTTTCTATCCAGAAAGAATCATCCCTCCAACCACTGGTCTGCTCTTGTGATAGTTCCTTGCAACTCAGACTACCCATCCACCCCGTCGCTTATCAAGCTAAGCCCTCACCACCTTGACCGCACCCTCAACCGCCGCAATGGACGCACAGAATGCTCTCTATGAGAAGACGGGATTGCCCATCGTTACTCTAGAAGAACTGCAAGAAATCGATGTCATCATCTCGGCTCTAGCGGATCCCGAAGCCCTCACAGAGTCTGTGTTGGCTACTGGTCCTATGGGGCATCCGGGGAACGAGTTGAATAACGTCTATTATATCAACTTCAATCCCGCAACAGATACTCCTCAGCTCAAGGCGCAGCTTGAGACTGTCAAGAAGAACGTTGACCTGAACAACAGTTTCTTGAGTACCAAGGCTGCCCAGACCGTCAACGCGAAGATTGCAAGCAGAGAACTCGAGGACTCAGAGCTCCCGAGGGCCAACTACAAGGCCAAGGTCACTAACTTTGTCGCATCTAATTCTCCATGGTATGTGATACTTGCAATTCTGAAGTTGTGGTTCTGACTGCGGGCTTTCGCAGGACGGCGGGATTCGCTACCCAAGTGCTCCGAAAGAACTTTAGCGTCGAGAAGAAGAGGTTCCACGCAGCGCTTGTGTCCACTTTCACCCAGGGATTGAACTTGCCGGACACCATCAACACCAAGCTCGAGGAGTTCCTCACGAACATCAAGAACACAATCAATTTCTCGACCAATCAGCAGAAGAGCAAGGAGGACCTGACGTTCTTCATCCTCATGACTATATATGTGAAGGATGACGTATTGCAAGCCTGGCGACCACGTTAGTACTAGTATCAACCAATGGATAAAACCATACAGAGAGCTGACAGTCCTAGAAATTCGCACCATTTACTTCAGCGTCGACCAGTCCCTGAGCACATACACGCGGGCCAAAGGCGACGAAAGCTCTGGAATCAACGTCGACGTCAAGATTGACTACGTTCAGAGTGACGGCGCCTTCAACGAAGAGCTTTTCGAGAGGGACGCCAAGAGTGGAATTAATAAATTCCTTGGTGGTCAAACCACCAGCGTTATCGAAGGCGAGGTCCACGTTGAAGTTTGACCAAAGAAGCAGAAGAGGTTCCATGCACTTTGTTTTTGTGTTTATGCCGTTTCAACTAAGTGTCACTCGTTTGTGTTTTGAATCATTGATGTTATTACTGATGTAGGGGGAATCTCAATTCTGAATTGCTTTCGAATCATGACAGACGACATACTGATTGTTGCTTTCTTTTCCAAAACTTCTGAAGCGTCCACAGCTGCCCTCGTGTATCTTGCACTTATTGTTACTTTCATTTCCCTCGGCTCTGGACTCATGATACCAACCTGACCTTCCCAAAATAGCTGTCTGCCGGATAAGTTTCCACATCAGCGAATTCTCTTGCGACGTTCAAACGGGAAAAATATAATATGCAGGGTGTCACGCTGCGATGTTGAGCTTTTCTTGGAGGTCCGATTGCAAGTTTGATTCACGACAGTGAAATGCTTAGCGTGTCATGTTAGTTAGTACTATTGAATTCCGCGGAGCTGGCCATTAAGTGAATCTTGAAGACACAGTACGTCTCATTCCTCATTTCTGTTATGTAAGCTGTTCAAGAGACCATGAAGACATGATTCAGAGACGAATGGAAACTTGAATGTAAATAAATATGTAAATACACGTAAGGACCCAGAAGCCGAGATATAAGTGTTGGTTTACGTAATCACAGGGTGATTTGTTCGATCGAACCGTGGTGACGAAGGGTCAATTACTCTTGTATTGATCTCTGCGTGAAGTGGAAAAGAGAGGTTCCAACCGTTGGTTGGATCGCCGGTCAAACGCTGATATAGAGACCCTCAGATGGCCCCTGCGCTGGCGCTGACTCGAGGTCGAATTGGGCTTCCAATCCGACAGTAAGGTCAAGTTGGGGACCATAACTCCGAGGCTTGCGAAGGTAGGTCGGGTCTGACCGTGTAAGCCGTCAAAGATTGCTTCCATGGCACCGGCACTTGAGGAGAGGGGTTGATAGGTTATGAAATCGACTGTTCAGCAGAGGACGAACCAAATAGCCTTTTGAACTGCATAATATGTTCTTATGAATAAAGACAGTATTTGTAGCCAACTTTGAAACATTGAAACCCGCTTCGACCAAGCTTTCTTTCATAATCCCAGTGCACCCAGACAAATCTAAAGACTCCATCTTAAAAGAATAGCTGAAGGGTCCTGAGAAAGGCAGTGTTCATCTGACCTATATCTATATATACATTTATCCATGAGAAATTTTACCACAGAGTCGCTCTCAAGCCGGTCAGAGACTCACTTTCTTGATGCACTTACTTCTTTAGAAGCGGAAATGCGGTCTGGTTGGGACTAATTCAAAAAGTCGGGTAGGCTTTCCTCCGGCTCCATGGATTATTCACCCCCATTCACATTTTTCCAGCATCTTATTGGCTCAACTGTGAGAATATCACCGGCTTCACCTATTTCTTCCTTGGGATTTGAGCAGTCTTCTTTGAGATATCTTTCACTTTCACCGTCCAGTACTGGGACTCAGAAAGAACGAATAAACCCTAAAATCTCCCCATATGCTCGTCCCTGCAAGCACTAGGCGACTAAATTGGGTTGCCACCGCGACTCCAGCGACAACCCCCACCGTTAGATACACAGTACACGATTGACATACCATTTTGATCTATGCCGATATTTTTTACAGTCTAGGAGCTTACGAGACGAATGTTGAACAGTGGGGGATGCGTTAACGTAAAGAATAATTCAGGTGGATGTTGATAAGACCTCATCGGCATCATTACGAATTCGATGCACTCTCCTCAGATTCTGTGTTGGCGATGCATGTCAAAAAGAGACTATTTCGTACAACTTCACTGGCACAGGTATTAGGAGTCTTGTTAAAGACAAAGAAGATGTATTCAAAGAGCCAAGTGGCCGAAACCTCAGTGAAGAGGGAGAAGGTTTGGTATCTGAGACGTAAAGAAAAGGTCGTTCGTCGTACTTCTCAACCAATCATGTGGTGGAGGGGATATTGTCCGTGACATCGTTTTCGTTGCATTGTTTTTTTATCGTGAGTTTCGTTTCGTTATAGTCGTGTCGTTTCTGTCGTATATGATGGTGACTGCTCATCTTTGTGGGCAGTCGGGCTCGGGACTTGCTCAGCGTATATATCATGATACACTAAGCACACCCCGACGTAAGGGTTTGGATGTGTCGGAGATCGTATGTTCGAATCCAACACGGTGAAATGTTCATCTCGTGTCGGCGGTTTGAAGGTTGGGCAAACCGCCATCAAGGTTATTTGGTTCGGATGTTCTGCAGGTGCATGTGCAGACTGGCGAAGCTGATGGGGAGCTCGATGAGGGAGCTCTTCATGCTAGGAGTGTTACACGAGGCCGGGATCTGGACTCGGAAAGCCTCGAAGCTAGATCGGGCGCCTAGAAACAAGTATGTTAGTCAAACCCAATCTCGGACAGGCAGATTGACGAGTCAGGACATACCCCTGCCGTGCAAGCTAGTCGCCTCGAGCTTCTCGACGTGCGAGCGCTCTGCTTGAGTCTCAGCAACATCGGTGCTGTTGTCGAAACCGGCAGAAATGGCGGTGATCGGGGCCGATGCGAAATCAGCGGGGCAGCCGGTGGCAGCAGCACCGTGCTCCCTGGCCGAGACGCCGAGGATCAGTGCCAGAAGCACCGACAGCAGCCCCAACAGCCTCTGCCACGAAGGCGGGGCCTGGGCCATTTTGGATGATTGTTGGGTGGTGTTATCGAGGGGGACCTCGAAAGAGGATATCTTCCAAAAGAGAAACTCAGACAAGCGATGTGGCCACTGACGAGTCTTTAATAGACCGCCATCGTGAACACCCGGCCAACGGACGCCAAGCCCGGGCGTAAGAGGCGGTGGGTGTTGAGTTGGCCAGCCACTCGGTTTTCGTTTGTTTTCCACAATCCCCTGCGAGAACATCATCGGCGCACAAGACTCTTTCGTTAAAGAACGAGCGGAATGGGCTTAGCACAAGTGAGCTGGCCATGCACCTGTGGGCTAGAGGTTTAGCGGTAAAGCCTCGCGTGGTTCGTCCAAAGACCGATTCGGGAGTTTTGCGCCATGGTTCGTTTGTTGAGGATCCGCTGTGAGCATGCTGCGACGAACCGGATCTTTCAAAAGGCATCATATCCCTGGCCATCGTGCTGTAGGAGTGATTGGATCGAGCGGTCGTGAACGGGGTTGGGAACGATTTCGACCAGGGAGCAAGACCACACCGCAAGACTGAGAAGGAAGAGACTCCACCAAATGGTGGGTTATTGGACCAGGATTGTCACAAGGGTGTCAGTAGCCGGGCCTGTTCGTGCCCAACCCATCTCCTTCTTGCAGACCATCAGGCGAACCGGCCGGTGTTCTTCGGCGGCTATGGTCCCGGAGACGGAACCGGCCGAGTCAGAGCAGACCTTTGACAAACCTCGGCCTAGCCGCCTGAGGCCAACAAAGGTGCGCCAAGATGCTGGTCTTAGGTGCGTCGTATTGTGGAGGGAGGCAGAGATTGCTAGGCGGATATCAGATGATCTGATAAGATGCCATCTACCAATCGTAACATGCGCCCAGATCTTGTCCTGCAACATTAGCATGGGAACCCTGTGTTGGAACTTGAATTCAACTCATGATCGTGCTCTGAGGAACGTGCCTGTGAACAGTAGAACCATCAGTTTGCGATTTCTCTTCTATGGTACAACTGCCTCAAAAAAACCCGATTCTTGACAAAGTGACTTGGGTTTTCAACACCACTTATGTACGATAAATTTTCACACCATCGGGTTGCTTGGTCTTTATTGATGATTCTATGAAACTTGTCTGGAAGTTCACCCGTCGCAACGTGACTGTCCTTGATCCCCCACTTCAATTCGCGCCAATGTGACCTGCTTACCTCGGCACTCTCGGCCGCCAGAGTGTGATTCGCCCATCGGCTGAAGGCATTCAGCCAAGAACATCTAGCTGCGAGTTATCGATCCACCAAGAGGATCCTCAGACGAGGTTGCGTGCGCAAAAGTCTGCTCGTCCATAACATGACCATGGTATATAGATGCGGTGCAGCACGCTACCAAAAACGCAGGCTTCTGTTTACTGCTTCCTCGCCAGGCCAAACCTCTACGTTATCATCATTAACATTTTCCAATACCGAATCCAAGATGAGACTCACCCCAGTTGTTGCGATCTTAGTCTCCACTGCTATGGCTTTGGAGTGGCTGTCTGTTGTGCCTCTTCACGCGCGCCAGGTCACTAGCGGAGCCAAATACGAGTGTCACGAGAATTGCGGTAGGTGATGCGCTGGACTTCAAACGCCAGACCGAGCCAGCTCATGACAATATCTAGGCTATGCTATTCTTGGAGCCGACCAAGCCGGTTATTGCACCAACTCGACTTGGACGGATTATTTCGAGGGCTGCCTAAAGTGTGCAAATGCGTTTAGTATCTGGCAATACTACGGGGACGGCGTCACAGAAGCTGCGGACGGATGTGATCTCGACGCGACGCCTATCACTGCTTCAAACAGCACCACCAACGCGACTACCACGGCCAGCACATCTGGTACAGCTGGCGCATCGTCCACTACCTCCCCTACCGGCTCTACTTCGGTAGGTCATTGCTCTCTCATAGTCACAGAATACAGATTTCTGACGAGAATTCCAGTCCGCCATCCCAACTACCGACGCGAGCGCTGCAATCAGCCACCAGCCTGGCATCATTGTGTTTGCATTGGCTACTATTATGGCTGTAACCCAGCTCTTGTAAGGGAACGAAGTTTTATACAATGAGATGATGACATGAGGCAACTGTATCTCAAGCCAGCCAGTTTCAGTTCTGCACGAGCTTTGAGAGATGAGATGATAGCCTCTATAATGTCACACAATAGGAACCTAGAACATTGAACAACATCGACGGTGCCATTATGCGATATATGATGGGCAAATAAGCCATGTGTATGTAGCTTGGGTACGGTGCGTTTACTCCATGCGAAATATATTGGAGACGGTGCACGTATGACGCACCCTTTCTTCTCTTCGAACCATGATAGCGCAGTTTATCTCTTAGACCCAGCTTGGGATTTCAATTATGAAAGTCTTTTAGCTTCGTATCTAAAACTGCGGACGAATTTGGAGCGAGAAATCAGTTCTAGCACAAAATAGTACGGCCCAAAATGGTTCAATATGAATTTTCATAACCCATATTACGACTTCTTGGTGGCCTATTCTGGACTTCACAGCACGATCGCTCGTTCTTATTAGTGCTCATCACCGTATCACATACGGAAAAGTTCTAAAGCTTTCCAACTGCGGAGACAACATGAAGTCTTAAGGATTGGCATGGTTGGCATTCACCACGAGGGTTCCTCAAAGAATTTGAAAATGACGGAAGCTCTTATTGATGAGACTACAAAAAAGCAAACGCCTATGCAATGTACCAGCCAGCTACTCCAAGTGGCTTTTGTTTTATACAATGAAAGCTCCACGTGGAGTAGTAAGAAATGAAGAACACATCTTCCATCACCAAGAGCCGTCCAAACACGCTCCAGATGAAGTCGTTTGCTGAACCAAGTGGTCCAAGTCAAACCCACAAGCCGAATTCTTTATCCAAGTTTTGTTGTCGCTTAAGCAGGGGTGGGCTCAGCAGAGGGAGCACCGCCACCGAGGGCGGGAAATTCGCCGCCGAGGCCGCCGGAGGGCTTAGCACCGCCGCGATGATGGGTAGGGCGAGGACCGGAGGGGAGGGCACCGGTGCCGTGGTTCTTGCCCTTGCCGTGGTGTTTGCCCTTGTGATGCTTGCCCTTGCCCGTAGGGTGGGCATGGTGGGAGTGGGTGCTGGTGGGGAGGTCAGTCTCGGCAGCCCGGGCGCCAAGGCCGCCAGCCTTCTCGTGAGGCTTGCGGGTGCGGGTGTGGAAGCCAGAGTGATCGCCAAAGTGGGGAAAGTTTCCGCCGAAGCCACCGGTGGGCTTAGCAGCGCCGGGGATCTGGGTGGGAAAGCCGGAAGGGAAGCCTTGGGGGAAGCCGGTAGGGAAGCCGGTAGGGAAGCCGGAAGGCAAAGCGGTCGGAAAGCCTTTGGGGAAGTCTTTGGGGAAGTCTTTGGGGAAGTCTTTGGGGAGGTCGGTGGGGAACTCGCCCTCCTGCTTCTCCTGAGCGAAAATGCCAGCCGAGAAGGCGGCGAGGATGGTAGCGGCGATAACGTTGGCCTTCATTTTGTCGGAGTTATGAGAATGACTAAGAGGTTGTTGTTGAGGTGGAATTTGGAAAGGAATGTGATTTCAAGGAAAGAGTGAAAAGGCTTGGTATCAAGAACGGAACAGAAGACTAGCTTCAATGTTTGGAAAGAAAGTGATGAAGATGGAGTGGGATAGAGAGCAAGAGTAAGAGACTGATTGCAGAAGGAGAAAACCTGCATCTTATATCGATCTCGACGGCTGGGATCTTAGTTGCAGTCCGCCACCGATTCGTCTCATGGCTTGCCATAATGGCGACAACTTGGTCGAGCAACATGGGGAACCGTTGCGCCATCAGACGACACAGATCGACAAGGGGGTCGATCCATTCCGGCGGGATGTGCACAGCAAGAATCTTGTTTGGCTCTTGGCGAGTTGTCAGGATTCGGTAGTTGTCTGTGGCTCAAGCTCCAGCTCGGACAGAATTGTGGCCCGACTTTCCCGCTTTCGATCAAGACAGAACAGTGGTGAAAAGCAAGGGGCGCCGTGATGCTGTCAATTTCCAACGGGTGGGTTCTCAGGGGTAAAACAGGAGTGGGCAACTTGGCCTAGCTTTCCCCGGCCGGATGATAGATGCCGCGTGGGTGGATAGTGCGGATGGTGGGTGCGCAGCTCAGCGAGTCAGCAGTGCTCAGATTTGCTTAAGGGTTCTAGACCACACCAAGGAGCAACAGATCTTCTCCAGGATTGGATTTGGTTGGTGGTGTGTGTGAGTGTGTGAGTGGTTGGGGCTTCGATGTTCAGCCCATCACGGCTGTGTGTTTCAAGGGCCCAGGGTCTCCACCGCTCCCTTATTTTCCGACCATGGGGCGTTTGCTGTAGACGAGGAATGTTGTCGTCTTCGTTTCACCTTTACATGTTAGGGCGAAGGGAACGGTGCCGTTTTTCCATGCTTGGGAGATTTGCACTTATTTTTTAGTCGGGTATGGGACGTTGCTTAGTCTGCCTGTCTAGCAAGGACGGACCATGCTGTAACGCGTCATCAGATGACAGCATGTCGCGCTTAAATGAGGCCAGGGGACATGCCTGCACATACATAGTAAACCAGCCTGAACAAAACATCTGGGCGGCAACGTGATGGGAACTCATGGCAGCGTCGCGGCGTTAGGAAACTGTGAACTGTGCAGAGCGATGATTCATTTCCGCTGTACTGGCGTCTTACCTTGCCTTGCGTCAACGGCTTGTGGCATTGATCCGTGAGACACCTCCGAGATTGCCTGTCTTTCCGTCTGTTGTTGAGCCACATCGCCAAAGAAGCAATTACTAGCAACCATGACTTCATCCGGAAGTCCGGCTTCGAGAACGCAAGAACGATTCAAGCCAAATAGTCCCACTTCATTCTTCAATTTTCCGCGGATCATTGCGCAAAGAGTAAGACACGGCCATCAGCCCTGGATATCCTGCCGTGCTTCCTGCAACCCTTGCCAAGACATGTGGACCATGGCAAAATGTTCTACTCGAAATTCGCCATCCATCATGGATGAGTGGAGATCAGTCGTGCAAGTACGGAGCATAAAGTTCGAGAGAGGATATCACCAAAATTAGTTCAGCACTTTGGGCTTGCTTCTATCCCTTCACATACTATAGCTGATCCCGGCCAGTTGTTTCGACTTTTATGACACCACAGCCAGCGTTAATAGCTTGACGATAAACCTTGAGATAGTCCCTGCATGCAGGATCTTTGTCAGCGGCAATCCGCGGGAGGCACTATACTCAGCTTGCAAACACCTTGCTGTGCCCGTTTGACACAAAGCGTCGGTGTCAAAAATAGCTGGGTCAAGTGGGGTGCAGGGAAGGGATGTCATCGCCTCTTCAGGACAGACCCGCGAGGGGGCCCCTGTCTTGGGCCAGAGTCGGAATGAACTGGAAGTCTAGAACTTGGCACCTGGCCAGCGACTTTGCTTCTTTCATCTGAACTAATGTTTCGATTTTGTTCATCGCTGTTTCTGTAAAACTCAAATGCCTACAAGAAAACTTCTACACTGCCATTCTTGCCGAAACCGACAGCCTTGGAACATGCAATTTCGCTGCCTCGACCACAAAAAGTAATCAAAACGGGCCTCTAAGAACGTCCAGAACCTCCTCGGCAATCCACGAGTGTGTATGAGTTGTAGGACTGCACGGCGTCAGAATGAAAGCCAAAGACTGAGTAAATGGCAACTCGGCTCGGAAGAAAAACAAAGCGGAAAGCTAGCGAAACTTACTGGTATTCGTCCCAGTATACCCGCCTATTTGCGTCTCCGCAGATCGTCACATTAGGCGTCTCGCCATATGCACCTTCGAGGCAACTTCCATACTTTCCCAGCGGCTCGAATCCGTATGCCCGAGGCGAGGCATAGTACTCGAAGTCGTCAAAGAGCGGCCGAAGATCAACGTTGATAGCTCCCGTCTTTGAGCTGTCGAGTAGTTCTCCCAGCTGATCGGCGAAACTTCGCAACTGGATCCTCGCCAAATCGTCTTCCAGATAGAAACCGTAGGGGAGTCTGGAGATGTCTGGTGGCGATAGAGTCAAGACTTTGGCATTAGGGTTCGCGTCGCGCAATTCTGCTCCTGCTCGGTGAAGAATTTGATACGACTGCGAAGCACTGATGTTGGCGTTAAACAGGATGTCGTTGGCACCAGCAAACAGAACAAATAATGGCGTCGTCAATGCCATCGTATCGGACGCCGTGAAGGCTTCCCCTCGGGGAGATGCCTTTCCCAAGAACGAGACGACTTGATCAACAACGGAAGGCACTGCGATAGTTCCATCTGCTCCGGTGTAACCTTGAACGAGATCGTTCGAAGTAGTAGCACCTCCAACCGCGTAGTCGTAGAGTGGTAACGAGAGGTTGGCTGCTACGTACTCCGCCCAGACTATGCCATTTGAAAAACGGCCGTTGTAGCTGGAACAATTAGTATGTTGAGTGAGTTTGATACGATTGAGGGAAAATGGGGTTTACTAACTATTTGTCTGTAGGCCAAGTATTATTCGACACTCGAGCTGAACCGTTTCCTACGTTGCGCACCATTAGCCAACTCCCACTCCCGAAGCAAGCCCACCGAGCTATTGAACGCTTACCGTTATCGCTGAACGAGTCACCGAATACTACAATGCTAGAAAACGAAGAGATCGCGGCTTGGCGTTGCAGCGGCAGAACTGCGGCGTAAGCCGGTGCGAGTAACGCTGCCAGTATGACATAGCCACGCGTCATCGTTGAAGCAATTCTACAACTGTGAAGCTTCGCGATGGGAATGTTGATTGAGCTTTTCCTTCAGGGACGTATGTTTTGACCAAGTCATCAACGAAGTTCATCCAGGTTCACTAGCAACACCTTTCTTGTTTCTTTGAGAAGAAGTCAGACGACATCAAGGTCCGCTCCGGGCAGGATGTCAAGCTTCGCCCTCGCATTTAAGTGTCTTACGTCTCCTTGAAAGTACGCATTCATCGTGGCGCCATAACGGAATTTTCATTGGTAAAGGTCTGAGAGGGGAAAACATCAGCCCTCCTTCACTTGTCCGGCGTATTAGTCAAGAGGGGGTCAGAAAATTCCGCCGGTCCTCTTACGCTCTCTCTGCTCTTAGTAGTCTACCACCCAAAAAAGGATAAATATTAAATTAAATACCTTATTAGTATCCTTATAAAGAAGAATCTTAGGTAAATTCTTTTATTTTGAAATCAATTTACTTAGCCGATGTGGAAAGGACAGCTTCGTTGACGGTGCTCAGAGACCGGCGGAATCTTTTGACCCCCCATGCCAGTCAAGCTGAGAATAAATGTAAGCACAGTAAGCACAGCGTAGTGGCTAACCAGGGGATACCGAGGCAATTTGCTTCTCACATGAGAGAGCTGCCGACAGCTTTGCCTGAAGCTCCAAACCCGGAGCCTACTGGAATGTAAGCGCCCAAGACATCTCCAAGTTTCTCCCAAGGTTTTACGGGTGCAGCAAAACAGCACACCCAATCCGGGACGAAAATTTGGGTCACAAATTTGTGCTCCTGAGATGCGGCTGCGTGTCGTCGCTTCGTTTCTAAACATGTATTCATTGATCGTTCCCGGATTCCCCGAACACCCTGATCCCTTGCTGATGTGAGGATCAGGAGGCCATCGGGGATTTTAAAAGGAGGCCAATATCTTATGAATAAACTCCTGGGGTCGAAATCTCAGGCCTGGGAACGGATCTTCGACGCGTCCAGAACACAGCCAAAGTGACTGGACTCATCTTCAATCTTCACGAGTGTAACACGACGGCTGGCCTAGCTAGTGTGCTTACGACATCTGGATCCTATCACAAATTGCCCCATATGCTGCACAAGTTGCGCCAGTTTTCAAGCTCAAGCAACGGCCGCTGTTTTAGATTACAGGACCATTTCACGACAGGTTTCCGGCAATGCAGAGCCGGATCCTACAGATTGTGGGCCCCCGGGCCCGACCCGCGGATCCTCATTTCGGCCCCCAACATCCCCTTGGGCGACAAAAGCCCTAATCCACCCACAATCCCAACATAACCTCCAACTTCTGGCATCGTCACCATAAACACCTCCATTCGAGTTCCATCGCCCTGATGGTCTAGCGGTATGATTCTCCCTTAGGGTCTTGTAGACACGTATGGGAGAGGTCCCAGGTTCGAATCCTGGTTAGGGCCCAATCCTTTTGTATTTGGTGATAATAAGCCATTGTGTGATTTGTTTTGCTAAATGGAAGTCTCATAGAGAAGACTCACTTTGTCAAAAGTTCATTTGGTCCACTGCCAAAATCTTCTTCTTGTTCACTAGTTCTGGTGTTTACGGTTGACTGTGTTGAGCCGTTTGTCGCTCTTGTCTGGCTGACTGATGTGAGGCCTGTCCGACTCTACTTCCTACATGTAGCAACTTGAGGATCTACAACCTCAAGCCATTCGTATAGCACCTCAACGTCGACATCAAAATCCTTCGAATCTTGAATGCGTTCAAAATATTCTTTGTGCCCATCTCTGCGTTCTTGGCATCCCCCCCCCCCTTTCTTCAACGAGGGCAGATTCCTCCCTTACATTTCGAAATCTGCACCTCTTTAACGATAAGGTTCTGCTCATAGCCTCCGGTTCACCTTTGCTATTCAGTGTGACGGACAGTTTACCAACTCGCCAATGCAGCGTCTGAGAATAGGCCAGGTTGTTGTAGACATAGAATTTCGTCTTTTAACGCGGGAGGTCACCAAAGGCAGTCATATCTTTTGGTGGAAGAAGAGCCATGTCGAGCTCTACGGAGACTCTGGTCATGAACGTAGCAATCTTTGGGCTTGAACGGTCAATTCTTGATACACTTGTTGATGTTTCAATGGTCAATGACAGTATCGGAATGTTCCAAGTTGCCTGTTCCTTAAGAATACTGCTGTAGGACGAATGACCGGACGAATGCGTTCTGTTGTACCATAAGACTGCGCTGAGATTGGAACAAGTTGCCAGGCTACATTAGTGTTCTATGTTCCCTTGCTAGAGACATGACACAGGCACTTCTCAAATTGGGGCTATCTATGTATGATGTTTTTTTGCAAAATACCTTAGTTGGACTGCCGAATGATTCACCCCGAAAGCCACGAACACGCCCGAGAACATATCTTATAACCTACTGGGCCCAGAGCGGGCATGTGTTTCGGTTGTTCAAAGGCTTTGAGCGTGTCTTCAAATTACATGTTGCTACAGACAGGGGTCAAATATTAAATTCATCTACAGATCATCAACTAGGTTGAAGTTATTCGGATTGCACATGCGATTGTACCTCGTAGATCTTGTATATAGAGATGACCAACATATTCTTTCAATGCGTTGAAGGATCTAGGTTGAATGACATCGAGAGTCATCCGCTCGAATTCGACTCGCTTCACCCTCAACCATGAGACAAACGATTCGGAGAATAGGTACCACTAGAAGTTTGAGCCACATGGCAATTCAGCAATAATCAAGGATCCTGAGACGCTAGTATCAAATCTGTAAATCGTTACACTACATGTCTTAACCAACCACCTAACCAACCAACCGACCAACGGCACGAATGCGATAAGTCAGGTTACGCTCAGAAATCCTGCACAACCCCCTTGTCCGCAGACCCAGAAGCCGTCCGATCCCCGCCTAAAGTTCCCATAAGGCACCCGCAATTAGTGGTTCTCTTGACCCATTTCCGTGAGGCCAAGCTTCAAGAATGGAGCATCGGAACGCGGACGGCCGCGGAGGCATGCACGTATGCAGAACGCGCCGACTCCTTGTTGTTCCTCAGCCTGTAATGCTGCCGTTCACGTGAGAGGGGAAGTCCGTCGTAGGGCCAATGATGACGCTGCTTTTTGTCATTATCCGCGGCGTGCGTGTACTATTGACGGTCTTGCTGTGTATGTAGGTAGAAAAGAGGGCGGGGGTCCGACATTTTCATCACCGGCTACAAGCTTGAGGGTGACTAGAAGGACATTCAACGCACTCAACAGATATTTCCGAAGGAAGAACCGCTCGCATTGGTCTCTTTGCGATCTCCGAGGCCGAGAGCCCGACGACGATGATGTTTCGTCTCTTCGTCTTAGCAGCGACGCTTGGTGTCGGGTTTGTGTTCACTCGAATGTTCCAAGAGAGAATGAGGTTCCGCAGACTTCAGAAGCAGGAAGTTGTAAGTCTTCAATTGAACGCATCTAAGACGCAAGAGTTCTGACATGAGTACAGCCAATGATGCCTCACTCCCTTTTGTTCGGCCACTTGCGCATATTGATGAACCTAACCTCACATCTACCCAAAGACATCCACTTCAACTACGTTCCTCAAGCGATCGCCGATAATTGGGAAACACTATTCCCAGGCCGGAAATCGTGTCCCTCCGTAATCTACGCCGACATGTGGCCCATGGGGCCTCCGCTGATCTTCACCATTCATCCGGAGGCCGCAGGTCACTTCATGTGCGACTCCAGCGTTCCACGTAGCGACTGGACTAGGAAGGCTCTAGCCCCCATAACGGAAGCCATGGACCTCGCTTCTATGGTAGGCGGGCAATGGAAGACGTGGCGCGCGCGGTTCAATCCCAGTTTCAGCAACAAGAATGTTCTCGGCCTAGTGCCTGGCATGCTCGAGGACGTTGAGATATTCACCGACATTGTCCGGCAACGAGTCGGTGCTGAAGGCTCTTGGGGTGGTGTCTTCCCGCTCGTGGAGATCACAACCAACCTGACCATGGATATTATCGGCCGAGCGGTCCTGAACATCGAGCTCCACGAACAGATCAACGGACCCAGCAGATTCAGGAGCGCCCTTGTGGACCAGATTGCGCGATGCATGCTCCATCTCAACATTATCACCGTATGGAAATGGTATAGCCCGTGGCGACTGGCTGCCATTAAGAGGAACAGGGAAACAATGCACAGCGAACTACTCCCATCTATTGAACGATCCCTGAATGGAACGGAGAAGAAAGATGGACTCAAGACCATTATAGATTTGGCTTTGAAATCAGTCTCTGGTGTAGTTGACGTGGACCAGTTGTTTATAGAGACCGTCGTCTCGCATCTCAAGCTTTTCATGTTTGCCGGCCATGATACAACGGCCACAGCTCTTTGCTGGGCACTGCACTGTATTGCCAAAAACCCCGAAGTCGGCCAAAGGCTACGGGCCGAACACGACGAAGTCTTCGGCAAGGACCCCGCAGATGCGATGGACAAGATTAGAGAGTCGCCGCACTTGCTCAACTCCCTCATATATACTGGCGGGGTCATCAAAGAAGCGCTACGCCTGTTTACCGGCCCTCCTGTCGTTCGTGATGGATTACCGCACTACCGTATTACGGATAGTATCACGGGAGAGCAGTACCCAACCGGCGGATTTCTCATATGGGACGGACTGCGTTCGCAGTCTCGCAACGACGACTTGTGGCCTAGGGCCAAGGAGGTTGTTCCAGAGCGGTGGATGACGACGGACCCGAAGGATCCGTTGTATCCAAAGAAGCACGGTTGGAGGACATTTGGGCTCGGAAGCCGCGCCTGTATCGGCCAGGAGCTTGCCGTGGTTGAAATGAAGCTGGTCCTCGTGTCCCTCGCGCGGAATTTTGATATCGACTGTGCCTGGGATGAGTGGGACGCTCTCAAGTAAGTCCCGAAACTGCCTTGCCAAAACCAATTGAGTGAATCAATATTGACTCTCTGCACATAAGTAATATCACGAAACCCAAGGTTTTTGTGGAAGGAGACCGATGCTACCAAACAGACAAGGGCACGCCGCACATCTCTGACGGAATGCCGGTTCACGTGAAGCTGCGATAACCGTCTGACTAAGTCATGGAGCTATACTGGCAACAGCAACGTGCGGGGGACGTTATCAGAGTCAAATATCGGGTTCATCGAAATCCCGTCATGTCCGCCGTGGTGAACGCGCGCGCTTGAGGGTGTAGGTCAGGGCGAGGACCTAGCGCTCACCCGGCTCCAGCGAGCTTCAAGGTTAGCGCGAGGAGGAGGTAGAAACATCGGATGAAGGGCATTGTATAATACTCGCCGGACATGGCGGGGTTTTGAAATTCCGATAAAAGCTTGAAGCAAAAGGCTCTTTTCCAAGAATGCTGAATGTCGAGCATGGCTTCGTGAAGTCGTTGCCTACCGGGGACTGGTCCGTGATTATCAAATTATTTTACTGGTTCACGAGAAGCTATTTCCAGATATTGTCACGTCAGACGGCATTGTGGCTATTGTAGTTTATTGTCCCGCCGCCCCGTCTCTGACGGTCACATGATCGACCAGTTTGCCAAATGCTTGCCGTGTCCTACCTCGGCTTCCCACGAAGCTTCCCGCGAGCACCTCACGGCTTGTCAAAAGAAACCCTATTTCACTAGAAATCGAATTTCCTATTGGTGATTTATAGTGACTCAGCGGAGTCCTAATGTTGGTCATTAACCCGTCCTCCAACAGACTTTCTTATCCATCCGGAGATGATTCGTTGGATAAAATAGTAGAAGCACAGAGGCATAACTTCACTCGTTCCCGACGGGTCCGAGTTTGGGCGGAGATTTTTGGAAGGTTCCTCCTGCTCGGTAGCGCAAGCACACGCCTGGAGCAGGTACTGGATCACTGCAGGTAGAAATGGAGGTGTCTTGTCATGTCCTTGTTGTAGTTGAGATGACACTGTAGCGCGAAGACGCAACTGAGAACAACTTAGATAAGCACGCCTTACTTCACAGTCCACCGCCCCCGATTGGCCGGGTCGCACTTGCCCCGCAGAAAGTGGACTCTGGTCGGGTGATTCAGAGCTTAATTTTGCAAGCGCCGCCCGATGTCGACGTGGATGGCTGGGGGGGTTGATGTCAGTGCAACTATGTCCTAGGCTTGTGCTACGAGCAGGACACCGACCTTGGACACTAAGACACTTCGGGAAATTGTGTGTCCTGCGTCTCAAGCTCTCTTCTTTGCTTCTGAAACGAACACCGTCGAACGGCAACGTCAGGCTTTATGGCTCGGGATTCAGCTTAATGGCCCCTGGCACAGACACCCGAGCGATGACTACGCAAGCTCATATTACTTGAGGGCGCTCGTTCCCTGACCAGTAAACGGAGGAGACCAGCGTCGACTCCCTGTCTCTTCATAGGCCACCTCGCATCTTTACTCTTTGCGAGACAGGAGAGAAACGCGTCTCTCAGGGCGCATCTCCACAACGTAACAATCCGGCTGCTTGGATCCATACCACCAAATGGCTCGACTCGGCGTAGCAAAGGTTAAGACTGGCTGTATTACTTGCAAGTTAGTTGGACGGCCGCGTCTTCCCATTCTGACGCGTACTTTACATGGAGCTAACCAAGTCAGGATTCGAAGAGTCAAATGTGATGAAGCACGACCAGCATGCAATAGGTGCGCGAGCACGGGGCGGAGATGCGACGGCTATGTGACACCGCCAACGGGGACATACTCGTGGGCGCAGCTGCTCCGAGTCCATCCGCCTCCGACTCAGGCCGCCTCCGACGCGGAGCTCCGTGCCTTGAGTTTCTTCCGCAAGGTCGTCGCCCCCGTCCTATCCGGCCCCCTCGACAGCTACTTCTGGACCCATCTCGTCTCCCAGGTCTCATACCAGGAGCTCGCCGCGAGACATGCCGCATTGGCCATCAGTTCGCTGTACGAGAAGGTCGAGGAAGACCGACACGGAGAAAAGAACCCCTTTGCGGTTGCGCATTATAACGAAGCGATCAAACACCTCAGAACAACCAACAATCAGGAAACCGTCCTGTTCGTGTGCATACTCTTTGTCTGCATCGACATGCTCCGCGGCGAGGGCAAAGGTGCTGTCGAACACTGCAGACATGGCGTCAACATCCTCAATGGGTCCAAGTCTAGCTCGCGATTCCTTCGAGACCACTTGGAGCCGGCTTTCTGTCGCCTGGGGGTATTCCCCTTCTTCTTCGGCGCCCGACCGGATACGTTCCCGTCCGTACCGGATTTATGTTCATATCCAGTTCCTCCGCTCTACAATATTGAGCAGGTTCAAGGAGTATTGGACCCGTTGCTCGTACGGGCGATTCGTTTTGCTCGGGCTGCTGACGGATATCGACTCGGCGACGAGACATATCCCGAGCCGGGTCCAACGTTATTGCAACAGAAAGATGACATGGACAAGATGCTAGATGACTGGGCTGCAGAATTTCAAGCCTACTTGGTGCAAAAGTCCCCAAGAAGTTGCAAACGTGCTGCTATGCGAGAAGAGCTCATGGAACGCTTGCTCGAGATGAAATATCTCGTGGGCAAGATATGGCTCAGCACGTGCATGTCCCGCAGAGAAGAAAGTCACGATTTACACCTGGACAAGTTTCAACGAATTATCGAACTCGGACGTGAAGTTGAATCCACATCCCGAGATAGAGGGCAGAGGATCGACAGGGCCAAATTCACTTTCGAGATGGGATTTAGCCCTCTTCTGGGGTTCGTCTTCATCAAATGTCGGTCCTTGACCCTGCGAATCGCGGCGTTGGGGCTCATGAAGACAATTGCGAACGAGAAGGAGAATCTGTGGGATTCCAACACCGTCCTGGCCTGTGGGCGCAAGGTTGTCGAGTTCGAGCATGAGCTCGATCTTGGCCCGGACGAATGCATTGCTGATGTCTTTGACGACGGAACAATGCCTCCAGAAGGGCGGCGCATCAAAGATCTGGCCATGCAAAACGAGGTACGCATCGTTTCCGGGAAGGATGGTGCCGTCACCATGTGGAGGAAGGTCGCTTTCTTGATGAGAGAGCATGACGGGCCCATCACAGTCACAAAAGAGTGGTTTCGAGTTCACTTTAAGCGCAAGTCATGACCACTACTTGCTTTCGCTCAGGGGATCCCCCCGAACGTCTCTTCCGCGGACGCTTAAACTCACGAGGGAAGGTTACGCCTCACACGCACCCAATCTGTCGTGCTGATAATGATGGGGGGTCTGATTCTACGCTGCTGTCATCAGATAATCGTGTCCTTGAAAGGTTACGATTGGTGGGCTTGCGTCTTTACATACCCAACACGTTCGAACCTGGGGGCTGTGCATCGCCGGCCACCACGATAATTGACTTTTATGAGTGACGATGGATTGAGAACCTAACTTATGAAGGCGAGTGCATCAGACTTGGAAACGGAAACGAGGTTAGGGACGTCGAACATCACCAAGCTCTGCTCCGCTCGCCTTACAGTTCCTTTGAAGTTTGGCACAATGCATTTGTCTTGGATCAAGTTGGGAGCAGCTACGAGGGCCGTCGCTATTCCTTCCGCCCATGCCACCATTGCCCGTGTCTATTGCAAAACGTTAGTATACATCGTCTTCTTCTCCACAAGCGCCCATTGCGGCTGGGAAATTCATCGCAACAAACTACATCACTTTCCCCGGCGTGACAAACAGCTACGTTACAGCCCCGGCAAGGACCATCGACATCAACGTTCCAACATGAATCCAGACCGTTGAGCTCGACGCCAACGGCTACATACCTCCCAGCGAATGCGGTGCCGTTTGGAACTATCCCCAGCTCCGCGGGCCTTGGCGGTGTTTGCGGCTCTCCTCGGCATTCTCACCACCGTCCACATCTGGCAGGCCGCCGAGCATAAAAATATTTGTACGTCTTGGGTTGCAACGTTGCACATTGCATATAGCTACTCGTTTGGGTACCTCAACATGATCCAGAGATGGTGCTGGGCTATCATCATTGGGGAGCATATAGGAGACGCTGGCGTTGGTCTTCCGTGACATAAACAGCAAGAACCAGCAAAGTAATGGCATGTATCTCATATACAACATCTTCATCTTGTGACTATTTGTGAGTCTTTCTTGTAGTATTTGTCGAAGATTTATATCCCATCTTTCCAGACGTGAACACCTTTGCATACCTGACGCAACATTGGGCCGCATGATCAACTTCTTCCACCCCTCGCGCTCCATCCTCCATATTCCCGCCGTATCATTTGCCGCCTTATTTGTTGCTCTTGATATTGTATCATTCGATGTTTGACTAACCTGGGCGCCCCTCTTAAAGGCACTCTGCTTCTTTCTATCTCTGGGCATGATCACGATGCGGGTCGTCTACCGCTTGATTGGATTTTCTTCGGGTCACGGAATCGATAATACGTCGTTACGCATGAGGCTTACTTTTACGTCCTGGAAGCCCTCCCGATGCTTCTGGCTATCGCGGTCTTCAATGTCGTGCACCCAGCGATGGTCATGGATAGTCCAGAATCGGATGCCGGGGCTTTTTGCAAATATGAGGAATGGGCTCGCCAGAACAAAGGTAAGTAGGATCCCCTTGGGACAGCATGCAGACAGGAGCTCACTCGGAGAACCCCTAGTCCGTGAAACGGTCACAGAGAATGAGCAAGGGAATTGGACAAGTGATCAAGAGCCAACGCTAGGAAGTTTGAGCTTGAGCGTAAGAATTCTAGGTATTAGTGTTCGCATTGAGTAATATCGATGGGCCAGGAAGGATACACGGCGCGTCCTTGTTTGGTGGCTTTGGAATTTTGGCGAATGCTGCAGATCAAGACACGCCACCGTGGCAGTGCATACATGCGCAAGATCAGGCTGTAGCGACTATTGTCTTGAGTGATTCAGTGCTGGTTTTGGGTGCATGATCACTCGGTATATATTTCTACATTATATCCAACAGTTGTCGAATCGCAGACTTATTCGCTCCATCTTCACACATTTTTCTTTTCCTAGCAATTTGACTGCAGAAAACCGGCATCTACTCAAACAACTTCATCAGAATTGGTATCAGCGACAGGATCAACGCAGTAGCTGAACGTTTCCAAATGTCTTCGAAAGAATCGAGTTCACCGCGGCGACTTTTTCTCCAAATGTCCGGTGCGCCAGGCTCGGGTAAAAGCACCGCCGCAACCCTTCTAGCCCAACCTCTCAATGCCGTCATTCTAGATCTCGACGTCATCAAGTCTTCCCTCCTCGATGATGGGGTTCCGTTCGAACAGTCCGCGAGGCTGGCTTACTCCATACTTTGGGCACTCGCCGACAGCATACTCAAGCAAAGTCGCAACCTCATTGTAGACTGTACCTGCAACTACGAAGAGATAATCAGTCACGGAACAGCACTGGCTAGGGGCAATGGCTTTGAGTACTGGCACATTGAGTGTAGACCCAACGTCGATATCGATGTACTTGATGGGAGGCTGCGAGCTAGAGTGGCGATGAGAAGTCAGCGTACAGGCGTGTTTAGCCCTCCCGCTGACGCCGATACGTCTCAAAGACGCGAGGACCAGGAGGCGCTATTCCGGAGATGGATCAGCAATCCCTATCGACCAAAGGATAATGTGATGGTGGTTGACACATCGAGGGGCCCAGATGAGTGTCGAGAGCAGGTCTTGAAGGCGATGGCAGAGTGATCTGGTAAACTTAGCATCGAAGCTAGGAGAACGGAAGGTGGAACGGCCATAACGCGTCTGATATCATATGCTAGCTCAATTAATTGCAACTTTAGGCTATTGACTGTCCTTCGAGGGTTAAAAAGATACTCTAATGGCACTATGACATCCCTCCCATAAAGTCTAGTCCATCCATACCAGTCAAGCCCATCAGGTACATCTGGTCATCATTCCATACGAACGACGGCAGCCAGGCTTCTTCCCCGGTAGGCAAGGGTATCAATGTGCTTTCGTCAACTGCTACTGCTTCCCCTGCCGGTATGCCGAATCCTGAGGCCGACATCTCTTGTAACTGTAGGGCTGCTGCCTCCTCCCATGGAGAAGAGAGCATGATGTCCGGTGATATCATTGGACCATGAGCAGAAGTCGGTGGATGCGCCGACTGCTCCATATCAAGATCGGATTCGTCGCCCGAAGGGCTTCCGACAACTTCGGTGTTTGCCAACCATTCCGCCCACCGCCCGTAACCCTCTGCTTGTCCTAATGAGGACTCTTGAGCCTGACTTGTCTCTCTTCTCCGGGCCATCACAAGTTTGGTCCTTGCTTCATTGGTGATGGCCTGCAAGGCCTCAACAAAGCGCACGCCCATCTTTGCCGTCGTGTTCCCGCCGCTGGCCATCCTGCGGAGACAGTCAAGGCCAAATGCTACCCGCCCCTCATATCCAGAATCGCGGTCCAGAATCCCGGCGAGCAACACAATAATTGTGGCAATGCTACAGCCTTGAAAGTCCGTGAACGAGAATCGCGCCATATTGCCGCCGCGACAGAGCCCCTCGAAAAGCTCCAGCATCTTCTTCGCTGCTTTGATGCATGCCTCTGAAGATTGCTCAACGTCTCTTGGCACGGCTGAGGGGGCGGTACTTGTGTGAAATATCTCTTGCAGACGAGCTCGGACGACAGTCACCACGGAGACCTTGCCCATATCGATCCAGGCGAAGTAGTAGTTCAGGTGTAGGTGGAAGACGGCACGATAACTGGATGACTTTGGATCGATATTTTGCAGTCTAAGTGACGATGGAAGACTCTTTTTCCAAGCCATGAGAGATATTTGGGCGTCTGTCGGTCGTCTTGGAACTCCCGAACGGGGGTGATTCGTGTTTGGCCATGCCCTTGAGAAGCGCATTAGAACTTGGCATTAATTGGGGTGAATCAAGTAAACTAACCCAGGTTCTGAAAGCTTATCGATGATTCTGACAAAAGCTGCATTTGCTATTTGATGCTGTACATTGTCGAACTTTTGAGTTACGTCCCGTGAAGTCGGCTTTGGTAAAGATGTTGTAATGATCTCCTGGTCCACGGATCGCGGTCGATTGAGCTTGATGGTGACTGTTCTGCTACTATTAGTCCATGTCCGAGCTCCGATAGAGTAAGGACCTAACTACCTTTCGAGGGAATAAATTGACCACCACAGCCTTCTTCTGGTCTCCTTCTCGTCCCCACTCAAAGAGGGATCATCAGGCTCTTGGTGCAGTCCGATAGCCAGAGCCTTCCGCAGGGCTAATCCCATGTAGACGTAGGACGCGCTGATGGCGCTGGCTGGCATGAGGTAGACGCCCAGTATGAATGTCGCCTGGACTGATCTGATGCAAGGCCGATCCAGTAGGTCAGAGATTAGAATGCGAGCCTGGTTGTAGAAGATGCGGCCAGGGTCGAAAGTCCGACCTTCCGTCAAAGCGGTATTGCTCAAGTCTTCCGGTCTAGCCAACGCCGTCCACTGGCTGCCCAGCGCAAACACTGCAAGCACTAGACAAACAAACCCGGTGTCTTCCCTCAAAGGCGAAAGTTCATCGTTGTATAAATGATCAAGCTCGCGCATGAAGTGGCTCTGATCCAGGTAGAAGAAAATGTCGGTCCCGTATGCGATGCAGACCGATACCAGGAAGTCGGCAACGCCCCGCGGGGGAAAGCTTTTCACAGCCCTCTTGATACGTCGAAGCTCGGCAGGGTCAGCTGAAGGACTATCCGAGATTCGAGACTGCAATTTGGTCATATCCTGCTCTCCGGACGGGGTTTGCGAGTCAAGACAGAAGGCTTCTCGCAGGCGGGAGAGGAAGCGTGGCCACATGAAGGCTTCTGAGGGCGCACTGTCTGCCGGGGAGAAGTTATCGCTGATACTTTGATCCAAGGGTGTATTGAGAGTAGAACAGGCGTCATTTTTCGTCTGATTGCCCTGTCGTTCTGTGTTATCAACAGGTCTCATCCCCGTGGTTCGCGAAGTCACCGTCGGAGTCACCGCCGAAGCGAAAGCCTCAATCTCTTCGCCGGACGGATGACGTTCCTGTTCGAATCGACACGGGTGCGAACCCTCGGTACATCGCACACATACTCCAGAAGGAGTCTCGATGCATTTGTTCTTGCGGGCCTTGCATCGGTCACATGCCCGAGGGGCCCGCTTCCGAACCGCATCCGGGACCCTACGGCGGCGGCGGCGGCGCTCTGCAGGAGACTCCATTGGCGGACGGGTCGCGTTCATATGATAAAGATGCAATCTTCATGGTGAAGACAAATGGAGCAGATGCCTGAGACTCGCGCAGGTCTGGGGTGGGTGATGTTGGACAGAAGCTGGTGCAACAGAGAGGAAGATATCTGAAGCACGACGTTTCTTGGGGTCTCCGCATTTCGGACGGGGGCTTTGCTGATAAGACTGTGCCCACCGTGGCGGCAGGGATCACGCGTCGAGATGAAGTTGCTCGAAGATTTGGAAAATAGGTTGTCTTCGCCTTTGGCAATACTCAAAACTTCCTGATGCTCGGAGAGGGATTACAATTTCACCATTGAATTTTCCCGCTAAGAATTTCTATAAGTCACGTATAAGAGTACGAGACACAAGTATGGACTCTGCGGGGTGAGTTTGACGCGTCTTTGATTATGGGATTCACCTAGAGACGGTTGTCCTGTATCTCTGTCAGACTTTAAATCAGAGATTCACTTTGATTAATTGCCCGTTTGACCTAGCATTTTTGTCTAACCGAGGTAGTTTTACTTTCAAAATGAGACCTGACGGTCTGAATCCATCCACATCTTACAATGCCGGCTTGATTCTGACTGGCACGGCAGCATCCTCCACTAGACCGCTCCATCTGCTTTTATATATCCTACCCTCCTTCAAGACACCCAACACATGCGCCTCGGGATCGTCAAAGATGGACACATTTTCAGCGGGGTTGGTATCTGTAATAATGATATCCGCCTCAAAGCCCTCTTTGATCTGACCCAATGTGTCCTCCCTGCCGGCCATCTTTGCCGCATTGATCGTCGCGCTCTGTAGCACCGCCAACGAAGGGACAGCTCTGCTACGCAATGAGAATTCAAAAGACTGTGCTGCGCCGAGCGGCCCAAGAAGATCAGTCCCGAAGCAGATTGTCACGCCGGCATCGTACGCAGTTTTGAGTGCCACCAAACCAGCGTTGAGCACTTCCTCGTTCTTCGACATGGACTCGGGCGGCAGATAGCCCTTCCACTTTGGCGAGGCCATCTGAGCGTATGTGATGAGGGTAGGAGTAAGATAGACGCCCTTCTCCGCCATGAGCTTCGCCGTGGGAGCGTCGACAAAATTGCCGTGCTCAATGCCCCGTACACCATTGTCGATACAATGCCTGATGGCTTTCGTCGTGTATGCGTGTGCCGTGACGTAGGTGCCCGCGTTCTGAGCACATTCAACCATTGCTCGAATCTCAGCGCCGGTGAATTGGAGATGGTCGATTCTATCGGTCGGTGTTGAGACGCCGCCTGAGCCCATGATCTTGATAAAGTCTGCCCCGCCACGAATCTCCTCTCGGACAGCAGTCATGCATTCCGGAACACCGTTGCATAACCTCCCGAGCCCGTTTGTCGAGCCACCGCAGCATTCAGAATGATCGTGCACACCGCGGATGTCTCCATGACCACCCGCTTGCGACAGGGCATGTCCTGCGATGAAGAGCCTTGGGCCGGGGAAGACACCGTCGTTGATGGCTTCCTTCAACGCTTGCTGCGCACCACCGCAGTCTCGCACACTCGTGAACCCCCGGTGGAGCATTTGCGCGGCGACATATGGTTGGCGAAGGAGCGAGACGTCGTTGGCGTTGCCGAACGCTTTCGAGAGGTCGCCGAATCCAGGGACGGCAACGAAGTGGACGTGTGAGTCGATAAGGCCTGGACAGATGAATTTGCCGGTGCAGTCAATCACCTCGAAGCCTTGCTCTTGAGCGCTCTTGACTGCAGAATCTGTCGAGTCGACTATTGCGTCTATATAGCCATCTTTGAGGTGGATTGCTGCGTTGGGGCGGAGGCTTCCGTTTGTCACGTCGACGATGGTGGCGTTGGTGAGGATGTATCGTCGGACCGGACTACGGAGCCAGGGCTTCAAGTCTGCTTCGGTGACCATGGTGAATGAATGTAGGACGCTTTGGAAGAGGGGGGTTACGCCAAGATTGGAAAGGAGGTGGTGGCGAGGGGAAAGTCAAAAAAGGAGTGAGAAGTTTACAATTGGTGAATTCCGCTCTGTAGCTCGATTACTTGCTCACTGTTTTTCAGAGTTGTTTATTTATCCGATTGGCTCTGTCTAGAGGTATACCGTCATCTTGCGACTGTACATTTGGTGTTGCCAAAATTATCGGTAGCATGGCAGTGCATCATCGGATTCCTGGTAGCACGAAGCCATGTTGCCGATACCGGTGTCGGGTATCTGCCACGAATCTCCATTGTCATCGGCAACATGGCTCGCCCCACCCCCGTATCACCGCTATCTTGACGAGTCACATCCAATCCAAGGGATTTCCGGAGACTGTCCTGATATGCATCTCTCAGTGAGGGGAATGGAAACATAACCCCGGGTTGACAGATGACATGCCATGCGACATGTGGAGACGCCGAACTCGTAGATCTTAAAACCGGCACTTTGCCGCTCTCTCTCCGAGGCGGTGGGTTTCTACATGGTTTGGCAGAGGCAGTTGACAAGGCCTTTTGACTTTGAGTTCAGACCTCCAACGAGCACTGACAATAATGGCTTCGTCCGGCGACACCAAGATCGATGCGATGAACAAGCAAGAGACTGGCGATCTCTCCCCAGAGAGTATAGAAGAGAAGAATGGGCAGGTGGTCGATCTTGCAGATGGTTACACCCTTGAAGAGGAAAAGGAAGTCCTCCGAAAGATTGACCTCGCCATTCTGCCCATGGTAAGCAATCAATTAGCCTTCAAGGGCAACAATCATCGGATGATTTGACTAATCAACGTGGCTGGTAAGATGTGCTTCGTCTTCTTCTTGCAATATTTGGACAAGCAAAGTCTAAGCTACGCCAGCGTAAGCCCCCCATTCTCTTGACAACATCAGACCCTGTTTCGATTCCGTGCTGACCAACATAGGTGTTTGGCCTCATCACCGACCTCAATTTGACCAGTTCCCAATACTCATGGTGTTCCTCTATTTTCTACGTTGGTTAGTCATTCTTCGACGCTCTTCAAGCTGCCTTGGGTCTAAATACTTCTTAAAACAGGTCAACTGGTATCTGAATATCCCTTCATCTACTTGATGAGCAGATTCCACCTCACAAAGTTCGTCGGAGTCACCATGTAAGTCTAATCACTCATAGCGATCTTCGCCCTCTGTTGAGGGACAGCTTCTGATAACTTGTTTTGTGATAGCGTCATATGGGGCATTATTTGCATGTGTCTTGCAGCCCCGCACAACTACGCTGGCTTTGCTGCCGTTCGATTCCTCCTGGGCTTCGCCGAAGGAGCTGTATCTCCAGCGTTTATCACGATTACGAGTATCTGGTATCGAAGCAACGAGCACGCACTCCGAACAGCGTAAGCTCTTCTACCCACGATGCACACGTCATCGATACTGATATTAGACAGGCTCTGGATCACCATGAACGGCCTCGCCCAGACCTGCGGCTCCCTGCTGATGTACGGCATCGCCAAAAATACTCACGCTCTTGCCCCGTGGAGAGTACTGTTCCTCATCTGCGGAGCAATCACTTCTGCCGCCGGTATCTTCTTCTATCTCTTCATGCCCAATGGCCCCAAGGATGCGTGGTTCTTGAACGAGCGCCAAAAGCAAGTGCTGTCTATGCGTATGGCCAAGGACCGAGAAGGTGGCGATAAGACCTCATTTTCTATGCAGCAGCTCAAGGAGGCTATCTTCGACAATAGGACCTGGTTTGTGTTTTGGTTCGGTGTTCTGGTGACCATGCAATCTCCTGTTCTTACGGTACGTACCACCTATTCTTGGACAAGGTAAATGGAACTGATCGTGTGTGCATTTAGTTTGCTTCGCTCGTCATCAACAGCATTGGCTACGACAAGTACGAGACTATGCTTTACACTGCTCCTTCAGGTATGTTGCTATTGCGTTTGACTGTGGAGGATTACGTCTAACAGATTTCTAGGTGCTGTGCAAATTGGATTATTGTGGATTGGTGTCTGCGGTTGCATGCTGTTCCCCAAGCAACGAAGTCTGGTAGCCCTTGTGCTCATCCTACCGCCTCTTATTGGCAACGTACTCCTTATGAAGCTATCCACTAGTGCCGGATGGGGTATGATCGCTGCATCGTGGATTGTAAGTCAGCCACTATCGAAGCTGTCTCTGGACATAGGACTGACCCTGCCTAGGCATCATGTATCACCGCCGTCTGGTCTATTCTTCTCTCCCTCACCGCATCAAACGTCAAGGGAAATACAAAACGCGCCATAGTCAACGCTATGTTCTTCATCGGGTACTGTGCAGGATGTATCGGTGCACCGCAACTTTGGACCAAGAAGCCGCGATACTTCAACGGTGTTGTCACAGCCATTGTCACATGGTGCTTGCTATTCGTCGAGATTGTTGTGTACAGATACCTTTGCGCAAAAGACAACTCGAAGAGAGACGCTGCACTTTCTGGTGGACAGCAGAGGCAGAGCGAGGACGAGGTCGTTTTGGATGCAGGTGGTGCTCCTGAGAGCGACTTGACGGACCAACAGGACAAACTTTTCAGATACAGTATCTGAGTATGCAATGCCATGAGAAGGTAGAAGGTGCCAGGATAGTAAGAAACTTGTCGGAAACTCGCCAGTTCAGAGCTTTGGGATAATTCCGTAGTCATTATCTACTTATTCAACAACCAGCGCTTGAGAGTTCTCCAATGCTGACAGTGGGCCTTGCAGAGACCAACTGCAAGGTTTCCAGCTTTTCGTTAGTATCCATGTTCCCACTGAAGCATTTAATGTCTTGTAGAAAGAACCGCTACTTTCCTATCTTGATTCACGAGGCTCTAGGCATTCTTTGCGGTGTTGACAAACGACATGAGTGTCCAAATTGAGACTGCCGAGTGCTCTGATATTTCCTCATACTGCAGCCGCTAAATCAGCCAGGTCACCAGCCCATCCGAGGCTTACGTTTAACACTTTTTAGGTGATCTTAAAATCTCGTAGCGTTTCAAAATCAAATTGAGTTTGAAACTGTGTGGTGATACCTAGCTTTGGATCTTGCCGGCACGATCAGATGAATATGTGTCAGCGAATGCCTGAACATTGAGTCGTTGAACTTGTCTTAGGTCAGATATGCGCTACTAATTTTGTATGATTGAATCTACGACAGTAAAACTCAAGAATGATGAATAAACATGAACTCTGAAACCCCCGTACGATACTGTTGAACTCGGGATTTTCTGTTACAAGACCTGTAAATAGTGTGGTATGTGGAATGATCTAGATATCTTTCCGCGCATGTTTGCTGTAGTTTCTGCGCAATGTAGGGCCGACCTGTGCAAATTTAGCGACACGACACTACTTAACAAAGAATTTTGATGAATTACCTTGTAAAGTATGATTGGAATGGGAATGAATAGGATCGACAAGAACCCTAAAAGAGAACTTGCCCATCCGACCCCCAACTTGTTGTACATGGCGTTCGCGAACAAGGGGAATCCTGCACCAAATGCGCTCCTGAAAAGATCATTTCCAGCGAGAACCGAAGCGGAAACATTCGGATATGCGTCAGGTAAGTAGTTGAGCACTGAGTTGAAGAGCAAGAACGACCCGATGCTAAACCACGCGGAACCGATAATTGGCACGATCCAGTGAATGTCCGGCCTTGACGTCCATCCAAACCAGAAGAGGCAGATAGGGATGGCGAAGCCGCCGAAGAATGCGGGAGGTAGACGCTTCTCGGGCTGAATATCTCCGTTCTCGTCGAACTGTGGCTCAAGATATTTGTGCAAGTACCAAAAGAACGGCGGAATGACGATCAAGGCACCGACCAAGATTCCCACGAATGCGACACCTTGGAGACCAATGTTGAACCCATACATGCCGGTGAATACAATTGGGAACGACTCGAACCAAATGTAGAGCAACCCATAGATCAAGGCGATGTAGAGATTGAGAAGGAAGACCATGGGTTCTGTGAAGTTCAGCGTGAACGGCCGGACCAAAGACACCATCATGATGTCCCTCGGAGTCATCTCCTCTGCCATCAATTCAGCCTCACACATGAGTTTCTGGTTTCCAGTGAGCTTCCGAAGACGTTTTGCCCGTCTATAAAGGATATTGTTGGCACTTGTTTCGGGGAGGCAGAAAAAGAGCAAGACGAATGCGAACCCGCTCAACCACATCAGTTCCCAGATGGGCCAGGTCCAACCCTTTGCCATGGCTGCAAACCCTCCGATCGCTGGGGCTAACGTTGGAGAACAGACTGCTGCGACTCCCCATATACCGATGGCGTAGGCTCTTTTCTTGGGTGACCAGATGTCTGCCAGTGTTGCACCTCCGGTCGCGAGGACAGGCGACCCGACGAACCCCGTGATGAATCGGAAGGCTAGCAGCATACCAAAGTTGACTGCCATTGCCGTAGGAATCTGAAGTAGGACGAAGAGCAGGAGAGTGCTGATGTAAATTGGGTTGCGACCGATCTGGGGAATTTCGGATAGGGGGCTCCAGATCATCTACATTTCTCGTCAGCACATGCGTTGGAAGAAGGCGTAAGAAGACAGTAGGAAAGCGTACCGGACCAAGGCCATATCCTGCAACAAAGAGCGTGAGGCCAAGCAAAGCGGCGACCTGGCTGACACCAAAGACCTTCATCACGTCCAACACACCAGCACTGTAGATGGCCGAGCCGATATAGACGCCCACCGTAAGCAGGCAGATCTGGAAGGTCACGAAGACCTTCTTCTTCAAAGACCAATTTTGAGGATTCTAAGCCATGTCAGTCTATTAATAGTACTCAGTGCTTTTGGTGCAGATGCTCACTTCGGGATCGTTAGGTAAAAAAGCGACGAGATTGATATTCTTGCCCTTCTCAGGGTCGACTCTTGTGCCGCTCAATTCGTTGTACTCCTCATCTCCTGGGACTCTCGTTCGGTCCGATTCCACACTGGCACCTCTTCCCCAAGGAAATCCCTCTTCGTCCTTGGTCTGATCAAACTCCTTCTCAGGTATTTCAACCTGGCCGTAGCGGGCGATATTGGCAGTCTTATCCGCGTCGACATAATCTCGCCATAGTTCAGGATTTTGTTCTTCATAGTACTGGAATTGCCTTAATTTTCCTCGCGTCACAAACCGGACGATGTGTCCAAAAGCTGCATCTCGTAGTAGCTCCATGATCGGTAGGCTTTGTTTCTCGTAGAGAAGCTCCTGATGCTGAGATTCGACGCCTTGCCACCTTTTTGAATATTCTTCCCCTCCTAACATTCCCGTCGTCATCAATAGTCAGCGGTGGATTACGGACAAGCATACCGCCCAAATTGTCCGGCAGTTAGGCGAAGGGCACCGTGCTGTCAAGGAAGATTTGACTGATGTTGAGACGAAGTGGCGCTAAAGGCCGTGCCATCAGCAGAGGGGGACTTGTATGATGATAGGGTCCAAATTCTATGACGGAAAGATGTTTCGGGAAACTCCTATTCGACCATGTCCATTTCAGACGAATCTAGCCTGACGTTGCTGCATCTAGACTCGCCTTGCAGAAGTGCGGGTGAGATCGATGACATCAAGCACGAGGCCAGCCGATCGTTTGACACTCACAAGAATCCTGGTTTTGTTAACGGCGCCGATCTCTTCGAGCTACAGGTATAACAGTCATTCTTCTTATTACCGATCGCCGCTTGGACTACAACACCTCATTTGATCGCCCGAGAAGCTGCCAGCTTTATCATGTCTCGACCGCCCGAAGACGTCGCGGGATCGGTATAGGTCCAACGGCATCTGACTGAATGTTATCTCCGCGCGCAGAAATTATTTGACTTCGTCGGACGTTACTTGGTGGGGTGATTCCATGCCGTGGCAACATTCGGGTTCAGTTCTGCGATTGCAAATGTGACCAATAACTGTAGGAGTCGGGCCCAAGCGGACAAGCACTCCCTAATATCGTCCAACGTTGCCAATATGTCTCGCACCGAGTACTTATGTTATTGAACCTTGATCGAGGCGACAGTCTTATATCTCTTGGTCGGTCTTCGGACATGAGGTTTGTTCGGTTTGTCCCCTAGTCAGCGAACCATGATAATCATTGTACTGGCCTTTGCGCGCACGGTGTTGCGGTACTCGCGCGAGGGTGTACATTTGACCTACCCTTCTACACGACTGCTTGGACGCTCATGTTCGTGTGACACTTGGCAGACGCGCTGCTCAGGTTGGTGACCGTGATCTCCCTGTGAACATGTTTCTTTGGATCAGTCGCCGCCCACGAGAACTGCTCAAATCGGGATGCAGGCTGTTCCAGAAAATTCATCATCTTCTCTTTGCTCGAAACATCTTCCGATTCAACTTGCTTAGACCCTCGACTGAATGGTAGTGATTCGAGGATGCGTCATGACTCGGGAGTGTCCCCCCTTAGGCGCTCGATGTCATCCTGGTGCCGCATGACTCAATCTTGTCTCCGACCAGGGCCCTTCTACACAACGGGTTCAATGAGTCGATAAATATAAGACGTCACTGTTGGAGCAGACCTAGGCCTGGAGGCACGCTTCTGAGCAGTCGGATGCGATTGTGTTATATCATCTTTCTTCGCGGTACAAGAGTCGGTATGCGATCGATGGATTCTGTCGACGTATCTTTTGCCGAGGATACCGAGATAAAAATAACATGAATCGTGTTCTTTCCTTTCGACATTCGAGGACTGGCTCAAACTTGGAGGTGACGCAGGACCTGCTCTACCTAACATCAGTGTATCTGGGTTGAAGAGACAGTCAGTCGGTAAACACGATGTAATTGAAGAGGATTTTACGCTTCGTTTCTGGGAGGAGTCTCGACGATTTTATTGATGGCACCAGCCTTGCTCTTGGTACCTCCATGCAACGTTTGCGCTTACCAGATGGTTCCGCCTGAGCAACTAGCGAATTGAGCTTGAGGACCCGTTCGTCTGCTGAAATTGTCTCATCCTCGAGGACCGTCAGGATACCTGCGATCTGGTCGGACAATTCGGTGATGTCTGTGGATCTTGGATCGGTTGCCAACTCAATCTCCTCTGCCTCAGTGAACGACGACACGGCATCTTCTGCGTCTTCAGGAGGTGTGAATTCCAGATGTCTCCAATCAATGACGACGTCTGTCTTGTCCCATGGGTTTGCCAGGTCGTCTCTCGGGCACGTGGTCAGGTTGCATTCGACTGGTGGTACGTCAGGTCCTGGGTGTAATATAGTTGCGCTTAATGCACGTCGATGACTCCATGGGGTGGCCTGCTTCCGAAGGTAGTGATGTGAAAGCACTGGCTCGAAAACTCGGCGTCAGCGACGAAAATTGTCTCGAACCAGTTGAGGATGGCAAAATTCACCTTTTTACGCGATTCAACTATTCACCTGGTCAATCATCTCAGGGCCTTGATTAAGAAAAGATTTGGATCGCATGCATGTATGCTTCACCTGGTCTGAACTTTTGGCCCAAGAGTACCGTAAGCGTCCAAAATGGCGTTCATCTCAATGGCCCTCGGTGGTATCGGAATTGGGGCGGAATTTGCATAAAATGACAGGTTCAAGAGGTTAATAGTAAGCCTACTTGGGTATATCAGAATTAGGATGGTTACGAACAAGGCGATGTCATCTTGAAAGAAAATAAACTCAGACAAATACTGGTCAAGCAAAAGTCCAGCCTTGGAGGAAGGAAAAAGGAAGCATGCTATACAATTTATGCACAGATTTGATCACACTTTCATCATGTCTTTCGCTTTTTCTTTCATCAGAAGTCGTTGTAATTCATCTGTCAGTGCCATAACCCTGAGCACGTATCACATCCCCTCTATTTCACACACCAAGACAACCACAGCCACGCTGTTCTTTCCTTGATCCAGTAATCCAGTCTCTTAACATCCCATCTTCTCTTCAGACCAGCTCCAGTACTGTTCATGGGATAAAGTTGGTTGATCTGGTCCTGAAAGGCTGTGTAGGTAGTTGTCGGTGGTAGTAGTGGCAGCGAAGCACTTAGGGCGCGTCGAGAACCCGAATCCGGTGACGGGCTTGCTGGAGGTTCAGGTGGGGGAATAAGGTAGGATAATGCTTCTTCCGAATATGGCGGCGAATCTCATCGCAGCGGCTGTATCGCTTGCCACAGTAGCGACAGACAAGAGTGCTGCCGTAATCCTTAGGCTTCTGGGGCTTCTTGGCCTTCTGAAGGCGAGGGGCAGGGCGGGATCGGGCAGGTCGCATTTTCGCCGTTTTGCCTGCAACCTTGCGGCGGTTAGGCCTCTTCTTGGGACTGTTTGTCATCTAAAGTTGAAGAGTCAGTAAGAGAATTCATCTATATTAGAACAGTCAAGGAGATGAAAACATACCCTCCTTGTGGTGTTGGTTCATCCGCTTGTGTAATTGGGAAGGGATTGTTTAAGAATATGTTATGTTTGTCTTCTTCTGTTTTGCACTGAATAGAAAAGGCAAGAACAAGACTGCAGCTATAGGAAGCAGGAGATGTGGGGCATCGGGTTGAAAGTGGTTATTCTGATCCCATGATGGAATACATAGCCCTCACTTGACCGCCCATACCACGTGCTCAAGGGAACACCTCGACTCTTTTTCCATATCTATCACTTCCGTTTAGCCTGACAACTCGAGCTTTCCTTTGCAAGTCAAGAATAATCGGATCTTTCCTCAAGTTGTCTCTTACCTTCAAGCAGCGCAGCAGGAATCAGACTTCTCGACCTCAAGCTTCCTGCTTTCGTCAGATCGTCCGTAAGCTACCACCTCTCTCCTCTTTTATCCCTCCGATTAGATTGATTGTTTGAAGCTAACCTTGACTATTTCCAGATCGAACAATCTAGATTTCCATTCAATCAATACGATCGCCAATCGGATCCAGGTATTTCCTTCGCCTCATGATCACATTGATCTGGGCATCGTCTTCCATCACAACCCTATCTCATCCTCTAGTCTCACTTCCCGAACGTAAGTGATCAACCCTCTCTGCCTTACCCATCTCCTTGACGTCCACTGATTCCTCAAAGGATACACCAGAACGAGAGACAAGACGCGATAATGGCGGATCTTAACACGGCGGCATCCTTCCCTCACTTTAAGAAGGAAGGAGATTACTACCGTCTGATCATCGACGGCGAGGCCTTCCTTATTATAGGAGGTCAGGTTAAGGCGTCTGCTTCCTCATCTGCTGCCCACATGGCTCGTCAGTGGCAGAAGATCCAAAGACTCGGTATAAATACTGTGTTACTTGTCATCTCTTGGGAGGCTTTTGAGTCGACAGAGGGCCGATTTAACCGTGACTTGGTTATGACTCTGATTGCACAAGCCGGCTCAGCTGGCATACGAGTACTACTCACTTGGTACGGTTCTCTGAAGGGTGGCACTGGAGACAGTAAGTTCTTTCTCTTTCCTTCATATTTTGACTTTGGTCCAAAAGGCCTCCTTCTGAGACCCTTCCTATTCCTGCCACCACTGCCCTTTCACTCTCATTTTCCACTCAATTCTATCTAATTCCCCGTCAAATGTCTTTCGGCCATTATTTTCTCTTGAAGTATCTACAGAGCAAGGACTGACTAACTCGTAATAGACTTGACTAGCTATGCACCTAGCTGGATCAAGATGGACCCTGCGCGCTTTCCCAGGATGAAGGGCCGTGAGGGCGGATACAACGACAACGGCGAAATGAATGGATGGAAGGTGGTAAGTACGCCTTCGGTGTCACTCTTTGGCCCTGAGTTTCTCAGGGCTGAGAGGAAGGCGTACTATGAGTTCATGAAGCAGGTCAAGGCCGCTGATCCTGACCACAACACCATCATCATGCTGCAAATTGGCAGTGAGATGGGTCACCTGTCTTGGACCAGAGACGTGTGCGACGAAGCCTTGACTGCTTTCGATAAGGATGTTCCGGATAACTTTTTGAACTTTCTCGTCCAGTCTGGCTCGGAGCTCTCTGATACCAATCCTCACTGCTGGGAGGAGTTCGCCAACAGTTCAGAAGGCACCGATGAGGTTTTTACAACCTACCATGTTGCCACACATATAAATTCACTGGCTGGGATTGCCAAAAGGGCTTTCCCAGTTCCGGTCATTGTCAACATCGCTCTTGAAGCCGCTGAGGGCAGGAAGTACGGTGCCCCTCAACCTGAGACCTTGCATCTCTGGAAGGCCTTTGCTCCCAACATCGATCTCTATGCACCGCGCATGACGCTTCTTAACCCATACGAAAAAACCTGCGAGGCGTGGGGCATGAATGCGAACCAACCCCTCCTTGTCCAGGCCCACCCCCAGGATGATGAGCACATTCGCCAACTTTGGACCGCTTTCGGATCCCATGGCGCTATTGGAGTTGTTCTTTCTACCATCGAACAGGTGGTGATTCAGGGCGGATCCACCATTGCCAATCACTCTGCCCTCTTACGCCAGGCCGCCCCCTTTCTCTTGAATGCTCAAAACCAACGCTATCCCCACATAGGAATAGCTTTTGGTTATCCGAATGAGACCGATCAGCTACAGTTCAAGTCTGGAGATTTCGACATCACCATCAAGAAGCTTTCGCTGGGCGGCTTCCGTGGAGGAGGCCACGGTCTTGCCATCAGCCAGGACAACGGCAAGGTTTTGCTCATCGGCTGTGGCTTCGAAGTCAGGGCCAAGTCTCATCTGTCTGAATCTGATGGAGTGAATGTCACCCGCATTCTCAGCTTCCATGAATTAGAGATTGACGAGGAAGGTGGCTTGCGCACCCTGCGCATGTTCAACGCCGACGAGACTAACGGCGGTAGAGTTGCCAAGATGGATACTGTGACCCCCATGATAGCAGAGGTCCAGTTCTACTGTATAAAGGATTGAGATTCGAGTTGTGCCAGTATGGAATTCATGTAGATTTAACGGAGACAGTACTATGGTGCTACGTTCCGTCCTGGGGGCTGCGGTGACACCTTGCTTAGACGGGACATGCCCCAGATAGAGTGGCCTTTTCAGATATCCCCTCTGCAGCTGAGCAGAGCACAGTTAATATAAATCTTTCTGCGTACTTTTGTTGTGGCATTTTTTACCCCTTAGGACATGTTCTATTTGATCTACTCCTATGAGCTTTAGAGACAAGGATACTCTTCGACTTGAAGACACTCAATGGGGAAAATCAGCCTTTTAACAGAAATTGAAAACACTCAGGCAGTGCTGCAACTGAGCTCTTTGGACAATTCTATCCGCGCCTTTTGAAGGCTCTCTATCGTAGGCGTAGACACCCCGGTCTTGACAGCGGCGGCTGACTCTGGCTGAGAACGACACAATAGCTCAAAACATCACTACATGTACGAAGCAGAGCCACTCAACATCGCCATGTTGGTTCACGGGAATATATGACTTAGAAGTGCTAGTACCCTAGTCGGTATCCACCCCCCAATCGTTGAGACATGCGGTCCTCCTGTACGTGCCGCATTTGTGCTGCAGAAGATCCAGATATTTGCTGCAACTTAGCGCCGCCAAGCTACGTGGGTGTCAACATGCGATAGTCCTACAAAACCCCGCGTCCCGGCATGGAATTATTTGCAGACTTCTCGCACATCACTTCATTCTCTTCCAAGTATCAAGCAGAAGAATAACGCACTCATAGACACAATTATGCCCGGCTCGGTTCGTGTCGTGGAGGCCTTGACCAGTCAGTCGACCAACGAGGCATCCACCGAAGGCGTAGCCGCAGCGTCGGCTCCGATCGAGGTTGACGGTGGGATCAGCGTATGTGGGAACCTCACATTACCTCTAGAACTCAATAATAATTCCTTTCCTCTGTCACCAACAGGACGATGCCTCCACCATGGATGATCGCATGTGAGTTTATCGCTTCACCCAGCACAGACGGCTTCAACGCCAACAAGAAACTAATTCTCATACTAGGTCTTCATACACAGCCTCCCTGTCATCATCGGTGGTAGACTTTCCGACCGAATATGGTCGGACTTATCACGCATTTCGAGCTGGCTGTAAGTTGCAGCTTCTTAGATATAATTCTTACCTGCAGCAAGCGACCCAGCCTATAACAATCCGCACAGCCTACAACTTTCCCAATGACGAAGTATGTATTTGGAAATATGCTACAGCGGGGTGGACTACTGATGTTGCACTTTTATCGTCAGAGAGAATCCGACAGGCTTGATTTAACTCACACTGTGATGGTCAAGACCATCGGCAACAAGCTCTTTCTGGCACCTATCGATGAAGCGGAAACGCACCATATACTTGACATAGGCACTGGAACCGGTATCTGTATGCTTCTGGATGAATTACCATGATCTAAATATGCAGGGCTGACGATGTTGATATAGGGGCAATTGAGATGGGGGACTTTTTTCCCAGCGCAGAGGTTCACACCCCTTTTTGCAGGACATGCGGGGTTCTATTTGCATGCTGACATTGCTGCAGATAATCGGCATTGACTTGAGTCCTATTCAGCCGTCTTGGGTGCCTCCTAATGTCAAGTTCGAGGTCGACGATGTAGAAAGCCCTTGGGTAGGGAACAGGAAATACAATTTCATTTTCAGCCGCTACATGGCTGGATCCATCGCAGACTGGCAACTCTACATTAGTCGAATCTTGGAGTAAGCTACCCTTGAAATGTCTCCAGTCAGAGGTTCAGTAGGAATGACAAACTTTTGTAGGAACCTAATCCCTGGTGGATGGGCCGAGTTCCAAGACTGGAGCTTGATGCTCGACTCGGACGACGGCACCCTCAACAATACCAAGACGCACCGGTGGGCCACCCTGTTCATGGAAGCCTGCGCGAATCTCGGCCGAGACGCGGCGCCAGGACCGAAGTTGGAGGCATGGGTGAAGGAACATGGCTTCCAAAACGTGCAACATCGACACTACAAGATTCCCATCGGGCCTTGGGCAAAGGATCCGACGCTGAAGGACATTGGGATGTGTAATCTCATCCAGATGCTGGAAGGACTCGACGCTTTCACCCTAAAGTTATTCTGTACCGCGCTGGACTGGACTAGGGAGGAGGCACTCGTGCTGCTGTCGCAGGTCCGTCAGGAAATGAAAGCTTGCAAGTCTCACGTCTACTTGCACTTGTGAGTCTGATTGAAGCCCCTTTCAAATTCCTTCCCCGCGAGTCTTCATTAGCCTAACGAATGTCGCAGCCACGTTGTCTACGGACAGAAGCTCGATTAAGGGGAATGAACTGGGATGGTCCAGAGATTAGTTTCGATATGAATTGTCCCTAGATACATGTCACATAGTTCCACGCCTTTGGTCTATTTTCAAGGAAGACGATATGCTGAACAAAGGCACTGATGCAAAAACAACGACACCGTAACCTCTGAAAAGTTTCCGGTCTCCGGTTTTGGGTTGGCTTCCGATAGACCCCCAATGGTTGAAGTGAAAGTTCCCAAGGACGGTCGAGATGTAAGGGCTGTACAGCGAAGTGGTTGCCAATGTCAGAGAGCATCAGGATGAACGTCATCCCACATCGCCCAAATGAGAAGATAATTGGCTTGGAAGTCGGTTAAGACCTCTGCAACTTCCCAAAAGAGTTGCTGTTTCCCGTCACTGACGGAAAAACGAGGTGGTAAAATGGGTTGGCGTCTCCTCTTGGCACATCTAACCCCGCAAAGTGACAGCGTCGTATTTGGCAGTTTCGAGGCAACGGACGTCAATCCGCCGAGATGTTCCTCCAACTAGCTGACATTCCCCCTCCCGCGCCAATGAGTCTGGAGTAGAGGAAAGAACCTGAGAGATATTCCTGTGGAATAAAGCTAGCATCATCAGCTCATAAGTTCCCATCATGATCGACCTGGTTCCAGAAGTCTGAACCAGCAGCTCAAAGCTCGTGTCTGTTTCTGGCAGTGCTTTTTCCACGATGTTGTCAACTCGTCTGCTGCTGCTCTCAGCAGCCCTCTTCCTCTTCACATCCTCAGCAGCCTCCACCAAGAAGTCCCGCGACGAAACCTTCCAAAACCCAGTCCTCTACGAAGACTACCCAGATAATGACATCTCCGTCGGCCCAGACGGCGCATTCTACTTCTCAGCCTCCAACTTCCACTACAGCCCCGGCGCTCCCATCCTGCGGTCCCTCGACCTCGTCAACTGGGAACCCGTTGGCCACTCCATCCCGCGACTAAACTTCGGCGATGCCTACGACCTCCCGCCCGGTGGCCCGCGCGCCTACCGAGGGGGCACCTGGGCCTCGACGCTGCGGTATCACGAGACCAACGGCCTGTGGTACTGGATCGGGTGCACCAACTTCTGGATTACCTGGGTCTTCACCGCCGCATCCGTCGAGGGCCCCTGGTATAACCGCGCCAACTTTGGTGGTGAGAATTGCATGTACGACAATGGCTTGCTGATTGACGACGATGACACAATGTACGTCGTCTACGGCAACGGCCAGGTCAGCGTCGCTCAGCTCGCTTCCGATGGGCTCAGCGTCGTGAAGACGCAGCAGGTTCTCCAAGCATCTGATGTCAACACCGAAACTGTAGAGGGCAACCGGATGTACAAGATCAACGGCACATACTACATCCTCAACGACCAGCCCGGCTCCACAACCTACATCTGGAAGTCGAGCAGCCCATGGGGTCCCTACGAGGCCAAGATCCTCGGCCAGAACATCGCCCCGCCCCTCGATGGAGGAAATTCACCTCATCAGGGCAGCCTCATCAAGATTGCGCAAGGAGACTGGTACTTCATGTCCTTCACCTGGGCGTATCCCGCCGGCCGTATGCCCGTGTTGGCGCCCATTGTCTGGGGCGCGGATGGGTTCCCTGAACTCGTCAAGGGAAGCAATGGCGGCTGGGGCTCATCATACCCCTTGCCACTACCATCCCAACCGGTGTACAACTGGACGCGAACCTATACTTTTGAAAGCGAACTCGGTCCGACCTGGGAATGGAATCATAACCCCGATGTGGCAAGCTTCGAGGTCAATAACGGCGTAACGCTCCGCACCGCCAGCGTCACCGAGGACATTTACTCTGCGAGAAACACCCTCACCCACCGGATCCACGGGGAGTTCCCCAAGGGCACCGTCGAGATCGACTTTAGCAACATGGTCGACGGCGACAGATTCGGGCTCGCGGCTTTCCGCGACCAGACGGCGTACATTGGCATCCACCGCAATGGCAGCGAGTACACCCTCAAGGCGATCCACGGCATCATCATCGACGAGTGGTCCGGCAATCCCGTCGACCCAGGCAGAGAGGTGGCTTCTGCGCCTGTACCCAGTGGTGCTACCAAAGTCTGGTTTCGGGCTGAATTGGATGCGAGGCCCACGGGCACTAAAGACGCCAACTTTTTCTACAGCTTTGATGGTGCCCAGTTTACCAAGTTCGGCGAGACATACGAGTTGTACTCTGGGTGGGCGTTCTTCATTGCGTATCGCTTCGGTATTTTCAACTTTGCAACGAAGCAGTTGGGAGGGTCAGTCAAGGTGGACTCCTTCACGGCGGCGTAAGACAATGTTTTGTGCTTATCTTAGTAGTTTAAGGGTATAGCTTTCCTGTCAATAAACACAAACACTCGAAGATGGAGAGTAGCAGCCTTTGGGTATTTGAGTGTTGAGGGGGGTCCTCAAAGTCGCGTTTGGCTAATATCAATCTGATTATATACATCCGAGAGTTACATTTTTCGGTCACACCAAAGGCACGATGAATTCACGCCCTGACTTGTGTTGATTGAAACAAACCAGATATCACGGAGTGAGATGATGGCCTCTCCTGTTTTCTCAGCAACTACGTGGCCCAGCTAGACGAAGCCCGCCAACCCAACAAGCGGCCATCTCACCGAATCCCACCGGACCCTTTGGCAACTTCACCGACTGGTGTGCGCAGCGCCCCTCCCATCCAGAGAACAGTGGAGACAGAACCCGCCTTGCTCCCCTCAGCTCAATGACGTCCCGAAACGGATATCTTCTAGAAACTCTGGAAAGAGATGTCATCTTCACCCCCATCCCCTGTCCCGCTGACTCCCGCGGCCTTGACTCGCCAGACCTCAACACACCTTTTACATTGCCACAATGAATCACCCGTTGAAGAATGTTTGGAGCCTGCTGCGTGTGCATTACATACCCAACACGTCCGTTCAGGGACGAGCCCTGAGACCCTTGAAATACACAGCGAAGAAAACAGGATGAGGCAGCAAGGCTGTAAGCGAAGAAATGGATGTTTGACGTGCGAGTGGACTTTCATACCCTAACAATGAACAAGTCCTCTTCATATCACTCCTCCTCCTCTGTGTGTTTGTATGTGTGTAGATGGCCAAGTCACCGAGTGTCCCGAGCTCCTCACAGCAAAAACAAGCTGAGCCAAGACAAAAGACCAACAAAAAACTTAAAACACGGCAAATCTACCGGACAAGTTCCGCAAACCGCATTCCCCACCCCGTCGGGAAGGGCGGTCGGCATCCATGAGCACCAGGCGGGGCCGGGTTCCCAAAGAGCGGTGCGAGAATCCAACATCATCATCATCATCACCCACGCCGTCTGGTCGTTCCTATCTGAGGGACCGCGCGAGCCCACACCTAGGCACTGTTTCACCACCGATATGTCTATCCAATGCCGATGCTTTTGGGGTCAAAGTTTCGGCTCCTCCCAACCCTCAAGTTGATCTTGGCGCGAAAAGGGGAGTCTCCGCCTGCAATAGCCCGGCCTACCTGGTCCCCCCCATGGTGGCGGGTGTGTAAGGCGTGGAATGGAGATGCTTGGCAGACTCAACATCTATGACAGGACCCAGTAAAGCTACTCCATCAAAAAAGGGAAAACGGTGAAAATCTCCAAAAAAAAATAAAAAAAAATAAGGGGTAAAAGGAGGGTTACTGAGGGTAGTCCTTGTCTGTACGGTAAGTACGAATACAATGTCCATTGTTTCGCCGGGCGCCAACTTCACAATGACCTTAATGATCAGACGAAAGCTGAATAATTGACTTTAGAAGCGGATCAATCTCGGCGACTTCATTTTTGTTGATTTTCTCTTGCGCTCGGACGGCAAGGCTCTGGAATGTGTCGCAGGACTTGGGCCGACGGCAAACTGGTGATGGCCTCAAACGCTCACTATCATCCGAGCATCAAAATTGCGAAGTGCAACTTCGGCTTCTTCATCACCACATGGAGTACGCCTAATTGCAATGTTTTCAGACCTTCGTTTTCATAAAAAGGCTATCGTAAAACTTTTGAACTTAAGCACTGGGGTATCATTCCTATGTACATGACCGCCTTCGACTCTCTTTTTTCGTTTGGCTCCTTGCCTGATGCGCGCCATAATCCGTAAGCGCCTCTCAGCCAAATGCTGCCAATGAGTAACTTCCAGTTCACTGTTTTCAAGTGTGACAGAAGATCCATATGGACGCAAATCTTTGCCAAGTTTGCTTTGACGATACTGCTTCATTTGATGACCCAGGGGAGCAGAACATTCCCAAGACATTTCGGCCTCGAGCATCCCTCGCAAACGCCCTCGAGTCTAGTCTTTGTGGGAGCTTAGAAGGCAGGCTCCTCGTTGGTGGGAGGGCCAGCGTAGTTCTTCTTGCCCCAGGCAAAGTACCAACCACCGGAGATAAGGCAGGCGGCGATGAAGACAGCGGGAGCGTAGTTGATGGTGCTGGGGGTGACGGGAACGAAGGTGGGCATGCAGAACAAGGGCATGGCAAGAGCAGACCAAGCTATCAAACAATTAGCCTTGAATTCAATTCTAACATCTCCAAGTCGGAAGTACTTACCAAGAGAGATCACGTTGGCAGCAACACCAAATTTGCCCAGGTTGAAGGGGCTGCCGACCAGATGCGTGCGACCGTTGAAAAGACTGATGCCAATGGGAATGGCGTACGAGGCAGTCAAGCAGATAACACCGACACCAGAGAAGGCGTTGAAGGCAGCGCTGGAGCCAAAGTAGATGACACCAAGAATGATCTGAACAACCATGCTGAGCATCATGGCGTTCAGGGGCACGTCCAGCTTGGGGTTGACTTCCTTCCACCACCGGGAACCAGGAATGGCGCCATCACGGGCGAAAGCCCAGGTGCAACGAGAGGCGGCGGTGGTGCAACCGATGCCGCAAAGGATGGCCAGGACAATGAGGGGGAAGAGGAGTCCAAATGCGCCGCCGGAGGTGCCCATGGCGTCCTTGACGATGGAGGGGACAGGCTGGCCGGAAGCCAAGTTGATCAGGTAGGTGATATCGGGGAGCACGAAAACGAGGGGGATGAGGAACAGGAGACCGGCCAAGGTGTTGAGGCAGACGGTCAGGACGAGCGCCTTGGGGACCTGGGTGGCGGGCTTCTTGACCTCCTCGCACATGGAGATGACCATGCCAGTGGACGAAGTAGCGTATCCGGCGTGAAGCAGACCAACGCAGAAGGACCAGCCATCGGGCCATCCAGAGTTGGCCTCGAAGTGGGTGAAGACGTATTTGGCATCGTGGCGGCCGTGCTTGGCAACGACGAGAACGGCGATGACGATGGCGAAGACACCGGCGAATGTCCAGAAAATGGCAGCGGTCTAAGTCACGAGAAGTTTAGTTACGCTTGCTTTCATTTCACACCAATACAGCACCGAGAACGCGGGACCAAAATCATTTCTTACATCAAGGATGGGCAGCCACTTATTGCCGAGCGAGGACACAATGTTGCAGAGGAAGGTCAACCCCAAGAAGATCAGGAACACCTGGTACGGCTCGCCGGCAAAAACGCCGACGCCAGGCGACGACTCGAAGACGTTGACACATGCGACGATGAAAAGAGCAGTTCCAAAGTTCACGGCCAGAGTGATGGTAATGTTTCCCACGACGTAGAGCCAACCGCAAATCCAGCTAGCCACGCGGCGGTACTTGGGAGACGACAGCATGAACGCTTGGTAGTAAACACCTATCGAGGGGTCATCAGCATGTCGTCCGGAATTGGCAGGTATCGGAGCCTGCCGGGGCGCCGTGAGGCGAGTACAGCGGGACAGAAAAGTTTGTAAGTACCTCCGGCAGTAGGGTAGACACTGGTGATTTCACCAAGCGAGGCAGCGACACAGATAATGATCAAAGACACGGCGAACCATCCCCAGATAATGTTCACCGGACCACCGCCAGCCAAGGGGTAGATCATGGTAGTGGCAAGGCCGTACGGAATAGATGCGAGGACGAAGGACATGAAGGCGACCTGTAGCGTTGAGCGATTACGCTCGAGCTCGGGCTTGTAGCCCAGAGACTCGAGCATGTTGTCGGCGCCGCCATCGTCGGAACGGGAAGGTCGGTTTGTGAAGCCATCTTTGATATCGCCCTTGGCGAAGCCGAGATCGTGCTCGCGGGCACCGGGATCTTGCGAGAGCACGTGCGCCATGATGAGCGATGGCCTATAGAGAGAGGGCCCTGGTTGTTGTTTGACTGTACTATCTGTCGAGTAGCAAGCCAAAAAGGGCTATGGGGCGACGAGAGGGGGAAAAAGAAGAGTTAAAAAGGTGAGACGACTCTTCCAACGGACATGAGGGACAATGAAGGCCTGATGTGTGATGGAAAGCCAAGAGGAAGGGAAGTTTGCTTTGGGGAGGGATCGGCCTGTCGTAACTGGACTCAAGTATTCCAGAGCCGAAAAGATGGGAAGACGGAGAGTTTAAAAGGAAGTAGGAAAAGAAAAAGAGGCAAAAATCGGCAAGGGTCGAAAAAATAGACAAGAGAGACAAATCAGACAGACAGGCTGCCGGAGACAGATTGACAGACGGCCGGCAGGGAAGGACTCGATTGAGTTGAGGCAGTCCTCACTCCTTACTGTACAACTTCCAGTCAGTGCCGTCCGTACTGGGCTATCAGTCGCTCCTCTCTCACTTCTTGGTGTCGAGTTCGCCGGGATGGTAGAATGACGTCCATCTCATTGGACGTGGACTTGGGCGGCGGGACCAAACCCCCAAAGAGTTGTAGTGTGCCTTCCACGCCCCCCATGCCCATGTCCATGTCCTTTGCCCCCCTCTCGGCCCCTTGTCCGTCCGTACTACTGTTGTGTAGTCGCATGTCTCGTCCTATCAGTGCAGTCCCTGTACTATCTGTCCACACAGGCGCCGTGTGCACTGCTGGGCATGGGCGGGCTCGCACAATGTCGATGAAGGGTTCCTTCCTTAGCGTAGGTTCCCTCAACTTGCGTCGGTTTATCTCGCGGGCTCTTGTCTGACTCGGGGTCCCCGGTGGATTCGGCCGGTGCCACAGCAATCTCGTTACCCACACCTCCCAAGACTTGCCGTGCAGTCAGCGCGGGTAGCATGGGCCTTCTCTCGCTTACGGACGACGTCCTGCGGCACAGTGAAGGGCAGGGCAAGGCAGCGCAGCGCAAGGCAAGGCCGAGAAAGAGCTGAGGTGCCTAGCATGTGGCCAGCGGTGGCCGTATCGAAACATGAAGCAACACATCGCTACAGCCGTAACTGGTGTGGTGCCAAGACCAGGCCGAAGCATTGAGCCTGTCAGAGCGCGTGTAGTGCCAGACTGTGTCGGCTCTGGACCTGGTTGCGGTAATTTTGTCCCGCGCTATCGACCGCAGGTCTAAAGCATATTGAGACCATCATTGGAACGATTGACCAAGGCAAACCGGCGGTACTTTGGACTCTAGCCTCTCAGCCTGTCTTGCATTTGCATTTCTGCTGTCTTGTATCCGTAATCATCAGCCGATTGGCCTGTGGTCCTCAGGACTTTGGTCCGCGCCTGTGTGTCGCACGACTTGGATTAGGCCTGGGCGGAGCGGCGGCGGGATGGCAAGACATTTAAGACTTAAAAAATCCTTTTTTCCGCACTATAGTGCCGCGGTTCAGCCAGTGATCAAGGTTTGGCTGTCCACTAGCTGGCGCTAGGAACCATGGAGGCATTGTTCTTCGTGCGTTCTTCGCGGCTTCTTGCGCATGTGTGCTATCCCGCATCTGCGGGTTGGGGGCGATGAACATTGACCAAGCTACCTGTTGGCAATGTATACACTGGTACTTGTCGACACCTATTTCCAGGTTATCCTCGGAAACTTTCCTCTTTCCCCTCTCCCGTCGGCGCCGAAAAGGAGGACACCAAGGAGCTGTGAAGCCGCGAGGCGTCGGATGAGGCTCCAACGCTCCACGCTATGACGCTTTGCGGCTTCCGCTCCACGTTCAATTGTCACCCTGTCGGGAGCAGACAATCAGGGACCGAAAACCTTGAGGCGGCAGGGAAAAAAAATCGTCAACCTCTGAGACAGCGAAGAAAAGATCCATTTCTCCATCAGGTCCTCCTCATCCTCGACCTGCTCAATGCACACAATGCAAAATGACGTAGTGGTGTGGTCCAAGTTGCCCGACTAGCGCCGCATGGTCTCCACGCAAATGCAGACCGTTGGTTCGCGGAGTGCGAGTCGTGGAGTCTTTCAATCTTCCGTCTTGCCGTCTTGATCCCGCCGGCGGTGGAGGACGACACGGTTGGCGGTCGCAAAGCGAGCGAGTTAGCGTTTGATAATTGAGCCAAGTCGACGGGCTCGGATGGAGAGAGAATGGAGAGAAATGGAGGTGAATGGAGGAGACTGGAGCAGATGGGGAGAGGAGACAAGGGCTCCCCCGTCCTGCACAGAGAATCTCAAGGTTGTTTCTGTGCGCCAACACAAGGTCGGGGGTCTCACTTCCCTGACATGACCAAGCCTATGTACTAGGATCGTGAGGCCCGCAAGCTCCCGTGGGAAGTGGTTCTGAAGAGGCCCTGAATAGGTGCTGATGTCACAGAGGGGGCTCCAAAGTGATGATCCGCCCACTTGCCTCACCGAGTTAGAGCCAAGCCGAGTCGTACGTAAGAGTATCTCTGCGCCGGCTTAACGCGGGTGAGATACTTGTCGTTGACAATCGTCTGTGGCTGTCTGCCCGCCATTCGTGTTTGTCGTCGGGATGCGAGGAAAGCGGTCGATTCCATGATGGGGAAGGCAGGTGAGTCGCCTCTTCAGAACCTACTCCAAGATGCAAGTGCCAAGCCGGCTCAGCGCCAAAATCGGCTCTTTGGTGGAGGAAAACCAGCCAAGCCGGGGAAAGGACGACGCCCGATCGTAGCACACGCGACAAGGACGTCGACGGTTGTCCCGCCGTGCTGGGTCGTCCACTTGTGCTGAAGCCTGAAGGCTCATTGATGGCGCAATTGTGCCTTGGACCCTGGAGACCCTGTCCACTGTCAGGCTGAACAGGAGGGGCACCCTCACGATACGTAGATACGTATCGAATCCGGGGAAAGGCTGAAAGGGCATGATGGAACAGATCGATAGCCTTGCATCATCAACAGCTTGATGGCATTCCCATGAAGTCCAGCAAGGGCGGGAAAACGCACAACGCAGGACTCGTGATGGATGCGGGTGTGGCGCTGTGATGACGGTCGTGAGTGAAGTGGGGATGGCGAGAACGAGGTAGCAGCACACCGAGAGCAGACCGAGAGATTGCTTGGCCCAAGTCCAAAAGAGGGTATACGACTTGGACGGGGTAAATTCTTTGGGTGCTTGCCCGGAGAGCACAACTCAACCACCGCAGAGCGCCTGTTTGACGAGCTGTCGTTGCGTTTGAATCCTCGTACGAACATACAGAGTAACTAATTATGCGTTCCCTGTCGGTGGCTTTGGTTGGGCTGGTCGAACGCCCGCAGACACGTGCGCCAGGGTCTTGAGAACGGTTCCTCATCCTTCGCTCCCGTACGTCAAAACATTTAGGTGCCGCTGAGCCGCAGCTGGAAACAAATTAGCGAGGACATCGCATGCCGGCGACCAACGGCATTCAAGAACCGGCCTTGGCCCTGGGGAGAGATCTGCGTTCAGATTCTCCGTCGCAGTGCAGTGCAGCAGATGGCCATGCGAGAAGGCAGGGCAAGGTACAAGGGGGAGTAGTGGTAACATTGAAGGTAATACAGGTCTTCAGGAGGGCATCGAGGGAACCCCGCTACCGCTCCTTGAGTAAGGAAGGTTGTTCAGAGGCACCAAGAACGCGACAGCTGGCGTTGAGGACGGACTGCGACGTGGAGTTGTAGACCGAGAAAAACATGCGCCGGTGTCTTGCACGTTGCAACATGAAGTTGGGTGGACTCGTGGGGTGAGGCAGCGTCCCTCCGTCGAGTCTGAGAAATGCGGCTACACGTCGTCGGGTCGGGAGCACGTGCTTGCGTGCGCATGGAACGGAAGGTGCATCTTAAGATGGACATCGCGCCTTCCCGTCCTTTCACTTACACTCGTACTTGCCGTCCTTGACGTCCGAAGTAGACGCGAGCGGGAAGGCGCGCAGGTTCCGAGGTGCGTGCTTGCCTCGCATCGTGGCATCCTCAAGGCTGACAGTGACCAGGCCCAGACCAGACCCACCCTCCACCGAGGACTTAGATCTCCTGCAGCCTTGCGGCGACCTTTGGGACGATGGCCAACTTTTCTCTTCCTCCATTGTGGGGGGTTATTGCCTCTTCCTTCCACGGATGTGTCCATGTCACCCGCGAATGCAAAATGCGACTTATAGCTGCACGAATCCTTTGACCCTTGCCATCGACCAGGCACAACTTCCTCGACGCTTATCTACTGTGTACCCGTAGGTAGACTCTCAGATGTGTCGACTGCACCACCCGTGCGGATAATGGCATCAAGATAGATGAGAAACGCTAACAGCCGGGGAAATGGTCCGTACACGAAAGCAACCAACATGCCGCATGGGACGGACCAGATCCTTGACATCGCTTCCCAGACTTCGCAAGGGCATTGATACAGCATGGGGTGATGATAGGCATGGAGCCATCGGTTCCGACTCTACCGACTCTGTTAGCGAGGTACTTTCAAGAACGATGGCGGCCGACAAACATCGCCAACTACCGGCTCCTAAGTTCTAACCCTCGGGAATATCGATGCTACGTGGATCACGCGACGTCTTCCCGAATCTAGCAAATTCATCCGACACAGCCTAGACGAAACCGATGGCTATCCCGACATTTACAAACACGGGACCTCAACGCCGGGAAACCGATGTGATAACGCTACGAGTGTCTCTGACCAAGTTGCCGCAGACTACGCCAGTGCTTCCTAGGAGATAGGACAGTCGCAACAAGCCATTCAAACCAGGGAGTTGGGGAAAGGCATTCTGCACTTCCGCTCAGTCTACCATTATATCCGTACGTTGCGGGGGCTTCGCTGACCGTGGCAATCAGCAAGCCCACTCGGTGTGAGGTCGGAAAGGGGCTTCCTCCATTACTGCGTGGGGGACCTACCGAACCCCGGACTGCTGAGGTTGCTTATCTGGTGGCTCAAGGATGGAAATGTGGACGCCGAAAAGTCCCCTTGTCGCTCATGGTTGCCTAGCCGCTATTCGAAAACAGCAATCGCCAATCGCCCAAGATAAGACACAGTAAGTTTTACGAAACAAGTCTACGGCCAAACATTCGGAATCAACCCAGAGATTACGGCATCATTTGGAGGATGACAGTCGCAAGCTGGGCTCTTATCTGGGCGGCATTCGCATCCGTAAAGCATATTGATCGGAGACAAACCAACCTTCACCGCTCACGTGGTCGGAATCTGCGAAAAGCATCCGACTTCCAATTTGCGCGCCGATCGCGTTGAGCAACAGGCGGCGCAATGTACATTGAGGAGGTAACATACGGGCAGATGAGTCGCAAGGCCAGCCGTTGACTAAAGCATCCAGGATCCGATGCAGTCTGGGCAATGATTACGAGAGGGACTCAGATACGCGCAAGAAAAGGATACGATGCATTGCATTGCGGAGCAGAGCAAGTCCACACGACCTGAGAAGACAGCCTTGTTGTCCAGGAGGCTCGAATCCACCGGGTTGCGTCTTCACAACGGTCGGCAACGGTTGGCCAAGACAGGACCACCACCAGCCAACATTGCTCAACAAATACTGTGCTTTTTTGTTTTTCGATTTGTCTCTTGGACTGTGAGTCTCCAGTCCCATTGTTGCGTACAAAATGCCGCGTTTCACCTCGGTACCTCGCACCGCTGGACCACGCGCTAAGCAGCACCGATCACATGCCTGCAGCAGCCCTCGCCCCTGTACTTTGGGTCGCTTGGGTCCCCCGCCGCCCCCGGGGCTAAGGCTGCAGCGGTGCAATCTTCATGAAATGATGGCGCGTTCCAACAATTTCAGCGGGTGTAACATATGCGTGGAGACATTCGTTGGGACAACAGGTCGGAGGACGTCCGGAATGGGGGCACGAGCAATCCAGGCCCGGGCCCACAGTCGGGAATGAATCGGGCAAAGGGCTGGTCTGTGCATGGCAAAACACCGTCCCTGGTTGGTCCACGGCACATCGTCGGCGACGGCCCCACCGATGCAGAGTTCTCACAGGTCCCTCGTATCCGATGGCCCCACTCCAAGCCGTTTCCGCCCCATCTACTGGTCCGTTCCGCTGCACTAACATTTTCTTCAGACCCGATGCATGAGGAAAAAAGCGCATTGGCGGGAATCACCAAATTCGCACCAAAAACTCAATGGCGACGAATATTGACGACATCTTCCTGACTTGCAAAAAGACTGTTTGAAAGGGACGAGACTCGAACTCGCGCGGGTTGCCCCACCAGGAAACAGATGTTAAGCTGACCTTAACCTGGCGCCATAACCAACTCGGCCACCCTTCCATCACAGCGATTGACTAGGAGAGATGCTGTTTTTGCAGCAATTCGGGCCTCATAACGTGTTTTCAGATTGGGTGTTCGGCTTTGCTACGTCTGGGGCTGAATGGACTGGGTTATCGTGACGTGGGTTCCGGCGACTAGGCCATATCAAGACAATCTGAGCTGGTATTTCGCTACGCTACACCAAAACCAGCGAGTCGTGACTCCATGATATCTGCCCATTCATCACCGTTATCGGATTATTCTCGTTTTGGTGCATATATGGAGTGCAGACCTTTCATCCGCCTTTCCCAGCCAAGACATCGTGCCCTATCGCGACTCGTGTCGGTGCCGTCGTGCGCTTCAAGCCCTACTCCATGGCCACCAACTGCCATATCATCGTTTGTCTGTTGGCAATTTGTGTCGCCATGATCTTTCCCCTCATCACCATGGCTCTCATCACTACCGAGGGTGTCTTGCCGCTTTTCGCTATATCCTGAGTCGACTGGTTGAGGCAGACGCCGTTGTTCGTGTTACGAATCCGCAGCTTTCCTCCGTCCAACTGCACCGTTGCATAACAAAGGCGACATTCCGAGGAACGCATCCATACGCGCATCCGTCCATCTCGAGCTCTGCCTTATTACAGCTTTCCGGCCACCGTCTTGTCACCCTTCACATCCTTGAACCTTCACCAACGTCTCGATAGACAATCATAACACGCCCCGTGTTTGTGACTAGTTGCACCGGTTCGCGCCCATCATCGTCCATGGCCGTCTCAGCATTCGATTCGCCAACGTACGAAACATGTTGCAACGTCCCAGCTGGCCAGCCTCCCCGACGGATCTACAGTTGCGATGCGACTTGAGTTCGACGAGAAAGCGAACTTTGGAATTGGACGGCTGTTTGTTGTTTCTTTTGCTTTCGCGAATGGTCTAGATGTGCATACCGATGATGGTTTCCCAAACGTCCACGCAACCAACCGAAATCTATACAAGTAATCTACCGTTGGGCGAAAATTGCGGTGAGTGGAAGTCTGACCCCGTCATTAACTTTGCCTCGGGCGACTCGATCTACCCAGTCGAAGCTCCATACCTCGCATCTGGTCCCCAACCGGAACGAGAGCGCGACAACATTGCTGCTGGCCGGAGAGATGACAGTGCCGGGAATGTGGTCGAGGACGATTGCAGTGTCGACAAGCTGAGGAGGTAAGTTGCGCTTGACATTCCAATGAGCAAACCGCTGTCGCTGTGGACTCTCGCGAGGATGTCTTCTGATACACTCGAGCGTCGGATATGCGGCGCGATACCCTACCTTGAGGGCATTGTTTGTGAGAATCTACGTTGTACGTATATTGGCTCGTCCAGGCTGTTCTCCCGTCGCGTGTTGGTAGTACCGTGAGGCACGGTTCTACCTCTGAGCTGTCCGGCACTCACGCCTTCCTCCGTATTTAGACAGGGTTCTCATTAAGATACCTCACAACGGTTCAGGTTATTATAAATGAGCGTTTTACGACGCTAGCAACTGCAGCCTGCAGCCTGTCAGACCGCCGCGAGGTTTGAATCCGGGGCTGCCTATATGCTCTCGGATATGCACCACCATCATCGGTGGCAGCTTAGTCCAAACCTTGCAGATTGACACTGGCCATTATAAGTACAAGGTCCGAGGCAATGATGATAAGCTCTGTCGGCCAATGGGACCCTTCGGTTGATGAGATGTCCGAAAAGACACTCAGAATTGTGACAGCCTGGCTGTGTACGTAGCCGCCGGCCCTGATCCCGTAAATCTCGTCCGTCAGCCAGCTCATGACGCTCAAGTTCAGACTTAGCCTTCACATTGTCTATCTTGCGCGCTAAGGTAGAATCGCGCGTGTGGTTCAACTAAGCAACGTCGCTTCCGCCCTCAGCGCCGCCATCGAATATCTTATAACCTAGAATTCGGCCTGCCGCACTATCATCTGACCGCTAGCTGGAAAGAGGACGCGATTAGAAGTCTTGACAAGACCACAGGCGTCTTGCATTTGTTCGACTTTTGGCATGATCATGGACTGCTTTCCTTCCTGGGCCAAGTTACTACTCTTGGCCAAAGTCAACTACCGTGTGAGCTGCAAACTGTCAGGAGAATTTCTCTCCATCTGTGGGTACATTGCTGGGTTTGAAAGTCTTAGCAGATTCGACTTCGAGCCTCGCTGAAACCTGATGATGGATTCGGCAGATGTACATGCTTTTCGCGTCGATGACGATGGAACCTTGCACCTTTTCCGGTGTGTAGTCGGTGAAAGAGGATGGAGGGGCCATTGCGGCTTTCAGACGCATCTTGCACTTTGTAGAAAGGTCTACTGAAGACTTCATGTCAAGTGATTACCAAGGCTGCGTCCTAATTCTGCCGTCGAGGATCCTTCCTTCCCGTCATTGCCACTACCACTGTTTCTCTCCTCTCCAACTTTGGTTGACAGAACACAGCACCAAAGACATCGGTCTTGTCTTGTTCGTAATCATCTCCAAGCAACCCATCAAGTCATTCTCATTCAAGCCCCCAGGAGAAGGGAACTTGCTCACCCTCCCCAGCGACTCATCCAAAACATTGAGATCGAGATGAACATGCGTCTTGTCAAACGTCCTCCGGTCCAGTAACAACCCCAGCTCCTTTGCAAAATCACCCTTGCTCTCCGCGTCGCCGCAGATGACATTCATACCAGCCTCCGTGACCGTCTGCCGCTGGAGCTTAGACACGTGTCTCAGCCCGTACTACGCCAACATATCGAGGCTCACCGGCTTGCGGCTCTACATGGATTCCAGAAGCTTGTCCCAGCTCATTCCGGCCGCCATCGACAGGGCCATCATGCCGAAGTACCCGTTCTCATTCGTTGACGGGACCAGGCCATCGTACGCGTTCATCCAGAGGACGCTCAGATCCGGGATGAGGCGTTGAGGTCGGCTCCTGCGGTGGGATTGGCGTAGTAGTTTCCTGAGAAGACCATCGGGAAGGGGTTGGCCTTGACGGCTTGCGAGACGGCGGTGGGGGTGCGGCGGATGATGTCAAAGGTGCGGCCGATTTCGCTTTCGAAGTCTTCTGCAAGGCCGATGTTCATGGGGAATATTGGGACTAGGGCTTCGAGCTTGTTGGTCAGGCCATGGGAGAGGATGCGGAGGGGCCCGCTGCCGACGCGGTGGTCGTAAAGGCTGACGAGGTACGGCGAGACGATGATTGTGATTGAAGTATAGAACAATGAGCGGGCGACTCTAGAGTTAGATCTAGGAATGTTTAGGTGGTATGATATGGAGACGGCGCTTCTTGTGTCCATCTGGTTGGGGTTTAGCACTAAGGCTATCTACTACTTGCGCAACTCGTCATGCTTGACCTCACCGTGCAGCTTCGCCAAACTTCGACCACCCAACTCCAGCAGGCTGGGTTTTCCGCATCCCAGTCTTGAGCAATAGCTGATCTTGTTTTCCTGTCATAAGTAACCTACTCTCGCCATCAAGCTGAAAGCTTTGCACTTACTCTCAATTTGTTTCGATTCGACTGTCAGCTTCAAATGGTGCATCAAATTCCAGCAAAGGTATGCTGCTCTCTCCTTCTGATCCCAACAGAGGTCTTTCTCACTCCCCTGTCGGCTTTTAGGAAACGACCGGACTGGAGGACTTCCTATTATATGCTCCTGTACCTTCACCTTCCCTTTCCATTGCCACAAAGAGAAAAAGGAAACAAACTCCTAACACGTGACGCCGATATTTTTGGCCATTCACCTTTTTCATTCCCTCTGCAATCAGAATTTTCTCCATCTGATTGCTTCCCCTTAAGGAACTTTCCTCTACTCTTTGACTAGCACAGCATGCTACTTGGTTCGTTTCCAATCTACTTACCATCCTCCCCAGCTTCAACTCCTTGCACATCACGCAAGACCATTACCTGTCCTTTCAAGCTTGGGACTGCCTCGTTCACAAAGCTTGCAAATCTTCCCGACGCTATGGATGAGACTTTCTTCAATGCCGAGTCTACATTACTTAAGGTTTCTACAAAGAATTAAATTCAAAAGGTTAGCTGATTCATCTTGCCCACCTTCCCTTGTGAGCTTCACTAACTTGATGGCAGCAGAATTGCAAAGACCATTTTTGCAATCAGCTGAATTATTTCAACCCACCCGGCCTCATGGTGGCTCGACTCAGATATCCCAACCGAAGCATCAGCCTCCTTTACCAGAGAACCCAGCTCTTCCGCCTGGAAAGCTGTCCATGCCACGCCCCCCGACGGCGCCTCCCCGCACCTCATCTATTTCATCGCCTTGTGGGTCCTGGGAGTGGTCCTGGCCTTTGAACCTGGAAGCACCCTCGATCAAGGCATATATCCCCGTGCTCTTCATCACTCCCGCTCCACGATTTGAAAACCACAGTTCCAGTAAGTTTGCTCTTCTAATTTGGTGTGCCCCTTTCTTTGAATCGTACATGTATCTTCAAGTCACAGTGAGGGCTAGATGATACCCATGCCCTCAGCCTCTTTCCCTTGTGCCTACTCAACTTCTACTCAAGACAACTCTATACACCCCCTCTTCCAAAATTTCATTCTTCTGGACGACAAGACTTCTTTGCTAACACAGATTGCAGATTCTTGACTTCAAACAGCTTTTGGCAAACGAAGAGCTTCCACGCACTGAGAATTTCTCTTGTGCTCGCTTCAACAGGCAGAAACTCCTGGTTCACACGCCATGCTTGCTCGAATCTGCAACAATAAGAAGATATCAGTATTACAAAATGATGCGGGTCAAGGCCATTTCTCGAACACATTCCTCAAACCCTCACTTCCATGTCCCACAGCTCTGGCGAGGGGCACGCCACATAGAAGGAGGAGGTCGCTTGAAATCTTGTTTCAAGAAAGCTTGAACATTTTTTTCGGCCCTTCTGCTCGTCTGTTGTCCGCACAGAAGTTGTGTGGTTACACATATGTCATCCGTATGGTGGATTAGGTTGCATCCACAGGTTGATTCCTTTTCCTGGGCCACATGGATGATACGAGTGACCAATGCAGCTTCACTGGCGGATTGGAAGTCCAATTCCATCTCGAGTCAGGGCAAGCGCAGGGACCACCAACGAACGGTCACGACATCAGCTTCCAACCTATCAGCTAACCTACGGTTAGAACCTCTCTTTTACAACCCACACAGAGATATCAATATCCAATCAATTGATCCTTCGTCACCCCACGGATCTACGGTTCGAACCAACTACCCTGTGATACGGATACCAACATTCACTTTGGGTGACTGAATCGACTAGCAGAAGGGTTCCGGACTCGAAGTTACCGGCCCTGGCCTCGACCACCCTCCCCGAATCGATGTGTGGATGGGGAGGCTGCCATTTATCGAAAACAGGGCTGGAAACTTTGAGTCCAATCCAAATTTTAATACTTCGCACCATTCTTCTTCGGCCAGTAATGTCCTTGAAGTGGCGCTTACCAAGGGGCACAAGTGCTACCACAAACGTCACTTCAAGGACAGTACTCGCTGCATCAACAACAGCACCTATGGAAAGGAGGAATGGGGTTTTAATAATCTGATATCCCCCTCACCGCTCCGACCATCGAGCTCACCACGATTGGTGTGGGTGGCGGTGAGGGGGGCCTGCCAGACCTCTACAAGCAGAAAGTTTCAACACCTCATCTTCTGCTCCGAAACCTCGTTTCCTGCTCCAAATACCTGCAAAGAAGAAGCGCCATTATCGACAAAAGCATCACTGTAAAGACAAGACGAGTGGTGAGCATGCAATATCAGAGAGCTTCGAACCGTTGTTGAGCACCGACACTCGAGACTGGTTCGACGTCCCCTTCTCTTCTCATGCATGCTCACCCATGGGGACACATGCGAACGCCCTATTCTTACGAGACTTACCGGCGTTAAACAATACAACAACAACAACCCATGGGGACACACTTCTCGTCCCAAGGAGAAAGGCAGCTTCAACACCCCAATGCCCCCTCTACCACTCCTGTCATGTGTGATTAGTCGGCAGGGCTCCGCTCAGCTACATCTTGACATCACCTCCACACTTGTAGCTAGCTCGACTTCTCTCTTCTACACACACACACACAGAGAGAGAGAGAGAGCAGACAGACAGTCAGCTTGCCTTCAGGCAGTAAATTCATCCCATTCTATTCAGACCGTTAGCTTGCCTTCACAGCTCCCATTGTGGAGCTACCCCGAGTCTGTGGGCGGTAGAGGGGCTTCTCACACCTCCGCAAACAGAAACTCTCAACACCTCATCCCCTGCCTCAACAGCCCATTTTGAGCTCCAATACTCGACAAAGGTTCGTCGGCTCCCTATAGTTTCGCGTGCGTATTTGCCCGGGTCGACCTTTCAGGTGTACTAATTAGGTCTCAGTGAGGTCTCCTTTCCCATGCCTACCATCTGTCTGGGGAGCCTGCGCGAGGGTAGTTCATGATTGAGACCTGGAAGATTTGCTTCGAGTTTACTGGGCTGTAGACAGCTTCTGGGTCGCGCTCGCGGATGACCCTCGTCCAAGCCCTGAGAACAGCCGGTATGAAATGTTGTCTTCGTCACCCGCCTGGTCGTCGGTTACAATGCCCGGGCAGCCCTCTCGATTCAAACCAGAACGTGGGTTGGCGGAGGGGGCTCCCACATCTCAACGACCAAAAAATTTCAACACCTCGTCTTACCGTCTGCTCTCCACTTTGTTCTCTGCTCCAAGGGGAAGAAGTGTTACCACAAGCGTATGTGGCCTGCGCCCCTTGAAGCAGAAACGTGGTTTGTTCCAACTATCTCCACGTCCGAACAGCCTGGATTATAAACAAGAGTGATGAAGGGCTTTTGTTTACAGATCCACCACTGACTGGTTTCAAGGCTTGACACGATGGGATCGACTTCCCGTGCAAGGTTTCGACTTCCATGATTTGGGAAATGACGCCGCTCGAATTGCGCAGTCAGTTCGAACGACGAGCACCCAGGACCGAACTCCTAGGGGGATCCAATCGTCTCCGAGAGGATGGTTGAAGAAGACTGGCTACCAGCCTCGCTCGAATACTGCTTGGGCAAATACCCACCCCCCGGTACTCTCAAGGGAAGCTTCCTGTCGGACTGGAAGCCCAATTCGACCTCGAGTCAGCGCTAGCGCAGGGGCCATCTGAGGGTCTCTATATCAGCGTTCAACTGATGGTCCAACTTACGGTTGGAACCTCTCTTTTCCACTTCACGCAGAGATCAATATACAGTTAATTGACCCTTCGTCACCACGGCGATCGCGGCGAGTCCAACGCGGGAATCAGCTACGAAAAAAATGGTGGCAGTGGTAGGGCTCCTTCCCGTATCTGATACCGGCATCGGGCTCGCCGTGTCATCCTAAGACGAGGGGATTAGAGGTGGTGGTGGTTGCCACGGCCGACTTGGAGGATGGATGTCGCGTCTACTCGCTCCAAAATCGAAAACCACGGAAAACTAGTTCGAAAATCCGTTTCAACAGCCAATGAAATTTTCAAGCGCAATTCATTTATTCCGCCGCCAACGCGATTAGTTTCAAGGCCATCCTTTGGGCAGATTCTCCGACCTCTGCCTCTACGACCGGCACCATTTACTCTAACCACGCAGAAGCTTCAGAAGCTTGTTGAAAAGAGTTCATCAAAGAATAATGGCTTAGCCTGTGGCTATCACCACAGAAATGGCGTACACTCCCAGCGCCACTACTGGCGCACTCTGTCGGTGTCGAGCTGTTCATCACTGCGTCTGCCTTCCTGCCGGGTCATCCACATCAGGCCAGCGGAAATCAGACGAGTTGAGTTTTCCGAACCAAGTGTCCAACGTGATGAGGATGGAAGAAACAACACAACAACTGACGCAAGGCTCTCGATCGACAACAAAGACGGGAACCGAGTATTGTGTCCATTTTGTACTTCAACCCAACAATGGTCATCCAACACTCCCCGAATCGTCTTTGATGTAACGATGTCGATTGCTGGAATCAACACTGAGGAATACGAGACTTTTCTAATTGCTATAGCAGCTTTTGCTAACATCAAAGCGGTTTTTAGATATTCAATGCATCAAATACTTGTGGATTGGTTCAATGGATGCAAAGAGTTGGCAAAAATTGGGTGACTGTCTGGATTGCAAAGTAGTCGCGTGTGGAAAGTTGCCATATCAGTCGAGACTATCCGAGCAGTAGCACTACTTGATAGTTGAGATAGCTATCAGTCGGTCGTGATCCAAAATTAATTTTTTTGGATAAATAATAAGTGTAACTGATTGGCGGAACGGATATAATAGTCATGAGTGATCTTGAATTAAAGCTTGGTCGTATTGGCCCGGATTAATTAGCCTCCTACCGGCGCTGAAAAACTTCCTTAGCCCGGAGCGGAACTGGAGATGAAATTTGGAATTTGTGATTCATGAACTGTCAGACGCTATGCTCTATATCTATGCTCTCTCCTTTCTGCACCTAGGATCTGAGTCCGCTCCGAAATCCTTGCAGACCTCACGGCCAAGTGCCTTGATACCCTCAACAACCCACATGCGGTAGTTGGAAAACACAAAGACCTTGCCCGGGGCGAACGCCAAGTTGTTCGACGTCTCGCCCAAGTGAATCTTTCCAATCAAAACGCCCTCAGGGTTCCAAACATGCACTCCGTCGCCGCAGCTGCCCCAAACGTTGCCGTCGGCGTCGGCGTGAACGCCGTCGGGGAAGCCCTCGTCCGCGTACGCAAATTTGCGCTTGTTCGCGAGCCTCTTGTTGTCGACGATGTCGAAAGCGTAGATGGTGGCCGGGCCAGCCAAGTTGAGAGAGGTGGTTATGGCGCCCGTGTCGGAGACGTACAGCGTCTTGCCGTCCGGTGAGAACTCGACGCCGTTGGGCTGCTGGAAACCGTCCGCCACGACCTGGACCGCGCCCGTCTTGGGATCGAAGCGGTAGACGTGCGTGGGGAGCGCCGGTTCGGGTCTAAATCCCTGGAAGAAGCCGTACTGAGGGTCTGTGAACCAGAGATCCCCTGTTACGGGGTGCTGACGGACGTCGTTGAGTGAGGTGAAGTTGCGGCCGTTGAAGCCAATAATGAGAGGCTCAGATTTATTGGTGTTGGGGTCAACGGCGAGAAGCTGGGAGTTTCTTTGTAAGTTGCCCTGGTCACACCAGACCTGCATGGGCGGCGTAGCGGACTGGTCTGCGCCAGGCGGGTAGTACGAGCTTCCGCCGTTGGCCTCCGTCAGGCCATCAAACTGGGTGCTCGTGACGGAGTAATCATCCAAGTGGAGGACGGTGATGTTAATGCTATCTGTGGGGTTGTAGTTGGAGGAGATGTAGATGGAGTTGTCCTTCTTGTTGTAAATGCCACCCTCGTGGAATGCCTGCCAGTCCACTTCTACAATCTTGCGGGCCGTGGCGTTGGTGCCGATGACGTCCGCAAAAGAAGGCTGGTAAGCTAGGAGTGAAATTGCCGGAGTGCTCAGGTTGGCGGCGTTGATGGAGGCGAGGTAGCCGGCGCCTTCTGTCGCCAGGGCGCGGAGGTCGATGTTGATGAGAGACATGCTTATTCCACAGGGCGACTTGCTGGAAGGAGGGAAATTTGAAGTTGCCGCCAGCGTGGACTACCTTATAGCGTCAAAGAACTAACAAAAGCGAAGCGACGAGAGGCGGGACGGGAAGCTTCTTTATGGCGCTGCCCGTCCTCCATCGGTTCGTCCGCGGCCATTAGGCTTGGCGCCAAGTTCCTAATATCCCATTCCACACTAAGGAAACAGTGAAGCTATGACATTTTTGGATCACGGTTTCGTGGTGGGTTGCTTGCCGCCACTAGGCGCGGCCAGCATTTGGGCTGGCACCAGACGGGTGTACAGGCTGGACTATGCGGCCAGCGGAGTATGTAGTGAAGCCGACTCCTGGGCACCAGGCAGTGAATAGGGACAGAAGGTAAGAAGAAATGTGATGAAGCCAAAATATTTGCTTCTGGCTTGGCAATATGAGACTCTCCCCCGCAGATATGAGCGCATCCCTGGCTGGAATCCCTGACTAGCAAGCCACAAACACCACGGGGTGAAGTCCGGCTTCGGATGTCCTGGTCTCGGTGGAGCTCCGCGAGTCGTTCACCAGACCACGATGTTGCCCTACGACCGTGTATGCATTGCGGACAAATTACCGGACAATTTCCCTTTTGCCTCCTGGCTGTGGGGCCTTTCAACCAGGCCTCTGGGTCACTCCTCTCTTTCGAGAACCCTTTTGGCATTCGTTAAGTCTGGTGCTCCCAGAATTGAGCCGTAATGGGGAGTGCAAGGGTTGATGGCGGTGCGGAGACGCCAGAGAACGCCAAGACAGGCAAAAAAAAACTGAGACAAGGCCGCGATCGTCGTTGGGGGCTGAGAGGGCCGGTCTGGGATGATTGTGGAGATGATGTAACTCTGAACCTTACAAACAAGTTTGTTGACAGACACCGCTCTCTCGTTCAGCCTCCGAGGACATTGGGCTGTGGCTTCTAGAGGTGGACGAGACATGAGCTAATGGCTACATGTACATAATAAGCATAATCTTGGCTCGAAAGAATTTTGTTTCGTTCATCCAAAGTCTCTTGTCTAGAGCAAACTGTTTTCAACTTTGCACACAATAAATTGAGTTTGGGCCACGCCATCGCATGTTTATAACTATTCTTAGACATCCACTTAAGACGCAAGATAGCGAGATACTGGGCGTGCGGGCCCGATAAATTGGCGGGCAGTGGAATAGTTGGAATTCTGATGTCTGATGGATTTCTCAGAGAGTGTATGAGGTCTTTTTTTGAGACGGAAAGGCCGAGAAAGGGAATCAAAGGGGGAGTATGACTCTATTTATGATGGTGGACCGTTTCAACGGCCTGTGCTTGGCTTGGCATGCTAATTTGGCCCAGCCGAATCGTTGACTCGATCACCGACGGCCGATTTGAAGACTCGATGGCCGAGGGCGAAAAGTGTAATCGGCCGAGGGCAGCACAGCAACAGCGGCATGGCGGACCTCTTCAAAGTTCATCGATACAAGCCACACTGAGAAACGAAACGTCGAAAAGGCAAAGCTCAATAGGATCCTGGGTTTATGGCACACATACAACTCACTAGGTAGTATCAGGAGGTGCGGCTCTGCCAGCCAAACTTTTGCCGACCATTTTACACATCTCGGCGATGTTTTGATGCATGCCAAGATGATCACCGGCAAAATTGCACCTTGGTGATTGGAGGATTTCTGCGAAAATCTATGAGCCGGCCCCCTGGGTCTGACCTCATTGCAACCTCACCACGCGAGATTAGCTTCGTTCTTTGTTGACCAAGCCAACCACAAGCATCGGTGAAAAACGCTAAAAGGACCGTGAGAGATTGACGTATTATCCGGGAGTCGATACCATATAGTTTTGTTTCGGGGAGAAGGAATGGGATGACGCTTATGCAGCATCGCGCTGCTCTCAAGACTAGCGACATTCGAATATCACACATTGGGAATAGCAGCGTGTATTTCGCCGAGGCCATTCCTTCATGTTTGACAAAAACGAACCAAGTGGTCTTTCAATCACTCTACTCAGCCAAGGTTATCTCAGGAATAGTTTGAGGTGTTTGACGGCAGCCCGCGTCCAACGGCCCAGGGTCCAAGACTATGGGCTCGGAACAACTTTGGAAGAGGATAATCTTATTTCTCAATATGGCACACATACTTATTTGTAGCAGCATAGTATTTCGACGACTATGAGTTACGGTGTAATAGGTGTTTGGGATGGTGGCTCATCTGCTGCCCAGCAATAATGGCGATGGAGGGCGGTCAACCTGCAACTCATGTATCTTTCACTTCACCAAGATGTCGGTCACACACTCAGTCTCGAGGTTGAGAATAAAACGTTTTTACGATTATGATTATTCAAGAACCAGTTGCAAATAATATTATTCGCGATGTTCTCGCTCAAACTTGTCTGTCCACCTAACCTGTTGACGCAGCTTTCCCCACTAGCCTGAAATCCGACTCTGTCGAACCAGACGCGCCGAGGACAACATCACCTTCACTGATCTGGCGATTTAAACGTCCCCAGATATCACCAGACTCATCAGTAAAAGTCCACAATTGTTCAGATTGGCGAGAGATCAAATCGAGGCAGGTGCAGAGTTGTGTGAGGCTTCACCCAGAGATTGTTAGGCCTAGGAGCCACGTGATGCCTTGAATAATAGACCAACGAGAAAGCCCCTTTTGACCAACAAGTTCAAATCAGCTCACTTATTGATAACCAAGAGAGGCTAGCGTTTATTTGGAAGCTTTTCAGAGGTGGTTGTGAGCTTCACTCCTGATTTTCCACCCAATCAGGTGTGCCCCTGAGCCCTCTCACATCCTCATCACATGGTGCATATTCCATCTCATCGCCAACTCACAATATACCACTCGCTCCTGCCTCTTCCTTCATTCCTGCTTGTTGCCTGAAGAGAAGGGATCACAAAAGCTAGCCCTCTCGAGGATTATTGCTTGCCCTGCCCACCCACCGACCCCCAATCGCCCACCTCTTCCACAAATCCCTTCTCACTCACCCTCCAACTTTTACTTTCTTCTTTCTTCCACACACACATACTTTTCCTTCACAAACAACCTTCACCATCACGATCAAAAGCAACAAACAAAGCAATCAATCCCTTTCAACCAACACTCATCACCAACAGAGAATTCAGATTCTTCACTCCATCGACGTCAAGATGAAGGTACGTTTGTGATTTTCTCTGGCTTTCTCTTGTGCCTCAAAACCATGAATAAACTGGTTCTGGAAACTCACGATATTCTCCTCGCAGTCCTACGTCGTCCTCGCCGCTGTTGGCGCCATCATCGGCGCTGCTGTCAACGGCATGCCCGTTCTTGACAACCACGCCGCTGTCGGCGTCACCAACGCCCAGGGTTCCGCCCAGGCTGTGGTCACTGGCATCGAGCACAACATTCACCACAATGTTGTCATCAACAGCTCTATTGAGAACGCCGCTGTGGTCAACACCGATCTGGTCGTCCATGACACCAAGTCCAAAACTGCTGGTCTTCAGCACCCGGTCATCACCCTGACCTCTTGCACTGTGGTCCACTCGCCGACTCGCGCCGATTGGGACTTCTGCCGCTACATCAAGACCACTCTCTCTGACCTCACTGTTGCCAACAAGACCACTCTTGAGCAGGCCATGAACGCCGCTATCGCTACTGCTACTCCCACCATCACCGCCGCTCCTTCCACTGGCACTGTCATCTCTACTCCCGCTGAGCATACCACCAGCATGGGCATCGACGACATGATCTCCAGCTGGTGCGCTACTGCCACCCGCTCCGATGGCTCCAAGCCCTACATCTGCACTGTCTCGATCAACCACCACGCGGACCCAACCCACTCCTACTCCTACAAGTCCTATGTCTCTCCCACCTACGTGGGTGGAATCATCGAGTTGACCACCGTTACCGATGATATCACCTCCAGCAAGACCACCCAGTCCAACACCTCCACGACTCCCATTATCGAGTTGACCACCATTACCGACGACATCTTCCCCGGCATGGCCACTTCGACCACCTTGGCTCCTCTTGCCACCTCGTCTACTGAGATTGAGTACACCTATGCCAACAAGGAGCTCGACCAGCCCACCGTGACTCAGACTATCTACGTCTAAGTAACAGGGCACATTACACTCATATGATCTTAACAGCTTGGGCAGCTTGGGGAGGAACCTGGATCTGTGGATTTTGGCACACCGTGGAGGATTCATTTTCATTCATGGGAGGCTGGAGATCCGGGAGATTGGGGATTTGGAACAAGCAATCAAGGAGGATTCAGGTCAATGAGGTCATACACACTTCATGATCGAGCACTAGGTTTTCGTCCGTCGTTGGCAGCTATAGGCTGCCCATTACCAGCAGTAAAGGCTGCTTATCCGGTGAGGCAAAGGAATACACTGGCATTGTACAACATCATCTTGCTCCTTCTCTTTGTGAATCAATTTGGCCTTGTGATGCCAGCATGCTTACCGCCCACCTAGATCGCCAATAGCAACAATGCCACCTAGGACAGTCATGATAATTCTTTGTTGGTAAATTTGCTTTCCTCATTAATACCTGATGATCATCTAGCTGGTTGATACCCTATGTGACCCAAGGCCTCAGCCCCCCGACACTTTAGTTTTCCCGAGGCTTCAGTTCCCTGAGCGTTTTCAAAGTCGACGATGTGTTCAAGACCTGCCTCAATAGCTCTGGGTAGTCCCAACCCAGTGCCTCGGCTGCCAGGAGCGTCAGACTCGCCTGGTCATCTCGCCCAGGCCGACCAGGACCAGTCATGTTCTATGACGAATGCTTGGTCAGATATTTATTGAATGGCATCGAATATCGCGAAAGGGAGCTTACCGGCTTCATGTTTACGTCAAATAGAGCAAACCTAGACCCAGGTGTCTCGTCAAAACGTCGCACGTCGATGCGGATGGGAGCGGCCACACTCAATACCCTAGCCGCTGCCTCGCACTCCCTCGCGATCCGATCATACGCTGTATCCTCCTGCTCCTCCTCCTTTGTTATGACTCTTGAGTTGGCGGTGACCGCTACCACGCCGTTGTAGGGCGCAATCCCGTGTTGGTGATTGAAACGTGTGACAATTGGCAAGGACCAGTAGTCATTCTTCCCTTCATTCGGAGGCATCACAGTGATCGTCGCCTCTTCTCCTGCAAGATATTCTTCAAGCATGATGCTTGGCGATTCCTTGAACAGGGTTTCGGCGTGCGCGGTGAGGTCCTCGAGGTTTTGGCACACCCGAACACCGTGACTTCCCCGTCCGCGGATTGGCTTCGCGACAAGGGGAAATGGTAGGCTGAGTTGTCGAAGCTTGACTCCAACTGTCGGACTGGAGTGGACTGTCCAGGACCGAGGCATTGTAAAGCCGCCGATGCTGCGGAGCAAATTGTTTACGTATTCCTTGTCATCGTACTTTTCCACAACAAGAGGTCCATGCCCAATGACTTTGAGAGTATCTTGAACGCTCCCAAGGGATCTAGAAGTTTGGATTGGGTGAGATGCGAACAAGATGGTGTTGGCCCAGAGATGAGTTGCTCCCTTCTTGACAGCGTCCAGAACCCCCTCTTCAGTATCCGGAAAGCACCACGCGGAATCCTTCTCTGGTGACGGTGTCGGGATTGGTGTGATCGTATCGACAGACTTACTGACCTGGAGGTTGAAGGCGATGTCAGCTCCCGAGTCCTGATATCCTGTGACGTGTTAATTGGAGCACAGGTGGTTGTTGAATGATTACTGACCACCGGGTTTCATCGGCTTGCGCACCCCATTGATAACGGGCGGATCTATGGCTTGATAGAGCACCGCAACCCTTTTCGGTTCCATTCCCCGTGAGTATATTGACGAGTCGGCGGATGAAGTGAGGCTGCAGAGTTTACGAGAGTGAAGTTTGATGATGCGGGGTTGATGAGTCGCAATCCGTGCCTGAAATATGATTCTGAGGTGTCTGTTGACGCCGCCCATCCTCCAAAGTCTCGTAGCTTTACTGCAAGCGTGGAAGCAGATCTGCTTATGTTGGCGTCAAATCAAGTTGAGACTCTCGCCAATGAGGCATTGATGATGTGAAGTGGGTGGTGGACGGAGTAGTCCGTCGGAGCACCGTCTTAAACCCGATCGGCTTTCGGCATTGCCTGCCGGACCGCATTGTCGCTAAAGATTACTTCAAGCAGTGCCGAACATGTCCCATAAGCTAGGGAAAAGCTCGTCAATATCTGGCACACTCGTCGACACGTATTCTTGCAGCTCGGGCATGTTGACAGGTTGCTCAGAAACATTGGCGCTCGAGGTCGACGTAGCGAGCTTCTCGATGACCTCGGAGTACTGCGCAATACACAAATCTCCCACGTCCCAGGCCTTTTGGCGATGTACCTGCAGCGCATCGATAAGGTCGCGCGCCAGCTTCAGCGACATGCTCTGCGCCAGTCCGCTGATGGTATTCTCTGTCTCTAGAGCGCAGCGAAGGAGGAACTTGGTGGTGGACGTAAACGCGAAGGTGAGAAGTGGAAGCCAGTAGTCGCCAAGTTGGAGGTCCTTCAGCTCTTGAACAAGAAGGACAATCTCCTCGGCAGCCCGTCGGACTTCAAGATAGCAGCGCATGGGAATGGAGGACGTGTTGTCAGCGTTGGCTGGTTTCTCAGCGTCTAGTTCCCACTTCCGAAGCAAAAGTCTGATGTAGAGATACGCGAGACGAAGGTTGGCCGAGCCTGGTATGTCGAGACTCTCGCCACCACGGATGATCCTTCGCCGTATATTGTTTTCGAGTGAGTCCTCCCATTGCGTCAGCAAGACTTCCAGATCCCACGGACCGGTGGTTGATGTCTTCTCAAGGTCGTAGATGCGCTCCAAGTATCTGTCGAGAAACCGAGCAAGAGCGACAAAGGCGAGGTACACAGACGTTGCTTCGTAGTCAACCGGGTTGGGTGCTGGGCCGCAAAGCTGCTCTACCGTGGGAAGAGAAACATCATGCTGGCCGCTCCTTAGCTGCGGGGGCGTGCCGTACGCGAGACTCGACCTGGGTCATTGATTAGCCCTAGAGAATTATGCTTGCTCACTGTCTTTGCACATACCACTTATCATACACAAAGATAGCCCACCAGATCTTTGTCCGCAGCAGCTTCTCGGCTTCTGGGATATTCCAATCAGACGAGTCTCGGTTCAGGCCGAGCGAATGAGCCAGAGAAATAGCAGAGCCAAGCTGAAGGCCATTTCCGATGATGGAAGTCAATGGCCGGCCGGAAATGTTTAGAAGTATTGCCAGCAAAGTCGAGATGCCGGGTGACAAATGAATCTCCGAGTACAGAGCATCGTTGGCCTGGTTCCAAATGAACCTAGTGTCGGGGCGATGTTGGATAACGAGGCTGGGCGACTGTGCCCAGTAGGTCATTGTATGCGCATAGAGAGAAGACAACAAGGCCGGCGAGATGTGCCTCCTATCCTCAACGAATCGTTTCTCAAAGGATTGTCTATCCAACAAGGGGAAACACCGGTTTGGCTTTTCAAAGAACCTGGGGGCACAAGTCAGGTCAGCGGTAACAATACACATCAAGAGAAGTCGAGTTTGACTTACAGCTCAACAACGTCATGAAGCATAGGCTCGAGGAGCTTCTCGATCATCTGACATTTCAAGAATGCCGGATTCCGGTCGTCAGGCAGGCCGATAGGCTGCTTCCTCACCGTGGTGAAGACAACGGGTTTCCGTGTGCCACCTCCATGGTCCCGCCGTGGGCTCGTCACCGAGATCCTACTTCTAATCAACGCAGATGAATCATTGGACAGGTACGTTGATAGAACTTGGGTGTCCTCAATATCGGCTGGTCCCACAATGTGTGCCTCATCCTCTCCTCCATCGCCGATGGGTTCAGGGTACCGCTTGTCTTTGGGCGAGCACAACGGAGGCTGGCCATCTGAGGATTTTGACTTCCGCCGGCTTGCCTCGGCCAGTGACAGCTGGTTCGTCTGGTGGTTGTAGTTGAGCTCCGATGACAATGTCCGAGCCGAAGGGTGTGGTGATGAGGCCGCGGAGGCGCGGTGGCCCAGATCCTTTGACCTACCGGCTTGGACGTTTCTCCAGGTAGTCTTCGGCCGCGGCGAGGCTCCATCAGGGGCCGGTGGGAATTCGCATTGTGTCCCGTGAGCTCGGCAGGTCAGACAGGATCCTCCACTTCTATCGACGTTACACCGTGACTTGCGCTTCCGGCAGGCTAAGCACGCCGGGCGAAGGTGGGAGCGGTAGGGGCGCTCCGAGGGCAAGGATTCGCTGTCGGCCTCGGGCGCCATACTTCTACTGTAAGGCTAGTATTTCTGTTGGAATCAAGGCGAAGTGCATTGTGCCACCCTCCGCCTTGGCCGTGGCAAGGTACTGATGTTATTCGTCGTTAACTCGAGGGGTTCTTCGTGTAAGTGGCCGTTTCCCGCGGTGAACTTGCAGGTTTCCCGCGGTGAACTTGCAGGTTTCCCGCGGTGAACTTGCAGGTTTCCCGAGGAGTTGGTGAAGCTTATCTAATCAGCCCGCACTACCTTTGCTGATATCCACCTGCCTCAGGTACCTCTAAAGATAGCAAGTGCGATAACGGAATATCTTCGGATAAAGTCACCCGATAACGCACCTCGGAAAACCGGACAGTCTCTCTTTACCTAATGCCCCCAGGGCACCATTCTTTTGTACCTTCAATCGATTCATTTAAGGCATCAACCTTTCATCCACCACTTTCATAGCCAACATCGTCGCTCACAATGTTCTTCCGAGTACACATGCAACAAGTCGTTCCGCTTCGGCGATTTCCTCCCGCCAAGGCGTCGTCTACACGCAGAACAGACACTTCGGCAGGTTGCGTCAACGATGGGCAGAATAGCAGCTCCATGTACCTAACGCCCGAATCAGCAACTCTGCAGCCTTCGAAGGCGATGCCGTGGAGGAGAGCAAGACTGTGACGGACCGAGGCACCGGCCCGGTATGCTCTCAATACCTCTCTCCATCTGGAAAGACATCTTGGTCTCCACATCTCGCCATGCTCTCATTCATCTCGACATGGAATATGACTAGCGAGCGGCCTGTGGAAAGGTGCCGGCGCGACCTCAAAACCTGCTGTCCACGATATAATTATACCTCTTTGGTAGGGTGCAGCCTTTACCTGGAACTCGACGTCGATAATATCGCGGGTCAGACCATCAGAGGAGTTGCTCTGATTTTGGATGTCACCTTCCGCATTTCTCCATGGCCCTTGTTCGCGAGAGTTGCCTTATTCGTCGACTAAGCACACTGCGAACCCGAAGAGCCCCGTCGCATACGGGCACCTCGTCTTTCGGCTTGTCGCAAACCTGGCGATGCGGATGGCCTCTCCTACACTGGCCTTTTTCTGGCGAGCATCCTGTTAGGTGGCTTGCCATTTGGGACATGGGCACCCAAAAGCTATCAAGGTCATCCTTGAAGACGACAGCGAGATGGACCATCTGTTCTCTGGCATGGTGACCGCTCCTGTCATCTCCCCTAGAAGCGAGTCTTTGCACCCTGCTCCCCCCTAGACGTCCTGAGGCACTTTTTCAGCAGCAGCGACGGCGGGCGGCGGCTATTGATACATCACCAAGAGCACGTTTGGAATCGACGTCTTGATGTCGAGATTGCATTGATTCACAGCCCGAGCATTAAGTGTGCAGTATCACCACGGTCGCAAAAGCTTGTCTCCCATGCTGCCAGGCATGAACGCGTTTCCAGCGCCGAATATCACTAGTCCATCTTCTGCGATACGCAGGGGATCGACATCTGGGAATCCGAGTGGATTAGTGGATGAATACGGAGACATTTGACGGATCAGTCCTGTTTCGGTCGCAAACATCGCGGAGTGCTCTAGACTAGGTTCCCTCGGGACGCCCCTCTGATCATTAATATACCTAGCCCAAAGCAGTCGCAGAAAAGGCTGCAGGCAATAGAGGACAATGTTGGCGAATACCAGCGGAGCTCAGGCCATGCGACGACACGTTGGCTCGCTTAGTTGGAAATCTCTGTCGGAAGGAACTTTTGCTCAACCCTACTCGTGTCAAATTGTCAATGATCCATCGGCGGCGGCAGTATTCCGAGTGACGAGGCCGTCGAGATCGTGGCGCGGCAAGACCTGGTCCGATATTGGAGAGAATTACACAGTAGGGATGCTTGTCCCTGAGGACCTGAAACCCAAGCAGGAACCGCACACGTACATGTACCGTTGCATTTGTGATCTTCACGACCGGGGCTCAGCAGCTAGTGTCAGAATTATTGCATACTGATTGCAGCCTTTACCAAGATGCTGGATTCTAATCCCAAGCTGTCTATTCGTACGGATGGCCCTGACGCCCGCAGTTCGAGGATGGGCCAATTCGAGCAGCCACTCGGCCTTCGGAGCAAGGGAGCCGTCTCCCAAATCCCGCCGCCGATCACGAAGGTTGAAGAACAAATCGAATGAGGCAGGGGAGAGTGTGAGCAAGCCTCGTCAACACCCAGTGCCGGTGTGCCTGGGAATGCAGCCTCTGGACCAAGGGGACTGGAAGGCCTGGGACGAACATGATAGTGGCGTCAAATAAGTTGTCTCCCTATTGGATTTCTCGCCTGCAGCATCACATGGCGCATTTGAAATACCTCGAGATGACGGAGTTCATATCCACTCGTCGTATCCGTACATAGTAAGCCAGCGGATCGCCATGGGGCCCTGAACCAGAGCAATAGCATTAGCCGTTATGCCGGAGCTGTTCTTCCTTCGGCTATCCTCCACCTTTTGGCAACGGCAGGTGGAGCATGAATCCTGCCGACTAGAATTCGTTTCCACACAGGAACGCCATGACGCCAGACAGGCGCATGGGTCAGTTGTTCGCTGTTGGACGGCGCTGAAAGACGGGCGAAGGCAGGCTGACGGGAGCGTTCACGCGTGGGCGACACGAGTCATCCATCTGTGACGTCGCCTTTTGCCATCCATCAACGAACTCGGACCGCGGCGGGGGTTTGGTGCTGGTTGCTGTCTCCTCAGCTCAAGAACGAGGGAGGGAAAGAAGCTTTTGCGCTCGGGCAGAATATGCTGCTCAAGAACAAGGGCTGAAGGGTGGGAGAGGAAACACCCAAAGCTTGGTAGGTTTGCCCGCTCCCAGGACATTACCAGTTTCTCTTCAGCGAGAGGATCAGATGTCTGCTGCAAGCCTGCAACCTTCAACGCCCCGTCGACCACGCGGGGCCAAGGCCAATGAAAAGGCAGCAACTGGCTTCTGATGCTGTGCCGCCTCCGTCATAGTCCAACGTCCCATTGACGTGAATCAGGAAGTCGTCCTACCAACCCCGTCGTTCTCGGTGGAGAGGCAGGGATCCTAGGCAAAGCCAGGAGAAATACTGTCGTATGTGGCCAGCAGACTGCGACACGGGTCCCATTCGGGCCAAGGACAGGACGACCTCTAGGCCGGTGGAGAAGCTCAAGATTACACAGTACGATTGTCGCGAAGTGGTCCCCTGCTTTGGCGAATGGGAACGGAAGCCAGTGCCCGATCTCCTCGAGAACCACGGCTCGACGACTGGGCTACCCCATGTCCATCTCAAACTCTCTTTCCACAATCATTCTAGAACGCGACGTTTCATCCCAAGCTGAACTACTAGTGGTATGTACGAGGCCCCTTTCGTGGCTGTTCAACGCCGTTGAGACTTGACAGACCACCATCCATCTCATTGTCTTACTGGCCCGGGTCCCCCATGTGCTAATCAAGATTCAACCAAGCCAACAAGAGCCAACTTTAGCGGCCGATAGTGGGGCGGTCCGGCAAATCAGAGCCCCGAGGATACGTGCTCCGCAAGTCTGCATGTTTAGGATGCAGGGCGGCGGAAACCATTACCACTAGAGCTGCCCAACTGGTGAAAAAGGAGGCGCCAATATCAATATAGCCCTGGTATCCCGTTCGTAGCCAGTCACCAGTCAGGGCAGAAGGCATTTGATTCGTGGCCATGTCCTGATAATGCCGCTGAAGGTCTCTATGTTCTAGTTCTTACCCCCGGTCATTACCAGATCCATCTTTTCTGCACCCTCCCCCCCCCCCCCCCCTTCCCCTCCCCCAACGGGGGCCCCGGGGGGGGACCCACGCGGGATTTTTTAAAAAAAAAGGGGTCCCCCCAAACCCCCAAACTGGGCGTAGGGGGGGGTTGACACCCTGTGATTTTTATTTTTTTTTTTTTTTTTTTTTTCTCTCCATAAGGTGGATTATTTTTTTTTTTTTTTTTGTCCGTTGACTTTGTTTTTTTCCTTCTCACCGACAGAGAGGGATTCATGATCCTGTCGTGTCTTGGCCGTGGATCGGCTCAGCTTTCCCTCGACGGCTCACCATGGCCGGCCTCTTGTTGACGGCGGCAGGCGGAGTAACACAAAAAGTGACGGCCGAGTATCTGGCGGAGGATTCTGGCAGCACGCTAATAGGAATATCCATTGCCTTTGCCGTCGTGACGACCTTTTTCCTTGGCCTGCGGCTCTTTGCAAAACGGTTTACTGCTAGTGGGTATGGCCTGGACGACTACTTCCTAGCGGCCGCCTACGTGGTGGACCTAGGGATGTGTGCCATTGGCGTCGGTAGGTTTTCTGCCCGGCGTGGAAACGACGTGGTCTGCGAGATCCAAACTCTCAACTAACTCTATCTCGTCAGTCATGGTCAAGGTCGGTGGCGTCGGGCGGCACGTTCAATTCGTCGAGGAGATGGACCCGACCCTCTTGACCGGATGGGCAAAGTGCATCCTCGCCTTCGAAATCATCTACTTCACCTCGATCGCGCTGCCCAAGATGGGTATCATCTTCCTGTATCTGCGAGTCTTCAACTGGAAGGGAGCCATGCGCACCACCGCCTACGTGCTGCTGGCGACCCTGGCCGCGACGAGCTTCTCCTTGATCATCACGGCGTGCGTCCAGTGCCAACCTATTGCGTACTGGTGGGACCGGACGATACCTGGCGGAAAGTGTGTCGACGTTCAGGCCTTTTTCCATGCACAGAGCATTCCGGGCTTTGTGCTGGACTTTTTCATCATGGCCTTGCCACTGAGGACTATCTGGGACCTGAAGCTGCCGACGCACAAGCGCGTCGCCCTCATCGGCATTTTCATGATTGGAAGTTTGTAAGTTCTTCCCCGCGTTCGCCAGGAGAGGAAGGGGGCTTCGAGACTGATAATTTGATAGCGGCATTGTAGCCAGCATCATAAGAGCCGTCACTTTCTTCAGCAACTCTGCTTTTTCGGACCGTACATGTAAGTGATGCTCACTACTAGGAACTTTTCAGACGGGAGATTTACTGATTCTCTCACCAGGGGCATCCGTCGATCTCATCGGCTGGAGCATCATCGAAACGGGAACCTACATCATTGCAGCCTGCCTCCCTCACCTCCGACCAATGATCTCACACTACACGCCGCCCTGGCTCAAGTCCATGGTGCGCAAGACGATATCGCAAGCCAGCAACTCCATGTCCAAGGTGACCAACTCCAAGAACCACACACATCTACGACGAGGCGACGACGAGGTGGAGCTCACCGCACGATCGAAGAAGCAGACGGTAGACACGGAGAGCGATGGTACTGGGGACGAGGAGCGCGGGTACGCCAGAGGGGTAGGATCGCCAACGTCGGGTATGACTGTCGAGGTGCGGAAATCGGATGATCTAGTCAGCGGGGACTGGGCCAAACAGGGCCAGATCCGAGTGACGACTGAAGTCAAAATGGAGAGGGTACGGTCGTCGGCCGTTTTGAGGCATCCAGACTCATGAACCTTACCATACCAAAATGTTTTAATAGTATTAATGATATCCCCTAGATTTGAATTTCAATGCTGCCAACTCGGATGTCCACGACCTTTTCGTTACAAAGTACCTACTGCACCCCTACGCTGCGACAATTACAAATTTGACTTTGGCCCCTTGATATCGGCTGGGCCCAGAAGCTCGTCCGCTATTCCGCGTCCCGCTGCTCTTCCAGAGAAAATGCAACCTCCCAAGAACGTTCCCTCCAAGCTATTGTATCCATGGACACCGCCGCCGCCGAAGCCCGCAGCCTCGCCCGCAGCATACAGACCAGGGAACTTTTCCCCATCAGCCTTCATGACGTTACTCTGTAAATTCGTCTCGATGCCACCCAACGTCTTCCGCGTCAACAAATTCATCCGCACGGCGATCAACGGCCCATGCTTCGGATCCAGCAGCTTGTGCGGCGCCGCGATACGACTCCTCTTATCCGGCGCGTACGACCGCCCGTTGTTGATGAGCATCGTCTGCGCGTCCTTGGAGTACACGTTGTCAAACTGCCCGTCACGGAGCTCAATCGTCTCCTTGATGTCCTCGAGACTCAGGACCGGCCCGCCGCGTTCGCGCTGCAGCTCATTCATCCCCTGCACAAGGTCCGCGAGGTTATCCTTGACGACAAAGTCCTTGCCGTACTTTTGAAAGTTCTGCACGGGGACGGTGCCCTTCTTGCCAAACACGCGCGTGAGGAGCTGCCATACGCTCTTGCCCGTGATGTCGGGGTTCTGCTCCGAGCCGGAGAGCGCAAACTCGCGCGCGATGATGCTCTGGTCGAGGATGAACCACGTGTAGTCGTACCCCGTGGAGCAAATGTACTTCAGGGTCGCGAGGGTGTCAGTGCCGGGGAACAGGAAGGGCGGGAGACGCTTGCCGGTCGCGTCGAGCCACAGCGAGCTCGGCGCCGGGAGGACGCGGATGCCGTGGTTCGGCCAGATCGGGTTCCAGTTCTGCAGGCCTTCGTTGTAGTGCCACATGCGGTCGCGGTTGATGACGTTTGCGCCGACCGTCTCGGCGATGCCAATCATGCGGCCGTCGACGTGGGCGGGGACGCCGACGACAAAGTGCTCAGGGACCTTGGGGCCGAGGCGGTCAATGGGCCACGCTGCCTTGACGGCCTCCACGTTTCCGCCGATGCCGCCGGATGTGATGGCGACAGCGGATCCGAGAATCTCGAAATCGCCAGTGACGTCTCGGTTGGTCTTGACGCCGCGCGCCGAGTTGTCGGGCGCGAGGATCTTGCCACGCACGCCGATGGCGCGACCCGTCTCGTCGGTGATGATCTCGTCCACGCGGTGGCGGAACCGGAACTGCACGACGCCGTTCTTGGCCGCGCGCCTCACGGGCTCCTCAAAGACCCGCACGACCTCTGGTCCCGTACCCCAGGTGACGTGGAATCGCGGGACCGAGTTGCCGTGTCCCTCGGCCATGCCCGCGCCCCTCTCGGCCCAGCCGACGTTGAAGAGGAAACCCATGCCTCTGGCTTTGACGTACTGCTCCATCTCGTCCGTGGCGAAGTTGACAAAGGCCTCGGCCCACCGGCGCGGCCAGGTATCCTCCTTCTCGCGATCGAACTGCGCGGAGCCGAACCAGTCCCTCATGGCGAGCGCCTTGGAGTCCTTGATGCCCATCCGTCTCTGCTCCGTTGAGTTGACGCAGAAGATGCCGCCGAGCGACCAGAACGCCTGACCGCCGAGGTTCGTCTCGTTCTCTTGGTCGATGATGATGGTCGGCACACCGCGCTCCGAGAGCTCAAAGGCGGCGACGAGGCCGGCTAGGCCGCCGCCGACGATGATGGCGGGCCGCTCGAGGAGCTCCTTCTTCTTGTCGGCGCTCATTGCGGCGAATGTCGGACCGGCTGAGGAGGGGGGGCCGCGGGAGGGCTTCGCGGAGGTGCGGAGGAGGATGTGGCGGATGATGAGCTTGAGGAGCCAGGCGGAGGCGCCTATGCCGGCGAGGGAGGCGAGGGTTTGGGTTAGTGTTTGAGGGAGAGGGATGATGTCGCGGACGTTTTGCAATTGAGGTGCCATAGCCTTTGACGAAGTCTTGGAGGAGAGAGGGGGGGGGCTTTCTGGCAACTTTATGATAGATCAGACCGGGGGAGCTCCGTTGGATGGACGGATGAATTGCCTGATTCTTGGGTCACTCAAGACTAGAAATGAGGTTGCCCGGCCGATCGGAGCTGTTCTATAGTGGCTTGCTTGTGTGTTGCGACCTGCTCAAAAGAGGCACAAACGAGACGTATGTGGTGGGATGCGTACTCGGCTGCGGGGGAAGACGGTTTCTATCTGCGTTTGGAGCTTGGTCCTCGGGGGCCTCGCGGAGTCGACGGGTGAGGCGCAGGGGGGCAAAGTCCGCGGAAGGCCGATCTGTGACTCCCGTCTGTTCCGGCGGGCGGGAGCTCAGGAAATGGTGCTTAAGGTTCGAAAAGATTATTTGATTAAGTCATGTGAGCAGGGGATGTTTGTTATACCGAGGACGAGGTAGGTAGGACGATGAGTTGTACAGTGACTGAGTGAGTGAGTAAATAAGTGAGTAAGTGAAAGAGGTCAAGGGTGAGATGAGATACACAGTGACGCCAGAGAAGCTCACTTTCTTAAGCCGACGAGACACGCTGACATGTGAGGTGAGCTGCAGCACCATCGCATCCGTTGACACGCAGCTGCAACACCCCGGCTGCAGGGGACTTTGACAGCCCCGAGTCAGCTCAGGGTCCCTGACTTCCCCATGCTCCAATTCTTTCTTGCTCCATGCTCTCCCCGTGCGGTGCGGGGTATTCCTGTCCGAGTCGGCGACATGCCTCGGCTCACCGAGCTATCAACCCGTTTTCTCATCACACAATGCCACGCCCTCAAGTTTTTCATCTCCCATACGTTCATCTCATTATTACTCGGTTTAACTCTCAATGCGGCGCTCATGCCTGGACCTTGACGACAACCTTGCCAAAATGTCCTCCGCTAAAGAGGTATTTGTAGGCCTCATCCGCCTCCTTGAACTGGAATACCCGGTCGACAACGGGCATGATGCCCTTGTCCTCGTAAAAGTCAATCATCTCCTCGAATCTCTCCCTCGGGCCGTTGATGAGACCCTTGAGCGTCACTGTCTTCTTCAGAGCGAGTAGGTTGACGTTCGTACGGTCCTCCGCATCGTCGACCTTGCCAGAGAGATACCCAATGCATGCAATCTGCCCACCAAAACCGATCGCCTCAAAAGACTGTCGCAGTGTCTTGGCCCCGCCAGTCTCGAGGATGAGATTGGCGCCCTCGCCGTTGGTGAACTCGTTGACCTTGTCGTCCCAGTTGGGCGTGGTGCGATAATTGATCGTGTAGTCCGCCCCGAGTGCCTTTGCTTTTTCCAGTTTCGCGTCTGAGGAAGACGTTATGATGACTGCCGTGGTCATTATTAGTCTTTCACATGGGCTACATTTCATGTGCGCGACACGCTACTCACCGGTGGCTCCAGCAGCCTTGGCGATTTGCAATCCCGAAATAGCCACACCACCAGTCCCCTGACACACCACAACCTCACCCTGCCCACCAGGTTCACCAAGGGGCCGGAATTGGTTGATCGACATCCAAGCCGTGACAGCAGCAATGGGGAGGGTCGCAGCCTCCTCGTCGCTAAGGTGCTTGGGGGCCCTCACCAGGCCCTCAGCAGAGAAGACACGGTAGGTTTGCAAGACGCCTTCCAACGGGAACCCGAGACCACTCTTCATATCCACCGCTTTGATCTGGCCCCGAATGTGCGTCTGATTGAAAATCGACACGACGCGATCGCCAACCTTCCACCTCTCAGCCCCATCACCCACAGACAAGACGACGCCGCACATGTCGGAGGCCGGGACCAGGGGCTCCGTCTCAGCCGGGTTGATTGTCTTGTGGTGGTTGTAGAGGCCCATGGCCACCTCGGTGTCTCGGTAGTTGAGAGACACGGCGCTGATCTTGACGAGCACCTCGCCGGGTCCGGGGTGCGGCAAGGACGCCGTGGCGAGAAAGAGCTTGTCGAGCCCGTCTTGGCGGGTCTGCCAGCGTTGGACTTTGGTGTCGTTGCTCATAATTGCTTGCTGTCTATTGCTTTCCTCTTTTTGCATGTCTCTGCGATGTCCGAGACTTTACTTGATTCCAGCCGTTGGTTGATAGCACAGATTTTGATGAGGCAGAAACACAACTCTTGTTGGAACATGAAAATTGAAGAATGACGCAAATATTAGAAATCATCTTCACGCGATCCCCGCAACGGTGGAGCGCGGCGGGGCATTGACTTTGAATTTCGGCGTGGTAGCCCGGCCTTGATGCTCTGAACCGTCCTGGGGTTCCCCGCGCCGAGGATTCATTGCCCGGGCTCTTCCAAGTAGGCGACTATATCAGGATTTCACGTAGGAAGAGTCGCCGACCACGTCTACCCACTATGGTGACTTTTTACAGCAATCATTTTGCATCTCATCAGACGAAACTGTGTTACAATCTCTACTAACGTGGTGTTCACTCTCCCTCTCGATCCTAAATGTTCTTGCAATTCATCTCCCTGAATGCATCGCACCACAAAATCCTCAATGAACAATATTTACTACTTTACAGGTTAAGTGGCCCATTTCTAGACAGGATTTCTGCGAACAATATATCCATCTAAACAGATCCTAACAGAAACAATTGACAAGTCCAGCGAGGCGGTGAGCTTTGTGATGTTTAGACAATCCTTTCTCCATTGGTTAGTGGTATTAACATTAGTTGCACCTCGTCACATACTACAGTACCTAGATTAGTTCATGCGGAAGGAAAACTTAATTATGCACCAAGACCTCTGGTACTGAACATGAGGTTATTTCTGCAGTAATCACTTTGATGGACTCAAATACTTCAATATCGTGTTGAATAAGGGAAGACCAAAAACGTCAGAACGCTGTAATTTGAGTTGTGATAGCGCAACGCGTATAATTTAGGCTGAAGCCATCTCGTCAGAACAACACTGTCAATGTGGACAGTATTAGCGCTACTTCAATCTTACTACGTGTTGCCCATACTGGGCACCCTTAAAAAATAAGTCTTTCTTCTATGGGAAGTGTTGGATGTAGGGAGTCAATCATGAGATACTAATAATGTTGGGACTACTTGCGTTTATAATATTGTTTTGCTGTAAAATTACGTAAGCTGGACAGCAAGATCGCGCTAGGTACCCCCCAGCAGCCTCTCTTCATCTCTGTCGTGCTCGTGTCCTTGGGCCTTGCAAGATTTACACGGAGCCGCTGCGGGGAGTGTTATCAGAGCAAGTCATGCATCCCATTTTCCCCTTCATGTTAGCATCAAAATTACCATTTTTGCCTTTATAAATCATTTGATGCCAGGTCTTGCTACTGGTAAGTGTGTCGAAGTCACATCCAACTTCACCAGTACTATTACACATGCGTTCATACATTAGTTTCTGATTCTGTGTTTAATATTGTTGGGAATAAAACGTACGCGTGGAAAAAGCAACGGTCGGACTCGGTAAACTTGACAGACAATGTCTGCTCGCGCTGTTTTCTTTCGTCGAACCGCTGAAGCTCATTTTTGTAGTAACACCATTGAGAGCATTCTCCAGTGAAGTCCGGGCCGAGACAGAGCCATAGGTCGCATAGACGTGACACCTCGAGAGCCTGGGCACCGTCCGTCCCTAGGCTGGCCTTGTGATCGAGGTAATCTTCGAAGCGGACGAGTTCACTGTCTAGTTCCGTGGATGCTTTGTCGTCGGTTTGAGTGGTAGATGCTGCCGCAGAGGTAGCGAGAAAGAGAGTCAAGAAGTGGCGAAGAGCCATTGCGAGTAAGTAAAGTAGTTGAGTTGAGGACTGAATCTCTGGCAAAGTGAAGCGATGACTTGGAGATGGAATTCTCGATGAAGTGATTTCGCTCCATATTTGTACTGTGTGTGAAGAACGCGGCCTGGATGGATCCATGAACAGCAAACCTTGATCATTTTTCCACAGGAAAGCCAAGATTCAGTTTCTGGTCGGGACAAACCGAAAATGTTCTGCAGTCTGGCACGGAAGGATGACGCCAAAGATGAGAATCAACTAAGCCCTGCGATGTAACATTGCAAACTTGCCGCGTATGCTGTACACGAAGTTTATCTTAATCATGGGGCTAATTGCGCAGGCTATCAAGTCTGCGGAACCTTGCAAATTCAGCATTGAATTTTTGTCGATGGGGGTCTGGGTGGGTAGGTACGTTGACAAATGAAACACAACCCGTCTTGTTTTCTTTTTCTTTTTTGAAAATCTTTCCAGAATTTGTGTCGTGCTCATCGAATCTTCAAGATTGGGATCAAGAAACGGTGAACAGCAGAATAAAGCCAGCAGGACTTCTCGGCGAAGAACCGTCCGTGGCGTGGGAGGCCACCGGAACAACAAACAGCAAACCATATTCAGATTCCATGACAGACTGTGGCTGCGCAGCAGAACATCGGAGCCAAGAAGGTCTCAAAAGCTGAGTACAGCATCGAAATTCATCCCTTTGACTTTGACTCGCCCCAAAATCCAGTCGTCATCAAGGTTGCTACCGGACAGTGTAACACAGACGTGAGGCTCGACCCCCTTGCTTAAGTGTGCTACGAACAGCAACAGGTTCATCAAAGATATGTCACAAACCAGTAGTAAAGCCGGTGAGAATGACTCAACTAAGAAATGGTGCACCGCCCAGGCTGGTTGAGCGAAGCGCGCGTCACCCGTCATGATTCAAACCACCCCTCGCTCCTTTACCGCCTCCATCACAGGTGAACAATTACGCCATCTTGGGTATCAACAGAACCGATGACTCCGCTCCCGAGTCCTTTTTCACCATTGACAAGCCCATTGTCCCGCAGTTCCGAAATGATTGCCTCTCTTTTATCCGCAGCGTCGATCCTATCACCGATCGCGAGAGGGGTGCTGCTGAGTGGAAGCCCTCCATCGGCCCCAACGGCCCTGAGCTTCTGTTCGTGCAGATGAACAACACTCATATAGAGAGAATGGGTACTGCACATCACCTGCGCTGTGATGTTGCCAGGCCTGCGTCGGAGAACTGGGGTAAGCCGGTTGACACGGGCGTTGTCACTGAGTTGGACGCTACTCCCTGGCAGCTTGCATCAATAGCAACACAGAGAAGACCAAGTTGAAGAGGAGACATATGAAACAGCTCTCCCGATGCTACTAGGTGTTCAATCACACCATGCTGCCATAGTAAATACCATTTTTCCATCTAAAAGCTTGCCAGCAGGGATACTGACTGCTTGATCGACAATTCGCCTTCCTCGAGCTTGATAACCTTGGGATTACATGTAGGAACCAATTTCCCATTGGGTATAATTTCTTGAGTTAGTTTTGGGTGCCAATTCAAGGACCCCATGTCTAATGGCCGTCGCCAGAGGGAGGCGCAGGACGCTGGGAGTTGACACACAAAATATTTTGATCCGTTGGTTTTTATTTGCTGGCTTAGGCACTTAAAAGGGTAGACACAGCTTCTTGATCTAGACTACCATCAACTCCCCGACTGCACATGCGTTCCATTCTCTTAGGGGGTTCAGCACCTCCCTGAAATCAAGGTTATAAACATGATCAACGCACGTCGGCAACTTTAGGAGCACTTACAAGAGCTAATCTGCTTGTCATAGTCACCGGAGTAACCATTATCAGCTACGGCGAGGTTGTAATTGTAGCCCATAGACACGCCGCGGTCATCTCCCTTGTTGTTGCAGTTGCTTTTCAACTGTTAGCCCGAACAGCTTGTATACGCTGAGCCCATGGATTCACTTACATGAACTTGTAGAACTGGCAAAGACCACCGTTGTTTGAGCTCAATGAAGTAGTTTGGTTTTCGTACTTATCCAAGAAAGCCCGAGTCTTGTTGAAGCTCGAGTAGTTGACTGGATAGGATTCTACGTCAGTACTTCGAGTTCCTCGAGCACACCATCGAGTAACGTCAGTAGATGACGTCTTTTAACTTACCACATCGACCAGGCGGGGCGCCCCACGAGAGACATTCACCAAGGAATCCGGCCTCGGAGCATTGAAGGAGGAAGATGTTGTCGGGAATCACCGGTGGCCGGTTAGGGTCAGGGTTTCCATCTCCGGGGACCTCTTGTCGCTTCTGAGTGGTCGCCCCGAGGATGATGAGAGACGAGTTCTGGAACGCAGCATATGCCTCAGGGTGCTTCTGCTGCACAATCTGGGCGACGGCAATGATGTTGTTGTTCTTTTGAATTTCGGGGAGAGCGGCCGTTTTCTGGAAAGCCCAAGATGCCAGGACAATTGACGTGAAAGATAGGAGCTGCATGATGCTTTTGGTTATAACGAACGCCGGATACAGTACGTATATAATAGAGATGTGGCGACTAGACCATGCCGATGTCCAAAGTAGCGTAAGAACAATGAAGAGTAAATGCGAAGGAAACTGCTGTATCTTCAAACATGTTCGGAGGCTTTCTATTTCATCCATTACCTTCTCCCAAAAGGCTGTCTGCCCAGTGCCACCCCGCTCATAAGAAACCACGATGGTTAAGGTTCACGACTTTGTTACGAGGGTTGTCCATGTGCGAGTCATTATCGGAAACAAAATAGTGTCCGCTCAATCCAGGGCGAGAGAAACATTGATGAAATCAGTTCAGACCGTCAATTGGCCCGCCCCGTCTACTAGAGTTGCATCAATAAACCCAATTGTCCTTCTTGCCGAGAATGAGTTGCCGTGATGTTCTTTAGGGAGATGCGCTTGATAAAATCCCTGAAGTAATATCGACAAGCATGGAAATCGTGATCTGGGCGCAATATCCCGTTCATCTGAAATGCTGTTGTCTGCAGGTTCTCGAACTCAGTTTGTCCAGCCACAACGACTGCGATGTTCGACCGCATGATGTGGTAGCGAGTCAATACGTTATAGTCTTCGAGAGCACAACGCCTGGGTCTCGGTTGGTTCCGCAAACATGGATATCCAGGATAAAACTCACGGCGAAAACGCAAAAAGAAGCTTCTGAGACGAGTTTGAATGCTTCATGTCGCTATCCTCCGTTGCAGCGGGGAATTTATCTCCCGCTTCACTTGGGGAAAACAACTCAAAAGCCGTGGGCTAACCCCAAATACTCCTTGTTGTGTCAGGATTGGGCCTGTTGTAAGCGTCACTTTAGGTCGGCTGGTGCTTGCAGCGCAAAGCCACCCTGTGAAGGGTACGGATGATCTATCAGATATCAGGGGAACCAGTTCATCGCCACTCCCTCCCATGGACTTGGAGCATTGGTACTCTATCAACGGCAGCGGCAGTAGTTGCGGGGCTCTCGAGCAGAGCAGCTATGCTAACCATGCTGCGTTTTCGGGTCATGCATGCTCTCTTACTGACGATGATGATGGCGACGGCGATGATGAAGATGAAATGTTGGAGCTGAAACTGAAGGCAAGAACTGAGGAAATCCAGGATGCCATTTCGCCACCTGCCGTGTATATAACCATCTTGAATGTATGCAACAGCTTCACAATGGTGTACAACAAAAGCTTCACCTCCATCGCACTTTTGAGAGAAGCGGTCGGCAACGCAAAGCATCGGGCAGACGTTTCGCAGGTGCGCATGCCTATTCCGAGCTTCACTAAGGAGCCCGACTTGTTAATGTACTCTGCAGACAGGTTTCGAACTTGGAGCCTCGTCGCAAGTTAGCTCAAAATCACATTAGATGGTGCATTGCACCAATCACACATCAATTCGTACTTTTCAAGCGCGCTACTGGTTGCATAGCTGTTACGAGAGGGCTAGTTTCGGTTTCCAGAAGCCGGGTCGTTTTCCCGACCAAGGTCTTTTGCCGGCCTTTGAACCACTTGCAAAAAGTCCCAAGGGTATAGTATCGTACCATTATAAGCTGACTTCAAGAGTGCAGGCAAACAGAACAGATGTGCCATTTGTCACCGCGTTGATGTCCAGTTGGCATGCACCTAAGACAATAGCTTCGCTATGAAAGTCAGCCAGAAGAAACCGCCATTCTTGATTGGCTGTTGAACCTTCTTCTCTGTGTTCTAGAAGCCAACACCTTCATGTTTCAGCCGCGGACAAGTTTCTTCTTCTTTCCCGCGAAATCAAACGGAACTCGTTTCGAATAGACGTTGAGCGGCTTTCCAGTGCCGGCATCAGAAGAAAAGAGGTAAAGAATCTATCTGAGAAATCGGGAATGAATGATAACTGTCCGTTCAGCTCAATGTTCTCTGGTACCTCAAGAATAGACGTTTGCTGGGCCGTTTTACCGTAACTGGGCCTGTCTCGTTGCTTTTCCTCCCGTACGACACGGCAAGAAATAGCCGGGGAGATCAGCAGCAGGCATCAGGTTTAGTGATTCGGTCGGCGATCATTTATACCGTGCCCAAAATCCAGGTCCAGGCACTTCTAGGCAACTTGATGATTGGGGGCAAGCGTTGGTATCACCATACGTCCATACTCTCAGTACCGAGAGCAGAAATTTCGTGAGATAGATGAAGTGCCTAGCTACAACAACAGTGCCTGGAATTACACTTGATATGAAAACAAAATGGCGTTGGCACAAGCAGTGGACAAGCAGCTTAAGAATAAGCATGACCGGAGACTATCTATGCCCCGGCACCGAGGATCTACACTCCTCCCGCACGGAAGCGACTCCGCGTGCTCCGGAACCCACCCCGGGATCCTTCTTAATTCTCCGTGACGCGATTCCAAGTCAGGTCTGGTCGCAGATGGAGCTCGACCCTCACGGATAGTTTCCCCCTTGCAGCCGTTGTGTGGCAGAGCACCAATGTCCCCAAACTTGAAATAAGCAACACAGCCCGGCCAACTCATGATACCGAGTGCCCCATACGTGCCCCCAGCCCCCAACACCAAAAGGACCCGGGATCGCTCCAAGTCAAGCTTCCAAGGCTTTTGCTTCTCCCGTGCTCTCCCAGCTCTTGAGCTCCCAGATCGGCGCTGAGATCGTCCGAGGATGCGGTCCATGCGCCGAGACAGCAGCGACAGAACCTTGCGGGACTGTGCGGCTGCATGTCCCTTGAAACCAAACACCGCCCATCAGCTGTCACGCCAGCGGGTATGAGCAAAGCGCCCCAAGCTCTTGAGCTCATCTTTCGTGTCTCGATAGGCGTTTCGCGGGCATAGCCAAGATACGTCCGTCCAGTATGCCTGTCTGCGACACAATGTGTTGGGCCGCTTGCCGGCTTCCCTTTTCTTTGAGCTTCCCCGTCATTAGTTCGTTTGGACTTGGGAATTCTCCAGAATTTTATCCAACTAGAACACACCGCATTGTCAGCAGGAAGCTTGTCTCTAGAGCGACGAGTGCATCCTGATCCACCATGGCCACTGCCAACGATTCCTTTGCCAGCCAATCGTCCTGGGGACCCCTCGAGACACTCCAGGCCTTTCCCAGCCCATTGGAAAAGCCAGTGCCTTACTTCATCACAGCTTTTCTGCTCTTTGTGTTTTACTTCTCCATCCAGCAGGCAGAGCAAACGCCTCACACAGATCTGCCAATCCTCAACCCCCGGCACAAGTGGGATTTCACCGGACTCAAAGTCAAGTATGACTTCATCACAAAGGTCCGGAATATTGTATTAGAGAGGACGAAGACGAATCCCGATGAGCCCTACCAGGTTCTCACGGATGTGGGAGATATGACGATCCTTCCCGCGGTACCTTTCGCCAACGAGATCCGCAACCACGAAGACCTCAGCTTCGACCGCGTTCTCGACAAGGCAAGCATTCGCATTCAAAAAGCCTTGGTGGGTTTCGTCACTAACCATTCATTAGAACTTCCATGCCCAGATGCCCGGTTTCGAACCTTTGAAGGAAAATAATGCGCAAAAAGCCGTCCTCAAATATGTTATTAGAACGAGATTGACCCAGTTCCTTTGTAAGTCGGGCCAACAATTTGCCAAACGATTTGACCCGAGCTAATGGTACCGCAGCGAAGTTGACATCCCCCGTTTCCGACGAGGCCACGCTGTCACTGACTGATGTCCTGGGAGAGGAGAAGGGCAAGTTCGGTACCATGCCGCCGTTATTACAGTCCTCTAACAGAGTACAGAATGGCAGACTGTCGTCATCAAGGAGAACATGCTCAAGGTCGTAGCCCGAGTTTCCACCCGTGTCTTTGGCGGCGAGCAACTTTGCCGCAACCAGGACTGGATCAAGATCACTTCGGAATACGCCCGAACAAGCTTCCTCGCGTCAGAATTCCTCCGAATGTTCCCGAAATCTCTGCGTAACATCGCCCATAGAGTACTTCCCATCAGCCTTAAGCTCCAAGCGCAGGTGAAGGAGGCCAGAGAGATCATTAATCCCATCATGGAGGAGCGCCGTAAGGAGAAGAAGGCGGCCTTGGATCGCGGCGAAGAGGAACCCGAGTGGAACGATTGTCTCGACTGGTGCGAAGAAGCATCCGACGACGCCAAGTCGGATCCCGCGATGATGCAGCTTGGACTTTCTTTCGCCGCTCTCCACACCACGTCCGACTTGATCACGCAGGTGATGCTCGACCTCGCCAAGTACCCCGACTACTTTGAGCCCCTCCGCAAGGAAATCACTGACGTGATCCGTACCGATGGATGGGCTCGCATGGGTCTCTACAAGATGCGCCTCCTCGACTCCTTCTGCAAAGAGACTCAGCGCCTCCACCCTATTGGCATTGGTAAGTCCCTGCTTTGCCAACGGTATTGCTCTGACTAACAAGAATCTCGCACAGTCGCCATGCACCGCGAAGCCACCAAGCCCGTGACCCTCTCCAACGGACTGGAACTCCCCGAGGGCAGCCGTATCGCTGTCAGCTGTCAAAGAATGGGAGACTCCTCTATCTACTTGGACCCCAGCCGATTTGATGGATACCGTTACCTGCGCATGCGCGAGTCCCTTGGCGCCGGAAATGACGGAGCCGCGCATTTTGTCAGCACCTCGCCCGAGCACCTTGGCTTCGGTCACGGTCAGCACGCCTGCCCCGGACGTTTCTTCGCTGCCAACGAGGTCAAGATCATTCTCTGCCACCTCCTTCTCAAGTATGACTGGAGACTGGCAGCGGAGCAGCAGCCCACTTCGATCAATTTTGGATTCACCATGGAAGTTGACCCCAAGGCCAAGCTTGAGATCAGGCGGAGGACCGGTGACTTGGGCCTCAAGGCATGAGGGGGTTCCGTGCGCAGCGGTAGGGTATTTGGATGTCCTCGGGCCTGCTTGGCATGTGTGAATTCTTGTGGTTGGGCATGCATTTCTTGGGGGTTTTTCACTGGGATCATTTAATCAAGGTCGGACGACGGTTATAGCAATGAGCCAAACAGATTGGATTAGCTACCTTAGGCGTTGAATGCATTCATTCCAATCTACTTAGCTTATCATCATTCTGAATACGCTTCCGCGTGCAAAAGCCATCTTAGCCTGTGTCAGTCTATTGCGGCTGGTCTCTTTCACAAATGTCTCGTTTTAGCCGACCAACTCTGAGCAAACTTACAAGAACATAAGCAAACTGCAACGTGGCATCGTCCAATCCTCAACGCAGCCTTCAACTTACTTGCGCATCCTTTCTCGGCTTCATTCGGGGATTCATCTTGTCTACGGCCCGTAGAGAGGTTTTCGCCACGTTGCGCCGACGGGTTCTCGGTTCCGTACTTTGGGCCCTTTCAATTTGCCGAGGTTCAACACAGTTTGATCGTTCTTAACCTTCGTCTGAAGACATGACTGAAAATGTGTCAGAGCGATCATCTGCCCGCATACTTTGGATGGTTGTGTTGCCACAGCAGACGATCAGCGTCTGCCCATTGGCTCAAACATGGTTAATGTCCATTTGTCCCCTCGTCAACCGCTCTATCTCTGTGGTTCTAGATCGTCTGAGCCCATGGTACCTCCAGCCCTCGATGTCGGCTCTGGATAGCAGAGCCGAGAGGATCTCGGCTCGAAAACACCGACCTGGTGTCTTGGAAACTATGTTTCAATGAGGGAGGTCCTTGCCTGCTGAGGAGGCTTTGACATTCACTTTTGACGATCAAGCACTGGCTCTCACGTCCCCTATGTCCCACATAACGCACTTTGCATGTTGAGGGCCGTTAAACGCTCTTCACAAGAATTTACCATTGAAGCTGCTATGATAACCTTATTTCAGCTCTGGGCCGTCTGATCAGGGCAACTCATTGATGATCCTTTGCGAGAGGAACCGAGACCTTGCCAGAGAGGACGACGACCGATAACAGACCTGACCAGGCTCGTGCTGAGAAAACATCTCCAGCGATTCAGATAATTTCTTTGATAGCGCCGTGACCGGAAGAAACAGCCGCAGAACCTAATTGAGCAGACTTTGAAATCCTTCCCTCTGCTTCAGATCTTCCAACAGGTCCGCAAAGTCCTTGACGCCACGCTTTTCGCTCATCTCCTTGAAATATGGCAACTGCTGCCTAAGCCAAGGATCTTCGTGGCCAGCTTCGGGAATGGTCATCCCGCCCTCCCTGATCGCCAACATTGGCGTAAACACGACCATCAGAAGCCTTTTTGCTTCATCAAACTCGTCCTCTTTGCCCGGCTCTTTGACAGCGCCGTTCCAAGCGTCTTCGATTTTGGCTGCCAGCGCATCAAAGTCCTCCTTCTTTCGAGAAGCCGATGTTCGCACTAGCGCAATGATGCGATTGGAATTGCTGGAGTGCGGCTTTCCGGCCATGAAGTAGGTTCCATCATCGGACTTTGACTCTTGTTTAATGAAGCTTACATGAACGAAGAAAGCAGGCGTGGCAAACGCACTGCAGTGAAGATTGGTTATGGAGAGGGCAATGGATTGCCGCTGTTGCTGCGTGAGGGGGTATGTGTGGTGAACCTGGTAGAAAGGCATCCTGTTGACTCAGAAAACCAGATGGAGGTATGGGATGTTGATTTGATACTGTCGTGTTAGAGAAGTGACGAAAATAGCTCACTACGAGGGAGTAACTCACGGAAACGTTCTGTAGCGATGTCTTAGATGGAGAATTTGAAAGGTATTTATCCCTCATTACGATGCTAGGCTATTGATCCTAGGCCCAAACCAGATCAGTAATCTGATTACATTTGATGAGGGGTCTTTAAGCACGCAGCGCGCATATCGACGTCACAATGTCTACGTCCATTGCGGGGTAGATTGACTAGCTCTCTAGCTACATATCAGTATACATGGAGATCCCGCCCGCCCCGACGCAGAGATATCAGCACGAACCGACCCCAAGACTCCAACTTTCAATGATAGAGCCGGCGGCCCGCGGCTATCGGGCGAAGAATGCTCTCCTCCTCACGGTTGTGTTCCGATTAGCGAGGTGGTGATCATAAGCTTTTGCCATTCTGAGAGCCGTTGTTACGGGAAAATACTCCGTGTGCAGCGATTTCGTGCTGTGGAATGGGACCTATCCAACTGGTGCCACTATTTCCGGGGCACCGGCCATGATCGGCGCGGAAGAATCGTCAAAACCCAGTGGCGGCACATTACGGTAGGATGGCTCAACCACAGACCAAGGGTAGACGTAGACTCCTTCGAAACAGGACTCCGTATCATGCCGAACATAACTCTCGGTCTCTAACCAGGATATGGAGAGGGAAATGTTGTTCAGGGCTTCGTTGTAGACCTCTTCTTTCGAGTGGATGGCAATGGCTGGAGGTCCCGAGTTGATTTACGGCTGAGGTCCGTCGAACTTGGCTACATAATCCTCCGTAATCTTCGTAAAATGGCTTATCTATCTCTTGCCGCTTATCGTAGGAGACAGTGACGCCATAGTTAAGATATAACATCTCTACGACATCAGCCTGTGCTTGGCCACGAGTTTCGCTCTATAGCTGCGTGTAGTTTGCAGGAGTTGACTCGGCATGAAGAGTATCTTCCAGCCTTTCTACAAAGCTCGTGATAATGCTCGTGGCTTCCTCGCTTGTGGTCCTTACGTAGGTACCAAGCTCCGCACTCGGCCGTGGACCGTTGGAGTGTCGTTGGTAAGAAGTGTAGTTGGATGCAACGTCAGGATATCAAGCCTGAGTGACCTTGATTAAGAGAATGCTACTACAAGCGAACGTTCCAGCTGTATTCGAGACGGGATTTAGAGGGATGACATCCTCAAGGCAGACGGCACCCGTGGTGGACCAATTTCCGAAGAGGCCGTGGAATCCCATTGGGCCTCGCGTGGAATCACCAGTGTCGCCACCAACAGCAAGGTTAAGCCAGTCATACGCAACAATTCCAGCTCCGGGTCTGATAGATGAGCCACTGAGGTCCCGATTATCATTTCTGGGGTTGAAGGGAGCGTGGAGAGTTGAGTTCCGACGTAGTTCCATTGGGGATTGTAGAGGCGTTGGACATGCTTGTGTGGAGGAAGATTTTATGGTAGGATGGAGGCTAAAAGACGTAGTCTGTATCGTCATAGGTGGTCGTGATATTCAGAATTTCCTCTCCTGAAAGAACGCTGCTAGATGTCTTGATGAAAACGAGGGGAAACAGGTCCTGAACGGGAATCTGAGCAGCTTCGAGCACAGAACGACCAGAGCTGTAAGTCCACACAAGGCCCACAAAGATTCCGCCGGCGTAGTAAGGGTTGCCATTGACATTAAGAAATTAGCCTCAACTAACGAAGGCAGCACCGACTAGACGAAAATATGTCAGGACGAAGGCCAAGGACCGCATTCTATGGGCAGCACGGCTTCGAACTGGCAAGTATTGTTAGGTAACTTTGGAGCAGTAGCTCTGGCACTGAGCCTTCCGTGAGATTCATTGCGGCCTGAAGAACAAGCTTATATATGAGGAGCATCTAACAAGCTCTTTCGAAGGATTCAACCACTCCTTTCCTCTTTTCCATGTGTCGCGAACAGGATGAACATCAAGGACTTCGTGTTGATAACAGACATCGATAAGACGCAGCAGGCCTTGTTCAATGTTTTTTATCAAATTGACGGAGGTAATAATGTTCATTTCCACGCTTATGACGTTCCGGCTGTCGGTCAAGGACGATCTTGGGCCGACTGTCACCAAGCTGCATTGGCGCAGCCCCGCCGCTGGTATACGTGTTGTTCAATTGGTCGTAAACGTAGCAGGGTAAACCCCAACGTCCAAAATGCTTTTCCATCCATACAGTGACTAGGAGATATGCTTGAGATGAGAGGGAAGAGAGACTGATGTACAGATCAAGTCATTGCACCGAGGCTCTGATGGACTTACCTAATTTCAAGTCTAGTAAATAAAACCTACATGCATTTTTGGGATTCTTGGGGATGGTGCGCAGATGCACATCGTTGACTGAGTCTGGACTGGCGTAAGGACGATGGGATAGTGCATAATTTCATCAATAAGCTCCAATCTTTAGCAATTTTTCTCACACTCGATGATTCTAGATTGCCCCCTCCGCCATCTGAGCTCTCGCTCACTCCAGTTTCCGCACCTTCATAGACCGGTTTGAACACCTGCACAAGTGCATGACATCCACTATCTCTTCGCTAAGTCCGAGTCGCAAGATCAGAAGCGGACCTTGTGATCTTATAGATCTGATGGTCGCAGTTCTCATCATGAATGTGTTCTTCAACAGGATGGCATTCCGCAATGTTGTGTTTGTGTTTCAAGCAGGGGAGTTGCCGACCGCCATGATTGTTCTGTGGACAATACTTTGGGTCGTTCTTCAAGCGCCAGAGAACAGACTCATGCAGAACTGCGTCTTTGGGAATATCTCGCGTGCTGCCTTTGTTAAGCGGGAAGCGGACATTCTCCCATCCACTGTCTTCAAGCTCCCACCGGGTGATGAAAGGGAGCCATTCTGTTGTAGCGAATTAGTATCTTCAACAGCAACAACCTTGGGAGGAGACACTCTTACCCATGAGCTTCCAAAGAAGGACGCGGAAGAAACTTGTGCCACGGCCATACGCGAGGGAATCGTGAATGACTCCCATTGTGGCCTTGTCTTTCTTCTTCGCGAATCGCTTCTCAAAGGCCGTGACATTCTCGCGCCACTTCAGTGCCGCAACTTCCTCCTTGTTACCAACGAGCTTCACCTCCCGGATCATCCAAGCCAGTGGGACATCGCTCAATTGAAGCCTGTCGCAGCCCAGAGCTTTGTTAGCTGCTTTCTCTTTTCGCGTCGTCCAGAAGTTCTTGACGCGCTCCCAAAAGGTCATATCGATGCCATTGTCGAGCTTGCTTTCGGCGGAAGCAGGCCAGCCACCGCCGACATCACCATGGCAGCCCGGGAACCAGACTTCCTTGATGTCTTCATGATTGTGATCTGATTCTTTCATGTCCTGAGCAAGGAGAGCGGCCTTGAACTTGACGCGTCGCTCGTCCACGGCTACGGCATGGCGCACATGATGCGCCGTCCCAACTACAGGCACAGGAATTGGTGCAGTACGTTCGAGGACAGCAACGGAATTGACGCAGTCCCAGATACCGAGGAAGAAGACCTTGATGTTGGACTCCTCCATCTTGTCGCAGTGCATCGCCTTTTCCTTGCGGCAAAAGGTATCGCTGAAAGCTGCGATCTCGTCTCTGGCAACCGCGTACTTGATCCCGTGGGTTGCTGGGTCCTCATCTTCACGATGGCCCTCATGCAATGGCTCCTCGTCTTCAAGCTCGGGTGGTGGCGTTGGCACATCTCCGTTGGCGGCGACTTTCTTGTCCTTCTTGTGTTTCTTCTCCTTTTTGGACTTCTTGGGGTGGGACACGATGAAATCCTCGACTTCGCCAGCCAAGTAGCGCTGGTAGAGACGGTATGCGAAGGGGACCATTTCCTCGTTTCCTTTGCACAGTAAACCTACGGTGTGGACCATGCGGGCAAGGAACTTGGCAGTGAAGGCTCCACGGCTGAAGCCAAACATGTAGATCTTGTCGCCCTTTATCACAGTTTCGTCAGTGGTCAAGCACCTCATCATATCAGTTCATTAGACTTACTGAATCGTAGTAACGCATAAGGAAACGATAACCGGCCATGACATGGGCGTCAAAAGTGGTACCAATTCCTTGGTCAATAGTCTGCGAGATTGATGATTTGAATTCACCAAAGACGCCCTTGTTGACAGACTCATCATTGATGTCATACGTGCCGATACCAGCTAGGTAATTCCGTATGTCAGTGGTGAAAGCACTTGAGAATGTGAATCAACTCACTCTGATAGTAATGGTACTGATCAGGGTCGTTGCGATCGAGCTTGCTGAGGATCTTGACCACGTTCGTGTCGGAATTGGAACCGGTGAATGTGTTGCCTGTGCCGTCGAAGCAAAGGACTAGCTTTCTAGGCGTCCTCTTCTTTTCCGGCTCACCGATGCCATTGGTCGTAGAAAAGTCGGCCATACTGACAAAGAAGACAAATGCTCAGCTGGGATGAAATTCAAGTAGTATAGAAATTTCTTATTGAATGTTTGTGTGGCAATGAGTATGAGTTGAATCGAGAAAATTTAGTGAGCTGGCAAGGTAGTGAGAGCCAAAGGTCTCGATATATCAACACTTGGGGATCCGCTCGATCATCCATACTATCCGCACCTCTGTAGTTGTTGCAGCAGCTGTCTTGGTACCATTAAAGTCTCAATCTTCGCGTTTCTCGCAAGGTACACTACTCGAAGGTATCTTGTCTCAAGGCGGCCAAGGAGCGTCGATCATGCTCACCTAGCTCCCGTAGGGAGGGGAGTGTACGTCACCACGTCTCACGACATGGGACACGGCATCTTTCCGGTCAGTCCTCAGAGACTTGTTCATGGCCTCTACGCGGCACCGAGACACTTGAACCTGTACGAGCAGCAGCACGAAGCCACAGATAATCTACTTGTGACAGCTCTTTTACTTCTCCTGTTACTACCTTTACACCTGCCCCTCTCTTTCTTCAATCTCAATTTGCCCATTATGAGGTAATAATACTAAATAATGATCAAGAGATAGAGAGTTTGGGATGAATGTAATTAGAGCTTGCGGTGCCGAGGCATTTAGAAGACCAGATGACATTAGGTTTAGGTTGCTTCGCGAATCGAGTGAGCAGTAAGGAAGTCAAAGATAAATTTGAGGTAAGTGCAATCGACCTGTCGAAAGTACCATTTGGTGATCCATCCATGAACCGATGGTTTCACGTAACGGGAGAACGAACGGCCAGCATCCGGGGTGAAATGTCTGTCCACTTTTGATCTGTCGTGCTTCCCTGAAACCTCAGCGAGCCGCCCAATGCGGAGATATTTCTCGCGATGGCTGAGACTGATATGCGATGCGATGCCACCGGTGAACGCTATGTTGCGGTGAGAATCAAACTATTCGTATCAGTCCAGGACAACTCAGACATGAAGCCAAGCCACCTGGGCCCTAATTTGCTCAAGCGGCAGGGCCAAGAATGATCTGCCATGGTAGCGAACATTGACCAATGGCGTCAAAGCAAAAGAATATGAATTCATCTATGGTGAAAACTCAAAAGGCTCTGCTTTGCGGGGAAAGCACACAGCTTTGTGTCTCAAACCAATAGCAAAGACGGGGCTTTACTCACATGAAATGTCTTGCCTCGTCCGTACCGCCCTGTACGACATGCCAGCAACAGGCGATCGGCATGGCATGTACCCTGCCGGCGATCTCCGTCTGCCAATGAACGATGTTGGAATACTCATCCTACCCGAGACCTTGCAGACGGTGCGGCCCGAACGAAGGACGTTTAGAGCCGTTTGCACCACCGTACGGCATCAAACCTCACTCAGCCAATCTTATTGCTTTTCTTGTGCGGCTGGGAATATTCTCCCTTCCCCCTCACTTCCGGAATTCCCTCCCGCCTGCTGACTTGCATGACACAGCGCTAGGCATGTCTTACAACGAGGGTAGCAACCGAAGCTCCTGATCAGTACTCAACCTCCACCATCTACAACTCATCAGGCTTGCCAGGCACAACCATTTTGTCGAACTCACGGGTTGCGACATTTGCTTCAGCCATTCTGGGTTCCCTGGCAATATTCCCCCCTCACTTCAAGGCGCCACAATCTGCATGTTTCCGGCTGGCATAGGGAGCAGGCACGGCAGGCAATGCTGGCGGTTGGACTCGAAACGTATCGGCGATGTGTCTCAGTCACTCTGCCGCATTTGGAGTCATCTCTCAGCATTGTACCGCATTCCATCATCTTTCGAGGATGAACGGAAATGCCTCGGCACACCTGCAACTGTGATGGTCTTCGTGCTCATACAGATCTGCATTGAGCATCCGCTTGACTGGACGCCACCCAAGCTCCCTATCATCAAGTGAGGGGATTCTGTGAATCACGAAGTGAGGGGCAATGTCATATCTCTTGGCCAGGCGGTCAGCAGAAATGAGACCACTTTGATTGACTGCTGCTATTTGTATATCAGTAGAATTATAGAGCCTCTTGTTGCCAGCCATTGATTTCCCTGCTTTACCTCTCATCCTCTTCACCTAGTCTAGCAACCTACACTACACGACAGTAGGTGAATCATGGCTACCAACTTTACTCAGAAATTTCAGGCCGGAGAGTCTTATGGCGATGAGCGTCAAGACTCAGCCAACTTTTTCAATGATCCCGCGAAGGTTGCAGCCGACATCTTAAAAGACTATGTCTCCGTACGTGGGCAGACGTCTCCGGCTGAGCTCGTGGGCCTCATCAAAGAGTTGCTCCAGAAAGGCGAGCCTCTTGATGACAAGAAAGGGTGAGGGTGACCCCATTGTATTTGGTTTCTTTCGGTGCTGATATCAACAAGAACGACCGAGGTCCTCATTGGCATCCTGACATCTCTGCCTGCCACCTCCAAAGCTAGGACGGCGCTCACCAACAAGCTCATTGACACACTGTGGGGAAATCTCCAACACCCCCCTCTGAGCTATGTTGGTGGCGACGTCAAGTACGATGCTGTTAATGAGACGGGAGAAGTCCTTGACAGCAAAGGAGAGCCGAACGCAAGAGAGCCTCAAGCCACCGACTCAATTGAGTTCACAGCCCCGGGCACCAACATCCTTTTACGCGAGCAGGTGCCGCAAGCGCCGGATGGCTTACACCACTACCGCTCTCCTGATGGAAGCTTCAACAACATTCTCGAGCCCAACTTGGGCAAGGCTGGAACTCCTTACGCCAAGTCCGTTAGAACGTCCAAGAGACTTCACGGTGTCAAGCCTGACGCGGGTCTGCTTTTTGACCTGTTGTTGGCTCGTGAAGAAGGGACTTTCAAAGAAAATCCGGCTGGTATCTCATCGATGCTGTTCTACCACGCGTCCATCATCATTCATGACATCTTCAGAACCAACCGCACGGACATGAACAAGAGCGATACGTCGTCCTATCTTGACTTGGCACCGCTGTACGGCTCGTCACTCAAGGATCAGCTTGAGATCAGAACTATGAAGGAAGGCAAGCTCAAGCCCGACACGTTCCACGAGAAGCGCCTCCTTGGGCAGCCCGCGGGCGTCAACGTCATGCTTGTCCTGTACTCCCGCTTCCACAACTACGTCGCCGATATCCTGCTCAAGATCAACGAGAATGGACGCTTCACACTGCAAGCCGGAGCCAATGCCACTCCCATTGAGAAAGCCAAGGCTGTCGCTAAGCAGGACCATGACCTCTTCAACGTGGCGCGTTTGATTGTCGGCGGCCTGTACGTCAACGTCTCATTGCACGACTACTTGAGAGCGATCACCAACACGCACCACTCCAAGAGCGACTGGACTCTTGACCCTCGTGTTGAGATTGGCAAGCAATTCGACAGCGACGGCGTGCCTCGCGGTGTCGGTAACCAAGTCAGTGTCGAGTTCAACTTGCTGTACCGCTTCCACTCTTGCATCTCGAAGAAGGATGAAAAGTGGATCGACGGATTCTTCGGCAAGCTGTTCAAGGGCAAGAAGTCCGAGGACTTGCAAAACATTGGCATGGCCGAGCTCGGCTTGGCTTTCGTGGAGTACGAGAAGTCGATTCCCAAAGACCCCAGCGTTCGCACGTTTGATGACTTGAAGAGACAAGAGGACGGCACCTTCAAGGATGAAGATCTTGCTCGGATCCTCAAGGAGGCTATGGAAGACCCGGCTGGTTGCTTCGGTGCTCGTATGGTCCCCAAGGCGCTCAAGATTGTCGAGATTCTCGGAATCAACCAGGCACGCAAGTGGCAAGTTGCGTCGCTGAACGAATTCCGAGAGTTCTTTGGCTTGAAGAAATACGACAAGTTCAGCGAGATCAACTCCAACCCTGACATTGCCAAACTCCTCGAGAAGCTCTACACCGACCCCGACATGGTCGAGCTTTACCCTGGTAAGAACATGCCCTTGACAGATCCTCAAACTTCCGAGATATCTAACACTGCAAAGGACTCATGATCGAAGACATCAAGCCGGTCCGCAACACGGGCAGCGGTATTTGCCCGACATACTCTGTCGGCCGAGCTGTGCTCTCTGACGCCGTCACGCTTGTCCGCTCAGATCGTTTCAACACACTCGACTTCACCGTGAGCAACCTGACGGCGTGGGGATTCAACGAGGTTCAGCAGGATTACAAGACTCTCGGTGGTTCCGTGCTTTACAAGCTCATTCAGCGAGGTCTCCCCAACTGGTTCCCTTACAACTCCGTCGCAGTCATGCAGCCCATGTACACTAAGAAGATGAACGAGACCATTGCCAGGGAGATTGGTACCTTCCACCTGTACACTCTGGACGACCCAACACCTCCACGCAAGACCGCCGTCACTGCGTCAAGCGCAGCCATCAAGCAGGTCTTGGGCAACCCCAAGCAGTTTGTCGTGCCGTGGCTTAGGTCTCTTCAGGCCATGTTCACGGATACGAAGAAGGACGTCAGCTGGTTCATGCTCGCGGGTGACGAGCAGAAGAACTTCCAGCATCGCACCAACATCAAGAAAGCATTGAGCAAGATCCCGAACCTGCACAACGCGGTTCACGAATTCATCGATCGTGTGGGTGCGCAGCTCATCGAGAAGGAGACATTCAAGATGAAGGAGGGTCTTCACCAGATCGACATTATCCGTGACGTTGCCATCCCGTTGAATGCTCAGCTTCTCGCCGACCTCTTCTACTTCGACCTGCGCACCGAGGAGAACCCCGGCGGTACTCTCGGAGCCGCTGAGCTCTACAATCACTTGCTCAATATCCGAGTCTGGGGGGTCAATGACAACGACCCAGCCCAGTCTTGGAACCGTCGCCGCCGCGCGATCGAGAGTGCCAAAGTTATTATCGATTCGACGGCCGGACCCGTCAAAGAGGTCCACGCCGGGCGTGGCCTGGGCTTCGGCATCGCCAACGCCATCTCCAGCGCGGTCGGCCGCAGGGCCAACTTCAAGAAGGACTCGCTACGATCGTGTGGTTACAAGTTTGTCGAGGAGCTCTTGGCTCAAGGAAACTCGCCGGAGCAGGTCGTAGATAACATGTGGCTGACAGCCTTTGGCGGCATTGGTGTTCCTGTCACAGCGGTAAGCTTCCCCCTTTGATGAACACCATGGAGTTGTTGAGACCTAACTCTCGCTCTAGTTTTACGAAGTACTGGAGTTCTTCCTGCGTCGCGAGAACGCCTCTATCTGGGCCGAGGTACAGAACCTCGCGCAGAAGAAGGACGACGCAGGACTGCACGCCTACGTCCGCGAGGCGCAGCGTCTCACCAGCGGACAGCGCAACGTTCGCGTGGCGACGGCGCCGGCTGATATCGACGGCCAGAAGATCCAGCCGGGTACTGCGGTCGTGCTGCTTCTTGTGGGTCTTTGAACTCCGCCCTTGATGTTCCCTCCCTTATTAACTATCCTTCCTCCAGGGCGTTGCTGGGCGGAACCCCAAGGAGATTGCCAACCCCGACAAGTTCGATCCCAACCGCAAGGCCGAGGACGTGTCTGCTTTCAGCTACGGTCAGCACGAGTGCTTGGCCAAGGACATTGCGACGACGTTCGTTGTGGGACTTGTCAAGCTCGTCGCTGATCTCAAGCAGCTGCGCCCAGCACCGGGTCAGATGGGTGTGGTCAAGACCATTCAGGTCGGCAGCGAGAAGGCCTATCTGAACGACAGCTGGTCGTACCTTGGCTTTGACGCCAGCAGTAAGTGCATTTCTCTCCTCATCACGCCGGTTTGGTTCCTGAGAGCAACGCTAACATCCCAACAGCTTGGAAGGTTCACTTCGACGGCCACGGAAAGGGAAATTTCACGGGCGATGTTACACCTAACAACCCCATTGACTTGGGGCAGTACTACTATCTCCTCAAGCAGCGCAAGGAAAACTTGCTGAGTGGTCTCAGTGGGCCGGCCAGCATCCGTTCCCAATAGACCGAGATTGCTTCCTCCCTGTCTGAGAAGAGAAGGTCAGGTCAGATTGGCAAAGGCATCGTCATTGGTCAATGATTCGACGTTACGATGGGAACATGTAGTCTGAGTAAAAATGAAATAAAGTTTACCACAGGCTTCACTCGATCATTGTGTAAATCCACCAATAATTTGGCCCTTCACACTCCCGGAAGTACTACGTAGAGCAGAAATGATGCCCTTCTTTACGTCTTAGTGTTAGCGCTGCGCATCAGAGTTTCGGGTAATCGTAGTTAGCGGCCTACATAAACTTAATCGCCTTTACAGTCGGAGCTCGGTCCAACACAATTCTAACGCCCTTCAAAATCACAGTGATAATTTGTTGTAGTACAACATTACAGCCAAGAACGAGTTGTTCAGATCCAACTTTGAGGCTGGAAGATGTGACGAGGCTTGCCATCATCCGAATGCGGCAGGGAAACGGCGAGAACCCCCAAAGACGGGATTCAGGGGGAGTAGATCGACCTTGGCTACTTGGCCAAGACCCATGTCCGTGGATCGTGGGGATCTGCTCCGGGAGGCCACCATGCTAAACTACCTACTTCATCCATGTCCCAAGTACCGAGTATCCACTTGGTTAAACTGCCGATGAGACGGGGAATCTGCCAGTCTGGGTCATTTCCCCGTGTATTGCACCCTCCTTCACTAATTCTTCGGTTCGGACGGCTTCTAAAGGGCCGTCAGTTCGTCTTTTGTTATCATCATCCATCCACTTTATCAGGTTAGATCAATTTCGCTTGGAATCGACATGGAGTAGGGGCGGCATCTGGTGGTTCTGTGGAGACAAAGGGGGCAACTTTTCCCACCTGTGGCCGGTGCTGATGGGCATCGATGGCGCCTAGATCTGTTAGTTTCCGCGGCAAGTTGATTAAACTGGCGCGTCACTTTGATTGCCGTTGGGCTAGGTCGGCCTCTTAAACGGCAACACGGCTCCCAACAAGGCCACCGCTTATTGTTTCCGAGCCGTAGGGAATGGAAAGTTTTGCATACTACAGCAGTAAGTAGTCTGCTCCACACCTGTAGTAGCAGAGTCAAGAAAGTCAAAATCGCACTATGTACGAAAATAGAAGAAACGCGGCTTCAGTAGACACGCGACAGCTTCAATTGAGACGACCATCAGCTAGTAGCCAGTACCAACTTGACCAAGTATTGCGAAGGACCAGTATTACATTCTACAACTGCTGTCCGTTCCACAGGTTACATGACAATAATCTAGGTCACTCCGTTCACAGGGAATCCCTGATCAAGAACAAAGGGCCAAGAGGTGTGACACCAGTCGCCGGCAACGACCCCCGGGTTCCTCGACCGTAGATCTCACCACAAAGGGAAGTACGCCCTTGACTACTGGCCTACTGGTTTAGTGATCTCTAGAATTACAGCGAAAGCGAGCCAACATGGCCACTGCAACCCTGTGTTTCCCGCGCTACTCGTTGCATCAACCCATTAAAAAGTGGTATTGGTGAAACATTGCAGGATTCAAGGCTAGAAACCCATCTCGAGATGATATGAATGGTTATGGCAATCGCCTTTATACGATTCCACCAATGGTGGAATCGTGGAGCGTGGGTACATCCTCATTCGAGTTTGTGTATAAAGTCGAAGGATAATCAGTGTCTCCATCAGTCGAGCTATCCATTCAGACAATCGCGGCCCAGCACTGACTACCAACACTCGCTCGCTCATCTCCCAACTACCAACGTTCACTTCACCCCATCACAACCGCCAAGATGCCTTCCACCACCCAGATAATCTCCGCCCTGGTCGTCACAGCCGCCGTCGGCGTCCAGGCCGCCATGGGCCCGGCCTTCAGCACTGGTCCCGTCGCCTCTGACTCCTTCATCCGCGAGGCCACCTCCACCCTCGTCCTCCCTGCCGCTCCCTCCAACAATAAGGGCGACGCTTCCCTCTGGGTTGGCATGGGCACCTCTAACGGCGACCTGATTCAGTCCATCTCCGACAGCAGCAACTACGACAACACCGGCACCGATAAGTGGTCCATCTACGCCTACACCCTCCTCAGCACGGGCCCCAACTCCCAGATGCCCGTCCAGACTGATGGCACTGACGCTTCTGAGGGTGACAAGATCACCATGCACTGTATGTTGCCAGCCACACGATGACTTAGTTTCGAGGCCTGCTTGCTAACGAAGAACCTGCAGATAAGTTCGACGATGCTTCCCAGAACTACACCCAGACCGTCTCCATCAACAACAAGGTCGTCGCTACTCTTTCTACCAAGGACGGCAAGGCCCAGGGCTGGGGCAGTGCTGTTGAGTGCGCCGCCAATGACTGTGGAACCATGGGTGCTCACTGTAAGTTCCATCCATTCCCTACCTAGCTCTTCCACCAGTCACAGCAATTGTCTAATACCTCTCTCCCAACAGCCTGGATCAACACCAAAATCATCCTCGACAAGGCCGATGCCAACTACATCGACACCTTGGGCAAGGGCAACGGCGTCACCGGCGACATGTCCACCAAAGACGGCGGCAAGACCTGGACCGTCACCACCATCCATATCCCCAAGTTCACCTTTGGCCAGTAAACGTGCCATTTGAGAGCTCTGCTCTGACCTCTGCTCTAACCTCTGGAAGGGGGAATTTTCTCGTCTATACTATGCCTTCACATACATCACAACGTTGTACATATTAGCTGGCCAAGATACCAATTTGCGACTGTAAAATAAATCATCCTTCAATACCTTAACCAAGCATGTACGGTTCACATCTCTGCCACTTTGAATCACGTGTCGTGTAACTCAACTACCCGATCCAAAGTCACCCGTTCACGGTAAATACCTACGTCAAGTGGGTACTATGGCTATGAAATAGAATTTGATCACTTGATATGCAATTCTCATATCAAGTTCGCTCTCCTGGCTCTCAATATCTAGTTCCCTTGCCGCCGAGAAAACCACCAACTTTCTAATTCCCTTCTGGAGAAAGGTCGTGGGGAGGCTGTGACGGTGGTGTTATTCTTCCAGTGCTGCGCGTAAATCCAGCTCGTGCTCCTCTGGCTGGCTCAAATTGGTTTTCACTACGTTTCTTTCCTTCAAACACCTTTAGAGTCGTGCTCGGTGCTCGGTTATCATCGCAAGCGTCGTTACCCTAGTCTTCAAGCTCGACTTTGGAGCTATCCTTTGGAGCCGAATTAGGTGTCTGGAAGATAATGCTCGTCTTCGAGCAAGGCGAACTGGGAGGAAGACTTTCAAGAGACAATTCAGGTATGTCGTGGAGTTGGAAGCCCAAGCAGGTGCCCCCACATCTTCGACCTCAGAATCGAAATCGGAAGATTTTTTCTTGTTCTTTTTCTCGCAGGTCTTCTCGCCCTCTGTGGAATAAGGAACCTTAGCGGTTTAAGAATTATTGACCTTAATTGGGGCGAGAAGGGCGGGGAACGAATTCTTGTTTAACGTGAGAGTGGTCTATAGAGAGGGAAAGAGGGAGAAAAGTCAATTTTTGGTGCAAGATGAGGCGCATGGGTGAAATGTTGTCCTACCTGGATCGTTCCACTGGCAGAGTCCTTTGCGAAGGCCTTGCCGCTCTTCTTCCAAGAGCTCTTGATAGCAGAGGAACTGCCCTTGACCTGGAACCAGCCAGGTTTATCGAACAACTGATTGAAGCGCGTAATCGATGCTGTTGATATTTAGAGCAATGGATTCAGCGCTGCTAGGATCGAAGAATTTGACTGTGTGTAAATTTTTGTTTTCGATGCCTGTAGAAGGATGGGGCAGTTTTATATCGTTGAAGGAAAGGACCTGATCCAGGGATTGATGGCCTTGATCAGACCGAGCGTCTTCTTTGTCTATGGTGCTTCCTGAGCACCGTCCGATGGAGGACTAGTATCCCTCTTTCATCTTGTGGTAACCATGTCTCTCCAATTTGACGGATAGTCAGTCGTCCTCGCTCTGCCAGGGGGATATGGCACCCCTGCGCAGTGAGAAATAGCCGTGTGCTTAGTGTTCTAGCGATGCTAGGCTTCGACCTTCATAGCGAGAAGCTGGTGACCTTCAGTTCTTCCACTGTCATTACATTGTTGAATAAGATCCACGTTGGTCTGTTGTTGAACTTACAACTTCTACCTATCAGCCGTAGGCTTAGTTTGCGTGTGGGGGTCCGAAATGATTGCCCTCAAGAGGGACTTTCAGACGTCGCGTCCCATCCATGGGCTCTATACCTGAAAGGGTTCATTTCGAAAATCTCACAATTTTGGAAGTACCCAGGTAGGCCTCGGTGGCGGATTCAAGCATAGCGCGGCGCATGCGGAGCAAATATGTAGGTAGCGGCCTGCTGGGTATACATATGGCAAGGAGCCTACTGAGCGCACATGGAGTCACGGGCAGGCTGAGGGGAGGTTGTGGCTGCTGGAATTCCTCGCTTCACACCATTCCTTGTTTTAGATTTATTGTAGATGCAGTTCAATGTGTTGATTTGAATAAGGCTCTATTTCGATCAAAGCTGCTACCCAGTCTGAGGTCTTTTACGACGCCAACCTATTATTCGAGCACCATAGAGCCAGGGTCTGAACGCATATCTGGGCCCGGCTTTTTGAACTACAGAATGAAGAGTTAGGATTGTGTCTATTTGTCTGTCGCTCAAGTGAATTGAAGGAAAAAACATACCAGTCTTCAAAGTCTTTCGATTGTGGGAAAGGAAGCCATCAATGGCTGTGTTGGAACTTGTAATTTCAACTGCGTTGTGACATCAGGTTAATTCTAGGTTCATGTTCAATCACCAAGACTGCAAAACAAAGAAAAAGAACTTACCGATTTTTGAACAGCAGTTTCTCATATTGAAATGATGATGTTCCAAGTAATGGGTGTTGATCAGGTGGTTTCTCAAAGCATCTCCGTGCTGAAGTCCCAGATTCAACAAGATCAGCCGTGCAGATATTATGAGGCACTCATTATTCGAACTTTGAGCTCTTAGATCACTAATTTGACCCTCCACGCCAGGGAAGACTGGTGATTGACTTGGCTGGGTGTGGCCCTCTACATGTCGTTTGTAGCTGAGCATGTTGAAACGATAAAGACAAGGCCCTGGGTCAAAGAGGAAGCCTGCGAATGAAGATCTCCTTTTTGATGAAAGCAAGGAATTTGAATCGGCGCTGAATCGGCGCTGAATCGGCGTTGCAAGTTCCCTCCAAGCACCTAAAATATGATGATTGTCAGCAAAAAGGAGGAATACAGAGGGCGATAGTAGTGTAGCCTTACCATGTAGTAAACTATTTCGATCCTGATCTACGTTGTGGGAGATCTTGTAGTCGGTTTGGTTGTTCATGGGAAAACTAGGTGGATTTAGTCTAATGACTTCCCAGGTGAACAGAAGCAGCGATTGCATACTTACCATGAGTTAAACAGTGAGTTTAAACAAACTTGTAGTTTGGGTCATTGATAAAGCAGGAGGAACACCGACATCCATTGACTTGATCAGTGCATCGTTCCCCCTGCTCTGTCAGCAATAGACAGCTCCAAGAAGCAATTCTTCAACATCAACTATTCGAGCGCACAGTTTCAAAATGCCCAGTCATTCTGTTTGACGGGCAGACTTGCGATAGTGTGAGCAATAAGTTGGACGAAAGGAGAAAACAGCAGACGAAAGCTCACACCATCGTGGGTGTTGAACTGGATGTTCTGTTCGAGGGCAATGTTGAAAACAATTTGAAAAAGAGTTTTGAATCAGTTGGGGGTTGACCTCTTTGAGCCCAGGTCAAGGACCCAGGTCGGTGTGGAAGAGAAGAAGAGAAGATGAAGCAGGGTTTGAGGCGAAAGGGTCTCCTTTTATCTTAAAATCCCAATGGGTCGTTGAAGCGCCGTCACGTGCCAAACGACCCTTTTGTTGAAGATTGAACGGAAAAAACGGAAAGGACGAAGTGAGTGGAGAGATTGCAGCAGAGTGAGGTGACATCCCGTCCGAGATAGGTGGTGCACTCAAAGAAAGAACGACTTCTGCGATGCCGGAAGGGGCGATTCACCTGCCTCACTGGAAGGTCTCTGAATGAGATGCAATGTAGACTCTAGACCCCTAAAGGCGCCTGGATCCCTTGGGTACCGTAAATAAGGTATGATTAAGTCAATTATGAACCAATCTCATCACTTAATATCACAAAACTATGAGCGTCACGATCTGTTAGTGAATTTCCCTTTAGTAAATGCATACTATTCACTTACTCCTGGATGAGGAATTCACGTTCCTGCATTCCAGAAATACCACGGCCATTATGTACACAAATGAGCAGAGGCCTTTCCGAAATCTTCAAATAGGTCAAACATAATGAGATCACCCTGTGGCAGACTTTCCTCCGCATTTGTGCTGCTAGGGAGCATTCAGCAACACCAGTATACATAAACACAGCCATGGATACTAGAATCATGACTTGTCTTGAATTCCAGACGACGACATGACCTGGAACATGCTCTTGACTCCGTTTGAGCTGAGCTGGTCATCCAGGAGCCAAGATACCTTACCTTATCATGTGGTGGTGTGTGGTGTTATCTTGACTGACACTGAAATGAGAGACGATGATTGGCCAATGGGGGAATGTCATCGATGACGTAACTTAATGGCCGATCACCTTTGATTCTCGAACGCCAAAGTCGTTCCTCTCTCTTCCCTTTACCTATTTGCGCGTAAACACCACCGCCCTATCACACCAAGATCCTCCTCTGAATGCTACCTCGACCACGCTCCCTCGACCTGGCCCGACGACTCGCTCATCGAACTCGTCTCCTTTACAGGATTGACCTCGACCGTCACCGACTCCCGCAACGAAGCGCCCTCCACAGCACCACAATGAGTTGGATGGACTCGTGGTCTCGCCCCAGCAAATCGCAAGCGACGCCGGCACCCTTCTACCTCCTCCCCAACGGCGACGCGACTCCATACTGCCGCACCTGCGGCCGCGTCATCTCCAGCCGCAAAACCACAACCGCGTCGTCCAAATCAGGCAAGCCCGAGGCATCAAAGCCCGCCGAAGCAAAGTACTGCTCGTCCCGGTGTCGAGCCAAGAAGCCAAGTCGCCTAGACAGGGAGATTGAGCAGGTCTTTGTCCGGTTTCTGCAGGGCGAGGAGGAGATGCAAGGGCCTGCGAAACCGAAAAAGGTCAAGGGCGACATACGGATCCTCGTCCCCTGCGACGTTGTCGAAGAAAAGGTCTTTGGCGAGAGAAAGGCACCAGACAAGGTCTACGGGAGGGGAAAGAATCGCGCCTCGCGAGTCATCGTCGCAAAGGAAGGGTCAGATGACGACGACGACGAAGCAATCGATATCCGGGAACGCGGCCGCCACTACGAGGAGGATCCGGGCGAGGATATTATTGACGAGATGCTCGGCCTCGACCGCAGCAGGTCGGCGGAGCTCGACCCCAGCGTGCAGGCTGGCCTCTCGGTGCGCAGCGGGACGCGCGTGCGGCCGCCGCAGACGCAGAGCCAGGTCAACGGCAGCGTCGGCGGGGAGAAGGGGCGGGCGGAGAGGATCGAGGAGACGGACGAGATGCGTGAGAAGAGGGCCGAGGGGCAGAGGAAGGCGCATGAGAGGGAGATGGTGAGGTGTGCTGCGAGGCGGGGTGTGGTTTTTGGATTCCTTGTGGGCGGCGGCGGCGACGCAGAGGAGAGGAGGAAATGTGAGGCTGTTAGGCAGGGCAAGGTTGTCGAGCCTAGTTTTGCAAAGGGGGATTGGTCCATCCGATGGAGGGACGACTAGATCATCCCTGGGACGCCCGTCACGTAGTACGTAGACAAATAATGGAGTGAACATGCATTCTAGGCTGTATTATTTTTCCTTTTTTCCAGTCATAACAGACATTTACACAAGCTGAGACGCTCCAGCGTCCTTTTGTTTTACTCTAACAAGCCTTTTTATCTTGACTCTCTACGCTTTTACAGGAAGCTGTTTGCCAAGGTGATGGCGGTGGTATACACCATGCCCACGAGGCCCAGGGCCATGAGGGCGTAATCGCAAATCTTTTCCTTTCTCGTCTCGGCGATACCCTTGAGATGCAGGTACGGCGGGTAAATGTAGACCAAGGGCACGCACGCAAAGGAGCCGATGAGGGCGACGAAGCGGTCGAGATTGGCGGAGCCGGCCACGGAGATGACAATGCACAGGGCGACGAGGGAGGTGCGGAAGGCGTTCTTTTTCCACTTTGTGAGGAGATCTTTCTTGCCGGAGCGGTGGCCGAAAATCTTGCCCTCGATGATGCGCATGGCGGGGAAGAGCTGGACGGGGTTGCCGACGAGGACGGCGAGGGCATACATGAACTGGACCGCGTTGACGAGGCGGCTGTCCTGCGGGTAGTTGTCTATGATTTCAATCTTTGTGCGGTCGCCAAAGGTGGCGTAGCAGAGGGCGCCGACGGAGGTGAAGACGCAGGTGATGAGCAGCATGACACCCGCAAGCAGGGGCTCAAAGTGCTCGGGCTTCTTCATGCTGGCCTGGATGGGGATGATGAGGCCGATGCCCTCAAAGGTGAAGATGGAGGCGCCAATGGTGAGGGTGTAGGAGCTCGGGTTGAAGAGCTTGACGGAGGGGTCCATGCCGCGGGTGGCGAGGGCGGAGATGTCGTACCACCAAATGTAAGCCACGCCGATGATGATGAAGAGGTCGGCGAAGAGGGCGGCGGGCCCGAGCTTGGAGATGTTGCGGATGAAGGCGAGGGGCACGATGACGAGGGCCTGGAGGGCGATGAGGGCGGTGGAGTCGAGGGGGTTCGCGCCGCCGGTGACGGCCTTGAGGAAGGAGAACCAGTTGTCGGCGACGAAGACGAGGCCGGTGCAGACGAAGCCGATCTGGGAGAGGGTGATGGAGGCGAGGATGAGGGCGCGCATGCGCGGACCGGAAATCTCCTTGCCGAGGTCGCCGTAGCCGCCGCCGTAGCGGGTGCGGCACTGGAGGAGCAGGTGGAAGGCGGCCATGGAGATGGCGGCGATGACGAGCATGGTCAGCGAGGAGAAGAGGATGCCGCCGTTCTTGAAGGCCTTGGGGAGGAACATGATGCCCGTGCCGATAAAGGCCTTGAGCGTGGTGAAGAAGGTCTTTGTGGTGCTGGCGTCGCCGGCCTTTTTCGCGAACCGCGAGGACCGCCGCCGGCCCAGCAGGGGACGGGTCTCGGTGGGTGCGCCGCGGGGCCGCTCGTGTGCCTGTTCTTCGTCCTCGTCGTCCGTGATAATGGCCTCCTCGTCCGAGTCGGCAAGGTCCTCACCGGCAAAGGAGCCGTAAAAGTCGAGGAACTCGACAAAGTTGCGCGTGATGGGGAGGGTGGCGGCGGTGTAGCCGCGCTTCTGCATGACAAACTGGCGGCGGAAGCCCTGGGGCATGAGCATCTCGGCGGCGGGCAGGTCGGACTCGTGGCCGGACTCGGTGCGGCGCGGGTGGGAAAAGGTCTGGGCGCGCTTGAGTCCTTGGTCCCTGGCTGAGATCTTGAAGAGGTCGCGGTGCATGTCGCCGCCGGGGAGGAGGAGGGACGAGGCCTCTTCGAGGTTGGTACCGTTGGCGAGGTCGTCGTTCTCGGTGGCCGGGAGGTTCGGGGCCGAGTTGGAGGTGACGTGGGCGAGATCGCCGTTGGAGAGGGTCCGCGTGCCGTCGAAGCTGGTGCCGTAGCCGGAGGGGAGGTGGTTTGCGATGACGGCGGTGCGCAGCCGCTCCTCGGTGGAAGAGGGTGTGTCGGACATGGCGGGCGGTATTTTGAGTTTGGCGGTGGGGGATGGAGAGGTTGTAATGATGTGATGATGCTGTTGGGGGGGGAGGATTTGGAGTAAGAACCAAGTCTAGGAGAATTCAGAGGAGAAATCTATGGCTCCGGGCATCCTCGAGCCATGCAGAGGTGTTCAATTGAAACGATGAAGAAAGAAAGATAGATGTGAGGTGGTGGAAAAGACAGCCAGACACAGTAGAAGGGAAATGCCTCGGTTCAAGTTTGGGGTTTGGGCTCGCGGACTTGGAGGATGCGGTCGCAGCGTCTGGCCATCGGATCGCGGGGATGGGGAGAGACGGGAAGAGGTCTGGTGTAAAAAGCTTCAACGTTGTTTTTCAAGGTCCATCATGTTTGGTCTGTTTGGTGGGCAAAGACTTGACGAAGCTTGAGCCGCTTGCAGTCCCCACTGCGGATTCATGCATGTGGGGGGGGGGGGTAGCCGAATATATAGAGATAGAGAAATACTTGAGATGTTCAGGATGCTCGGGCGAGAAGAGACGAAGACTCGGCGGAGAGAAAAAGTTATGCGAGGTTGTCATCTATCGCGGGGGTGGGGAAAGGGGGGGGGGAACAAGAGACAAGGACTTGAGAGTTGACGAAAAGACCAACGGGAGAAGAGCGGGACCACTCGAGCACTCGACACCAGCAGAGACAAGGGTGGCCGCAGGAAGAACGAGAGCTATGCCGCATGGGGTCTAAGGGCGGGAACCTCGCGACTCCCAGTCTGTGAATACGTCAGTCCGCAGGAGCAAGCGCGACTTTAGGGGCCCGGGCTACTGTTTAGTATTAGTTTGTTGACCAACTCACCACGACAACAACTCACTCTTCAGAGTCTTCACCCAGCCATGCCTGCCGGGGCCGGCCGCAGTGGAGTGTCCATGCCGTGAGTGCCACCGCGTGGTTGATGGTTGGCTAAGTCGAGATGATGACCAGGCTCCGGGAGGAGTTTGGGAGAGGGAACAGCTGCCAGGTTGTGGCGGTGAGAGGACCAACTTGCGAGTTGTGTGTACGAATAGTTGGTTGGTGTCTGTTCCTGTTCTTCTCTCACGGTCCTTGTGGGGTGAGACAGCCAGACAGCGCAAGCTCGGACAGAAGAGAGACACGAGATCACGTTAACCTGCACAGACTTGTCTCGGCCTGCAGCTGCAGTAGATTGCTCGGCCATTATGAATGTGTCCTAGACATGTCTTTTAGCCAATACTTACTATTCTGCTTATTCTTACCTGTAAAGTTTGGTCTTTCATGTAAATGTTTCAATCTCATGCTGAGAATTCACTCATTCGCTTGCTCCCACACTCACTCCCCATCTCACCTCCGGCTTGCCTAACCCGGTCGCTCAATTTTCACCGTGAAATCTGACAAGCGGGTCGGACATGATGCCACCGACGGACCCTTGGAAAAAATGACTAAGAAAAATGTCAAGACTGCGACCACCCTAGCCTTGCAGAAGCGAACTGCAAAAAAAGATCCTTATGCCTGGACGATCGGGCCTTTGCCGACGGTAACCAGCGGTCAGTATCACGTGATCTACGTCAACGACGGCGCACACGTATATGTTTTGATGGATCACGACCCGACCTCATCCAACTCACTCATTCGCTCTCACTCACCCGCTCACTCACTCACTCTCTCAGAAGTGAGATATGAAGTATCAAAATGGTGTCATAAACAGCACTTCTTCGCTCATCCGCCAGTGTCTCACCCCGCGTGTTTCTCAAGTGAGACCAAGGCCTCATCGCGGTCCCCCTCTGCCGAGACACATGTTTGCTTTCTGCCGCTGGAATGTTGTTGTTTTGCAGAGAGGGTTTCTCTCTCAAATCCGAGACCTGGACTGGGTCCTCCCCCGCGGCCGACTTTCGCTGTGGCAGACCGCTTGCAGACCTCGTCGCATTCCATCTTCACAACCTCCCATTCAATCCAAGTAGACAAGTGCACCATGTGCCTGCGAGCAGCATCATGAGTAATGGCCAAGGCCTGCTCAATTCTTCATTTTCCTCAACAAGTCTGTACTCTAGAAGTCTAGGCCGAGACCCTGGGACTGAAAACAGGGAGTTTTCTTTGTCTGCCACCAACATTCCTTATCCTGATCATCGTGAATGAACTTGCGTACTACCCGACAAGTCAGCAGTCAGCTCGGCCTGAAGCTCACCACACCGAGACAACTCACTGCCGTCGGTCTCGTCCGGTTGATGCCGCCCCATTGGCCCCACTTAGGTGCCGTCCCGGATCCTCCGGCCGCCGTGGTTGTCGTCACTCCTGCCGTCCAGTTTGTGCCAATCCTCAGCGTCGTGGAAGCGCCGCTCGTAGTGGCAGGAGTCGTCGGGGCTGGCAAGGTGCCTACGGGTGGCTGGTTACGCGGTCTGATCCATCGGCCCAAGGTACACCGAACCGAAGCTTATCCCCTTCTTACCACGAATCCGAACCACCTGAGGTCTTCATGTCGATCGAATGCGTCACACTTGCACCCAAGAAGGTCCGTACACATTCGGTCAATCACCTGGTGTCTCGCCCCATGCTCGGGGCGTCAACTCACCTGCAACTTCTCTCTAAACACGTACTTGGTATACGGGCTCCTAGGGAAGTCTGCGACTACGGTGCGGCAAGTACCCAACAACCCCGTCCACTGCCTGATCGTCTCATGATAGTTCTGCACATTCAGGGCCTCGTCCACCGTGCCGTGGTAGATAGGCATCTTGGTTCTCGCGCCTGTGTATCCGGGGTACATGTTGTACGCGACGCTGGCCCACTGCTGCTACGTCCAGATGGACTGTCCCGTCGAGCACGTTGAGATCCAAAAGTCGGATATGTCGTCGGCGGACATGAAGCAACCGGCCGGAACGCCCGCCTAGGCGATGCCAGGCGCAAAGACGTCGGAGTACGTCGCCGCCAAGACATTCTGTCAAGTTACCAAACATTGTCAGAATCACTCATGTCAAATACGAAAAGGAGAGAGCATGGCTAAAGCAATACAGATATACCTTCATCATTGCACCCGAAGAGATGCCAGTGGCACTTACCTTACTCTTATTCGCCCCATACCGCGCAACCATAAAGCTTACCATACTGGCAATCAATTTGCTCACGCCGCCCCCGTCGTGCGCCAGCATCATCTTGCTTGCCACGTCCCAGCAATTGTCGCTCTGGTACGGCGCCTGTGGGTAGCTCACAATGTACCCGTACGTCTTGGAACTGAGCGTGATGAGGCGTCTTTTTGTGATCTATCTATCCATCATCAAGTCCCGTGGTTCACCCTTGAGACGTGGATCGCTTCAATGGTGGTCTCGGACTATGAAACTCCGTCTCTGTGAGCAAAGTAACATCGGGTTGATCAACCTTGCCCCTCCACCTCCACTTCTCGGCTTTCAGAATTGTGAAGAGGCTTGAGAAAAAGGAACAGATGGCCACCTCTACAGGCTGTTGAGGGTTTTATGCCAGAGCCCCGCCATACAACCCGAAGCGCGGAAACTTCTTCCGCCAACCGTTTGGGCGGAGTTTCCTGCTCTCAGGGATCGACTGCTCAGAGGCCTTGAACATCACAGCATGAACATTACACCTCGGTACCGTTGTGTTCTCATTCGCCTTGACTTATTTCACGACCATAGATTGCTGGTCAGAATCAGCTTCCGCCCTAGGCCTCAGCCAGAAGATGGTTCCAAACTAATCGCCATCTGACGGCATTGCCTTTCATGCACTGTACCACGCAACACTCCACACGATTCCTATCCCCTACGTCTCAAACAGCATCTTTCCTACGCCTAATGAGAAGCTTTGCCCTAGGATTCACCAAAGTCGAGAAACCAAAACGCATCGGCTCCACAGTACTCTTGTCTTCGTTGGCCAGCTTGAATTCGTACCCGAGCAAGATGTGCGATACAATCAGCTTCGCGGAGCTCGCGCCAAAGAAGCGACCCGGACACGCGTGCGAGCCGAGCCCGAAGCCCATGTGCTCCGCTGATACGCTCGCGAGCTGCGCGACATGCTCATTATTACCGGCCTCGCGCATCCGGAGGAAGCGTCGGCCATCGAAGCTTTCCGGCTTGGGATAGATCTCCTGCGTACGATAGTCAGCCACCAGCTTGACAAAGAAGAAGTGCCTGGGGAATGTCCTACAGGATCCCACATCATGGCCGATGATACGGCGACGCCTGTCGTTTTTGGGAGCACGGTGCCGTCACTCAATTTCACATTGTCTTCCATCACGCGCCTCCCAAGAGCCACTGCCGAAATGTCAGCAACGGGAACACAGTCGAGGAGCAGGGCTACTTACCGGAGGCAATGGGCTTGAGACGCAACGTCTCCTTCAGCACGCTATCCATGAGCTTCAGGTTATACAGCGTCGAGCTCTTCCACCCGTCTCGCGTCTCCCTCACAATCTCCTCCCTCAACGCCTCCGTCAACTCCGGATTCAGACACAGGTCCAGCAAGTTCTGCGACACCATGTCCGTACTCGACGCGTTCGCGAGGGTCGACAACCCCAATTGCTGAAACGCCGCGTTCTGCGCCGTTCGGTCCTGCTGCTTCCTTGCCAGCTTCTCAATCCACGCCAACGCATTATCAAACACCACGCCGCCGTTCTCCGCCTCTTGCCGCCGTCGCTTCTGCTGGATCGGCTCGATGGCCATCCGCGCCGTCCGGAGCATCTGGCGCAGCTCGCGGCAGCAGGGGAGGAACCAGTGCACGAAGCGGCGGACGGGGGATGGGTAAGAGCGGAGAACTTTGGCGGCAGCCATGGCTTTCATTGGGTAGTTTATCGTGATTTGGAGCCAGGTTGGATCGCGGCAGAGTTCGGGGCCGAGGAAGACTAGTGCTGAGACACGGGCGACGATCTGGGCGATTGTTGGGGCGAGGGTGATTTCGTGCCATTCTGAGACGGTGGTATCAGAGGAAGAAGGGCGTAAGTCAGGTGAGAACACGTACCTTCGTCCTCAGTGAAGACGTCCTTCAAAGCAGTGGCTGTCTCATCTGCAAGTGGTTGTGATAGTCTGGCTGCAAGGGTTAAAGTGAGTAAGTCGGGCGGGATCCGAGACGTTCATTCAGACTCACCAACGTCGCTCTGAGTGAGGTGCGTTCGTATCATCTCGCGGATGAGCTCGCTCCCAGAACTCAAGTACGGTTCGAACCCCGGTGTTCCGGCCTGCCAGTACGCCAGCAGAAACTCTGTCGAGCTCAACCGACTGTCGTTCTTCACATCGTGGCAATGCTGGGGCGCCAGGACCGTGAGGGTGCTGCCTTGGCCGGTGAATACTCGAAAAGGTTTCCCGCCGTATTGCTTAGCCCCCTTGGCGAGGAGGGCTTTACCACCCGTCAAGTATTCCTCCTTTGTATTGTTGATCAGTGGGTAGATCTCGACATCCTGGAACGTGTGCCGGAGAGGTGCTGCGACGAAGCAAGCTATCACGAGCAAGGCTAGCCAGTAGAGACCAGATTTGGAGGTGAAATACGACGGGGAGAGCTTCAATGTGGCAAACTCCGCCCAGCTGAGCGTTGTGGTTGAAGCATCCATGTCCATGATATCGATAGATACATGTAGTCGTGGGTGAGACGATGTCGACGCTGGCTTGTGGGCAGTGATTCCCAGGTAAAACGATTTACTTATTTGATACGAATTGAATATCTCTGGGGCTCAATTATTTTAGGCCCGCTCAACATGATCTTTTCATGAGAGCGAGAATGAATATGAGTTTTGCTTCAATCCGAATGCTACGCATGGCTGGAAAGGTTAATTGACTTTGTTGTACCTGCTAACCCTTTACACCATTTCATGCTCACGAATACTTGTTCGCTTGGTCTGCAAAGCTGCAAAACTGTTAGGAGGTACATCTCCCGAACTAGAAGAGTCAAAAAAGTTCATAGTAAATGCTACTGCGGAGAGGTGGCTCGGTCCGAAACCTTCGCGCATATCGTTTTTCGGACCGTTGATAGAGCGAGCAGAAAGATTACTCTTGGCTCCCGAATCATTCGATCATCGGCTATAAAATACTACAAAAATATCATGCTGGGGAAGATCTTGGGGATGCAGAACCCGACCGCCACCGCGATTGTTGAAGTAGCGTCTTTTGGGTCTGCGATTAGCTTCATGTCGGCATCGTCCCGAGCCTAGGATTTGGTCTGGAGTTATCTAGCTCCGCGACATCGGATCCGAGTGTAGGCCGGCGGTTGCAACGGATGCGTAAGCGGCTTTACTGCGGATTATTCCTATGGGTTTTGCAACCTGAGTGCGATGTTTGACACATTGTTGCGCGCCTAATCCCTAGTCGTGTCTTCATCCGGAGTTTTACGGTTATGTTCCAGGCAGTGAGCAGGGCTTCACGGGCTTCCTTGATCAGATGACTGTCAGGCAGGCGGAATTCTCCTCAGGCGACACTGCGATAGCCTTGGTATCAACGGGCCGAAAGAGCAAAGTGCGTGAAGTGAGGATCGACGGCTGCGCCGACTTGGCATCAGTCGGCGTAGAGACTGATCCACGAGCAAAGCCATGACAAGGATCAGAATTTCCGAGTCAGTCGGATATTGTTTCTCAAACCCCTCTAGAGGATGCAAAACATCATGCAGCTAAGTCAGGTAGCGCATCGAAACCCCCCACTACACTAAAAAGTTCGGTAAGCAAGCACGGTATGTGCAAGACTTCCAGGCTGAGGAGCCTGGCAAAATTTCCCTTGGTTCCGGCCAAGAAGGGGGGAAGGTGTCATGTGTGCAACGTCGGCGTTGGGGAAGATTGGATGACGCCGAGGCTAATGCCGCAGGTAAAGCCCTCACACGTGTTTCGTTTGGGCAGGCCGTGAGATCATTCTTCCTTGGAACTTGCTAAGAGGCAGTAATTAGAGCTCTTTGTACCCGTATGCGGTTAAGAGTGAGAGGGATCGATAAGCAAACATAAGCAAAGAAAAAAATTTGATTCCGGAAGAACTGTCAAGTCGGCAGATCTGCAGGGACTCCCGCAAATCGTCACAAGTTGCAACGAAAGAGGCGCCGTCGGGTTCATGGGTGATGCTGGCTGGGCCGCCGCGACTCGAAGCACTTGATGCTCTCTGTTAGCAGCTTGTGCGTGTTTTGTTCTGACTCTTGAAACCCCAAACTTCTTTTCAAAGAGGCAATATGTCTAATGCAGGTGGAGAAACAACGAGGGAACACCCGCAAGGAGACCTGTGAAGCTCTCAAAACACATCTGGCTTTGATCCCGAGCTGTATACTATTATCCGTACGCGTACTCGACTATGGTATCCCACTCTCGCCCATTCCAACGGGAAGGAAAGCAGGCTTTCCAGCTCCAACGCTACCAATATCGGATTTCCGCGGCCCCGACTACCAGCCACAAGGTAACACGGCGTTACCTCGCATGTGGAGAAGCGTCTCCTTGCATCTGGTGGCACTGGGGAAATGCATTTCTCCATTGTTTCCCATTGCGCTGGCTACGCTAATTCCCACATTGCGCTCTTCTCATCAGCAAACGCCTCCACCATCCAAACAAGCTTCATCACGGTTTTAGAGTATAGAGTTGGACTGACTTTAAAATTCATTCATTACTCTGTCTCTCCTTGCTACCTGCACGGCCACACCTCAGCTTGAGAAGTAGCACGACTCTTGCTTAACATGAGCAAAAGCCACGAAGTGAACAAGCCCATCTTCGGTTGAAGATTCCCCCGCAATGATCAACCCCGGAAAGCATACCCCAACCAGGTATCCTTCTCCGCACTCGCTATTGCCGATGCATGGTGATCCCACTAAGCTGACACGTGTGGTCTATCGATGTGGGGAGGAATAGGACGGCCGCCATGCCTCATTCTGTCGCCGTCAGAGCTCTCAGATGCCGCCTTGATTCAGACACGGAGCAGCAGGGCTTGCTTCGTCTGGAAGGTCGGCATGTTCACCATGCCGTTGCTAACTGCCGTCACTCGGCGCCGACCTGCACGCGACTCGATGGGATCGCCGAAGGAGGGCGACGATTTGCTGCTATTGCGATAGTCTCCTTGCTAGGGTTTGATGAGATGAACGGCCTGCCATCATCACATTCAGAACGGCCAATGCCTGGAGTCCTCGACGCCTGGTCATCCGCAGTAGGCAGCCCGTTGTCAGTATAACAGAAGCCATTGAGCCACTTTCCCCCTCGCTCGAGAGGAGTGCCAGCCTCGAATGGACTTTGCAATCTGCCCTGTTCAACGCCCATTCGCCGATATGAGGTCCCTCAACCTTTCTGCAATGCTGCTGGTGCCGGCAGCCCCATTCGTCGTGAGCGCTTTCGCCGACAACTGTGGCGCCCTCGTCAATACCTTGAAGCTGCCAAACACTACCGTCTGGTTTTCCACGCCCGTCTCTGCTGGCACCAACATCACCTTTCCGGAGAATCACCCAACTTGCTCCCGCCCCGCGCAGGTCGTTGAGGTCGACATTTGCCGTGTGTCGATGTTGACCACCACTGGTCCCACGAGCAACATAAGTCTGGAAGCCTGGCTTCCGTCCAACTGGACTGGACGTTTCCTAAGCACCGGTAATGGAGGTACCGGCGGCTGTATCCAATATGAGGACATTGCCTACGCCGTCTCCCGAGGGTTCGCTGCAGTCGGTGCCAATAACGGACATAACGGCAGCATTGGCTCGCCTTTCCTCAACAACCCAGGCGTCATTGAAGACTTTGCCTACCGATCTGTCCACACCGGCGTTGTCATTGGCAAGGAAACCACCAAGGCCTTTTATGGCAAAGAGCACACTAAGTCGTACTACCTCGGATGCTCGACCGGCGGTAGGCAGGGCTTCAAGGAAGCCCAGGATTTCCCTGACGACTTTGACGGTATTCTGGCTGGTGCGCCCGCCGTTGCCTTTAACAATCTCACATCCTGGAGCGGTCACTTCTTCACCGCCACCGGCACGCCTGACAAGCCGACTTTCCTGTCAGCGGATCTCTGGAACCTTGTCTATAAGGACATCCTAAACCAATGCGACGGTCTTGATGGCCATGTCGACGGCATCATCGAGGACCCGGACCTGTGCCAGTACCGCCCGGAGGCTCTCATATGCGGCGCCGGCCAGACTGCAAACTGTTTGACCGGCACGCAGGCCCAGACAGTCCGGACCGTCTTCTCGGACCTGTACGGCCAGGACGGAAGCCTCGTCTTCCCCCGCCTCCAGCCCGGCGCCCAAACCACCCCGATCCTCCTTGCCGGCCGCTCGTTCCCCTACACGACAGATTGGTTCCAGAACGTCATCTACAACAGCACTAACTGGGACCCGGCGACTCTCGGCCCCAAGGACTACGCCGCCGCCGCCGCGCAGAACCCCGGCGGCATCGAGACCTGGAAGGGCGATCTCTCTGGCGTAAAGGACCGCGGCACCAAGGTGCTGCACTACCACGGCCTACAGGACCCCATCATCAGCAGCGACAATAGCGCGCGCTACTACAACCACGTCTCGCGGACCATGGGCCTCACCTCTGCCCAGCTCGACGAGTTCTACCGGTACTTCCGCATTTCCGGTATGAACCACTGCGGCGGCGGTCCCGGCGCCAGCTTCATCGGCAACGTGGAGGCAGCCATCGCCGGGTTCGAGCCCGAGCGTAATGTCCTCTCGGCCATTGTTCGGTGGGTTGAGGAGGGCGTCGCGCCGGACACGATCCTCGGCACCGCGTTCGTCAACGGCACGAAGGGCGGCGAGGTTGCTTTCACGAGGAAGCATTGCAAGTACCCCACGCGTAATGTGTACAAGACCGGAGACCCCAACTCTCCTGATAGCTGGGCTTGTGTATAATGTCTCTTTTTGTCTTGATTTGCTTCTGCTGTACATATTGCTCAGTGCTCATTGCACGTACATTACCATAACATGATTGACAAGATTACATGTAAGGGAGGGCAGAATCTTGACGTTGATCAATCGATGAAATAAAACCCTATCTCAGGATGATCCTAAAGTCACAGGTACATACAACAAACTTGCCGTGTTAGTGAAAATGCGGATGTTCTGGGTCTCCGGCAAGATATCTCGAGATCTCCCTTGCCCTGTAATGCTCTTCGCTGGCAGGTTTTGCTGAAAAAAAAGTATCTATCTAAAGAAGCTGAAGACTTAGAAAGTATGAAAATTTTGATTCGTTTCCTTTCGTGCATCAGTTCTGTCAAAGTAGGACAGCCGGCGAAGATGCCCTTTGATATCTACACGGCGGAGCCAGCATCAAATATTAAAACGTTCAACCAGACCTGGAAGCATGTCGGAGACTTTATATCTGGAAGGATATGTCCTCCAGTAGAGACAGAAAGGAAGAAAGAATAGGCAAACATCGAGTCGAACTCGAGACCTATCAAGCCCAGAAAAGCGACCCAAGTTCGGGAGGTACCTCATCTGGTAACAGTATGTGTGTCACGTGACCTCGTCGACCATCACCAGAATTACGATAACGAACAATGCTGAGAGGAGAAAAAAAAATACGGATGGCATGACATATAACCATATGTACCGCTTGGCCATCGAACATGAACGGTGCTGCTTCCTTGGAAAAGCACTCACGCTTTTGATTCCCATAAAGGCTTCGATGTCATCCGTCACCACTAAGAGCAAGTCGACTGCCCAGCTCAGCTCCCTGTCTAGTCAGAAATTCGGAGCAATCTTGTTCGGAATTGGAAGAAAGCGGCTAAATGAGTCACAAATTATCATGCAATATTGTCTAAATACGCGAACCTACTTAAGCCATTGATATGCAGGGAGACTGCGTCTATTTGCTATAGCTGACTCGACCTATGCAGTCCTACCCATGACTCGAAATTCGTCTACGTCTGGAATTGGGAAAAGCTATGGGCAATTCTGAAGGTTCCTTGAGAGTTCGGATTCAGAAATGTCGCTGCTTCCTAGCCGTTACCGTATATAGACCAAGGTTGCCTCATCCTCAAAGTTTCTTTCACCAAATCGGGCCTGTCTCCCCGACGGAAAAGGGACCACGAGACTTGCCGTCGAAATTTCAACGAATAATTGCACGCACACACAGACCATATTGTTATTCGTCAGAATTTCTCTACAGCTCCTGCTTTTCAGCCTTGGTAAACCTGCCGAGAACACCGCCTGCGATGATGACCTGGAATAGCCAGACATGAACAACACAAATGGAACGGTCTCCGCGCCTTGGGATCCTGCATGGGCTGCCGAGAGCAACACCGCGCGCATCATCACCGTCGTGACCTTCTTCCACCTTCTGGCTCAACTGAGTGTTGCGCTTCGGATGTACGCTAGAATTTGGGTCATCGAAGCGCCTGGGTGGGATGATGCAGTCATAGTCTTGTCAGCGGCAAGTATAATGTCCCTCTCTTCTTACCGCCCACAGAGACTGATGTCGCTGTGTTTCTAGCTCTGTGCTTTAGGGGGATGGATCGCCTTTTTGATACAGGCGCAATACGGCCTTGGAAAACATTTCTTGACCATTGACAAGAAATATGACTACGTCGTGTTCAATCATGCCGGTTTCTGGCAGTCCATTATTTCCGCCTCCGCCGCTCTTATGTTTCTCAAAATTTCCATTGCCCTTAGCCTGTTGCGCTTGAGCACAACTAGATGGTACAAATGGGCATTGTGGTCAACAATTGGTAGGCTACCCAGAGTCGCGAACTCCTCAGCCCGAGGACTAATGCTGTCACAAAGCTCTCGTCGTCTTTTACTCGATTGGGGGCATGTTTCCCCTCTTCCTACACTGCAAACCAATGGCGGGATTCTGGGACAGGAACATAAAGCCCCGTCCAAAGTGTAAGAACAACAACAATCTCATCTTTTTTGGCATCATCAACACAGGTATGTCATATTTGCATTTCTCAATACTGCGATATCGAAGCACCACCGCTCAACCCGACATTAGCATTCAACATCTTTAGCGACTTAGTTTTGGCCACACTACCTGTGCCAATCATATGGAACCTCCAGATGAAGCGTAGGCTTCGGCTCTATGCTATCGGAATTCTGAGTTTAGGCTACTTGTAAGAACAAATTAACCAAAAGCTGTACTTGGGCGGTTTCAGGGACTGATCATCCGTCCAGTGCTGTTGCAATGGGCATAGTCAAGGCCTTCTACCAGCTTGCCTACGATAGTGAGCCCGACAAAACATTCAATCGAAGCATCCAGTTTTGGGGCTTGTGGGTACAACTCTCAAAAGGTCGTTGTCCCTCAGCTAATCACTAGTTCTTGTAGTCTACAGCTGCAAGTCGGCATTATCGCGGCGTGCGCACCGACTTTAAAGCCTCTTGTGCGCAATTTACTCAATCTTTCTGCATACAACCACCAGATACCCGGCGTTCGTAGCAAGCAATCGGGACAGACCAGCTCTGGCCTACGAACGCTGGAGGATAACTCGGTCCATAGCCGTAGCGGCGGAATTACAATAAGCGACCAATATGAACTCGACGAATGGGCCCTAGATCCACGATCCGGCACGCAAAAGGGCGCGTGTAGAATTCAAACTGTACAATCCACAGCAGGCCCTACGCTCCGCAATCGTGATCGAAGTGAGAGGCTACGAGTTGAGGATGAAATCGCGATGCAGGTCCAATGCAGCAACTTGCGCGGGATCATCAAGACTACAGAGTTCACCAGAAGGTCTGAAATCACCGAGTAGCGTTATCAACAACCAAAAACGAGTAGCATATGAGTCTCCTTAGGTCGAGATCATGCAAGAATTTCAACATCCATTTGCTAGCAATGGTTCCCAGTGAAGTCAGAGGAGTGCTTGCCCATTAGGCCCGATAGAATTGTTTCGACTTTCAATGGAATGACACTGGATTGCTCATCAACGAAAATATGCCCTGCATTTTACCTCACGAAGTTCTTGATCAGAGGCCCTTTCGAGCTGGTGAAAAGGCTTTAGCCTGATGGAATGCTTCCTCACTCCTCCAAAATTACAAAATCTTTCTCAAACATTGTCGTTGTATTGCTAGTCGGCAAGACTGCGGCTAAAGCTACCGTCAGAGTGCCAAGAAAAGCGACGATGTAAGCTGGCAAATTGACCCATAATACTGGCAGCAGAAAGGTTCAATCAGTAATCTTGTCACACTTGTGCTGGTCGCTTTCGGCGGACTAGCAATGCGAAAAAGAACGATAAATGTGACAGAAGCTTTCAGATCGTCTGTATGAGCAACTCGGTTCTTCTGCATACCGTCTCGCTTCTTGGGGCGCCGCACCATCGCATGAGGGATTTGTAGGTGCTGCCGTTGCGAGGACGAGATTTCGAGACTAAGTGTACAGAACAATTGACTCTGGCTTAGCCTAAAGAAAGTATTTCCACGTACTGCATGTTCGCCGCGATGGCCATGAACGATGAGTCGGGTATTGCCAATGGGTAGACCAGATGCATATTACTGTACCCAACAAGATGACAGGGGTCCGTCTGGGAGTAGCTATGGATATTTTTTATTCCGGCGAATTGAACTCCCGAACCATCCTAGTGTGCTGCAGTATTGCTGACAGGCATGTTGGTAAATGTAGTGACACCCCAGATATATGGACATGGGTATGAGTAAGTCGCAGCACGAGTTGTGATCTGATAGACACTCGGAAAGGGAGAGAACAAGAAGGCTTGAGGGAAAGCGGCCCAAAGAGACAAGTGGAGACAAGTACACGCGTCTGTCGAAGATGCCGAGGTTTCCGGAGGATCATCGCCCTGATTTACCTCGTAGAGCAATATGAATGTCCGTTAGCCAAGAGACATGGTACAATATCCATGTCGAGGTTGCATGATGGAGCTTGGATGTGGATTTCAGAAGTCTACTGAAAGGCACTGGGAGATAGGTATCCACGGTCACAGGAATGGTACATTCGTTTGCTAATTGTGCCATTACAAAATGTCTTGGTAACAACCCACATGAACGACAATAAGCCTCCACATGTGTCAGTTGATCGGATGAAGCGATCATGCCTGTAAAATCCCATGATTTGGCAACTCTAGTCGAAATGTATCCCCTTCAACCACATCAACTTTGGGTCAAGAATGGGGAGATATCTGGCTTGGGAACGCCTTTCAATCCCGTTCCTTATCATGGCACCAAAGGCATTGCTGAAGGAATTCATGAGAGCACTTGCCGCCAAAGCGACAAAGAGCTTCTCTAATAAATAAGCTACACCTTATGGACTCGCGAGAAAGAGAGATACAATTTGGACCCAGGATGTCCCTGGTCCCAGTACACTCACCGGGAGATGGTGCAAAGACGACAGCACGAATTACAAGTCCGGGGATGCGACCCCATCCCCTCTTTTCGGCATGAAGTACCTATTGATATTAGTCCCTCGAACGATAGCTGGGCAAATTGGTTCCCGGGCCCAATGCACTCATGACATTTACAGGGGATGAAAAGAGTGCAAAGAGTCCTCTTGTCGTGAAACTGTACTCGCTTTAGCCTTGGTCAAGACAAGTTTTTCGAATGCCTACCTACATGTAGGTATGCCCATGTTCAAGACCATTTTTGTAGCGTCTTGATGATCTGATTAGCATATCAGAGTGTTGATAACACACGTCTCATTTTCAAACACACTAATCATGAATCAAATTTAATCACAAATCTATTACATTAAAGTGTTCTGTGAAACTTGCCGCTCTGTGTCGCTTCGCCAATAAGAAATCACCTCTTCTATATACAAGTCTCTAGCATCCAACTTTTGAGCCCACGTCAACTCGGTACTTAGTTGCCGGCCAGGATCTGTGCAGAAATCTTCTCAGCCAAGACATACACGGTGCTCTGGGGGTGACCAGGAGGCAGGAGCGCAAAGCTGCTAGCATCCACAACTCTGAGACCCTTGACGCCAATGACCTTGGCATCCTTGTCAACAACAGCCAAGGGATCGTCAGACTTGCCCATGCGGCAAGTACAGCTAGCGTGCCAGATAGTCATGACGGTATTGCGAATATTCTGGAGAATCTGGGCGTCAGACTCGACTTGGGGACCGGGGAAGTACTCCTTGTTATCGGCCAAGACGGGCTTCATGGCGTTACTGGCAAAAGCCTGACGAAGACGCTTGAAGGTTGCAAGTGCGACGGCAATATCGGTGGGGTCGGTGAGCCACTTGGGATCGATGAGAGGCAGGTCCTTGGTGTCGGCAGAGGCGAGGGTGACGGTGCCTCTGGACATAGGAGCGACGAGACCTCCGAGAATGGTGGCGTACTGGTAGCCGTCCTTGGGCTGAGTCAGGAGAAGGTTGGCAAAGTCGCCGACGTAGCCGGGGGCGGTGAGGTACTCGATCTCGGGCCAGTCTGCGGGAAAGTTGCTGTCGAGGACCGCGGCGGCGTCGGCGGAGATGAGATCGCGGGGCGTCTTCTCCCAGCCGAGGAAGTCACAGACGGGGTTGGTCAGGGGGCCCATCTTGCGAATCGTGTAGTCGAAGGCAAACTGGGCAGCGGTGTAAATGAGATCGTTAGCCACACGGGTCAGAGTCTGGACCTTGACGCACCACGTGGGACCGAAAAAGACGTGGTCCTCCATGTTTTGGCCGACACCAGGGCGCTCAGCGACGATGGGGATCTTGAACTTGTTGAGCTGGTCCTTGGGGCCGACACCCGAGACCATGAGAAGCTGAGGGCTTTGGAAGGCACCGGCTGACAAGATGACTTCCTTGTTAGCCTTGAGGGTGTAGGTAGTGATGCCGGCATTTGAGGTGAGAACGACACCCGTCGCTTTCTTGTTGCTGTCGAACAGGATCTTCTTGGCCAGGGACAGCTGGTAAACCTTGAGGTTCTTGCGGCCAATGGCTGCGTTGAGGAAAGAGGTCTGACTGGACTCGCGCTGCTGGTTGCTAGGCTGAATGGTGTCGGAGCAGTACTGAGCACCCATGAGCTCTCCGCTGTTGAAGTCCTGGGCCTGGGGAATACCAATCTCGTTGAGGGAGGGCTCGAGATAGGTGCTGAAAGGTTGGGCATAATTGGCATATGAGACGTCAAGAGGACCTCCCGCAGCATCAAAAGCGTCAATGTTGTACTCTGCGCTGGCATTGGGGAAGCGGGAAGAACCGGGCGGGGTGAACTTGACGCTCTTCTTAAAATAAGGAAGAAGAGAGTCCCAGGTATAGCTGTCATCACCAATGGCATCGGCCCACTTCTGGTAGGACTGCTTGGTACCGCGCTGATAGATCATGAAGTTGCGAGCGGAACTGTATGGCCAGATTAGTATTGTTGGGGAATTCAGAGCCAACTGCCAGATATGAAGTCTCACCTTCCACCAAGACACTTGCCGCGAGCGTAGTGGATTGAGCGGTTGTTGGCACCGCTTTGCGGCTGTGTGACAAAGTTCCAGTCCACGAGAGGGTTCGTATCAAGAGGGCTAGATCCGGCGAAAAGTGTATCTCCAGCCGGGGTTTGGCCGATGAGGAGGTTGGAGATCTCGTAGAACGTGCCGGCCTCAATCACAGCCACGGTAACATTGGGGTTGGCGCTCAGTCTGTTGGCCACCACGAGACCAGCAGTGCCACCGCCGACGATAACATAGTCGAAAGTTGCATCAATTCCGAGACTTCCTGCGCTGGTGCCGAGCTGGCGTTTGTGTTCAGCATGGAAGCGTGCCTCCTTGTCGGCCGGGGCGGCGTGGGTCAAGCCCAGTATCGTAACGAACGTAGAGAGAGCGTAAGTGACACGCATTTTGAAAAGAGAGTATAGGAAATGATACCTGTAAAAGAGAGTGAGCGTCCGAGTCTTGGGACAGAAAAGCCCATTTTGGAATCTTTGGGGATCACATAGCACTTATAACATGATTGCTTCTTCCCACAGGCATCCTGTGAGCTCCGCCCGGAATAGAAGCGGCTTCTTGCGGGTACGAGAACTAATGACCATTTGCAGCTAGGCCAGCGACGGGTGCTCAGGGTTCAAAATTTAGTCACTGACTATCCGTATTGGACTAAATTAAATTTAGTTTGACTCAATGACTGACATCACATGGGTAAAATGAATACATAATTTAGTCATAAAATTTAGTAGGAATACGGCTGAAAAATCATGACTCGACAAATGTGACGAAATAAATATGACTAAATGTTTTTCTAAAAAATATGATGATAGTTAAATATGAATAAATAAGACTAATTATACTCATAATCATTATCATAAAAAAATCATAATGTAGTTGAATAATGTCGACTTTAATTTATTTCAGAATTAAAATAAAGCTCGAAAGCTGATTATTTATATATATTTAGCCAGAAATGCTAATAATCGAACCAAAACTAGAGTAACCTAATTAATTAAGTAGTCAGAGAATTTTATCTCGTTACATTCATAGGCTTGGTTAATGAATAATGATTTATTCATGGCCGTGAAGAAATTCAGTGTCACTCAGGTAACTCCAACCCTGCGGGCGCTAGAAGATCGCGACCGTTCAAGCTTCTTTGGTTCGCGCTAGAGTTGGTCAATTGCGTTTCTGGCCAAGTTAGATTTTATTAGCGTGTGAACAGACCACACAACCGCAGAATTCTGGGCCGATATCGACGACCACCGTTCTTAGGTTGCCCTCGTCAGACAACGGCTTGCTGCTTGGACCCTTCGTGGACAATGAAGATTGGACCGGATTAGCGAGCATTTTTTGGATACCCAGGCACGACAACGTGGGAAGCGGAAGCTGCGGGACAAATATGTCGCTAGGCGCACTATTTAACTTTTGACTGCTCGCTCAGGAGGCAATCAGGTCAGGTCCATAGAAAGGTTCTTTTGAACCTTGAAGGCCTAGGCGCAGGCGGAGGGTCGACGACAGACTTCAGGACGATCTGCAAGCCTAATTTGGCATCTTGGCGATTGTTGCCGCCGAGGCACATGGGAGTTAGCCCAGGTAGGGGAGATCGATGATGTCAAGGGTCTACCCCTAGTCTACCTAGACTTCGATGATGGCGGGACCGAATCACAGCCTCCTCTGTACGGATTATGTGTATCTTGCCTCCGGATCTTTACCGCAACCTCTTAGCTCATTATCACGGCGCCGTATTCCTCGAGATATTAAATTAACAGACGCACAAATCCTCAACTAAATAGCATCATTTCAGCTCTCAAGCTTTGGCATTTGCTACACTTTTTAACAAACCAGTTACTATTAAGCAAACCGTATATACTCCGTACGCCGATAAAATAATAAGTTACTACCCTAAATATAATAATAAATAATAATAAGGCTGAAACTCTAACGCCGCCGCGGATTATCTCGGGCTCTTCTGCGCGACATCGCTCGATGCCGAGTTGCCTTCCAGAGCACGCGTTAGTTGAGGAGGACTAAAGCTGCTTCCTTTGACTTGATCACGTTGAAGCATGAGCTTGGGCGTTTGACGCTGACCGGAATTGATAAACTTCGGTTGCTGAGAGTGTAGTTGGGGCGTACTGTATTTATGTTTCATTTTCTTGTGAAGCCTCGACCAACGTCGAAAGATTTATGGAGTTCTCAAAGTTTGCCAGTTGACGGACTCAAATCTTAGGTGTAGCGGGGGCTTTTGAGGATGGTAGTCACAGGCTCAGAGTGAAAGGTGTTTAGAAAGCAATGGCCAAGATCGCAACATCTCGCTGAATCACCTCGCCCGACTCTACTCTGGTTCATGTGTTCGTCCTATTCACTACCTATTCACAGATGATTTGACCTAGCATGGGTTGACCCATGTCTTGCTGATGAGAAAGGAACCCAATCTCTTTTTGGCGAGTGCTCGCTGAAGTGCAGCAAAGTGGTACGAAGTATGAGACAATGTGGAAGTGAGATGATTCAAAAAGCAGCATTGGGGTTACAGCTAATACTCTTGTCACATCTAATGAAAAGCAACATGACGAATCTTTCAGACATAGCACACTCTCTCTTGTGTCGCGATTGAGCATTTTCAAGCCCAATAGCCTTCACTGCAGGCGGCATTCTCCCAACCGTCCGAGTCTCATAGCTGTGCTACTACACACCATAAGCCCGTACCATTCGCCTTGGGTATTGTTGGTATTATAATGCAGGCTCAGCTGAGCTACAAGTTCCGGTTCTAGGAGTTCTAGGATCATGCCTCGCCACCGGGCGATGGAGAAAGGCTATGGAACACTGCTGGGATGGAGGTATAGATGAACTATCCTGTTCCAGTCTCATCCATACACCAGATGGGAGTCAAAGAATCTACGTTAGGATCATTTTAGGCAGCTTCGAGTCACAAGTTACGGCCCATCGGCAAGTGCGTTGATTGCCTTTGCTTAGGCGACGACCTCTCATCAGCTATGGCAGCGGCAATAGCGAGCGTCTATCAAATAATGGTTCAAAACAAACCCCGGACAAATCTGACCAGTATGTAGGACGTCTACTTCGATTCTAGGTGCGTTGAGCAAGTTAGCTCAAGTAATGCCTCTCGCTGGCAATTCGATTGAACGCTTAGAGTAAGTTGAATTCGGAAAGGCCTCATTGTTGTCCCATTGTTGAGACGACAGGCAAAGCGGGTTTTTGCAGAAAGTCTGCCCAGGTTTTGGATAACGTGCGTTCACTGTTCAATCAAATGCCCCATCTAGCCGCCAACAGCAGCTAACTCCTCTTTTGGGAGGGGGATAGCAGGAAACCTGCTGAGTCAGGTAAGCTCCGCCCCCAGAGGCACAGGGATGCAATTCGCAAACATCTGAATTTCGGCACGCGGGGTTCGTCCCATTGACCCCTTAATCAAAAATCCTCAGGAGCTCCAGCTCAACTTGTTACACTAGCACAGCGCAAACACCGCACAATTGGCTAAGATTTTCAACGTCTTTCAACATTCGGGATGTCGTGACCTCACGTGTTATAGGCTGATTGCCTGACTTTACCTCATTCTGCGCAATAGCGAGCAAGTCACTGGTGGATTCTTGAGTCAAGCATGTTGTTCTGCCCTCTTCTGATTGCTGGGTGATTCGAGCGGCCCGCGTCTATCACTTCATTTTCGAACTTCCGCTTAAAGTTTCGTAGTTATGCCTTCAATCTATTCCAGAATCATTGCCCCTGGTAGCGCATCGCGAAGAAGGAAGTTTACGCCTGTTCGGCACATGCATCCGGTTGACTATCCAAGTATGGTCGGCTTGACCCAGCCGAGGCAAAAAGTCTGGAATGGATGTAAGTAGCTGAGGCTCCTCTCGTCGGAAAAGTCTGGTCTCATTTGCCTCTCTGTCTTTGATCCAGCAGTCACTCTCTTTTGCTCATCACTTTCGCTTTGCGCGACATTGACTCTTTTTCCTAACAATCTTTCCACGTGGCTGGTCCATCTACGATTCTCCATTCTTTCAAGTTTCGAGTGACCTAGCCCAAACTCAATCATGAGAAGCGCCGGCCTTCTTCTGGCGGCCGCTGCGTCCGTCCGCGCCGCTTGCTCGTGGAAAAACGTCCACACTGGAGCCGGTGGTGGCTTCGTTCCGTCCATCATCTTCCACCCAACCGAGAAGGGAGTCGCATACGCACGCACCGACATTGGAGGTCTCTACCGATTAAACGCCGACGATTCGTGGACCCCCATCACCGATGCCCATGGATTCGCTGACGACGCCAACTGGAACCGATGGGGTATCGACGCTCTCGCGGTTGACGCTCAGGATGCGAATAAGGTCTACATTGCCACTGGCATGTACACCAACGACTGGTGAGTGGTGATACTCAAACTGTGTCCAGCGACGCGGCTAAAACGTCTGGTGTCAGGGACCCCAAGAACGGAACGTTGGCGCGCAGCTCCGACAAGGGCGAGACCTGGGAGTTCACCACCCTTCCCTTCAAGGTCGGCGGCAACATGCCCGGCCGTGGAACCGGTGAGCGCTTGGCCGTCGACCCCAAGAACTCGGAGATTATCTTTTTTGGTGCCCGCAGTGGCAACGGTTTGTGGAAGAGCACAGACGCCGGTGAGCAGAATCCCACAACCGCACCCGCCAACCCCACGATTCCGATTCCTGACAACATGTAATTATGTAGGCGCGACCTTCTCAAAGGTCTCTACATTCGAGGCTGTTGGTACTTTCCGCCCCGGCCTCGAGAGTGATGCCTACAATGGTGACCTTCAAGGTCTGACATTCGTCACGTTTGACGAGACTTCTGACGTCGTCAACGGCGCGACCTCGAGAATATTTGTCGGAACCGCCGACAACACCACCGCCTCCGTCTATGTCAGCACCGACGCCGGTGCTACCTGGGGCCCCGTCGGCGACCAGCCCAAGAAGTTCTTCCCTCATAAGGCCGTCCTTCAACCCGCCGAGAAGGTCATTTATTTCACCTACTCTGACGGAACCGGCCCTTACGATGGAACCCAGGGTGGTGTCTGGAAGTATGACCTGACCTCGAGCGAGTGGAGCGACATTACCCCTACAGCTGGCAACGATCTCTTCTACGGCTTTGGTGGTCTCGGCGTGGACATGCAAAAGCCGGGAACGATCGTTGTCGCCACACTGAACAGCTGGTACCCGGATGCGATCCTCTTCCGGTCCACTGACTCCGGCGCAACCTGGAAGAGGATCTGGAGCTGGGGCGCTGACGGCAAGGTCGCGCCTCAGTACACCATCAGCTCACCCAACGCCCCTTGGATCGAGACCAACTTCCTCGACATTGACACCAAGAAGCTTGGCTGGATGATTGAGTCCCTCTCCATTGACCCCACCAACAGCGACAAGTTCTTCTACGGCACTGGCCTCACTCTGTACGGCGGCAACGACCTGACAAACTGGGACAAGAACAAGACCATCACCATCCAGAGTCTCGCGTCCGGTATCGAGGAAATGGCTGTCGGTGCCTTGGCCAGTGCTCCTGATGGACCCGAGCTGTACTTCGCGACCCTCGACAACAACGGCTTCACGTACAAGACCGTCGCTGATGTTGACAGGGCCCCCAAATCTGCTTGGGCGAACCCTTGGTGGGCCAGTAGTGTCGACGTTGACTTTGCCGGAAACAAACCCAACAAGGTCGCTCGCATCGGCAAGGCTACCGATTCACCCCAGCTCGCCCTCAGCACCGACGGCGGCGAGACCTGGTCTGTCGTCAACGCGACTGGCAACACCATCACTGACGGCTCGGTTGCCTACTCCGCCGACGGCGACGTCATCCTCTGGTCCTCCAAGAGCACCGCCGGCGTCCAGGTCATTCGCAACGCGGGCAAGCCCATGAACGTCACCCTCCCCGCCAACAGCATCATTGCCAGCGACAAGAAGAAGAATGGCGTCTTCTACGCCGGCTCCGAGGCGACCTTCTACGTCTCCACCGACGGCGCCGCCACCTTCACCAAGGCTCCTCTCGGCAACATCACCGAGATTCGCTTCATCGCCGCTCACCCCACCACGGCCGGCGAGATTTTTGTCTCCACCGACTCCGGCATCTTCCACAGCACCGACTTTGGCAAGACCTTCTCTTCCATCTCCGGTCCCTCCAACGCCCACGCCATCTCCGTCGGCAAGGGTGAGGGTAGCACCTGGAACCTCTATGTCTTTGGCGAGGCCGCCGGCGGCAAGAAGCTTTACGCCAGCCCCGATCTCGGTGCTTCGTGGGTTGACCTCCAGGGCACCCAGAGCTTCGGCGCACTCGACGGTGCTTCTCTTGTCGGTTCCGCCAACGAGGCCAACGTCATCTATGTTGGTACCAACGGACGCGGTGTTATGTACACCTCGTGCCCTTTCTCCAACTCTACAATAGCTCCCGCTGCTGCCAGAAGGCACTTGCGCAGCAGAACCATGCGTCTTGGAAGACCTCCCCACCGTCACTAAGCGCGAGGGAGTCTCTATATGAAAGGCTCAATTCGCTTCATCTTCATGTCTATACTGGCTTCAGAAAGCAATACCTGTAAATAGACTGTGTAGATTCCAGAACATCTCTGTTCATTCATCTCGTCTCATTTTGCGTCATGAATACTAGGTGGAAGGAGACAAACATTTCGTGACTACATAAACCTTGAAAACATTTCACTGTCACCTGATTTCTAAACTGAGTAAGCTTCAGCATGTGTGTTTTACTCAGAGAATCAAAACTTGTTGAGGAGCATGACCCCAAGCTCTCCGCTAACAAAAGTTATTCCCATCTGTTCGTCAAGCGGCTTTACGCTCTATTCTCTTGACTACATGCGCTCCATCGCCAACATAGAAATTTTTGAACTGGGCTCCTCAGGACAACGTCTGTAGCCGAATGAGTGGGACTGGGCAAGTAGTTACATGTGTGTAAATAGGGGACAGAAGCTTCACAATTTGCGCAAGTAGTCTTTGTAATTTCTGAAATGAAAATGTGCATGAACTTAGTCCACCTCTCCCAAACATTCATAATCTTGATGAAGAACACATCTCAGCCACGAAACAGACGCAATACATCCTCGGTGTGCACAAATCGCCACTCAGCAACTAAACTTGGCCGGGCCTGGAATTGTGTAATTCGTAACGACGGGGTAGTAGATATTAATCGTAATGCCGGGATCCGGCCCCTACAGAAGAATTCAGTCAGTCTTGCACGTTCTGGTATTTTAGGATGATGATTCAACGCCATACCTTGTAGGCACCGGGGAAGCTGACTGTAGCCGGGCTCTTGGCCGCAGTCCCGCCCACGACATTGATCTGAGCGCACTCCATGTACAGTTGAGCCCCCGGATAGGAGCTGGCACCGTGCAGGGCAATCATCTCGGCTCTCAGAAGGTACTGGCCATTCGCAATGCACTTGGGAATGGTGATGGCCTGCTTCCCAGCATTGCCAATGACACGCTCCGTTCCCCAGGCACCATTGCTCAGACCGTCCTCCTGAATCTTGAACCACCCGGGCCCGGTGCCTGCATCAGTCTTTGCGTCGGTGACCTTCTTGAGGTAAGCGAGCGTTGGCCCCTTGTGGCTGGCGTCCATCACGTCCTCGGGGCCGCTGGTCAGGGTGTGACGCCAGACGGCGATCACTGTAGAGCCGGCGGTGACGGTGATGACTTTGTCGGTTGGTTTGGTAGGGTTTGGACCGCCGTTGCAGGCGAGGTACTGAGACGTGACGTCGGTCTGAGGACCATCGTACTCGGGAGTCCGGACGCCCTGGGACACGCCACTATTGACACCATCGGCCTCGAGGGACAGAAAGATCGTGTGGGCCTGGCAAAGGCCGGCGGCAGCAAGGAGACTGAGAAGCTTCATGTTTTCAAATTGCTCTTGCGTTCAATGCAGCGTCCATTCAACACAAGCTGTTGGCCATGAGGGTCACCAGCGATATTTATGTCTAAATGGCAGTCAATGTAGTGGTGCTTGGGAACTCCCTGGCCGTATCGATTTTCCGAGCATCTGAGTACGGGGAGAGCTCTTCCGATCTTCTGCGAGAGGAAGGTCACAAGACGATGGCAAGGACGTAGTGTGTCGCCAAATAATACTGATAGTAGGATGAAGGTGACAATCGTAGATTGGCGGGGCCAGTTCATCCGGCATATATATTAAGCTCATTTATCCTCCGCGAATCGCTTGGCGATCGCGTTGTATGGAGCCGCTCCTAGTCTCAAACGAAGGAAGTCTCTAGCCAATGATGTTGACACTCACCGGCAGAAACCAAATTGAAGGACCTATTGGTTTCATGGACATGCATCGGTACGATGGTGGGCATTTCCAGAGCCTTTTGAATCGCAACTTGTATCAATTCCTGGCCCGTTCTCTGTGTGGACGAAAGCCAAATGGTACCAAGCTTTCTGAAAATGTGTGAGCGAGGTTTTTGGCCGTCTCAAAAATATTGGAATTCCCACAAAACCGACAATTTGTGGAGATCAGACATGTCAAGGAAGGTTCGTCGAATTAACTCCAGAGCCAAAGTTTCACCTGCGTCCCATCATCTCACGCTGCGCACTCAGTGCCGCCGTCCCGATCCATGGGCCAAACGGTCAACGACCAACCCACCAACTGTACTGCCAACGACATTTTCCCAGCTCCTATGCGGCTTCTCGCCTTGCTTCCCAGCGATGGCATCGATCGCCCCTGCACCCGCTGCTGCCGTCATAACTCTTGCAGTTCGGTCTCTGTCATGTCGTGCTAGCCCAGCCTCGATGATGCCGGCACTAGCAGCTGCAACAGCGGCCTGGCCCCAGTTGGGGCCGGAGGTAGAATGCCTCCGCTTGCTCCTGCTGCGTGTGTGACTATGGTGGTGATGGTGCCCGTGGTTGTGGCTGTGATGACTCCGGCCGTGGTCGTAGGCCTCGGATCTTGGTCGTGAGCGTGGACGTCTTTCTTCATGATAGTAGTCTCTATCTCTTGGATTGTATCGGTCTTCTTCGTAGACTTCAATTCGGCCTCTGTGATCGGGTGACTCGTCATGTCTGTGTGCTACTCGAACAGCCCCCGCATCTCTTTTTGGGCTGTATTCTGGACTTCCGACGCTCAAGTCAGAGTAAGTCGGTGATTGGTGCCGGCGGCGGGCCGGATATTCGTTGCGAAGATCGTGTTTGTTGTATGCCATTTTCAATGTCAGTGGGAATGAAGCATCGAATGCTTCAAGGATCCGTAGTCTTCACGCCACAGGCGTTCGTGGGATCATCGTCAGGGAGCGACTTTAAATAAGGCGTCAGCAATCAGAGAATCCATTTTCTCCGCCCAGGGAGCTACATGGCCGCTTGTCTTGTGGGACCCCGAACTATTTGCGGGGACTGGTGCATCTGCAGATGAATGGATTCTGATGCAAGGTTCTTGGCCGAATGCATAATGCTACCAATCAGTCTGGCGAAGAGTGCAGCTTTGACTCAGGTTTCAATCACCGTCTGATGGAATGGTGGAGAACATCTCTCCTCATGTCATCAACCTACGGACGTTCATTGCCAGCGGCACTGAGCTAAATCCGGTTTTCAAATCCCGTTAGGTCACAGGCATAATGGAGACTCCAGCTTACACGAGGTCAAGACCAGCCATGGATGAAAGAGTCAAGCGATGCGTTATTGCAAATGAAAACTGGATTGGGAAGGCTGGGAAATTCGCCGCAGAAACTTTGACGATTGAACTCTTCGAGGTAACGGAGATGCCCCTCCGAAGCCAAGATGTCTGGCCTACCAGATAAGTTGCGAAGTAGAAGACACGGACCGAGTGGTCAAACGGAGTGTTGGAACCTTGGAGGATTGCGCCGTAGGTCTTGGCTTTATGACGTGCAAGTGACAGCAAGATGCCGGAATGAATTCGCCGTGGTGGATACAGACCGGCCGAACCCGGTGATTCTCGGCTCCGGTCCGGTCGGCTCTATGCGCCTCGTATGCTTCGTCGCATGTGCGGAAGCTACAGGGGAATTGATTGCATGAGTACACCCTACATCAAATCGTATACTCAAGGCTGTGAGAGAACCTTGATCAACTTCCGTTTTTCTAAGCACATTTCAAATACGAGAGTTGCAAACTCGATGAAGATCGGCAAAACACATTGTTCCCTTCGTGCGCCATGCCACCGTTCAAAGTCACTAGGACACAAACTCAGGGCATTAGAAGAGTGCTCTAGGTACTGAGCAAGTGAGGTCACAATGGTGGGAGAACTATTCGATTCGGATCTGCTGTGGACGCTCAAATGGGTTCTCCGTCATAAAGTCGTATATCGTCTGACGTCTTATTCACGTTTCCCCAGAATTCCCCCCTCCACAACCCCGCAAAATCGGGCCTCTCCCCTTCAAGGCCCGGTTTTAGTGGCGAGAAAGTCCGTGATCTGCTGAGACGGGGGTCCACGGTCAGGCGAGGGGTTACTCCGCGTTGGCGCCATGGACATTGTGAGCCGAAATTGCCTGGCCAGCTCCTCGGACTCGGTCATAGTGAGACACTCTTCCAGACGTGCCACGTCCTGATTATCGGTGTCGCGAACATGGGCTGCCATGTCGACCCAGAGAGCCTTCAACTCGGTTTCGAAGCTGACATCGTCGACCGGAATAGCTTGGAGACGGCATATTTTCTCCTTCAACTAGGGTAGCTGGTCAGCTTCTTCTTGGGATTTGGTGAGGGCGTAAATAGAGAACATACGCTTTCCCGGTCCGTATGATTCTTGGAGCTGCGAGACTCGCCATCCGATAGTCGATCTGTGAGAATAGGAAGAAGAACCTGTTCCTCGCTGATGCAATGTCTTGCAAGTTCGAGACTGAGCTCGTTTCTCCATCGGATTTTGTCCTCAGTAGTGGTTGATGTTAGGATATATCGATAGGCCTGCTCGATTTTCCGATGGTCATCCTTGATCGCGTCGCTGAGTTTCGTCATGATGCTGGCTTTGAGTACTAGTAGTTGATGAGTGTTGAGGCAGATTACTTCGAGTCATGAAAGAGGAATCAGCGGATGGGTTGTATTGGGTGCCAAATTCGGAGTGATGATTTTTTTTAAATTTGATGTAGATGGGTCTTTTCTATTCACGCCTGGATAGATAAGTGTGTCTTTGAATAGGACCTCAGGCCCAACCAGCGAGCGGGCTGTCCTCAGCCTAAGTAAGCAAATCCATAAATGACGTTTTGTTTGTGGCGTCCCACCGGGGCTGATCCCAATGTGATACATGATGGAGAGCACCATGTCACCATGTCTCCCCCACGGTGCCCAGCAGCCCTGATAAGCTGTCACTCCAGGCACAGCAAGGGAGGGGTCCTGTCAAAGCACCTTGAAGACATTACAGGCTTGCAGACTGCAGCATCCCGAGAAGCAAAGGGAATCAGTGGGGCGCTTAGAACCCCGAGCTCCCGGTGCAAAGTGGAGCAGCCGCTCCGGAGGCGTGGAGTGACGAGTGAGTGGTCCCGGGCGGTTGAGAATCCGCCCCCAAGATGACCGGCATCACACATTGCCTATTCCGGCATGGTGGACCACGCATCCGGTTGCGAATCCCCGGACGGTGATTTGTTTGGCAAACGCAAATGTGTGTCTTGGGCCTCAGCCCTGCTTTTCTCGCCCGCCACTCTATCATCATCGCGTCACCCCATTCCGTTTCTGAACGCTGGGATTTGGGACCCTGGCGCGCCGCGTCGGCCGCCAGACTGTGCCACGTGGGCTTCTAGCCCAAAGCTTCACGTTCCATGTCGATAAGGAGTAGCTATAAAGGGCATAATACGTCGCATTTGCCACGGACAGGGAAGGGAGAGTGCGTCGCCAGCCTTCGTTATCTCAACCAACCACCACGTAAGGAACGCGACTCTGGGCTTTGTCCCTAAGAGAGTTGTTCCGGCTCTCAAGGGACGACCAAAGGTGCTATGTGGCTGTGGCATTTTGATCCAAGGGCTCAACTGGCTTAGACTTACAGGGGGGAGATGTCTAAGACAAAAAGCACCTTTTTGCAAGCTAGTAAGCCCCCCTAGCCATCAAACGGCGGAGGAAATACGTGTCAATTGACGCCATCTCGTCAGACCCGTCGCGGGGTAAGCCATTCCTTGGAAAAAGGCACTGTGGCTATAAGCCAAGACAAAAGTATGAACCGGCACGGCTAGTTTACTTCATTACATGGTTCCCCTTATCACGATTCTTTCGGTGTGGGCTTTTGCAGTGTACCACCTCGTCACCCAACCGCACCACCCGAAGGCTTGTATTACCTAGTACGGTCAAAAATTGGGCCGCGATTTGATTTCGCTGCCGAAGCCTCGAATCCTTGGTGCGCCCTGTCATAGGTCGCAAAGTACCACTGAGTACCTCTTCCAACACTATTACCTCCCAAGAGTACCTTGGCCTCCAATCTCAGATCCTGCCGCGAGCCAGAAACTTGTCTGGAATGTCGACATGTTTGCATCTTAGATATTCTGCCAAGTTCTTGCTCAGGAAATCGTAGGAAGAGCTAGCAGAGACACCCCGATCAAGGTGGTCCTTTAAAAGAAAATGCACAGCTGCTACCTTGTCAGTCTACACAGCACATCATGGAAACACGGAACGCGAGACTCACCATGGAGATGTGGAAGCTCGAACCGGAAAATCCGCTTGCCCTTGTCATCCTCTCCTAGCAAATCACGGATTTTGCTGACTGTCAAGACCGACCTCAACCAATCCCACTCGTCGGCGTTGCGCACGAAAAAGCCAACGTTGCCGTCCGACCCCTTGTCACCCGACCGCGCATGTACGACATACCCAAGAGGTGCCCTTGTCGTTTGCCCCAAGGATGCGACATTGATCGGGCTTTTTGTTTCGTACGTCGGCTGGTCGTACAAAAAGTCTACTGTATCCCGCGGCGGTTCAATGTCCACCTGCTGATTCTTCCACGGCAAATGACACACATGCTTTGCCGCGCTTTGTGGGAGAATGCTGACCCAGTACTCAAAGTACTCCTTGGGCAGCGCCTGACGCGTGTCTAGGTGGAATGTTGCACCGGGATAACTTTGCATGATATTATCCACGATTGGTTTCAGAAACGTCAAAGGCGATAGCGCCGCTTCTTCGCGCGCCTGCGCAAAGATGCGTAGGTCGACCGTTGCCGCATCCTGGTTCGCGGGGTTTTCTGGGCAAGAACCGTTGATGCTGAATTTGAGACACGAGAATGAAGCCTCGTTGAAGACGTGGCGAAGTTGCCGCTCAAAGAGAGCCGCCTTCTTTTGTATGTCGAGGCCGCAGAGGAAGTAATGCGCTTCAGCTTGATACCCGCCTTTGGCTGTGATTCCGACCTTTGTAGTTGGAGGAGGCTTCATATTACCGACATTAAAGACTCGTCTGCATCAACGTCAGTGTAGGTTTTCAAGGGTAGAAGAAGGTGGCAGACACTTGATTTTCTCCCACTTGCGTCATCTTGATATTGTCCACTACGGCCGCGACATCCGAGTTATAGTAGTAGGGACCTTGGATCTCGTATAGGAGCTGAGCCTTGCATGTTTCCATGTTCACCATACCTCCCTTTCGAGCTTGCTTGTACACGATAAATTCTCCGGTTCCCTCGACTTTGGCTATCGGAAACCCGATGTCGACAGATGTGCGAGGCAAGTCTTTGAACCCAGAGAAGTTCCCACCCGTCACATAGGTTGTGCATTCGATGAAATGGCCTGCGACGAGTGCATGTGCTAGCTGCGAGTAGTCATCGCGCTTCCAACCGTGGTGATACGCTGCGCAGGCAATGGTTGGGGAAGCATCAGCTACACGGCCACACAAGACAATGTGAGCCCCTTGCTTGAAGGCCTCGACAATGCCCCAACATCCGAGATATGCCTGAGCGTAAATAGGTTCGTAAGGCCAATCCTTGATATTCTCGCCTAGATTAGTTAGCACCTATCTAGTTGCCACGGGACTGGTCACGTTCTTACCTGTCGTCAGATTCTTGAATACTTCTCCAGATTTTAACCCCTTTTGCACTACATCAATCACCTCGTCGCCCTCAATCCAAGCGACTTTGAGCTTGAGTCCCTTTTCGCTAATCATCTGAACCAGAACATCGTGCAGCCTCTTCGTATCACTTGCACCCGCATTGACAGCAAGCTTGATTCGTTTGGCATCAAGGTGTTGTAGCGCCGGCTCAATCGCTTCAAGGAACGAGGGCTCAAACTCGGAGGAATTCGTAGGGTCACTCGCCTTCGCGCCACCCCTGGATGCCATATTATACTCTGACATCCAGTCGCCGACGATATACTGGATGTCTTCATCTCTAGCGAGCTCAGCAAGACCATGGCGCCTATCTGCTGCGGATCCCGACGCCGATGCGATGCGCGCCGTATCGTTTGCGCGAGATGTGAGATGACTGGGAAGATTGGTTCTAAGAGGCATGATGACAGAAGTATGTGAATGACGGTGCAGATGATGGTTCTAGTGTAGTTAGCTGAGAATAATTAACATTAGTAGTACCATTAAACTCTTCAGGTTCCAGCAGGAGTCCTTTAGCCGCCCTCCCCGCACTGCACAACCGTGACACCTCCGCATGGGTTGTAACAAACCTCGGCTCGTCCGGCTGTTTAGATTCTGAATGTGCCCCGAGCGCAAATGAAAAGTTTGTGTCGAGATCCTCAACTCAACAAAGGCAGGCTTCAAGGTGGTTTTGTCAAACTGGGTGCTTAACAACACCTCAAGGAGTTGAATGATCCAACAATCAGGCGCTGACTGTACGCCTCTCAGACCTCTCATATTGGGTTATATGAAAATTAAATTCTACGAATCAAATACTGCTGAATTACGTTTAAGCATTTTAATCTGCGCCATGCCCACGATTAAAACATTAAACCATTTACTCTGGACAACAGAAAGTTCCTTCTATTAGGTAAGTATGTAAAGTATTCTCTCATATAGAACGACCTTGACCATTTCAAAGGGCATTCTTCCTTTCCTCCTCTGTGATCAGTCCATCGTTGGCAGGCGACACTTTCCGGCCAATGCCTTCATCTGAACGCGAGTGTCCTTGCTCCATGGTTCCAGCTGCGATAGCTTGGGCCTCATCTGCGCCGATAGTGACATTTGGAGCATAAGCCATCTTTCCCTCATTTTGACGATGCGCCGGGATGAAAACGTTGAACCAGCGCGGCACTATAAAGCCGGCCAAGATCAAGATTAAAGCGATGTGACCGACAGCAAAGCCCAGAATGTGCAAGGGATCGTATCGGAGTTCGTAGAATGACGGGTAGGAAAAGCCGTAGACAATAGCCAAGATTGGACCCGAGATGTAGCGGAGAAGCACAGGCCAGAACGTCGGAATGTTCCAGTTCTTTCCGCTGCCAATAACGACATTCAGATCTCTGCGAAGTTGATTCCCCTTGACGGCGGTGTTAGTGCAATTCCTGTCGGAGGATTGGAAAGCTCACAGAGTAGAAGGCCAGGTACCAGAACTTGCCCATGAAAGCATTCTTTCCCCAGAACCTCGGCGGGATAGAGTCAGGGGTTTTGCCGATAACACCAGAAGCAACACTTCCGCCAATGAAAATACCAAATCCAACGCCAGCTCCAGCACCGGGATGAACAGCGTGAGCGATAGCCACTCCCAGCACCATGGCTAAGACGTAGCAAGTGTTGTAGATGACAAATGCTGGCTTGCCGACTTGTCCGATGACATCTTTGCAGCGGTAAACACTCGTCGACGAAATACATTCTGCGAAAACAACAAACACGAGCGCCACATCATTCGTCCAGCGGTCGATACCAGTAAGGAGGTAGTAGCCAAACTCGGTGCAGTAAGGAAGGCAGAGAAGAAAAGACAGGATGGTGAGACTCGTGACCACAATGGGTCGGCTAGCCTTGATGCCTGTGTCCATTACGAGCGTGACGATAGCGTCCAACATGGCGAATGCTGAACTGTAGCCGAGAACCATGAGAGTGAAGAACAAGGCGACGGCCCAGAAATTGGCACCAGGCATTTCGGCCACCGCTTGAGGCAGGGTGAGGAAGCCGACGCTGAAGCCTCCGATGGGATTCTCGGGGTCGGGGCGCATACCCAGGTATCCAACAACGCCGAACACGGCAAACGCGGCGATATTCTCAAACAGTACGTTGCTGCAGACAATCAAGATCGAATCCATGACTGCGTTCGAGTACTGGCGATTATACGAGGCGTACGATGTGAAGTAGCCGAAACCCACTCCGGTGCTGAAGAACACCTTGGGGATAGTTAGTTTATCGATCATGATTTTCATCATCAGAGAGGAAAGAGGCTGTGAAACTAAAGAATAAATCCCATACCTGACCACAAGCTGTCTGCCAGACCTGGCCTCGCGCCAGTTGGTCACCTCTCCACGTCGCGAAGTAGAGCTTCACTCCCTCTCCTGCATTTTCAAGCGACACGGACCTACCAATCAAGACAATGGTGACCACGATAGGCAAGCCCATGGTAAAGTAAACGACGCGACCAGTAAGTCCGACTCCACGGAAGATGGAAATATACATGAGAAAAAAAGTGAAAGCTGCCCATCCAGTCGTCTCTCCCAGTAGAGCGGTTCCAGGGTACTCTGTGTAGTTCAAGACGCTGGTGCCATCTGCCGTAAGATTGCCCTCGATCGGATCAACGTTGGCAACGACCTTTCGGTTGAAGAAATAATCGGGCTCATTGGTCCATGGTAATGGACTTGTAAAAGAGTGTCGGAAGTAGCTCATGATCCACGCCAAGTTTACGACAAAGTAGGGCGTGACAACGAATCCAACATAGATCAGTGACAGTCCCAATCCCTTTAGTCTCTGGTTGACATTTGCGTATGCTACAACACTACCGCCGCGGTAGGCTTGTCCGATTGCAATCTCCAGTACGAGAACCGGGATGGCAACAATGAAAACGGCCATCAAGTATGGGATGTACCACTGCAGGCCGTGGTTGTTGTAAACTTGTGACGGGTATCGAAGGAGGTTGCCCATTCCGGCGCAGCCACCCATGGAGGCCAGAAGAAAGGAGGCCCTTGAAGGCCATGCATCACGGCCGTCTTCCGCCTTGTTCGGCGGAGGAGCAAACCAGCCCCCGAATTTTCTGAGCACATCCATTGCCACGTGCACGTGTCGATGTTTGCGGCCCGAGAACGACCCAGATCCGGTCCGGTCCGACGGGGAAGCGGATGTCGTTCGGCAAGAGTAAGATGTCGAGGTTGCAGATTCTGACCATATACGAGGCTCAAACAAAGTATGAGTTGCGAATGGCTTTGGATGAGGAAACCTTGAGGGGTGAGATCGCCTTGGGTGGTCTGAAGTGGAGATGAAGGGGCCAGGTGAAAAGGCCAAGAGAGGAGGAAAGCTCTCTCATTCTGCGAAGGTACGTACCAAGCCTCTCGTCGGTGGTCTTCTTTTTATTGAGTTTGAGGAGCATTAAACGTGACCCGGCTGAACTGCAGAGCTTTTCACTTTTCCCCTCGCCGCAGGAGGCGTTTCTATCAAGCACGCAATCTTGTTCTTCGTCCGCGCCTCGTGGGGTTCACGAAAGACCCTCACACAAGCGTGTGGTAGGTGGATATACCGAAGGTTCTTAGCATTACATAGGACAAGAACTTTAGCGAATCCTCCATCAGCCGTTTGTCGTGGCATCGCGGGTGGGAGCTAGGGGCGGAGACGCGAGAGTATCCCGGTTTGAAGGCTCGGCGGACTTGGCGACAAGGCCCTAAGGGGCGCGAGACGCACCAGTATCCGCCCGGCCAAGACCGAGGACGGACCCAAGGGCGTCGTTCCGTCGAATCACCGGAGCGGGATGACGCGAACGCCCCCGCCATGCGGCGTCCCGGTCTGACATATAGCGTCGCAGGGAATACGTAAGAATACGTAAATTCTGTTGGTTTCTAATTCGGCTGACTGTATCGTTGTGAGACCTTCCCGCAGGGTGATGAGTGTAAGAGCGTACGAGTCGAGAATAAAGATGAGAAAAGACTGGGACTCTGAGAATGAATGACACCGGCTATTCATCAGCAGAGGCTTACGTAACCAACCATCTCTCACTTGCCACCACTGTGTTCAGTCTACGATGCTTGATCACAGCGCCATTCGCAGAGCCAATCTGGCACAATTTTGACGACGTCAGTCATTAGGAAAGGCCACAATCGGTTTATTGAAGCATAATGCTGGATTTGGCATTGTTTAGCACTATCATAAAGACTGCGGAACAAATTGCCATGTAGTTACTCTGGACTTCTGACCAAGAGGGGCCGCGAGTTATTTTAGATTCTAGACATGAAGATGGGGGGAAACTGGCATATAGATTTCTTTACCCCAAGACATCGCAGATGAATCGTCCTGCCTGACCGGTGGAAATCTTGTCGTGGCTTTAGAGTTCGTGCCGCCCATGTCTATCTACCTGGCAAGCATCGTCGGAATCTTATCGTTCGTAAATTTCATGAGAGCCCCAGTAACCATAGTCCCATGCTACAATGCGTGGTCTGATGGCGATGGGAAATTTGGAGCTTGGTGACACCAAGCGTCGCCAACTTATAGTGGACCTTCGAAGCTGAAATGGCTAATCAGAACTTCTCAGACTCGATCTGTGCCAAACCTGTAGGGGTTTCTGCTCATGCCTCCTGCTCTAAGACCTACGACTGGTGATTAAGGGCAAGCAGGAGACTAACCAAAATGAGAGATCGCATATTCGATCACAAAAGCGGAATTTCTACCTTAAGACTAAAAGAATCAGGAAAGCCGTGATAAGGGTACGCGTTGATACACAGCCAACGACGCAGAACATATGTGTCTTGGCTAATAGTCATGGTTCTAGGGTGAGTGTTAAGGCGGCTATGTTCCCATTTCAATCACAGGGTTCCTCCGAAAAAGCAGAACAATACTCGGGTAATACGAACTACAAGGGCTCATAGTCACCTCGAGTGTAAAAAGGTGTCTCCACCAATGGGGTGTAGGGTGTGGAGGTGACTGCCTTGAGTTTCTAGATCTTCAATGGCAAGAAAGTTGGCAATGTGTTCTAAGAGCCGACAGCACAGCATATAGAGAGTGATGAAAAGGTAGCACCAATGGAATCCTTACGTGAGGGTATGAAAGATTTGCTTCAAAAGATGCCAGTAACCCAAAATCCAAACCACATGGAGATTTAATTTTAACCATGTTTGATTGACTATGGGTTCCTATTGATGTTATTTGAGACGACAAAGAGGTTAGCTAGTTGCATGAGGTTGTGGCAGACTATACAGATAACCGGATCCCCACACGCAAGGACGGCATTATTCAACTGGTTTCCTTCCACCACGATGGAAAAGCCGATGTGGACGTACTTGGAGTCAAGTAGGCTCAATCGCTTCGAGATTGCTAGATCAAAGCTGATTCATCTAATCGTAATACAATGCCAACATCCTAGGCCTTGTACCGAAAACTTCGCCCAGTAAGCCTCTTAGCCCCAGCTGTCGCTGAAGGATGCAACCTCTCCTCCCTGTCAAGTCTTCTATTATGCATCTCGATGTAAAGCCAGCTAGCAGAAAGGAGAACGAATGCGATGATTACCAAGATCATGCTGATCGTCATTCCGTTCTTGTAGTACGGGCCGCCGCTTGTCTTGAAGATCCACGCTGAGATGTAACCTGATGTGTTACCAACTCCGACCACAAAGCCACTTCCAATGGCTCGCTGGAACGGTGTCTGCAAATTTTGCATTGCCAAGATCCATATCATGGGAAGGGTGATGTAAGTGCCGAAAGCAATGAAGTACAGCGCCATCATGGTGATATTTGAGCTTTCCCGCTCATCTTGTCTCAAAATAGCGTATCCAATGATGGTGAAAATGAAGCCACCGAGCCCAAAGGCGGCTCGGTGGTTAAGACGGTCAGCGGCGTACGCTGTTGTCAGGCATGCTACGGCAGCCACCACGAAGATGGGTACGACTTGCGCCTGCACATCGGCGGCGCTCAGCTCCGGGTGGAATGATTTGACGAAGGATGGCGAGAAGATGGAGACTGAGTAGGCTGTTGTAGTCGTGAAGCAATAAAGGGCAGCCCAGCAGTAGTTCAGCGGGTTCAAAAAGAACATTTTCCACTCGCCCAGAACACCAATCTCTGTAGAGCGTATTTCAACAGTGTTCTTGATGATCCTTTTCTCTTCCTCAGTCAGAAAGTTGGCTTTCTCTGGAGGCCCAACATTAGCAGGAAGGCAGGCTAGAGAAGCTGCCACAGTGAAGATGCCTTCTATGACGAAGATCCTGGGAGATGTTAGAGTCATCCACGAACGCCTTTCAATGGCTAGCATCATACCATCTCCATCCTTTGAAATTTTCAGTGGTTTGAATATTGGCGATCGCATATGCAAGGAAATTTCCGGCGATGTTTGAGCAAATATTGGCAACAGTGATGAGTCCAAGTCTCCATTGAAGGTGCCTCGGAGGGTAGTAAAGAGAACAAAGAAAAACACAGCCAGGTATTAGGCCAGCATCAAAAACACCAACGAAGAATCGCGTTGCGACCATTTGGTCGAAGTTCTGAACGAAACCTTGGCCGATCGTGATGATACCTGGATTCCATATCAGCATACACACGTCAACGTCCCGCTAGCCTCATAGGCTGATATTTCCATGTCGATGCTACTCTTCCCTGTCTTTCCTATATTCCCCACTAGATAACAAACATGTACTTACCCAATAGAACGTCGAGAAGACACATGTACCACATGTAAGGGAAGTTGAATTTGCGGTCCAGAAATCGCATCAGCAGATTACTTGGGACTTCGAAGAGTATCAGCGGCGCTGCCGGCATCGTGAGGACGATGAACACCTTCATGGCGTCCAGATGGAGGTCCTGTGGAAGTTGACGGATCAGAGCGGCCCCAATGTTCGTCCGGCCCATCAGTGAGAGAAAGTTGAGAAAGAACATGGCGATCATTAGACGCATATCCAGTTTGTAGAGGAGCTTCTTGTCGAAGGTCTTGTCACCAGCAGAGAATCCGTATGATTCGCTTTGGATCGACTCGCTTCTGGAGACGACTGGCCTCTCTACGACGCCCGCGGTCTTGACTTCATCGCCGAACTGTTCATTCGATCTGGAGATCCGTTTCGAGCGATCCTGCTCCAACTCCATGGGGTCTGACATTTTCTTGCCCGGGATTCAGCTGTAGCCCAAGAAAGCAATGAACGTAACAGAATATGATGGAGAAGCAATTCCTCGAGATCTAGATGCACAGCGGGATGTGTTCAAATGCAATAGCTATAGGATTTGGTCGAGTAAATCATCTATTACCTGTCCAGCATTGTCATCCGGCAAGGAAACTCGCGTTTTGGCCGACAGACTTTGCGCATATCTTGCTATTTCCGCCCATGAGTTCTTAGTATACGGGAGACTAATATCTGCAGCGGGAGGATCGTTCCGAGCACAGACTTGTGCCGATGAGCGGGAGCCAGATGTCAGACGTCTCGGAAGTCAGATAATTGTAGGATTCTAGTAGCCGGAAGTCCCTCAGGTTCGTCCGTGCTCGAGTGTGATACCAAACACGAGGGCGAAACTAAATTATCGAATCCTTCGGGTCGAGGAGACCGAGGTGATCCCCACAGGATGAGCTAGAATGTCCTTTGCTCAGTGCACTTTCAGAGCTGACTTGGTTCCCTATCCTTTGGCCGATAAGTGCACGACTCCTCTAAGTCCATCATACGCTCTCGTTGATTGCATATGATGTGCAGGGGCTGACCTCGAAGATGTCTCTCTCTCAAACTTCGACCTCTTCGTGCGATTTCACTCAATTGTCGGTCTTGGCTGTCGGCGCTCAGTCATCATGGCGGCCTTCCAAGGCTGTCCTTGGCCGAGGTGGGCCAGAGTGCATTCAGTTCGAGGACTTCGGACCGTTGTACAAAGTAAATTTCCCTACCAACTGGGCATCTCGTCATGCTGTTTGCGAGTGAGTGTAACCGAGGTCAGTGAGGGGCCTCTTCGGTGTTCCTTATTGTGGTCGGTTTCTAGACGTGAATCTGCCTGTCTTTGAAGAATATGTCACTTGCTAGCAGCAAGTGTATCTCTTAACCATGGTTTCTCTAAGGTACGTTTGAAAACGAGTCTACCGCTGCGTATGACGATCTTCCCCCAGCCAACATTATACTATTACTTTTAAGATAAAACTTACTTTTAAGATAAAACTTTAGTGCATATCTCACTTCGTGGTATACCTTGATGAGTTGTTCAAGCAGTCGCGTATGTTTGCGTTCCACAATCGTCAATAGATTAAGCTGGCAACGGGTTTCAGTTCTAATCGGTTATCTGTGATCCCCTCGAAACCTCATCCCAACAGATACCGGACCTTTGGTATTTCAATCCATGAATGATGCCTATTCGGTCCTAAGTCTTACTGCCTCACAGGCCATGTTCGACAACGAGGTCCTTGATGTATCTGATGAGCAATGGACCGACTTGTCGGGCTATGACCTGGTCTCCCTGTTCATTAGGGTGTACGCCATCTCTCAACATGGCGGTTGTGAACCCAGCAGATGTTGAACAGTCTGCAATTGCGATTGGAGAGATGGTCGAGTTCTGTTCGCTGGCCCAACTTGGAATCCGCTGATTGAGAGTGTCGATTCCACCGCCATTGAAGGACAACGGGATCAAACGATCAACCTGTAGGCTTGTGTTACTACGTTTTCCTGTATCATTTGCAAAGCTTTGCAAACTTAATAGTAATACAAACCAGAATCTTCATTCTGGGGTTGGATGCTCTCATCAACCCCACCATGTTGGTGTACGAAGCGATAATGTCGTTGGTCGTCCGCGCTTGCGCAACATCGTTGGTGCCAAGCATGAACTGGACGATATCGGGCTTGGTACTTGCCAGCCACCCTTGCAGATATTGATTGGCAATGTTGATGGAGAGCCAACCCGAGTGGCCCTCATGGTGGAGATCAAAAGAGCCCGATTGCGCTCGGCAGTTTTGCGGGTTGTTGGTCATGGAGCCAACGAATTGCACCTTATCGGCAAGATTCTCCCTGACAATCATGTCCCAGACCAAAGCCCTCCCGCACGTTATCTCGGTGATGGAGTCACCCAGCGGCACTCGAAAATCATTAGATAGCTGGCATTTAACGTGGCATTTGAGGGTTTCAACTGACTAATTTTGATTTTGGACTGTGCAAAAGCGGCAGTGACCAATCCGAAGGCGATGAAAATTTTGAAAGGCTGCATTTTGTATAACCAAAAGATTACTTGCTACCGAGCATTTGGATTTTCAAAGCATCGGGAAAGAGCATAAGCAGGGAAACAAAGCAGGAGGCAGCTCGAACAATGATCTTATGCGGCATCAGGAACCCTTTAATTGCCACGTTAGTGAGACTATCTTACTTCCAACCCTCGTAATAGATATTTGGCAAAAACGCGTTTGGGGGAGAGATCAAATTCTTCCATCCGCCCGAAAGGGGAATTGCGCTCATTTACGGTAAGTCGTATTGACAGAATATAAGACTAACGGAGTCCTGTCCCCGAGTTTCCCGAGAGTGTGCCGATGGTTAAATCCATTTTTGGGATTGGAAAGAGTCTCGTTGCTACTTCACTCGAGACCTTGTATGGAAGCAATGTGACCTTCTGAATAGCCGGAAGTTTTGGCAAGGTGCTGGTTGGATTATCCTGATGGTGGTTGAACTGAGGGGTAGGCTTTGATCGTCTGAATGGACCAGCTTTACCGAAACTTGGAGGCTCTCAAAGCGTTGGAGCTTTGCGGCGTGAGGACATAGAAAACGCCACAGTCATGCAGCACGATGCACGTGGGACAAAGAATCCACGATAACCGTGGCGCAGATTGTCCTCTGCATTTTTCTCCTGAAATTCAACAGGCCATGACAGGCTGAGGGACGACGCGGCCCTGACAGCTACATTCATGCCTCATGCTTCATGCCCGTCATAGCATGGGTTGACTATTCAAGCGAATCATCAGACTCTGTGCCCATAAGTTGCATCGATCTGAGAGGTATCCGCCGTGAACCGGAGCTGCGTGCGAGTTATTTCGTTTCTCTTTCCCCGCAATCCAATGTCATGGAAGCAGAGAACCATCAGCAAAATCACCTACTGATGGGCTTTTGAACTATGGTAGTGGTGTCGGGCAAGCTCCATAAAGTTGACATTGGTTCAATGTGAATTGAATCACTACTTGGCAATTTCTAATTCACCGCTCCATTCAACCAGAGTGGCTAAATTTCGAAGGCTCCGAGTTAGGCGCGGCCGACTACAGGACGCTTGCAAAACCATGCCGATGACGTCCTCCAGAAGCCACCCGTGCCTGTTCTTCCTCATGTGTGTCTCGTCCAGGTACCGCAGAGCTCGTACCAGGAACACCAGGCACGTGTTGACATGGTCATGCAAGGGGGTTTATTCGACGCCCGCTTGACCGTGAACCCGTCAAAGGTGCGGGCCGCGGTTGAGACCGGGAGCTGCGGATAGTGCGGGACGTCGCACCTCGGCAGACATTATTCAGCACCTACTTACGGACACTTGAACGATATGAAAGCGAACAACCTTGTCCAGTGGCGGAAGGAAAAGGAAAATACCGCAGTTGGTTGAAATTCAGTGGCACACCATGCAAAGATACAATGTTGGTTCAATGTTGTTTGGCTGGTCAATACGACGGTATCCTCGTATTGGATCTGGGTGTTGGTTGCTATTCGTCGGTTCACCGCTGTTCACCGCTCACCTTCTGCCCTCGCACTTGATTGCTTCGAGACCCAGGAATCCGGAAACAAACTCATCAACATGGGCTGTGCTCATTAAACATGCGACATGGCTGCTTGGTACCTGGGACTAAAACAGGTCACATGGCGTCGCGTGCGGCGTGGAATCCCCCTCATGCGAACTGGACATGGATTATGACCAGAAGCGACTCTTACTCATGGCTTGGACTGTCACTGAGGTTTATAACTACACTGCTGTGCAACCAACATGGGCGTCTCTGTTCTGGGCCCCGCTAACCCCGGGCCCGAGTGCGAAGACATTGCTAAAAGTCGACGATCCTAACCAAAGTCAACCTTGCATGGTGAACAAGGTCTTCCATATTCGTATCCTGGCCTGAAACGAGGCGAAGTGGCTAGCTTTTGTGTCTTTAGCAGCTTTCAAGATGTCGTTATTGAGAGGCTTGCGGGCGGTTCTCTGGCAAAGGCACTTTGCCCTTTCGCCCCTTGTCAGTTGGATGTTTGCCGATTGACCGAGATACCGCTTAGGAGCTTGAACACAAAGAGACAGTTCTTCTGTTTACTACTGCCGATGAATCTGTCTGCCTGTGAAATAGCTACCCGATGGAACTGGGGTGGCTGATTCCAGAGTCCATCCCAAACGGCGGCTTCACTGTTCAAGCTCCAAAACAATTTGGGATCGCCGATCGACCAAGCTTCGGAGAGGTGTACTTTGGTTTCCAGTCATTCCCATCACGTTGGTGATAGAAACTCCACATATTCAAGAAACTCCCAAGACTCTACCCTCCATTAGCCCATGCGGCCATGCCCCCAGACTTGGCTCTGGGGAGACCTACACCACTGTTGGTTGCAACTTTGACTATCGCTGTTCGCGACCAACAAAGACACGAACCTGGCCCCCAACTGCCAGACTTAGAGAACTCACACCACGAGCCCGGGGGAAGAAGCAATAAGCGCTTTACTTAGACGATGAGATAGCGCGCTTGCCGCGCCATCCTTGTACAGAGGGGCATCATTGTTCATCAATCACCCATCCGTCCGTCGCGGCCTTGCGACAGGCTGTTAGTTCCAACTAGTGACATGATGAATCCCTGTCTTCTTACGGGGCCAACTGGAGACTCTTTGAGAAGCCATCGTAGTTGTTCAGTACGTCCTTAAGCCGGTGCCATCCTCACAGCCACGGTGATGAAGACAAAAGGGAGGGTAAGCCCAGGTAATGTTCGCGGTCAGTCGTCAATCATTAACCACTTGACGAACTTCTGCCAGTTCTTTATCGTGCCATCTACTCTCCCGTCATCATGTTCGGCCAGTACAATCACTACGTGTTGAGGGAAACCGCCCAGATGCCACTGATGCGCTTCACGATGCCCCGGGTCCCCAAGATGATTGAAGCCATCTGCCCCGGCTGCTTCAAGGGGTTCACCAAGATAGGCAGCATGCACCGCGTAAGTCCAGAAACATGCTTTCCGCCTCAAGGGAGCTTCGAGACAGCAGACTGACAAAGTTGTCATTCAAAAGCATGCTTATGAAGACCGATGCCCCAACCCCGTGCCGCATTTCGTCGCCAAAGTCAAAGCTGAGCACAGAGCGCGTGTTACCGCCGCTGCCGCCCGGTCCAAAGCGCGCAAGGCAGCCCGTGCTTCGCGGGCTGATCCGCGTCCCGTCGCCCCGACCCCGGCCGGGGGTGATCGCCCTGGCCGGGCTAGGGAGGCCAGCAAGGGCCGTGGCCCGGCTTTGATGAAGAACGAACATGGCTCGCACTTTGTTCAGCAGAAAAAACTGGTGGAGATGGTATGTTTGCTGTGAAACCCGACATTGCTGGGCCCGATCCAAGATTGTGAGACTGACAATTGCAACTGTCACAGCACCAACAACACGACACTTGTACGGTGGTCAAAACAGAACCAGATCTGTTGAATTTCGACTTCAACTGTCTCACCACCACCTGGGAAGGGGTCTGCAAAAGTGAGCCACAGTGGCCTTAAGTCTCAAGTTAAGCGGGTGATGGGCCTGGGGGTTGGGGTAATGTTTTGATCTTGTTTTTGTTAAGTTTGTTGTATTTGGTGATACAGATTTTGGGGAGCAAGAGTACCGGATTATCTAGTATTCATTCATTTAGGGCCGCCGCTCAGATTATGAGACGGTATCTACAACACCAATCTTATTGTATGTTGTACCACCAATCCACTCCCACTCAACAATCTCAACCTTGGTAGCATTCCGCTGGACGAGACCATATACTCTGCCAGCTGAGTTGGCAGCAATCTTGAAAGGCCTATCCTCGCCAGACATTGTTGAAATTTCTCCAACATTTGTCCACTCTCCTTCAGTGAAAGTCGTCAAAACGGGTGCTTTATCCGCCTGTGATCCTAGTACGTGCATAACTAGATTGTTGTTTTCATATCCGCTTGAAAAGGCCGCAATCGTGGCGTTCTTTTCGAGTGTCGTTGGTAAAGTGCCGTTGGTCCAGTCGTTGTCATTGACAAGGGTGAGGTGGATGAGTGATCCCGTCTCAGAGGTGTAGAAAAGAGCCATCTTCTTTGTGGTCTCATTGGTATAGATGGGAATCAACGACATCCCGGTGCCCTCTGCAGGCTTTCCAAAGTCCGTCGAGATTCCTACGGCGGCCCAATCCGCCGACCCGCCCGTTCGGCGAAGAACGCGGATGGTATTTCCGGCGTCCTGGTATATCACGAGATTCGACAGATATGAGTCGGGGGTATAAATGCCGTTGGAAAGCAGTTGTGACTTCGCATTCGCAGTAAATGTATTTGAGACGCCGGATTTATCCCAGTTCGAGCCGTAAACAGGGTTGGCGTTGATGATGCCCGCGACCTGATTAGCGTCGTTGAGGTAGTAGATGCGGACATCGCGAATCTGGAAGATGACGTTAGTAACGGTCACGAGGATTTCTCTGGCTGATGAATTGACGGTGGCTGACCTGATTGCTGTGCCAGAACAAGCTGTTGGAGATGGGGGTGCCGTCTTTGATGGTGCTCTCCCTGTTCGCGATGGTTGAGCTCCACACTTTTGTGGAAGAGTTGTAAGACGACATCATGAGGTTCTTCGACCGCAGCTGATAAAACACGAGGTGATTTACGTAGCCATAGGAGTCTGTGAAGTTGAGCGCGCCGAGGCTGGTGCTGGGCAGGATATCCATATCGCTCGGTGTCGTCGAGTTGCTGGAATCACCACTTCCACTTCCGCTCCCACTCCCACTCCCACTGCCGGGTCCGTTACCACTGCCATTCCCGCTGCCGCCTGATCCTCCTGACGTGCTGCTCGATTGTTGCGAAATGTCGGTCCTTGACAACGCACCGCCGACGCCTCCTCCTACCGCGGCGCCAATGACAACAATGAGAGCCACTGCCAGGACAATCCAGAATGTCTTGCGTCGTATGCCGCATATTGTGCCCGCCTTTGGCTTCTGCTGCTTCTCATCGACTTCTGATGTTGCGACTTCCGGCGGGTTACCTTCTTTTGGAGCGTAGAACCCGCCTTGATCATATGAACCGTTTTGATATTCGATCGCCGAGGCGCCCTCTGCCGGGTGAACGGCCTGCAGCATCGAGTAGTCATGGCCGTACGGGTGCACGACCTGCGGAAGGTCACCGTCTTGATTGTGGACTTCGGGCAGGTTATTCTGGTCCGCAACGCGGAACTTGCTAAAGTCTTCCGCGCCCCATCCTCCCGGCGAACGGCCCGGTCGGCTATCGACCTCGAGACCGCCGTAGTACTCCGTCGGAGACGCGTTGTTGTTCGGAGTCGCCATCACGAGGCGCCGATAGCTCGATCGCGTCGCCATCGCCAGCAGGCAAAAGGGTGGGAAGATGAAAGATTTAAAGGCATTGAAACCCAGGCCCAATGACCCGGGGGGCAGAACCCCACGACGCTATGGAGCCGAAACATTGTCAGCCCGCGAGTTGCAACGTTGAGCGCCAGACGTTGTGGATTTTCATCGAGACTTTGGCTCATCTGATTGGGGTTCACTGCGGTTGACTGGCGCCAAGCGGTTGTAAGGGGTCTGAAGGATGCGCATCCCTGCTCGTGATGGAGCACTTCAAGGCAACTCTTCTCTGCGTTGGGCCAAGCGCTGACGGAGGCCCCATTTCCGATGGATCGGGATCCCGCGAATGGCTTCCGCGTTGGGTGCTCGCTAGCGTCAGCTGTGGGATTACCATAATTTGCATGGTGTTCGTGGGGTCGCAACGGCGGGCTAAAGGGGGCTGGACTCTGGTTCTGATTCCTTCTTCCCGGACAGAAATCCATGCCATTGCGTGGTTCTGGTCCTTCGAGGATCCTTCACAGGTGACAGGACTCGAATGGACCAAGCTGATGGAAGATGCCTGCTGTCAGCTGCGGTTGGCAAGGCGCGATACATCGAAGGATCAAACCTACACGCAACCTGGCACCTCACAAGGTTGATGATGTTGTTGAGCTGAAACTTGGTGCCTGAAAGGCCAAGAAGGGAAGCGTCAGCTCCTAACAGAGTGTCTGCCTTGACGCAAGAATGTGCATCCGCAAGTCTTTTATACGTGAGATGAATCCAGACGATTAAAGTTTCTATCCCAATCCGCATCTTCTCGCCTATACGAATAGCGTTATGTGAGATCACATATCATAGTGCACTCAGTGGACCTTATCGTCCAACTCGCAAACGTTTGAAAGTTATTTCCAAATCCCCATCGTTCTCGGAACGCATCAAGTCAGTTTTTGTGGTACCCAGACTTATAGATATTCAAAACATCAACACCGTCAGGATTGGTCCAAGCAAGATGTGAGGTTACAGAGACTTATTTAGCTTCCTGGTCTTTCAAGGTCAGACGTCACAACGTTGCCGCCTTTAACTGATACGGACAGGATCAATGCCAATTCCACATTGTCCTGTAAATATCAGAAGAGTGCTTTCCATCAACTACAAAATATAACAAAACCGCTCTTGATGTGAAATGTATCGCTGCTTCAAACAAATCAGGTCTGGCTTCGGTCGGGTATTCCACATCTTTTCTCATCGGTCAGTAGAAAAGCCATGGTGGGCTGATCTCATCTTCTTCTCTATGACCTCTAATCGCCGCAGTGATACACGCCACAACATCACCGAAGTGAAACTTCTTGCCCACAATGCCAGGACCGTAATGGGCATACTTGGCTGAGTTTGTCATGACATTTCTTGCCTTGAGAGGTACCACTGGTTCTTCTATCATGCACCAACAAGTATCCGTTATCAGCCGGCCACCGAAGCTCTCGATGACTTCCAAGTAGCCGAGATCCAGAGCGTCTTTGTAAGCGTTTCGGCTGGTGGTGATCATCAACTCGACACTTGATGACTTCTTTCTGTTCCGACACACTTGAGCAAGCTGAGAGAATTCTTCAAGGGAAAAATGCGGATTTCCCAGAGAGACGATGTCTATAGAGGGCTCTGTGGCTGTATTGAGCTGCCTCCAAGCGAGTTGAAGGTCAGATACGGTCACTTGGACGGTTTTTAAACTAACGAGCGCCTTCTCAAAAATTGCGGCCTCTGGCGTGATACCGTTCATGTGAAACATGGGAGCAGCTGATGTTGTCGCAAAACCTGCCCCAAAGGCCTTCAGATCTGACACGGATGGTTTTGTTGACTCCATACCAACTATGAAAGGGATTTTGGCGGCAACAACATTACCTATGCTGTATCCAACGAGGGGAAACATAGACTGATCGAAAGTCCGAAACTGAGGGACCTTGACTATGACAGTCGGATTCCTACCCTCTGGGGCATGGCATCCAGCATATGGAGCCCTTCCAGTCAAAGCGATGAAAACGTCCATGTAGTCAGGGTACTTCTGCGTATGCGCTCCCAGCACACTGTTCGCGAATACTACTGCGTTGGACTCGGACCATCCGATTTGCTCTCCGGCTTTCGGTTTACTTTCGAGTAAGTATGGAGCGCACGTGAAGCTCATCTTGGCTCCCAGCTTGAGATACGTATCCCCTATTTTGTTCGCTATCTCGGAAATCTCGGGACTGGCGCCCAGTTCCTTCCACCTCTGTCGATCGACATTGAGAGAGTTGCAAGTCGATGGCACCACAAACTGTCCACCGAGGGAGAGCAAACGCTCAGGAACAAGGAGGCTGCTTTCGCCGACATAAGCGCAAGCGTCCACATGGACTTGGGAAACATCTATCAGACGTTGAGCCCCCTGTACTGTGGCGTACTTGACGACAATCTCCATCGCTATACGAGAAGCTTCGCCCTCCTCCCCAGACAACATGGATTTGTCCGTCGAATTCAACTCAACCGCCTTTGTGCTCTGTGGCACCAAATCAATCTTCTGACCACCTGGTGAAACTGACAAGCTCGTCTCGTTTATCTGCACCGCCAATGCTTGGCGGAACATGTCGAACAGCGAGGGGTCTGAAAGGAAGATGATCGGAATGCGCTTGTCGAACATTTTGTCGGCCACCAAGACGCCCAAGGTAAGGATCATCTCCAGATCCCTGAATATGAGGGCTGCAGGGGCGTTGCCGGAGAGTATCAACTCTGCGAGTGCGCTGCTACCGGAGCAGGATCCGCGGCCGGCAGGGATGACGAGAACAGAGCCTTTGAGAGATGTTCCATGGAGTGGGTGGTGGGCATCCGCTACGATGCCCGTCTTGGAGTCGACGCCCATCATGAAGCTGAGTGGGATATCTGAAAAGATGACCCGGCCCTGGGCTTGGCCCGGGATGACGGTAAGGGCCCGGCTTTGTGCTGCCGACATTGAAATTGTGACGGGATATCTTCGATTCTTGAGAAATACCAGGAAGATTTCCAATCCTCAGAACAAACATTTGGTAGTTGACAAGTTTCACCTACTGCAGCATGGTAAGGTAACTTACGACAAGGTAAATTCGGGGCCTGTTTTCGCTTTTTTTTACTTTCATCCTTAGCTGATTGCCGAAAAGCGGTTCGGATAGGTTTCCGCCGCCAGCGTTCCGAGGCGACCCCTCACCGGCTCTCCGGGAATCATGCCGGCAGGGAACGGCAGGGGTATTCTTGGAAGTTTAACACTATCTATATCACCAAAGATTCCAGCGTCCGTCTCCAAATCGCCTTTCTAGTCTATACTAGCATAAGGCAAGGAAAGAATCGTGATTACTCGCTTCGTCGCAGCATTGCCTTGCACAGACTTTTCAGTGCCCGGCGGATTTCAGACACTGGGGCCTCCTTCTTGCGCATTCTCAAAGTTTCCCCGTCTGCCGACCAATCCCAATGTAAATGCTGACGCAGGCTGAGGGAATGGTTCATATCGCCTGCTTCTTTGTGGCCGCGGAGGATTGATACTCTGGCAACAGGCCAAACGCATGGTCAGGATGATATCCCGTATCATCCACCAGGCTTGCACATTTACCAGATGCCTGTCTATGATATGTTCTGTTAGGTCGAATTTCACTGGCCAGGTAAACGTTGTGCCATTTCTCAACAGGTGAATGCACGTTGCGATTGACCATTTGTTGCCCGAGCTGCTGTCGCTCTAGAACTTCCGGTAGGAAAAGGCTCTCTACGATGTCTCCACGGGCGAGTTAAATAGCACTTTTCTTACTGGATTCATTCGTTCCATTTCATATCTTGGTTGTCATCAAGTGAACCCGGTTTGAAATGCGGAGAATCTCCCGATCCCTGGGCTTGTGCTGTCAAATGCTTGTTTGACAGTTTGGCTTATTGTTTTGAGCAGTAGGGCTCCGGTAGTTTCTCGTCTTGAGATAGCCATGCCGCTGTCGTCACCATGAGATGAATTCTACTGGACGAGGAACAACATTCTGAGAGTAACTTATGAGCCCTTTTTGAACACTGGATATAAGCTGATTCGGAAGACCGCAGGCTCGATTTCTTGGCGTGGTATAGGAAGGTGAGGTCAAAGCAGGTCGCCCGTGTCTCGATACTACGTCTTCCAAGGGACCACGAAATGGGTTAGATTTGGTCACCACTTAGCCAGATACTTTGCCCCTGTGCCTGTTAGGACTTCAATCGTTAGACAGAGAGAGGGGTGATGACTACGTGAAGAGGATGCCCCGTCGTCAATTCCGTAGACAAGACATGGAAATGGGCGGATCTCTGTGATCATGACAAGTTTGAATGTCAAGTTTGAATGTCTGAAAATGATTCAAGAATATTTACGGCTTTTATGCTTGTGTGGTCTGACGGTAAAGCCAAAAAGATTTCGAAAGCCGAAGAGAGGGCTTCTGGTCCCATTCAATGACTTTGTTTACAGACTGATTAGGTCAACATAACTGATCAAGAGCAATTCTGTTGTAGCTGGCAGAGTCGAGAAAGATTCCGAGGCACAATCACACATACAAGCATCATGCTCCGACAGCTCGACAGGTCCAAAAGATATTTTGTCAGAAATACGTTCAGTAAGGGAAAATGTTAGGCAAGTTGCAGTAATTGACCGGCAAAATCAGAGCAGTCGCCAAATAACCTATGGGTTTTATGCTCTGAGACTAAGGCAGGCAAGTTAAAATAGAGATGAAGTAGGATCCGTGGGAAGAGGAAGACTGGACTGAAAGCCTGGGCATAGTCGTAAACTGCCAGGCTCGGGACTCGGAGGACTCAAACAACCTAGACTTGATTTCTTCATCGACCATACTATCTTCCCGTTGCACCAAACATTCACCAATTCGCAGGTAAACTAAGAGATAATCTAGCTCTACTACAGGCTTGACCTGCTTTGGCAACGTGACTCTGGACATTCTTTCAACTTGCCACGTTGTTCGCGATATAAGCCCACTCCACATCCTCCCAACCCGGCTTCCGACGGATTCTCGCCAGCATGTTTTCCTGCACGCTCGTCAAAGGCTTTCCAACAGCCTCAGCCAAGTTGTTATTGATCGGCGGCACTTCAATCCTGCCACCAGCCGGTGTCTCAATCTCGAATCCTAGCACCAACGCAGCCATTGCCCCCAAGATCTCCGCGTCCGCGAAGTAGCGGCCAGGACAAAGGTGCTTACCGCCACCGAAAGGGTTAAAGGCGCGGTTTTGCGCCCGCTCTCTTTCTCTATCGGCAGTCATAAACCGCCGCGGGTTGAAGTCGTGCGCGTTTTCGCCCCATTCGTTGGGGCCAAAGTTGGTAATGATGGCAGGGATTTGGATGTTTGCACCTTTCTTGAGGAGATATGTCTCTGTGTCGCCACCTTCTCCAGATGGTGTGTAGCTAATTAATGTGTCCTCAACAACCCGTCGTGTGCCCGTCGAACGATTTGTCAAGCGCATGACCTCTTTGTAGGTGGACACCAGCAAGGGACATTCTGTTCGAAACTTGGCAACGGTGAAAGTGCACTTTCGAGACGGCCGGCCCCCGTTAGGAACGTTGTCCTGCTGCTGTATCACGGCAATGGCTTGGAGCTCCCTTTGCAAGTCCGCAACGAGATCGGCATCGCGGAATACATAGCACATCATCCAGAAGAGTGTCGGGATGGCATTCGTGACGCTCACAAAGAGCATTCCAAACTCGTGATCAGCGATGTCGTCAATGGGCAGGCCCCATTTCCGGTTGACCGCCACGCGCCGCTTGACGACACTGCTTGCATCGTGGATGTGATCGAAATCTTCGCGGAAGTATTTCCGAAGAGCGTTTTGAACTTTGGCGCGGCCTTTGTACGCCTTCGATACTGTTATGGAGGGCAGCGGCTGCATGAGTAGCTGGGCCTGTCCACCGTCGTACTCCCTTCAAGTTGACTTCGTCAGTGATTGAGTCTCTGACAACTTGAGAGGTGCTTCTTACCACAGGTATTGACTCAACGTCGAGTCCTTCGTCAGAGAGTTGTTATCACCGAACAAGGAGCCCACCGTGGCCATGGTGAAGGAGTCCCGAAACCACAAGTACAACTTTTTGGTTTCATAATCAGGTCCAATGGAGTTGATGGTCTTGGAGATCTTGTTCAAGACGTAGGTGTTCATCTCTTGCAGATCAGGCCCGGGAGCCAGCGGTGCAAATGATGGATGCTGGTCTTCGATCCATGAGATGGAACCATCTGTCGGTGGATTGTGGAACAAATCCATGAAGTTTGGTCCTAGGCCGACCATCTTCTGTGCGAACTCTGCCATAATTGGGTAAAGATTCAAAGCCTTGTTCTTCATTGCAACCTGGATCAACTGTGGTGCCGTGATTATGTACATCTTCTCGGAGCCTCCCATTGAAACGGAGAAGATTGGAAGGTGTGCATTCTCAAGACTGTTACATGTCCATTAATTTGGCTTCTCAGTTTTCATTCCATATACATGGCTTGTATTGCTTGGTGGCTCATCCACAGGACGGGGTTCTAACGTACCCGAGTTGACGATAGTATTCTTGCCTTGACCCCAGTAGCCCAATGATGTGACCGACAAGTGGTATCTTGGGTTTGACCACTTGTGGTTCTCTTGGGTCTGGAGACTTGGCTCGAACTTGGCTTCCGCCGACCATGAAGAGGGCTACCAGGAGCAGAACCCACCACTGGCCAAGGCCATCGCTGGCGAGCAGATTTTCGGACAAGCCAAATAAAGCCATGATGATGCTTGGGTTGGGATGATGGCGCAGGGCATCAAAGAGCAATGCGCGAACAAACGCGGGGTGATGCTATGCGGGCTGGAATAAACGCGCTGGTGGTGCCACTGTCACCAGCGGAGTGGAGCAAACATGAACTCAAAGTGTGTAATGACGACAACGCCGATGGCCAGAATAAGCGAATGTAACATTGAACGCTCCATAGGCACCCTGCCCACGAGGGCCGAATCTGGCATAGTTCAGGCGGCAATGCGAGTGCGAGCGGGTATCATATTTCGGAACCATTTTCGGAGGGATTCAGTCAGGCAGTCTTAGCCTCACGGTATGCGCCGCAGGATTGCACCGCGTACATGCAAAGCGATATCCGACTTGTCTGCCATTGGATTTTGTATTTCTGAACTGTTGCACTATTCCGTATACATGTAGATCGCGGACACGGTAGCCAAATTTGAACACAGTGCGCCGCTTCTCGGTAGCTTGCTGCTTGTCTCAATATTGATGTAGGATGACATGAACTTGCGCAGAGATGACGTTCAGATCACTCTGCATATCCTCAACAAACGTGGATCATCACTTGTTGCCGAATACCGCGCATGTCAGCACTAAGATTTCAATCCCGATTTGCCGCAAAGCATTGCCATCAGTGAACATCGCGAGGACTAATGTACCGTCAATAGTACCAAGTTCTCGAGACTTGATTGGAAGTGATAGCTTTCCCATCTCCTTTTGCAGACTTTCAAAACTCACGATGGTTCAATCAGAGACAATACCTTTTTCAGAAGCCTTTCCCTGGGCCACTATGCGCCGACAGGCCAAGGCAAGCCTCGCACCCCCTACGGCCAGCTTCGAAGAAAAGACTGTCCTTCTGGTTGGCGCCACTGGCGTGATTCTCTCGGACGCGGCACGCATCATTGCCAGTCTCAAGGTCTCAACCCTCATTTTCGCAGTTCGTAATGTTGCGAAGGGCGAGGCTTTGGCTGAGGAGTTGAGAAAACAAAGCGTTGATGGCGAAAGCCAGCAGCCAGTTATCAAGGTGATGGAAGTAGACCTCTTGTCTTTTGATAGTGTCAAGACTTTTGCGGGTAGGATGAATCAGTTCCAGACGCGCATTGATGTCGTGGTCATGGGCTCTGCTATCATGAATGATGAGACGAGAGTGACTGCCGATGGGTGGGAAGAGAGTGAGTCTCCCCAGAGTAATTACTGCTCCGTGAACTGCACTGGTTTCTCTGCCATTTCAGTTGCCTCAACAATAATAACACTTCTCCAGCCCTGCAGTTGATTCACCTCTCATCAGCACTCTTGATTCTCCTTTTACTTCCCAAGATGTTAGCCGATGGAGAGGAACAACCAGTGGTGCTCAGCAGCCTTACAAGCTCAGCAATCCGCTCAGCAGCATCGATGGTCGCGCTTCCAGATGATGCAAAGGACTCATACCTAGAACAGGTCAGCGATGTCAAAGATGCTGCCACGCAGAAGAGTTATCAGTACGGTCTCGCAAAGATCATACACGCGTGCTGGATCAGGGAGCTCTGCGCTCGTCATCTGCCCGGTAGCAATCCGAGGATTCACTTTCACCAGTTGGATCCGGGTGCCTGCTTCACGCCACTCAGCTCACATATTTTCGTGGGGCGGCTGCTTCTTTGGTTTATTGGCCGGCCTGTGGAGATGTGTGCCCGAACTGTGGTGAATTCGTGTTTGCCAATCGTGGGGTCGCATGGGAAGATGCTGATCGATTACGATATCGCTCCGTGAGTTTACCTCTTCGCCTTCATCTTTCAAAAATATTTAATGCGCCAGAGTGTTTTGTTCTCGTTATGGGAATTTTACTCCACGTTTACTAACGATTTGATTCCCTCGTAGATATCCTGAGTTCATGGATAGGTAAGTCGATAATTTCTAAAATGATTCTACTTTTTCCCGTTCTGAATGTTCTCGTTCAGTATGATTTGGAGGGGATGTATGCTAACACTTTTCTTCATTGATAGGGCCCTCGGATTAGAACTCCAGCGGCGGGCATGGAATGAGACAAGCCAGATATTAGAGAACTTAGTCACCCCTGAGGCGAAAGTGTTCCTCCAGGTCTAAGATTGTGTTCGAGTGTCCCTAGTATTAAATGAATGGAATGCAGATGTTGGAATTCAAGAAGGGATCAGTTTCGAGACGGAAGGATTCTCTACTTTCTAAATCCAAAACACTGATCAGAAACGTTCGACAAAAGATCTTATTGTGTTAAATAGTGCATGGCACTTATGACTAAGGTAGGTATTTTAGGCAACGTTTGGCTTGACACTGGACAGAGCCGAGGCGATGTCAGAAGAACACAGCTGTATGGCACATTACGGATAACTCGCAAGTCTTCTCTAAAGCGTTCTAATTACTTCAGCCTTGCATAATGTGGGACTTAGTCGTACGTCGATTTCTGTTCAAGGAGAGATCTAGGTACTCGTAGGTCGTAGATACGGCCACGCGGCGCGAGGAAATTAATGAAACCAAGGGATGCTTTTACTTGGTAGTATCAGTGCTAGCAAAGTAAGACGAACACATGCTGCAAGTAATTTTTTTGAAAGTATTTGAATCGACTTCGTCCAACAGCTAGGAGTGGGGACTCGGTTGTCTTCCCACATCTATCTCTGCAATATTACTTTGTTTGGACTTGGCAGCACCACGGAGAGGTGCTTGTTCCTGGCTAAGAGAATTCTCGATCTTGGCCCAATATTTTTTTCTGAGCATCCCCTGAATCCAGTAGTCTCCGTTGGCATCGCGGCCCAAAATGGTGAAGATGCTCATCAAGAACGCAGGTGTACCCGCCGTTATCAAGTGCATGTGAACGCCGGTCGGCTTTGCCACAACACGAGGAGCAGCAGGGACATCAGCACGAAGAGAAGCAGACGAGCGCAACTCATGTTCATCTTCCCAGAGTCCATCACAGCCCATCGCGCTCTTCCTTTCGGCGCCATTGCTAGCGCCGCCAGCATCTTCGGATGGCGTCTCAGAAAGAGGAACGCGCTCGTTTTCAAAGAGGCCGTCACAGCCAATCTCATCGACTACCGCGGCGGAGAAGTCCACGTTGAAGAATTCGGCTTTGGTCCAGTTGGTGCATACAACCATATGCATGCCCGCATTGCCGAACAAGGCAGGCAGTCCAGCTTTACCGTTGCCCTTCTTCTTCTTGTTTTCGACGTCTTCGTTAGACTCGTTTCCATGAGCACGCCGCTGTAATGCCAATAGAGCCTCAACCTGCGGCCGCGTGCTGAGTTGCACGATAGCTTCTCTCAGGGCCTTTGCCACACGGCCGAGACCTAGCGGTCCTTTGCTGACAAGGTCCCGCGCTCGCAGTAGAGTAGGGACAGGCAGAATGGCGTTACCAACCAACGCGCCTCTGCCTTGCAAACATCCCGCTTGTGCTAGGACGCCGCGAAGACCCATCATATTCAGGATGGCTATGGTTTTCCGGCTCCTGGTGGGGTTTCGGATGCGTGAGGCAATGATGTTGCGTGTCCACCATGAGCATAAAATGTCGCCGTCGCTCAGGAACGTGGTCTTTGGAGCTACTCGAGACTCGTTGTCTTTGTCTGATACCTGAACGCTTGGTGCATTGATATTGCCGGCCTCGAGAGCTTTCAGTGCATCCTTGCGCAGCGTCTTGACATACGCTGCAGGGACACAAACTGTTCGGAACTCTTCTGCCGCGCTTTTATTTAGGAGCTTGTCCAATGCTTGTCGAAGACCGAGTGTCACAAGTTGCACAACCCCAAGCTGGGCTTTGACGTGCTTGTACTCCTCCGGCGCAGAGCTTGGTACGGTAGCTTTCTCCTCGTCGTCTCTTGGTTTCGTTTGGAGCAACTCAGTGGAGACGCCCAATGATCCAAGGGGATCGGTGTCGATCAAGGGAATAACCTCATTCTGACGTCCCTGTAGGGTGAGAGACCACGCATCCAAGAGATCCTTGAGTCCCATACAGTCCCACATGATGTGCGAGAAGCCTAGCGACACCAACGTCGCATCGTTGAATGTCGTTACTTGCAGACCTATCATCGGTTGGTCATGGTAGAGGTAGTCCTCGAAACACGTAGGATCACTTGGATGTCGCATCAAAGGGGAGAAATCAACGCCGCTGCCTGGCTCCACTATCCACGGACCAGAATCATGGGTTGAATGGGTAGGGGCTGATGGAGATGGTGAGAAAGAAGCCGGTCGTGCTCCATCCTTGGATCTGCTCTGAAGACGAGATGCCAGTGGGTGCTGCCTGATGCTGATGTTGTTGTGACGATTGTGGTGATAGGTAATTGCAGGCCGCTGCTCAGTGAAAGTTGCAGGCACATGCCAATACAACTTATTTGAAGGCTTTATATCCAATGTCAGCCGTGAACGTCAATGGGAATAGACTCATTTCCTAGCTATTTGCATGCGTAGAATATGGGGGACTTACACCCAACCGCACCCTCGCACCCAGCCTACGCCAGCCATCGCGGCGGTCAAGCAGTACCTCCAGAGCTCTTCGCAACTTGGCAGCATCTAGTTGGCGGTCGAAACGCAGCATTACGTTGAGGACGGCATCACGAGAGTGATGGTCCCAGTAGTCGACCGGGATGACCTTATCGGTCAGCACGGCAGGCGGAGCAAATCTTGTCACCTTGCGTCGGAGAATAGACATCTTTTTCCACGCTGATAACCAACAAAATCTTCAATGATCAAACTGAAAAAGCTTCACGTTGTGAATTGGACTGCTCACACAACTGCATTGCTGTCTTCTTCATCACCTGGGACAGCCGTGGCCGAGGCCGGGAGAGCACAGTTGCAATTCAAAATAAAGGACTGTAGACTGGACAGGGGTTTCGGGATCTGCCTGATGATAGTTCCAATCGGAGCACACCTGCGGATGCAGAGATCTAGATAAAGGGACGAAGGATCTAGCTGCATCATGACCGGCTCGCGCTCATCCTTCATGCAAGGTGAGGTAGTATTGATGAACCCCCACAGATGCATTCGGACGACCAGTTTGCCGTGTAAGCGGACAGTGCGAATACATCAAAATGCAGGCCAGGGTGAAGGATCCGATGCTGACAGCTCAGCGAATAAAGCTGATGGAGATCCCGTTCGAGATATCGTACCCCCACACCGGTAGGTTAATCGACAAACACGACCCGAGCCGAGGCGGAGGGATACGGAGGAGGCATCAGGCTAGATCACTGATAAGCCTCCGAGATCACAGACCAAGACCATTGCGCTAAGAGAATGATGTGCTCCTACTGGCTGCCTTATGTCTAGATTCCGGCATTATGTCTCCGATCCATCAGGCTTACGATTGTGAAGCCAGGCCCAAACAAGAATGTGCGAGCGATATTCCAAGACACCTGTCCACTAATCGACCAAGTATTCCGCTTTGCCTGCACTGGGGGCTGAAGAAACGCAACCCATGCGAGAGCAGCAGCAGTACCGATGTAGTAGTCATACCGGAGGAAGTTGAATGCGCCTTCTGCCATCCCATTGATCTGCATCTTACTGTCCCACCTCTGCGGCAGAAAGAAGATGACGGGTTGCCATTGAGGATGTGGCGAGGTCTCGGTAGGCTCTAGCTTGCCACTGGCAGCGAGAATGATGGGGACGAGACCCAAGACATGCATCGAGGCTGAAACTGTCGCAGTAGCTTGGTACAATCTTCGTAAGGCCGACGTGTGACTGCTGGGCTCTTCATCCTTGACTTTGCACTCCTCTCGTCGTTGTGCCCATCTGTGATCTATCAAAGTCATAGCAATCACCTGCACCAAGGCCATCCACGCCGGGAAGTTCTGCCAGACAGCAACAGAAACCTGTCTTGACTGGCCGGTGTGATAAGTGCCTGGCAAACACATGATAGCCGACGGGATCACAAGCCCAATCAGAAGGGAGGCTGGGACAGCTTGGATGGCAGCCATGGTCGGAATCTTCGCTTGGCTTCCTGGGGCGCGAAAAAGCAGAGATACGTAGCAGTATAGGGGCATGACGATAAAGTACCCGGCATACTGTATGGCCAGACCCCAGAGTACGAAAGGGATCAGATCTCTCGTGCGTCGCGTCCGTAAGCTCTCGACCAGCATGACGGCGAAGACGGCTAAGAGAAGCCCCACCCAGTGCCACCCCAAGAGCGACAAACCGGGGGACGAGCCATCAACTGTGGGGATGATGCTGAATTGGAGGTTGGCAAGGTACGAGTCCAAGGGCGGGACTCCTGTGTAGAATGTCAGGAGCGGTGTTTTGTTGTCTGGGAGTAGTGGCGTTGCCGGTGCCCGGCTATCTGTGAAGAGCTGGGCGTGGCCAGAGTTGATCATGAGATTCGAGACCGCGTAGAGTCCAGCTAGAGTGATGAAGGGGAAAACAATGTGTATCAGGGATGATGGCATGATGGCTGTGTCAATTGCTAACCAAGCACGTGTTGAGATGAGGGAATCGAATGGAACGAGAAGCCTGGAACGTTGATGTTGAGATAAAGGCTCTGAGATAGCCAAGCATTGGACACGCAAATCAACATTTATGTAGTAAGAAAGCTCCCTCCTCGATACTTGTGTCCACTGTTGGTCTAGCCTAACAGCATCCTTGTCTAAGACATAACGGTGGCTTGCTTGATCCTGCAAGGATACCCGTTGTTGGGCTTAGTGCTTCCATGAATGATCTGATAGGCACGATCCCCGGCCACTTCAGTGGGACCCCTCCGTCCGATCTTCCTGTTGTACTCGACGTAAGCGTCTGCAAAGTCGAAATCCCGCAGCACCATGGCCAGTATGACTTTCACCTCCAGCAACGCTAGTTCCTGGCCGATGCAGTTCCGTGGGCCCCTCTCAAACGGCCGCCACGCCTCCTTGTCCGCGGGGTATAGCTCGTCTCCAGGAGGGACCAGCCAGCGTTCGGGGATGAAGTCGTCCGGTCTCACCCAGTGCTCCGGTGCCCGATGGATGGCATGGTGCACGCCCCAAAGCATGAAGCCTTCAAGTTGCGTATTATCGGTTTCTGACACCGTGAAGCCTGGACCAGACGCCCGCGTGCTTGATACGGGTGGGTACAGTCGGAGGGCCTCTTTGATGACGGCTGATGTGTATGTTAGCCGATTGAGTAGCTGGGGAGCTTCGGCGATGCGGCTTCCAGTCTCGTCGACAGTGCTGCCTGCTCCAAATACAGTGTCGTTCTCTTCGCGTGCCCTTGACAGACAGGATGGGTGAAGGGAGAGGAGGTGGATGGAGTAGACTGCTGCCGCGGCTGTTGTGTCGTAGCCGGCGAACAGAAACAGCTTCATCTGAGAGACGGCGTACTGCTTGAATTTTGGATCCATGGTCATCTTCTGATGAACATTGCCATTCTTCTTCTCAGAGAGAAGATACGTCTCCAGTGCAAGGTCAACTACAGCCTTGCTTCTTCTCGGAACTGCTGACGTTTTCTCGGACTCGGTCATTCCAAGTTGGGCCTGAGAGCGCATCGCAGCAAAATGAGTCTCAAGCTCGCTCGAGACATACGTGTCCATTCTCCACCGATTGTAGCGATAAACCAAATGCCTCAATGGATTGAATTTCCTAAAGAGATTCGTTTCATTGGGAGATGGGATCCAGTCAGCCTGACTGCGAAACGCTGACACCAGATCACAGCCCTGCCTTTGAGCATTCAGACGGGAGCCTCTGTAAATGCACGTTAGTATTATAGATCGACCAAATCCAAGGCTTTTTTGCTGGACCTCCCGGGAAACTTACAGCGTAGCGAGACAGCTCATATCCATTGTCAAACGCGACATGGTCTCAAACAATGAGAAAACCTCGCCCGCAGCTGCTTTCTCTCGCAGGATCTCATGCAATACCAGCGTGTTCTCAACAAGGCCCGGTACCAGCGTCACGAGATGCGCGGCGTTGAAGCCAGGATTGAACACACCTCGCCAGTACCGCCACTCATCTCCTTCCATTGTGACGAGGCCATGACTTCCAATGAGCGGCTTCAGGAACCCCAGCACGCCCTCATGCTTGGGAAGTTGCGGCTCATGCGCCGTCACGCGAGCCTGGTCGTAACTTGTCGTAATGATCATCAATGGCGGGCCAGTTGGCCACAAGTCCAGATAGAAAACAGCCGGTAGATCAGGATACATCCGTCTAATTTCACCTGCCAGGTAGTGCCCGTGAAAATCGCTCGGAAGGTTATTTGCGATCTTGGCCGCCAGCCCCAGGTGACCGAGTAGGAAGTCGTGCGGAGGCATAGGTAGGCCTTGGCGTTGGAGTCGCTGGAACATGCGGCGGTGGTTGATGAGCTTCACGAAGAAGCGTGTGATCAGAATAGCCCCGACAAGGCCGATGGCCTGCGCAATAGTCCAGGCACGAAGCCTTGACAAGCTCGCGATTCCATACTGGTGTTGCCAATGTTCGACAGTTGTGTTCATCGTAGACATCAGACCTGCGCAAACACATACAGCGTCGGAAATCACTGTCTCGATCGTCGACGTTATCCTAAACTTGTTCAACGTAGTAGCCAAGTTTCCGCTGTCGTTGACCTAAGAGACAAAATTCACATGCCAAAGCTTCCCCTACCATCGAATTGCAAAGATTTCCTTACTCCTTGCAGCGCAACGAGCTTCTTGGGAGTCTATCCCTATTCAACCAGCCGAATGTCGCACAGTGTCAGATGGAACCGAGACCTTGATCCTGTCAGCCAGTGGTGAGCACTAGGCCAGAATGGATTCTTCCGTAGGATTCCCGCTGGCCCGCTGGGAAGGTTTTCCGGCTCGCTGACTGCATGACAATCCCCTCACTAGTGTCGGTTCCTTCACCCCTGCATACTTAGTGATAAGGATTATGCAGAACAGCCAGCCTCACTTCTTGGCGTTTAGCTTCACATCGCTGTGCTGCAGGAAGCCTCTTTTCGTTCTTGATACGGCTGTTCCGAGCCCTGACTCATAGAGGCAACGCCCCGACAGCGGGGTATGTTTGCCATTGAAGTATCACCTGTGGCCGTATTCCCGGCACGGTTAGCAGTAGACCATTCCCAGGCAGCAGTGTTCTATCAGGAGGGATAGGACGTCATTCCGGGGCGAATTTAGATGTCTTCACAGGACAAGGTCCATGTCCCAAGGAGAGGATGTGTCGAATCTACTCAGGTGTGTTCAAGGAACTACACAGAGGTTCCAGTTTCCAGAACAAGGTGGATGCAATCGGTCGCAGAGCAGTTGTGACTCTGTGAAGCCCATACTCTGAATACCACAAACAGTCCTGCAGTATCTGCATATCCTTATGGGTAAAATGGCTCTTCATTTGAGTTTTGTGGATCTACATAGTATCATCGCCTAGTATAATCTTCCAGAGTATGCGAGAAGAAGAGCAAGAATGGCCAAGGACGAAGCTATCATCCAGATACTGTTTCGACGTCTAGAAAATCTCTTACTACTCTCTTCAGTGCCAATCTCTGTGTATGAGACATCCCAATGTTGCCAAATTGGATACTTGCACATCCTCCCGAAATGGATTTGGTTGAAGCTGTTAACAAATCGGATCATCAGTTTCTCGCTTTCTCCTCATTGACCAACTGGGATTAAAGGGAACGATTGACTTACGGACATATCGAGCTATTCCAGCCCCCGGTCTGTATGTAGCCATTATGACAAGTCTGCCAGACTTTATCTAGGGACCTTCTCTGCACATCAGCCGTGTAGCTTTTCTCGGCCTCCGAATGGACTTCAACCGTGCGGGCCTGTCCACTCAGAACCAGCTTGATGAAGTTGAGAGCATATCCGGCCACGTTCTCGCTGGCGAGAATGGCTGATGAATGGCCGCTGACAGAGTTTGGTCCTAAAATCATGAAGAAGTTGGGGAATCCATGGACGGCGGTGCTGAGGTAGGCGCCAGGACCTCCATTTGCCTTCCAAACTTCGTGTAGCAGTACTCCGTTTCTTCCTTGGACTTTTAAGCGATGGAGGTAGGTCGAAGTCTCAAAGCCGTTCGCCAGGATGATGACATCCGCGGACTTCTTGATGGTTTCACCATCCTTTTTCTCGTCGTTATATGTCAAGTGCTGTTGGTCTGGTGGAGGACCCAAAACAACGCTCTGCGATTCGATTGCGACCAGAGGTCTATTTGTAAGTTCCACGTTGGTCAGACTGAGACTTTCCAACCACCCACCATCGACGATGATCCGCCGACACCCAACGCCGAACCGTGGTGTAAGTATATCGTGATATCTGGGAGGTACGGTCTTACGCAGATGGACGAGAAGTCTTTGCTCAAACCACTGTCGCCGCTTCTTTCCGAACCAGCCCATACCGACATTGAGCCACGTCGACTCAGCGTACAGGAAGAGACAGAGCCGGAGGAACAGTCCTAGTCCGGGTACAGTTCTAAGCAGTATGGAAACAATCTCCATCAAACGCGGAGGAGGCTTCTCAGGTCGAGGCATGACCCATGGCGGTGCTCTCATAAGCTGCGTGATTGACTTTGCAGCAATCGGCGGGCTTGCCAGTGCCGGAACGAGCTGTGCTGCAGTACATCCCGCTCCGATCACGACGACATCTTTTCCCGTCAAGGAAACGTCGTCGTTCCATCGCGCCGTGTGGAATACCTGCCCTTGGAAAGAGGTGATTCCCGGGACATGCTGCGGCCAGATGTTGGGCTCGACGAGTTCGCCGGCGCAAGTGACGAGCACCTTACACCGAAGAATTTTGTCTGCTGCTTGTTCGTTCTGATGAATGGAAGGGGTCACTTTGACCTCCCACTCAGCGTCTTCGTCAACCCATCGGGCACTTGACACCTCTGTGTCGAGCTGAATGTTGCTCCGGATGTCAAGCTTATCGCAAACACCGTCCAAGTACTGCTGGATTTCTTGGCCAGGGGGAAATAGAGTTGTCCACTCATAGTTCGGTGCGAAAGAATAAGAGTAGAAAATCGCCGGGCTGGATCAACAGTCAGACCAGACGTCACGGTAGGAGGAGGCCAATGATCTCTGACCCCCAACACACTGATTGCACTCACATATCGCAGGCTACTCCCGGGTACCTGTTGGTGTACCATGCTCCCCCAACGCCGCCTTGTCGGTCGAAAATTCGAAAGTCGTTGGTGCCCAGTTTGGTTTTGAGCATACATCCCACGGCAATTCCGGATTCCCCAGCACCGATGACTATGACTGAGTAACGATCTCGCATGTTGGCCGAAGCTGAGTTCTTCATTATGGTCATCTAGGATTTCCTTGGACTCCCCAGAATCCGTTTGGCAACGATGTGATGTTGATTCCTTCGACCACTTTGAAAGCACCATACCGGCATTCTTCGTTGATCAGATTCTGTCTTATCTAGACCTATCGATCATCACCAATCACGCCTGCAGCAAATTGGTTCTAGGCTCTGCATAAGCTGACACAGTGCATCATAAAGCCGCATTACGTGACTGACGTTGCGGGCCCAACTTGGCTGTGCTCACTATGGATGCAGAATTGTAGACTAGTATCGTTGTCTTAGGCAGCAGAAGTACTAGCATAGCCGCTGACCGAGCTGCAGACATATCCACATCCAATACACCCATGTCAGCTACTATCTTTGTTGACGTTGACAACATTTTGTGGTTGCTTGCATCATGGCAGTCTCTCCATTATCCCCCGCTGGACCGGGATTACCATGCATAGAGGCATCCATGGTTCATCTCAAGTATGTATGACAGACTCGGATCGGATTTTCGGCAAGTTCATTTCCAATGCCTGATTGGCAAGGCTGATAGCGTTGTCGTACTCACAAGTCCTCCAAGAGACATGGTTTGCTCGGCTACAGTCTTGCCATGAGACATGGGTGACATCCTGTGCCACTCGGAACGGTTCGGTCACTTTTGACACAGTCAAAATCCTGCTATGAGTTCTGACAGGGGATATGTTCCTTCCAGATCCAGAGGACAGGGTGCTTCCAACTAACAAACAAATGGTCATGATCACATGCAGCCAGGGTACCACTATCAAGCTTACCTTAGCTACGTCTGGGCGGGATGCTGTATATGGGCAAGTTCGCAGCGTTTGGTAGCGTAATGACGGCGAACATCAACTGAAGCATAGGGAAATCGCTGTCAATGGAGTTCGCTCACATTTTCGGGGAACCACGGCAACCATCTAACATTACGGGAATCTCAACTTCCACCATGGCTGATCAGAATGTTCCATTTACCATCGAGATCATACCATTTCTACGGAGGTTAAGTTCCCACTCGATAATTCGATCGTTGAACAGTGTCCTGCTGATTATCTTTGGTGTATGCATTTGCACCTATGTCTTTACAACTTACCGATTCTACCTAAGCAGCCAAAAGAATCGTCAGTTTCGAGGAAATGAGCCACCAACCTTGGCATATTCGCTACCATGGGTTGGCAACGGCATCGAGATGATTAGAGATCCTCACAAATTCTACGAGAAAACGCTGTAGGTTCCTGTATACTTACCAAACGGTAATCTCCTGGTAGATGTACTAATCAAGATTGCCGTAACAAAGAGCCAAAAGACCAACAAAAGGTCCAGTGACCATGCGCCTCGGCCCAATTTCCATGTATCTGGTCATGGGCGCCTCGAATATCCAAGCAATCTTTCGGCAGTCTAGCAGCCTCTCGTTCGAATTCATGCAGCTGCGCATAGCACATAAGGTCAAGGGCCTCCCAGCGAGCGACGCTACCCTCTTGGGAATGGACGACTCGGGAGCTGGCACTCTCAACCAGTCTGAGACCGGCGTAACGGGCAAAGGACGCATCTGGCATATACTCCATGGCATCTACCTGAAGAATTTGACAGAAAAGTCTGCCGTGGATTTCTTGACGGCAAAATTTGTCTTTGAGTTCTCCGAGCAGCTCAAGACTTGTCCACAAGGCGCTTCGACCCCAGCGGTCATCGGTCTGTACGACTTCCTCCAGACGTATCAGTTTGCTGCATCAACAATCACGCTAGTCGGTCCGCGAATCCTCAAAAAAGGCTCATTGGAAGCCAAGACATTCTGGGACTACGATGCGGCCTTCATGACCCTGATGCAAGGGCTGCCGAAACTAGCATGCCGCAAAGGCTGGGCGGCGCGGGACCGCACTCTTGAGGCTACCAAGGACTGGCTCGCGGCGGCAACTGCTGGCTGTCCTGCGGACAGCGACCTTGATTGGGAAGAAAACTTTGGTCATAGACTTGTTCGTGAGAGGAATGCTGCTCTAGTTGACTATGGCATCAGTTTTGAGGGACGGGCAGCAATGCACATGGGTCTGATATGGGCGTACGTGACACCCCCCACCCCCCCCTTTCTTTTGCAACTCACTGCCAGTTTCACATTTCTCTGGATATTCATCTTTTCCCACTGCTAACGCTGATCGTTGAACAGAATCAACGCCAACGCCGTTCCGATGACCGCGTATATGTTGTTCGAGATGGTCCGAGATCCTCAGCTCCTTCAGCAAATCCGCGCCGAGGTCAAGACCGCCATGGTGGTCGGTACGAATACAGCATCAATACTCGATATCGATATCAACAAGCTTTCAACTCTCCCTTTGCTGAACTCTGTGTACAACGAGTGCTTGCGCCTCCGCTCCAGTATCCCTATTTCGCGGCGACTGAGGCAGGACATCGAGATTGACGGGTACACGCTCAAGAAGGACAACTTTATCCTGGCGCCCAGCTGGCTCTCACACATTGACGAGACTGTTTGGGCGTTTCCAGGTCACCCGGCGCGCGACTTCTGGGCCGAGCGTTTCCTGCAACCAGAAATGCGCAAAGTCAAGCTGGGCGACTATTGCCCGTACGGAGGCGGTAGCGTCATCTGTCCCGGGCGATTCTTCGCCAAGCACGAGATTCTGGCGGCGGTGGCGATGATGGTCACTACATTCGATATGGAATTTGTGCGCTGGTCACGTCTAGATGGGTCGCCAGCAGACAGAGGTCCCGGCATGGACAAGGCAGAGTGTCGAGGTGTCGTAAGTCTCGACAGAGATGTCATTGTGAAGATGCAGAAGCGGAAGCTGATATAAGCGGCTTGTCGTTTTATCCGAGTATACTTAGTCGCGGCTTTTCAAAGACATTTTCTCTCGAATTAAGCTCCTGATTGCCAAATTTGAACGGGAAATTTGCCTGTCACGACTACCTAGATCGCGTCGTGTCTGCGACTGCCTGTGATGTTTGATCCGAAGCCCTACTGTTTATTGTCGCAATCCTTGCATGTAAGCTGGTGATTTGCCCTATGATTGGCTTGAGGGACTGACTTGGTGTCAATCCGCGCCATAATGCCAGTGAAAATTCTAGGAGCACAACTTATACTCCTATCTAGACTCGGAAATCTGGAAGGTCACGGGGCGGTAGACCAGGTAAGAAGTCGGTACACACACAGTCTTCCTTCCTGAGTTTGTCACTGGTATCTCTATTTCCAAGGTTCAACTCCCTTCATACACCTAACACCTTCCATCCTCGTTTGAAAAAATGACACATCAAACATACACTGAATTGCTATGAAGATTTAAGCTTACGGCCCGGCCGTCTCAGCTTTTGGCATTACCATCATACCACTACCTACGGACGGTCAACTTCATGTGCTTGAAAACTAGTATTTGTCATTACTTCTTCAATGAAAGAAGTGGCGGAATTCGCGTGTTGTATCATTGGTTCCAGTTCGTACCTCCTTTATGTGAACATTGCCATGGAATGATCCGAAATACCTTCAATCGCGACGCAAGTCACGCTCAGGCGCAAGCGACTCATTCCGAAGCCCCAGATTTTGAACCAGTCAGTTCAATTGGTAGCAGGATTCCGGTCTGAGGAAGCTGTAGTCCTCGTGCGGGATTCTGATGATGATGTCTGTATGGACAGGCTTCGATGAGCAAGCTCCTCAAGATAGTCAGACTATAGCAGGCTGATGGAGGTCATAAAGAAAGCTCATGAACACTTAGCAGGTCATGAACCAGTGGCAGAGGTCCTTCAGTCATCCGGCCGGGGGCAGTTCCACTACAGCGGCTTGAACCTTTTCTCTAACTACGCCAATAATATTTACAATGGCGTAGGTATTATCGACCAGACGAAAAAGGTCCTGGTCAGTAACTCAGTGAACACACTTGCAGGTTGCTTCATCCTAATATTGCGTCTCAATCCCAAAACAGCCCAGTGGTGGCCAGACCCTATTGTCTCTGGTCGTCTCAGCTTCCTTCTCATTATTCATTGACCGGTTCGGCCGAAGACCACCATTCCTCGCAGCCACCATGGGAATGCTGCTTATGTACATAGGATGGACGATCATCAGCCATGTTCCCAATCCGAGCGGACACATAACCTCGCACGATGCGGCTACCTGCAAATCACCTTCATCTGGCTCTTCAGTCTCTCCTATCAGATCGCGTGGACCAGGGTCGTGGCGGCGTATGCGTTAGAGATCATGCCGCACAGTCTTAGAGTAAAGGCCGGAGTTATGTCAATGATTGGTTTCAAGGGATTGGTCTTCCTTGGAAGGTGAGTTCGGACAGCCCTAGTCTGCGCTCTCCCCAAGAGTGAGGCTCACACGTCGTCTAGCTACACAAACCCCATCGCACGGGATAACTTCATAGCAGCCGGTCACGACTGGGTACTAGCGATTTTTTACACAGTGAGTGACCTCTGTCCTGTAATGTGCTCTAAAGTCTCGACTGATCCATTGGTAAGATCTAGGACTTCTGCTAACTTTTATTTGTGTACCTCCTCTTTCCTTAGACAAAGAATCTCACCCTCGAGGAAGTCGCCAAGGTTTTCGACGGCGATGAGGCAAAAGTTGCAAGAATGGACATAGAAGATGTCAAGTATCAATTAGTGGAAGACGGGAAAAGTCAAAGCCATGTCGAAGTCATCGTCCTTTGATTGAATCATGAGCTTCAATCATCCGGTTGCGGTTGGACTGCATGGGCGCCTATGGAGCAACAATAAACGCAATATTCAAAAGTTTATGAAAACAGGGCAACAATGGCAGCTTCTTGAAGGCTTTGCTAGGTTCCTCATAGAGTAAGAACATATTCATCATTGTCTGCAGTCGAAAGACGAGCTGACTGTCTCGTGGCACCGAAGCCTACGCCAGACTTGGAGATATCCGGAAACCGAGGAAACTTTACAAAGCACCAGCCTAACTGATTTAGACTTAAGCGCAAATCCACACACTACGGCCATAGGGATTCTCAGAGGCCTAAGGAATTGCAACGGGCATTGTGTCCCTCAATGGTAGCAGCATTCCCTGGTTCGGGCCAGACCTAGACCTTCGGGCCGTGGCCTGGATCGCGGGGGAGAGATGGATGACACTTGCAAACCGAGGAATGTTCCGGTCTTCTGAAAGGGGCAAAAAGACCTTTAGAAGATCGCAAAAGGAATAGAAAACAAGCTTCCTTAGCCCCGACCCTTAATAACCGCCGGGAGCCCGATCGCCGAGCAGCCTTCGTCCGTCAAACTAATAACCGGCCAACCGCAAACGGCACACACATCTTCTCGCTTTCGCCAACACACCAACGTCCACAGGGCACAAGAGGCAACAAGCCTCTGGAGATCCCGTGTGGAACACCATTCGTCCGTACACACATAGCATCCGTAAGCCTCAAGCAACCCTCCATCGCATCTCACATTGGTCAGCTGTGGTGAATGTGGTCGTACACTAACGCTGGACCGAACCCAGGTCCCCCCCCCGCATTATAAGCATGTCTTTGACGGCCGGCCGAATGCAGCCGCGCCCGCCTCGCCCCGTCACACCCGGAAACGGCGCTGCACTCGAGAAGACGGTCCGGTGTCCAGCCCGCCTCTTGCGTAGCCTTGCGTTGCAAACCAATCATTTCTTTCCCTCGCGGAACCGATGCGATTGGGGGTTAGCTCCGTGGCTTGAGGCTCCGGGGATTCGGGTTAGTGAGCTCTGCTCTGGTCTCGATCTTCTTGAAGAGGCGGCGGCAGTGAGACATTAGGCAAGGAAAGAATGTCTCGGATAGGCTGTCTTGGACGGCCAGATTTCGTCAACCGAAAGGATGAACTAAAGAGTTTGGAGGAGGGGCAAAGGTTATGCTAGATGCCAAGCAAGCCGCTGTGAAGGGAATAAATACGGACGTTGCGTCCTCTCCTCGGGTCCAAAAATGATTCACACTATAACAGCTCTTCATCAACGGTCTTGAGCAAGCACCGACAAAGTCAGCCTCACATCGAGTCTCTGCAAACCACCCGGCTCATTAGCAATCTTTCTCACCCTACCTCAACCCAACAGACTATCACAATGCACTTCTCTACCCTCCTCGCCGGCCTCGCCGCCTTCTCAGTGTCCTCAGCAGCACCCACGCCCGGAAGCTTCGTACCCTTTGGCAACCTCCCCTCCCAGTCCAGCACAGGCACAAGCATCCTCGCCAATCTCAACACGGTCCAAACCTCCATACAGACGCTCATCACTACCCTCAACAGCCTCGACTACACCAACGCGCTCAGCCTAGGCAACGTCGCCACGGTCCCCAATGTCCTCCTAAACACCATCGGCCTCCAATCTGCCTCCTCAAGCGCCCTCCTCAACGCAAAGGCCCTAACCCTGCCCCTCAACGTGTCCGACTCGTCCGCCATCGTCCAAAAGCTCACAAACGACATCCTACCCGCCCTCAAGACGGCCACGGACTTGCTCACCAAGGCCAAGACGTCCGGCATCCTCGCGTCCCTCAACCCGCTCGGACAGACCGACTACCTCAAGCTGATCCAGGCCAACTTTGCTGGACTCGGCCCCGCACTGTCGAGTTACGTTGATTCTTCTTCTCAACCCGGTCTCACCAGCATTACCGCTACTCTCCAGAACCTTTTGCGCGCCACCGTTAACGTTTACACTACCTAAGTGGCTTCAAGATACGAATGACACGTAAAAAAGAAACGAGCCAATGGTAATGAACCTTTGATTCGAATGGATAATGATTGGATACGGCTGGGAAAATACAAGATTGGATTGCGCAGAACTTTACATGTTCTTTGGCCAGCTTCTTTAGTGCTATGCTTTAGCTATTATAAGAGCTAGTTTGATTGCTACTCTGGTATAACATTTAATTCTAATAAGTTTCCCTTCGCCTCATATCTTCCCTCTTAGTACGGTATCTTACCCCGGGAGCGTGTGGTAGCACCTGCGACATTGGTAAATAAACACTGCATTATCGAAGAAAACGAAGTGAGTTGAGGAAAACATATCTCCATAGACTCATTGAGTAAGCCAAACCACCTTAATCGCGCGGCTGAGAAACGAGACATTATGAGTTTAGTCGGTGCAACGTTTCACAGAATCCATTATTTCAATGTTAGTTCGGACTCATCCAGAAGTGACAGGAGGTAGTCCTATGCAGGTTCATTTCCCGACCTTCTCTAGTGTATTCTCATACCTGCTTTGTTCATGTACCTAGTCCCAATCCACAAACTAGGACTTGAAAGAATATTAGAGAGAAGCAGACCGCATCTGAATATAAGAGCATAGGTGTTCATTTCGGACCCATTCCGTTGCCCAACAAAGTTGATGTGCCCTGTAGGGCTGGCAGTTGAAGGAATTTCCATGCGAAATGAAATGGGTATACTCGGCTCTCCCACATCCTGCGACGACTGCGACAATGACTGAGTGAACAACAGAGCTTGAGTCAAGCTCCTTCGTCAGCATGGGCGTAGGGTCTGTTTTGATGCTCCGTAGCAAGATGCTACGCCAGGCTTTGTACAACCATGAGCCGTTACGTAGCTGTATGCTGGCGAAGTAGCGAGATACCCAAGGTATTTGCAGAAGGACTTGACTGCGTAAATTCCGGTTTGAATTGATTTCCTGGAGCCGTATGCGAGAGAAAGATTTGGGCAGCAACTCTGCTCCGTCGTTCACATATATTCTCAGCAAAGGTCAAACGAGCGATCCTATCCGCATGTCTGGACTCACTGCGAGGCTGTGGCAGATATGCTAGTGAAAGCTATTCAAGATAGCCAAGCGCATCCGGTTTTGCAGTCACGGTGAAACGATGGCAAGTGTATAAAACCCGAGAATGAGACGGGCATTACGGGCGGCACGGTGGAATTCAAAGCTCTAAGACCATGGCCCAGTAATTCGAATACTTGAGAACTTTGGGCGAACTCCACAAAGAAAGCGAGGGACTGGACAAATGGCTGTCGTTGTCAACACTGGTGCTCCCAGCCATGACCTCTTAAGCTCATTCGAATGAACTGGGCTATCTCGGGGGTGAATCACAGCCAATTCCCCCAGCGAGCACCATCGCTGGCGGGCAAGGCATCGACCTTGAAATTAATCAAGGGTTGAGTCGGCGACTGGGCGAGGGGAAGATAAATAGCATATACTCTGATTCTCCTAAAATCCTCAGAGGTGGACAGTGAAAATCGATCAAGTGCCGATGTGGTTACTGGGTTTCTCTTGGCGCGCGGGGCGGTGGTGTGTTTAGCTCTGCGCTGCTGCACAAAGGTTGCAATAGCCGTCGTTGGCGGTGGAAGGGTCTTTGTCTGCTGGGTCGTTCCAACAAAAAGTCTTGGAACAAAAAGTCCCGAGTCTTTTTTGATAACTTCTTTCTCGCCAGCCGCAGAGAGCTGGGAATGTCCTCCTGCACGCGGTCGCCGCCCGTTTTTCTTGGTGATGGACCGGATAAGTACCATTTCGTCATTTTGGTAGGGGACAAGCTCCGAACCGTCAACAGAGGGGGCTAAATTTGATTGCGGATTGCGGAAATGAAAGATTGTGTTTTTCCTATCTCCAATTGACCATGGGTAGCGAAGTCGGCATGCCGTTTGATGCCCAGGTCCATTGAATCGGTCGGTGCCTGTGGTGAGGAACCGCGACGCTGTGCCTGTGGAACTACAGACAGGGCCGGCCTCATCTGAACGTCGACCGGAGCCGTGGAGGGGAACTCGGAGGCCCGATTCAGGGGAGGGCATGGGTTCTGATGTCAAGCACCTAGAGGTAGCGAGACGGAACCTCAAGACGGCTAAGACGGTGGCCAGAAGGGGGCCATCGGAGGACAAGACCAGCAGAGCTTGGCGAGAGAAGAACACCGGATACGCGGAGATGTTGGGAGAGTGCCACAATGCTGGGCAGAAGGCTTGGCCTTTGGAGTCTGAAGGAGACGGCGTGCCCGAGAGGAGTGACTTTTGAAGCGGAGGCCTCTGGCGGAGACGCAGGAAGATCTTGCACGCTTCCTGGAGGACCCAACCCCCGCTTTTCCTTTCCATCCGGTGGCTCTCTTGCGATCTTGGCGGAAAGTTGACTGTGGATCTTGGCGGAGAGTCGCAGACTTGTCCAGTGCGAGAATGTTGCACACCACTGCAAGCCGTGACTTGCGTCAGTTTCCTGCTGCATCCTGCTGCACCGCTTCGTTCCGTTTTCGACAACGGTGCTGCCCAGAACCTCCCCGTCCCTTGCCCCTCAGACGTTGGCAACGGAACGATGGACTCTCGAGGTTAGAGAGACAGTGGGTGCTCGAGCGGTCGACTTTTTGCGAAGGGACGAGTGATCAAATTTGTCGATGACAAGAGAAGGTCTAGAAGTTGTGCATCATCTCAGCCGGCGCGCCCCGAAAGGCCAGGATCACGGCCTTGGAGCTGGAAGGAAAAAAAAAGAAGAATATCAATCATTCTCTGGCAGGCGGTGCAGCAGAGCGGCGAGGCCCTCATCAACAAAATAGTCTTCTTCTCCGCTTGGCAGGCATGTCTCAGACGTTGAGTGAAGGTGCTGATGATGGGCACCACTCCAACCTCCCTGTTGTCACACCCATCACCCACACTATCTAGTGCGTGGCTGACTCTCCACCGCTTCTTGAAGTGACAGTCATGGAGGGATTTGCGACTGCGCATCGTTCCATGAGACAGGGTGTAGCTGATTGTCGTGGTATTATCAGGTAGTAGCCCTGCTGGCGGGCGTGTCTTTGTATTTTTGCATGGCGTGGTATCTGGAGGAGCCGCAAGAAGCTGAATGGACGTCTCCAAGGGCGCTTTAAACCAATACGTGATGGTTTCGGTTTCTGGCGACGTTTTTCTCCTGGGAAGCCTGGGAAGGCGAGCTTTGCTAGAAGAGGTCGTACCGGAAACGATGGAAGAAGGGGTCGCAAAGTCGTGAATCCGAGAGAAAATGACCAGCAGCTAGACGGAACGGAAGCAAAGGCACGAAGTGGGATCCATCGGTCGTTGTCCCACGCATGGCTCTGGCACACTGGGGCGGTGATGATTGGCCGGGACAGAAAGCGACGCCATTTGGGGCGTGGCGGCTGGGCGAGGTTGAAGGATGATTGGACGGGGTGTGGTCTTGGAAGCACACGACCGGGCCCCTGTTGTATTGTACGGCCCACCCCTCCATGGGCATTTCCTCTGCAGAGGCCCAAAGGCGGGACTCCGGGAGGGCGTAGGCTGGGTGGTGGGCGGATTTGATGACAGACCGGGATGGAGAGCGACCTGAAGCTATCATCCGCATGCTGGGGACTGTGCTTGGCCGACGAACGTGATTTACTTTGAACACAGGATTAGATAGTCGTTGGAGCAAATGATATGGATAGTGGCGATGATGTTGGAGGTGAATAGAATTGCCTGGATTGCGGCGCTGGAGCTGGAGTTGCGAAAGATGAGAAAGGTGCAAAGTGACAATGGCGGCCGTTCAGAAGATCAGACGCTCAGACGCTCAGACGCTCAGACGGTTGAAGCTTGTCAGCTAAGAGACGTACCTGGAGTGGGAGGTTGAATGCCGGGTGTTCCTAGCCCTGAGAAAGGTACGTGCCCGAAAGGTACGTACCCGAGTACGTCTGGTGTGAGCCGTTCGTTAAATTTTCCCGAAGGGGTGCCACCTTACGGTACATAGGTAGGTAAGGCAGGGACGGGACGGAAGTACTCGAAGACATGAATCATAGCCAAAAGGTACTTGGACCGGAAAGCGGGACGGTCGATTATCTATCGAATCATGGCGCCCCAATTCAGCCAGCCGCTTGGCGTAGCGGGGCATCTGGTGACGCTAGTCCAATGACAACGGCCGGCTTTCCTCCTCTCGCCGGCCCATCTCCCATCTCGCCTTCCATGTTGTGTTTCGTTTGTTGGATTTTGGGCAGTTGCATTGCTCAGTTTCTTGCCATCCGACCCAGCCAAGGTAAGGTAGACTTACCTCTGGTAATTATTGGGAAAGAAAGAGAGGCACTGAAAAGAGGCCCCTCCTTTCCCTTGGCAGGTTGGCCCTCGTGAAAGCTTGGCATTTGTGCTTGGCGCGGTGTCTGGAGCGGGTTGGTGGAACCCGCTTCAAGGGAAGCTCGGCTGATGATTGGATAATACACCTCTCGTTACCTTATCCAGGTCGGTCTGTGGCTCCAGTTTTTTCTTTCCCCCGGCCACGTTCGAGTTGGATGCCACGATGGGGTGCGCAATGCCCCGTACAGAGTAAGGTAGTGATGCTCCCATTCAACGCCTGTTCAACGTACCTTACACAAAGTACAAGCCTACAAGGAGACGGCACTGACTGTACAAGGCAAACAAGCAAGCCGCTTCAGATCAGGTTTTTCCTTCGGCGCGTTTTTGGCTGGTCTGCTGTTCCATCTCCATGTTCCTGAATGGACTCGGATTCGCTCATCTTTGGCTCTCTCTGCACCTATCTGCCATTTTTCTTGATTCTGGTTCTGGTTCTGGTCCTGGTCCTGATCCTGTCTCTACATCTTCTGGGCCATGATCCATCGGTCCTCTTATTCCAATCCCAGCCGTGTTCCAATTTCCCTTCACCCATGGGCCATTGCCCATTTCCCCATCACATCCATCGTCATCTCCATCCCCTTCCCCATTCCATCTGCCCATAGGCCCATTGTCGACCTTTTCCAGATGAACAAGAGACCGGAAATCCGCCGATAGTCTCCCCCTTCGTCTTCCACCAACCGGACACCAGACCAGCCTGATAAACTCAACCCTTTTCACCAATTTCTCCTCCGTCAACGACTCAAGAGGCGGCGGGAAAGAAAGGCAGCCCCAGAACCTTGACCACCCTATCCTACCTTACTACGTACGGATACTCTATACAGTATCTGGACCACACCAGGCGAAAAGCCACGGCGCTCCGGCCACCGGGTGCCAACCTTCTTTCAAGCTCCAGTTCCTCTCATACGCCAGAGATCCCAAGGATCCCAAGGTCCCTCCTAGCCTGCCAGCCTGCCAACCCAACTTCCCTCTGATCGAACAGGGGACCCCCCTCCCCCTCCCCTCCCCTCCATCCACAGATTCCACACCCACCAAGCAGTTTAGGATCGGAAAAGACGTTGCCGTCGCATTGGAACAAGTGAACGAAAGAGAAAAAAAAAAAAAAAACAATTGCTCAGTGTGCTTAGCCCTTAGCCTCCGCCATTCCACTCTCTGTGACGTCGATTGGCAAAAGAAACACCACCGCTACTGTACCTCTGGTAGCCAGCACCAGGCATCGTCAACACCACCGTCAGCTAAATCTCTCCACCTCAACTCCGCCTTTTCCTTCTCGACAACAGCACGACGACCTGCTATCATCGCCGCTAGCCACAAACCGCGAACCGCGAGGCTCAAGCCATTCATCTACAAAACACATATCTCTACGCGCCCAGCATAAGTATCTGTACATCACCAGTTGCGCCGCACCCGGTATCGACCCATACCGCATATCGCGCAGTTCGCGACGACGACAACGACGACAACCTCGATTCCGGCCCGGACGCGAACAACGTACGCTCTCCCCGCTTCACCACCACGACGTCGACACCATTTCGCAACCCCTCCCCGTCGAGGGACGACGCCACGACCGCCGACCCGGTCGACTCCAACTCGATTCCCCTCAACAATCTCGAACCAGCTGCCTCGAATACGCCATCACGACGGCCCGATAACACCCCGTCTCCTCGTGAGGCACCGGGTCAGCCGACGAGGACTTCCTCTCCCGAAGCCAAGGGGTCCAAACCCCTCGTCTCCTCGTCCATGGCTTTTTTGACCAAGAACATCTGGCCCAAAGATGGGAGGAACCGCTCCCATGTTCCGGCCATGCCGGTCTGGATTGCCGTCGTGAGGATCGCACAGCTCGTAAGGACACTGCTCCCCGGCCCAACAACACCAGCAATCGGTTCCCGTGTCGACACGACGCGGGGGACAGCCTGCTGTGCGAACATGATGTTGACGTTTGTGGTGTCTTACCTAGGTCCTCGCCATTGCGACGCTAGGAATAACAGTCTATGGGCTCACCACCATGCAAATGGCTACGGGCTATCGCAGGATAACGGTATGCTGCACAATTCCTTGGTCTCCAGCACGGCTTGGTCTTGGCGCCTGCCCTTTTGATTGACTCTTACTGACTGTTTGCGTTTTACGATGCAGTCCTTCAGCGGTACAGAGGGTTTCCGTACGTAACACCACCGCCCCGCCTCTTTCCCCCGCCCCCCATCTCGTGTCTCATTACTAACGTTGCGCATAGCTTTTTCATGGTTTGCTTTCGCCTGGACCTTCTCCTATTTGACATGGCTGGGCGTAGCCGTCATGTTCATTCCGGTCATGTACAACTGCTGGGTGCATCTGTAGGAACCCCCCCTCCCTTCACGAGTTTCACAGAGTGCCCTTACTGACTTGTGTGCGCAGTGGTCTTGAACTCCTCACCGTCGTCTTCTGGTTGATCACCATGGCCCTGCTTGCCAGTCACGCAGATGATCTTGACTCTCTCGACGCCTTCATTGTGACATTCGGCCCCAAATATGAGGTGTACTACAAGATGAATGTCGAGCCGTTTGCCGACGGCTTCGTCGGCGCAACCTTTGCCGGAACCGCGACGTCCGTTATCAACTTTGTGCTCTTCATAATCACCATCACTGTGTTCGGTGCGTTATTGCTCTTGTGGACTAGACACCTGGCAGACTGCCCGGATGGAATGCAGAACTTCCAACTGACCATGGCAGGCCGGGCTCTTCATGCGTTACGCAAAGCAAACTTGGAAAAGGCCCCTAGCACCACCGATTCGCAAAAGACCATCCAGGCCGAAGGAGACAAGATGGTCGCGTCGCCGCAAATGACCTCCGCTGTCCCTACGTACATCCACTGGAACACCCAGTACCCACCTCCCCAGCATCCCCACGCATACGCCTACTACGGCCAGCCGTACGCACAGTCACCGCACTCGCAAACGAACACGTCCCCGCCGAACTCTGTGCCACCGCATGGCTTCCAACCGGCATACTTTCCCAACAGCCAGTGGCCTCCACAGCCGCCCCAACAGCAGCCGCCCCCCGAAGGCGGCGTCTGGCCAGCCCAGAATTACGGAATGTACCAGCAGCAGGTGCCTATCGGACCACAGCACACCGGTCAGTCTGGCAGCAGCATGGGCTCGCCTCAGTTCCCCATGGTCCAGCCTATGCCGGCCAGCAAGGCGGACCTCCCAGGCGTTTACCCAACACCGCCACCGGGAAGCGCAACGGTAGGGCCCGGATACCCGTCACAGCAGTCACCACCTCCGCCGCCTCCGCAGCCCGGCACTGTATACTCTCCGGTAGAGTTGAATGATGGACGAGGGGACGAGAACATGCCGGCAGAGCTACCCAACAACCCCCCAAGGTCACCCAGATGAGCGCGTCTGCCATTCACACCAAAACCGAAGAAAGCGGAATTCGCCTCGGGGGGATATACAGGGTATACGGAGTAATGATTTTTGAGATTTTACGGCGTTTTGTGTTTTCGCACGCGACAAGACACATGCATAGAGAATGGCGTTTTGGATGGTTCGGCGCAACCAGCCCTCATGCTCGGATAGCATCGCATGACTGGGATTTGATCGTATTGACTTCTCAGCCCACCATTATTTGGGCCAACTATCACGACGAACGGGACGGGGCAAACCACGGCCATAAAAGCAATGGGACGTGAGACCCCGATTCTTGCGCATGGTCTATCATGGTTGTATTTTTAGCTAGACGTCCATCCCCTTGGCGGGATGTACGGTTCATGTTTGCTCAATTCATGAGGCCCCCGATGTATGGATCGATCGGGAGGACCATTTTGAAGCACTGCATTGCATCTATTTCACTTCATCGTTCCACCTTGTCCCTCATGAGTATTAGTGATGTGGATGGTCTACTAGACATGGTAAGTGTGTGGACAATACTACATCAAGCGGGTATCAGGAATCCAAAATCATTCAAGCAGAAATGCAGTGGTATCTCGTTACAATGTCAAGAATACTACGCTCGGCTTCTTAGTACACGTAGCGGAAGTAGGGATTCTCCTTGTCCGTCAGATCCTGAAAGGCAAGCTTAGCCCGCTCCTCCCCATCAATGGGCAGCGCATCGCGGCGCTTGTTCTCACTCCAGAGCACGTAGTACAGCGCGCCTGACGCGACGATGCAAATCACGTAGCAGATGATGAGCCCGAGCCATAGCTCCGGGTAATGCGCTGCTTTGCTCTGCGACTTTACGAGTTGCGGACCGACAATGTTGCCAACACAATAGGCCGCAAAGATGGTGCCGGCCATGAAGCTCTTTTTGGTGTGGCCGGCAACGTTGGACATGCCGAGGGTGATGATGAGGCTGACGACGCCGCCAAAGAAGCCCGTGATGGAGTAGCCCACCACGGGTGCGGGCGCGTGGTGCATCCAGGCGGAGCGCCAGACGAGGGCGCAGCCGGCGATGACGGGGAGGCAGCAGGCGACGAGCATGATGATGCGGACGTTGCGGAGGCGGGTGCCGAGATAACCTGTCGCGAGGATGACGAGGAAGCAGAGGCCGCCGAGGGGGAACTGGAAGAGGATGGACTCGAGGGAGGTCCAGCCAAAGGTCGAGACGATGAGGGGCCCAAAGCCGGAGACGGCGCCGTTCATTGTGTAGGCCGAGGCCATCATCAGCGCGACGAGCCAGGTTTTGACGTCGAGGAGGGCCTCGCGGAGCTGGCGGGGTTTAAAGGTCGTGCAGCGGACGCCCGTCTGGCCGACGCGGAGGCGTTCCACGGCGGCGACGCGCTCCTCGCGGGTGAGGAACCAGGCCGAGACGGGGGAGTCGGGGAGGAGGAAGCAAAAGGCGCCAAAGAGGAAGGTCAGGCAGCCGGCGAGGAGGTAGATGGACTGCCACGGGCGGAGGGCGGCGCCGCCGCCGCGGACCTGGGCAAAGGCGTAGTTGAGGGCGCCGCCGATGATGGTGAAGAGTCCCGTGGCGCTGAACCACCAGCTCTGGCGGAGGGACTGCTCGGCCTGGGTGTAGTGGCCCGAAACGATGCACATGAAGCCCGTGGGGATGACGCTCTCGACGAAGCCGAGGGCGAAGCGCTGGGCGTAGAGACCCCCGTGGGAGGTGACGGCGGCGGTGAGCATGCAGATGGCGGACCAGAGGATGACGATTGTGCCGAGGGTGCGGCCTTGGGGGAGGCGTTGGAGGGCGTAGGTCATGGGGTAGAGGCCGGCGAGCATGCCAAAGTAGAAGAGGGAGGTGGCCCAGGAGAGGCGGGACGTGTCGACGCCGGGGGTGGTGCCGCCGTTTGGGCCCGGGGGGAGGGGCACGGAGAGGTGGAGGTCTGTTGTCATGCCGAAGAGGACTGCTGAGCCGAGGATTGCCTTGTCGTAGTAGACTAGGCCGTCTGCGGGCGCGCCTTAGAGATGGGGAGCGCGGGAGGGAGGATGAAGGAAGATTGGGATACAAGTGAGAGAGGGAAAGAGGAAGAGAGGGAGAGAGAGAGAGTGACGAACATCCAAAGATCATGGCGGGGATGAGGAACCAGTCGATTTTGCGGACGGCACGGGCGGCGACGGCGGGGTCGTAGGGTTGGCTGTGTATCCCGACCATGGCGAGGGCGTCGTCGTCGCCGGTGCGGTTGCCGGTGCGGTTGCCGGTGCGGTAGTGAGCGTCGTCGGCGACGGCTCCGGTGGCGGGATGGAAGGCTTCGATATCGGGGTCGGGACCCGGCGCGGGGCCGGTTGTGGTGGCAGGGGAGTCCTTTTCGGGGGCCATTTTGCGGGATCTTATCTCGTGAGGGGGGGGGGGGGTTCACTTTTCCCGCGGCCGGCGATTATGAGATGGTTTCAAAGAGCTAGAAAGGGAACTTGCTGTTCCTGATTTTGTCAGAGGAATTGGAGATTTGGACCCCAACTGGACAGGGCTCGGCGGAGGGTGGGAGGAGAGAAGGAGGGAGGGTAGGAGAAAGGGGGCCCCGGGATGAGTGAGCTGAACTCTCGTCGGTCGTGTTTAGGGCGGTGTCATTGGAGGGTAGGGCGTACCGATGCGTGGATTAGAAGGGGGGAGTCAGACCAATGCTATAAAAAGGATTTCGCCTTCGTAGACTGGGCTGGATTGGAGGGTACGAAAGAATCTCAATATGGGAGAAAAATATCTCATGAGCAAATCATTGGCGATTTAGCAATTAAGGCGACGGATTGTTCCACGCGAATACGTTTAAACCCGTATGTATTATGGGATTGGTTACGAATTGTGAGTGAGTGAGTGGATTAAGCTCTGCGATGCCTCATCTTCTCGCCCCCAACGTACCTACGTACGAGAACGCCGTCGCAAGGTCCCGGGAGAAAGGTAAGGTGAACGAAGGTTTCGGCAACCCGAGAAAGCCTCCAAAAACCGCCATCCCGGGCCCCATCTACGCCGTCTTCTGGCTCCAATTGGCAGAGAAGTCGTTCTCGCTAATCAGATCTGAGCCTGGCGGGATTTGCGAAATCTTTGCAAGCTAATGACTGTATGAGTGTGCCCGTCTCGCCTTCGGATTGGACGGGAAGTGAGTCCGGACTGGGCCCCGGGTACAATCGGGGATTGAGGCGCCGCCGAGTTCGGTCGCGTCGCGGGAGCAATGTGGGAGTGCCGAATGGAGGATGGCTCGTCCACCTGACACCCTACCTACCTAGTGAAAGGCAATAGAATCTCATTGTGAAGAACCCGAGGCGAATTGTCTAGAGTTTGTGTGAGCTGTTTGTTAGATGAATTGATGTGTGAGGCTTTGGATGAAGAATGAATCGGGGACTCCCATCCGATGCGGCTGAGAAGAAAGCTGAGTGAGACCCCCCCTCCTCTACTCTGGGATGTGAATGGAGACTCGGGATGACTTTGGATCTCAAACAGCACTCCAATGTCATTTGTATGATCAAACATCTCGTCTGAATGACCACGTTTCTCCACAGTAGTCTTCACAAATCATACGTGTTGGGTTGTATTGGAACCGCCTGGCAGACGGTGGAGCGGAGCATCTATCGTCGTTCGTTGCTACGAGTGAGCTGGAGATGCCGTGGTGAGGCGCATAATGAATGTCATGATTTTGGCAACCCGCTGTCAAGGATCTGGAGTAAGGTGTATTATGGGGTGGATATGCATGTTCATCCCCAATGGAGGTAGCACGGATGAATAAGACATTCAGCTCTTGATTCTTGTTGACGATGAGCAGCATGGGCCGCGAGAGGTATTACATAAATTGCACAACTCTCAACTGTGCAAGATCTGCAAGAAATATTCATAACTCCGAGTACGTACCTGCTACCCTGCTCATGGTTGCGAGGCGGTTTCGTCTTTCAAGTTTTTGCCTCACTCGAACAGGAGTCCAGAGCTTCCCCCAGAAATGGACCGACAGCGTCCGCGGACCTCGAGCTGCCTCGACCACATCGCGACATCCTACGAGACACCACACCATCTCTCTTACACCATCCACAAAACCCCTTTCGCCCGCTTCCCCCACACCCAAACTCTCTTTCGCTGTGCGCCTCGCGGCCCATGCTGCCATGAAATGGGGAGCCTGGGCCAGGCTTGGCTCTCCCGGAACCTGGAAGGCTGCCCTTTGCTGTTCGGAGGCGGAGGACCTGGTGACTTGGCCCTTTCGCTCACATTTGCGAGCTGATTCGAGCGCCGTTAATGAATGGGAATCACCTGTCGGCAGCTATCGTGTTGATGCTATTTAGAAAAAGTTATCAAGTACTTCAATGTGGAGATCTTAGTATATCCTGTCTATACGTCTAGCCTGTACACATTACCCAGCAGATCACAGAACAGCATGTAGAAGCAAAAAAATGATTTACTGATTAATCGCAAAATCCCGCCCTCACGGTATCTTACTTTTCCTGGGTATCCAGGCTCTCATGCCTTTGTCTTGTCAGTCAGAACCCATGCGTCCTCCATAAGTACACGATCTTGGCAGTGCCATTATTAACACTAGGTTACAGCATCGAGCCTCTCCCTTTCCCCATGACGACGTTCTCTTCGCCGTTCACTCTCTCTTTCTTTCTCTCTCACACTCACACATACGGGAGGGCTCAACTGTGATTAAACACTAGGCTCATTGGAGCTTGGCCGCGTTTCTTTCGGCCTTGTTCTCTTTCCACCACTTTGCCTCGCGCTTCAGCGCGTATTCAATCCAAAATCTCGCACTGACACCCCATATTATAATCCACCCAAACAAGACGCCCAACGTCGTGCCAAATGCGCGTTCAAACTCCAGATTCCAAATGATGGCGGCGACGTAGCCAATGAAGGCCGAGCAGCCGCCGATCCAGAACAGAGTCAACTCGAGAATCATCTTGCGGAACATTATCGACTTGTCGTACCGCTCGACGTACCTTTTGCGGAATTCCCTATTCTGCGCTCCGTCGACGGCAAAGAAGTCTTCTGCGGCGTAGTAGACAATGGGCTTGAGGCGCGTGCCCTTGGGATCCGAGTTGATTTTAAACGGTATCTTGATCGGGATCAATGTCGCAAAGGCGATGACGTCCAGTACCATGAACATGAAGGCGGGAGCGTAGAGGTACAGCCACTCGACGACCAACGGCTCATAGACTGTGGTCGAACAGACAAAGGGGACCAACGCGGCAATCAGGCCGAGTGCGTATACCCAGGTCGTGGCGTCCAGCTCCCACCAGTGGTTGGATAGCAGCGGCGCGCACTCCTCGTAGCGAGCGATGAGTCGGTAGACGCGGACAATGAGGATGTAAACTTCGCCGAAACCGAAAGCAATGATGGCAAACCCGAGAATCCTACTCTCGACCGTTTGAACAGGAGGCAGACCGCACTCTACGCCCGCGTCATAGGCAGGCTGACAGGCGGCGCGACGATCGTTTCGCCGCGCGCGGAGCCAGCTATAGTAGATGCAGACCGGCAGCGCGAGATCGAAGAAGAGAATGACAAAGGGGCCGATGGAGATGGAGATGTGTTCCGTCCAATCGACGTACTTGGTCAGGGGCTCGAGCTCGTCGTCGTCGGGGGTCTCGCCCGTTCCCCCCAGGACTCCTGCCGCCGCTGGATCAGTTGTTGTCTTGGGCATGCCGTCTCGACTGAGCATCAGTGCCGTGCTCTCGCTGACGGCCGTGATCGTGGAGTCGCGGAATGCCTCACGGTTCTCGTCGCCAGGGGCACGCTCCCTGGCGATCGCCGCATCCGATGCCGCCGTCGGGGCATCGGCCGTACCTCCGCCGGCCGCGGCGGCCTCATTGGAGCCTCTCCTGCTGCCCTGCTGGGAACCGGCTCGGCTGCCCGCTGGCGACGGTGCCTTGTTCGACGGCGCTCTGCTCCCTTGTTGCGATCCTGCGGCGACTGCTGCCCGACTTCCCTCGCCCTCCACCGACGGTTGCCGGCTCGGTACCTTTTGCGAAGGGGGCTTGCTGCCGTTGTCTCTTCCGGCATCCTCGCTAGGAGCTCTGTCTTCGGATGGGTGGCTTTGGCCCGAGTTGGAGGTACTGGGAGGCTGCTCTTGCGGCGCGTCTTCGAAGCTTGCCTTGGACGATGTTATTTGCTCGCCTTCGTTGTCGCTAGTAATGTCAGCAGCAGCAGCCGCAGCTGCGGCTGGCTCGTTGCTTCCCGACTGCATCGAGGCAACGCTGCTTATGCTTATTTTCCAGAGAGGACTAGGTGAGTGAGCCGAGGAATGAGGGAAAAGGAAACAAAACGAGTGAAGTAAAGCTCGTTTGCGCGCGCCAAAAAAAGCAACAGCGTCGACGACAGCGACAGAGAACAAGTAACTTTCGATAGCTCGGTTTGGGTGACAGCAGAAACCAGAGCTCTTTCTCGCCTTACCTCGACCACTCCCACCACACGAAGCGGCGGCCAGCTACTTCATATGGAAAGGTGTTCACTGGGCAGAGGTGTGTGGTGGCGCGGATCCCAGGCGCACGTTCGCCCACCGTCGCAACACGAATCATGAGGGCAGCATGAAATGCATCGCGACATCAGACGGATGCCTGACCGGCCGGTCCCTGGTTTCGAAAACGTGCCCAGGTGGTATCTGAGCCATTCCATAGGATGTTCCTTTTCGGGCCCCGAGCAGCAGCGGCCAGCGGCGGGCTGCCAGCAAGCAGCAGTGTGGTAACTGGTCCTCGGATTCCTCGACGGACTGGCGGAGGCTCCTTGTCCTGCGATGCCGTCCAAGTCGCGCGTGACTGGCACTGGTCACAATGTGGTGTTAGCTTGTGGTGTTTGGCATCTTTCCTCCTTTGCAAACTTTGGCCGGCATTAACCCAGAGCTTCACCTCAATCAGCAACGCCCAATGCTCTGGGCTCTGTTCGTTCGCGTCTAAACCCCCTTCCACCCCCCTTTGGTGTATTAGGAAAGGCAAAGGAAAGTCACCGAATGAAAGGGGAAAGGAGTGGTGTTGAACTGAAAGACATGACAAGACACTTGGTGTCGTTCCCCCCCGCTCCCCCCCCTTTCTTGAACAGACTTCCAGGCCAAGACCTCTCAGTTCTGTGAGACATGAAGTATGTTTCCCAGGATACTAGCCAGACTCGGAACATGAACTTTCGGGGGATTTGGTTCTCCACGATCGGCGACGGACTCCGTTGCGGAAGATATCGATTAGCTCCCGACACAGGGGCCGACCCTGGCGTCGGCCTCCCTCCCACCGCGCAATTGCAGCTTGACCCAGCTCTCTGCGATCAACTTTGGCCTTGCTGAGAAAATGACCACTTACAGCTAGAGATGGTGGACAGCCGGCGTCCCCGGGGTTCCCTTGCTCTTGACTCGAGCCAGAACCGTTGTCGCTCGGTTGCGTTCAGTTCTAGCGTCAAACGCTAGTGCGGAGTCAAGTCCGGACGTCAGAGCACATAGAAACGTAGTAGATAGCATGGCAGAGCATGGCAGAGCACAGAGGGAGCACGGCGGAGCAACGCATGCACGCCGTGTTCAACTGATCAAGGGCATATTCAGCTGAGGATCGTGAGAAAGAGGGAGGAAGCTCTGGCATTGGGGAGGGCACAAGTTGCATATAGGCCAGAGCTGAGCTTGACCTTTCCTTTGCCTAACAGAGCTTCATCCCAGAGAGCTGGTCCAAGTCCTCCCTTTTCTGCAACCTGTGGTAGAGACGCAGGATCAAAGCGCAAAAGATCCATGTCCCCTCTCCCACGTCCCATTATCCAGTTTGCTCCCCCAATTCTGCATTTCCCCATTTTGCGAGACTCTCCCATGTTTCCAGTCATTCAATGCAGGCATGCCATGGCCATTGCATGCGCCAAGGCTCTGCTCTGCGCTATCGACATCCTTTTACTAAGGCGTTTGCGGTCTGACCTTTGAAGGATACATTTGGTCTTTTACACCGTTTAGGAGTCGATACCCGATCGATATTCCATGAACCCGGCTCATCTAGGCCCTTTCACGCCCTGCTTGCCCCCCTCTTTCCCACATTCCGGGCCACTGTTTGACGAGGCCGAGTTGCCAGGCCGAAGCGTAGCTCTGGGGTGCGCTAGTTTCGAGCCCTTTCAACTCTGGGGGCCTGGCCGAATTAAAAGGTTTTCGAAAAAGGGATTCTGGAACTGTCGGACAGAATCTCGGACAGAACACGCAGATACAGTATCCGATTGCCCGGTCTGCCCGCGTCTGCCTTTTCAAAGTGTTACATTCACACGATCGAGCCTGTCGGACCACGGGATGAGGGCAAAATAGCCGGCCTCATTCGACACGCAGCATATCCCTCCTACCCATCCGTCCCCCATCCATCCCCCCTCCATTTCGATCTGAACTGGGGGTTGATGTCTTGATGATACAGGAGAAGCAACATGACTCTCCTGCCATCCAAACGCAGCAGCCCACTCCTCCCCTCCCTTCTCACGTTTATGACTGGAGCTGCTACAAATCGCCCGTCGCCGGTCAAGGGCGCCTGGGCACCAGAGTTGTCCAAGGATACGTTGATCAACCCGTTGCAGGGATTTCTCGCAGCCTCCCATAACTCCACTGAAAGGAATCCTTGGGGCATTTCAACTCAAGGTCAATGGCTCTCATAGCTCACTTCCTCAAGGGCGCCCGTCCGTGGCTGACGGGCATCCTTCTCGCGGATCCTGACCTGCCTTGCTGAGCTGCTATGGATAACCCAGGTCAGACCAGACACACCGCCATCCATCACTCCATGTTGACATGCGCCACTTCCCGCGTGCCATCGTCTCCTTAGCCGCCGGCGCCTACGACCTGTCAAAGAGTCATTCCCGTCAGACTACCCATGCCATATCTGAAGCCCCGTCACTTTGAGGCCGAGCAACATCGCTCGCTGCAAGATGCAAACTGCCCTCGCCTCCGGCTTTGTAGACCTCGCTTTCCAAGACCAGTCTCACCCATTCACCACATGCCGAATAAGGCGCCTGCCAGCCTACCTGCACATGACGGCCCGCCGGATCGCGACGTTGTTCGCATTCCGTACTATCAGATGCCCCGCTCCGCTTGGTCGAGGAATGACGCAGTAGATGCCGCTTCCGAGCCTCCTGACTTCTCACAGATGAATCGAGAAAGATTCCAAACGCATTCCACGGAAACATCGAAGCGAGAGTTCCCTCGACGCAAAAATGAGGGCATTGACCTGCCCCGCTGGCTAGCTCCCTTTCTTCTGTTCTTTCGTTCTTTCTAGATCGACGGTAGAACAAGCGGGCTGTGTCAGATCCTACTCCTAACCCACGCGATTCATGGAGACAATGCTGTCAAAACACCCGCTGCGCTAGGTCCGTCGTTGCATCGTCTAGGCTGAGCTGCAGCTGGCACGGCCTCATGCGCTAGACTATTGGGGATTGGCGAGAACAGATTTACTCGGATCGGGCACCCACCGTGAATTGTGGGTTCGGGTTGAGATTGACGTTTTTCGCGAGGTAAATTTCCTAGTCAGGTCTCACACGTGAAGTGGGTAAGACTATCCTGTTTCCTTCATCTCTGAGATGGTTCGTCGCTTCACATGGCCACCCCATCGCACGGAGCAGGCGATGCTAGCAAAACACATGTCTAGACGATAGCGCGTGCACGTCTGGAGCGTGCTTAGTCTCATTCACTACTGCAAGGCAAGTAGAGAAGAGCCTCGAGGAGGGGGGAGATCTATCGGCCGCCCCGACTGCGAAGCGTTTCATGTCGGTGATATCAGGGGCTTGACTGAATCGGAACGGAACGAGTCGCTGTTGCACGCGGGATGTAACCTATTTCTAGTTTGGAGAATACGGGCCTCCTTACCACAATCAATCCAGATCCCGTGTGTCGCAAGATGATAGCTGCCCGCGGACTTGGCATTCCAAGACGCCCTAGGGATTTCTGGAGGGCTTCCTGCAGCCCTGCTACTTTGAGAGACAGTTCTGCAGATAATTCTCATGGGTAACTTCTCTATGGGATAGAAAGTGTTCAAATCGGTACTGAGAGGGATGAAAATGTTTCTATAGGATGGGAATTGCTTCTGGGGATAGTCGTGTTATCCAACAACGGCCCTCTAAGTCATGCCTTTTCCTCTGACGCATAATTGTGCACAAGGGGCTGGAGAAATAGCAATTTGCAGGCTTCCTGTATACCCGGGCCTCGAGAAAATGGTCAATTTCGATGGAAGTCGAACAGCTTCAAGATCTACCAGTCTGCCATGATCCTAAGAAGTATTCAAGATCTGCAACCCGTGAGATATAAAGCTATTCCCCTCCGTGCTGGAAATCGACCGAAACACTGCACGCAGTGAATTTATGAGATTATGAGAGACTGAAATTTGAACCTTGGCTTATAAGGACTGTCTAGAGAACCATGGATGCTCTCGGAAAGGATTGATGATGGCTTTCAGGACTCTATGACCGCCTATAGTTCCCGTGTTCTTAGTCCAGCTGGCGACACTTCATTTCGTCAAGTTCGTTGGAAATGATGACTCCGACGAAATATTCGACAAATTCAGCATTGTATTGGCTTTAAAGAGACTAAGAAGAGAATAGAACTTTTGATTGATAGGCGAATGGAAGCAATGTGGTAGCTTATTCTATCGTGTATATAGAGGGAGAAAATTGTCCAGTCACAGCTCACATGCTGACAGTCGTAATGAAAATACGCATGAACATGTCTTCACGAACCATGACATTCTCATCGATAAAGTGAACGTGTGTAAACGTACATGTATGCTGGTATTCTGTTTCCATATGCTTTCCTATCGTGTAAGTTCGGATCCTTGAGCGAAATCATAAATCCTTCCAATATTTCTTACGTTTAACACTCTATTGCCTGTCCTTGCCGAGCTTGGTCTTGATTTCAGCCACAACAGCAGCGGTGACCTCCTTCGTCGTCGCCTTGCCACCAAGGTCGGCGGTGACGACGCCGTTGCCAGTGACGTTCTCGACGCACTCCATGAGTTGCGTCGCCGCCTCCTTCTCACCAAGCCACTCGAGCATCTCGGCGGCAGTCCAGAAAGTTGCAACGGGGTTGGCGACGCCCTTGCCGGTGATGTCAAAGGCAGAGCCGTGGATAGGCTCGAACATGGAGGGGTTCTTGCGGCTGGGGTCCAGGTTGCTGGTAGGGGCGATTCCGATGGAACCGGCGAGGGCAGCAGCCAGGTCTGAGAGAATGTCGGCGTGCTGGTATCATTGTCAGTCTTCTTCTTATGCCATCACACAACGCGGACAGGTACTCACCAGGTTGGTGGCAACAATGGTGTCCAAGCTCTTGGGGTCGAGAACCATTCTTGTGGTCATGGCGTCGACGAGCATCTTGTCAAGGGAGACGTCGGGGAACTCCTTGGCAACCTCGTAGACGACCTCGTCCCAGAGAACCATGCCGTTGCGCTGAGCATTACTCTTGGTGACAAAGGTGAGGAGCTTGCGAGGACGGCTGCGGGCAGTCTCGAAAGCGAAGCGCATCAAACGCTCAACACCGTGGCGAGTAAAGATGGAAACTTCAGTGGCGATTTCCCAGGGAAGGCCGCGGTGAGAACGACCACCCTGGCCGGCGTACTCGCCCTCGCTGTTCTCGCGGATGATGACCCAGTCCAGATCGCCCTCGGCGCAGTTGCGTAGGGGAGACTGCGTACCGCGGAGAACACGGGTGGGGCGAACGTTGGCGTACTGCTGGAAGGGCTGGCAGATTGCCAGGCGAAGACCCCAGAGGGAGATGTGGTCAGGGACATCTGTATTGGTTAATGTCGAATCTGTCGAGCCGGGGTTGAGTGTGGATCATTGGAGGGTTGCATACCGGGAGCGCCGACAGCGCCGAAGAGGATGGCATCGTGCTTCCTGAGCTGCTCGAGACCGCCGTCCGGGATGTACTTGCCGGTCTTCTTGTAAGTCTCGGAGCTCCAGTCGTAGTCGGTGAAGTTGAGGTCGAATGTGCCGAGAGTCTCGGACAGAGCCTTGAGGACCTCTACACCGGCCTCGATGACCTCCGGGCCGATGCCATCAGCCCCTATGGAGGCGATGCTGTAAGACTTCTGGGCGGGGAGCGCGCTTGGCGACATCTTGAATGGTTGTGAAGGGGGTGGGTTGGGTGGATGGGCCTGGTACTGATGTTACGGCGATATGAGGGGATGAAATGGAGGGGCAAGGTATGTTTCCTTCCCCTTCGATTGTTAAATAAAATCTTGAAGATGGTGCTGATGACTGTGTTGCAGTGTATATCAGAATGCAGTGAAGTTGTCTTCTTTTGTAACTGTCCGACTCTCGCCGACAACGGCTAGATCACCGTCTTCGTCACACTCCATCTTCGGGATCGCGCCGCAAGTGTCGGGACTTTGTGGAGTTGGGGCTAGTAGTGGAGGCGGCGATCTGGGGTCCGGGTAGCGGCGTTAACAAAGTCCGCTGGTGAAGTTATGTCCGCGGACAAAGTCAAGTCCGCAGAATTATCATTCGACGGTGTAGCGTTATTTCTCTTCTGCCTCGCAAGCACACAGGATCAGCCTTTTAATGCAACTCAACTGAATCTGAAGTATCCATGAGCAAAGTATTTTGCAAGCTTTCCCCGCGTTTGAAAGCATATCAATGTGTGTCGAAAGGTGATTTTCAACTGTCAAGTTTCCCCGTCGCCAGATGGTTGAGTGCCAAGGTAATATTTCACCATGACTCAAATACAGCTTCACATCAAAATCCGCTGAAGTGATAGCAAGTAGGTTGTTCTTTCTAACTGACAATAGGTTCTAATGCAAGCCCAAATTTGAACGAAACACAAATGTTCAGTGTCTTCAACTTTGTGGCCGCAGTTGGAAACATTTGCAGCCACTACTACAACACTTAGAGTCTTAATTCCAGCTGTTTCAACAACGCTTCAGACAAATCATCGAAGATACGACCACGTAGGGTCTACAGATGGATCAAATTGTGCCGCAGACAGGAACGGATTGTCAATGGCACCAAAAGAATTGGCAAACAGCTGGTCATACCAGACCATGAACTCCTGGCCCTCGCCTGGTGCATTCTCAGATGTATCCATCGCGGGGAACGACGTGATACTCAGATGCAGGTAGGAATGCTGGCTGTCAAAATTGGGAGACTCCTGTTGCGTAGCTGCCTGGAAGCCAGACTGAGTCCCGGGCGTGCTAGCGGCCCACGCCGCGTTGACCGATGGGCCCGATGCTGGTGAGGCTTGGGTGGGCCATCTACCAGAATGGTCTTCTGGTCCTGAAAGTCCGTCGCCTCGGTTCTGTGACCAAATTGTATTGTCCGGTGTGACTAGGCCTTGATCATCTGGCCGACCCGAGGATGCGGCGACAGATGGGGAGAATCGGGCTCGTAGGCTGGATCCAGTCGGCTGTGTATTGGTTGAGTCGGATCTTAGTCCTCTGGGTATGTTGGAACTACTGCTTGGTCGTGCTGTCTGCCCAAGGTCTGTTCGAAAATGGCTATTTGGTGCTAGATTGCTGGTGCTCGGCTGTCGTTGGAGCAGATTATTCGGTACAGACAGTTCTCTTACGGCAGCCGTGAGCTCATCGACAGCTGAGAGACAGTACTCGGGCCAGGATGTGTCGCGAGAGGCGATATGACGAAGAATATCCTTGCCTGATTCAACGTGTCTGTAATAAGATGTGTGATTAGTCTTCAAGACTGCTATTTTACCAGGGTGTGTGAAACACTTACTTCAGCGCGCTTGACAAAGGTAGTTGCCGTTCAAAGCCAGCATATATGAGAATGAAGGCACTGATCCACACCGCCCATGTGAATGATGGCTGAAGCAAGGGCTCAAGCCAACAGGCGCTCGTAGGGTCTTCTGGGATCTTGTTCTGGCTATGATGCCTTTTCAGGGCAATGAAGATGGATTTCGCCGCAAAGATGCAGTTTTGTAAGCCAGTCGAGTACGCGGGACTCGAGGGATCGGAAGTCAGCATCGGTCGGTTGAGAGATATCATTGACTCGTATTTCAGCAGGAGCAAGAAAATCCGATGTCTTGCAGACATTGGTGGTTGAGGTGCGGTTTCATCATGCGTATGCTCGTCTTCAACCGCGTCGTGGATTTCGTTTGACCATTTTGCCAGCTCTACTTGAACGTAACTAGCTCGATCTGCGGTATCATCCCGGGAGTGTATTGATTTGTTCCTCAACTCCAAAATCAGCCCTCGTATGCGCGCGTGCTTTACAAGGTAAGTGAGTAGTTGCAGCCTGTCATCGTCGGGGTGGGTAAGAGTTCCGTGCTTTTCTTCGCCTGGATAACACACATCGACGTCGTCATCCCGGATGTCCAAGGGAAGGCCAAGGGCTTGGCAGAGAAATCGTTCCGTGCAGTATATGCACCAAAAGACGCGTCGGCGCAAATGTGCCTCTTCTTTGGTGAAAAATGGGTATCTCAACGGACACCGATGTAGGCCGAGGTGGAAGGCCATCCGAACTATCAAGCCGCCTAACCTTGATGCCGAGTTCAATCTCAGCATGGAGACAAGGAAAAGCTGGATAGCAAGTGCCGCTTGTGTAGTTTGGATCGAGGCCGGTTGGTAGAGGGCGAATTGAGACGCCGACATTGCCTCCTCGACTGTACGAAAAACGAGGGACGCTGGAACTGGCTGGGCAAAGGGAGCTTTTTGGCGGCTGTCAGCTAGAGAGATTGACAGTATCGACTTGACGATCGAGCGCTCGAGATGGCTGAGGGCAGCCACCCCACCAGCAGTGACTTTCTCAAAGAGTTTCAGCACATCTAGGGCGCGGAGGAAAGGAAGTGTCGGGTGCCATTCTTCAAAGTAGCTTTTGGACCAGTCGACAAGGTGCTCAAAGGAGGTGTTGAGTTCATTGCCCTCGGGCTCTGATATCAGCTCAGAGCTTCGCCAGAGGTTCTGCTCGTGGCCATCACGGGATGATGTCTCTTGATGGAGCTGGTCGTCTTCCCCAGGGACTAGATCGTTGATGTTGTTAGACTGGGATGTCCTGAGTGCGGACTTGCGGGCGAGCCTCACGTAAACACCCCGGATAAAGTGAATGCCGCTGCCACTGCCGACGAAACGAGCGGTGTCATGCTGACCCGTGTCTCGCATCAAGCCATACTCGCGTGTGGGACGATCTGTAGAGCCCGAGTACTTCCGTTTGCGTGAGTGGATAAAGTGCGCTGGGCTGAGGGTACCCGACTCGGAGGTGGTATTGGGCGACTCTACGGCATCCATTTGGGGTGAGAGAAGATTTCACCAAAGAGGAATGAAGATCCTGGGGGTTTGATATCCCGTCTTCAGTGGATGGCTCGAAGGACAGTGGGGACCTGAAGCATGATGCGATATGGAGAATGGAAGTGACAATTAGCGAAGACAGACTTCAGAGACTTCATATGTCCCCCGCCGAGGTACAAGGAGAGTAAAGGAAGAAAGGAAGGGCGGTCAACAGATGCTGTTGTGCGGATGAGAGTGCGCCAGCTGTGCCAAGGCTGAAGTGAGCTCGGCCAACATCAGCCTCTGGTATATCTGGAAGGGCGAGGGAAATGGGAGAGACGAAAAAGGCATCGTTGTCCGAGAAAGGAAAGTAACGAGAAGCTGACGCGCCCGCGTCGGGGCGACGTCGGTGAGGGCGGGGCCATGACACGGCACCTTCCGGCGGGTGGGGCACCGGCGGACAAAGAAAATCCCGCAGCGCCCATGGAGTTTTGTTCCTGAACACCAGCTTTTTATGTCCGAGATCCTCGATCGACCAGGGACGCGAACGACAACGGTAGTAGTGGCTCTTCAGTTCAGAACGAATTTCTCTTTAAAATAATCTGTAAGAAAAAACAAAGGAACCAAGCATGTCCCACAACAGCAGTGAGATAGAGGGCAATGTTTTGCAGAGCCCCATCGCCTGCGAGTCCTGTCGGCAGAGAAAACGGCGGGTTAGTCAATTATGTCCCTGGGCAATGTTCATCTCGGCAGTTGACTAACACCGTTCAAGTGTGATAGGAGGTTGTAAGTGGCTCCTGACTCTCCGAGAGGACCCTTGTCGGGCCAAGTCCTGAGACTTAATATTCCCCGCAGTCCATTCTGTCTGCAATGCAGCCACGAGCCTGAAAGGTGTCAATACCCAGAGCAAAGCAAAAGGTTGGCAACCATCCATAGTTTGATTTCTAGAAATGTTGAATAACAATCAGAAAATCTCAGAGGAATTCCCAACGGATACCTCAACAAGCTAGAAACCCGACTCGCCGAGACTGAAGCAGCTCTCTTCCGCGTGCTCTCAGGGGCACCTGACACCCGAAGCTTCGCCTCTGCCTCCTCACCTACCATCCTCCCACAGGCTGCATGGACACCGAGACAAAACAAGGTCGACCGTGTCAAAGAGTGGGATGGCCTCCCGTTGCAGACACCTGATGACATCCAAGCCTGGTACCGGTCAAAGGCGACAGAGCACAATGACCCTGCCATTGACCTCCCCGCTGCGAGCCCTCAATCGCCGATCCCGACAGTATCAGATTCTCTGTTCGCGCCTCCTTCTCCTTCTCCTCCTCCTTATCCTCCTCCTCCTCCAAGAGACACTGGCTCTGTGCCGGGCTCATTATCGGACCCCCAGAGCACTTCAGACGCGGTCATCGAGCCTCAACCTCGGGCTATGACACGAATAATCTTAACACCCGTCAACAGACCATCGTCTAGAAGCCTCAGCAAGGCCGAGGAGTTGTCCAAGTTGCAGCAGAATCTCTATTTCTAAAACCAGACTGAGAAATCGAGAATGACAATATTTGCTTCCAAATATTGCAAGATCAAGGCTTGTTCCAAGCCGAGGCAGCTTCACACGGCTCGGGATGCGGCAAGAAATGATGCCGCGTTGATCTCGTGTTACACCAACCTGGAAAATGTCTACAAACGCGGAAATGAGTAAACCGTCAACGCGTCGCCTACTCGCGGCTTTGGTCCCAGCAAGAAAGACTTCCCCGCCACGGCGCCGAGCTACCCCGCAGCCACCAATTCATTCCGCGGCGGCCCGGTGCCCATACCTACCCGCTCGGCTTGCGGCGGAATTGCGGAATGGCCCAATTCCAAACAGCAATGACCTCAGGCTGAGGCCCTGAGAGCTCCAAGCTTCAAGAAACGAAACCTCGTTACGAGAGCAGCTGCTCATTACCTACTGTCGTGTTGTTCGTCGTCATCATCACCACCACATTGAACAATCACGATTCACTGCTCGTGCCTTTCCTACGCCCCGTCACAATGGCAAGCTCTCAATCTTGGGTCTCCGTGTCCCCCCGAAGCCACTTCTCGTTGGCCAACATCCCCTTTGGCATCATCTCCACAAAGTCAGAACCGACTCATCGCCCTGCGATCGCCATTGGGGACTATGCTCTAGATCTCAAGGCCTTTGCAAAGGCCGGCGGCTTCCACGCCCTGCCCTCAATCCAGGAACGCGTCTCTGTATTCTCATCAACCACACTAAACGACTTCGCCGCCCTGGGCCGGCCGGTCCACAGAGAAGTCCGAACATATCTGCAGTCCATCCTCAGCGAGAACACGCCGCACGCCGGCCTCCTCAAGGACAACGCCGAGCTGCGCAAGACAGCCCTGGTTCCCCTCTCCGAGATCCAGAATCATCTGCCCTTTGCCATTGGCGACTACACCGATTTCTACGCCGGCAAGAACCACGCCTACAACGTCGGCGTCCTCTTCCGCGGCCCGGACAATGCGCTCCAGCCTAATTACCTGCATCTCCCTGTCGCGTATCACGGTCGCGCCAGCAGCGTCGTCGTCTCCGGCACTCCCATCCGCAGACCGTGGGGTCAGATCCTGAAGGACCCCAAGGCTGAGCCCAAGGTGCCCGTGCTTGCACCCTGCGAGAGGTTGGACATTGAGCTGGAGATGGGCATGTTTCTCTGCCGGGAGAACAAGCTTGGTGAGCCGGTCCCGGTCGACCAGGCAGAGGAGCACATCTTTGGCTACGTCCTCATGAACGACTGGAGCGCCCGCGACATTCAGGCGTGGGAGTACGTGCCTCTGGGGCCCTTCACGGCAAAAAATCTGGGCACAAGCATCAGTCCGTGGGTGATTCTCGCGGACGCCTTAGACGGCTCCAAGACAGCTGGCATTGAGAACAAGACGGAGCTGCAGCCCTACCTGCGCGAGAGCAAGAAGAACAACGTCCTGGGCGTCGACTTGGAAGTGGACATTATCAGTACGTTACCAATTCAATCCCCTAAACCCTTGCAGTATTGCAGATGTTAACATATCTGGCAACCCCCTCAGCTGCCAACGGAACTAGGACGACAATCAGCCGCACCAACTCGAAGAACCTGCTCTGGTCGTGGCCGCAGATGATTGCGCACCACACCATCACCGGCTGCAACCTGCGACCGGGTGATCTTCTCGGATCGGGAACGATTTCCGGCACGGAGCCCGGCACGGAGGGCAGTATCCTCGAGCAGACGCAGGGAGGCAAGCAGGCTGTGAAATTGAGCGGAGGTGAGGAGCGCAAGTTCTTGCAAGATGGTGATACCCTAATCATCCGCGGCTGGAGCGGCCAGGAGGGCGCGTTGGTCGGATTTGGTGAGGTGTCTGGCAAGATTGAGGCCGCGTTGAAGCTTTTCTAATTTCGTCAACCATGCTCGTCAACCATGGTTGAGGGAATACACGCATCAATTATTCAAAAGCTTTTGTGTGTAATGGTTCCTGAATATGAGAAACATGATCAACTGAATGGCGTGAATGCAGACAATTGACTAACTCCGATATCATCACGACTGAGATAGATAGTTTACAAGTCTTACTTCGTCCTCAGTTCATCTGGGGTGTCCGGCTGGTTAAAGTAGTGCGCCTTGGCAACCGCTGGGTGGTCCTTCAAACCCTCTGCAACCTTCCTGATGGTCGGATACGCACTCACATCAACCCCAAACCTTTCAGCATTCCAATACGCCGGCAGCAAAGCCACATCCGCCAAGGAGATATCGTCGCCAACAGAACACTTCCCCGCCCACTCCTTTGCCACAGCCTCGTACGCCGCAAACCCATCAGCAATGAGCTCGCGGTTCCACTGTTCCGCGTTTCCGCCCATCGCCCGCACCCGCCTCATGATGCGCATATTGGTCACAGGCTGCGTGTCGCAGGCGATGATGTTGACCAGGCTCCGGACCACGGCGCGCGTCTTTGCGTCCTTGGGGAGCAAGGGCGTGGCCGATGGGTGGGTTTCTTCGAGGTATTCAAGGGCGGCGACGGACTGGGTGACTTTGAAATCTGCGGCGGAGCGGCTTATGAGGAGGGGGACGCTGGCGGAGGGGTTGAGGGCGCGGTGGGTTGAGGAGAGGTGTTCGTCTTTGAGAAGGTTGGTTGGCACCGTGGTGTAAGGGATGGATTTCAGATTCAGGGCGATGCGCAGGCGGGCTGAGCAGGAGGAGCGGAAGTAGGAGTAAAGGATGTAGTCTGAGTCGGCCATCTTGACTGGAAGTTTGAGTAACACGTATTGACTGAATATCTGTTTCTTTGGATTCACATGGGCAACTTCTCCAGGAGAGGCCAGTCTGATGGCGCATCTGGACTCGGGCTTGGTCTTATTTCGCTCATGTCATAGCCATTATACCACCTAATCATAGCAATTCCGCCTGCTAGAGGAAACTACTTGATGTAGGAGAGGCGTCGGAGAACCGCTCCTAGCCTTCCTGTGCCGAACGGGATGTGCTCGGACAAGGAGGCGCACTGCAGGCACCTGGGAGGTTCCTGCGGGGAAAATGGATCTCAGCGGCAAGCCGACTGCGGGGAACGGGTCTTAAGCATCGTGTGAGAACGCTATGGGATTGAGACCAGTGATTGGCTCGTCGTCCACACTCCGGGTTTCTGCTCATGGAGAGGGGGCGGAACCGCGGAATGGTGACGGCTGGCTAGGACAGCGCAGGTTCAGTTCCGCAGCCCGACTCATCCTCGGCACGTAAGGTATGTAAAGATTGAATAAAATTTTGGAACTAGCACGGACACTCCTTCAACTTGATTCGGTGGGTAACGAGATACTTTGAAGGAGTGGAAGGGTGATGGGAAGTTTGTGGATCGCATAGTATTCCCTGGCTAAGAATCATGGCAGATTCACAGCTTCTGGTGAATCATAATGTCCCCTGAAGTACCTATCAAAGATGGTACTAGGGTATTTATAATAATGTTGGCGCAAAAACGTCGCCGTTAATTGTGGGCAGCAATTAACGCCATGCACAACATTGTGACACATGTCAAATGACACATGCCAATATCACTCCGCATTTGGTGGTATATGACAACGGTCACAAACCGGTCGGGCTCCAAGCTTACATCGTTAGCTCACTCCTTTTTGTTTTCATAAGCTAATATTCTGCAAAAATAGAAATACAAAGACAAATTACACCCTGAGATAATTTAAAAGCAACAGAGTATCGCTCTACAATGTAGTTTATACATGTAGTTTTGTTATTGTATGGGGACGGTCATCCCACAACTATTCAACAGGCAATAGTAAGTGAGTAACGTAGAGTATAGATGGTAATCGAAACATATATGCGGACATAGGTAAGTAACAGAAAGCACAGCAGTTACGACGCCACAAATCTTTGTTATTTATGATGTATGTCTAACAGAATCATGCATCCTCACTTCTATACAGGATCTATCTTGACTGCTCGTCTGAACTTTGCATCCAAACAGTTCTAACCTCTCCTTCGAAGACCCTCAAGCTCGTAGTTCAGATCCAAAATCTCATCAGACTGCTCTTCGATCCTGTATTCCTGCTCCACAATTTGGCTTTCAGTGTCCTCAATGATGAGCAGTGTTGCAATATTGGCACATATCGCCGCGAAGGCACCAAGTGGGATGCTGGACTGAGGGTAGTACGGATAGATGGGCGAGCTTGCTAACAGAGTGACGAAGGCTAGAATGACCAAGCCATTGAACGTGATGGGCCACTTAGTCTCGATGCCCTTCGGAGGCTTCCCTTCGCCTGTGAGCCAACCAAGAGTATTGAACCACTGCATCAGCTGAGGTTTCACAATGGCGTATAATCCACCGAAGCCCAGGAGTTGCTGGCTCAAGGTCGAGTGGAAGTTGCTGTCGTACATCGGAACCCCCTCCGCGGCCTCACAAAGGAACGTTGCGAGCACTATAAAGGGAAGGGATACCACCACAAGCCAGGTCACCAAAGAAAGGCCAAGGGTGCGCCAAAGTTTGGGCTCTTGGGCTGCGGATCGCTTTTTTGATGCCATGTTGTTGCCTCCGCGGCCCATTCGTCGGGGTTCCTTTTGTAGCTTCTTGGGACCGTGATCGGGGCCCTTCGCTTGTGCTGTTCGTGGCCTGAGCTTGCTCATATCGATCGAAACGACCTCGATGGCGGAAGAGATCGAAGGTGTCTTGAAGATGCCGGGCTCGGGTACAAGTGAGCGCTTTGCTATAGACTTGATTAATCCGAGAACTCTTTGTGGTGAAATGAGATGAGACAAGCTTCAGCCATCGGGTGCGACGCTTACCTTCCTCATCCCTTTCCAAAGCGGTGATGGTGTTTCTGCAATCCTCTATTTTCTTATCAAAGAAGCCAAAGGTTGCTTCCAAACTCTGGCGCAGCTGTTCCATGACCTGGAGAGGAATTTCTCTTTCAACGTCTTCAGTCATCTTCTTGAGCACCATCCAACTCTCGCGGGGCTTTTGGAGACCCGTTTGAAATGCTCCAAGCCTATCGCGTAGTTGCGAAAGACTTGTATCATCTTTCCAGGCATTGAATGCCTTACTCCAGTCATAGTTGTAGGGATAATGAACCAGGGTTTGGTTCTCCAGTAGGAACAGTGCATGGTCTCCACGAGAGGCATAGTTGTACGACTTGAAACTCGGAAAGAGGTCATCCACGTCCTTCAACCTCATAAAATCTCTGAGTAAAACATGGAGTCGGATGACAAGCTCAGGTTTGTACGCTGCTAGAAGCAGAAAAGCAGAGTCTAATCCACATGTCGCCCAAGCTCTATCCCAGTGATTGACGAGTTTCAGGGCGAGCACAATGTCAATATCGTGCTCTAATTGGTAGTGTTGCTGAATAAACGCCGTCGCATTGTGTTGTAGAGTCTCGGCGGAAGACTTGAGAATGTCTGGCTGGTCTATATCAGCGTAAAGGAATGGAAACGACTGGCGGTTTGCCTCGATGTCGACGTTGTGGGTGGCAGTGCGAAAGCTTGAGCTGGCGTCGTCCCAACCCAGTAGAGCGGGGAGCGGATTGGCTGTCGCCTCCATCATCTGAAAGGTAATGCTGTAATTACACGGCACCCCGGTGCTCAGAGATTGCTGAAAGTTCCCTTGGCGTAACCTTTCGGGGATTTATGTGCCCCTCTAGTCGTCAAGGCGGACTACGAGGCATCCCATGAGTTGTGTAATGGTGTGCCCAGCCGGGAGCTTGCATGCGGCTAATGCACATGGGTCGACAAGCTGAAAAGCCGCTCCAGTTAAAATTCGCAGTCTTTGCTAGTGCCGACATCGATCCAGGGTCTTCAGGCACTCCGATATCTGCTGGCACAAGATGATTCGTATGTATCGCAGCTCGTCTGCAGCCACCAGAGCACGCCGCCTCGCGCTATCTTTCGTAGGAGAGCGAGGCGCCTCATTGTTAAAGCCTCGCTCCCTGAAGAACAGTTTTGATTGACTGCCAGTGAGTCTTGGACATGTGCCCAGCCTAGAACGTGAAGTGAAAACTGATGGGCAAATGGATGCATCGCTAAATGCCAAGAGAGCAAAACGCGAACACTTTGAGTTTGGCGTATCGCCAACGAAAACGGTTCTTTGAAAAGGAGAAAACGCGCATGCTGAATTGTGCTACGATCGCGGACGTATAGGGTGAGAACATATCCGTTGTCAAACGTCCTTTATCCGTGCAGCGGGCTTTAGTAAATGAGGTTGCCTGTTTACGCTTCGAGAGAAGAAAGTTTAAAAACCTACACGAGGGAGGGATTAACGGAAATTAGCGTATTACTCAACCTGAGAACCGCGCTAACACCATGTATAGATTAAATTTTCTGTTTCAACCCCATCGGAGATTGTAACGAAGATTGATTGCCGCCGGGAATAATTGCAATGCCACTCTCAAGAGACATTTGGACACAGTCTGTTGCAGGCTGGGGCCACAGCCCACAAGTTCCAGGCCCATGGAGTTCGCTGGAGTCACCATCCTAGGATTAGTCTCGATTAACCTTCCTCACCTGTTTGTCTATGCTATACGCCTGTTCTTGGGGATCCGTCATCTTTCAGGGGTATTAACTCCGTTCATATAAGGCTATTCGTCCATCTCTTCCTCTTCCTACCGCAATCCGTGTACCGTACGAAGACAAAGTAGTCTTACCTTTTAGTCTTGACAGCAATCATCCGAGCTTCAACTACCTTAGCCATCATGAAGGGAGTACATACAGCTCTTGGTGGCGTCGTTGTGACATTTATTGCTCTGGTCCAAGGAAATTCCGACATCGTTTCTCTCTCTACCAATGGTGCAGCCTATATTCAAGAGGCTAGTGCCACTCTCATTCTCCCCAAGCTTCCTAGCTCCGTCTCGGGAGATGTCTCCATATGGAGTGCCATTATGATGGAACAGCATGCGTACTTCCTGCAAGGCGTTACTTCCAACTCCCCTAGCGGGTAAGTTAAGATGAAAGATCTAGCTATCACGTAATGGTATATAACTGACCGCGAGCTTTGGAGGTCGTACTGCAACAACGGGGGAAATAGTTGGTGCAACTTCGCGTTTTCCCTGGTTGGTAAGTACCTCGGCCCATTGTGGTTAAGTTGCGCCCTCAATGCACTGAATTTAATTTGTTTCTGTGGCTTTATAGGCATGACTCCTACGGCTGGTGATCCTGTCACTGCTTCTCCCGGGTCCACAATCAGAACGCACTGTGAGTCGACTCAGCTTTCGCGTCGATGACGCTGCGACTAAAGATGCCCGTAGACAAGTTGAACTCAGCGACCAACCTCTGGGACCAAAACGTTTATGTAAACGACAAACTCGCCTCTTCTGTCTCATCCAGTATGTTTTTGAACGGTTGCTGACTGGTTTTTGTCAATTGAAAATCTGACAGAATCTGTGCAGGCAAAGGACAGAAGGGAAACCTCTTTTACATCTCTATTGAATGCGCGTCTGGCAGCTGCGCTGCGCACCCCGCTCATAGTGAGTACACTAAGTCTTGGCCGAAAGATGGAGCGACTGACAATCACACAGGCTGGGAGGATATCTCGATTGTGCTCAGTCAGGCCGACAAAAGTTTTGGGCACACCGGAGGTTGGAAGTATGGTGCTACCGGCGGCGAAATGTCATCCCCCGACGGTGGCAAGACTTGGAACTTCAGCACCCTCAATGTCCCAGCGCAGAAGGCTGGATGATATTTCGACTTCTAGGTTTTCATTGATGGCTTTTTGCCTGATGTATAAATATCTTCCAAGACAAGAAGAAATTGTAAATACATTACTGTTGCACATATCCCTTTACCGTCGTAAATTCAAACATGGTTCAATCGTATACCAAAAGAAAGAGCCTCGCAGTGCAAGATTTTCCAAGTTGGCATTCAATTTCTGGGCGACGTAAGCGTCCACACTGCTTCTCAATACTTTTATAGTCTCCAGACACGGCAAATACAAAGCTGCCTTACCTGCCAGTAATACCAGGTCGTCGAACACTGCTGCGTTCGCAATTAGGTCTTGGAGCCGACAAGTGACTACCATATGTTTGAGCTTCACTCTAGCTGGAACCTCGCTACCTCAAATTTTTTCAGCCACTTTATCTAAGCATCATTAAAAGTCCCTGGCATCCGTGGCATGCGAGTTCGCCATCTGTAGAGGTACTTAATGCTTGCTTATATGGATAGACCTTATGAAATTTGACTCGCGGTGTTGCCTTGCATTTTTCCTGAAGTCCGTACTAATGCTCCCGGCCTCGTTGTGTTTTCTTAGGATTGTGCAACTTTGTCTATGGACTTTTTAGCTAGAAACCTGCTTTAAACTAAGAGAGAAGCGGATCGTTTACAATACTGGCATCTTCTAGGACTATTAAGTTAACTGTATCCGTATCCGAATATAAGAGATGTGTTTTCGCCCAGTCGTTTACTCGGTAGGGAACGCTGGCACTCATGTATCGTTCATGAGATATTCGGGTAAACCTCGTGTTAGACGTTGACTATCCGAGACCAGAGGCACATGGCTAGGACCTACAAGTACTGTTATCAGGGCAAAGTGAGAAGTCAAACCAGATTTGGCCAACTATTACAATGCACTCAATCTTGTGAATAAGTAAGTCTTCGATGAGAATCATCATCCAAAAGCCCCAGCACTGAGAATCCAGTCTCCAGATTCCCCCTCCAAAGTTCTCACCACCTCAGAACTGTGATTAGGCACATGGCTTGTCCACCATTGACAGACACCGGCTCTTTGCCACATGTCTACGCTCTTTGAAACCACGGACTGACGACTGAAGGGAACAAGCAGGAGACCTATTGGCATCCTCGAGCTTGCATGGGATGCCCCCCCCTCGGGAAGACCCAGAAGTAAGACCACCGCGTCTGGATGTTTCTGGCTAAACGTAAGGGCTTCTTCGCGGGCAATGTCAGGTCCATGAACAGCGGTCCAGTTTTCCAAGCCATCGAGGTCGATGATGCCGCCTCCCCATCCTTTATCGCTGTCCCAAATCTCAACCAGCTTGGTGAACTTGCACGTCTTGCCATTGAAGTAACCCCAAGTAATTCCGTCGAGAGCGATGGTTGAGAGTTGGGCTTTTGTTGAAATGTCTTCAAAAACCGACTTGCCGTCACCATATGTGTGGTTGACGAGATGAAGCCGCCTCGTAGGTCGAGAGTCTTGAGAAATTCTCCAACCTTTCCCAACCTGTGGAAGACCTTCAAAAACATGCATCTGGCTCATAACAGGCTCACGGATAAGGAGCTCTTGACCAAGCTCATCCTCCAGCTCTTGGAGGGGAATTTCAACGTTGGGGTTGCACCCCGGCTTTGACTTTCCCAGACGGAACCCAAAGACTTGCATGATGCCATAGACGCGGTCTGTGACGCGAGTCGTCGTTCTATAGCGGGCAGCGCCAAGCAGAGTGATTGGTAGAGTCGATCGAAGGCCGACCATACCACTGCGCTCGAGCGACTGCTTCAACGCTAGCAAGTATCTGTCATCTGGTGCAATGGTTTGCGGCTTCTTCTCATGTGCCGTCACTATGGTTAGCATGTGGTCGCAATAGTCGATAAAGTAACTCAGCAACATAGGATCTTTTGCGGGGGTTTCAATGTCGGATTGACTCAGGAGCTCTCCCTGTCTGGTGATGAACATCGCTTGGGGACAGAGATAGGCTTCCTGCAACGTCCAGAGGGACGAAAACCATGGATCTAGGCTGAGCTGTTCGATCTCCAGCCTGTTGATATCTAAACCTCTCCGGACCTTATCTGCACCGCTCTTTGCTTCGGCTCGTGATGGCTTGGCTAATTCCTGGTGCCGCCCCGACTGCGATAAGTATTCTTGGCGAGAGAGCTTCGTCAACCATGCAAACGTGTGCGTGGCCCCCCTGAAGATCTTCGCTTGGCGACCGACTTCTGAAGCCATCTCCACTGAACCACGAGTCTGGTCAATGCAAGCAACATCGAGCCAGAGGTAGTTGATGGGAGGCAGTGATTTGCCGGGATCATTGAAATCTAGGTATTCATCCTCGTCAGCACCTCGACCATGCAAAGGTAGTGTTTGGCGCGTTTCTGCGCCCAGTCACTGCTTACTTTCGATTTCGGCTGAAAGTTTTAATGCCGACCCCAAAATGTTCTCCATTTCAGCAGTAGAAAAATGAGCTGGGTCTACTCGTGGCATTTCCCAGGTGACGCCGTTGACAGCCAGTCCCTTCACCTCTGGATGGGTCGGGCCCTTTAACCGCCATCTGCCCCAAGTGTACGAGATTGCGATATATCTCGGCTCACGATCGCTTCCGTAACAGTTGCCAGGCGTCCAATGCACCGATATCATGGTAGGTATGTGAAGTAGCCGGCGCGGCCAGGTGCAATCATCGTCGAAGTCAGGCATGATGTGTATTGAAGTTGAGGGTAATCTGGTAATGCTTCAAAGTTTGTGGTTGTCTCTGAAGATTTCCCCCTCTTTATACCCCTCTTTGTGATACCATCTTTTGCCTCGACTTAACGTGTTGTGGTCCGCAGTATTTTTCGCTGTGCCGGACGCCTATGAATGCAGCCTCACGTTTTGATTGGTAGAACATTGACAGCTAGCGTGCTGATAGCGACATGTACTGGGGGCGGCATGTTTCTGACAAGCGACATATTGGAATATTAGAAGAGGAGGTATCGCGGGAGGAGGGCCCTATTTCTGTGAAAGCCATGGCAAGAATACCAAGGTCTGATGTAGATCAGGAACTTCAGAGGTTTTGCGGCAGATATGGTTGACTAATTTCATATCTATTTAGATAGAACCTACCTCAAACAATGCCGACGCAGTTGCAGTTGCAGATTCTGTTAGCTAAGTAGGTAAGCTTCCCAGAAATGCGCACATTTCCCTTGTCAACAAGACAATTCTCTTTGAGATAACAATAGTACAACGGAAAATTGTAAGGAAAGGGCTGAGCGCTTGCTTGACAGACCCTAAATGAAGACTGCTATTCCCGCAACTGTTGACGGGTACGAAACCAACTAGAAAAAGACCTGAGCTAATGCTGCGTTCATCTCAGTCATAGTGATTCTTGACCTCTAACCCCTTGTACTGGAATGACGTTCCTTCGCGCTTATCAAGCACCTTTTTGTGATGCACATCCTTTACCCTTGCCCGCACGTACTCCGTCCCGGATGGCACTGGCCGGCTCAAGTCCCTGTCTTCATCTCTAATCAGACCAAGGCGATCCAGAAGAGGCGATGGCAAGGTCCTCATCGGCGTGTGATCGCCCGGCCGACTGAAGTACAGAAGTCCAAGGCGGGGAATGTTGATCTGGTCCGTTGGAGGCTTTACTACACGGTGAATTGTAGACTTGATGAATCCTGCTCATAAGTTAGGTCAACCATTTTGACACAGATGAGTCGGAAACAATACGCACCGTTGGTGAGGAACGTCAGGGTGTCTGCAGCATTGCATGTAATCCCACCCTCCACGGGCTTCACATATTTCCAATCTCCCTCTGGCGTCTTGATTTGCAATCCGGCAACGTGTTGGGAAAAGAGAAGTGTCAAGCTGCCGAAATCCGTATGGCCACCCGTCGAAAACGCTTGTGCTTTGTCCCAATCCTCCTCAGTCCGAACATTGTAGATCATGTACCGCAAATGATCATCCGATACTTGGTCATAGGCATGCGCGTCGGCGAGGTAATCCTCTGGGAGCTCCAAGATGATGGCAATGAGAACAAAAAGCTTTCGTACGACTTCCCAGACGTCGCGGTGGAAGTCTCTAATCTCCTCCCAATTCTCTTCAATGACTCGATGGCGGCCGACATCCTTCCACGCTGGGATGTCCTTGTGGATATTGAGCTGCCGCCTTGATTAATATCACGTTTATATCCATTTTGCCATGATGAAAAGCCGTATCTTACCATCTCGATGTTCTCCTTTACCCCCGTATCTCCGAGCCATCTCTCATTCTCCCGGTATCCAAAATACTCACCTTCTGCAAAGTTGCATGGGTGCGTCCGCTTCTCTTCCAGCGGCTCTTTGAAAAATGTGTTCCCGATGCTAAATTGACGTAGCACACGATCATCATCGATGCCGGTGCCCGTCACGACCCAGAACCCCACTCGTGCGATGGCATCGTAGAGTTGTTTTGCTAGTTCCTGCTTGACACCTGGCTCATCAAACCGTGAAAGATCAATGGTGGTGAGAGGCGCCCAGTCTAGATCTTCTCTTGTCGGCTGTGGTCGAGACCAGGGTTTGACAAGCAGCTTGCCGGTGTTTGAGGGTGGTGGTGAGACTGCGGATGGAGCCATGGTGTTGATTGTTGTAAATAAAGCGCGAGCGAGACAATCGCTCAAAAGATCGTTTTGCCGATAAAAAACTGTAGACGCCTTAAAGAGTTCCGTCTTAAGCTTGATAGCTCAGTGTTGCTCACGCGGGGTCGGCAACATGATCGGCCATTGCGTGCTTAGGAACCCCAACAACGTGCTCACCCTATCCAGCCAACGATATTATCAAACATTCGCCGCTAAGATATCGGACTGTCATCCTTCACATGATGCTACTCAAGACGTGCTTAGAGGCTAGAAAGAAGGACGGGGTAGTCTTCCCCAAAAGTCGGACATAATACGAGAGATATTGTTACCGCGCCCGATATCGAAGGCCAAAGATGAAGGATGGCAGGCATATTCGCTTGGAACATAATTGGTCGAGGCCGCATATCGCAATCCTCGTTATCATGTCGTGATGAACGGCAAAGTTGAAGTCACCATGAGAAACTCCCCGCATCGGGCCATTGTGTTTTGTGTTGCGTTACTCTGTGCTCGAAACAAAATCTTTTGGGTACTTAGCACCGGAAACTCCTATGGGACAATGTCCGCTGTATCTTGGCTTCCACCAACCGTTTTCATAATTCCAGCTTTCAGCCCATTCGTATTCGTCAGAAACAAGAGTGGAGAAAACCAAGATGTCGACGACAAAGGATCCAATCGATGCTCTGGCCTACGTTGTCAACCATACACAAGGAGTTTCCGAAAGAACAGCAAAACCAGAAAGCCTAGAAATGTCCGACCCCGAGACCGAACCAAGCAGTGATCGTCCCGAATTCGAAAAAAGGCTTTTGCGAAAGATTGACTTTTGGCTCGTGGGCTTCTACTCACTCGTATACATCTTCAGGGTCATCGACAGCGCAAACTACTCCAACGCCGCCATCATCAACCTCGAAGCCGGCACCGGCATCAAAAAGCAGCTCGGTCTCACGCCGTCGCAGTGGGCTTGGACGCTTTCCATCTTTTCTTACAGCTACCTCATCTTCGAGCCCACCAACACGATCTTGTTGAAGCTGTTCAGGCCCTCGAGATGGATGTTCATCCTGATCATGGCGTGGGGTGTGTCAGCATGCTGCTCCGCGGCGGCGACCAACTTCTCGGGCATGATGTGCGTCCGCTTCGCCATCGGCATGGCCGAGGCGGGCTTCTTCCCGTCAGTGTTGTATCACTACGCGTTCTGGTACGGGCCCGAAGAGATGCCGCAACGCATCGCCTTCTTCTATTCCGTAGGCCAGGTCTCTAGTGCGCTGTCTGGTCTGTTAGCATACGCTATCTCATATATGGATCAGCTCGGCAATGTGTCTGGTTGGCGGTGGCTGTTCATTCTCGAAGGATTGCCGGCTATCTTGCTTGCGTTCTTTGCCTTTTGGCTGCCTGACTATCCGGAGTCGGCCAGGATGTTGAACGAGGAGGAGCGGCTGTATATGAAGCAGAGGCTCGCCAGCACGGTACCAAAGGGAGAAGCACATTGGGACTTCAAGTCTCTGAAATCCATGGCCAGGGACCCAACACTCTCTACTTTCAGTTTGTACTGGATTTGTCATGGCATCGGGGGGTTCGGGGTTGGTTTCGCTTTGCCGACTGTCATCTACCAGCTGGGCTTTACTATTACGGCATACTCTCAGTTGATGAACATTGTAAGCCAAAGTTCCGTCTGGAAGATAAGGATTCATGCTGATTCACCGTAGCCTCCGTACGTGACAGCTTTTCTACTCCTCAATGTCTTGGGCTTTATGCTGCAGAGAAAGTGGATTAGGCCATGGATGACAGCTGTAGGAAGTAAGTTACCTCGAGAGAATGTCCAGAACTAACATTAAGCTAACCGACACAGTCGAATCAACGATTATCGTCTGCTATATAATACTTGTCTTCGTCGAGAACCCAGTGGTGCGCTACATCTGCTTGATCGTGTCTGTGGCATGTGCTGGGTGTGCGTACCCGGTAATCTGGCCCGAACGCATCAGAGCACTGGAGGGAACGGTGGCCTCAGGAATCGGGATTGGCCTGACGAATGCCTGCGCACAGTTTGGGTACGTTCAATGAGACTCTATTTCCAAAAGGTGTTTGCTGACAGTTGCATAGCGGTATAGTTGGCCCACATGTTTTCAGCACGGTGTTTGGCCCTCGATATCGCATCTCGTATGCGGTAAACTTGGCGGTGCTAGTGGTTGGTATCTGCTCGATACTGGCTAGCTGGGTGCTGGTTGTCAAGAAAGACAGAAAGCGTCTGGACCAAGTCAGACAAGAGTAAGCTCCAGATCCATGCCTCCAATTGATATGGCCCATAAGAAGTGCGCCTGTAGGTGTCTGGGTTGGCAATAAACTTGGGCCTCCATGGATAAATTGACATGATGATGTGCTTAACTTTGCCGATAACACCTGGCAATAAATGAGAAATCAGAGAGTTGAGAAAGGCTCCATTGTCTCTCAAAGATGGCGAAGTAAGATATCGAAGATGTCTCTTGAATTTCCATTATCCAGACAAGAAGACGCCCACCGAATTGTGCCATCTCGATGCGGCCACCATTGGGAGGATATCATATAACCAGTCGAGGCTATTTTGAGGTCTTGGCAATGGTGAAAGAGGGCAGAGGGTGCAGGGATACAGGAAAAGGGAGGGGCGTCGGGTGAGGAGCAGGATATATGGAACCGAATCCAACGAGCGAAGAACGAGAACGGTCAAAGCTCGTATTCTGGACCGTCCAGTCATGTGTAGGCTCATAACGCATCATAGAGGGAAACTGTCCGCCAACAGGGCTGTCTACTCGGTGTAGAATCCGGTGCAGTCCTCGATGCCGTGGTGATGTGCGGATTTCGCGGCGCATTGTAGTGCCAAGTCAATAAGTCAAGTTTGAGTACCTTGATGGCCCGGCCCGCCTCTTCGCGCCTGGGCAAACTCGGACCGGACATGGGTGGTGCATTACGAGCTCACAATAAGTAGGGCCACTCTTCGCGTGTTTGAACGTATGGGATGGCAAGGCGATCCTTGAAAGTCGGATTGACGGTAAACAGAATAGGGCATGTTATCATATGCCAGGCATATGCCAAGTTGAAAGGGAGGGGTGAGATGTTTCTGTGGATATCCTGACCTGACTTACATGGCGTCTTGGCGAACTGAGGTGAATTCAGGCGTACACAGCAAACCGACCAACCGCCATTCTAGGAGGATCACTCAATTTCAGTAATCATGTTTCTTCTTGCTAAGTATTGCTAAAAGATATCTTGATGCACTTTACGTTCCTAGGGTTCGGGAGGTTTCCTTGGCGGTTGATACATGTAGCTTATTCCCCCGAATACAACACCACTCTCAGAAATCTCACTTCACATTGTCCTCTTTGCAGTCTTTCCATTTTGGCATCTCTGCCCATATACATCCATTGGTGCTTGTAAACCGTTACTCTTGCCTGCCCAAAGCCACACCCAACTAGTCACCCAAAAGACCACCACCATGAAGGCCTCTCAGATTTTCTCCCTGATCGGCTTTGCTGCCTTCGCCCTTGCCCAGAGCGAGAGCCTCGCCCCTTCACCTATGGAGAGCGTAGGATGTGAACCCCACGGAGATCACTGGTAAGCACGATCCCTCTCTAGAATGTCCACCCCGTCTTCCACCTCCCAGAGACCCGAGACGAAGACAGTGAAGCCATTCTGAACCCAACGTGATTCTAATCTTCCCCCCAGGCACTGCGAGGGTGCGCGCGCTACCACCGCCGCAGCGGTCAGCGGAACCACCCTTGTCACCAGCGTCGCTACTGCGACCACGACCGCCACGGAGGACCACGACCATGACCATGACCACGATCACGACCACGATCACGATGACGAAGACCACTCTTCCGGCACCGGCAGCCTTGCGCCTTCACCCACCGAGTCTGTCGGTTGCGAGCCTCACGGTGATCACTGGTAAGCTTTCCATACGTTTGGCGCCCCTCCTCCTTCGAAAACGATCTAAGCATTTGGATAGGCACTGTGACGCCGCGGCTACCGCCGTAGTCACCGGCACGGCTTCTGTTTCGGGCTCTGAATCTGCCGTCCTCACCACCACCGCTGCAGCTACCACCGGCGCCGCTGGTACGAATGCGGGCAACAGCGCTTCTCCCAGTACTACTGCGGTTCCCGCCGGAGCTGCTCGCGCTGGGTTCGGTGCTGCTGCTATTGCTGCCGCCCTTATGGCCTTGTAAGGGATGCATGGTTGAGCGGGCATATTGCGTGCCTTACGTCGGGGCATCTAACGGATAGACATGGCATTCATGAGATTAACGAGGGAGGAAGTCAGCATAGCAGATCCGGGACAGAAGCTGGGGAAAACTTGGAACTTCCACGGGCGTTTGCCTCCTTTCTTCCACTCTAAGAGCGGATATGGGCATAATGGCATTACTCACAGCCTAGATTATAGTCTCATCTAGTAATTTGACTTTTGCATGCCCACCTCACCGTAAATATTAATGGCGAAGTAGATCAACCATCTTAAATTCGCTACATACGGGTATCTGAATAATGAGGATTATTGGGAACGTGTTGCACGTATCACGTCCTGCGGGTCGCAATTTATTGTTTTGGAAGCAAGATGAAATTTTCATTATCTACGAATATAGCACCAAACTGACAATTTCACCGTCCCAACTTCCAAGTATCGACCCCTGAAGCTGCGCCAGTTGCATCAAGCTCAGGCACAGACCAAGAAATATTAAACATAACCGACAGTCTGGTTTAACTCCAGAAGGCGGGAAGTCAAAACTGCGACCACGCCTGAACCTTCAGCGCGTTCCTTCCAGGCTGCTGCCAACGACTCACTTCACAGTCGGGGGACGTTAGCGATTGGTCTTTACATGACGCCCTGGACGCAGAATTGTTAGGTTTCACCAAGAAGGGGTGTGGCTGAGTATGTCACAAAATGGGTCGGAGAAACCGCAGGAAACATGCGAGGGAACGCCGTCTCTCCTATCAAAATCCGTTTGAATGCTTATGGCTGCAAAGCCCGACATGTTAAAGACATGGTTGGTAGGTGAAAACATCTCATTCGGAGTCAAGTTGGCTGATGTGTCATGGAGACGTTCTTACGCGGCAAAAACGCGAGATCTGTCGAAAGAGCGCACAAAAGTCCCTACAGTCGGTGATTCATGGAGATTGAATACGACCCGGTGAGCCTGCAAGACGTCTTGGCGCTGGGAATTCATCATTGCTACACAGTCTAGAAAGCTCAAATCGAGGAGAGCTGGGGTGGAAAACACCCAAAAGGGCGAATCGTGATGGTGGTTGGTAGCCCTGTCTGCTTTATAGGAGGCTTGGCGTGTAGGCGTTGCCACTTAAAAGCCACTGAGGTTGAGGGGAAGGATGAAGAGGAATTTTGCTTGAGTGAGTGTGATAAACCGAGTGAGTGAGTTAGGCAGTCAGCGAGTGAGGGAGTGAGTGGCTGAGTTCAACGAGTAGAGGAAGGAAGGAAGGAAGGGACGTTGAGTTGCGGTCACAGTCAACCAAGAGACCATCAAGGTTCTTATTCTGACGTGCATGTGGGGTGTGCGTACTGCGGAAAGAGGCATGTGGACCCGACGTCGGCGCATCCCATGGTCTGCGCCCAATCAAACAGGGGCTCCCAGAGGCATCAGCAAGAGACATCGTGACTTCCTGTCTTGGCTTCTCCGCCAGCGTCGCTTCCCATCTCGCCAACTGCCTCTTGTACCTCTTGCCCATGGCTGGCCATCCGGGTGCTCAGCCTTGGCGATGGGCCTCTCAGCCTTGGCAAACAGTCCGCGTTGTCTTATGCTTTTTTGCTTTGCCTTTTCCCTGTATCCCGCATTTTTCCCGACACACACCATCCCTGGCCAGAGCCACGCACTTTTGACGACCGGGGCCTTTGTTGCCCACGTTTGCACGTTTCCCTGCTGTAATATCCTGCAGATATGGGCTGAAAAGACTGCAGAAGTGTCTACGTCTTCATTGGCGTGCAGCGTACAGCTACGATGCCCACCGGCCGGGAACCGCTCCCAAAGTCATCCGACGAGAACGTTACTAGCCGCCGCGGCTAGGGACGGCCGAGGGCCAAGACAATGAAAGACACTGCAATTCAGGCCGTGGAGACTCGCAAAAGAACCTGGCAAGGCCCTTTCGGTCACACTGCTCTGTCGCGCCCAGGCACAATTGAACAGCCCGTCGAGGAGGGGAACCTGAAAAAGAAGAACAATGGATGGCAAATCCGCGCATATTCGATATGGGAACTGGCATGGATCTGATCCGCCGCATCTGGTCCTCACCCTTTTTTCCTCGTCACTCCCATCACACTACAACCAAGACTGGCCTCTCCATCTCTCGCCTCCCTATCATCCCATCTCTTCTGAGAAGCTCTCCTGTTGCAGAGAGACTTCCGCTTCAACCCCCCTACGCCTTGAGACCTCCGTTCCATCACCCAGAGTGATTCTAGCGGACAGAATACCGGCTCTGTGACTTGGCTTTTCCACCCACTAACTTTCTCTCAAGGTGCTCACTCTCACCACCTCTCCAGACTCGTTGTACCTCCCCTCGGCCATATTGAGCTTGCATAAAGGAGCTGGTCGAGAACCTTTCGGTTGATAGAGGCTTCTTGCAGCAACGTTCGGACTTGGACTTCACCCGGAAAAGCCAACCCTGCCAGCCCATCTCAGCGTGTACAAGGCCCAAGCTCGATTCTACTTTGTTATTGACAGCTTTCCCAGCGTCCCGATTTAGAAGTCATGGTCAGATTCACGGCGGCTGCCGCCATTGCGGCTCTTCTGAGTACAACATCAGCCTCCCTTGTCGCACGACAGACGGCTGCCAGCACCACTACCGCTGTTGGATCTGATCCCACAGCAATCTCTCAATGTTCTGTCGCTTCATCTACACAGTATGTACCTGCAGCCGCTTTATCACCGTTCAGAGCCATCGAACAGTCACTCATATTCACTTCAGGATCTGCAAAGCTGGAACAACCGAGTTCAGAGTCGTATCTACCCCGACTGGCTCGTTGCCCACCTCGTACACTGGATGCCACAAGCATGCCACTGAACTGTAAGCTCATTAGCCATTTCACTGGTAACTCAGCCTCACACTTTCAATGCTAGATACTGCTTCTATCCGGATGGCGAGGTTGAAGTTGAGGCCGCCAATGCGCCGTCTACCACCGCTGCTTCGACAACCGCTGCTGCCATTACTGGCGCGCCAACGGCCGTCTCAGACTGCCACCTTCACGGAGTAACAGTGCAAGTGCTTCACTTCATCGCGCAGTGGTCTATACTGACAGAATTTCCAGTTTCTGCATGTGGGGTACTACTGAATACCAGGTCATGACGACGCCTACCAACACTGCCGCCTCAGCAATACCGACAGCCTTCACTGATTGCCACGATCACGGCGGTGACACGTACTGTCTCGCCCCGAACGGGGACGATGTCGAAATCGTCGCTGAGGGCGCCGAGTCGTCCGACCACGACCACACCAGCGGCGAGGAACCGCAGGGAGAGAACTGCCACTTCCACGCTGGAGTCGAGCACTGCGTCGGCGCAGGTGAGAGTGAGAGTGGCAGTGGTACGAGAAACTGCGAAAAAGTCACCCGCGACTATAACATTCCTCTGCGTGTTGGTCTTCTCTTCGTGATTCTCGTTACCAGCGCCTTTGGAGTCTACTTCCCCATCTTCATGATCAAGTGGATGCCCTCCAAGACGCATACCATCTTCCTCATTTTGAAGCAATTCGGCACGGGTATCATAATCTCCACCGCATTCATCCATCTGTATACTCATGCTCAGCTCATGTTTACCAATGAGTGCTTGGGAACCCTTGGCTACGAGGGAACTACCTCTGCCATTGTCATGGCCGGTATCTTCCTTTCTTTCTTGGTCGAGTACGTTGGGAAGCGCATGGTCATGACGAAGATGGCCGCCAACCCCGGTGCTATCACCCGCGTTTCGCCCGAGACAGTCGCTGTGTTGGTTCTCGAGTGCGGTATTATTTTCCACTCTATTCGTACGTTATCCCTCCTTTACACATCCTTCATATAGCGTACTGACGAAGGAACGAACAGTCATTGGTATCACCCTTGTCGTGGCTGGTGACACATTCTTCCTCACCCTCTTTGTCGTCATTCTCTTCCACCAAATGTTCGAGGGCATCGCCCTAGGAACACGAATCGCCCAGCTTGGCCAGCCGACCCGGGCCGAAATGGCAGAGCGCCCTGCCTCGGGTGCCCCCGCCGAAGTCGAGCAAACCGCTTCCGCCGAGGGCAGTCTGAGCTCTCTCAAGACTCCCAGCTTCTCCCTCGTCAAGAAGCTGATCCTTGCCAGCCCCTTCGCTCTCGTTACGCCCGTCGGCATGGCCATCGGTATCGGTGTTCTTTCCCAATTCAACGGAAATGACCGCGACACCATCATCGCCATCGGTACCCTTGACGCGCTCTCCGCTGGAATTCTCGTCTGGGTTGGTCTTGTAGAGATGTGGGCCGAGGACTGGATGCTTCCCGGCGCGGAGCTCCTGAGCACCGGCCCGATCGTCACTGCTCTCGCTGGCTTTGGTCTTATCGCCGGCATGATTATCATGAGCGTGCTCGGCAAATGGGCCTAAGCCAAGGTTCAACAGTGACGTATAGAGAGGGACAGTTGGTAATGAATAACGGTACAGGCCATCCGGCACTGCGACACGTCTAATGCGGAAATGGGAAAAGTTTGTGGTAATCGGACCAGTCTTTATCTTGATAAATGCTATACTCTGAATGATTGTCATGATAGTATGCTTCCCAGCATCTCCTACGAATTCTTTTGCTTCTCCGTTCATGAGACTCGAGGGAAACCTCGCCAGTGAGAACATGACTTCCGTCATCTGCCATGTTATCATAGGTAGCCAAACAACTTCAACCAACCGTAGGAAAGGTCTAGTGTAGATAGGTAGCCCTCTGAAATCTGAAAATTGCCCAAGGCTCACGATTTACAAAGCAGATCTCCAGCCTCCCTCCGCCTCAAAGATCTCGCCTACCGCCTTGGAGACTACCAGCAGGTGACGGTCATGGTACCGAGGAGCTACCAGAGACACGCCAACAGGCATTCCATTTGGACCTTTGAAACCCGGGATGTTGACAACGGGAACATGGAGCGCCTACCAACCTCGTTAGCCATATCCAACCAAGAGTCACCACGACAACACGGCAGACTCACTGTCCAGGGAGCGTTGAAAGCAGCACTCCCGGTACTCGAGATCCCCTCAGGCGCCTCATCAACAACACTAGGCACCAACACGGCATCATACTTGCTCAGCATCCTATCAACCTTGGGGCGCGCGATGGCGATGTTGTCGAATGCCTCCAGCTGCTCCGCTCTGCTGATCTTGTTCGTGTTATCAACGTGCGAGATCAAAAACTCGTGCAGCTGGTCCTTGGCTGCGCGGTAGTCGGGAAGGAAGGCGGACCGTCCGTCGCTATGCAGAACTGTAGCATGCCACTTGGGTAGATCCTCGAGCTCAGGGTCAAACTGAATCTCCTCGACCTCGGCCCCGTGAGCTGTGAGAAGCTCTGTCGCCTTCGCCATTGCTGACTGCGTGCCCGGCCCGGCTTGAGGCCACACCATGGTTTTCAATAAGGCGAACTTGGCGCCCTTGACGGTGAACGTTTCGTTGGGAGGCTCGTCGTCCTTCAGGTCAAAGACGTCAGCCATCAACTGCAAATCTTCGACGCTGCGGGCGAAGAAACCAAGGGTGTCCAGGATCAGGGAGTAAATCTTTTGGCCCTCGCGCGTGATGGAGTTCCAGGTCGGCTTCAAGGCATAGATGCCGTTGAAAGATCCTGGCCGAATGGTGCTTCCGCCAGTCTGGGTGCCCAGGCCAATCGGCGCTTGGAAATCCGCAATTGCAGCACCTGATCCGGATGAAGAGCCGCCGGGCGTCCGATTCGTGCCGTGCGGATTCACCGTCTTTGGCCCTTGAACCGTCGCCGCGAATTCAGTCGTCGTTGTCTTGCCTGCGAGGGTCAGATTTTCACATAATTACGGGGATTTGCGTCGTTGGCATGAGGCCCTACCGAGAAGCAATGCGCCGGCTTGTCGCAGAACAATGATGGAACCGGCGTCGACTTTGGGAGCGTCTCTGGCGTAGATTGGAGAGCCATGCTGCGTTGGCATATCTTGGGTCTGGTGTCAGTGCTTCGGTTGCGACCTCGGGAGATGCCTTCACTCACCTTTGGTGTAGATGACGTCTTTCACCGCGATCGCAACGCCATGCAGAGGGCCTCGTTTCTCTGGTGGTATCAAGTCCAACTCCTTCGCCTGTGCAATCACCTGTTCTGGGTTCAAGTACTCCCATGCCTTGACGACGGGGTCTCGTTCCTCAATGTGAGACAAGAGCGAGCGCGCATACTCTTCCACGGTCAACTCGCCCGCTCTGATCTTGGCCGACACCTGGGTCGCCGTGAGTCTGTACGGCTCAACTGTCATTTTGAGCGAGGACGTTGGTTTCCCTTGCGGTTCGCAAAAGGCTTATTTACTTGAGCTCCAGCCTGAGTTGACAACGTCGCAGACGCGTCCTCTGAAGCAAAGAAGAGCGAGCCGAATAAAGAAGGCGGGGTAATATCTCGCACGGCTGTTGGTCAAAGTCACAGCGGAGCTTGTTTCGAGTGGGCTTTTTTCAAGGTGATTAGCGTCGATGCCGGTGTAGATACTGTTCTGAGAATCAATACTAGTAAGGTAGGCAACGTTCGAGTTGGCAACGATGGGGACGAGACACAAAGTGGTGGTAGCGTCCTCAAAAGTTGGAGTAGTCTGGCGTCTTTCCGGCTATTTCAAAGGCGTTTTCCGCTGACCCCAACGGCCATAAAGGGGGAGGGGGGCCCATCCCTTGGTACTCCAACCCCAGCAGGCCGTTATCGTCGGCTTTAGGTCCGCCGCCGCGTTGTTTCCCCCGCAGTCTTTCCTCTCATGCCTCCAACAGCGGCGATCGCAACACTTGCGGTTCGGAACCTTTCCACCGAATGAGGCGTTCTCGCTGTGTCTGTTCCGAAGCTGAGCTTTCGATAAGCAAAAGGCAGCCCGCTGTATTACGCAATGAGTTGCCTTTGTTGGCCATCGGTACTTGGGGGTGGGTTCTTCCGTCACATCACGGCTGGCAACATCGAAGTTGGAGGGGCCCAGCTGTAACTTGCCGATGCCCCAGAAATGGAAATTGGGAGTTGCACTTTGTGAGAGCATTATCGGCAGTTGGATTTCAAATTAGGGAGAAATAGTCCTTTGCGTATCAAAACACTTGATTAGGTTCTTATTCGCTCGCTCTAACTTCTCTGGACAACTACTTTTAAGCCTCTGACTTCTAAACTTTCTCCCCCAAGTGCAACTCCTCACCGCCGTCAATCCGCAGAGACGGCGGTGCATAGATCTCGCCTTCCCTTTCGCCTTCAAAGAACCCATCTCGGCCGTCTTTTGCCAGCCATTCGTATTCCATCGGGGCATTCTCATAGCCCGAGGGGTACACCTTGGCCTTGAAGAACTGCACCAGCACAGCGTAAACGATGGCTGATGTGAAGAATGTCAGAACCCAGCCCATCATGTACATATACTTGGCTGGCTGGCTGACTATCTGAGGCTGGTACTGCCCGACGAGACCAGGCAAACCCATGACCGTGCCTGCAATCCAGGCAAACACTCCGACCCAGTTGACTCCAGACCTGAACCAGTAGAGCCCCTCTTTGGAGCCATTATACAATGATGGCACATGGATATTGCCTTTTCGAACCAGCACGTAGTCGAAAATGATAATCTAAGTGGAATCAGTCACCTGTCTTCAAGATCAATTATTGGGAAACTTACTGCACAGAGAGGAGCCATAAATATGTTGTAACTTCCCAGGAACGAGATGAAAGCAGAGGCATTGGCGATGAGCTTCCACGGCAAGACAACAATTCCGAGGATGGCACAAATGATCTGGCCTCGACGGATTGTCAAGTACCTGGGAAACAAACCAGTCATGTCCGCGCCAAAAGGAAGCGAGTTTGCCCCAAAGTTCGTGGCTAGAACACTCAGAATGAAGCTGAACGACACAAAAAACACGCCGGCGCGGGCCTTTGCGTTCCAGTAATGGTCGAGAATGGCGTCCAGGAGATCCCATAGGTTCCAGTAGGCCTTGCCCCAAGCGCCCTGCAGCGAGGTCGTCGACGCCAGGCCGAGGAAAAAGACGAGAATCTTGGCGAAGAAGACACAGGCTCCCTGGAGCCAGCCAGCATCCCGAGGCTTTTTGCAGTATCGGGCGAGGTCGGGCTGGTTGACGAGCATGGGCGATAGAGAACCCATGATGACGTTGATGCCGCTCATCACGGCCCATCCGACGGGCGTCTTTGCGGCTGCTGTTGCGCCGGCAACAGACGCCGCGCCTATGTTGGAGATGCCGGTTCCATAGGCCATGCACCAGCCAAATAATCCGAAACAGGCGAAGGGCATGATGAAGCCCTTTACGGTGTAAATGTAGTGGATATGAGTCGGGTGTACCCAAGTCTAATATCAAAGTCAGGACATATGTTTCGTCAACGGGAACAGTCCACTTACGAATGGAAACTCAACCAGCCAAAGAAGGAAAAACGCTAAGAGCTGCTTTGAAGTGACATCGGCACCAGCGGGAAGCATGTTGGGCCAGTTGTCCCAGCTATTGCCAAAGATGCAGCGGAAGCAGACGGACAAGAGGTTCGCGCCGTAGTACGTCTGAATACCATACCAGATGACACAAACGATGGCTCGGATAAAAATGAAGAAGTATGAGCCGTACATCCCCATTACCGACCGCGCAAGAACGGGACTTGGACAAAGGTCAGGAAATGCGATACAGGGGAGAAGAACTTTTGACGCACTATCCAAGGTGAAACATAACTCCGGGTCTTGCCATACCGGTCACGACGATGGCGGAGATGAGCGAGCCGAGTACGCAAGATACAAAGGCCTGTTGCCAGGTCTTCTACTGTCAGCACGTATCCTAGAAGATGGTGGTTGATACAACTTACCAAACCTACGGCGATGAGCGAAGATGCGACGTTCCACCCGGTCGTCCCAAACATGTTGGAAAACCAATACAGTGGCAAGTTGTACCACGTCCATGTCCTTTGTTCTGGCGGTGTCGGTTCGAGGTCCTTGTTCGACCATCTCGAGTCTCCGATCTGAGTTCGTCCCTCGTGAGCCTCGGGAGCCTTGATCCAATCCATGAAGGCGTCTTTCGATTGGAAAGGCGCGGCCATTTCGCCCTTCGTTGGTACACGGAAGCGTGCCATTGTTCTCCAGCCTCTGTTGATCTGCGGGCAGCCTTAGAACGGCATGAAACGTCAAAGAGAAAATGTTAATGGAAACCAGCGGCCCTCTCGTTCGACGACCCCGTGGCCTCGGTGGCCATTGCTCATATTAGAGCCCATCGTTCAAACGACAAGCTCTATTGCAACCCTGCTTCCAGTCCCCTAATCGTCGGCGACTTTCCAACCGACGACAAGGCGTTGCCACGCAAACTCGTTGAAGCTATGCGACAGGACGATAAGAGCTGGCCATGGCATATGCGGAGAGCGGTGCTTGGCATGTTGATGGATGGGCCGGGGACCTGGTCTCGGGTTACTCCACCAAGATAAGGCGTTGACCGGCCGTTGGTCTTATCTGCGGTGGACGTCCGAATAGATGTCCCAATCCGGCAAAGACGCGGTCATCGGTAGGGAACTACCGATGTTGACGTATCGCACGAGGTCGGGATGAGGGCTGCTTGGAGAGGGATTCTCAGCTGTTTTGGGCTTATTCCCGCGGACAGGCTAGCCACAGCGAGAGAGTGACGCTGTGCCACAAGAAATTCTGAGAGATACGTAGGCATCGTTCTACGCAGGCGTGGTTGAAGGGCAACAAACTACCTAGATCATCACGCACACCAACGTCAAAGACCCAGCGCTTCGGGTCTAGATGACTACTCCCCAGTTGCTATCTGTTGGGTTCGGGATCTGAATCCGCCGATGTTCACAACCACGCATGCATCTTCATACCTATCCACGAGGGTCTCCAACAACCCTTCCGGATGGCATTGCGGAGGATCCTTGCAGGTGCCGTCCCGACCCCCATTCTAGATCGGCTCGAATTCTTCCTACTTCACGTTCTTGTTGCACACAGATAGACGGACGCCTCGAATCATCACAGTACCTAGGAAAATGACTGCACATTCTCGGGCCGAGGACATGATGGATGACATAGCCCCCGTCGACCCGGCCAGATCCACGCCGGCGGCCTTTCACACAGAGAGCCCCGTGAGCCCCCGCACCGCTCGGCCGGTCCCCGTGTCGCAGAGCCGTAAGTCGCGGGTCGCCTTGGCTTGCAAGCGGTGCAAGAGGAGGAAGCAGCGCGTAGGTTCTCGAAACTCATGGCTGCGTGGAACTCAAGATTTTTGTTGCTGACTCGCTGAACATGGCAGTGCGATGGTGCGCATCCGAGTTGTAGATCTTGCGAAAAATCAAATTCGGCGTGTCTCTACGAGCGAGTGCTGAGACCACACTATCCCGGCGGCAAATCGCTGTAAGGCCTTGTTGACACATAACTGTGAGACTAGTTGGAAATCGCTGACGCACTAAAACAGGTACATCAGCGCCCTCGAAGAGAGAATCGCGTTCCTTGAAGCACGTCTGCCAGATTATGCGGAAGATCACTTTGCCGCAACATCTTTCGTGGCAACACCCCCAGAACCCCAAGCAAAAGGTCCTCGGAGAGACTCACGGGACTCATTCTCAGACGATGAACCGTCGTCACTGGTCGATGGGGTTGCCTATCTGTCTCTTTGCGCGTCCGGCACAACGGACACAGCGCCGGAGCCGTTCTACCTCGGGTCGAGTTCCGGCGCAACGATTGCGCGCATGATTCAGTCTTCCATCTTTCACGGGTCGGGGGGTAGGGCCACGGCCGATGCCATGGCGGCGAGCCGAGCTGCTCCGTCGCGTCCGATGCAGTCACGAGAGAACCCTTTAGAATTCTCTAGTCCTGAGGAGCTTGTGTCTGAGTTCCCGTACCATGAGCAGGCAACGTTGCTGTTCGACGTCTTCTTTGATCGGCTTCATACACGGTGGCCGATCCTGGATCGTAAGCTCTATACAAAGCTCTTCGAGAAACAGTATGATCAAGGGGCCCTCTCCATTCAGCACCGAAGCATCATGCACTTGGTTTATGCCATTTCGGCAAGATTCTTACAATTGATGAAAAAGCCATGCGACGTCGACCCCCAGGTGAGGATCCCCCGGTGAAGAAAGTTTGCATTTGCCAAGCTGACATGAACGTTGTGGCCAGCGACACCTTATGGCGGCCATCGAGCCAATGGATTATATCCTGGAGCAACACAACCTAGCCACCGTCCAGTTCCTCCTGCTGCTCGCCGTTCACGGCACCAGGAGCCCGTACGGTGCTGGTGCATGGTCGCAGGTGCGGTACGCTGTCACACTCTGCATAGAGTTGGGCCTCCACAGGAAGCAGTCCAATGCGTCAAGTCATATCCCACGCGATCTCGAGGTTCGAAGGCGGGTTTTCTGGTCGTGCTACTGCTTGGATCGCATGACGAGCGTAGTACTCGGACGTACTTTTGCCATTGCTGACAGAGACATCAACGTCGAGGTAAGTTGCGCTAAATTAACTGATGTGGGAATCGGTTCTTTCTGACAGTCGCCCAGCTTCCGAGTGACGGCTTCGAGTTTTGGGACTTAACAGCGTCAAAGAGCCCATCAAGTGTAGCGACATCAACTTGGTCAAACATGAAGCCATTCATCCACATTATCAAACTTCGGAGGATGCAGTCCAAGATCCATCGCCGGGTGTACCGGGTCGACAAAGACGTCTTTTCAGGCTCCCCAGAAGAGCGAGCCAGGCTTGATTCGAAAATGGGGGCCATCAGGGCTGAACTAGATGAGTGGGTGAGAACAGTTCCTCACCCGCCAAAGGACGCCGGGACGATTAGCTGGATGTACGACCCGGAAAGCGCCTATCATGACTCCAGAGATTTCTTTAACCTGTAAGCACCCTTATCGAAGTATTTATTGAAAGAAGGTGCTGAAATTAGGGACAGGCAGTATCACAAGTCAGTCCTGTCACTATTCACCGTCCTCCTCCCGACGCTCGACACCGCCGACTCGAAATTCCTCACCACAGCCCGCTCCGCAGCCTGCGTCTGCACAGCCTACAAGCGCCTCAACCAGCAAAAGACACTGAGCTACACGATGCTGGCCTTGCACTCGTGCTTCATTGCCGGGTTGACGCTCGTATACTGCCTGTGGCGAGACCGTACCCTCTTCTCGTACGACACGCTAGAAGCCACCCGAGCCTGTTCTCAGTCCCTCACCATTTTTGGAGAAAAGTTCCACGGGGCGGTAAAGTACCGCGACATCTTTGATGCTCTCTCCGGGAGCCTGTTCAAGGCCATTGTGAATCCGCTTGCGGGCCCAGACACAGGCCTGAAGCCTCTCCAGGTGGATCTGGAAGCGGAGCCGGCGGGATCGTTAATGGCACCCGCGATGGCTTCGGAAAGCGGGGCCACTGTACGGGGCGGCGGGGCCGATGAAAAGTCATCCGTGGCCCATGCAATCTCTAATGCCGTGAAGGAGGCGTTCATGGAGGTGGACGAAGAGGCACCTGGAGGGTGGCATAGTTGGAGAATGTTCAACGAGATGGTGCAGCCCGACCTCAACTCTAGGTCCGGTCAAGACCAGGTGAACCATGATGAAGCGGGCCAAGCAGGCGGGAAATGGGACAGTCTTGAACTTGAGCTGGGGTTCACTGAAGAGCTTACACAAGGGGTCGATCGGGGCATGATGGAATCTGACTGGGACTTTGGCGGGTTGGAAAAGCTGCACTGAGATGGGCCTCTTCGGAGCTGAGAGCTCTGCCTCACCCCTGCTTAGTTTACTCCGGCCAGTGTAATTAATCTGGTTAGGTATTTCCAGTTGAATTGACTTGAAAAGACAAGAGAGAAGAAGGGAGAAGGGAAACGAAGACACAAACACTGACAATGATAGCGGCAACTAAAGAGAATGAAGACAACTATGGAATAAATGACATGCTTCTGGTAGGGTGACTGCTGTGATACAAGGCCTGCGAATTGACCGATTTTCTCACAAGCTGATTAGTCATCTCAAGCCGGTCGGTTAGCTCAGTTGGTTAGAGCGTGGTACTAATATTTCATCAGAAATGTCGAGTAATGCCAAGGTCGGGAGTTCAAGCCTCCCACTGATCATTCTTTTGCCTGTCTCACAAAGTCCATTCTTTTTGAGACCTTGTTCTTTCTCAGGAGACCTCCTGAATGAAGCAAACAGAGGATAAAAATGTTTTCAATCATTGGATCATCAAAATGTATACATCCTAACCTCAACCCCCCCTCACGCCAACTGCCCCTTCTTATACGGATACTTGGCCTTGAAAGCCTCAGCAATCTCCGTCCTCGTCGCAACCCAAACGCCCTCTTTCTGCGCAATGTAATCCACAAAGTCCCTCAGCGCAGCCAACCGCCCCGGCCGCCCGACAATGCGACAATGGAGCCCAATCGTCATCATCTTGGGCGTCCCCTCCTGGCCCTCCTCGTACAGCACATCAAAGGCGTTCTTGAGGTGCGTGTAGAACCCCTGCGGATCGCGGAACCCGGACCCCGTGACGTGGAACTTGAAGTCGTTGCAGTCGTAGCTGTACGGCACCATCAAGCATCCCTGGGGATTCGCCTTGTCGCGCTCCGTGGGCAGGTCGATCCAGTACGGCACGTCGTCGGCGTAGGTGTCGCTCGCCCAGACCAGCGCCTCGCCCATCTCCTCGTACACCTGCGGCACCAGCGTGCGCGAGTGCGGCGAGTTGCGGCCGTAGTACCATCCCTTTGGCGCGTACCCCGTCAGCGACTTTAGCGAGGTGATGCATTTGCGAATATACTCCTTCTCCGTCTCAATGGGGACGTCGTGGTAATCGATCCAGCGGTAGGCGTGCGAGGCGACGTCGTGGCCCTCCTCGACACACCGCGTCGCGACCTCGGGCTGCTCCTCGACGGCCTGGGCGACGGCGTAGAGGGTGAACTTCATCTTGCGCGAGTTGAAGAGGCGGAAGAGGCGCCAGAAGCCTGCGCGGGAGCCGTACTCGTACTCCGACTCGACGCTGTAGTTGCGCTCGTTGTACTTTGCGGGGCCCATGGGGTTCTCGCGCAGGTTGGTCTCGGAGACGCCGTCACCGGCCAGGACTGAGCGTTCGCCGCCCTGTTGTTGTTGGAGTGAGTTAGTCACAATGTCTTTCTTTTATTTCGCTTCTCTTGGCTATGAACCAGTTCGGGGACGGGGCCATGTGAAGGCGCACCTCTTCATAGTTGATGACGAATGAGACTGCAATCTTGGCATCGTTGGGCCAAGGGCAGGCAAGGCCCTTCTCGCCGTAGCCCTTGAAGTCGCGAGGGTAGCCGTAGTCTGGGTGGGCGTGGTATGCTTCGGGCATGATGACGGATTGCTTGCTTGGTGATCGAGTAAGAGGACTTGAGTTGTGGCCTTTACATGTAGCAATGCGGTCCAGAAGAAGTCAGGACAAGGACGCGAGTACGATGAGAAACACTATTGGTAGCACATTGCCAACGCCGCGAGGGAACAATCTTCGAGCAGGCATACAAATAGCAATACCAAGACTGCCATCGGCCATTATCAGCCGGCCAATCGCCCATTCATCGGGCGACGCAGCCCGTCCTGCGTTGCGCATTATCACGGCTATCTGCACTCTGCAGCGATGCGCGCATCCAATATCCCCCCCCCTGGTAGAGCTGACGTCTTCTTGCGAGGCTCGTTGCAACCTGCAGCGCGTTATCACATTGCCTTCACACGCGCATCGCGCAGTCTGGAGGAACAGGGATGCAAGCTGTTGGAGGTAGGACCTGACAGGGAGTTTAGCCCCCATCGGACCATATTGAACCGTTGGAGTATTTCGGAGATTTTCCGTCAACCCAGGGGGTGGTGATAAGGCGCGGGGTCGACGGGGTATCGTCAGTTGTGGGTGCCATTGATTGCGAAATATATGCATGTTGATGTAATGCCCAGGCCTATCTTGACCGGGTCTATCTTGACCGGGAATAGGTTGGACGGGAGCAAAGATTTGACTCGCAGGATAGATCTGCGTCGAGATACTCTGCAAGGCAATCGGATATCCGCACTTGGTGAACCTTGAGTTTGTTACAACGTGAAGACGCCGTTCTATTCAATGCGGTTCCGTTTGTGATTCCGAGAATGCGTCTAATTCCGCTCAATGCTACTGATGCCGTGCCCAACCCATGCTCTGCTACTTTTAATGCCTGGCCATATGCAAGTCGTCCCCCGTCTGATGATATGGCTGTATCCTAGCGCTCATCCGCCTTCTCGCCATCGTTAGTCGGAGTATCCGCCAACGCTCCGTTCGGACCCTCCGAAGCATCATCGGACGGACCCGACGGCTTCTTCGCCTTCAACCCCGTATTCCCAACGCCGAGCGTCAACACCAAACTGAGACCAGAGCAGATGACATAGTACACAAAAATATAATGCAAACCCTGCATATACGCCTCCAAAATGACCACCTTCTCCGCATCAGAAAAGCCCCTCTGATCCAGTGTATACGTTGACGAAGTGAGCTCCGCAATCACCGCGTCCGAGACAAAGTCTTTGCCGTGGAGCTCCCGCCTCAGCGTGTTGGACAAAATCACGCCCGACACCACCAGCCCGAACGCGCCCCCAATGGTGCGTACAAAGTTCCGCAACCCCGTCGTCACGGCCCGGTCCTCGCTGCGCGAGTTGGCGTACATGCCCACCAGCGTCGGCTGCAGCGTCAGCCCTATACCCGCGCCCACGACGATGAGGATCGGAATCAGTTTTCCCAACCCCGTGTCCCGGCCAAAGAGGACGGTCAGCCCGTTGCCCAGCGTCCAGAGGAAGAAGCCCGCGAGGATGCAGGGCATGTATCGTCCGACCCGCAGCATATACTGCCCAGAGAGGATGGACAGCGCCGAGGTCGTGATGATGACGGGGAGGATGAGGGCGCCCGAAACCAGGGGCGGGTAGTTTAGGATGGACTGGAAGTAGATTGGCAGGTAAAAGAGGTTGCCAAAGTACGCCTGGCCCATGAGAAACGTCTGCCCAAAGAGCGCGCTGCAGTGCGGCGCCTGGTACAGGCGGAGAGGCATAATCGGGAGTTTTGCCAGTTTCCACTCGTAGAGCACAAAGAGGACTGCCAGGACGGCACCCACGGCGACGCCCGCGATGACAAAGGGCGACGACCACGGGTACGTCACGCCGCCTCCGGACAGCGGTACGAGAAGAAGCAGGGTCGAGGCCATGTTCAGCGCGATGCCGCCGTAGTCAATCTTTTTGACCTTTTCCGCGTAGGTGCCGGGTCGATGCTTCAACGGGAGGCAGAAGAGGATTGTGACGGCGGCCGGGGCGCTGATGATGGGGACCATCCAAAAGACCCATCGCCAGGTCGATTCTTGGACGACGGCGCCGCCGACAAAGGGGCCGACGCCGTTTGCGAGGGCGAGGACGGCGCCGAGAATGCCTGCTTTGACCATTAACGTCCATCAATTGTTGATGATGTGAGAGAACTTGAAACTTGCCCTGATATTTCCCCCGATTCTCCAACGTCGTGATGTCGCTCACAATGATCATGACGATACTATTAATCCCGCCGCCCCCGATACCCGCAACGGCCCGAAACGTAAAAAGCTGCTCCTTGGTCCTCGAGAAGCCACAAAGAATGTCCCCGACCGCCATGAGCACCAGGCAAACCATGAGCAGATTCTTGCGGCCAAAAATGTCCGACAGCCGCCCGTTGATGAGCTGAAAGGCAGTCGACGCGATGAGAAACGACGTCCCGATCCACGACGTGGCCGTGCCGGTGTCGAGGTCCTCCGCGATGGCCGGCACGGCGGTCGAGACGCTGGTCTGGTCGATGAAGGAGACAAAGAGGCAGACGGAGAGCGCCGAGAAGGCGAGGAGCATGCGCTTCCGCGACATTGTGTTGCGCTGTCCGCCTATGCTCTCCGCATCGCTGTCGTCCTTGGGCTGGTGATGCCCGGCCGGGGCTGGCGGGTTGGCATCTTCGTCGCTGGAGGGCGAATCTGAGCAAAGCACCTGTTGTGATGGTTGTGTGTGCTCGCTCGGCTTGGCGTCGGTGGTGGGTGAACCTCCCTTCATCTTGATGGCCTCGTCTTGATCCTCTTGTTCGAGGAGTCTCCAGGAGGGAGGGCTTGGCTCAGAAAATAGCCCAAGAAATGTCGACAGAGTAGCAGCAAATCTAGATCGATTTCAACAGCTTTCGGTGCCGAAGCGCCGGTTCTCATTTCCCCGGGGGGGAAACTTGCGTCGGCATCGGATGCATGCGCAATGGCTTACTTGCCGCATCCCATTGCGCCAATTCCCATTGAGCCGTTCATCAGAATTCGATCATGGACTTCCATTACGGCCCTACGTAGGCGATCCACCCTGGATATGTCGGCATGGGGTCAGCGCGAGGATTGGTGGCCGTCGCCGCCGATCGCACGTCCGACTTTCTTTGTCGGCACGTTTTGTGCCGATAAAGGCAAGCTATGTGTGTTGTTTCTGAAAGTCGGCCCTAATCCCGAATGCCCTCCCGGGTTTGCGCCGGGCGTATGTGGGCCGCCACAACTTCTCTTTGCGTACGAACATTGCCTGTGCGTTGAGGTTTTTTCAAAGACTTTTGGCGTCAAGAAGGACTATCTAGGTGATGCTGATGGACCAGCAAGGAGCAGAAAGAGCCGATACGGCTTTCGTCGGCACGGGTGCTAGAAGCAGGACTAGGATTAATTGCGCTAGCGAAGATGTTGATGGCGGAATGCTGCTCCATCCTTGATTTTAACTCTGCCGTCGCATACACCTTGTTTCGACCTTTCATGATGCCTTCAAGGCTGTCGTTGTAACTCCTTGCCTTGAATCGCCCTCTGCAGATCACTGGTCTCATGTCGAAGCTATTCACACCGTTGGCCATTGGGCCTCTCCAGCTCTCTAATCGCCTGGCCTTGGCGCCATTAACACGATATCGCGCAGACGATGAATGGACACCGACTCCAATGATGGAGGGTCAGCATACTATTCCCGCCATCGCTCCACCCGTTTAGTATCTGACGCTTGAGGACAGAGTATTACGCCCAGAGAGGCTGTGTACCGGGAACTTTGCTCATCTCTGAAGGAACTCTCATCTCGTACCGCACCGCCGGGCGTCGAAACGTCCCCGGCATCTGGAACGACGCGCACATTGCCGGCTGGAAAAGGGTTACAGATGCCGTGCACAGAAAGGGGTCATTCATCTACTGCCAACTCTGGCATCTCGGTCGCGGCGGCAGAGCCGACGTCCTGGAATCCCTTGGGTTGAATCTCGAGTCTTCGAGTGCGGTGCCCGTTGCCGAGGGCTCTCCGATACCTGTAGAAATGAGCGAGGGCGACATACTGCAGGTCATCGAGGACTACGCGACAGCCGCGCGCAACGCCATCAAGGCTGGTTTCGATGGCGTGGAGATCCACGGCGCAAACGGCTATCTTCCAGACCAGTTCCTCCAGGACACGTGCAACAAGCGAACCGATGGTTGGGGCGGCAGTATCGAGAAGCGCGCCCGGTTCCATCTCGAGGTGACGAAAGCTGTCATCGATGCCGTCGGCGCCGACAGGACGGCCGTCCGTCTCAGCCCGTACAGTGACTTCCAGGGCATGCTCATGGACGATCCGGACCCAACGTTTGAATTTGTGGTCCAGCGACTAAAGCCTCTGGGGCTCGCGTATCTCCACCTGATCGAAGCTCGAATAAGCGGCAATGATGATACAGATTGCGGCGGACAGCGGACGGTGCGTTGGTTGATCGAGCTCTGGGACAACGTGAGCCCGGTCTTGCTTGCTGGTGGGTTGAACGCCAATTCAGCCAAAATAGCCGTGGACGAAACGTATAAGAAGTACGATGTTGCTGTTGTGTTCGGGCGGTACTTCATCTCCAATCCGGATCTCATCTTCCGCATCAAGGAGGGTGTTGAGCTGGAAAAGTACGAACGGACGTATTTTTACACCCCAAAGTTGCCGACAGGATACATCGACTATCCTTTCTGTCCTCAGTTCCAGTCAACTGCAAGGAGTTAAGGGCTCGTTGCGACTTAGGGTAGACGCACATTGCTTCGGCTGAATGAAATTATGAACGGGGTGTCCTCGCCTAGGTAGATATGAACAGTTGTTAAATATTTGTACGAGTTACATTACGCCATCACTCCGAACTGTCATGTCTCGTCGCTGTCAATCGTACACGGTGCAGTTGTCCTCAAGTCTTGCCTCCCTAAGGAACACTTCGGCCCTGAATGACCAGGCCGCTCGCGCGTGAGCCAGACGTGGATCATTATCGTCACTCATTCTTCGCTAACGGTCCCGAGGCGATGCTGTGAGCCAAATCTGCGTGTCGTTCGCAGTAGGAGACTCCTGCTGGACCGGTTCTTCAAGCCATCACCATCGCTGAGCCCTGGACCATCGCTCCTTGCCGATCGAAGTTCGAAAGAGCTGGCTACTCTTCTGATCTTGTCTTTCAGCATGCGAAGTGAGCCTCGCTTTTTCAGGGCGACAGGTTGCGATGTTGGGTCTAGAACGGACATCGCGTTGCCAAGCGACTGGCTTCGAGCGTGAGCGGGCTGATGAGCCGTGGCTATTGGATCTATGCCCAGGGGCCTCGACGATAGGACAGACACGGAAGCTGCGCGACGAACATGCTTTTTGGGGTAGAACATGCTCAGACTTGATTTGGATCTCTGAGGCTGAGATGATAACGACGAGACTGTCGTAGTTGTGCCCAGATTGGCGTGACTTATGGTAGGAGCTGGTCGCTGTTGCGCAGCTTGCAAGAAAAGGTTGGGCTGACTTTTTGTCTGCTGAGCAGCAAGCCTCTGAGAAGGAACCAGAGCTTTACCAGAAGTGTTCCTCGCTATAGGACTTGCGAGAGTAGCCCTGCGACTCCCAGATGTCGATAAAACACCCGTGTTCGCCGTCGGCGTCGACTTTGTGCGCGTATGCGTCCGGTACTTCTCCGGAACTGTCGACCGCCTGAACTCTGGTTGCGAAGGAAGCGGTTCCTCGCCAATCTCGACCGCGGCAGGCGTATGCTCGATATCGAATCGTCTTCCCGGGCGCCGCTTAGCCCGTAGTCGCTTAAGGTACTCCTCTGAGTTCACATCGCGGAAGGACATTTCGGCTGCGGCTCGTTCGGCTCGTCGTTTTGCTTGCCTGTTGAGGTGGGCGACCTCCTCTGAAGAGAGGGCCATCGTGCGTTTCGGAGGTTGGAAAACCGAGTCGGGGTGTAAGTCGGGACGGATCGTGGGCCCCTGTAAGCTCTGTCTGGGTGTTTGTCGAGGTTGTATTATAGGGTATCGTGGACTCGTGCTGACGTTCTTCGTTGTGTCGAAGTTTTCGTTGTTGTTTGGATAGTTTTCAAACGTCCCGTCCGTGTTATGGGGCCGTCTGCTGACCAAGGTCCAATATCATCACTATTCAGTCGAGGCTGGGCGCATTCCAGGCGTGGAGAGGTTTAGGCGGACTTTGGAGTGGAATGTCTCGCTTCGAGGCACGCAGACCTGGCGGGGGTGGTCGGTACGTTGCAAAACGTACGAGATGGAGCAGTTCCAAAAGGCTGAAACTCGAAACGGCCGTCTGAGTTCGTCTAACAATCGTACGAAGGAGCTCCCTTGTCGCTGGTTGAGAATGCGCAGCCTCCTGGAAGGAAATTTACCTGCGACGCCCGCGGTGCTGGGGTCCCCTCCGAGAGAGCCGCGCCGATAGAAAAGTCGTGGCCTGCAGCTCAGAAAAAGAGATTACAATGTGCCATATCGACGTCGCAGAATATTCAAGCACGTGCTGCGAGGCTGCTGCAAGGAACCGTCCGTCGAATGTGTGTTTGGAACTGTGTCCAGGACAACGTCAAAAATGTCGAATGTTGGGAATGGGATGGCCCTGGGAGAAAGGAGGAGCTTGGGGCAGCTGGTCAGTGGAGGTTGGCGATGGCGGGTGCATTGGTGGGACGATGTTCTTTAACTACATATGTCTACGTATGCATATTTCGAGTATTGATATTATACTCGATACAACGATCCAAGCCCATAAGTCGGTGGTTTACCAACACCAGCGACCACATCGCCAACAAAATGACCTTCTGGAAGCTTCAATGTTACCTATCATGAATATTCCAGGTTAAATAAGATGGATTGCTGGCATGAAATTTTTCACTGACGGCTTTATCCTACCGTCTCAACTTGACTACCTCGGGCTGGATAAAAGTAGACCAGTACTTTGAGATGTTGGTAATGATTTTCCAATTTGTTTGGCATGCCTCTCTATGTGTGCCAGTATCTGGTCATTATGCATAATAATACAATGTCATCAAGTCATTCCTCGGAGCACTTTGCCCGCAATCCATCTACAACTTGGCCGCATCCTTGGGGTTCTTGATCTCGACAATCAGCTTGCCCGTGTTGATGCCCTTGTACAGGTCGACGAGTCCTTGCTCCGCCGCCTTGAGGCCGCCCTTGACCACCGTCTCCTTGCGCTTAATCTTGCCCTCCTCGAGCCACTGCGCGAGCTCCTTGCGGGCCAGCCCATACTCCTGGACAAAGTCAAAGACGATGAAACCCTGCATCTTGATGCGCATGGTGATGATGTTGGCGTAGTTCTTGGGGCCTTGCGGCGTCGCCGAGTTGTACTGGCTGATGCCGCCGCACATGACGAAGCGCGAAAACTCCTTGGCGCGCGCCAGCGCCAGGTCGAGGATCTCGCCGCCGACGTTGTCAAAGTAGACATTGATGAAATCCGGGGTGGCCTCCTTGAACTTTTGCTTGAATTCGGGGTCCTTGTAGTTGAGCGCCACGTCGAAGCCGAGCTCCTCCGTCAGCCACTTGCACTTGTCATCCGAGCCGGCGAGACCGACGACGCGGGCGCCCTTGAGCTTGGCAATCTGACCCGCAACGCTGCCGGTGGCACCCGCGGCGCCCGAGACGACGACGGTTTCGCCTGGCTTGGGGTCGCCGACGCGGAGCATGCCAAAGTAGGCTGTCAGGGCGGTCATGCCGATGCCGGAAAGGTAGTCGATGGGTTGGGAGACGGCGGGGAAGGAGGAGACGGGCTCGACGCGGCTGTCGTGGACGACGCTGTACTCGGCCCAGCCGCCAAAGGAGGGGAGGACGTCGCCCTCCTTGGCCTTGGAGGACTTGGAGGCGATGACACGGCCGACGGTGGCACCGCGCATGATTTCGCCAATCTGGACAGGGGGGAGGTAGGAGCGGCGGTCTAACGTGTGGTTGTATTAGCAGCTGCAAAACTGGGTTTTGGGTCATGATGGGGACTTTTTGACATACCGTTCAACCAGCCGCGCATGGCGGGGTCCAGGGAGAGGTACCAGTTCTCAATGAGAATCTCGCCATCCTTGAGGTCTTCGGCCTTGGGGATGGGCTTCTGCTCAGTCTTGAAGGTCTTGCCGGGGATGATTTCGGCCGTGGGACGCTCGGCCAGCACGACGGAGAGGTTTTGTTGCGACATTTTGGGATATGATGTTGAGAAAAGGGGGTATCAAGGAAGACGAAGAAATATGTAGAGCTCTGTATTGTCGAGATATTTGGAGATGGACGCAAACACCACAATATTCGAGACACAACTGGTTCACAAAGTCTTTTCAACCCGAAAATGGTTGGGGGAGCAGCATCACTTTAGTACTCGGGACAACTCCAGCCTTTTGAGCAAACTCAGACTTGGTTTGCTTCGTGTCCCACGTTCCCTCGTTCCCCTCGGGCTTTTCCTCCGCCAGTTCCACCGTTTCCACGGATTACACTTACCCCTCCAAGCTTCAGGGCCGCGCGAGCGTGAGGTGCGTGAGTCGTTTGCACCGGTTTTTTTGCCTTTGGGCTCATGTCATGACTTCATGCCCCGCGCCGGAGCAGGATGACCAAGAGGGACATTGGCCCGCACGAGCTCCGAGGGACTCGACGAGCTGGCGAACGATCGAGGAATGTTCTCCGGCGCACGGAGCAGGGGCTAGTAGGGATGGGGCCTGGAGGCGTTTTTTTTTTTTTTTTAAACTGTCGCCTCTCTCTTGACACACGGTGACACATGTGTGTCTGGCAAACTTTCTGATGGAGTGGTGGATGGGTAACCAAAAAAAAAATGGGTGTGAGCGTGTGGGTGCGGCGTGTGGTAGATTTCCCCGGAGTCGGAGGGTCTGTTCGGCCGGACATTTTCTCTCCTCTGGGCAAGGAGGGGTCAAAGGAGTTGCGTACGGGCGGCGGGCGGGCAACGCGCAAACCTGGACTGCTCCGAGGGGCAGGGACGCGAAGTCGATATGGATATTGGTGTCAAAGGTCTCTACTCTTAGGTTAGGCCCGTCAGGGAGACCACAGGCGGCGGGTTGCTGCGTCTCGTCTCGTTCCCGTGGTGGGGCTGGGTTGATCGGACATGACGACATGCCGAGGCATGAGGCAGCGGCACCTCAGCCTGTCATCTCTGGCTCAGCTCTGCATCGGGGCCTGTCTTTTAGGATTATCGACCTGTCGGAAGTACATGTAGCCTGGTTTGAGAGATGGCGGCACGTCTCTCGTGAAAGTCGAGGGAACAGGCTGGCATTGTCATCAGCCGCTCTCAGTGGCAATCGGTCGGTAGTGTAATTGACAGGTCTCAGGGTCCCCCGGAAGCGACGCTGCAATGCTTGCGATGCGGCCGATGCGACCATGCGGGAACGGGGACGTCGGGAACGGAGATGTGCTGGGGTGCTGGGGTGCTGGCCGTTGACCGTTCCATTCATGATCCCAAAACGAGGTTCGCGGGGTGGGTTGAGACTTGAGAGCGGGTTTGGGCGGGCCAAGGATGTGCAATGCCGTCCGGGCTTAGAAATGCACTTTGTGAAACTGGAAGCTCCAGAGATGATCGGGTTTGTAGCCCACCACGTTGTCCGTACATGCAGATACTGACTGGCATATTGCTGTGCTGCTGTTGGGCTGGCCCGGATGTACGACTAATCATTGCTGATCGAAAGAAAGGAGGAGTGTGCGAGTGCGAAATGGATGCAGATGGTGGCGGACGCCCGCCGTCTTCGAAGCCGAGGCAGTTCGTGGGGAATGATTTTTTTACCTTTCTTTTTTTGGCTTCACCGACGGTCGAAGCTCCCGATTCAGCCCCGTCCGGGCTTGCAGTTCGGCCAGCCGGCCACCAGCCCTCCATGCCGTTCCAGATCAGCCAATCATACTGATGTGTCAGCGCCCGGCCTGAACCTCGGGATCGTGCCCCACTACCTGACCGACACGTACCGAGGCGGGCCCACTTCCGCTACCTTGATGACTCGGTCGTGTTCGGTGAGAGTCGGTCAGACATGGGAGTTTTCCAGCGATTCATTGACGGCATTTCGAGGACCAAAAACTAAGGCGGCGACTACTTTAAGTGATGGCACATGAACCAAATGGACTTCAATATCATTAATCAATTCAGCTTGATAAAAAGCTAGAGTTCTGAATTCCTGGGTCACTGATAGAACAGGCAGAAAGGGGTATTCCAACCGAGTTTGCAATATCTCTGCCATTCTGGGTTGCCCAGATACTTTTTTGAGGGCAAGAGCATGAGTAACTTTATTTTATTAAATGATTCAGTTGTATTCCAGTATTTTTCTCTGGTTCGATAGCCAGGGAACTTGAACGACTTTCCACAAAGTCTTCAGTGTTTCCTAAGCTCCCGTCCTGTAGAAGCGGTGGGCGAAGGGTGAATAGCTTCGAATGCAACATGTGTACATCCCCAGTCAAGATCTGAATGTTCATCATGTAACATAATTGCAAACGTGTCACATTGGAGATTCCCTTCTCTTGTTGTCAGAAGTACGATGGAGACCCAAACAACCATAATCGTGAATATTAAACTTCACTGCTGCCGCAGATACCGTTGGTAAACTTATTTTTGCACAACAGCAATATGACTTTCGGACTCTTGGCTTGACTTGAACCTTCCAATTATCTCACAATTTCTTCCAACCTGGGGAAAGCCCTGATCTTCGCTACAGATTACCCCAAGAATCTCCCAATCATTCCCCCAAATCACTCAAAGAATTAGCAGAAGTTCGTACATCACCTCACTAAGTTGCAAAATAGCGCAGCACCTATAGCCGTCCAAATGGCCGAGCCCTCATGCGAAGCAAAGACCCTGGTCCTGCCGCCCCAGGACCCCAAGACCCCGGGCGATTCAGACTACAACTCGAATTCTTCCCGACTTTCCACCCGAGATCGTGGAACGTATCATCTACCATCTGTGCCAATTATGCCAGTACTTCGATCATTGTAACGAGCCCACGGCTCACGGTCGTAGCGCCCTCGGAACTTCATCGCGACGTGCCAAACCTTTCGACATATTGTCACACCACACCTGCGACATAAATCCAGTTTGTACCCTATCCACCCCCCGAGAACCGACAGGCATGAAGCCCATGTTTTACAAAAATTGGCGAATCAAAGAACCGAGGCGGCTCTTTGGCCAAAGTTCGATACTTTGAAGCAATCTCTAGCTTCAATTTTCAAGGACCCATCCAGTGCAACACCGCTCCGGCTGCATCCCAGATTTATACGGCCGGATCGGACAAATGCTAGCATCACCTTCGAGTCTGGAGAGTCTCGACATCATCTTCTGCATGATCGACAATGATAATGGCTATCGATTGCTCAGCATGCTACCACTCGCTGTCAAAAAGATCACGATCTCTGGAGTGAACAAATACCCCATGCTCTGCTTGGACCGACTCCTTACAGCAGCTACTATGAACTGCCTCCGCGAGATCTGCCTAAGTTGCACGGACTGCTATCTATATCAGCTGGAGATGAAGGCTTAAAAGCAGCGATTGACAGAGGCTTGGCCTGGCATAGACGAAAAAAGTCTGATTTCTTTGAGACATGACTTCAAAGAGAAAGGTGTGGCATTCTTTGGGATCTAAAGCTCTTCAATTTGGCATTGGGAATACAGAACTTTAGCAAGTGCTGGAGATCAGTTGGCAACCTACACCTCCTCTTACAGTAATACGTCTGCATCATCAAATAAAGCTCCCATGATGTTTCGAACAGTTTCTCTCAGATTCGCCTTGTTTCCCCTGCCGAAGTCATGGACCTCACTCGCGTCTTGCCCGTCCCTGAAGCGCAGAGTTCACAGGCATTGGGAGTACCACTGGTTCGCGGCTTGGCACGTGGAACCAGACTGGCAACAAGTAGATCCGGTAAACCCAGAGCCACCGCACTGAGCCCACTTCGCAGCGCACTAGTAGAGATAAACGTGTTAGTCATGGTAAGCCGATGGGGAAACGTTTGGGTCTCACAGTTCCATCCCCGCCACCACTGCTAGGAGGAGGGCTGGTCACAGGAGGGCTGGTCACAGGCGGGCTAGTGCCACCGCCGCCACCACTATCCGAAGCACCGACGGTGATTGTGGAAGAGCCGCTGCTGAAGTATCCCTCCGTAGCCACAATCATGTAGTCGTGCGTGCCGAGATTCAGCCCCACCTGGGCCCAGGCGTTGAAGTGGTTGCCGGTCGTGACGGTTCCGCCGACGCGTTTGGTTTGCCGGACGGACCAGTACTGCTGGAAGGTCCTTGTGCCATCGATTGATGGGGCGTTGGTTCGCGTACTGACGTAGATGTCGTAGGTTCCGCCGTCGCTGGTAACGGTGCCCTTCTTGGTGGCGCCGCTGGAAGGGTTGTATGTTCCGAAGGACTCGACGATGTAATACTATGAAAAGTGTCGGCAGATATTCGTCAGGTCAGAAATATCAAAGCGAACCTCAATCAGGGGGTTTCTAGTCCAGCCATAGATGGCGAGGTAGCTGTTGCCGTTGGGGTTATAGCTGCCAGAATACGTGATCGTCCTGAAAGATAGTGCAATGTGAGCAAAATAATCAAGGGAGTCTGTACATGGGTGTAATATACCTCGGACCACCAGGATTCCAGCCTTTGCCTCCAACAAAGTTGCCACCGGTCTGCCAGACAACACTATATTGGCCACCGGCACCGTTGGTGTAGGTTACTTGGGAACCTCCGTCGGTCCACCACGAGTAGTAGTAGCCATTGTGTGTTCCCGTTGACGAAGGAGTTGATTGTCGTTTCATCAACTCTCCCGGGGCCGAAAGAGCCCCGGTCACGACGGTGAGAGCCAATAGAAGGGACTTCAGAGCAACCATGTTGATTGAATTTCTATCGTGCTACAGCAGCCTCGAGCAGTTTGAGGTTCAAGCATAGGAAAAGATTTGAGCTTTATATTTGTCAACTGCCCGTGCTGTGTCCACACAGCTAGGGAAACGCTACTCAACCCATGCTCGGTCTCGCTTTACCTCTGTAGCTTGAGAACGCGGAGTGTGACACACATTTCCTTCTTGGATATCGGTGCTGGTACCGCTGCTCCATCTAGTTAACCTGGTGTGCCACTAACAACCGATCGTGCACCATTCTTGGGTTCCATACGGGTACAGTGTTCCTTCGTCTCATTACGAAGCCTCTTACAATTCACCCGGATCCAAGTACTTGGCATCGTTCCCATCAAGAAGGAGGTTCACTTTATTGCGTCAAATTCTTCTGTTCGGCATCGTCCCAAGAACGTGGGATTTGATATGCAAATATTCTGTTCCTCACCGTTAACATCATTGAAGTAAAGGGTTTGTTACCCTGGCTCGCTGTCACGAAATTTAGGTCCTCGAGGAAATGAAGCCATGCTACGTAATTATCAGACACCATGACAAGTTCGGGGTATGTCAGCAAATACTACCAACAGATCGTATGTCAGCAGGCCCCACGTCCAAACAGGACTTGAAAAAGGGATGCGGAATATAGAAGCCGAATATGTTCAATAGTCTGCATGGACTTCTTTGATTCAGCTGAAGGTATTTAATATGGAACTGACGGTTTACCCGGCGGCAAAAGAATGGGGGAGGTCGCCCCGCTGACATTTGCCGGTGAGCCTCCCAATCCAGATTTGGTCTTCAAATAGCCGGAGGTCAGCCACGCGATATGAAGTTACACTGGGATGAGACTGGGATAACCCCACAACTGCATTTTTCTCCAAAAGAAGATCGAAGCGCTTAAATTTTCTATGACAAACCCACGGAGCATCACCGAGACCCTCCGTTTCTGTTTTGGCATGGTGATGTGTTTGGAAGGGAGCCCTCCGGTTCACAACGTGAGTTGAGTGCGGCACCTTTGATACATGTGATGCCGGATCCTTGAGATGCGCCATATTTTATTTGAGGGTTGTGGCCTATAACCCGTCTTTTTTGATGCACCTACATGTACTTTAGGTGGTATAGGTGGTAAGGTGGCAGCCGGTTCGTATGCTCCGCCTCACGGTGCTCGACACCGGACTCGTAGGCCTTACAATGGTAAAGAATCCATTTCCAAACCCGAATCAAAATTTAGGTCTAACATTATTACCTGATAGCTTTCCAGCTTTTAAAGACACGTACGTGTGTTGTTTCCTACGCAGGATTCCAAGTTGGCACCAATCCAGAAGCTAACGTTCATCTCGCGCGCGCTTTTCCATGAGAAGGGAGATCCGGCTGAAACTGCTGTAAATTTTCAGATAGTTGATTAAATATGTATTAACTATTCTGAAGTTGACCACCAAGGAGGTCGGCTGGCCTGCAATCTTGATACTGGTTGCTATGATTATGTGTGTGGCCTTCTATGCAGCCGGTCTGGGCTATGTCCCATGGCAAGCAAACGAATCCCTTTCCACAGAGATTTGAGATATGGGCAAGATGATGATAGAAAATCTTAATTGGGCTCTAACATCATCGTTTTCTTCGATATTTCTGTAGATGATGCGGGGTATGACTCCTTTGGGAACCTTGGGTCTATATGCTGGGCTATCGTTTTGGGCTGGGTGTTTTTTGTCTCCTGCTTCCCTGAAGTGACAAACATGACCTTCGAGAAGGTCAGGGGTGTTTTCGACGAACATAAGAGTGACATATGCAGAGGAGTGGCGTAAGTAGAGGAAGCTTGACGTCCAAGCTTGTGAGGAGGAGAACGCTCTCTGAGGAATGGACAGATAGTGGTCCTTCTTGCTAATCCACTCAGCACTATACACAATAGCACGGGCAAGTATTTGAAATCTATTTTCAATCGAAGACCTTGAAAATGATGCCCAATGTCTCTTGCACTAAACCGGGGGCTTTCTCAGAAACGAAGTTTCGATTCCCGTCAATTAGCGACGCCCATCATCCCTGTCAGATCAACGTGACGCTAGCGTGATGATACATGCCTCCCCGGGTCTTAACGTATGAAGCATCGCTGAAGGTGTCGTAGTACATGCCCAGCCGCCTATAAAGGGTGTTTCCCTGCACCCCATTGCCTGATGCAGATAGCACCAGGCCAAAGTCAACACGCAAGTTCTCATACGAGTCCGATAGATCCAGATGAGCAAGAGATGCTCTGTGAGTGGCTGCGTGCGAGTCCTCTACCCTGTCTGGGAAGTATTTGTTTCCCGTCTCCCGACCCGCCTGGTGACTGTGGATCCTATACAGATCTCCCTGTCGTCCGCGCTCACTCCAGCCATCTGCCTCGGTCTGAGATAGCCGACGAAGCAAACATGAGAGAGTGAATGATCCAGAGACTATCCGCCCGAATTGCCCGTCATCTTTCCAATCAACCGTCGTGAATGCAGCCGGCCGAAGAGGTATACAGCGTCCAATGGCTTTGGCTTCGTAGAGAATTTTCCTTGGTTTCGTTGTCAACTTGTACTCACTCAGTGGCCAACAAATCCTGCTAGGCCCGCCAATTGAGGCCCAAGAGAAGGAAAGTGATGGCGATGCTCGATGGACATCGCTGTTGACAGTTTCCGAATTATATGTGACAGGCTCCTTGATGCACCACAATAGATCGTCTATCTCCCACTTTTGCCAGATGCCAGCATAGTATGCGCATCTTATGTCTGTTGCAATGAGCTTCGCTAGACCGGAGATAGCCGGGAGTCTATCAGATTCGAAGGTGAGTCTTGCAGCACAGTATTCCCTAATGAGTTCGCGCCAGCGCCAATAACTGCGCGTATCATTCTCCTTCTGTTCTGAAGGGAGCTGAAGAGAAAGCCCCTTTTTGGAGTTCAGAGGCTCGGTGTCGATATAATGAGGACCGTGTTCTCTCTCCCCCCAAAGCTCGCCTTTTTCATGTTCCCGACAGTCCCAAATAAGGCCTGCTTTGCCAAAGTATAGTGTCCTGGGCGAGAAACCGCGTTCTTGGAGAACCCATCCTCTCTTATTTAGTGGCTCATTTCTAACTGAAACATTGTAGTCCAGGTCCCCCGAGTGGCGTAGCAAGTGTTGAGTATCCCATTTTTGTCGATGTTGCGGTGGCCGTATAGTTGCAGCATAAAGGTGAAGTCCGCCTGGATATCCGCAACCACCCAGGGCACCCTGGAGACTGCACTTGATGAACATGAATGGGTTGCGAAATCTGTAGAGACCATCATTGCTTGTTGTACCTGCCAAGGCGGCAATATTGAGGTGGCAATTCTCGTAGACTTGGCCCATCGAAGCAGCCTCGATCTCCCAGTCGTACAAAGAGTCTTGGATGATACACAAGGCGTCGATCCATATGTAGCGATAACCAAGTGACTGGGTGAGTCTTATGGCATCTTGCCATGTCCTTGGCAACTCGTGAACCGAGAATCTGTCGAACAAGCGGGCATAGTTCTGTGTCGTCAGTTTGACGAAGTCGGCTCCGCCCCAGGCGTGACTCAGGGTGACATATTCCAAAACCTCTCGCCTCTGCCGGTCACTATGTTGTTCGCCGACAAAAGTTTGTGTGTAAGACCTCTTTTGAGGTGCGCGGCACAAGCGCAGAGATTCAGTCCCAGAACTCACATCTACAAAACGGGTTGGTAGAAACTCTCTACTGTGAATTTTGTGCGAGGATTTTCTGCATGCTTCGTGGTTTGTGACGCAATCGTTGATCCACGATTCGGCGAGTTCAAGGCTTGGTTGAGAACCTGTCCAGACGCTGATCGTATCGCTTGTTTTGACATCTGTCTTTGCTTCCGAAAATGAAGCATCGATCGGGACGTCCGAGATTGGGTTCTTTGCAAAAGTGAGGTCGAGTGTTAGTGGACCCGTAGACAACATGTGACCTGAATTGGCCTTCACGAGGGATAGTTGAATTTCGAGGCTTGTCCGTTGCTGTCGCCACGAAGACCGATTCCAGGAGGCAGCATACAGAGGAAATTCTACCATTACATTTGGTATCAGATCCAACTCGAGGCTTTCGGCGGACTCGGCGAGAAGCGGAGGAGAAAGAATCGTGAGCCAAAAGAGAGTGCAGAGGTGGCATTTGTTCTTGAACGATGTGTTCAAACTCCGAAGATTGCTATGGAAAGGGAAGATTTGAGATACTGATGCCAAGTCTGCAGACGAGTCTTTTGAGTCCTCTAAATCTTTTTGTTCTTCTTTTCCGGATGGGACGTTGGTAGAGGTTATCTGGTTGACTGATTTTTCCAGGTAATTGCGGAAGGCGTGTGTGAACCCGATGCACGTGGCGCACAGATAGTTGGGTGTCACGACGTCTTCCTCAAGAAAGTGTCCCGAAATCGGATCTTCCAACATTTTCGTCTTCAGTAAAGAGTCTGGGCTGACTACATGTGACTATCTACGTAGTCCTTAGAGGTCGGCCCGTTTGTAGAAGGAGTTTGGGATGTCCCGGATCGGCTCGGGAGTTGCGTGATTGAAAGCATTGGAAGCAATAGAGTAATAGTTTTGCGGGGTTCACAGCAGCGCTGGTTTGTTTGTTCCAGCCTCTCATGTACTGGCGCTACGTCCCATTATAATGAGGGGGCACCAATGAACGAGGCCGGCCACGCCGTAAGCTGATAGGCAGCAACTGCACGAAGTAAGCAGACAAGTTAGCTCCATCCTCGAAATGTGGACCAGGGGAGCACCGTTATCTTCAATCCCCATGAAACGACATAGCAATCGAGATTGCAGTAAAGAGCTGACCTGAGTACTCGGCTTCACACTTTACATTGCGTCTTTTGACGCACTGGTTTTCTTTTCGCTTCCAAATGCTAGAGTCAGTGCCAGTGACTGACGACTGTACCTTGGACGCCGCAGAAATCTTTAATAGACAACAGTCCTACCAAAAGAACGTCAGCATTCATGACGTGCCGAGTCATCTACAGAATCAAAGTTGATGATAATACTGCCAAGTAAACAGGGCAGTCATGTCAAACCGGCAGAGTCGCGGCCGGACCGATCAGGGAGACGTCGGGAAGGGCAAGTCACAGCGTCGCCAGTCGCCGGATTCGGAATACTCTACGCAATGGGACGCCATAGCATGCGTCTTGGCGCAAGTCCACGACCGAAAGACTGTCGAAGAAAGCTTTGAGTCTACCTATCGACGCATCTACAAAGTTGTGCTCATCCGCAGAGAGGACAAGCTCTTTACCGACACGATCAAATGGCACGAGGAACGACTCCAGGTCATCTGGTCCAAGCAGAAGGGCAGACTTATAGGAGCAGGTGGTTTAGACTCGGGATCGCAAGTCAGATTCTTGCAAGGGTTTTTGGACGTTTGGATGAGTTACTGGGAAGCAATCAGTGTGTTACCCGATCTGCTTTCATATCTGGTAAATATCCCTGAATCAATGGGCCCGTCCAAGAAACGTTGAACCCTCACGCGGGGCTCCACGTATCAGGGACTTGTTGCCACGGGGCCATTCACTGACGAGCCTGCACAGGAACGCGTGACGAAACGCAGCCTTCTAAACGAGTGTATGAATATCTTTCTGGCTTCCATTACAGCCTCCGGTTCATCATCGGGATCCGTAATAGACTCAATCGCTTTTCTCACTTATTCGCACGTGTACGTCCGACCACTTCAATCTGACGATCCTACCATCAGGGTTCATGATCTTGCCGGTTCTTGTTATCGAGTCATAGACGGTCTCTGCGAAGTCGGAGGAAAAGATAGCCGACCAAAATTCATAGACCTCATCGAAAAGAACTACCTCGAAAGGCTCCGCGGCTACTACCAGACATCAGCAGAAGTCCTCGCATCGCAAACCTCAGTTGTCGATTTCTGCTCTACAATCCGACGTTGGCTTTTGGAAGAAGAGTGTCGCTGTCATGTTATCCTCCCCCGGCACATGGATGAGGATTTGCAAAAGCTCGTTGTTGCTGTCGCACTTGAGCCGCATCTTGATCGGATAATTCGCAGAGATACTCAGTCAGTATTCAAGTTGCTTGATGATGGCACTACCGGAGACCTTGGAATCGTATACCAGACGACCAAATTGGCGATGGAGGGTCCGAAAATTTTGCTCAAAGTCATGGAAGAATGGCTGTCGGCTGCTACAGGAGTACTACTCGGCTCGAGTGCAACCGCAGAAAGCAAACTTTTGGATTTGATTCGACTGGATATAAAGGTTTATAATCTCCATGGCCAGGCTCTGATATCGGATCCAGATATGGAAAAGATTATCATCACGATCTTGGTCAGTCAAATTAAGGGATCGCTCAGCAGCAGCGAGGGAATCGAAGCGTGGCGGAATTTCGAAGCAGGGAAGCTTGGTTCTGCGAACGAGCCAGTCATTGTAGACAGGATTCGATTCTACGGCTCCATGATAATGAGGGAGCCGGAAGGGGAGAGAGAAAACTAAACGCTCCCCTTTGGCTAAGAAAGACAGTTGAGGAGTATGATAATGACCGTGTTCAGAGTTGAGCTCAGAGGCTTGGATGATCATCGCAGAATTGTTACTGAATCGTTAAAATCAAATTGATTATGGGCATCAGGAGTAATGCATTAGCTTCTCTATTACATTGGGGAATCGCTGCTAGTACAGTAATGGGACAAAGAAAATCTTGGGTATACATGTGTGCGGCCAGGCTCACTACCGACCTGACAAAAACGTCTTCCATCGCTCTATTACCTCGTCCCTTTCAGCTACAGTCGACCTTCTGAAATCTTCGATGCCTTTCCGTAACCGGATGAGCAGCACCTCGGCATTGAGCGAAGTAAGCCTGTGTTTTGAAAATTCCTTTTCTATTCCCTTTAATGTGTATCCAGGAAGACCAAAAATAGCTGCGTTGTTGTCAGTGAATATCCTTGAAAAGTCAAAGAACCTCCCTCCTAGCACCTGGGAAGGGGGAACGAGCACGTATATACTTACCAGCAAAGAGATTAAACGCGAAACCACGAAAAGCCTGATAAACACCTTTCCCAAAGCCCTTTACACCCTCTTTCTTGGCACCCTTGTAAGGCTTCATGACAATACCGCTAAACGCTTCCCACGTGCCCAAAACAAACTCCTTCCCCGATGTCCGAAGCCCGGTCCCGAGGCTGGTAATCTGGTCCCGGCGCCGCACCTCGTGCCCGATGAAGCCGTAGGACGGGAAGTTGTGAAACCCGTTGGCCACGTTGTAGAAGACCGCCACGGGCGCCTTGAGACCGGCCTTGGCAAGCTCGATGCCGTACCGCCCCGTCGCGCGGGCAATCTCCTTTGGCCGGTCCCGTTTGCTCAAGAGTGTCGAGACGGCCGACTGGCGCCTGCCTTGCTCGTCCACGGCGGGGGAGCCCATCATCGCCATCTCAGCGGTCGGGTCGGCGCACTGGAGGGATTTGGTGGCCATCTTCATGGCGATGGCGTTCATCTGCTTCGGCGTCATACTGTGCGCCTTTACGACGCGCTTCAAGTGGCCGGTCCCTACCTCTCCGCCGCCTCCTTCTTGGCCCAGTTCTGGCTGCACGTCTGATCCCTCGCTGGGTTCCGCCGACGGTTCACGCGTGGTGTTGCTTTCCTCCTCGGGCTGCTTCTCGTGCTGTCCGGGCCGCTGGGCTTCTAGATCGATGGCGTGCGTCCGTGTGTGGGCGGCTTGGGGCGGGTTCTTCAAGCGATGCGAGTAATCCGACGTCGCCACGCCGATGTCCGTGAAGAAGGCCGAGACCGCAGCCACGAGGCCGATGAGCGGGTGCTCGGCGCCCTCGTCGACGTACCAGTGCTTATGCTTCAGCAGCGTGAATTCGTGCGGCTTCATGTACCCCTTGTCGACGAGGCATGCCACCGCAAAGTTGCTCAGGTGCGCGCCGGTCTTTTTGTGTCGCCAGTTCGCCAGCCTCTCGGGGCAGATGTCGCACCGCATCGTGTCGAGAGCTAGCCGTTCCTGAATATCCCTCGCCGTATCCCCCGCGCCGTCCTCCTCTGCGATCTGCTCCGCCATTTGCTGCACCGCCACCTGGACCTCGGGCTTGAGAGCGAAAGTGATGCTCGTGGCCAGGGTCTCGGCCGTCATCTCCTTGAATGGCACGGGGGTCGGGCCGGCGCCTGCGCGGGCGATCATCTGGCCCCAGAACGGTTGGTCGCCGAAGAAGGGTACCACGACGGTAGGTCGTCCGCATGCGATGCCCGCTGCGGACGTGCCGGCGCCGCCGTGGTGAACGACGGCTGAGACGCGCTTGAAGAGCCAGTCGTGCGGGCAGTTGCCGATGAGGTATACGTTTTCCGGGACGTCGTCGCCGCCGCCGACGCCGCCCCATCCCTTGGAGACGATCGCACGGACGCCGGCCTCCTTAACGGCTTTGAAGATGAGCTGGGTGAGGGCTTTGGGGTCGTCGACGACAATGGAACCGAAGCCGATGTAAATGGGTGGTGGACCAGCCTCGAGGAAGGCGGTCAGGTCTGGCGGTGGCGTGTACTTATCGGCGAGGGGGAGAAATGAGAAGCTGGTTATGTTGATGTGAGAGTCCCAGTCAGCTGGCTTGGGGATCAGAGACTCGGACCACAGAAAGGTGTAAGGGACGCGGAGTCGGGGAATAAGTTGGCATCCCCATAACGGACTGATGTGATCGAGACCCAACGTCTGTGTGCGGAACTTGTTGATCAAGTCGCCAAGTCTGATTACATGTCAGTGACGGGTAAAAGGCTGCATAGGAAGGCAAAGTGACTGACCCTTGCCACGTTAAGAGCTCCATCATGATAAACGACAGGTAGTTGGCGGCGCTCTTGTCAGCTTCACCATAACTCATCGAGGCCAGCGGGTGATGAAAAGCTTGCGTCGGACACCAAGGCATCGTAAATACCAAGTGAAGTGGAATGCCGAGCTTTTCCGCACAGTGAATGTGAGCCATGGACGGCGGGTTGGCGATGATCGCGTCGGCGACAAAAAGATCATCTACGTTGAGCACGGTGGCAGCCGTCGTGCGCTCGCCCATGCCGTCTCCCGCTTCTATACAACTCCTCCACGCGCCGTCAATAATCTCGGCCATCTCCTTCCTGCGGTGCTTGATGTCTCCGGCCTTGAGGCTCTCCCGGCTGGGGAGCAGTCCCGGGTTCTTGACCATGTAAGCCATGAGCGCCTCCGGGTCGCCGCCGATGCTGAAGAACTCGACGCCATTGGACTCTACGAAATCCTTGAAGACGGGGTGTGTGCAGATGCGGACTCGGTGGTTGTAGGGCTCTTTCATGAGAAGCTGCGCGATGGGGATAAAGGGCTGGACATCGCCGCGGGATCCGACAATATGTATCGCAATGTTCAGCCGCGGGCTCCCTGACGGCGGGTGCTGCTGTAAATTTTGGAGGATAACGCTGCTGCGTCGCCGTAGCCGGGCCTGTTCAAACTCTTCATCGTAGTCGCCAGAGTGCGGTCTGAAGGCGCCTTCAAAGTCGCGAAACCAATGCGCCAACTTTTGCGGATTCTCGTGGAATCTCACCCGTACGCGTCCATCGTTGCCGACGTTGCCGGATGAGGTCGTCTCTGAGCGACCGCTGTCTCCCAGAGCAATATGGCCCAGTCCCTTTGACTTGACGCGGGTGAGTGCCATGATGGAACAGGCTCAATGGACCTCAATGGAGCCCAGACCCAGTGCGCTGGGCTGGCAATAATAAATGCTTAATCAGTCGTCCAGACCTCTCATATGCGACGTGATGAGATGTGGACGAGCCCATGTAAGCATTACTGAGTTTGTGCGCGTGAATGAGATGAACTAGCAAACTCGACTCTGCCGCTGACTCGGGGACAATCACGTGTGTCATGCTGCTCCCCGAGTCCGAGACTTCCTACCCCAACTGCCAGCTGTTTTCATCGGCATTGTTTATCCCAAAACGTCATAGAGGGGCGGCTTTTCGCAGATTAGCGTGGAATGGAAATGAGGTTCCCATGCCAGATGTACGAAACGGACTTAGAGTTTACGCCGTTTGCAGTTAGTCCCCTTGCTCGCCCTTTTTTTGTGGAACTCTGTTTTTTCCCTCTCGGTCTCGCCTGTCTGTCACATTCCTCGTTATCTGGCTGCCCGTTTGGGGGTGACACGGTGGTGTTCGCGCGTATAATCAGTAGTAGGCCTATCCATCCCCCAGGCATTACGCGCATTCGTTTAGGGGCGATGCAGATTCGAACAAATGCCATTCGCGTTTCAGAGATCCCGGTTCCGTTCATTCTGGGGTTCAAGAGAATTGCCGTCAAGTCCAACTCCCGGTGCCCAACTGCGGATCATCTTTGTGTGTTCATCACAAAGCCTCTGGCAAGGCCTTGGCAACTCGGGGAAAACTCTTTCAGAGACGCAACAACCGGATTGTTCCCTGCGGCCAGAGCGGATGCTCGGACGACCAACAACCACAAACTTCGCCAGCTTTTGGCCGTTACCCTGGCCGCAGATCGGGCACATCGGGGGGGTCCCGCCCCCGTCGTCACGCGAATTCACCGAGACTCCGTTCAGTCATGGCTTTCCTTTGCCCGCTCGTGACCAGCGCATTGGCACGGCCAAGATTCCTGGCCTTGAGCTCGGAAAAGACCGCGAGACAACCACCGGCTGGCTTGGCATGTTCGGCTCCCATGCTACCGGCCTTGCCGATTTTCGACGCGTATTGCAGGTTTTCACAACCAGTCTGCTTTACGAGGTGGTGGCCTGCTGCACTTCTGAACCTTACTAGAATCTGCTGCATCTCTCCTCACCAGACACTCCCGGTAAGCCCCTGGGCCCCTGGAAATCAAGCAGACATTCAAGTCAATTCATTCATTTAGCCTATCTTAGATGCGAACGATCACAGTAACCTTACTCCCCCAGAGGCCGTGATATTACCATGCAAACCTGGTCATGTCTCATCAATCATTGCCAGAAGAAAAGCGAGGAGGAAAAGAAACGCAGAAAAGCGAGAACCCGAAGAAAACAAGCCACTAAATACGCAAAAGAAAGTTCCCTTGGCATTGAGAACCCGACAAAACCCAGCTGGGCCTAAAGAAACCTTCTCGAGAAAAAAATCATTGAACAAGTACTTGCGCCCGATTGATGAATAAGTTGGAGAAAGATGCGCCAAACAAACTCTGCTTTAGTTATCGGGAAATTGCTGCCTCAGACTGCTCTTTTTCGTAGCAAGCACCGCCAACTGGGCAATGCTTGAGTTATTCGTAATGTCAAACACGGAAACCTCGGCACCGAGCTCCTTCATCAGCCATGATCGGAGCTCGACGGCCGTCAGGGAATCGATGCCGTACGCGTGAAGCGGCTTGGACGTCTCGAGGTTCAACGCGTCGATGCTCAGCATCCGCGCAATCTTAAGAAGCAAGGCGTCCAGCACGATCTCCTCGGCTTCCTTCAACGAAGTTGCGCCCTGCAGGTGCGCCTTGTGATTGACAGTCTTATTCGCGTCATCCCCCTTGTCCGTGTCGTTTGTCTCCGTCTGCCGCAGGTGGCTAAAGAGAGGGTCCTCTCCCCACGTCTGCGTCTGGTATCCCTCGGCGGCGGTCTCCTGGGGTAGCCAGAGGCGGGGGATGACCTGTGCCCTCACCGCTGCCTGAGATGGACCAGCGCTGGCCGGGCGGCAGTGATAATCCAGCACGGCGTAGAGCTCGTCCTCGGTGATGTGAGTCCATCCGGCGGAGGTGAGATAGTCCCAGAGTTCTGGCTTCTCTGCTACGTAGCCCACGCCGCGAACGATGGGAAGGTCGATCGAGACGGCGTTGACCCCCTTGGAGACGAGATGGTGCGCAAAGGCATCTTGGAAAGTTCCACCTGCGGCGTAGTTGGCCTGCTCGGGGCTTCCCGTCACTCCCACGGTCGACGAGAGAAAGACGAAGAAGTCCGTCTTGTCGCCGAGGGCGTTGTATAGGTTCTGTGATGCGTATACCTTGGGCTGCACCGCGGCCTTCCAGTTATCGAGGGACATATTCTCAACAAGGTTATCCTAGATGTAGATTAGTACTACTGGCTCCATAGAGTATGATCTTTAACTAACCTGAAGAACCATGGAACCTTGGATGCATCCTTTGGTAGGAGGCAGAGTCGTAGCAAGCTGGGCCATGACACTTTCCAGAGCACTAGCATCCGTCACGTCGCAGGCCGGAGTGACCACATTGTCGCACACAGACTCGAGCTCGGCGACCAGGTCGACCGCAGCCTTCTCGACGGCGCCGCGTCTCGAAAGAAGAATAAGGTTCTTGGCTCCGCGAGAAGCCATCCATCGCGCGACGGACCGTCCGAGACCGCCGAGACCACCAGCAATTACGTAAGACGCCTCGGGATCGAAGCTGCTGGCGAGCTTCCGGCTCGGCACAACCGGTATGATGTCTTCGTCGCGAGGTTCGAGTATGATCTTGGCGGCGTCATAATCTTCAGACTGCACTCGGCGGAACGAGTCTCCGATCTGCGAGAAGCTGTAAAGCGCGGTCGGCGAAGGCCGGTTGATGCTCTTCCAGTTTGCGAAGATGATGTCGACCATGTGCTGGAACATGGTCTCGGTGCGGGCGGAATCAAACGCGAGACAAGATGCGAGATCGAAGGATTCTAGACGGATATTGCGACCTCTTGGAACACGTGTACTTGAGATGCCGGCGCCTGAGCCGATATTGACGATGCGCCCGAAGGGTGCGACGCAGTCCACGACGCCATCGGTGACTTCGTCGTCTGCCGCAGTGACGAGGACATTGATGCCGCGGCCCTTGATCAGCTTCTGCTGGACCGTTCTCATTGACAAGTCTCGACTGCCAAAGACGTGGTCTCCGGGGACACGATATTCGTTAACGAGGGTGTCTTGTTCCGTCTGGTTCTTCACGGTCACGTAGACTTCAGCCCCTTGCAGCTGAGCAAGTTGAACGAATGCTTTTCCAATGCTAGAACACCCGTCGTGTAGCAGGACAGCGTCACCCTTGCGAAGCGAGCCGAATTCGCAGAGAACAGCGTAGGCCGTTGTGTAATCGACGGGCAGGACTGCGCCATCAGCCCAAGATACCCCATCTGGCAACTTGGCGAGCAAGCCGTCCGTGGATCGAACATGAGTCTTAATGGTGCCCGAGACCGCCAGTCCAAAGACTCGATCTCCGACCTGGAACCGGGAGGCCGGACCGGTCTTTGTGACCACGCCAGAAGCCTCCAGACCCAGCGGTGACTCTTCCGCCTTGCCGAGGACAGAAGCTACGTCACCGGTGCTGAGTCCACACGCCATGGTCTTGAACTCGACATCGTGGTCTCCCAAGGTTGTCTCAAGCAGGGCATCTTCCTCGAACCGAAGCGAGTCGAGCTGACCAATATCTCCGACCTTAAGGCACAGCGGGCGAGAGGCCTCGTCTCTCAAAGGCTTATGCGTGATGCTCATGACGCCAGTCTGGTGTTGAATATGATCGGTCATGTACTCTGCCTGAACAAGTCGAGACACATAGACCACGTTATTGACCACCCTGAACGAGTTATCGATGCTGTGCTGCGCTGCATCGAGAACCTGGGCGCACCTTTCGGCAATGACCTCCTCGGGGGCGTCTTTTTCAAACGAAAGAGTGAGGAAGTTGACGTCTGGTCTCTCCGAACGAACCACTCTTGCCAGACCGGTCACCAGCTCGGACTCCGGGTCGGGCGCGGTAGAGGTACCGCCTCGGGTCACCCACAGAATGTTCTTGCTTCTGGTGAGTACCCGCTTGAAGCCGTTGAAGGTATCCTCAGTCATGTCCTTCAAAGCAGGGTGATCCAGCTCGGAGAGAACCACGCAGGTTGCATCCGTCAGTTCCTTGTCAGCCAAGGCCGTAAGAGTGGTGGTGTCGTAATGGTTCCTTTGGCTGACTTGCGAGATTCTTGTAGCCAGCTCGACCTGAGCGGGTGTTTCGCTCGTCAGGATGTAGTGCGAGGAAGACAAGCAAGCTGCCGCCTCCGACGCAGGGTTGCTCGACACAAGGATCGAACTCATCTGATGCGGCGATGCTGCAAAATCATCAAAGACAGCATCGAGCCCGCTGAAGCCCGAGGCCCGCAGATGAGTATCCCACGAGTTCGGAGACATCAATGGACCCCAGATACGGTCCTTATCCTCCGACAACCACCACCCATGCAGCGTGCCGAAACAGAAGCTGCCAAGCAGTATCTCGACGTTTGTTATTTCAAAGAGAAGAAGCTTACCACCAGGCTTGAGCAACTTTCTAGCATTCACGAGTGTATCGTCAATTTTCGTAGTGGCGTGCAAGACGTTCGCCGCGACGATGAGATCGTACTTGCCAGCCTCGAATCCCTGGCTCAAAGGGTCATTTTCGACATTGAGCACCCGGAAACCCATCCGCCCGGCTTCTTCCTTGAAGTTCTCTTTGGCCTGCTCAAAGAACGAGGGTGAGATGTCGGTGAAGTCGTAGTGCTTGTACCGACGACCATTCTCCTGCGTCAACGTCGCCATGGCCGGGCGCGTGGCGCCGCCCGTACCGGCGCCGATCTCGAGGATCTCCATGTTGGGATTCTTGTGCGCCATGATGTCCAGGTAGCTGCAGAGCTGAGTGTAGCATCTCTTGGAGCCCAGACCATTGCTGTACACGTCCTCCGCGAGCTTGTCTTTGAAGATCACATCCAGCGGGTCGCGTTGTCCAGTGAGGATGTCTGAGAGTGCCTGGCCGACGGCGATGATCAGCTTTCCTTCCGACGCATTGCTTGCCAGGACCTTGGACTCAAGCTCCTCGATACTTTCGCTGGAAGGCTCGTCCGCATGCTGGCGGGCAACGTGTTGGAACCACTTGACATATCGCTGGTGGTACCATTTCATTTTTCCAACAGTGTCTTGGGAGAGAGATTCTGTGCAACGACGTATGTAAGCTAGGCACAGCGCTTCGCAGCTCAGCATCCAGGTGGAAGGGTCATCCTCCTTTGTGAGCGGCAGCTGGAAAAGTTGTGATGCCTGCTGCTTCGTCAGGAAACCCGGATCTGGTTTCCAGGACACGTTGAAGGCCGGGTGCGTTGGTGCGTCCGACTTCTCTTTCGACGAGTCACCCGAGATAGTCTTGAAGACGATGCCCGACATTTGAACCATCTCCTGGCCTTGCTCGGGGTGTGTCGCCCTCACATCTGACACCACCTCGCTACGTCCTTTGATTTGAGACTTCGCCGTCACACGGTAAGAGTCGTGAGACAGGCCCGGACGCGCCGAGATCCAGCCATCAGCCAAGTATGTCGGCACCCTGGTCGCTCTGGCGTACTTGGAGCTCGAGGCTAGGGCCGCCAGGTTGGCATGAACGAGACCATCGAGGGTAGCCGGGTGAACCAAGTGCGGCTGGACGTACTGGTGCGGCATCAACTTCATGATTCTTTCCAATGGAGAGCGAATCGTCGCCACCATGTCCAAGTCTTTTCCGAGACGCACGTTGCCCAGAGTCTGGAACGTCGGGCCAAAGTTCAGTCCCGAGTCTGCGAAGTTCCGATACAACTCGTCGACAGATACTTCCGTCGCACAGCCGTTACCACCAGACTGACTATCGTCTTCAGAACTCCGCAGGGTGTTTTGATCTTCTGATTCGTACTCCGTCTGCACAAAGCCGTGGCAGTGCTCCCTCCACGCGCCATCTTGCAGGGTCCAGAGCTGAAACTCTTGCCACGTCGAAGCGGTCGAAAAGCTGTTCTCCCGGTGCCGACGGAGGTAAAATTGCGATTCGACACCAACTACATCATCAGGGACTCGCAGGGCCAGCTTGAACGACACGTCCCTCAGCCTGAACCCCTTCAAGACCTTGCTCTTGTCGGCAATCTGTCGACTCGCCTCGATGGCCATAACGAGCATACCCGCCGCAGGGTACAAGATGTCCCCAACGACCTTGTGATCCTCGATCCAGGGGTTCTCCGAGAGTCGAATGTAGTTGCGCCACACCGCATTATTCCCGTTGAAGCCTGGCATGGGCGCTCCTAGCAGCTCGTGCCGGCCTACCGGTCTCTTGCGGAAGTCGTCGCTCAGCGTGCTCTGTACCCAGTACTCTTTCGAGTGATCAAAGGGATAGGAGGGCAGGTTGGTGAGCATAAGTGGCCTGGGCCCATGAGGCTCGTCTGCGTCGTTCACTTGCGCCAGGTTGACGTTGTAGCCGTGGCAGAAGAGGGTTCCGACAGATGCAAGGGCGGTTTCGACACCGGGCTTCTGTCGCATGAGGAGGGAGTGGTAGTCGATCTTTGAGCTGCCACGGACTTGCTTGACTGTGCTCATGAGCGGGCCCTTGAGCGCGCTGTGAGGGCCGATTTCTAAGAAATCAGTAATGGGTTCGAACGGGAGTTCCTCATCAGAGAGTCCGCTGACAACTCCGTTCACATGTTCAATGGCGTCTCCGTTGATGAGGCCGTTGACATTCCCATTAATATATCCGTTCACCTTCGGTGTGTCGGAGCCCTTTAGCATTTCCGTGACCGACTCAGTAAACCGGACAGGCGACACCAAGTTCTTGACCCAATACTCTGGCCGTCGAAGTTGTGAGGGCAGTATCGCAACTCCCATCGTTGAAGAGTAGAACCGGGGCTTTACAGGGCTCCTCAGAGTACCCTGCTGCAGCTCTCCCATCGCCAAAAGGTATTCATCGGCCATGGCCTTCATGTACTGCGAGTGATAGGCGATCTCGACGTTGAGCTTCCTCGCAAACACTTTTTCGCCACTGAGCAACTGGACCAGCGCGTCAATCTTTTCCGCGTCGCCGCTGACGGTGTGGCTGTCCGCGCTGTTCATGCAAGCGATCTCGAGGGTTCCGTCGCCGCCCAGCTGCTGGTTCACCCGATCTATGGCATCCTGTGTGGCCGCCTTGTCCAGGCCGACGGCGGCCATGCCTGTACTCGGTCGAGATACGGAGCGTGCAAGCTTGGCGCTCAGCTTTCCGCGGTAGTAGGCGATTTTCCAGGCCGCTTGTCGTGAGATGGCGCCAGCAGCGTAGGCTGCGGCCACTTCTCCGGACGAGTGTCCCGTGATCGCATGCGGGTAGACGTCCCAAGTCGAGAGCAGATCGATCATGGCAACCTGCAAAGCCGTGCACATTGGTTGGCAGAACTCGGGGTCATTGATACGAGAGGACATCTTTGACTTTGATAGTTCAACTAGTGATCCAAAACTGATTAGCAAACTGTTGCATACGCTTTGCCCAGAGTGTGGGAAAACTTACACGTCAGCGACCAACTGCAGCCGAGATCGTTGAGATACCGATCAGCCGCCAAGAGACTCTCTTGAAAGGCCCGGTATGCCAGCAAGTCCACGCCCATCGTCGCCCATTGCGCTCCCTGGCCCGTGAAGACAAAGGCCAGACGCGGGTTGGTCTTTGCTCGTATGGAAGTTGTCGTGGTTCCCTCGAGGGACTTGTGCAACTGGACCGGCGAGCTGGCGATGCTAAACGTCCTCCAGGAGTGACGGGTCCGCCTGCAGGCCAGTGTGTAACTCAGGTCCCTCAAAAACCGTAGCTGGGCGGATTCCCCGACGATCTGGGCTGCTTTTGTTGCAAGATAGTCCCTGTACGCGTCTCTTAACCGAGAAACGGCATCCTGGTCGTTTGCCGACAGGACGAAGAGACGTGGGGCGTCTTCATTTTCAAAGTCGTCTAGATGGATCCCACTATCCGAAGGGCGGTGAAATCCATTGACGCGGTCTGCGGTGGTTGTCAGGAAATGTCAGCTACATCCCATCATCATTGGCCAGGAATCAGTAAGGAAACTCACGCGTCCCGCTGACGGACGGCGCGTCTAGTTGTCTGGGGATCTTGGGGATCGTCTCCGTGCGGTGGTTACCGACTAGGCGTAGGCTCTTTAGGAAATGGAGCGCATCGTCCATTACCACGTGGGCGTTGCTACCACCAACGCCAAACGAGTTTACGGACATGCGGCGCAGGCCACGCTGCGGCCACGCCGTCGGCTTGGTGGGAAACCTGAGGTTCCACGAGTCTTGGATCTTGGGATTGCGCTTCTCGAACCAGATGTTCCCCGGGATGACGCCGCTCTCCAGCGTCAAAACACCCTTGATCACGGCCGCCACGCCCGCGGCGCCCTCGAGGTGTCCGACGTTACTCTTGAGCGCGCCCACGTACAACGGCTCGTCGGCAGACCGATGTGGCGCAAAGATCTCGGCGAGGGCGCTCGCCTCGATGGGGTCGCCCACGGGGGTGCCCGTGCCGTGGGCCTCGGCGAAGCGTGTGAGCGAGGGGTCCAGGTTCGCTCGGTCATAGACGTGTCTGATGAGCGCGACCTGGCCTGCTTTCGTCGGCTGCGTGATGCCGGGGGATCGGCCGTCCTGGTTCGTGGAAGAGTTCCGGATGACGGCGCGGATGACGTCCCCGTCTCGAATGGCGTCTGATACCCGCTTTAAGACCAGGGCCCCGAACCCTTCGCCGCGGGAGTAGCCGTTGGCCCGGTGGTCAAAGCTGTATGACTTGCCGTCCGGACCCAAAACACCCGCCGCGTCTAGCTTGAGTGTCATCTCGGGAGTCAGGATAAGGTTGCACCCGCCCACGACGGCCTAGTCCATGATGATGGGGGTTAGCCAAGGCCCGGCGTTGGGGTGGCGGGGAGTTAGTTGGTTTCAGTATCCCCGCCCCCTTTGAGTAAGGGACTTTGGTATAATTAAAGGAAAACCTCACCATGTTCACTTCACGAAGCTTGAGACTCATGCATGCTTCGTGCACAGCCACCAGACTACTCGAGCAAGCCGTGTCTACTGTTACACTCGGGCCCCGGAAGTCGAAAAACCACGAGACTCTGTTGCTGAGCATACTTGCCACTGTGCCCAGGGCTGAGTATTTATTCGGGATATCCAAGTCTTTTGCTATGTGATCGTTGTAATCGGCCGTGAAGCAGCCGACGTATACTCCGGTCTGGGTTCCGGCAACGGTTTCAAGAGGAATTCCGGCTTCATCCAAAGTGAGCATCGAGGTGTATAATCACTGTTGATTTAAAGAGAAAGGGAAGATCTTCTCTCACCATTTTCGAGGGCCTTGTAAACACTCTCTAACATTCCTCGTTGTTGCGGATCTATACTTCGCGCTTCTGTGGGTGTAATAGAGAAAAACGGCGCGTCAAAGGCAGATATGCTGCCTTTGAGAAAATGGCCATGGCGAACTCGTGTCTGGTCTACAAGTCAGTTTTCGGGGCACAACGTTGCGTAGCACGGACGGTAACACGCACGGCGCCACTCCTATCGGCATCCGGGTGCCAAAAGGCCTCTGCGTTGTATCTCTCCCGCGGCACTTCCGTCCGGGCTGATCTCCCGGCGAGTAACGACTCGTAGAACCGCTCTGGTGTATCACCGTCCCCGGGGAGTCTCGCGCTGAGCCCAACAATGGCAATGGGATCTCCCATTTTGTATCCGTAAAGGGGGCCTTATCGTCTAGTGTTTCGATACTATTGATTTACTCGGGTCCGTGCGGTAAGCGACGGTGAGAGTTTGGGGGGATCGTGGGAGTCGGGGAAATGAGTTGAGACATGGAACGAAATCCTTGGGACGAGACCAACACCTGGATCAGGGCTCCAGTAGATAGCAGCATTATGAGATGAATTCCACCACTTGATCCCCTCTTCTACTATGCATGTGGACTAGCTGGCTAGCAGGTATTTCTGGCGTCAAGCTCGACAAGCAAATTTACTCGAACCCTGGTCGAAGACCACACGCGTCATGTTGCAATGTACCAATGTCCAAGCAAGCACGGAGATGGCTCCAACAAGCTTCGCGATGACTGGAGTAACTTTTCCCACGGCACGTGGTGCATGAGGAGTAGGACAAGGGTCCCGGACAGAAGGGGAGATATATCAGATACGTGGATGATTATGAACTTGCGGTTGAAGGGCGGCTACGGCTGCCCCGTAGACGACGAGGTTGGCAAACAATGACGATTCCAATGGGCAGCCGTTCGTTAGGTAACCGCGTGCATTCCCATTCCATAAAGTCAATTATTGCTGTGCCTTGGCATGCTGTACTTTAGACCCTGGAAGAGTTAAGGTAGACTTGTTAGTGCAGGCGAGACATCCATCGGGCCCAGATACAGGGGACCACCGGAACACAAATTACACAGGATTCCACAGGCAGGTTTCGACCGGTTTCTGGTGTGTTGGCCAGCAACGTGCATGCGCCCCTATCTCTCTCTCTCTCTCTATCCCACAGGCTCTCTCGACTCGGAATCAGTCTGAACCCTCTTACAAATGAACTCCCATGATGATGACCAAGTCAAGACTCGAGGCACATTGTCAACCAGGGTCTAGCACACAATCTGCAATTTAAGGTGCTCAGACGGGTGGTGTGGGGGCGCGGGAGATTATTGTTGGTTTTCCCATTCGTTTCGGTTGCAGTTCTTCGGCACCACGTGAGGCCAACTCCCAATAGTCAAGCATAGACTGCATAGACTGCATAGTCGAGCAAATGGTGAGCTGTTCTCTTGGCCCTCCTTCCCCCTTTCCGTCGACAGCTTCTGCGCTTCTGCAGTCATTGCCTGGATCGGGAGCCAGGCCCCGGAGATCCGATGATGATCGCTGAGATAGATACTCCCAAGTCTGCCAGGATACTGTTCGCCCAATCACTGCTTCCACTGCTTCTGAAATATGGGAGGCGGCATAATGGCAGAAATTTTGACTCAGTGCCGTGTAAGCGGGTGCGATGTCACACAATGGCGTCCCAGGTGCCGAACCCTGGACGGGTCAGCGACAGGGGTAGTGCTTGGGGGCCCTCCTCTCGGCCCCATAGGAACTGCAAGGTCATGACTAGGAAGGTGACAGGTTTTAGCTGCCGGTCCAAGGCGTTGGGCCGCGTTGGAACGTTGAAAGCTGTGTGAAGGCGAGGCGGAGGTGCGCTCTGATAATAGGAGTTCTGACAGAAATGCGCCTTGGATCCGATATACAATGTTTGCTTCCCCTTTTTACAGACAGCACGGCGATGCCCACGACAAAAGTGCTTCATTCTGTCTCTCAATGTCGCCTGGCATGACGACTATAGACTGGGTTGCGAGGGCTTCTCAACCCCTCTTTGGGCAGTGACAGGCTGGTGCAGACTCAGAGTTGTCTGTCCATCCGGACACATTACCACATACTGATTCTGATAAAGCGCCGACACAAGCCCCGCAGACATTAGCAGCCACGGCTACGACCAGTACGAGGCTTACCAAACCAGAAGCCATCCGTACAAGGTTTTCTGTTTTAGCGGCAAGGGATGGAAAAGGGAGAAGCGACACACGACAGGGGCCGTCAAACACGGCAGTGTCCGGGAGATGATGGCATGGACTGAGTCGTCTGGCAACAGAGACCTTGACCTCGCAAAAAATTAAACTGTAGCCCTAGCCCGTTTTTTCTCCCCCAGAGTGTGAAAAACAAGACGAACCGCTTCTGGTCCATGGGACGACCTTGTCTATCCCGCCGCCGCACACTTTCTCTGGTTACACTGTCTATCACTTCTCTTCCCAACTAACCTTCTTTCCCCCCCTTGCGTTGTACGGAGAAGAGACGAGTCCGCATATTGTCGAGCCTTGCTGGAACCTGACGTGCTGACCTGCAACTTGCTTGTGCATTGCGTGTCTGCCTGGTAAAAAAACTTGGGACCCCCCCCTCATTCCCCGAATCCGCCCTCTCCAGCCCCGAAGCGCTCCCTTACCTTCCCTTCCCTTCCCCTTGCCCACACCACCACACGGTCTCGCTCGGAGCGGACCGCATGTTGATGGACAGGTTTAACCAACAGCGGCTTCGCAAAAGCGGTGGTAGCTCAGTCTGTCCTGGCTCGCCCGTGGGACGGCACCAGCCGCCGCGTCCTCCAACGGCCGCCAACAGCATCTCGGCCACCTCCACATCGACGCTGCTCACCGCTAGTTCATCGTCCGAACGTACCCGCAACTTTTCCACAGACACCAGGCCGCGCACGCCGCCCTCGACGAGACCATCGATGCAGTCAGGCGAACAAGACGTACGTATGAGATATCGACCCCTCCGTGGACCGTCGGACTACCGCCCGGCCTACCTACAAGTTGAACCAGCTGCTTAATCTCATGCCGCGAACAGGAGTACCCCGAGGATCACCCGAGTCCGACGTCCGATGAAGTGAACGAGGCCGTCTGGGCGGGAGGGTCCGACTCTGACGACGGGTCGGACAGCGATCCGACGCCCGGTCAGAGTCTCCGGGCGGTCACACAGTGAGTCTTTCATTCTGAGTCGATGATAAAGTCTTCCATTATTTTATTGTGTATCTTGTTTCAAGTTTATGCTCATTGGTTTAATGCATCTCGATACTTTATCGAACGCCTTTCTTTTCCCGGAATACTGACTATCCCTACCATCCGAGCAGCAGCGGTTCCAGCAAATCAAAGATTAAGACTAGCAAGACATCCATCTTCCAATCCATCTTCAACAAGTTTGCCAAGACTGGCAAACGCTTCGGCTTCGTGCCGAACAGCAAGGTACGTTGCTTGCTCCTCATTCGCTGCGAGTGCGCCCATGCTAACCCGCTTTGCCATGCTCTAGGAAGAACAAGATAGAAATGGTCAGCAGCCTTCACCGTGGTCCACCGTCCATGATTCCATGGCACCAACCTCTTCACCTCAGCAAGCATCCTGCGCATCCTGCAGGATCTAGACCGTCTAGATCAGACCCAGATATGCTGACCAGGAAGGGCAGTCCTCCAACACCAGATCATTGCCGAACTCTTCGACGGCAGACTCCACTTGGCCCCAGTCGTCAAGGCCAGGGCCGCACTCGATGTTGGCACTGGGCCAGGGCTATGGGCCTTAGTACGTTACCTTCCTATCATCATCAGTCACTCAACCCCCCCTCACCTTTCCCGCATGAAAGATCTAGCTACCCGGAGTGACTCGCTGACTAGCTTTCTCATGTAGGAATACGGCAAGTCGCTCTCGTTACTCCACGGGGCATCATTACACCGATCATGCTAACGCCAGTTGTACGCTTGCCAGCCAAGAAGAATCCAAACTGTGCCGTGATGGGCATCGATATTGAGAAAGTGCGCCCGCCATATAATGTGTCCAACTGTCAGTTCAAGGTCATGGATGCGACTGCCGACTGGAACCTCAACAAACAGTTTGACTTCATCCATGTCCGTATGCTCGGCGATATTATCGAAAAGGAAAAGTTCGTTCAGTCCATCTACAGCCACCTCAATCCTGGGGGCTGGGTCGAGTTCAGCGAATGGATCGCCATTCTGGTGTCCCCGGATCACTCGCTGGAGGGAACAGCATTTCACAAGTGGAACATGCTCCTTCAACAGGGTCTTCAAAACATGGGCCGATCCATGCACTACGTCTCGCAATATCAGCCCGTCTTAGAAAAGGCTGGATTCGAGAGGATGAAGTTGACAAAGCACGCCGCCCCTACCAACGCGTGCTACCCGGGTAAGAAATGTCAGCGATTTGGGACGATGATGTCCAATAACTGGAATGCCATCATCGAGCCGTTAAGCGTGCCGGTTTTCACTATTGGTCTAGGCTGGTCCGAGGCCCAGGTTCTTGCATTGGTGAAGAAGGTCCGCAAGGAGATTGACGATACGAATTACCATTCGTTCATGACGCTGTGAGTTATCTCTGGAGTCAAGTAAGGTCGACTCCCCGGGTCATAACTGACAAATCACATTCTGATATCAGGCTTACTATTTACTGCCGGAAGCCACGTAGCGGGGCATCTTCGTCCGCATCATTGGCGAGCTCCTCTCGCTCGGCAGCGCAAATGTCGGTGTCCAACGTCAGTTCACAAGGGTAAGAGGCGTCTAAAAATGGGTGATGTATTTGCAAGGATTGGGATATCATACCACCACTAAGCGTTTGCAGAGCAAGCAAGCGAGCGATTTTATTATCAGAAGGCTGTCCGGCTCCATATCAATATAGATTTCAGCCATTCCACAATACCGGGCTCAAGCAGGAACGGTCCCATATGTGCATGTTTCTAGTCATTTTGAGGCAAATGCTGCATACGCGTACGAAAGCGAGCGAGTTTCCCCCACCGACGGGCAATTTTCTGCCCTGGGCGGGACCTGTTTTCTCTTCCATCACTGTGATAATAGGCGATACGATGCCAGCTGCATTTCGTCGGCATCGCCACCCCGCAGTGCCCGCATGCCAGGATCAATAGACGGCTGAAGAGTTTGCAGGGCTACTCATGTAGGGTTGCGGCGCAGTCAGGCAACTCGATGCAAGCAGCAAGAGAATTACTATAAACGGGGGCCACAAAAAGGGTCCTATGATCCTATCTTCTCGAAGCACCGGTAGTCCCGCAGATCAGTGGTGCCAGTTGAAGCCATTCAGAGTTCAGACCATTCAAAACCCCTCAATTGCTCCAGGTCGGCATTGCTACACGTCACATGCATATTCGCTTACTTGGGGAGGAATGAGCTGGTATGGGCCAACCGGCTCTCATGGGGTCATCTGAGGGATTTAAAGCTCTACTCTGCAGACTGGAGCCAGAGGATAGGCAATCCGACAGGAACATGAACAAACACGAAGAGAATGGTTCCTTTTGCCAACGGCGCTAGCACCTACAGACATACGTAAGAGACTTTTTGCGTTTGCCCAAAGTAGAAGGGAAGCCGGTACTTAACCCACCGCCGTGCATATGTCAGAGCCACTTGTTCTGGGTACGGAAACCGGAGGATGCATTACATATTGCTGCAGCAGTGCAGAATCTTGAACGGAGCATAGTCCGACGCGGTAAGATCTGATTGGCCAATTCCGAACAAAGTACTTTTGTTAACGCAGAGTTGTACAAAGAAACAAACCCATGCTGAATCATACTGAGAGAAAGCCCGTACGTAGGCAAACGTAAAGTCGATTGCCACGGTAAGCGCTCGGTGGCATCTCACCGATAGAGTGCCACCGACAAGGTGATAATTGCCCAGTTCCCGGAAGATCTAGGGTTTTTCCAGCCTTTTGAGTTGTGTTTCTGTCAGACCTTACTCACGACAAACCAACGAGGCGCCATCCAATTGAGCAACCTTTCTCTCCTCCCCCTCCCCCTTGTTGCCAAGCTATCCCCTCCAAAACCAACCCATCCGTGTCATTGCCAACAATGGCCGACCTCGGGGCAGACCGCACCGCCGCCTACGGCGCAGTCTACTCGCCCTCCTTCCTCACAATCTTCTACGACAAGTACGTCTTGGGCTTCAATATGTCAAAAGTCTGGGGTTGCAGCACAGAACAAATCCTCCTCCCCTTCTTCAGCGAGAACTTCACCCGCAACCACCTCGACATCGGCGTCGCCTCCGGCTGGTTCCCGGCAGCCGCCCTGGCGCGGCCTTTCCGCGCCACGAGCAGACAGCGCATCACGCTACTGGATCTCACCGCGCCTCCCCTGAACGCGACGAGGACCCGCGTGCTGTCTGTCACGACGAATACCGAGGTCCGCTGCGTAGAGGCCGACGTCACGGAGCCGCCGCCAAAGCAGCTGCTCGGCGAGCGCTTTGACTCCATCTCCATGTTTAATCTGTTCCACTGCATGCCCGGTGGTAAGGCTAAGCTCCGTGCTTTTGGGTTGTACAAGGAACTGCTGAGCCCGGATGGTGTATTGACTGGCTGCACGGTGCTGGGCCCGAATGAGTCGACGGGGTGGTTCACCAAGTTCTACCTCCGGTGGTACAACAAGTGGTGGGGCGTTTTCAACAACTGGGATGACAAGAAGGAGGATATCCAGGAAGCGTTGGACCAAGAGTTTGAGGAGGTTGAGACATGGATCATTGGTCAGGTGATGTTGTTCCGGGCAAAGAAGCCCAGGAAAGCTCTCCTTGATGTCTGAATGTTGGGATGGATATGATACCTGCAGCTGCATGAGTAATGAGTAATGAATTGTGTGCATGACTGGACGTAAGGGATAGTGTTATCAACAATACAAAAACTCCAATCGCCCTTCTGAAACGGTTTTATCTCCTCAACTTTCATGCCATTGCTTACTTACAAGGAATTCACCTTGTTCCATTAATCCAGGACGACAATGCAGTTGGGTAGACCATGCTGAGATCTATCGCATTCTTTGAAGTCTCTTGCAACCGACGAGATGTTCTCCCCCTATAGCATCGGTAATCTATTATAAGCTAAAGAGGTGTTTACTTAAGTATCTAGGAATAGCTTTTCAAAAGATAAGTTGCGGCAAGCTTTACAAGATGACTAAGGGAGTGTGGTAAATGTTGATACGAAGGAGGCCCTGCACAGAGAGATGCAGAAGTTCGAAACCCTCTTAAAAATCTTCATTGGTAGATGGCTAGCTAAAAACAATAGGAAAACTAAGAGATCGGGCTTAATTGCCATTGCAAGCTCAGAAACACTACTGCGTTTCCAGACTTAAGTGCTTCTGGCTCAGGATCGCCACCAGCGTTCTGACGTCACCACAGGGCAAGCTTTCCTCGATCAAGGTATCGCACAAACATTAAATTTGGGTGACTCATTCGTCGGACCAACAAGACTCTCAAAGACACCTGCCAATCTGGTCCTATGGGGGGTATCATTGTGGGAGATGTGTGAGTCTGAGCTGTTCAACTGTCAGATCAACAGCGATGGGCGGAATGGTGTCATTGATCACGTCCCGAACCAGGTCAAAGCTGTGCCTTAATCAGCCTATAAAGCGGTTACGGCTTCGCAATGGAAGCGAATCTCAGAGACCTAGTCCGCAACGTTATTGGTGCGGCAGCAATCCCTCATAACTCATCATGAGTAGTCAATTATGACAGCAGGCAGGCGGCAGGCAGCAGCACGCCTTTACTGTGCTTCAAGGTGATGTTTAAGGCAGAGCCTACATTAAGGCAACCAACTGCCTTCATCATCGCGCCGATGGGCGGCCCATGTCGCCAAACTCGGAGACAATCCGAGAACATAAAAGGTCCACCTTCCACGGTCCGAGGAATGATACCAATTCGACTAACGCCAAACAATTGCGAACATACATATTGCCCTCTCATCTCTTCCAATCATCGAAATGCAATCCCAAGCAGCCGCCGACGAGCTGGTAAACACATGTCTCTTCAAGACTGAGCAGGGTAGCCCACGTGTGAAGACAAGCGACTGTGGGCAGACCGACTGCGTCAACTCCGGGTCATATGTGAAGCCAAAATGATAGTAAGGCATACCACACATCTCCTTTTTACGCACAATGTCTGATGAGCGCTTTTTCATAGCTACTCCCCGGCCGAGAATTCAAGACCGAAAGGCATGAAGTGCGCAGTCAGTGAGAGCGGCGAGCAAACCGCAAAAACAGCCAACAATTTGGGGTCATTGATGCAGGTACTCAAGGGAGGCAAGAATGAAATACAAATGTCACCACCATCTTTGAACAGTAAATTTTCCGTCTATTCAGTGAATTGAAACGCGTCTGCTGGGGCTCCCCGCAGCCAGGTACGAATCTCAAGCAGCGCATTGAGGTCGTTTTCAGGGCAAGAATGTTGAATCGCCTCATCATACCACTCGTACGTCCGGCCCACACCAACCAGACTCTCCCCTAATTTGCGACATGATCCAAAGTCGATGATGACCCAGTCATCTCTATCAATCGTGATGTTACTTGGATTAATGTCGTTGTGTACAATACCAAGGGAGTGAAGATGCGCGATGCCGGCCTGGATCCACTGTAATCCTCGGCCAAAGTCACCTAGATCTCGGTGAGTCGTGCTGAACTTTCTCTTCATTAAACCGCGAGGATTGACGGCCTCCATCAACGTCTTTCCGTACCTCACAAAACATATGCCGCTAATGTTGCCATCGTAAGCTTGACAGCCGACATATTTCGCGAGGTTAGGGTGCGGGCTTTCTTTCAGAAGCTCGCAAATCCGAACTTCATTCAGGACGTCGTTAGCGATCTGGTTGGGTTGGGGGCCGTTATGAACTTGGTCGTATGATAGTAGACTTGGTGTTTTGATGTACGTATTGGACGGCAACGGGTCTGGAGCTCTAGTAAAGGTACGCGAGAACGGCGGCTTGTACGCCGCGGTGGGTATCAGCAATTTGTTGATTAGCTGGGTTTCGCTGAGTTCCGATGATATGGGCTCTGACGAAGGAACAGCCGCGTGGTAGATCTCTTCGCCGCTTTTGAAAATAATGACGATCTTAGTAAATCTGAAAACGCTTTCAACTTCTTCAAAAGCCTCCCTTGTATCGAGGATATCGATGCGCAAACCTTGCGGTTCCGCAGCTGCCGAAGAGTCAGACACTACCGCGCGGGCCATATTATGTGAACCGGGACGAGTATGCTTACAGTGGTCAAAGCTTGGCCTCTCAGCCATATGTCTCTTTCAGGGCCTCAGCTGGTCGATGACCAGGCGGATTTTGGTGGATGTAGTAGGGAGTTTGGCGGCACAAGAGCGAGGGGCGAGAATTAAATATTCTGTGACATTTGCTTCGCCAGCATGACTAAACACCCCGCACACAACATTTCTTAGAGGACACGGCTTGAAACCATTAGACAGCGATCTTTATCGAACGGCGCCACCAAAGCAGCCAGAGTCAAGGAAAGGTTAATTAAATATATAACTAAGCTATTAAATAACTATAGGGAAATGTTATACATTTCCTAGGAACAGAACAGCCCGCAGTGACTGGGGTACTGTCCCTGGAAATCTGTTTCCTAGGACGTGGAGCTTCCTCAGACATTTTGGAAGCGGATGCGCTGTTACCAGAAACCAGTACTCGGGCTGTTTTTCATATTCCCAATGCCTGTCTTTGGCTGCATATCATCAGTCAGGTATAAACGGGCGTAGTGGCGGATTGAATTTTCTTTGAGGAGATGTGGGCGAGATATCCAGGAGAACGTTGTGAATCTCGCACACAAATTAGGATGGCAGGCATTCAGACACCTGAAGGATGCCAATTGAAGCCAGTCTCATATGTTACACTTGTTCTAGTTGTATGCACTTGATCATACCCTCATTAATGGATAACATTTTTAGGTTTCTAGAAGAATGAAAAGATTGAGATCAAGAAGAGAATAATGCAGCCCTCATTCAAACATGCGACTTTAGGCAGTATGTCAGGTCACCTTTGTAAGCCCTATCAATCATGTCTAGGTACCTTAAGGTAGGGGAATTAATCACCTTAGTCTTTTCAATGCCAAGAATTAGTGAAACGCTAAAAGTCCAACAAGCTAGGTTTTCATATGTCGTGTGGAAAAGTGATTTCCCTATCAGTTCCGTATATCATCGGGGGTTGAAGCTGTGGTCTCTGCGGCAAATTTATAAATACAAGTCATCGCGAAAGTTGACAATGGCGTAGGTCTGTTTGAAATCTCCACACAGCGGTAGATTTCATGAAGACTGGGCGAACCAAATCCTAATGTCAAGGCTCGGCTTTCATGCTAGGAAACCCTCATGTAGGATAGCAAAATTTCATCGCGTTAAACGCATTATCCGGGGCATCAAAAACTGGAGCATAAGATGTGTCTCAGATGCCGAGAGGCTGATTTTGTTTCCGCCTTAGTTCAATCTCATCATACTTGATCCGGGTGAGACATGTTGCAACACCTGTACTGTTTCCCCTCGAAGGAGATAATTCTCTTGACCTTGGCTTGTGTCCCTTCTCAAGTCAGCAACCCTCTTCGAAAATTCGCGGAATCTCGCTCGAATTTCCACTCCTCTCTTGACAAACGGAGCATATGATAATGCGCGTTAGGGAATCAGTAATATCTTAAAACTGTTAATCTGGGCTTGATTGATGCCACTAACCATGCCGAAACAATGGAATCAACTTCAAACCGTTCGTTGTCAGCCTACGAGGAAATCAGATGCTGCAAACTTCGGGAGTCTCTCTTGGCTGTTTCCCCATTAACTCATAGGCTTTTGATTACGTTAATGGAGGTCAAAGACCACTGGGCCGCTAAAGTGACGAATGGGCTGTTCAGCACAGGCAATTCGAAATTTGGTAAGCTAAGCATATGTATCTTCAGCCACCATTAAGCTCAAGAATATGCTGGCAAGCTCATCGGGCCTGGCACAGAGCCTAGGGCAGCTTTAGTCCCCAACAGATAGCACCAACACCCATCCAAACCGAATCGCACTCCATTCTCCTTCATTTCACCATTGTTCATGATCTGGTCAGCTCATTTATCATTGCCGGCGAAGTTGTTGGGCAAGCATGTCGGTTGATTTAGATAGGAGTAAGTAGGCCAGGTGGAATAGAGCATGGTACATATGGATGAGCTGCTACAGCTATTACTTCGCTCGGACGTGTCGGAACACTACGGTGAGGGGCTGGCAAAACACCGGCGATTCTTCAGACTCCAACTGAGCCTTTTCTGTCTTGATGTCCATTTTTGGGCTTTGGAGGCTTTACTTCGGAGTAGTAAAGACATTTGATTGGTGATCATTCAAAATACGTGGAAACGCCCCTCCTTTCCTCGGGATCAAGCTCCAGAAAAGCGCCATCCACAACTGGTCAGCAGACGAACCCCAGACAAACTCGTCGGTCTAGTCTTGTCCGTTCGTTACAACATCGCACCGATGGGAGCTCTTCAACTTGGTCAAATATGTTGCCATACAGCTAAGAAGTCATTTGGAAACAAAATCAAAGGACGAGTTTTTAAGAAAAACTTTCTACGCAGTCGAGCAACTTATCCTACGAACACGCCTGAAAAACCATCACCTCGAACTAAAAGACGCATCCCTACGCATTGGCATGGCAGGATTATGCGTGGTTGATGTACGCGTCGATCACTATCGACCACCGTACACACTCGGTATTCACGTAGAACGTCCCCGGATCTCCTGGCGCTTCAGCCATGCGCCCCCAGATTTCAACCTGGGCGGTTGGGAGGTCAAGATCCAGAAACCTGATGGGTCTCAGTCAGTTATCAGTAACAGCCAGTCCGGCAGCCACGAGAATGTCTCTCTCTCAGTTGACTGGCCTGAAAACATCGTGATACAATCTCGCCAAATCTATTCGATAGAGGTGAGAGCGGGAGGCGTGAACGAAACCGAGTTCTCGCCATGGAGCGAACCACTCGTCTTCGAGACCGGCCTGTTGTCGCGCAGCGACTGGACCAGCAACCTGATCTCGGCGCCGTGGGCGGAAGATAGCAAGAGCACGCCGCAACCTGAGGACTTGTTCCGAAAGGTCTTTGAAGCGAAGAGCAGCGTCCGCTCTGCACGGCTTTACGCTACGGCACAAGGTGTCTACGAAGCAGAAATCAACGGCCAGAGAGTGGGCGATCATTTCCTGGCCCCTGGCTGGACTGCGTACGACGGGAGACTGCAATACCAGACCTACGACGTCACATCACAAATCACCTCAGGTGCATCGAACTGCATCGGTATCCGCGTAGCTGAAGGCTGGTTCAACGGTCGCATTGGATTTGAAGGTGGCAAACGAAGCATCTGGGGCACCCGCACTGCGGCTCTTGCTCAACTCGAAATCACCTACGAGGATGGTTTAATCGAGACAGTCATCACCGACGATAGCTGGACGACTACCCGGGGGCCCATAAAGCTTGCCGAGATTTACGACGGCGAAAAGTACGATGCTACCACGGAGATAGCGGGATGGTCCAATAGAGAGTCGACATCTGAGACTTGGCACGCAGTTCAAGTACTCCCTGCGCTCCCCGACACGACTGATCTCATCTGTGGCTTCGGGGAACCAGTCAAAAGACTCGAATACGTGAAGCCTGTAGAGTTGATCACAACCCCGTCAGGCAAGACAGTTCTGGACTTTGGCCAGAACCTCGTCGGATTCATCCGCATCAAAAACGTCAAAGGTGAACGAGGCAGTCAGATCACTCTACTCCACGCAGAAGTCCTGGAAAAGGAAGAGCTCGGGACTAGACCCCTGCGAGATTGCAAAGCCGAGGACATTTACACCCTCAAAGGCGACGAGAGCGGAGAAACCTGGGAACCGCGCTTCAGTTTCCACGGCTTCCGTTACGTCCAGGCCGAGGGCTGGCCATTGACCGCGCCCAATATCAAAGACGCGATCGAGGCTTGCGTTTGCCACACCGACATGGAGGAGGTCGGAACCTTTTCTTGTTCCGACGGGGCCTTGAACAAGCTCTACAGCAACGTGAGGTGGTCGATGCGCGGCAACTTTTTATCAGTGCCGACAGATTGCCCTCAGAGAGACGAACGCCTCGGGTGGACCGGGGATCTGGCATTGTTTGCACCCACTGCCACCTTCATCTACAACTGCTTCGGGATTCTGAAGAATTGGCTGGCCGACGTGGCTCATGACCAAAAGGTTCTGGACGGCGTCCCGCCAATGGTATCTCCGAACGTGCTCATCGGGCACCAGAATTGGAGCAAGATCAGTGCAAACGCAATCTGGCACGATGTTGTGATACTTGCGCCTTGGGCACTTTACGAGGAGTACGCTGATGTTGGTATTCTGCGAGATCAATACCAGTCCATGAAGACTTGGATCGAAGTAATTCCTCGGAACAAGACTGGGTCCGTTCATCTTTGGGATTTCAACCTTTTCCAGCTTGGAGTAAGTTTTCAGTGAGATACTTGCGAGTGAATGGTCTCACTGACACGTTCAGGACTGGCTGGATCCAAACGCTCCTCCCGATGAGCCCATGAAGGCAGTGACTGACCCGCCTCTGGTCGCCAATGCCTTTCTTGTCAGATCGCTTGACCTAATCACCAAAGTCGCCGCGCTATTGTCTCGAACTGAAGACGTAGATCGCTTCCAGAAAGAAGCCAATATTGCCCGCCGAGAATTCCAGGACGAGTACGTCAGCAGCAATGGGCGTCTCACGTCAGACTCGCAGACCGCCTACGCCCTGGCAATTTGCTTCAACCTGCTTTCGGAGAAGCAGGCTGTCAGAGCAGGAAGTCGACTCGCAGAGATCGTCCGGCGTAATGGTTTCAGGATTGGCACCGGGTTCGCTGGAACACCATACATCTGCGAAGCGCTCACCCTAACTGGCCATAGCGACGTGGCCTACGCGATGCTCCTCAATCGCAAGTGTCCTTCGTGGCTATACCCAGTCACTATGGGCGCAACCACAGTCTGGGAACGCTGGGACAGCATGTTGCCCGACGGAACTATCAACCCTGGCGACATGACCTCTTTCAACCACTACGCGTTTGGCGCAGTTGCCAAGTTCCTCGTTGAACGTCTTGCGGGCTTGCACCGCCTGGAGCCCGGCTGGAAGCGATCGAGGGCAGAGCCGGTCTTGGGCGCTGAGTTTACGCATGCCTCTGCTGAGCACGTCACGCCATACGGCAAGGTTGGTTGTGCATGGAAGCTTGCTGACGAGGGAGAGGGCCGCTCGCGACTCAAGGTCGATGTGGTTGTGCCACCCTTCACCGAAATGGAGGTAGTTTTGCCAATCAGAGATGGGAAGAGGGTGGAGATAGTTGGGTCGGGCGAGTGGTCATTTGAAACGGAATATGAGCGTAAGTACGAATGGCCGGTCAAAGAGCTGTCTCTCTTTCCGTAGTAGTTGTGGAGGTTTTGGGACTACGAACGGGGGCTTTGCTTAGGAGTAGGGACCTTTGTAACTTAAATTCGACGACCTCTCACTTCCAAGTCCTACACTGAAGGTGTCTGGAGGTAGCGATGATGATCAATTAGACACGTGGGGATGAGATTTCACCAGAAGTAGTGCAGTAACGAACGTCACTATTTCACTTCGAAGCCGAAGACTATATACTGTCAATTATGGAACGTAGCCGTCTTCCCAGACTATGAAGGAAGGAACCAGTCAGTTGTCTCAGTTGTATATGTGACACTACGTCGCAAGGCCTGTGGTACCTATGCTACGGCAAATCTAGTAGGTAAAAGCAGACCTGATAACGACGGCGTCCTCAAAGTAGCCAACTTCTAGTAGTCGGCGTCACGCTTCTCCTCATCGCGCTTGTATGTGCCAGCCGACTTGATGATGATGTTGGCCTTTGCGGCGTCGGCGTACTGTTCCCATCTATTAGTACCTTACACGTAGATGCAATTGTACATGAGGATCCTTCACGAACCTCTTCGCCGCGCTTGTAGGTGCTGACGGACTTGATGTAAATGGAGTCCTTTGCCAACTGCTCGTAATCGGCCTCGCGCTTCTCCTCATCCCTCTTGTAGGTACCAGCCGACTTGATAATGATATTGGCCTTTGCAGCATCCGCGTAGCTGGCGGCGCGCTTCTCTTCATCCCTCTTGTATGTTCCAGCAGACTTGATGATGATGTTGGCCTTGGCGAGGTCGGCATAGTCAGCGGCAGGAGCGGCGACGGGAGCGGCGACGGCGCCGATGGCCTGAAGGGCGAGGATGGTGACGATGGAGAGCTGCATGGTGGCGGCAAACTTGGAACAATGGCAGGACCTATGGAGAAGGAGGACCGTGGAGACAGATTCAAAGAGAGCCGAGTCTTGTTCAACCGATTTTTATATCACGTCCTCACCCTTGTCTTTAAATGTGCGGCAACGAGAGAAACGTTACCCCTCTCGGATGGCGAATGCCTGGATTATCTTGCACCTTATCTGATCCCGCAGCTTTGTTATCCAAATGATCCCTACCAGTGCTCCTCTGTGATCATATTACCAAACAAACAGGATCATAAGTCCCAGATGGGAAGGTAAATAGAGCGGGAAGGTGACGTGTAGCCTATCTAGGCTGTCCCTGCAGGATTAGACAGCTGCAACCAAGACGAACAGAGTTCGGGTTTGACCGGTCCCTGGAACCTCCCGAACCTTCTATTCACGTAGCTGACCATACAAACTGCGAGAATCTCAGTAAACCGGGCACGCCTTGGGCCGGGTTCCCAATCCCACGGTGGCGGGGTTGCGCTTCCAATTATCTCGGAATTCCACGATTAGGTGTGCCTGGAATCAGATATGCAGGTATCCCGCTGCTCTAAGTGGACGACCTTGCCCGCAAAGCTTATATGGCAGTGGTCCACAATATGCTGACCTGGAATTTTTGACGCGGCTCCTTTGCGGAAACTAGACCTGAAGAAGAAGCTCAAAAGTGAAAGGATCGCGCCATGCAGAAGTAGGCTGCTGAGTGTATCATCGTTCCATCCACAGCGTGGCGCGGCAAACCTGTTGCCACACGTGCATACCAATCAGCGGGAACTAGTTTTAACTGAGGTTAACTGAGCAGGGAACTCTTGCTCTTCTATGCTGCCCTCCTTTTGTTTGTCATTATTGCCAACGTGCTCAAAGGCTTCTTTCTTTTTTCCAACTCTGATATCGTTCGCGAAGATGTGGTGGAAGTTGAAATCATCTTACGAAAGCCTGCCACAGTCAGAAGGCAAGGTAGCTGGAATACCGACTCACAAATCTTGGTTTACACACCGTTGGCCACGATCAACAATTTGGCTTGGTTTTACCAACTTATTCACAATTGCGGGTTTGATTTTCATTTTCAGTCGCAGTGAGTCTCAGGCTGTGTTCCTACAGAAATGTACTGAAAGTCTATCGACGATATGTAAGTATGTGCCGATGGGGCTCCTCTCCCCACTCAAAAAGCTGCTACTGATTGACCGTGAATGAAGCACCGGCATTTGAAGCTGTCAAATACAAGGCACCTGATCATTATAATGCTGAGTTCAGGCAGACTAACAAGTGGCGTGGTCCTCCCGGGACGCATTCGAATGAAGTTGACATTGCATGGCACGAGATCGAACTTGGGGCCGGCGGCATCCGGGTCACAGCCGAAGAAGTGGAAATGCTCAACATGACCGACTCGCCGGAAATGCCATTTCACAAAGTCCCAGATGCGCAGGGCGGCGGATACTTGGCAATGCTCGAAGTTTTCCACCTTCTTCATTGTCTGGTGCGTGCTTGTAACCGAAACCATTGACAGGCAGGTACTGACAGCATCTCAGAACTCTTTGAGAATGGGACTATTCTACAACTACGAGCACTACAAATTCCTAGACGAGGGTGTCCCTGACGAAAACATTTACAGCCACTTTGGTGCGTTTGGAAATTCTCCAAGATTCAAACGCACAAGTTCTGAATCTAACAAAACAGATCACTGCATCGATATGTTGAGGATGAATTTGCAATGCCAGGGAGATGTAACGCCAGCCCTGTTCGTTGATCCTCTCGACAACCCCAAACGACGAGACGCCCTGCCGAACTGGTCTTCCATGCACACTTGCAGAGACTTTGATGCCATTCTGGATTGGAACAAGCACGGCCCGAGATCTGTGCGATGGCGCGATGCCGGGGCGAACCCATCTTGGGACCCAAACCTCGAGGGGGCCGAGCCGCCTTTTCCGCCAGAGGGTAAGAAAGAAGAACACCACCACTCCTAGGCGCCTTTTTGGCCGGCGTAATGGACATTTTAAATGCTGCATTGGTGGTATGGGTCGGATTTGGGTACAATGAAGCCAACGTATCTATTAGATGTTGCTCTATGGCATTGATGGTCGTAGAACATGTGAATGCAGCCGCTCCTCATTCCCGATTCTAGGGTACAGTTGCGACGATACGAGAGATAAATCGATGCGGAAGACATATCACAGGACTTGGATGATTTGGGTGCAATACGCGCATGTCGGCTGAATGATGCCACGGGTCAAGCCGAGTGACAGGTGTGGACTCCCCCGCACTCTTGTATGCCAAGCTTCTCCTTACCCGAGGTCGTCCATATTGGCAGTAAGATCAGCGAAAGCAAGATCTCATCTCCGCAGCAGCTGTGACGCGCCCAAGTTAAAGCATTACTATTCCAGGAGGTGCGCGAGGCTTCACAATAAAATCCAGGAAGTCATTGGTGGGATTGGCGTGGGACATCGCGGCATTGGCGCCCTGGCTGTCGTGATCGCTTTGCTCGGCTTAGTCTCCGCCGAGGTGCGACGATGCAACTTTGATAGTCTGTTAGAAAGGGGAAACTAGATTAAAGACTCATTCGCCATCGCCATAATTCAATTCAGCATGCCTAGCTAGCAACATAGACCCGACCTTACTGGCCTCATTTTTGAGGTTTTGGTTCTCCAGCATTAACTGGCGATATCTCAGGTCATTCCAGTCAGAAGCTCTCAAAGCAGCAAAATGAGATTTCACCAGATTGTTTCCATGCTGGCCGCGGCGTTTACGGCCGCCTCCGCTGTTCCGTTCAGTTCAGTTAGCGCACTTCAGATACGCGATGCCAAGCCTCTTTACTTCCTCCTGGCCGGCGATTCAACGGTTGCTGTCGGCGGAGGTTGGGGCAACGGTTTCCTGTCATTTGTTGAGTCACCAGCCAACGGGAAGAACTACGGCAAGGGCGGAACAACAACTGTGTCTTTCCGGGCTCAAGGTATCTGGGATACCGTTATTGGCGAGGTCGAAGCAAACAAAGATGCATTCAGCCCGATTGTCACGATTCAATTTGGCCACAACGACCAAAAGGTCGCGGCAAACATTTCTGCCGAGCAATTCCAAGCGAATCTGGAGAAATTGGCCAACGAGGTCACGGCTGCTGGCGGTACCCCTGTGAGCATGAGATCCTCGAGGCATCTACTAGTCATGCTGAATGTTCACCACAGATTCTTATTACGTCACTTACCCGCCGCACTTTCAGCGGCGGTAAGGTCATCCAGAACTTGGAAACTGAGCGCTTCAGAGCCATTGCCGCCGCGGAGGCCGTGGGTGCGACGTATCTAGACCTCAATACCGCTAGCACCAACTACATCAACGCCATCGGAAACGAGAACGGACACAAGTATGACCTGGCATCGGGCGATTCCACGCACTTGAATCTTGCAGGAGAAGTTGTTTTTGGCCGTCTTGTTGCAGACCTTCTCCTCGAAAAGCGAACTGATCTGGCCGTTTACATAAAGGAGAACAAGGCTCTCAGTGACAAGATCAAGAATGGAGAATTTGCGACGGGCGACGAGACTGATTGAATTTCGTGAGCACATTTCTTCCAACAGCAATTGGAGCATTGAGCATAATGTCTCAGCAATCCCTGGATTTGACCAACTACATGTACAAACGAAAGACTTAAATATCGCTAGTAGATGCTACCTATACCGAACAAGAACGCTGCCGATTAACGGTTTGTGGGTGAGAGGTGAAAGCTGTATTCCGAAGACATATCCCGTCAAACATCACAGAAACTTAGGTTCTTGAGATTCATCTTCGTACCTCTACGATATTTTCATGAAACCGAAAGCTGGCTCAGGCGTATGCAGAGATAAATTCTTCATGTATGAACCATATGGAGCGAAACTGGGAGTTGGTGTACCTGCCGTCACCTCTCGCCAAGTCGGACTGTCTGATATACTAGCGTGGCGCAGATGAATTATGCCGATATTGTTAAAGCCCAGCCGAGACCAATCAATTCTATAAATGGAAGGTATACTGCAGTTGCAAGACCTGCAATACCTTCGAACATGCAAAATATGAGGTAGTGACTGGCTGTGAAATTTCCGCGCTGTTTTTGTGATGTCCCCTGGGAGATATTGGCAAGCAACCAAACATGAACTTACCAGAATCTTTTCGTTGATGCTGCATAAGTAGACCCGAGGATGAGCATTGAGGTCCCCTAACATGCATTGAAAGCTCTGAAGAGGAAGAATAGCTCTGGTCAAGGCGCCAAAGCCGTTCCAATTGTAAAAACAAGAAATAGTACGATGCTGTAAGGAAGACATGTAGTCAGACGTACCCAGTTGTACTTGTGGAGGTACCACAGACAGAGCGACGGCCGAAAATGTCAGCCCAAGGCCCCTCCATATGAACGCCGATAGGCCCGTGAATGTAAGGAAGACCGTATTGCTGATGCTGATTACATTCGCCGTTGTGTGATGGGTTGCGACAATTTCTGGACCAGCGGCCAGCACAGTGGTTCTCGAAACTTGCGCGAGAAAGCCGCAGAATACGGCAGTTGCGGTCAAGGCGCGCTGCTGAAAGGTTTTGAAGCGAGAGTACACTGACTTCGGGGCTGGCGGATGCCATTGTGATGGAGTCGGCTCTGATTGAATAACAATGAACTAACGGACTGACAAACTTCTCTTCGAGATATTATGTTTTTCAAGATATCTACTCCGTATTACCATATCTAATCGCCCGGGCCGGAAGAAGATTTTTAGCTCAATTGGAGGGAAAGCCAATATCGAGCGGACAAAGATTCAGGCCATGCTAGCCAGCCCAGGCCACCGAAGCGCATTGGGAGACTGCTGAGGGGCTACAAAGAGCCTGTTAATACCGGGGAATTGCCGCAAGGCACAATGACTTAGTCTAGCAACGCTGGTCCCCGTCGCCGGCTGCCGGCGCAACGGTACAGCGGCCAAAACTATTCCTCTCGGCCGAGACCCGCGCCCTGTAGTGGTGACCTCCAGACATTCTGCCGTCTACCGGTACTTGATTGCTTCATGTTACCTTAATTGAGGAAGCCATTGGGATGCTTGCTGCAAGAGTTACGGGGATGTCACTATTTAAAGGCAGAGGTGAGGAATCAGGTGGTACGAATGAAATTAGAGCCCCCTTGGAAACACTCTTGGTTGTCAATGGCGCTCTATGCTATCATGAGTATTTGCAACGAAATCCTCACCGTCTACTTATCTGTGTATTACCAATATATTCCACCTGAGTATCACAAAGCGGCAATTAAGAGCAGGATTGATTCTCGTTGTCCGTGTCCCGCCCGCAAGATTATTCCAGAATTTGCCCACCGACCACCAAACGCAAAACGTCCAAACAGCCGAGCACCTCGCAGCTTTGCAACCAAAACACCACGCCTGAGCGCCACGGGACCAGCAATCTACGGACCTCCGCCCAGATCCGTGAGCAGACGGCACGGCTGAAAAGAACCAGGTGAAAATTTGCTCGATCCGCCAATAACGCATAAACGAAGAAACTCCTTTTATATCAAGAAAATCTACATGATGCAAATTCCCCTGTTGCATTCCTACGTAGCGGTCAGTAGCAGACTCATTGTATGTTTTGGGGATCACTGATAGTAGACAAACCCCTTTGTTGTGAGCCACGCAGATCTTCAGAAAGACAAGTTAGCCACATTACTTCGAACTTTCGAAATACTCCTATAGCAGGATCAAGAAGAGGAAGACGTACGCAGTTCTTGGCTCCATCATGTCTGCAGCATACTTGGCCTTCTTGAGGGTATACGGCGCGCTTCGCCAAAAGAGAGGGGTTCGCTGCAGACGCAGCGGCAGCCAAAACGACGAGAGACAGAAAGAATTTCATCGTGCAGATGAAGATTGGTAGACTGTTGGATGGCTGGGTACTGATTACGTGGGTGCGATCAGAGGTTGTAAGCATACGAAGAAACGGTTGCGCGACCTCGTGGTTTTTAACAACGGAAATGTTCCCGTCATCTAGTCGTGGCATCGACTTTTCGCACGGACTTTATATGCGTTTTTGAGCAATTGAAACTTGGATCGCAACGCATTGTTCTACGCTGTGACGAAACTTCACCTTGTCGGATATCAGCCGAACGCTAAAAGTCGCCAGACCATGCGTGTAGAATTCTTTGGTGAGAATGGCATTCGTCATGGACTGCGTGGTTGGGAACATGATTAAGGCCCCGGAATACTTTTCAGGCGCACAGTCAGCGAATTCATAGCTTCAGTCAGCAAAACATTTTGGCGTCCAGCATTTTGCATAGAAGTGTTAAATCTCCTTTGTCAATGACGTCAAGACTCGATGGAAATCAGGGTATCGGCCTGGATTTCGAAATTCCTCCACGTTGTCGACGAGAACAAGTGGTTGCTGTCTGTGAAGTAGTCCGGTACATGAGGTCAAGCAATGAGCCCGTCTGATCTTTCTGCATTCGACGCAGCTTTGAATGGCATAAGGCTGGCCTCATGCTAACTTAGCGCGTGTTAGCGCATGCGAGCAGCCTGGATATGGTTCAAGTTGACAACTTCTTCAACGATGAAAAGGTAAAACCCGTCCAGAAAAGAAATGGATTCAATGAGGCCTCGGCTACCCCAGCATGATCACGTGTTCCCTGGTCTTCAGTGCGCAGTCGGCCATGGTCATTCTTGTTTGCATCTTAGGCATGGATCTCTGGGGTTCTTATACATTTCATCGTCGACAAAGACAGATACCTGCCTTGTGTTTGTGATACCTTTGCTTCTGCTACGGCAGGCAGAGATGATTCTTATCCTCCGAGTCACCGAGCGATTAGTCGCAGTCTGTCGTGACCGACCAAACATCTCAATACCACGGTCTACAGTCCGCAACCCTCGGGCGTTGCTTGCAATACTGTCCCACACGTAGGTAGGCATTATTATCGTGTTTTGTGGACTTATGGTTCGCAGCCCACGGTCCAGCAAGTATGGTTTTGAAGCAGGGCTTGAGACATGGGATAGAGGCTGCTTTAAGCGCAACGAAGATTTCGACGGTCGTCCTGGGCAAAGAAAGCATTAGAAGGCGAACAATCAACGCCAGTGCCCATTGAGAACTACTCAACGATATGAAAGTATCAGAACCGACAAACTGGAAATCTCCGTGCTTGCCATGACTCGATATTTAGACGTTGCGAAGAATGTGATAGGCTATTCAGGGGAAGGGATCAATGAGGGGTCCGTCTCATTCAACACATGTTCAAATTGATGCAAAGTTGTACCATTTCCCAGCCCGTCAACATCACGATTTCAACAGCCAAGAGTAACCATTTGTCAGTGGATCCATCACATCTGACGTCCCGGCACATGGACCTGTCACTGTGGATCTGTCTGGGGGGTCGGAAAGTTCGGATCATCGAGACAGTTCTTGCACCTATGAAGAGGATGCCACATGCCCCGATCGGGAACAGTGCAGTGGTGCCATCATTTTACGTATTATCAAATTATATTGTGGTTGCAGGCCAAATTGAAATCCCCTGCTAAGTATCTACGGGGCGCAACGAGGGTGCTTTGCCGATTGTCTACATAAGCAGTGGTATTTTGACCTTTGACGCTTGAGCTCAGCCATTCGTCTTGCAGAATTTCACGACCAATGGATCACTGCCAGCAAATACGGAGTACATGGCCGGGGAATAAACTTCCCCATCATACCACAGGACATACCAAGAGTTCTGAGCAGCTGTTGATGCCGGTTCCCGAACCATTTACCCGGGTCGGGTCGGGGTAAGCCATGGCCGACGTTACATCGATCAAAACCAACTTTGTTCACATCCAACATCGCACAGATGGAGACTTGTTTGGGTTAAGCAATGCAACTTAGCCATTGATCTCTTGGCCGTCATGATTCACGAAGAATCCTTGACGTACTCCTCTTTGCGATAGTCAAACGCGCTGTTGGTAGCCTAGACCAGGCCTTCAGACTAGCGGAACGTCTCGACTCGACCTTGTCGCCTCTGAACCATTATTGAAAACCTTAACTGGGCCGAATCTTTCTTTCCCGCGTGAAGCCTGCAGTATGTTTACATATTGCACTTCTACTCGGGTCTCGCTGCAGATATTCGCCCGCTCATCCTCACTTCGCAATTGGTCGCCGGCAAATGCAACTATTTTGCAGGGATGGAGCTGGCGAGGGACTGTGAATGACTAGTGAGGTTCACTCTAATACATATATATCCACCTCTCACATGTGTCGGACTAGTGCGTGTAATTAAACTGTCAGTGCTGTAGTTCATACCGGCTGGCGCGAGCATGGGACGAAATAATCTTGGCGCTTCCTTTAAAAAATTTGGGGCGTTACAACAAGCATACTCAAACCTATCTGACTTCCGAACGGCTTGTTGGGAGTTCTTAACAAGGCCGGGGTCGATAGACATTATTGCGAGAGCTTCTCTGTCGGCCAGGCTGCTTACACTGCAAGTGCCAAACACGAGACAGCGCGAGGCATGCTTCATGAAGTGTGCCGGGTACATAGATGATGCTGTGATTCCCAACCAGCAGTTGAACGGCTTTAAGTTCTATGGTCCCAGACTCTCCGGTTCACCAGCGCGCCAGCCCAATGAAACAAATCAAGCAGGTGGGTTGTATTGAATAGCTTGACTCTCTTCGTGACGATATTTAGTTATTTAACAAATTCAAGTTCAAGTCAATATCATGACTTAAGGACTATGAACAGTGAAACGGTTTCCATCTCCTCATTTTCATTCTAAACGCCTAGTATTCAACGTCATTCTGCGGAGTTGAGACAAGTCATCTTCTGTCCGCGTCGTGCGAAGGGAGCCGTGGAAACCGGCGGTAAACAATCCACCACCACTATCTCTACGGGAGCCGTGGAAGGCCGTTTGCCGCCGGCCGGAAAGCATACCTCTGAGATCCATAAGGAGCTAGTCTCTTTCAAGCGACAGGTGCACCCGGTGATTGTCGGAGATGAATCTTTAACTTGACAGGTTCCAGTCACATTCCTTTGCTATGCACAATACACCTAGCGCGCCTACTTTGTAAGGGGATGGAAATGGGGCAGGTGGAGAGGTCCCTTTCGCAAAGACACATTTGTTGACGCTGAACCCGGCCCACGACTCAAGTAAGTGTCTTCAGCCTATCGTTCTAACATTGTTGCAGGACCTCGGCATTAAAGACTTGAGTCAACTCCCAAATTTTAAAGAGAAACCCGAGAAAAGACCGAGACTTCGATGACGACACCTTCGGGGTTGCGGCGGGCGTATGCCTCTCGGATTGGAATTTGCATGGTGAATAAGAAGTACCACACACACAATTCGGATACACATGCATTTAAAGATACCCGTGCGGGTATCGGGGACTCCCGAGGATGCGTCGAACCTTTGCCATCAGGCCGACCCTGGCGACCGGCTCCTTGTACGATGGATCGTGCGGTCTCGGCATCCAGAGGGAGGTGGCAGCCACGGGGTTGCAAGTTCTTTAATAAATAGACTTTGATTAACTATGTATATTGTCACTATAGTGCACGGCGGGATGGCAAGTGGGCAACAAAATAATCCGCCGCTAATACATCTCAACTCTCCTCTTTTTCATCACGGCTAAACGTACAAAATATCGCACAAAGAATGTACTGAGAGAAAATCCAATTGAGAAAAAGAAGACTAGTAGTAGTAGCGGTTGTGGTGATGGAAAGAAGTTGGGAGGATGTGTTGAGCAGCAGAATCTTTCATTATCCGTTCGGATAGGTGGGAGGTCTCGAGAATAGTCAAGAATTGAGTCAGTGGAGAATCAAAGATCTGAATACAACCCAGCCAAACCAGCGTCCTAATACGTCTTCCCTCTAAAATCTATTTTACTTCTTACTATTAAACTTAATTAAACACAAAGACTGTGTATATCACACGAACATGGGTACCTAAGGCTTGTTTCTTCGTATAATCAACTCGTATCATGTAAATGAAAAACTGAGTTGTTCTGGAGCTGACAGAAGGGCAGTGGTGAAAATGTGGGTGTATTCAGATCTTTGTGTCTCCACCGTATGAACTCCTCTTTTTCCACCCCACCGCACTATTGCAGGCATATCGTATACAGCGCCGCAGGCCGCAACAACCTCTGGATCAAATAATTCTAGCATATTTTTGGCAAAGACACCGAAGCTTCCTATCAACACGAAAGTAGGAATTCTCCAACCTGCCGGCATGATGACCTCCAGATCCCGACTGTGCACTGCTAAGCTCGTCTTTATTTATCTCAGTCTCCCCTGATCAGTCCAGTTGATTGAGTTTATAACTCGTCCTTTAATGAGATACTCACCTTAGGTTTTGCCTGCAACTCATCCAGTTAGGCAGTCATATCAAAATGAAGGCTTCAGCTCTCCTCTCGTCGGCCATCCTAGCTGCGGTCACACTCGCCGCACCCTCTGTCCGGCCACGCGATGACTTGGCCACACACGAGGCCCAGTTTGCCAATCTCACCGCGAGCATCCAAGCCAATGTGCTCAAGTCACTAGACGAGCGCGAAGCTAGGTTGAAGCAGGACGGTCAAGAAGCCCCCTGTAAGGCAAGGAACATTGTTTTCCGTCGCGAGTAGTGAGTACTTCAACTTATCCCCAAAAAATATCGGCGACTAAGAAATCAACAGTGGCGCCTTGTCAGAGAGCGAGAGGCTTTCGTATGTCAACGCTGTCAAATGTCTCCAAAGCCTGCCCCCTCGAACACCAGCCAATGTCTCCTCTGGCGCTCGATCTCGGGTGTGTATTCCGCAACCCTCATTTCATAATGAGTGATTAGAACCAAGACTAAATCGTTCATTAGTACGATGACTTTGTCGTGACCCATATCCAGAAGACCTTAACGATCCACTATACTGGTAACTTCATGCCATGGCATCGATGGTTCGTTCACCTCTATGAGAAGGCCCTGCGTGAGGAATGTGGCTACACCGGATTTCAACCTGTGAGTTCAGTTTGAATCTGTCCAGGTAATGCGCCATTACTAATGGCGAGAGGATAGTACTGGGACGGGCCCAAGTATTCTTCCGCACCTGAAAAGTCGCCCATTTTCAACGGAGACCCTTACAGTCTCGGTGGAAACGGCGAGTACGTCCCCCACGATGGGCCCGTCGTCACGCCACGGGAAGGGTCTGGCGACCCAATCATCCAACTTCCTGCCGGTCTAGGCGGAGGATTCGTGAAAACTGGTCCGTTTGCCAACATGTCGGTCAATCTTGGTCCGGTCAGTGGTCTTCAGGGTACGGTGGCCGGCCCAGATGGTGGCCTAGGTTACAACCCTCGCGGCTTGAAGCGAGATGTTGGCCCGGCTATGACCTCAAGATATAACAACTACACGACGGTGTGGCGTCAGTAATTCCCTGTGCAACCTCTCACTGATTTTGTATGCTGACAGATTTTGTAGAATTGCTCCTCAAGCCCAACATCTCAGAATATAGGCGCTTGAGCGAGGGAGTTCTTTACACTGCTGAGATTGGTCCCCACGGTGGTGGGCATTACACAATGTCAGGAGATCCAGGTGAGGGGTGCCAGTGATACAAAAATTTTGATAGTAGAGCTAATCAGACGCTTAGGTGCGGACCTTTTCACGTCACCTGGCGACCCTGGGTTTTGGGTTCATCACGGCATGATGGACCGCATGTGGGCTCTTTGGTCAGTAATCATCGTAGGGTTCGATCGAATTAACGTATCACTTCTAACACTTTGCTCCTCAGGCAAGCGATTGACCCTGCAACACGTTACACGGAGCTGAGTGGAGGTGAATACGGCCACCTTACCTGGGCCAACAACCCAGCATCCGAGAAGGCCCAGCTCACGGACATGCTCGACTTTGGATACTCGGGTCCCTCGATCAAGATTGCAGATGTGATGGACACTTTGTCAGGTCCATTCTGTTACTTCTACCTCTAGGGTATTTGTTGTGGGAATGCCCTATGGAGTCCGTGTTTGAGCCAGGAGTGTTGACTTTTGCGCCAAAGCTTTGAAGCCTCGTTTCATTACGACTAGAAAGAAGTACCTGGAATAGTTTCCGATTAAAGGACGATAGATTCAACTAGAATAGTGTCTAATAAACTTCCTCTTTCCGAACAGACACTTCGTGAGCGGCAAGCGCCGCGCTTCAAGAGAAACATTTGACATCTACTTCGGCGTTGAACTCACCCATGTTCGACGACCTCGCTCCGGACTATCATCTTCCATACCCTTGTGCGAGCTCTCAATGATCTCTGTATCAAGCGCGAGCACTCCCAGCTTCCTTGCTTCTTCATCAGTGAAAGTTGCGTAGTAGTCCACGTCGTCAATGGCGCCAGCTTCTGGGGGGGGCCATAAGGTGTTGATGGCGAGGTGTAGCAAGAACGATATAGTAAAGCCTAGAGGAAATGCCAGATAGTAAAGATTGATCCAACCCTCGGCAATCTTGATGCTATTCGGGGTAACGCTGGCGGCAAAACCAGGGAGCTGTGTCGCAAAACCGCAGACCCAAGCAACGAAAGTCCTGGGGTTGAACCCCTTGTAATAGTAGAAAGAGCCATCTGAGCGTGGGTGGTAGAGATCTGACAACTTGATTCGGCGTCGCCGGATGATAAAGTAATCGCAGATCTGGATGCCGATAATCGGACCAAGGAAGACGCTGTAAGCAGAGAGAACACTGATGAAAACGGCTGCCGACGACAGAAGTTCCCATGGGCAAAGCGCGATACTCAGCACGAGGCCGATGTAAGCTCCGCGCCTGATGTTGATGTATCGGCAGAACAGGCCAGACAGATCCATGCCAGCCGAGAAAGCGTTATCAATAGCGTTGATGCTTAGTTGGCAGCAGAGGAGACCGAGACCGGCGAAAAAGGCGCCAGCACGGCTTTTGGCGTTGTAGTTTGAATCAAGCCATTCTTGGACGATCAAGGGCGGGTTCCAGATCGGTTCGCCGTAGATGGCGCCAGTAGCCGAAGCAGCCAAGCAGCCAAAGGTAGGGAAGATGGCCCCAAAGAAGATGATGCTGAACCACTGTCCGAAGACCTGGTCTCCGGGCCTCCGAGCAAAGCGACAGTAGTCCGGCTGGTTCGTCAAACCCACAGCGATGCTGCCGATGACCGTGGTGATGCCGTGCACAATCTGCCAACCAAGTTCGCTTGAGGACATTGATTTTGATCCCTGACGGACCAGAGACCCTGCTTCGCCAGCTGTCGCCAATGCCCATATCATGATGGATATCAGGGTAACCGAGGAGATGATATTGAAAGCAAGAAGCAGTCTCTGGATCTTCTCAGGGCGGATGTACAGAATGGGGATGAGGAGAACGTTGAAGATGATCCAGCCAATGAAGTTTTTGGTGGTCAGGTGCGAAGAGGCGGAGAAACCGTTGCCCATTGATTCGAATGAAGGGAAGATTGCTGAGAGGCTGGAACTTATGAGCATATCGTCGCGCAGAGACGGTGGGAGAGTTACTGACCAGTTAACCACTGTCAAGCCTCCGGTCCACGACTGAACAGCAAACCATACCAAGCTGAGGATGATTCTCTGTATCAGGATAATGTACTGCCCGTACACACCCCAGATGTATCGGGAGACAACTGGAAATCCAATGTGCCAACGTGCACCTACATGTCCGTTGAAGATTGCAACGACCGCAATGATGACTTTGCCAATGATAATGGCAATCACGCTCTGCCAGACAGAGAGTCCAGCAGCGACGAGAGACGCTCCTAGTTGCCAGTTGGAGACTGTCATGACCAAATCAGTTGATGCATCTAGTCAATGGTAAGTAAAGCTTTACTAACTTGCCACCTGGTTAGTCAACCAGAACGAGATGAAAGTCCACATCGTCCATCTTCTACGGCTTGGAGGCAAAGGCCTGATGTCTTCGTTGATCCATATATTCGACTCGGCTACATCGGTGTCTGGTAGCCGCGCCCATTCCAATATTCCGCTGAGACTCATGTTGACGGCTGGAAACCTGATCCGTGTGCCATTTCTGCCAGAAAAGGGAATTGTACATGGCGGATATGCCCTTGATTTAATGGATCTGTGCCTCCATATTGTCAACCCAGCACCCACGCGCTTCTCGGGTGCAGCTCGGTATTGCTTCTGATACGTTCCATCGGCGCCCGCTTGGCAGATTGTCGCGTCATCTCAAGCCTCCGCCGATTAGCCAAACACCAGCACCTGTACGTTTAGATATCGCCTTAGGCTTTTTTTCCTCTTATCGTTGGAGAGTGCCTCCAAACCCTCGATAGGTGTGAAGCTCTTATCATAGTTTTCGCCAGAGTGTGGAGCAAAACCCGTGATAAGAACGGCATTGGACAACTTGAGATCCGCAACCCACGAGATACCAAGGTTACCCCGCAACATCATCACTCGGCATCTGGTGTCTGAACGTTTAAGCGCATGGATCATGGAGTAACTCTGCGGGTGTACCTGCCGGATTATCACTCATTATCTATACTTTGCGCCGTCCGAGAGACTAGTGGCAGACGGTATCTGACCGCAGCCGTAGTCTTGGGAACTCATTCAACCGCTTTATCCGCCAAGACCACATGCCTGTCGGATGACCTCCGACGACACGAGCTTTGGACAACGACCGGGTTTATCACCATTTGGGATCTTCTGGGGCGAGCTTCTCAGAACAGGGTGACTGAGTGCAACTTATATTAGTCTCTGATAATAATCAGATAAGTGAAGCAAGATATCGAGACGAAGTTCCAGGTTGGAAACATCGCAACGGATCGACCCGTGACATAACTACCAAAATGGGAGAGATGCCGCCATCACGAAGGACTGTGCGGATTGGTGTTGATGTGGGAGGTGAGTTCAACGAATCACGACCCCCCCTCCCTCAGTGATACTCAAGAACCGAGCTACATCATGCTCCTACTAGAGAGAGACCTCCCACCCGGGGAAGACTTAGCTGACAGCTCGTCTCTCAAGGCACAAATACAGATGCCGTCGCGATTGACTTGAGTCTCCAACAGACCGCGGACCGTGGTGTCCTGGCGCACTTCAAAACTCCAACAACCCCCGATGCAAGCGCAGGCATCGAGACCGCCGTGAGCACCGTCCTCGCCGCCGCCGGCCTGGCCGACTCGCCAGAGCGCATTGCGAGTGTCACCATAGGGACAACACACTTCATAAACGCCGTCATCGAACGTGATGTGCGTCGCCTGCAGCGCGTTGGCGTCCTCCGGCTCAGTAAATCCTTCCTCCGCGAGGTCCCCGCGTTCGCCGAATTCCCGCCAGACCTGGCAGCCGTGATCCAGTCTTACATGGGCATCGTCGACGGCGGATTGCACATTGACGGGTCGCAAGAGGCGCCGGTGGTTGAGTCCCAGGTCGTTGCCGAATGCGCAAAGATTCGCGCGAGCGGCGTCGGCGCCGTCGTCGTGTCTGGCGTGTACTCGCCTATTGATGAGGTCTTTGGGCAGGAGGAAAAGGTGCGCGACATCATCCTCCGCGAAGTGCCGGGCGTAGATGTCGTGTGCAGCAAAGAAGCCAGCGCAAGCATTGGCTTCATTGAGCGAGAGAACGCGGCCATCCTGAATGGTGCTATCCTGCGCTATGCGAGGAAGACTGTGAGTCGTTTTCGACTCGCGATGAAGAGGCTGAATCTCTCTTGCCCGCTCTTCTTGACGCAGAACGATGGCACCATTCTGGACGCAGCATCTGCGGCAAAGATACCGATCCGAACGTTCTCTAGCGGTCCCACGAATTCCATGCGCGGCGCCGCCTACCTCGCGGGTCTCGACGCCGGTGGCGACAGCTCCGCTATCGTGGTCGATATCGGCGGGACTACATCTGATGTTGGCGTGCTGCTTCCATCGGGTATGCCGCGACAGGCATCGGCCTACGTGACTGTCGCCGGCGTCAGAGTCAACTACTCGATGCCCCATCTTCACTCCGTCGGCCTCGGCGGAGGCTCCATTGTCAGGAACGTGGACGGCAAAGTCAAAGTCGGCCCCGAGTCTGTCGGACTCGAGCTGACTTCCCGCGCGCTCGTATTTGGCGGAGACGTCTGCACGACAACAGACATCGCAGTCGCAGCTGGCAAGGCAGTCGTGGGCGCGACTGAGCACGCCAAGGGCTTGGACCCTAGATTCGTTGAAGAGGCGATCCTCCGCATCAAAGCGCTACTGGAGGGTGCCGTCGACGTTATCAAGACTTCACCGGACCCTGTCCCGGTACTGCTCGTCGGCGGAGGCGCTATTCTGTCACCGGAAAGCCTAAAAGGCGCCTCCAAGCTCGTCCGTCCGCCCTTTCACGACGTCGCAAATGCAGTCGGAGCTGCCATTGCACGTGTCTGCGGTGCCGTTGATATCGTACAGGGTACCACTCACCAGACGGAAGGTCAAGCCATCGAGAGCGCGAAGAAGATGGCTGTCGAACGCGCCATTGCTGCTGGTGCGATTCCGGAAAGCATCAAAATTGCCGAAATCGAAACGATGCCGCTGCAATACGTTGCCAACCAGATCCGAACACTTGTCAAAGCAGTTGGCGACATTGACCTCCATGCCAAACTGGAAGAGGTAGCCGAGGAAGACGAAGAAGATGACGGCGAGGAGCAGGCTGAGGCAAGCAAAGACCTGACCCGGGCGACTGTTGAAGAAGAAAAAATTGATCCAGCCAAGTATAAGCCAAACGTCGTACGGAATGCAAGCGGGGTTTCGGAATGGCACATTACCGAAACTGACTTGGAGTACCTTGCTGATGGCTGTTACGTGCTCGGTTGCGCAGGCGGCGGGAGCCCGGCGGCCTCCAAGATCCAGCTGCGCAACATGCTCAGAGCCGGACACACGATGCGTGTCATCGAGCCTTCTTCGCTCAAGGATGCAGATGTTATCTACTGGGGTGGTACGTGTTCCTGCCCTAACAAAGGCTGGGATTTTGGCCGTTCGCTAACAACAATCAGGTCACATGGGCTCGCCGGCTGTCTCCATCGAACGGCTACAGTCCATCGAGACGGTAGATGCGTTCAGGGGTCTGATGGAATACCTTCGCCACGACAAGTTCGACGCCGTCATGGGTCTCGAGATTGGTGGTGCCAATGGTCTGGAGCCATTTCTCGTTGGCTCGTCCCGATTTTACGACAGTCCAATCATTGATGGAGACTGGATGGGTAGAGCATATCCGACATATTGGCAGACTACATTGGCTGTACATGCTCCGTTAGAGCTGGTTCCATGTGCCATTGACTCCGGAGATGGCAAGACAATCGTCATGACCAGAGCCCCCAACGACGAAATTGTCGACCGCGCTCTGCGAGCCTCATGCTCTGAGATGGGTTCCCGGGTAGGCATGGCAGCCAAGCCGACAACAAGCGATAGGGTCAAGAAGTTTGGCGTTCTGAACACGGTTTCTCTTGCATGGCGGATCGGACGCTGCATCGCGCTCTGTCAAGCAACAAACACCATGAGCACGGTCGCCGAGTCCATCATCAAGGAAGCCGGTGGTCTCGAGGCTGCCAAGGTATTGTTCAGGGGTAAGATTATGAAGGTCGAGAGGCGCCTTTTCAAAGGCCATTCCTACGGCGAAGTACATATTGCCGCCTTTGAGAGCGGTGATGAAGACGAAGCCGCAAACAACAAGGAGAGAATCACTGCCGTGGCGCAGGGAGGGACGATGAAGATCCCCTTCAAGAATGAGAATATCCTGGCAGAGCACATTGATGAGAACGGCAAGACAAGCATAGTGGCGGCTGTGCCTGACTTAATCTCAATCCTGGACAATGAGTCGGGCAGAGCTCTTGGGGTGCCTGAGTTCAAATACGGCTACCGAGTCACAGTCATTGGTATCACTTGCTCACCGCGATGGACCGAGACATCAGCTGGGATAGATATTGGCGGGCCGAGAGCGTTTGGATACGAACTTGACTACAAGCCACTAGGGAAGTATGTCGAGCCCCGGAGTGTTCTGCAAGAGTATTCAAATTAGATGAAGGACGAGTACTGATGGGGGGGGGTTTTTGCGAGGACCGCGTTATGGAGAAAAATACGACCAAGATTTGTAAGATTACACGTGAACCCGCGCAATTCGTATATGAATCAGCCTTGCAAATCATCAATGATGCAAATGAGCATGTATAAAAGTCTAAGATGGATGTAGCATGAGCAGGAGTCTACCACAACGGGAGAACCAACTCATCCTCTCAAGCTTGGTCTGGTTCGGATATAGCCCTCCCAATCGTAACCTCCTGTGTCACCACAGTCGTGGTCCGTATTTGTCCTCTAACATGTTGATCCTCCCTTCCGCTGTCCCTCTTGCTCTTGGCACGAGGCATCTTATCTGGGCGTTCGGCAGCTCCCGCGCTGACGCTGACAGTGTACTCGGCCGACGTCTGAGTCTCCTTCCCGGACAGCTCCACTCCTTGCTGGCGAGTCAACTCTTCCGTACTGCTCAAGGGGCGGTGATGTCTCCGTCCGTGTATGCGACTAGCTCTTTGGTTGCTTTCGCCAGGCTGGGCGTATGGGTTGGCGTACTTTGATGGCCTTCCACTACTTCTGAACGGCAGCGAAGACACAGAAAAGAAGCGGGGCAAAAGAGTGACAAAGATCGGCCGAAGTGTAGGAATACACGCCGCCAGAATGCCGATTGCGACCTCCAAGAAGGACCATGTAGCTGCGTCCACGTTATCCCAGTACGGGTCTTTGGTTTCCGCGGCTACGCGCAGGGTTCGGATCCGGAGTGCGGAGATGATGCAAGTGCTAGTCAAGGCGAAGAGTCAGAACAATCACCAACCCGGTACAGCTTGAGGGACGTAGGAGACGAAGCTTACAAGAAACCAAGGCAAAATACCACGAGCAGCACTCGCTTCTGGCTCCGGGGTAGTTGCAACGAGTTGATGACTGGAATCGGCATGCTGAATATGGCGAAGTCGGCTACCAGGTTGATGCCAGCGTTGGTGTACCAAACGGGAAGAAAGTCTAAACATCGGCCTTCAATAGTCGGATCCCAGAAAGCGGCGACGGGAAGACAGATCATTGGAAGGAGGAAACAAAGCACGGCAGTCCATGTGATCATGAAAGCCAGACCCCATAATGTCACCTTTTGCATGATGTCAATAGCAAAGATGCGACGGTACTGTAGCAAGATGGAGATCTTGACGAAACAGGTCGCAACGTTGTACATAATAATCGAACTGTAGAAGGACTGTTGTTGCTGTAAGTACGGGCACCCAGCAGGAGTGATTCTGATAAGTTGTACCTTCATGTAGGGAACATAGTCCTCTGGGGGCGGAACCCATGAATGGAGGCCGAGACCCCATCTGCTTTCTGCCGGTCGTTAGTTGGAGTCCCTGCGTTGATGATTGCCCGTCTTTCAGACTTACCAAGTCCGATGGTAGCAGCTAATGCGAGGAGAAACATCTGAACAAAAACCGGTGTGAGCCGAGAGGTTCAGATTTCGGGAGGGTCCTCTTAGTACTTACTTGGGCGACGACCATGACCGAATCGTCCATTCCGAAGGTCCGGAGCATCTTGGCCCTGGTGTAGACCCTGAGACCAACCGCTGCCGTCGAGAGAGTAGATCCGACTGCCAGAATGGCAACTATCTCTCCAAATCGGGACTGGCCATCAAGGGAATGGTCTACATTGGTGACGGATGCCTGTTGCTGAATATCTTGAATCGAGTCAAGATCTCTAACGAGGACGTTCGCCGCCATGGTTGACAGAACTCTGGAGGGCATGTACGGGTGGTGTGAATTCGTTCGGGTCGAGAAGTCCAAGTAGCATGAGACCTTATGCATATCCAAAGGACAGAGGTCTTCAGTCGTCCTTATTGTATTCTCTCAACGGGGAAATTTGCTCGCGTTAGATCGATACTCAAGCAGCCACAGGCCGTATCTTCACTTGCGCCACCGGTGCAATTTCTGCCTAACCGATCGGGTCATTTGTGCGGACATGGAACTCCCACTGCGATTAAACATCGTAATAGAGACTGAGTGGGAAGAGATAGGCGCTAGTCGCCAAGTCGACGGCCCAAGATCTTCCGCGAGGTAGCATAGGTGCGCTTGATGTAACTCTGGTAGGGATTGGCCACGATGAAGCCGTGAGAAACCAATCCGGGGAAGGGTTGGAGACTCCGCCAAGCCTTTGAAGGCTTGAGATTTCACCTACATCACGACAGTAGCGCGGTACCTGACACAATCAGGCAAAGGCCACCCCAATGTCGACTCCGATTTCCAACAGACTGGACACGCAGACCAACTTGGCAACAAGGAGGGGGAAGGTCACAGGTGCTCCGGGTGCCTGGCTAGCCAATAGCGACCGTAGTCTCGACTGGGTTACCGATCGATAGATGCTTGTCGGGAGGGATGCTGCAGAACAGAGAACCGAAGTTCCCCTGACTCCAGCAGTAGTGGATTGCGTGGCGCGGAATGTGAAATTGCCCATCGGCGAATTCTTGTCGCTAATCTTGGGCTGTACCGAGTCTCGGAACTTTATTCGACGCAACACGACACAACGCGATGCAAAGCTGAATGGAGGGATTTTTACGCCAGTTCGGATCCCGGTTAGTCGGCACTGAGAGCTGTCACAGATCGCGGCATTCGTGGAACCATGGATGTCGGCATTTGCGACAGTGTTGTATCATCGCCCTCGTTTGACATCACGCCGTCTCATTCTGGAACTCGGTTCATTTCCTAGAGAGGAACCATGGCGTACTTGACGGCACCAGCGCTTTACTTAAAGCAACTCCAACAACCAGCTAAATCAGTCAGCTTTCAAGATACCGCGAGTCAATCAACCAATTACTGGCCTAGAAATGAATTAGCTGATTTAGCCGAAAACTGTATCCTTCTAGCTTGCTTTCTGGTTGAAGAAAAGAAGAAGAACAAAGCGAGGCATTTTAAAAAACCCGCACGTTTCGAGCGCCCCTTGACGCGTCTTCAACGCCACTCGATACGCCTCTAAAGCCCCAGCTGCCTAGTGACCAATCATCTTTTTAGAAAAACGCCTAATCAACCAACCAATTATACGGCCAAAGTTGATTTGGTTGCTTTGAGTGAAGCCCTCGACGGCACACTTCGGGTTGCGCCTTGAGCTGAACGTCTATAAGTTTAGTCTCGTTGCTAGCGCCAACGGTCGCTCGCTCTGGAGGCCTGCCTCATACGAACGTTCCTGGGGAGTTCTTAGCTCGGTGATGGCGTACACGCGAAGCCCACATGGTATCAGGCAAGATTGATCAACAGAGCTATCAAGAATTTTCTGATGTTTGAAACATCAAGCTTCATGGGTAAGTTTATGCTCTTGGCAAAGTCTACTACTGATCAACAATCTTTTGAGATCGCAATACCAGTGCCGATCAACTACATTCTGAAGACCGCACGATAGGCATATTTTCTCCATGTCGGAAAGAACGGATGGCATGGAGGCAAGGTGTAGATCATTGTGCAAAAACCATTGATAAGCCTTATCGAGACAGAGAAGCAAGCCCGGTTCCGTCATTCAGAGGACACTGAATGTGTAATGTAAAATCTATCGACATGATCGAGTGCTGGGCAGTCAGTTAGAATTGACGAGGTGAAATATTGAGCAGCCAACCCTATTTGTGGAGTGTGAGCACGACAGGTTACATCAGATGAGTGCAGATCAACAGATGAGTCTGCAGCAATGAGCCAAGTCTGTCCGGAAGAAGACGGCTATGCTCTACTAACGATAGATTGGTCAAATTTAGTCTCCAGTCAGTCCGGAAGAGGCTTCCGGTGACACGCCAAAAACTCTACCGAAAGGAAAATCGGTTCCAGGTACCTGGTATATCGAGAATAGAAAGAGATGTTGCTCCGAACTCTGGGGCCTTTGGGGGCCAAGGGTGTAGTTGGGCAAAGAATATTGACTAGGGCTGGGCGAAGATATCCACAACGTTTGCCCGCAACCATGCCGCAAATCGCAGATCACGCCAATGTTCTCGTGATTTTTAATAGCGGATTTTGTATAGAGCCCCCGGACCATGTGAGCATACCGAGCGTCCTCACTTTTCATCAGAACTCATGCGGACTAAGCACGGGAGCATCGATGGTCCGGAGGAGGCTAAGAGCTATGTCATCGAATTCTACCGAAAAAGCCGGGGTTGAATTGCTTGCCCCCGCCCTGGTCTCCACTGAATTCGCGATTTGATTAGTTTAGATCCTTGAACCCGGGTCCGATGTGAGGTGTTTATGAACTTGTGATGGATTGAATACTATGATCACGGTCTGGAACAAAGACCAAGGGTGCAGCAACGTAATCACTTCAGATTGGCCAAGCCGTGCCAAGCAAAACAAACCAGACGTAATTTCAGCTCATCATGCCAGGCAAAGTCTCTCAAGTCTCGAGTCCTTGGGAACAGTCTTACCAAAATCCCGAATTGGGCTCCGCTCGGATCCACCCCTATCCGGAGCTAAGCGGTCACAGACGGACCGGTGGGGCCGGTGGGCACGGTAGGCGCGAAAACCCAGTAGCAGGCGGAACTGGACCAGATCGCGGGCTCATCTGGAAGAAAACACTAGAGCGAATCTCATTACGCCTTGGATTGATTACGGCAAACAAAATCACAGCTTGGAAACGCCTCCCGCCGTTCCCAATGTCTTGGTCTGGCTCTTGTTCTGGTCGATGCCCTCTTCCACCGCTTTGATCTGCAACGCCAGAATCTTGGAGTAATACCGGCATATCGCGAGATTGCCCCCCATGAACCAGAAGCCGGGGTGCCCAGTGGGACGCCACATGGTCCTGAACTCGCCCTCCTCGTCCCACCCCCACACATCGCCGACGCGATCAGCGAGTTCGTCGCCAAAGATGTTGCGCGCCTCGGTGCGCATGTTTTGGTATCCCGTCGCGAAGATGATTTCGTCGCCCGGCAGCTCCGAGCCGTCTGCGAACCGGAGGCCGTTCGGGAGAACCTCTGCAATCTCCTGCCCGCTCTTGACCTTGATCTCGCCATCGATGATGAGCTGGCTGCACCCAACGTCAATATAGTAGCCACCGCCACGCTGGAAATACTTGACGAAGAAGCCGCCGCCGCTGGGTCCCATGTCCAGGTTAAACCCGGCTTTCTGGAGGCCCGAGAGAAGCTCGGCGTCGTTGGCGTTTTGGATTTCCGTAGTGCCGACCTGGAGCGACTTGAACAGCTCGGCAGGTAAGCTCCACAGCCAGAGGTCTGCATCGTCGACTGGGGGGGAGTCTTCGTCATAGAGGCCTTTGAGGCCAATGTCTGTGATGGAGCTTGAGGAGACGACGGATGTCGAGCTGCGCTGTACCATGGTGACGTCGTACCCTTGCTCGTAGAAATCCTGCGCGATATCATGGCCCGAGTTGCACGAACCAACGACGATGGCCTTCTTGCCATTGGAGTTGGGCCTCGCTCCTGGGAACTCGGAGCTGTGGCAAAGGCGGTCGCCCTTGAACTTGTCCATCCCCTTGATGTTGGGGAAGAACATCTTGCCAGAGTGACCCGTAGCTTGGATGACGTGGCGAGGGTGCAAAGTTCGGGTCTCTCTGGATCCGTCGGGCTTTTGCCTATCGAGGGTGACTGTCCACTGTCTCTTGGAATCATCCCACGACGACTTTGTGAGCGTCGTCGACATCCAGACGTTGAGCTCGAGAAGGCTAGCGTACGCCTCGAAGAAGTCCCCCATCTTGTCTTTCGGTGTAAAGACGGGCCAATGGCTTGGGAAGTTGATGTACGGCAGGTGATCGTACCAAACGGGATCGTGGAGGACGAGTTGGTGATACCGCTTGCGCCAGGAGTCGCCAATGCGCTGATGCTTATCTACTACAAGGGCGTTGACCTTGAGCATCTTCAATCGTGCGGCGATCGTGAGACCAGCTTGGCCGGCACCTAATTATTAGTTAGTACTTGTACAATGCGACAGAATTCTAACTCCAGCATTTCAAGTGCTTACCAACAATCACGACCGTGGGCTCGCTGTCCACGTAGTTGACGCTATCATCCCTCTTCTCCTTCCAGTTCTTGCTCTCTCGTTTCTGGACGTGATCAACTCCCTTCTCGCGTCGGTGCCGCGTTGGCTCCTCATGGCCTGCGATTTCGCGCAAAGTCGTGAAGAAGGTGAAGATCTCCCACCTGTCACCGGACTCGACCATGCGCACGACACCCTCGCCCGGGCCGACATCCGTGCTCACTTTGAGGAAGAACTGCAGGCATTGCACCTTTCCGTGGGCATCAAGGGGCGCAAAGTGAGGTGCTCGATGCGTGGTGGAGGTGTCAATTTGCACCTCCTTCAGTCGGCAGGCCTCGCTCAGGAAGCTCTGGATCTTGTCCCTGCCCTTGAGGGTGCGGAGGTCCCATGATAGGGCTAGGTGGTCCCTCCAGTAGCCGTCCGAGACGAAGAGTTGTGCGAGTTTGTGGTAGTCCTTGGACCTCAGTGCCGCGTTGAAGTCGTTGATGACATCTGCCGCAGCCTTCCCCGCATCAACCGATGTCGAGCGAACGGATGGGGGATACTCGCGGGGGGGGAGGTTGACGGAGCCCGGCTCGATCCGTTCACTCCACGCAAAGCTTCCTGCCATGGTTTTCGGGATAAGTGTTTGGGAATTGATGGAGGGTATCAGATTCGTCTACTAGCGGCTATCTTACTATGGTCGAGGTTGATGTGGGAATCCCTTCAGATCTGGGGTCGCATAGGAGAATTTATGCAGACGCAACATCTTCAATCCCCTGGGGTAGCTTCCGTTCCTCCGCACCGGAGGGCTGAGTCGTGACATCACCTGACAGCTTTCGCCGCGACAACGCACTCTGAGGGGGTTTCCTCCGGGGATAGATCGGGCGGGGAGACAAAACTCTGTCACACACGCAGCGACACATAGCTTCACGAACTAATCGGCGTTCTGCTGTGCCGCATTAGCTCTCAACAGTTTCCTATCCGCAGCGGTTTTGTGGAATTGGAGCCGCCAAGGGCCGCACATTGTCTCTCAGTTGCAGGTAGTAGTGCGCAACCGGCTTCCTTGAATGCGGGGGAAGGGGGCACTGGGGGAGACAAGCCCCGGCCCGCGAGCAAATCAAAGAGCTTCAGAATGTTTCTGGCAAGTATGGACGCGACCTGCTTGGATGGATTAGTTCGAACTCTGCCTTGACACGGGGGACCCGCCGGCGGCTCGAATTATCCCAGATTGAGGCCCGTTGACGCAGCTCGGTGACAGCTAGGACGGAGCTTCTCCGCACTTGAAGTCGCGGGGTTGGCAAGGGATGGTTGGTCCCCCAAGGTTTGGAAACCTTGCGAGGTTGCTTTGAGCTTCCGAACAGACCGAGACTATTGGGCATTGGACGGATTCCTTTCTACCATCTGAGTGGTTACTGGTGATCTAAACCTCCCACAAAAGACTACTACGAGCAACTAAACCTCTCCTCCCAAGATGCCATTAAGGTCAAAAGATCTCACACAGGAGAGACTTCGTTTGGCTTGATTGAGTGCGGGGGAAATGCGGGAACACGCATGAGAAATCCGGGGCAAAGGAAGCTAAGTCCGATAGCACATTTCCGCGTTGCGGCGCTGCGGTTCCGCATTGCCGCCCCGCCCCTTTGCGGCTCCGGTTGGTGTTTTTCAAATCATTAATAGCTAGCTGCTTGGCGCCTCTGTAGATGGGAACTAGCCAGGGCGACGGTTTCCTCCAGATGCGTGGCTGTTCAGCTAAAAAATGCACCTGACGACCCCTCGGTGTATAAGTGTCTGCAAGCTTCGAGATCTACGAGATCTGCACGTCGGGTCATCGGAAGACAGCGCGACTTCGTTGGACAATCAAATTCATTCACCTTGGATGATATTTGTCAAGACGAGATTGGGACTTGCCCGTAAATAAGCTCCTCGCTTTGCATTCTGGAAAGGATGAACTTCACTGGTCGAATATGTGTGCAAGCTAGTGTATTTACTATAATCCCTTTCCAGCACTCGCTGGGTGTAACGATGGGTGCAAAGCGGCAAAACTATTGAAAAAGAACACGGATCCAAAGGGCTTATTACAACCTATATCAGCTGGATCAGACAGGGCTGGTCTCTATCCAAATCTCCACTCATCTTCTCATTGAGCTGAATGTCATGCTCGGCATACCGCTGCGTGCCATCAGACGTAACGCAGACGGCTGGCCCAACTACCCGGGCTCTACGCACCGAACTCCCATTCACTCCTTGCGACCAAGATCCGGCCGGAGTCGACGGACTCTCGACACCTGTAAACGCTTCTGCTGGATCTCGCCCGCCACGGACCAGACGGTCCATCCAGCTCGACCGCGATCCTGGACCCCACACTCTGGGGGCTGGCTGCGCAGTAGTCGGAGCAGGGGCACGTCGTTGCTCGCTTATCTGAACCCTTACTGCCATCATAGTCGCCATATGTCTATCCGTCTTTTGTCCCCGCATGATGCGCGACCGCCTGCTGGGGTCCCTGCTGAGGCGCCAAACGGGGATCAAGATGTCGCCGATGGCGAGATCGCGCGGACCAAAGCCGTAATCGCCGCGGTGCTCGGATAAGGAGCCTTGGCCATCCCAAATAGAAATGTTTCCCAGCGGTTCCAGCTTGAAGAGCGAGAATTCTTGCATTAATTTGGAGATTGTCTGTACTAGAACTGTTTGCTCAGGGCTCAGCTGTGATGTTGACGGGTCGAGCATGTCCATCACGGTAACACGGACGAAACCTTGGTCCCATGGCCAGTTGGGTTTGCGAAAGCGAACCACAGTCCAGAAGAGCATCGATATGGTGTCGATCTCAGCAGGGCACTCATGCGGCGCTGGAAAGAAGCCACGCAAGACGTTGCTCACACTCTGTAAAGCAGCAGCAGAAGACCTGTCGTCCCAGGGTGGCTCCATGAGCTTGAGACTTGCGACAGTTCGGCCTCTGTCTCCGCCAGAGGAATCATACCAACGGATATACAGGCGGTCCTGCTGGAAAATAAGCCTGGCCGTGCGCTCCTCCGTCCATCGTGGGATTTCCCCGTTGTGGTACGAAGACCGGACCCTTTGCTGGGGCGGTACACCAGCCTCCCGCCTACGCAGCGGCCTCCCGAACTCGCTCGGAGGGGTATGGACCACGGTGTTTGGCTCCACAACGATGGCGACCTCTGAAAAGCCGGGGCTGTCGGAGTAGTCAAAGGCGTCGAGATTGTTGCTCATGGTGTGGTATGGTAGGTCACGGCGGCGTTCTTTGGACCAATCTGGCACCCATGACGGATAATACTCACTAGATGCCGTTGAGAGCTGCCCAAACTCGAATACGTGAAGCAGCATTTGTAAAGCAGTATTCTTACTCCGGCGGAACATGGTCTCTGCGAGTTTCCGGTAGAGAACCGTCCAGTCTTGGTTGAGGTCGAGATACCCTTCCACGTCTTTGTTTTGTTCCTCATCAGGAACTAGACCGAACAGGGCAGTGATGCGATCCGCCGGGTCCCTACACCCAGCCGCATGAAAGTTCCAGAGTAGCTCAAGGATCGACTTCCGATCGCTGCAGAGGTTCTTCGTCATTCGGAGCTGATAGCTAATGAGGTCCTCGACGTACTCGAAGCGCCGGGCCGCCGAGACAAACCAGGGCAGGCCGAGAGAGTACTTTCCGCAGTGGACTTTGGCGTTGCGAGCTAAGCACGCCTCCTGGATGATCCAGCGGCGCAAGAACCATTCGCGACACAGGAAGCGCTGGAGTTGAAAGATGTGGTCGGGTCCCATCACCCTTTCTGTTATTGCCAATGTGTTTCGCGCCATTTCTTCGGGCCGCTTGGTGTCTAGTAGCATTGCCACCATGCGGATGGCGGCGAATACTGATGCTGTCGTGTCGTCTGCGTCACCGAGCCATATGTGCACTCTCTTAGCTCCTTTGTAGATTCGGCCCATCAGAGGAAGCTGCTTGTTCTTTTCGGCGACATCTTTCTGGTTTAGGCAAATGGCATCGATCCAAAGGTATCTCGAACCGATGGGCTTCCGAAGTGTCCGCAAGAGCGAGTCGACTGTCGGACTGATGCCGAACGAGAACGAGCCATCGATCAGGAGCTCGCAGGACGGCGGTGCGGTTCCCCAGGTGTACGAGACGGCCGAGAAATCGCGTTCCGTGTCCAAATTCATCAATTGCCATGAGCGACTGTACTGAATTAGGGAGCACTGCAAGGGCGCCTCTGGGTCAGTGGCGGGGTTGAGGACGATGACGCGAATTGAGTCCGGAGCCCACAGGGGAGAGTATTCATACTCTCGCGTCAAAGCTGCATCCATTTTGCAGAGAATCGCGAGGCGATCATGGAGTACTACGGCGTGAATGTCTGAATCAGAATGTCTTATCTGCGGGGAAGTCAGAGCCAGCGGGGATCAAATGTGAGTGAAGGCATCCCGCAGCCTGATCTATAATTAGGTTGATCTTGCCTCTCACATCATGACAGCCTGACCGGCTCAGCGCGGCTCAAGTCTCGCCATGTTTCCCCGACCAATATCTAACAAACCCCATGATGATAGTCTCTGAAGTGGTTCCATCTTCGGGACTTGGACAGAGCAGCGTATAGGCAAGTCACAAGTGTCAGAGATAAAGACGGTAGGTTTCATATGGAATGATTCTCATATTTCAAACATGAGGACGCCTCTGTACAAAGGATCGTCCGATATCCAATCGTGTTTACATCCAGTGTCTTAAGTCATACGTATGTACAAGAATAATGTTTGAGCTCACCAGCACTAAGTGGTGCTAACAGAACCCATGAATTTTTATGTCCAAAAAGCTTCTCCAACGTCTCTCTCTCCCCTTGATTCTCTAGTAAGAAGCACCGCGGGCAAGCTTGCGGCGCATGGAGCGCGCACGGCGGCGAGCAGCAGACTTCTCGCAGTCGGCACCAGCAGGGGTGGAGGGCGCAGCGGCAGACGGCGGCGCAGCAGCGGAGGGAGTAGAGGGCTCAGCGGGGGTGGTGCTGTTGCCGCCGTTGTAGTCGGGGATCGCGGCAGAGGGCGCGGCGGGAGTGGAAGGGGTGGTGGGAGTCGTGGGGGTAGTGGGCGTGGTGGCGCCGTCGGAGCCGGTGCAGTCGCCGTCAGAGGTCTGGCCGAGGAGGTTGGCAGTGTGGTCCTCGCATCCTGAGAAAGCGACAGTGGGGCCGGGGGCGGTGTAGTTCTTGGGGGCAGGGTAGTAGATGTTGATCAACAGGCCGGGCTCCTCTCCGGTGTAGGCGCCGGGGAACTTGACGGTGGGCGAAGGGGTCTTGGTGGAGGTACCGGTGACGGAGATCTGAGCGCATTCAATGTAGAACTGGGCACCACCCTTGGTGCCGGCGCCGTGCAGAGCAATGTGCTCGACGCGCATCAGGTACTCGCCGGTGGGGACCTCCTTGGGGAGAGTGAAGGTGAAGTTGTGGATACCGGCGTTGTTGATGTAGGTAGCCCACTGGAGACCGGCATCGGTGATGCTGGAGGTGGACAGCTCGTAGACCTTGAACCAGTCGCCGTCACCCTTGTAGGTGGCGACGGTGGAGGGGGCCTTGGAGAGGTAGACGGCGAGGGGGCCGGGGTGGCCCAAGTCGTTCTCGACCATGAAGCCGACCTCGTCACCGGCCTTGACGGCCTTGGTCTGGGTCTTTGCGAGGACGTCGTCGTCGTTGCCGCCAATGTTGCAGACGATGCCGTCGGAGGTGACATCGGTGACGGGGGAGTTTGAGTTCTTGGCCTCACGGACGTACTGGTAGCGCTCGGTTTGCTCGCCGTTGACGATGAGGGTAGGGAAGACGTAGTGGGCCATGGCCTGGGGCACGAGGGCCGCGGCGGCGAGGACAGCAAAGGAGCGCATCTTGAGTGTTGTTGGGTTTGTGTTTGGTTGGTGAAGACCGGTGATTGGAAAGATTGGACAGGAAGAAAACGAAGAGTTGATTTTCCACCAGGGAATGAAAGAAAGTGAAGTTTCAAAAAAGAAAGAGAGTGGTTTGTACAATGACAAAAGACACAGCGATGGTTGAGAACGAAGAGCGAAAGAGAAAGACGTCGAGAATGGCGAGAAGAAAAGGTTGTCTTATATCGAAGATATCTCACCACCCCTGACAGACAAACCATCTACCACCAGGCGCCATGATCCATGATCCATCCACATTCCTGATGTAATCTTTCCCCACATGATGGCAGACTATCCTCTTCAGGCTGGGTACTCCAGGCATCATGGGCGCACGCGCGAAAAGGGGTGGTGGAAAGGCAAGGATGGCCAAATGAGCTTGACCTCAGTGCCTCGCCCAACCAGCATCACACGATAATAGAGGGAGACTTGAGTGACGATTTGGTCGAAGTGCCTTCGTTTGAAACATGGGAGCAACCCGCTACATCCATTTTCCCACCATACGCGGTCCCCGACGGAGTCGAAGCCCGCGACGGACCCCCTGATCGGGGTCGCAACTAGAGTACGATTGACGACATTGACCCCTGGGTAGCTCACGAGCCGCCCACGTTGTCGAAATCTGTGGAAAGAAAAGTGGCCAAGCTTGGCTGATGCGCCGATTCCCCTTGTGCTCCTGTTCATCTAAACTCACAGCTCGCTTGCAGCGTTGCAGCCCGTACCCTGGCAGATGAACCTGGCCCGAGCTGGTCGAAGCCCCGAATCGGTCGCCTGTAGATTGTTCTTTACCCACAGAGACCGACCTCATTCGTCCTAGCCGCTGGCGGCTGTCTTCGCGTGCATCCCGTAACGGCGTACTATGTAAGAGGGCTTGTCGGGGTTTGACCGTTGGAGCTGTCAATTTCGGGCGACAAGCCCGGTTTGCCTTTCAATACCCGTCTATTGGTACTCGGCGTGTCAGAAGGACTTGGCTCACTTGGTGGACACTCGAAACTCCGGCGTGCTGCAGCGTGCTGCCCGTTCCGCACATACCGGAATCTTGAGTCGTTACTAAGTCTTTACAAAGACAACTAGCACTCATGTCAAAAGTGTCATAAACAAGCGTTTCCCCAGAATCAATATGTCGAGCATACGTCTCATGTGCGATCCCGTGAAAAAAAGGTTATGCCACTCTGAACTCTGTTCTGGTTCTTGATCGACGCGGCCGTGGTAGCATTCACCTGAAACCTGGGTCCAGAGGCCGCAGGGAAAAACCACAGCTGGCGGCTATTCCCTGTCGCGCATCACTTTACACGGAACGAGAGCCCCCCACCCAGAAAGAAGCAAAAAGGAGGGCGGCGCTTGGATGCAATCGATTCTCCGGCATTCCCAGTACGGGCCTGCCGCCTAGAGACTCGGCAAGTAAAGCCGAGTGAGTACACACTTGGGGTCAACCTGGGCTCTGAGCTGTAACTTTTGCAGAGTTCCCCCTCATATGCTGCAGTGTGATGGCCAAGGAGGAGGCCAGACCAGCATCAACCCCCGACAAATGTCGTTATCGCCGCTGACGAGTCGGGCCCAGCGCTTCACAACTAAAGTGAAAATAAAGTGTGCTCGTTAAGAGCCCCCCTGCCGAGATATCATAGCGGCCCTTACTGCTATGTAGTAGGAATCGAGTCAGCCAGTCGAGCGGTCCCGACCCGGGTGTTCCAGAGGCCAAATTCTACTCGATTTGGCCGTGCAACTCTGCTGAGATTCTTAGTCAGACCTCGACAACCGCTCCCTCCGGCAACGCTTCTCATACCACAGCATAGCCATCCTAGTGAAGTCTCCATCAAAAGAGGGGGGCCAGGCCCGTTAGAGAAAAATAGAGACGGCTCCATCCTCGATTTACGTCTAATCTCTTACGTCTAATCTCGGGCTCCACGGCTGAGCCGGCCGGTGGGCTTACCTTTTCGACCGAACCTGTCGACCCGTCCAAATCCTCCTTTGGATTCTGCTTCGTCCGTAGGGAAGACAGTCATCGTGGGTGAATGCGGCCCAATTCGTTTACAAAGTATTGTTTTGCATCCACCAAACTTCCATATTTGTACTCCCCCACTTCCCGGCCAGTAACATGGCAATGAAAAATTGATGCGGAGTAATTACGCATTGGCTCACCGCAGCAATTGTCGGTGGCCTTGTAGTCGGAAAACCCCCCCTGCGCGCTTCCCGCAATGTGACCGTCCCGGAGCGGTGGCCGAGCCTAGACAGTAACTCGGACCGACGATCCCACTTTCAGCTCCGCGGGCGAGGTACTGACTTGTGAAGGTTGTCTCAACTTCCATTGACGGCGACGATCGTTTCTCGGGCAGTGCAACTTATTTGGGTGAATCTGGACGCTAGATTGGCTTTTCCCGCCCCCAAGAGCCTAGATAGACTGTCGACGTGAGTTCCCGATGAGACTGTACCGAGACCTGTGTCGTGTGACAAGGCCCAAAATGGTCATGGCGTCTCTCATGGCTTTCTCTGCCAAGACGGCCATCCTTTCCATGATTCAGCCGTAAACGTCTCGTCAAGGAAGTTTTCGCTTCTATATCTTCCAGCGGCTACGGCAAAGCCCTCCCAATCTTACTAGTTTTGCTTTTCACCCAGCTGGACTTAGGTACAGGGGAATGCCATCAGTCTGTGTATACCCCACCATTACCCAACTTTTACACCTTGCCCATTACACTTTGACCAGCTACAACACGAAACCTTTTAATAAATCTAAACAATAGAGTATAATGAGAAAAAGGGTTGAAGTTTACTATTTACTATTTAGTGTAATGTACACTAACTCTGTGCTCCAATCACTACGTCAAGGCGGCGCGGTAAAGACTCAATAAAACTCTGAATCCTGGCTTGGGAAATAGCGAGATGATCAAATCCATGGCATTCCACTGTCGCAGCTACGAGAGTTGAAGTCATGAGCCTGCAAAAGCTCTAGAGAAGGAAGACCCTGCCTCCAGTCGGTGCTTTCAGCTGACGCCACGACTTCAGGAATCATTCATTTACATCCTCAAGTGGTATTGTTTCCGACCTCCACAGGACTATGCGAGAAGTGTCCGTATCACGTCTTAGACGAGCGACCTGACGACTACTATACAGGTGTCTGCATGTTCGGGGTCCCCATCTCCATTCCCCTCGACATGTCTTGCTCATAATATCATCTACCAAAGGATAGCCTAGAGATGCGTGCCGGTGAATGTGACCCAATCCACTCAAAACCTTTTACCTTTACGATTTCAGAATACTTTTTTATCTATACCTTGTTTCTCCTCCGTAAAGCACCGCAATATCAAGAATGATCATGTCCCTCATGGTCCTCCCCATCCTCCGCCCAATCCGGAAACCCATCATCAAACAGATCCTGCAACTTATCCCTCTTCTTCTCGTCATCCCACCTCTTATGTCGCATCACCTTCTGCCACTTCCTCCACTCCTCGTCGTCGAGCAAACACGCATCCAGCGCAGCCTCCAAACCCTCGATATCTAACCTCTCGCCAATAAATACCATCTCCTGCCGGCGGTCGCCCCACTCACCGCCCTTCTTGATGTCGTGCGTGACGAGGGCATCGACCTCGCGGTCGCCCGTGAGATAGTCTCCAGGATCCAGCGTGCAGAACCAGGGGCGGCCGCCCGTCATCGTCAGCATCGCGCCCGCTTGGGACCAGTCACCCGCCCTGTGCGGCCGCGTCGCGAGGAAGAATTCGCCCTTTGAGCGGAAGAGGCGGTTGAAGAGGGGGTTGGCGGTCTTGTTGGCGAGGATCACTTCGTTGGAGGGGGGTTCGAGCGGGTCTTCCATGTCTGCGTCCTCGTTGTCGTCGCCTTCGTCCGCCTCCGACTCGTCGTCTTCCCATTCCTCCTCGTCTTTCTTGTCGTTCACGTCTTCATCGTCATCATCTTCATCCATGGCGTCTTCGTCTTCATCGCCTTCTGGCTCCTCCATCTGCAGGATGAACTTGTCGTAAAGGAGAGACCAGAGACGTCTGGGATGGAAAGGCCTTGTCCTCGTGTAGATGAAGTTGCGGACATTGTACTCTTCCGTCTCTGGCTTTGGTGTAATGGCTTTGCGACCGTTGACCTGGAGCATAAAAAGTTCAGCGTACTGCATCGTGCGGGATGAGGCTTGGATTTTATGATTAATTCTTACCTCGCGAACTGTCATGGCGTGCAAGTCTTGGAGCCAGCCAACACCAGACTGGGCAACCTTGAGGTCGAATGTGTTGGTGTTGACGATCTCGTTCACGTCGATCTTGCTGTAGCTGGCCTCCAAGATCTTGGCTCGTGGGTTGAGCTTCTTGATCAAGTCCAATACGCGGCCGCGGTCATTCTTTGTGACCTAAGATCAGTCAGCAACCCCCCATCTTTGCTGTGATGCCTCTCGTGGAATATCTACCATGTCGATCTTGTTAAGGACTATTACGTCTGCAAATTCAATCTGATCAACCATCAGGTCTGATACGGTTCGTTCGTCTTCCGGTACGACGTCATCTCGTCTGGAAGATAGCAGATCGCTGGTGTGGAAATCGTTAAAGATTGTGAAGGCATCGATGACGGTGACGGTAGTATCAAGACGAGCGAACTTGTCCACTCCACCAGCATCAGCCCTGATGAACATGTTTTGTCAGTAAGAACCCTAACTGAAGATCCAAGTCTGAAAGGGGAACTCACAGCCTCTTGAGCAACTTCATGGTATCCTCATCCAGACCCTCAGGTCCCTCACCCATCGTGGCCATCTGCTCTGCCAGCCGGGCATCGAACGTCTCTGCAACTTGTTCAGGCTCGCTGATACCACTGCTCTCGATAATTACATAGTCAAACTCGTGAAGCTCGGACAGGTTGACAAGCTCTTCCAGTAGATCACCTCTGAGCGTACAGCAGATGCAGCCGTTCTGTAGTGCAATGACCTTCTCTTCCGTCTTTGTAAGCCGGTGGGTCTTCTTGATGAGGGACGCGTCGACGTTGACCCTATTCGAGACAACCGGTTAGCATTACGGTGATACGCTGTACATCTGGTCTAGAGCAAATGTTGAATCAACATACGCCCCGATATCGTTAACAATAACAGCAATGCGAAGGCCGTGGTCACTCTTGAGAATGTGTTGAAGCAGTGTCGTTTTACCGCTGCCCTGTTGTTCAGTCATCAGTCCAATCTCCTCCATCACAATTGCACGCCGCCATCAGGACCTACCAAGAAGCCCGAGAGAAGGGTGACTGGTAGCGGCTTGCCCTGGCCGGTCTTTGTGACATCCACGCCAGAGTCCTGACGGACTAGCTTGGGGACCCCATCGACAGCTGTTGATCCTGTGGATGCCGGGACGACAACGCCGCCAGATTTGGGTTTTGTTAAAGATGCCGAGAGTTTTTTGCCCATTGTGACTGCACGTAGCCTCCTGTTTGACGCTCTCAATTTGATAGAGGTTGAAGATTGAAAGGCATATGGATACCCAAGCAGTCTTAACCTTTGACGGCCAGATATTTATATGACATTCCCACCCTCCAAACATTCCCTCATCTGATTCAATGCCATCAAGGTGTTCAAGGTTCGTCGGCCATCATTCCATTCCCAGTCACCCTAGTCCATCTCTCTGTGCTGTTTGTTCCGTGCAACCTACTTACAGCGAGCCATCCGGGTTCTTTTTGATGCCCCCGGCGATATAACACGGGATTGGTTGACTTGTTACCGGGGCCGTCATCATCATCGGTCGCCGTCTGATTGGCCGAGAAGACCTCGAATGGGGCCCGATCCCCAGGAACGCCTCGCCATATTTGGCAAAAAGAGTTCACGAAAGCATGGAAGACGGGTCTACGGTCAGCTAGGACCCTTGAGAACCTTGATGGATACATGTAACTTCGTTAGCATGATTGCCAAATGGCGCTTGATCATTCGTTTGGCTCAATAAGCTGCTTTGGGGCCGACAGTATGATGTGCAATGAACTAGGAGGATCTGAGGGTTGGAACCCTTTGATTTGCGCTCATCGGCACAATCGGGAGGTCAAAACGAGACTCTTCTAGTGGCATTGCTTGTTGCCATGTACGGGGCATACGATGCCCCCTTTGACCCTTGGATAGGTAAAGGAGGCACGAGTGCATCCTCCAGGAAACGTGTTAATGTCGTAATACTAAATGCATGAGTCTACGCAAACAAGGCTCGAAATTGGTAATTTTCTTGATAGGGAACGAATAGCGGTGTTTCCGCCAGTGTAGCCACGTCCTCAGAGTAACCGCAATGGCGCCCCATAGCCTTTCGTACGTTTGCCCACAGCCGTAGACGGACGGGAAAGCTTCTGCCCGGTCATCATAATGTGCCATTAGCGGTTGGGCTCCGAATTAATGTTTGTGGGCAAGTTCATCCCATTTACACGGTAGCTATCAGGAAATATAAGACCCAGCGGCATCAATCTACCCTTGACCAATCATCAACTGGAGTAGAGGTGCGAAATATAGTCTTGTGCTAGTGCCCTTGTTCACTGACTTGCCATTTTGAAACAACGCTTGGCTAATAGCCGGCTTTGAGAAGAGCTGCAAAGGAGATGAGATTTCCAATGAGGCTCTCTCACATGAGACCTGTTCAATTCTTGTGGTTGGTTGGGTGGCTTTCCATGAAGTTGATGTACGTGCCAAGATAGACCGCTGTTGTGATTAGTGCTGAGTCAGTACTTTGGTAAAGAGTTCCTTCACAACAGAGGGCTTCCGTTGACTTGAATCTTGGCATACTATGCACGCTTTCCGATTCCAAAACTCTCAGTTGATATCGCGACTGGCCAAATTGCTGTTGGAACCCTACATGGCGGCGAGGACTAGACCCCATGATGATCTTGGCTGTGAAATTGAAAAGGTTCAATATCTGGGCGTTCTGTAAAGACCAGGAATATGTCATTCAAGGATGAGTCACAACGAGACCTTGGGCGAGTTTGAAACGGAATAGAAAGAAGAAGAAAGAGGGGGAACAAAACTCAATAGAGCAAAGTGGCTGAGGCAACGTATTGATCATAGCGATGCTCTGATACCGTTGTCTGGAGCGGCCACCGAGGCAAACGGCTCTTTCCGGGGCCCGGTTGCTGATGAATGGAAGAGGAGCGTATCAGTCACTCACAGTTCTAGACAACTAGTCGTTTACAGCCCAAATGTGGACAGATGCAGAATATCGTAGCCGAAAGGCTAGTCGAGCCGAAGCTTGAATCAACACAGACGCACACATCAAGCGCGCGGCGTTCAAGCGGCAGGTATGCGGAGGGACGATTGTATTAATAGAAGACCCATCGCCTGCCATCAGTGTTGAACATCATGAAGGGAAACGTCATTCTCAGGTGAGGAAGGATTGGCGAAGGATGTTTGCAAGGTGCCCATGCACTCCCAGTTTCATCGTCTACCCCGTAGTGGACGAGGATGAGCCCGAGCTATCCCGGAAGCCGCCGCACAACAAGTGCATAGGATTGGCTTGTTAGCCAATGTCCTAGGCCGAACGGAGTCGACTTCTTGCAGTGCTGCTCGTCACGGCCCAAAGAACTCGTCGGCAAAAGTTGACTCGTTCGTTCGCAGGCAGGTCGGGCCAGGCCTTGGTCCCTTGCGGCGATCACGACTGTTCCGTGGTCGAGGCGCTGTGCGCGGTGGGCGATGGAGCAGCTGGTTTCTTGCTACTGGCAAACTTTGCACTACCAGACCGCTATACATTTATGCGCATCACTACTAGGTAGGAATCAGCATCGCGTTGATACAGTGCACTTGTTTGTCACCTGAAGTGACTGTAGAGCAATACGAAGCTGCACCAAGGGGAAGACGGGAGATGCAACAATAGTCGGTGCTTCAATCTAGAAAAGACAGGAAATGTTTCCAGGCTCGGACAAGGCCCCCCTTACCTTGATTCTAATTCTCTCCGGCCTCGAAGCGCCGGGTTGGAGTTTTCTAGAGGACAACGGTAAGAAACTAGCATAGTTGAGCACACAACTCCGCCCACGGATTGTCCATATGCATTCATGGCCTGCTCGCAGTCGCATTTTCGCAGGTTTCAGCCACCAAAAGAGGGCGCCTCCGGGCCACGCTGCCAAGAAGGGCGTCAAACACGACCGAGGGTTTTGGTGTGGCACGGCGGGTTCATCAGAGTGACAGCGGCCGGGGCCGGTCTGTGAACCCCTGCCAACTTGGAACTGGTGTGGTCACCCTCCCAAAGTCCCCTGAGCCAATAGGCCACGGTCCGCTCAGAAAACCGCCCAATGGCCAGGCCTCCTCGACCCCTAGAGCGTAACTGTATAGCGCCTTGAGGCTGGTGAAGAGCTGCTGAGCTTTAGGAAACAAAGTTCATTGGGTCCATCCGAGAGAACGTAACCCCGGAGCGTTCCCGCGCCTGCACTTGTCGCACCAGAGACCAGTTCCCACTGTCCCTAGACCCCTAAGCCGTCCGCAGCTTGTAAGAGAGACGCATCTCGAAACCCCCTTGCCCGTTCTTCTTGGGAGTTGTTTGATGTGCGAGACATTTTTACATGGGTTTCTCCGAACTTGTCCGTGGGGTTTGGGCAGGATGATCGACATGGCGAGAGTGATTACTTGAAGCAGATGCCGCGCACACCATGCTGTCATGATCCTCCTGGCCCTCTTTGCCCCGGCCTCTGTCCAAGATCTTGGGGGTTCTTCTCTGACGCTTTTTTCTATGCGGCGCTTGCGTCTTCTTTTCTTTCTTGTTGTTCTCTTCTAGATTTGCAGCTGTGCTGTCTTATTCACCCTCACTCGCTGGTCGACTTCTTTTCTACTTTTATTCAGTCACCCGTTGCAGTGCAATTTGCTGAAGACGCGAAGGTGATGGAGGGAACCGCAACTTGGTCTACTTTGAGGTAAGGAGTCAGCCAAGCAATCTCCTCAATTATTTATAACGGGGAGCACTGACCAGTAGAACAGACAGCGGAGGAGAAGAACAGCGCCGAAATTCGCTGGCAGACCCCGTCACAATCTAGCCCGCAGACAAAGTCCGGCACTGCTCGCAAACGAAGAGGAGGCCGAGGAAGCAGACGGGGAGCAAGAAGAGGACGAAGGGGATGAGGAAGAAGAGGCGAAGCCTACTAAGCCCGCCAACCAGCAGAAAGAGCAAGAGGAGGAATCCAAAGAGTTAATCGGCGCAAGAGAAGCCGAAAGCGATTCGGAAGCCGGCGGCCAAGGCGGCGCAGCAGCATCATCAGCAAGCGATTCCGACGCACAGCAATCCGACTCGGACAGCGACTCCGAACGAGAGAAGCCGCCGCCGGCCGTGACCCCGCCACCACCGGGCGCAACGCCGACTCCTCCTCCGGGCGTGCAGTCACCCCCGGCCGCGCCATCTCTCCCGCCGCCGGCAGCGCAAGGCTCTCCGGCACCACAAGCGCCGTCGGCAGTCTTGAACCGGGCGTTGACAGACAACATCCCGCCGGCAAGAGGCTTCATCACCCTCGTGCCCGGTGCGCCACCTCCGTCCAACCCGCCGCCTCCGCCGCCGGCAGCGACGCCGTCGAATCCTCCCGTTTCCCAACCACAGAGTCCACCGCCTGCCAGTCAGTCGTCGGCACCGCCATCACCAACACCTCCTCCCGCTGCGGAAACCCACCCTTCAACAAATCTGCCGCCACCGCAGGTTGGAAATGCCGCGTCCGGAACACCCCGACCGGTACTTCTCCCACCAAGCTCCCAATTCCAGGCTTCCAACACGCCATCGGCATCAGCTGCCCCGGCTGACGGAACAGACCGAGGCTTCGCCATCGGAGTCTCCTTTGCCATCGTCGGTAAGTCGTCACGCCTCACCGCATCCTGAGACACGTCCTAACTGAAAAACCACAGCAATCATCGGATTGCTCATCGGCGCAGTAATCTTTGGCGTAAAGCGCTACAAGAGAAAGAAGAAGGTCGCCGCCGTAGAGTCAAACATGACGCAAAACTCACCCCTAGGGGCGGCCCCCGCGGGCAACAGCTTCCTTGCGCAGCGGGAATCAGCCATCCTGCGGCAACCCAAACGGAGCACCGGCGATATGGAGCGCGCCGTGGTCACAACGTTCAGCCAGACCCAGATCGCGAACCGCACCACCAAGGAGATGGAAGAGCAAATGGTGGAGCAATTCAAGACGGACAGGGCCTCGCGGGTGGACAGGTCCTCCGTCAAGCCACTACCAAACCCGCCAACAACGACAAACCCGTCTGCTGCTGTCCCGCCGCTTCCCAGCCTCCCCAGTAACAGCTATGCCACCGCTTCTGTTGAAGACACGAGAAACTTGCAAGCGGAGAGCTTCTACTATGAAAAGTCCATCAACGAGCCGGCTGTTCCCGCGCCGTTGAGGATAAGCACAGCACCACGACGGCCACCGACGACGGCGACGGCGACGGCGACGGCATCCACGATAAGGGTGCCGTACCCTGTTTCCACCTACGATATGTACCAAGAATTGGGACAGGGACCGTACCGGGAGTCTATCAGTATTGGATACCAGCCCAACAACGCGGGGTATCGACCGTATAACCCAGATAACTTCTACCGGCCGCAGCCCGGTCAGCTCCCCCGAGCAGAGAGGGGACCTGATGGGCGGTTCTCTCCCGAAATGGGGTACAGCGGGTGAGAGACACCAGAGCCTAATGGTGCGGCCCAGACAGAGAGAGGACTGGTTTGGCGGTTAGACTGCGACTAAGCATAATGCTAGAAGGCATACACGGTCATTACCTACTGAGAGCACAAGGCCACATCTTGCTAGAGCTGGGTTCAACCCTGAATACACCGAACCCAGAGTTGGATTTATCTCGCGTACTATCTTTTTCCTTCTTGTTGAATACCCAGGCAGAAGTTTGTCGTCCGAAATGCACTACATACCTACACAATAATACTACAAATCATGGTAATTGATTGCATTGTGCCCTTTTGTGATGGCTGCTGATTGCGGTGGCTCATGACAGCAGATAATACCCGAATCCATTCTCAGCGCTTACTACCCACCCCAATTCCCAATCTCTTCTCCTCGTTCAAGGTAAAGTACCTCTGTTCATTCACTTTTAGACGCCCGGAGGATCCGACATGCAGGTCCGGAACTCCAGACGCACGTCTCCTGAAACAAACATCGCGACAAACCCCTGCCATAAACCGAAATAGGTTCGTCAAAAGTTCCCAGCCTTCAAGACCATGAAAGCTCCGCAAAGGCAGGTTGGAATTGTCAGTGCCGCTACCATCGACGCTGGAAGACACGTCGACGCGGATCTTAGCCGCGTCTCTGAGACCGGATCGCCATTCTGGTCGTCTTGCTAATTCGTCGATCTCTTCCTTTCTTCAATGTCCGCCCCCAAGATATCTCCCTGGGTTCACATATTCTGAGAGATATCAAACTTTCCGCTGCCACACCGTGGTTGATAACGAATATTCCATTAGGCTCTTGCAACCGGCAGGTCGAGAACAACACATCTTAAGGTCCCGAGTTGAATAGCCCCAAGTTGATACATCTTCAAGTCTTTGAGAGTTCTTCACCCTCTTCTTCCAGTAGCAATTTAGAAAAGTCACAATGCATTTCATAAAACTCTCTGTAGCATCGTAGTTGACAGTTGTTACCGTGTACTGCTATCCTCGTCTAAATTACAATGGGATGCGAGTCCTGTAACGGCCTTTTGCGACCCATTACCAAGCTGTGTGGCCCCCATCTACTATAACATCAGATCCGGTCATGAAACTGCTCGCATCGCTGAGAAGAAAAGTGATGGGACCTCGAAATTCATGCGCCTCACTCAGTCTCATCAACATGTTGCCATTGACCCATTCTCTCTCCATTTCAGGATTGCTGAGTGGCTTATCCGTCAGTCGTGTGCGGATGTACCCGGGTGAGATTGAGTTCACCCGAATGAGGGGTATATCTGCACGGCTACCCCATTCCGCTGCGAGCGAGCGAGCCATCTGGACGACTGCCGATTTTGAGGAGTTGTAGGCCACGCTGTCGACGCCCTGTAGATTCGGTCAGAATCTTCGTGTAGTGGTTTGCCAGCCGTCGACTTTACCTTGTTGCTCCCGTGAGCACTGATGCTCGCAATGAGAACAATGCTCCCGGCTGACCCTTGCTTCTGCATCTCACGGGCCGCCGCCTGCGCGCAAATGAGCGTTCCGATTACGTTAACATCCATGATTTGTCTTGCCATGTCGATCGGAAAGTCGATGGATGGCGCGTTACTTCCACTGCCGGCACAAGTAACTAAGCCTCTGAAGGGGAACCGTGTCTTCTTCATATACTCCTCAAATACGGATTTGACGTTGTCTGCGTCCGTAACATCGCACCTGTAGTACCATGCTTGCGTCCCATGTTTCTTAGATGCGTCAAGCACACGATCTAGATTCGAAAGCAATCAGCAAATTTCTAAGAGAGGTCATAATCAGAGAGTCTCTTGATCAAAAGGGGGAAAAGGCTTACTCCATGGCTCTTTGAGGGGATCATCTTGTCGGTCGATGCATATGACATCGCCACCGCTTTCCAACACTGAGCGAGCGACCTCCAATCCAATAGATCCTCCACCGCCGGTGACTGACAGTGTTAGAAAAGATAGTTGCAAGCGGAACTATGATGCTTCACACTTAAAATGGTTCGCTCCTCGAGCCTGAAAAGCTCACTCATTGACTTTTCTCGGTCCCCAACTGATGGCTTGGTCTCTCTGACGCTCGACGACATTTTGCTCTACTGGAAAAGGCGCCTGGTATCTGTTTCCTTACCTTGATCTCAATTATCGAACCAGAGATGTAAGTAGCAGGAAATGTGAGTATCCTTCAAAGGGTTGGCACGAGTACTGAGGAGAGAGATGTGAGGATGGCGATTTCTTTTCAGCCAAAGTCTCCTCCCCCGCATCTGCGTCGCACATACCCGCTAGTTGACTTTTGCCATGTGACGTTTATGATTTGGCGCTTTGGCACATGGGGTCTAGAAGGAGACAATGATACTGCCTTACTGACATGCGCTCCGTCCGTGTTTCACCCACCAAGACAACTCCCAGTTGTTGTAATGAAGAATCGGCAAAAGGATGATAGAAAAGAGTCGTTGTACATTTCCCACAACTTATTTCTTGGAATCAGCCTATCCTCTGCTTCCTTCTTATCCACACCTCTTTGTCTATGCTCTCTGTCTCAGGAAGAGACTCTCCTATTGATATTGGACCTGTCGCTGCCGTGCCGCGCAACTGAACTTCCCAAATACCCAGCTTGTATCGCGCTCGATCTGCCATGCCTGAAAATAAATCAAACGACCAGCCATGCTTCGGACAAGTCAACCCTGCGCTCAGCACGATGCCGAAATCTTCAATGTCAAACGGCGTGCCATGTGAGAGGGGATACGAAGAATGTGGGCATTTCTGATAATGTTAAAGTCAGATTCGGATCTTTCTCGGGCCATTCAGGCCGTCTCATCCTTTGAAGAAGTGACTCACATGGTCCACGGCGTGAAATTTTCCCTTAAATTTGAAGACAAGTACTTGGTCTTTCAAATCCCCTTCAAGCTCGGCGTAATTGAGAACATCTGGTGCCAAAAGCACCTCCGTGCTACGGGAGGGGTCTGACTTGCGTACTTGAAAGACTTTGCAACCAGGCTTCAGATCTGTGCTACAGAAACGGAGGTCTGCTAGGTTGCCTTCGTCTGATCCGAGATCGGGGAACGACGAGTCGAGGCCGGCAAAGAACCATCCCGCTGATGCCCGTGATCTCCCTCCAAAGGCGTTCATACCCTATCAAAACCGATGGATTCAACTTCGAACAGCGAGGCAACAGGCAAACACCGGCGCTCGTCGAGATGATTGCAGTTGTTTGTGGCGGTGGCCCTGCGGTAATCGTGGCGGTCATCGCGTTCAAATTGGTTCCTTTGATGATTTCCCAACAATCACGTGCTACGTCACGTGAAAAAGACGATATCCCATCGATCCACTGGACTCAATAGCACATGAAGATATTTCAAGCCGCGTCACCATGCTCCTAGATGTAGCGGCCTGGAAAGCTGACTTTTTTTTTTTTTAAATCCTAGCGGCAGAGATTGGTATTTGATTGCACGCCTGGAAAATTAGACCACATTCAACTGAACGAAACTTCAAAGAAACACACTTTTTGGTTAGATGTACACCAAGATCCGGCAGAAAGAGCCATGTTGGATCGATTCAAAATCGTAAATTTTGGAGCTCACTTCTATGGCTTCTTGGACCTACTAGCACATCGCCCGGGTAAAGTCGAAGGACGTGACCTTCTGGCGAACCTACCGTTTCCGGCAGTTTCAATGCTACTATTGAATGGACTTGACCTTTCCGCTTTCCCATTTGGAGGTAGTATATCCTTTGATCTAAACAATATTTCACTTGGGGCTAGATTCATGAAAGCTGGACTGTTCATTAGAGAGTGAGGAAGTGGTGCTCAATACCTTATGAAGCCACGATAGTGGGACTCTTAGACTGCTTCGAGCGCAAGGGCAAGCCACCTGGCTGGAACCTGACAGGACATGCCTAATGGAATAATGAACATGAAATTTTGAGGGTACGGGTAGGGCAAAAGCAAGGCAAAATTGTGACTTGTCGATCCTTGCTATGCCAGTCCATCTTGCAGTTGGTAAATACATGATTGACTGCCGCTTTTTCGATTTCTATGTACCTGCCCGCTCCATTTGACTGGATCCATATTAATGCACTGAGAGTCGATCGACAAAGGACGCCGAGATTTTCCTGTTCGGAATGTTGGCATCCTGGGTGTCTCGGCTCTAGGTGGTGACAGTCCGCCTGAAGAACCGACTTGGACGATGGCTTTCACGCACTTGGCCTTGTTAACAAGAATATCTGACAGAACCAGGCCTGCATGTCTCGTTCAGGACCTCTAGAACTCGAACGATGGGTCCGAGTTCTAGAATCAAGACCATAAACGCACAGCTGTCTATCAAGTCAATGTCTGCAACGCATGACTTCCGATATGACGTGTTCTACAGCGTGTTATCCGAATTCTCGGGGCTCTTGGCGCGGGTACAGCTGCCATTAACGAAAGAGACTCTTTGTGTCGATCGTGTTGAAGGCTTATCGTGGTGCCCTCGCTTATGGGATCTGCGGCCGACTCTGAGTCTCTTGTGCCAAAAGGACCATTCTGATTCGTCGTTTTGCGAACTGCGAGTGCGAGCCTAGCTTGATGCAAGGTGACTAATATAGGTCCCAAACTCCCGGGACGTCGATCGGCCTGGCCGTTTATTCTGGAATGACTGGTATCAGCAGAGACACATGGCATGGCGCCTCCCCGCCCCCTCCCTTGCCCGAGGTCAGAAGCTTCATGGCCGGACGGGGTATAGTTTACGGCCGGGCCAGAGTACGGTGATCCAGCGAACCCCACTTGCGGGATGTCAACCGATTTCCACGATGAAAGATGTCGTGCCTTGCCCTGAATGTGCAAGATCAAGCAAGATCCTACGGATTGAAAGGGCTCTAAGACGCCTCCTACAGCGTTTCCACCTTCTTGCTTTATCCAAACGTTCTTGATTAGATCCGATATTCTGGGTGAATGTTTTGGAGGGTACACGTGTCTCATCTCTCTTTTTTACGGCCGTCGTTCGCTTGGCCGGATGATCGCAGACGCAAGCGGCAACTCCCTTTTCGACCGCTCACGGAATGCCTCTATGCATAAGTACCTACCTTCTGCGCCCCCAGATCTCAACGTCTTCTCCAAACTTCAAGCTGTCTCATCTCACATCCGTCCTCCATCCTTAGTGTCCTCATCTTTTCCCTTCGGCATCATGTCTGCAACACAGCTCCCGAACGGCTACAAGTCGTTCGGCCCGAAAGCCAACTGTACCCTCGAAGTATGCCCGCTTGAGGCCAGTCTCCTACGTTATCGCCCATCGGTACCTGTCAACGGAACGTTCATCGGACTCTTTGCTCTGGCCATGATCATACATACAATTCAAGGTCTCCGGTCCAAGAACTGGGGATTCATGGCTAGCATGATCGGCGGTTGCCTACTCGAAATCGTCGGTTATGTTGGGAGACTCATTCTCAATGACAACCCGTTTTCTTTTGGTGGATTCCTTTTGCAGATCAGTGAGTACCGACGTGGTCCCTATGATAAGAGTTGGCCTAACATCTCTTCACCTCAGTCTGCATCACTGTCGGACCAGTCTTCTTCTGTGCTGCCATTTATGTCATGCTGTCCAAAGTGTAGGTTCATCCTTCCGAGTGTACCGACAAGTCAATCTATCCAAGACTGACCTTTGCGAAACAGAATCATCAACGTCGATCGATCGATATCCAGATTCAACCCGAGACTATGTTACTACGTCTTTATTCCGTGCGATATTGTGTCCCTCATTCTACAAGCAACTGGCGGCGCTTTATCCAGTATTGGAAACAACAAAGCGGCCGTGCAAAGGGGTGTTAATCTCTCCCTGGCCGGACTCATCTTCCAGGTTGTCTGTCTGATCGCCTTTTGCGCTCTCTTCGCCGACTACCTCGTCACCTGCATGAGGTCGAATGCCCGACAACGCATGACCAAAAACATGAAGATTTTCCTGGCATTTCTCTTCATCTCCACCATTTTGATTCTGGTACGATGCTCTTACCGTATCGAAGAATTGAAGGAGGGTTACTTCAGCCCCATGTTCCGCAACCAACCCTTGTTCATTGGACTTGAATCTTCGTGAGTCTTACTACCACCATCATATTCCTCGGCAGGCCTTTCTCATTCATATTCAGAGTCATGGTAGTTGCTGTGTTCTGCCTCGTCATCGGAAACCCTGCGATTGGCTTCAGCACAGCTGGAGAGAGAAAGGAATCGACCGCGTCCGGGGCCTTCGACCATCTCCCCTCGCGGCAGGGAAGTATGCCAGCGGAGATGAGCGACAGAAAGGACACATTACCAGGATCAATCAATGTGTAACGAATGACGCCTGCGAAGAAGATCTGCTGCGTTGCTTATCCGCCAAGATACCAAAACTTTCAAGTTTACTCGGCTTCCAAACGTACCTAAACCCAATTGTATTCAGTACCACGATCGCAAAGCTAGCTTTGGAGATTTCCTTTCTGTGCCCCTAGTCCTGACCTCTGAACATATGTCAGATTAAATGACTTTCCAATAATTCACAGAGGAGCCTTGCTGTCACTCTCATCATCTATGATCTGGCCAAGTATGGCGACTGAAACTGAAATGATGTGCTACGTGTTGAGGCACTCCGGAAACGGAAAATTAGGCATGCATAATTATCTTTTGCTTAGCCGTAACCTCAGATTCACGAAAATTCTTACTTCCCTATAATTCTTTGTCGCCAGAATCTTGCCATTGAAAAGTTTTTAGGGCAGGAAACCCCTTTTCATTTTGAGGCATCTGCTGAGATGGGCAACGCTGTGGCAAAAACCCTGTTGCTTAGAAGGCTGACCTTTCTGTCCTAGATGAGTATCCTTCTAGGCTTCGGGTATGATACTTGCTTGTGGCCCGAATGGCATAATTGCTGGGTTGTTCGTATGGCTAATCCCACTGTCCGTAAATTGGAGGACGTCAGCAGGCTCATCCCGTCCACACCTCCTCGCCTACGGTTTGAGGCAAAGTCTGCAGCTTTGGAAGTCAATGACATTAGAGCCGTTAAGGAAAAATGATGGGGCTTTCAAATTATTCGTGGGCACAGGACTGGCATAGTTTGCGCGGTACAGTCCCATGCTGCACGCCTAACTACAGTATTACTCAAGAGATTAATAGATGGCGACACAGCATCGGGCGATTATTGGAGACGCCCTTGAAACTTTCAGACTCGATTTTTCCAACGTGATTCGTAATGGCAGCCACGAATTTGAATGGCAAAATCGAATGTTCGTAAAACGAAAAACCTCAGACGCGTCTAGCTAAGTGTTCCAGCTCTCTAAAGACAACGCTCCGCTCCTGTTCCCGTCCAGTAGGAAAATTGAAACTCATTCATGGTACAGCGTCTCGCCATCGGCCACATTACTTGTTCATCTTGCTATTTCAGACAACATGTTTCTGGAGGGGACAGTTCCCGTCCCCATCTCGGCACGTTGACTGTTCAACGTCCTTCAAAGGGTGCCCACAACATTTGCACTGAGGTTCGTTGGCTGCGGCCTTGCATCCTTCCGAACTTGTACGCAATCAGCCCAGATCATTATCGCTGCAAAAAAATTAGATTCTGTACCTACCCTCTGAAAAGCCCGAGGCGAAGTAACATGTTGATGGCGTTGAGAACAACAAGCAGGGCAATAGCAAAGACACAGGCGAAGTGCTTGTCAAAGAACAACATGCGTGTCGAATCCTCGGCGTTGGCCATCTCGAATGGGACGACCTGAATTATTCGAGAAAATTCTGCGTTTCGTAGTAGATTACGTGACTCCGATGTCACTTCAATGCGGTGATGATGCAAATGTGCCTTTGTGCTTCAGCCTGCTTTGACGAATCGGCTGGTTCTTTGACCGCGGACGAAATTGGGTTCTTTTCTGATATTTTGAAACCGGTAGAGGTGTGGTGGTGTGTCCTGATGTTGCACCATGCCAACAGGAAAATACCCTTCTTATAAGATACGTGGTGGGCAGTCCGGAGACCAACGGGTGCCAGCTCTCAAACTTTTCAAGTCAGCCCCTGGGCTGATAACCTTGAGAAACTCCAGCGAAAGCTCAGAGAATGTCTCCACAGAATAACCTTCTTGTCGGCCAAGGTCTAAGATCAGAAATCTGATTCTGCAGCTATACCAGGACGGGTAGCTGTCCTGTTTCCCGTTTGCTGATACATATGTGGACAGGTTCCAAGACGAGCAGTGCCCTCTACCGCCACAGCAGCCATTGGAAAGGAAGCCTAATGAGACAATTGAGATACACGTCAAGCACAACTCATCTTAGATCTCGTCGTCATGTTTATCAATAAATCATTCTCATTAGAACAAACTTGCGATCTTCTATGATTCAGCGTACCGGATCCTGACATTGACTCCATCTCTGGGGGCCATAGTGAAGTGGATATCCTTTCTTGGCTTTCCTTGTGGCCCAACCCATTCTATACTCTTAAACCTCTGCAGCAGTCTCACCAAGAGATACGCAGATTCGGTGAGGGCGAATTGTTCTGAGGTATGTTAGCAACTTCATCCCGACAGCAATATGTGCAAATATTATCGGGGATGCGATAACTTACGTCCCAAGCAGATCCTCGGCCCACCACTAAACGGGATATAATTCCAATCCAACCGGACGCCCTCCCACCGCTCAGGCTTGAATTCCATTGCATCCGCCCAGATATCCGCCCGCCGATGCAGCAGATACGGCGAAAAGTTGACCGTCTGCCCCTTCAAGACCACGACCGGCGACGTACCGTCAGCACCACCACCCCTCGGTAAGACTGTATCCCGCGCCGCGATCCGGCTGTTGAGCGGCACGACATTGTACAACCGCAACGTCTCGCGCAGCACAAACTGAAGATACCGCGACGCCTTGAGCCTTGCAAAGTCGATTCCCTCGGGCTTCTCGGTATACTCCCCAAAGTCCTCCACCACCTCGGCCCGAAGCCTCTCCAACACGGCCGGGTGCCGCGCGAGCATCATCAGCACCCACGAGAGCAGCGACGCCGTGGTATCCCGCCCTGCGAGCAGCAGCCCGAGAATCTGGTCCCGCAGCTCCCCGCGGTCCCGCGTATGCTCCACGAGCGTGTCCAGCAGACTAAACTTGTCCGCCGACGGCTTCGCGCGCTTGAGCGCCAGCTGGACGTAATGGTCGACGTACCTGCGGATGTAGTCTATGGACTTCTTGCCCACGCCGCTAGGTGCGAGGAAGTACAGCCCCTGCAACCGCACACGCATGATGATGTACATTTGCGCCTCGTGGAACGCCGAGGCGAAGGACATGTCGCTCCCTGCCTGGTCGGCCGCCATGGCCGTCGCCGCGCTTGTCGTCGACGTCTTGCCCGTCGCAGCGGCCATCTGGGAGTCAACGCTCTCCCCAAAGAGGAAGCCGGTCGACGTATCGAGCGTGAAGCGGAAGAGCAGGGGCATAATGTCAACGGATAAGGCACCGTCCCCCGCCTGCTTGCCGACAAGAGGCAGGGCCCGGAACAAAGCTTGCACTGCACGTTCTGTACCCTCGAGGTCGTTGATGTTCTCCCGCGAGAACTGCGGCCGGAACAGCGCTCTCGAGTGCTCCCAGAAGGCGCCGTCGGCCGTGAAGATGTTGTTGCCCTCGAGCGGCTTGAACTGCGCGATTCTGCGCGGGCCGAGCTCGAAGTCGCGGAACTTCGTCGCTAGGATAGCCTGGATATTGACCGGGTCAATGGTATACACTTCAGCCGGGCCGAAGAAGCCCGTGTTGCTAAATGTGTCGCCGTTTTGCGCAAACTTTGCGCCAATGACATCGTCGAGGATATCGCCGCCCTTGCGCACCACCTTGAGGGCGCGCCAGACATAGTCGATGCCAAGGGGGAGCTTCGAGGAGAAGTGCTTGGGGAAGGTCGCGCCGTTTGTCTCGGCAAATAGAACAATGCGGCGGCGGGCGAGGAAAGATGAGACGATGTAACAGACCACCAGCACCGGAAGCGCGTATATGACTACGGGCGACAAGAGAAGCGTCATGATGAGATGCTTTATGGCCTCCAACGTCGCCGGATGTTCGCTTTGGGAGATACCATTGTTCACCGCAGAAAAGAACCGGGCTCCAAAAGGATTTATATCCCTCTCACGATGCCTGTCAACCTGTGGCCAGGATGGTTCTAGTCAGGCAAGGAAGAGGCAAGGAAGAGGTGGGTTTAACCCCGTTATCGTCCATGGTAGCTGTCGCACTAGCCTCCACTCGAACCCCAGCTCTTAGAGGTATCCGAACTGGCGAATCGTAGCACCTCCTACTGTAATTACCCGACGTGGAGATCATCTGCATTCAGGTGTTCGTCTCTACCCATTGATATATCATTGATGGATATTTTCTGTCTCGATTCTCGCGTTGTACATGTTGGACGTGTTGTCAGAGTCGTGCGATAGCCAAGATGCAAACAACCGTTGGCATTGTGTTGTAATGCCAACTGGACAAACTTCATTTGGAGGAAAGCCTATGCCCCACTAAAGGCTGTTTGTTAGACGAAAATGGTTGAAGTTCATACCTCAGGTGCCCTAAACGGGATCATACCTCGGCCGGCAAAGCTCAACCTTGCGACAACGTTTCGGCGCCGGGATTCAGCTGCGAATGTCTCGATTGGAGTCTCAAGGTCTAGAGCTCAGATTATGTGGGGTAACCATCTAGATTTATGGAGCCTCCCCAAAGTAGGATCGTAGTGTTGATTTATCCCGATCCACACGAAATGCAAGACATGACTCGATTTTGTAGAGTCGTCCGTGAATCAAGCTCATGCCACGCTAATTACAACCGCCGTGCTAGAATAAAAGTAAGTACTCAACGTCAAGGCAAAACCCAGGTCCGGCACACCCTACCCAGTCCGAGGATCGGTAGCATTGAATAGCATGCCATCGTTTTAGGATTTACACTCTAGGAAGCTCACCTTGGTGATACGCTTTAGGAGCCCGAGCCATGTGATGCCTTCTTCATATAATAAAGTATTTCATGAAGTGATGAATTAATTTACTCATCCTTGAGTCATCTTTAGACATACATTCGTCCAAATGTAGGCGAGGATTTTACGCTTGACGCGGCATTGTGTGGCCAGCGTGATTAGGACTTTGGGTCGAGTAGCATCCTTCCTATTTCTCTCCGATCGCGTGTACAAGAAATCCGTGTTCGAAGCCCAGTTTCCATAGGCGGGTTGAATAAGTGCTCTCAGTGTTCATACTGTTCTTTCTGGGAGCTGGTGGACCTGGCCAAATGGCACAAATATTTAAATAGTAAATTTGTTGATCATGCAGCAAATACATTGTGTTGCCAATAACCAACCTTTTATTTCTGCTATCCAAGCCACCGCTCTTGTTTTAATCCATCAACTTATTTGGCATTCAAATGCTGTGAATGGAAGGTATATGGCTGGGGACATAGAGTGAAAGTGATGAACAAATTTGTAGCTTCTTGAGTAAATTTTCCGTCCTTGCTCAAATAATATTTCTGGTTAATGGTTGCATCGTCACTCTTTCGACGCACTAGAGAGGTCAAATTCAATGCACCGCTTGTATCAAAAACAATGTCAGGTGACCATGCATGTCAGCAATCCATTGACGGAGCGAGGTCTTTTGCGTGGAAGGCGACCTGGTTCAAGGTAAACTCCCAGCTCAGCCGCATTACGGCACAACGACCCATGTCCTATAGAGAAGCATCCGAATTTTCGTGCTCTGCTCTTCGTCGGTAAAGATGTATTGACGCAAAGGAATGTCCGGCGAGGGAGATGATACGTCGTCGCCAAGGGGCATGTTTAGCACGGAAAGGTGTGGAAACTTTGAAATGCGGCTTTCGCAAGAGATTGGGCGTTCACTCAACCCGTCGGCACTTTTGTAATGGCAGAAATTAAAGGCCAGTGCCGATCGATTTCCCTTCTTCCAAGTAAATTCCTTTCAGCGCCTCAAAGTAATTGCCTCGCGCATGTGTCACATGCGTGCCTGGGGCACCTCCGAATTAAGGACTTAACATATTGATCCCGCAAGTATGAAATGATATCCCAATCAGCCTTCTGTATAAAGCGTAGGAGTCACCCCCTACTCCGTCGGTCACCATCATCTCTCAATGATTTCACCGAGATGATTTCATAATACTTCTACAGGGTTCAAAACAGGACTTTAATCTTCAAACTTACTCACATTTGTACTGTTTACATAGAAAGACAGTTTCTACTAGCCAATGTACGCGCACTTTAAGCCTGTGGGCGGAATGGGCGCCAATCAATCAAACAAATAACTATCTCACGTAACATAAATTTCTTCATCTTTATATTTACAATTACTCATGCCGCATCGTCGAGGTCGAGCTGTTGGTATCAATTCCCTCCCCTCTTTCCTTCCTCTGCCCCCCCAAATCGGTGCCGCCATTCTTTCGCTCAAGCATGCCTCGATAGTGGAGAGCCGAATCGCTCGTCGAAGTCAGTCAAAGTCTGAGCCATTCTCTTCTGATGATAGGCCTTGCTTGCTTTCGCACTGGCGTCGTGGTTGTGAATGTGATACATGTTGCTATGGCCGGAAGACTTCTCGTAGTCGGAGATTCGTCGCTGAGACACAGCATTGTTCGATTCCGCAGTGGAGTGCTTATGGGAGGATTTGCTCGAGGTGCTCCTAGGAGCGCTTCTATCAGTTCATGACCATTGGAAAGCGCCGTCGCTGGCATATTTTCCCCAAAGAGCGCGGGGAGAAGTACCCATTGCGAATAGAATCGGTGGAATTCATGTTGCGCAGAATGTCGAACTCGGTGGCTTTGCACTCGCTGACACAGCGAGTAGCTGCGGGTTTTGAGGGACTGAGAAATGGCCTATTGGAATCACAACTGGCTCAGAGTGTCGCGAAGCAAGCTATTTGGTGCTGATAAGTTTTTCGACGTGGGCAAATGGTGCAGCATCGATGTAGTGAATGCCTTCGTTTGTTTTATATTATTTTGCTTGGCGAACCAGGCTCTCCGAACTAGACAAAACCCGTTATCCCATCCTTGCATCTGTGAAGAGTTGCAAAATGCCTCGTTCGACCTTGTCTGTAGCTTGATGGTGAAAGCTTTTGTGCGTCAATTAGCCACAGGTCCAGCCAGGCATGTCATTGAGGCCTCTAATGCAGCTTATGCACTCTTGTGTGATGTGGGTAGCGGTGGGATGATTAAGTGTGGTGGGGTAAAGTTCCCACCAAGCCACCAGTCGGCGGTCACAGACCCCTCAACGGAGTGTCCTGGATAACGGCATTTTGACGGCAGACCAGACCAGGCGCAAAAGCAGCTGGCCTTGACGGTAAGCCGTCGTGAGTCAGTTAGTGAAGCATGTCGCAATATGGAATCATCTCCGACCTGGTATCAAGAATACGGATTGTATCGCCAGCTCATAAGGTAGTGTCACTCGTGATGCTAGCAGAGCTTGTTCGCTCAACACGTCACCAGACGCTTGGCAAAGCCGCAAGGGGCTGACCGACGTGAGGTGACACTATCATGTACAATGGAGAATAAGAAACGAACAAGTAGGTAGGCAAGGGAAAGGGAGAAATGAAAGAGCGAGACCCGGGTTCCGTTGATGAACAAGACCCGGGTTGATGGCCGCCTCCGGCCGGAGCAGGAGACGTCCGGCTTCGGGGGTCAACCGGACGGTCCGGCTTAATGGATGGATTGGCCAGTGCCTGTTCCGGGAATCTTGAAGTCTAGATTCTAGTTACCCAGTCTAAAGACATCACTTGATGTCAAACAGACTAGGCGCTAGATCTGAAACCAAACATCGTGAACTACTCGTAAACATATTCCAAGACCATCGCACAGCAGCTTCACAGCAGTGAATATCGCATACGGAGCTGCGCGTAGCAACTTGAGGATATCGGGGCCTATAGGGCCACACCCCTGAGACTCGAGATGGAATGTTGAACGCCATGCTTTAGTATGGAACGATTCCGAGGACTCCAGGTTTGGTCGATCCTTTGCATCCTGGAGGGTGAACAGCGTTGCTGATTTGGTGGCTCGCCGTCTCGGCTAGGCTGCAGCACGAGGATATGCCCATTTTCGGTGTCGAAACAGGGCGCTGCTGCAGAGGGTGGCAGCCGACGTGTGCCAATCAAAAAACACGGCGAGAGTCAGTTGCCACGCGTCGTCCATTCTGCCAAGAGGCGGAGTCAGGCATCCTGTACGCCTTTTTCGGTGTCGTGGACGCCTCGTGAGGGGTAAGAGCGCCTCAATTCTGCCTGACTCGAGGCATCGCTGGGTCGCAACCATCATGGCCGCCTCTTGGACAAAGAGGCGGTTCGCCAATTCTGAAGCGGATGATTGCAAGGACAGGTGCCCCCAAGAGTCACCATCTGGTAAATATTATCTCCGGCTGTCGGCGTCGAGATCGGTTGTCGGTGGACATTTTGGCAGTGAGATTCGCCATACGAAGCCGTGGGAAAGCTTTAGACAGCTTGATGTGGTGGTCGACGTCGCGAGTTTTTTGATTTGGCATAAGCGAGGGTAGGTGTCTGTGAGGTAAAAAACATTTAGTAACCTCCCGTTATGGTAATGGGATCTCAATAGGCCTACCTTAGGGTACTGAACGATGGTGATGCATTATACTCGGGATCAGCCTCCCAATGGATGGCAGGTGAAGCATGAGAAAACAGCCGACAAGGTAAGATCCTCTGCACTGGTGAGCGGAGAGTAGACAGCGGGCTGGTTGCGTAAGTTGAAAAGCAGCTTGGCTCTGACCGAGGAGGAGAGGGGTTGATTGACTTATATCAGGGCGCGGGGCAGGCGCGGCGCACTCCGTTGCTCACAATGACCCCTCCTTCGAAATGGGCAATGCACCGGCGGACTCCGTCGCTCACAATTGACCCCCCTTTCGGACTGAGTGGCAATGCAGCGGCGCACAGCGTTGCTCACAGTGACCCCTGCAAGTCGACGGCACCAGAGAATCGAACGGTACGTACCGGGCCTCCTGTCGAATTTCGTCGCGTTACCGACCAAACCACTTGGCCATGGCCCTTTTCTTTCTTCTTGCACAAGCCTGAACGAGGATGCAGCCTGCCTAGATGATGATTAAGAAGGAGTGTGAGAGAGATCGAATACCTCGGCAACGGCTGCAATGACCGTGGGGGAATCCCGTGCAGCTCGGCCGAGCACAGGCCAAGCTGGTAATGACCAAGAGGACAATGTGAAGTACGCCTTGAAAAAGGGCGGCAGCATGGTGTTGTTGGCAGATTGGGGGCGAGAACGGAAAGTAGGAAGGACAGTGAACATGATGGCCGTTTCGCTTCGGGTATCACTGAAAGTGAGCCTTATATCGAAAAGAATAGCAAGCCTAAACGGGATCTCGATGCCTGGATTCCGCACCACGACCTGTTCGTGACTCATCTCCAGGACAGCGTCGCCTTCATCAAGCGGTACGACCTTGTCTGGCGCTAGAGGCCGAGCAAAGTTTGGGGGCAGAGGGATATTCACGAGGGTTACTCATACCAATGTCTCGCTCCCACCGACACCCGCGTCGAGAACCGCCTTCATTCGACAGATGATGGAATGTACAATATTTCTATGCCTAGATCGCGCACTTTATTCTGCTTGTCTTGAACTTGCAATATTTTGACACCATAAATTACAGCACTAGAAAAGACAGCCTGACTTGAAGACTCTATCGCTGTTTGCGTTTGCGTTCTTCGGCCGCGAGTCGCGACTTCTACGCGGACGGAAGAAGACTCAACTAGATTACTTACCTCTGAATTAATATAATAAAACGGCTTAGTTCTCCGGAAACGGCCATAACGCTCTCTTTTATATACTATGAATCTCTTGCATACTTAATCATTTATAAACAACCGACTTATAGACGGGTATTAATATACTATAAGTGTATGGTATATGGATATGCAATGCGGAGTACGTATTTGGCTCTTATGAGGGATAGGATCAGACACAGAGACGGGCATCAATAAGTGGTATGACACGACTGGAACCTGCTCTGGCCCGCCGCCGACGTGTTGGCGCTGCTGTAAAAGCTCAAAGCATGCCATTAAGTTGAAAAATCGAATCCTGCCATCGGCATTCATCAAATGAAGTACTTCAATGTCCCATTGTAGCATCAAATCAAAGCTTCCCGCCGCAACATGTCTCGTCGCGAATTTTTGTACCCATGGATAGCTTTGCATTCAACATATACTTAGCCAGATACTACCGTCCAAGGTTGTTGACAACACTGCCAACCATGACAGCAACCTCCCTATCCCAGTTCCCCTCCCCCCTCCCCTTCCCCTTGAGCGCACTCGGCATCTGGCACCCCCGAACAACACACTCCCTCACAGCATCCCCAACACTCGCCCTGTTGGACCTGAGCGTGCGCGCAGACACCCCGCCCCGGTTCACAATCTCCTGCACCCTCGTCCCCAAATTCCCAGCCATCGTCCGCCAGAAATAACTCGGCAGGCTCCCCGTCTCCAGGTACGCGAGCAGAGGCTGCAGCATATTCGTCTGCTTCTGCGGCGCCGACGACACGAGCGGGTGCGCCGGCAGCTTGGTCGACTCGAGGACGAGCTCCAGGGCGACAATGTTCTGGCACCGCGCCGCGATCTCGGCCAGGGTGCGCTCGAGGGAGGGCAGCTGGCCCAGCGACCGCGAGAGCGAGGCGATGGACGACTGCAGCGCCGAGCGCAGGTATGTCTCCAGAGCCTGCAGGAGCAGCTGCGGCGTCCACCTCTCCGCCTTTTGCGTCGTCGGGGCCAGCGGGGAGAGCAGGAAGAGCGTGACCATGGCCGATACCGTCCTCGCCTTCACCTCCTCGCCCTGCGCAAAGGTGGCCGAGCTGGGAATCGCAAAGTCGCGGATAATCTTCTCCGCCGTCTCCTTGACGGACCGCTCGACCGGTGTAATGACAGAATCCCGGAGGGTGCGAATCGCGTCGACCCTGCCCAGGCCGTAGCCCTCCTCCCCGGGCGCCGTTTTATCGAGCACCTCCCGCAATGAAAGGATCGTATGCGAGCACCGCACCAGCGCGCGGTGGTCCTCCTTCTTCCCCGCCGCGGCGGCCGCCGCGCTGACGCCGGACCCCGCAATCTCGGCGTGCTGGACCTCGAGCTGCCTCCCGAGCTGCAGACACCGTCCGACGGAGCGGCCGAGCTTCAGCGTCTCCCATAACCGCGTGGCGACCTGGCGCACCTCCTCGGCCTCGGCATGCTTGTCAATGACCTCCTTCTCGAGCTGTTTGTAGCTGTCGTTTAGGTTCTTGATCTGGGCGTCGAGCTCCGAGATGATGCGCTTGCTGGAGGTGGTCTGCTCTTTCGTGTACTGCAGGAGGGGGGCCGCCGACTTGGTGGTCAGGACGTCAATGTGGGAGTCAATCTCCTGGGTGTCGAAGAGCACGCGGGAGAGGGGCGTCGAGAGGTCGAGGGGCACATCGTTGGGGTTGTTGGTGGCGAGGACGAGGGTGTTTGCGAAGGAGGAGGGGCTGAAGTCTGGGTCGAGGAAGGCCTCGTAGTCGATGTAGGAGGGGTCCTCTTCTTCGCGGGCCGTCATGATGGGCGAGCGTGAGCCATTGACTGGGGTCGTGGAGTCAATGGGTGGTTTTGCGTTGGTGATATGCTTGCTGGTGGGATTGGGCGTGGAGGGGGGTGCTTGGAGGGGATAGCTCTCGGAATTGGCGATTGAGTTGGCCAAGCTCCAGCTGTCCTGTTTCGGTCGGTATCGAAGTGCGTCGAGCGGCACGTATCTTATCGCCGAAACGAGCCTTAAGACACCCAGCACAGACCACAGTTGTGAGGCTGGTGGTCAAGCCACACGGGCCCAAAGTTCCGCTCTGCCCCGCAATTTGTTTCTTCCAGCCACACGTTTAAATCCGCCTTTTTTTTTTCTTCCGATCTCATCGATGACGCCGGGCAGCGATACACGGATTGAAAGCTACGGGCAACCAAGATAACGAGAAAACACAGTCGCTGATATCGGATGCTGCACGACAAACGGCAACTGTTAGCGTCTTGCATCTTGTTTGAATCACGTCCGTCGAATCTCTAATGAGTCAGTCCTTGATCTCGCCAACACCTCATAATCAAACCATTTGCATTGCTCACTGACCTGTTTACTCCCCTGCTTCACCCCGAGGTTCCGGAGCTTCGGCATCTCCACTCTGACGATCCCCAAAAGGGTTAAGAAAAACACAAAAGAAAAACAAGAACCCGCCGCTCCCGGCCATTCCGCCTGGCTCCTCTCGGTTTCCCAGCTCTCCCGCCGCCGCCCAAACTCTCCCCCCGTGCCCCCCATCATTACCACCACCACTCAGCAACCCAGTCACCACCGCAGTGGAGAAGCAGTCTGTCATCAATGATCTGCGGGTAGCGGGTAAGCATAGCGTCCCCAGCCGGCACCTCACCACACAGTACACTCATCACACTCACAAAGTCACCAAGGTAGTGCGGCATGCGCTGACTACTCGAACAAAAAAACGCGCCTAAGGGAAAAATCCCCCTCCCCCATCTCCGCCTTTCCGAGCGTTCCTCGCAACCTTATTGTCATAATACACCATTTTTCGCCAATTCCTCCGTCCTTTCTCTTCCTCTTGTCACCTTACCTCCCCCTCCCTCGAGACGCAATGTCCTCCCTCACCTAATCCCCGTCGCCAATCTCTCCCCGAGAGCGCACTCAACCGATCAATCGCGAACGAGCGTATAATAATCTCCGAACCAAACATTGGACGACGGGCGACGACGGAAACAACACCCGGCCAAAGGCCCCGCCCCCTCCGAGCGATCCTCCGGACGACCCGGTCCCAAAAAAACAATCTCGACATCCGATAGTCTCGAAACCTCAAAATCAACCACCCACGTAGACGATCACGTCGACGACGAACCCATCCAAAATGGTCCTCCAAGGCCGCGCCCTCCTCTCCTTCCCCCAAGGCGCAAACGCCTCCGACACCCTCCTCGGCGGCGTCCACTTCAACCTCACCGTCATCAAGTACTGGAACTACACCCTCTACACAAACGGCACAATCTCCAACGGCTCAAACTGCTTCGTCACGGAACAGCCCTACACCCCCGTCTACCTCTTCCCCAACGGTTCCTTCGTCAACTCGACATGGTGCTACGACCCCATAAACCCCATTGGCAAACGCGCCGGCGTCGGCGTCGGCTTCGCCGTACTCTACGCCTTTGCCCTCTTGTTCGTCCTCGCCAACCTCAAGCGCCACGGCAAACACTACCTCCCCACCACCAAGCGCTTCTACCCCATCGGGCGCAGGTGGCAGTGGTACTACGCCATCCTCGTCTGCGTCGCCGCCTTTGTCAGCCTCTTTACCAACATTGACGTCGACCGCTTCTACGTCATTGGCCTGCCCATCATCATCAACAGCTTCTTCTGGTACCTTATGCAAATGTTCACCATTGCGCTCGTCTGGGAAGCCGTCCGCCATTGGGGCAGCTGGAGCGAGAGGCAGGCCATCGATCCGGATCCCTTTTCCCTGCGCGAGGGCGACCGCCGAAGCAAACTCGAGTTCTGGATGCCATTGTGGTTCTATCTATGGCTATGGCTTGTAGGTCCCCCCCTCCCCCCTCTCCTCCGTTCACATCATGTCCTATGACACCCAATCATAAACAAAACCTAACATACAACCTCCAGAACTTCTTCCTCATCATCCCCCGCAACTGGGGCGAAATCGAAAAACAACGCTCCCCCGATCAAACAGCCGCCCGCGCCGCCCCCTCCGCAACAGACGCCCGCTTCAAAACAGCAACCTTTTGCCTCGTCGTCTGCTTCCTCACCATCCTCGCCTCCCTCCGCCACTCCATACTACACTACTACCCTCGCAACCGCGGCATCCTCAACAAAATAGGCGGCCTCTTCCGCTACACCCCCTGGCGCTTCCTCCTCATCCTCCCGCTCACGGCCTGCCTCATCACCTACCAAGGCCTCGTCTCCTTCAACTTTGCCTACTCCGTCCTCAACGCCAAAGCCTCCCTGGCGGCCGTCTACGCGGGAGGGTACGGCCCCGCCCTCCTCATCCTCTACACGCAGATCGCGTACGGCTTCACCTCCCCCAATGAGGATAAAGAACTCATCCGCCAGCGCCGCGAGCGCGGCACGGAAATCGACCGCGACATGGGATACGTTCCCAAACCCGCCTGGTGGCGCCGCGCAAAGAACAATGATCACCTCGTCGGGCAGATGAGCATGCGCGATCGTATCGCCCGCAACGTCCGCGAGCTCGGCGGCGGGCGCGCCACGGGCCGCGGGATCAACGAGGGCCTCGAGGCGCAGGCCACTGAGCGCGAGCAGCAGGAATCGGCCGCGGAACGAGAGATTGAAATGGGTAGCTTCAACGGGAGATCAAGGCCCAATTCGACGCACGGCTCGCTTCGCCCCGGCTTCGACGCCGCGGACCCCTCCACGTTCACTTCGTACAGCGGGAAATCCGACCGCCGTCGCACCGAGCGGGCCATGAACGCCGCAGCTGAACTCCTCTTCCCCGGCGGCGCACCTCGTCGGGACCGCACTGCCGAGTTGATGCAAGACGGCCCGCCGCCGCCTTCGTACACCGACGCCCAAGTCGGGGGCGTTGGCGTGGGCCGGGGCAGGTCATCGGACAGCACATCAACGGCCCATGGCCCAGGGGAGCGGAGTCACAGCGCGAGCACCACCGTATCGGTGACGGGACAGCAGCCGCAGCAGGTGAAGAGTATGTTGGATATTTGAATGTACATCCCACCCTGACATCGAGGGTTCAAGTACAATAAAGCTTACGAGGTATGATTATTATTTGAGAAAGTATGTATGGCTAGTATATCTGTCACCAGCGTTTGAATGGTCCTGCATCTGGCATGTCAAAAACAGTTGCCCTCAGACCAGCGCCGTGTCTATGGTTGAAGTTTAATGGTAAAATTACTCATCATACGGTCCCTCGTGGTTTCCATTTGCTATTGTGCCAGCATGTGCGTCGAAGAAAGGACTTCTTTATCGTGGACTGTCGAGAGGAAGCACTAAAAGAATCCACGCCCGTAAGCTATAGCTTGCGTACAGTGGCATGCAGCAAGCTAAATCACTCGGCTGTCACCACAAGATGTTGAGGGTGTTGTCATAACGCACCCTGTATATGATCACACGTCGGGCTACCTTAGACCGCATGTCGGTCCCCGGTTCTCGGGGACCTACCGCAGTCCACCTCTGCATAACGGGTAGCCGCACTCCCTGTCCCATCTGACAGGTCGTCTCCTTAAGTTCTATTACAGTAACATGGTCAACCTGAGCCGACGCTCACACAGCTCACATAATGAACTCTGGATGATATACTGGTATAAACAGCTGTGTCAGTGTTGCCTCGGGTCGGGACAAACAGATGATCCCCGAGTCGAGAAGAGCGCTCCCCGCGGCAGTGCCCCTTGCCCAGGCACCCAGGCATAGCGTCCTCGGATGGGATGTGTACATTGCATAAGACTGAAAGGATGCCATGAACTACTTCTGCAGTGCTCGAACTGTGTAGCTGAATAAAGCCGCCGGGGACGAGAGTTTCTTGCCGTTCGTCAAAAGCATGCTTATGCTCGGGCGAGTTGCGGAAGCTTCCATCAAGAGACGAATGTTCCACGCACTCTTTTGCCACTCGTGGAAAGCTTGCACCCTGATGAAAGTCCCTCTACTCAGCATCGACATGTGAATTAAGAAGGTAGGCCTGGACCTGAAGTACCGACAGTGAAGTACCCGGCCGCATGTGAAGTTTGAACCCATGACTCGGCAGCCGCCATCCCATCGACAGTTCGCCTCCAAGAATGTAACCCAATAGCAGGTCAAAACAACGGTGCACGTCGTTCATCCAATGACAGCAGGCAGATAACCCAGGAACAGATCTCAGTCGATGCGGAGAAGAATAAGAAAAAGTAGCTACAGAGGGGTGAACGCTGGGCGAGCAAACCTAGGAACCATCCATCCAGTGCTCAGCAGCGGCGGCGGCGCCAGAGGCGCCATAGAGTGTAAGCGGGAAAAGGCAACTGGACCGAGTGTTGTCGATGTAAGCTGCTTCGTGCCTCGTGCCTGGGAAAAGGCGGCTGACGCAGTACATCTGTTAGGTTGCTTCGCTCACGGCCTACCTTACGCCGCACTGAAAGATAAGATGCTAGTCGGCGCCCCCTCGGTCCCGACCAACGACATCGCCCGGGCGGTTGAAGCACTATGGGCGCATTGGAGGTTTATGCCTGGTCGTAGTCGTGGAATGGATCGGTCTGTCGGCGGATGAAGGATGACTGCATGAACGGTAAGTTGGAGCGGAGGGCAAGACCGCCCACTCACAGACCAACGCCAGTACTCATTGGCATCATTGGCATGTGTGTTCGAAACGAAACATGTCAGCCATCGCAAGCCACGGCCGCCCCCTCCAGCGAGCGCATGTGTTGGCTGCATGCCACCACAGGGGAGTTCCTTCGACGTGCGCAGGCTGCCGAATGATGGAGCCTACAATCTCGCGGATTCTCGTGGGTGAAAGGCACCGGCCAACAAGATCTGTTGAGCCACGACTGCGGTGCTTCGAAGGCTAAATGGATATGGAGCGATCAGATAGGGAATTGCTCTAGCAGCAGTGTCTTCGGATGCGAGCCCATGCACGTCTGCATGTTGTGCGCCGCACTGGGGACAGCTCGCAGGCTACTGCGTGCGCATGCATGGCGCTATTCATGCGTCTCGCTGTACACTTTTAGCCCAGCTGGCCAGCGACGGTCATTTAACAACGATACGGAGAGAAAACGGTGCGTGGCGTCTACCGGTCGGCCGTGAATGGTCGTGTATATTCGTACCGGAGAACCCAAGTCTCAAGGAATGTCTGCGTCGGCGAGAGGCTTCATTCATCCTCGGGGACCGCGTGAGTGAAGTTGCTTAGACACCGAGGTAAACCCTTGTAAAAGAGCGGTGAGGAGGACACTACGCCGGCGACAGAGACAGGTTTGTTGGAATGGGGCCCAAGGCGCCTCGATTCTTGACAAAGTGAGGGGGGAAAAGAGCCCGTCTCAGGGATGGGCCTGGCTTGGTAGAGGACCAAGCCAGGCCGTGCAGCGCAACGCGCAGCCTTTAGATCTGCACGAGGCGAGCGAAGGTCGATGGCGGATGGCATCTTCTGCGGCTCGTGGAGACCATTGTTGTCTCTCGCTCGCCTGGGCTGGCCGCTTGCCTGGCCGATCGCCCTGATTGACAAGACGGTGTGAACTACACCCAATCAACCTAGTCCGCAAACCATTATCGACCGCTTTCGCATCTTGCATCGCTTGCTACCGGCTTTTGCGACTGGACATCCAACGCAGCGGCCGGTGACACGAAGCACGAAGCATCGATAGGTGCAACGCAGTGAGATCGGCTGTGTCGAAATATAACTCTGATGTTCATCAACCAAGTCTGAGTAAGCACAAAAGGCTGCGGCGAGGGAGCAAGTCTTTGAGTTCGCATGCTTCACCCGGTTGGACTGTTCCCGATTGTCCAAAAGTTGCGATAGGCAAATAACCATTGACCGGCATGGTCAAGGACCACACTTGATAATACTGCCGCGAAATTCGGCTGCCCGATTATCTGCAGGGTTCCTAGCTTCAGCCGTGCAAGCCGATTCACGCGATGATGGAATCTCAAGTGTCGTTCCCAAAGACTCCCGTCTTGTGCCTGAAGCACAATGTGGCGTATAATGTCGCACAAAGTTGATTCAGACCATGGCTACGGCAGCTCCCTTGCCTGAATCGCAGGTTCGTCCATGTCTCAGCCGTTCGGCGGTGAAATCCAAGCGAGCGGTCACCTCCATCAAAGTTGTGGCCGGACGTGGCTCGCGCGTCTCAGAGGCAGAAAGTACCCCTGAGCCACCAGATGCTTTCAGGGAAAAGGCTGCCAGGTGGCGGTGACAAAAAAGCCTCTTTCCCATGGCTTCCGGTTCTCGATCCGACAGACTCGGCAGGCAAGTGATCGAGCAGCAGCGTTGCCACGATTACCTAGGGCGGACTGTCGAAATTCGGAGCGCTGTAGGCAGGCATCGTCAAACAACTCGAGATCTAGGCGTACTTCGCTGCGAGGGGTGACGAAGCTGTACGGCCACAGATACGCAAAACTACAGATAACCGCACCGAGAACCCGAGCTGCATGAACAGGGTCGCAGCCAAGAACGGATATGCAGATTTCCTTAGTCGGACCAAAGCACAATACACGCAGCAGCGTGAGCGCAGTGAGGATACCAATGCCAATTCCAGGTACGGTTCGAGTCCAGCGACCTGCATATGGCTGCAGTCTCCCACGCGCATCCCCCAAAACGGCATCCCGTCAAGTCTAGCCACAGCGATCCTCCGGGCATCCCCCTCCCCCGTCGATTCGCATGCATCAGCGCTTACTGCTGTCATCTGCATTCTGTTTGAAACGAGCCAAGATGTGTCCTCTTGAGGGGGTTGCTAGGTATGTATTCATGGGTAGGTCAGCTTGTTCGTCATCCCCCATTATCAACCGACAGACCTTCTGCGATGGTTGCGGAGCTGTGGATGCGGTTGAGGACCAAGAAAACTGGCGGGACAAAGGATCTCGCTACGCAAACTGCGATGCCAACCGCGCGAGGAGAAGAAGCCTTGGTTGAGTGCTTGAGTCCACATTGCAAACTCGTGTTGGCGCCGGTGACCCATCGCTTGATGCATTCCAGCCATGCCGAATGATCCAAGCTTGTAAGGACGGGCGGGATCTCGCCCTGAGTTTTGACCAGCGATCCGATGCTTGCAAGCCCACTGCCTCTGCTGACAGGCAGCCGTAGCACGGCGCTAGACCGCCTGTGTACTGGCATCTTCCCAGCAGGCCGTTGACACGCGAAGCCAAGGGGTGGGGATTCCGATGCATTGTTTCATCCGCGCAGAGTCTAAAATTCCCCATTCTCCGACCAAGAAGGCCTGCCAGGATCCTTTGCTGGGGTGTGCCACGCATCGGCCGACCTGAACTGGGCAGTTCAGATCCAAACGGGCCCTGTCAGATACTTCGTTCATGGTCGTCACTCTGGGCCAACAGGGAGACGAGATGAATATCACCTGATCCGTCGGAACAGACAGCCACTGGGCCCCTCATCAGCTGTCTAACACTGACAAATATCGAAAATGAACGTCGTACTATGCGACAGGTTATCGTGGATGAGAGTTGATGCGGTGGTTAGCGGCGCAGCGTAGGTGAGCATGCGCGACATCGTGAGGACAGTGAACGCCATGACCGCCGCCCATGGCCATTGTGTTATCAAATTGCTAGATGGTGAAGGAGATTGTGGGAGAGAGAGGGGCCGGAGAATTAATGAGAGGTCCCGGCAGTCGTTAAAAAATATGGCGCACGGTCAGATTCGCCAAAATGGCCTAACCGACGAAGCAGACACGGAGTGGTAGGCCGTGGTATTTCAGGTAGCTGCTGGAATTTGAAAGAAAACGGTCAATGTTGATCTACCTGTGCGGGGGTCGCCGTTCAAGGCCCGGAGTCGATGGGGGCGACGAGCTTGAAAGAGGCTTGTTGGTGAAGAATTCTCAAGCGTCGCAAGCGTTATGATGGCCCTGGGTCTCGGTGATCTTCAGCAGCGACGAGTGAAGATCGGCGGACATCCTTGCCCTCCAGAGAGCGAGTGGCGCCAGCCTCGCTTGGTGTAAGGCATAAGAATCAGTGTCGTGGTGTCCCTGCGGCCATCACCCAGGACCAGGGCCAGGTGGCCAGCCCCCCGCGTTCGGTCAAGTGCGGGGCAGCAACATAGGGCATCGGCAGGTGTCCCTCCATCCCGAACGTTATGCGGTGCTCCGTACATGTGCTGTAAATGCAGGCATGCGGGCACGTAGGGTGCTGAAGCACTTCATGAAGTTTGCGGCTGGAGTTTGTGGGAGCTCATGGCAGACGGGCGACCTCCCTGCCTTTGCTGGCTGATAAGAACAGCAAGCCGGCAGGTTAATGCAATATTGCGACGAACGAGAGGTCGGAGTGCGCTAAGTACCAAAACACGGCTCGCTAGGGAGACGTTCTAGTGTTGGCGGAGTGAGACCGCGATGAGGGCGACTGAATCAGTCCCGGACCGCAGGGTGAGAGCATTATCGGTGAGCAATTACCGCGAACCAGAAGAGCACATCCTAGACGGCGACTGGGGAGCAAGGCCGAGACCGACACAGTGGGTTTGATTGTGTTTCTGGCTGTAACTCTCGAATTAATTGTTGCACAGTGGCGGTGACATGTTGAATGCGGTTCCGACAAGATGGTGGGGGACGCTGGATAACGACCGGCTTTCATCTGCCGGTCTGTGACTCCCACAGCGGGATCGCGAATGCGATTGAGCTGAAGCGACAATAGCTTGTGAGAGCGTAATCTTTCCGATAGAGCCAAGAGAGGTTTCTGACCAGCGCGCCCTTGGCACGTATGCAGTCTCTGTCGATTTTCCTGGAATCGTCCGAGAGTGAATGAGTCGTCTGCAAAGTTTTCCGATTGACGATGGCCTCTTGGATACCCAGAACTGGGTACTAGGTAGGCGTCTTGGGGCTAGATTCAGGCACAGGGGTAGCTCCCATGGTCGTTACGAGATTAGTATCACAGGACGAAGACGGACGCTATCGAGTGGTGAGATGTGATGGCAGCGACTTTGTGTTTTGCTGGTGTTCGTCCGGGGTTGGACCCAGTCGGCGTGTCTGGGTCACACCAAGCTCGACCGTGGCCGGGGCAAGGGAGGCTTACCCTTGATGTCGAGAACGAGTGCCTGGTCTCGGACGAGGGCTGTCGATTTGGAGCAGAATGTAAAGTGTGGCGATGTCCTATTGTCGCTGTGATACTACTATGATTGGTGAGGATTCGAAAGCCCGTCACTCCCGTCTCTCTCTTAGTCGGGCGGTCTGGTGGTGGTGGTGATGGTGGTGGTGTCCATCGTCCATCCATGGGAAGGGCCCGATAAGAGAGGGTGTGCCAACAGAACAAAAGTACGCGAGTGTGAGTGGGCTGGGTGGGCTAGCGTGCGTCTGGCGTGCGGCATCCCTTTAGCCAAAGCGAGTTTATGACTCTGGCGGGTGTGAGCGATGCAGTTGTGGGATGTATTCGTCCCGATCGTCATGTAGGAAATATACTAAGTCTGTAACAGAGGCGCGAGGAATTTGATGCGTCTCAGTGTGTTGGCCCGGCTGGAATGGAGAAATTGGCGCCGAGACGGAGCTGAGGTCAAGGACCTAGGCCGTGGGTGGTGGGTGGTGACAGACGGCAGATGCGGAAAGGAAGCTGGCAGGGCCGCAATGCAGATGGCAGCTGGGTACGGAGGTACGGAGGGACGTAGTACGGAGAAGAGGACCCAAGGAGACAACGTGGGCAGCCGCAGCCCGCAAGCCGCAACGGCCGGGCGTGGGCGGACGGAATGCTCGGCTGTCAGTCTGAGACGAGAGGGAGGGTCAAGGTCGCTGGAGAAAGTGGGAATAGTTGCGAAAAGCCCGGAGCTGGAAAGGGAAGCACGCACCAACATGTCTGACGAGCGACAATATACATCAGGCAAAAAAGAAACACCAGAGACGGAAGGTACTGGACGATGTCGACTTCTCTCCCGACAAAATGTGGCTGTCCCTGGTGCCCTGGTCCTTCCTCTTCTTGACAACGGGGAGGCAGGTGGGTTCTTCAGTTCGTGGAGTCTAGACCCACTCGGCACTGGCGTCGCCTGCCTGTTCCTGTTCCTGTTCCTGATCTGCCCATGTCATGTTCCTGTTCCTGCCTGCCCAAGCTTCAAGTTCGTTGTGCCCCGTTTCTTGTTCCTGCCTGCTCCAGACCTTCTTCAACAATCGCGGGCGGGAGGGCATGGGTGAGGGTACATGATGAAGGAAGCAAGGGGGCAAGGCAGGACCGGAAAGGACAATTAACTACAACAAATGGCGTGCCGTAAGATGGATACCTTACCGTGGCACCTTGGCCAAAGTAGGTATTCCAAGGTAACAGACACGGGTGAGGCGACACCACGGCACGAAGAAGATGCACTTGCTTAGCCGGTGACATTACTCCGTACTCGGCCACACGAATTGAATCAACATGCTTCCCGTGCCTTATGTTTTTGATAATGCAACCTTGACATGACACAGACAGAGCACTTGGTACCTGGTGAGTTAAGTTGGTCTGTTGTGTGCCTTGCTTAGGCGAAACGGAAGCGACGGAAAAAAGGGAAAAGGGAGATGCAACAAGCTCTGATCGGCCGGGGCTGAGAACTGGCACATGCCTGGTTGTTGCCTCCGGCGCGCCGTGCTGTCCCGGTCTCCCGTCGAGAAACCCATCCGCCTTGGTCCGTGTCGTCATTGGCGGCTCGTCTACCTGGGAAACAGGCTCCGCTCTTTCACTACACTCGTTACCCGACCGAGTGGCATGCTTGTCGTCCGGACACTTGACGAGACATATAGCGACACACTTATAGACTCGATTGAGTGTTGTCGATGGGATATCTAAGGTTACCTCAATGGTGCCTGGGCATATCTGCCAAGTAACCTTCCAGTTGGTTGAAGACGGAACGGCGGCGCCTCGATTGCGGGGTGGTTTCTCGCGGCGGCGATGGGCAGCGCACAGGCCTCATCTGCCTTTCCCCTCCCGGCCATGACTTTTAATAGAAAGGAAGGCCCCTGGGCTCCGGGACGACGTTGACAGGGCCAGGGACAGGCACGGGAGAAGGAAGACTCGAGGTCACAGACGCCGACACCTGGTCCCCACTTTGAGGTGCCTGGGCTAACGCGGCGCTAGCGATGGCTGTTAAACAATGGGAAGCTGCTGACCTCGCAAAGAGAAAAAAAGAAAAAGCGGCCAGTGAGGGCGCACCCAACCCCTCGCATGATGCCGCAGAAAGGGAAAAAAAAGAAGAGGGGCGTGACGATGGAGGGGGAGGGGGAGGGGGAGGGGCACAGTCCGTGTACCTTATTCACCCACTGACAGTCAAGGAGGGTACATGCGACACTTGGTCCCGTCCGAAAGGGACTTGCGACTTGCGGCTTGCGGCTTGCGACTTGTGACTGGCGACAGACAGCTCAGGTAAGCGCAGTCGTTGGAAGGCGCCTCTTGCCTCTTCCTCCTGCCTGCCTCCAGCCTGCCTCCTACCTGCCTCCTCCTGCCTGCCTCCTGCGTTGACTAGGTACCTGCACCGACCACTGGTTTTTTTTTAATCCCGCGAGGAAAGAAGGCAGTGGGCCGGCGGCAGACCAGGCACCATCTCCCAACGTGCGGCGTGCCTTTTTCAGAAACATCGTGTTGGCCCCGTCCTCGTGCATCAGCTAAGGCACCCGTAGGCGGGACTCGGTAGTAGGTACCTTAAGGCAGGTCGGGTAAACCGTAAAGTGCCTCAGGTACAGCGAGTGGCTGCCCCAGGTAGAACACGCCCCGTTTCGTTCCTGGCTGTTTTTGTCTTCTTGATCTGACGGAGCAAGGTACGCACACCACGAGCACACCTTTGGTGAGGTGGAAGACACGGATGAGCATCGAGGCTGCATGTCATTGCCAGAGTCATCCTTCCCTGTCCTGCCCGTGCCGTCCGTACCTGACCCAGACCTGGCCGACCTTAGGTAATGACTGACTTGACCTTGCCCCGTGGTCTGCGGCCTGCCCTAGCCTTGCTGTCTACGTACCTTAGTAAGTTTCCTGTCGTCAGCCCGCGCAGAGTTCGGGCTGTGTCTTGTCGCATCGCCGGGTCTTGGCTTCCATCCTTGGCTTACCTTACCTTATCGTTATCGCCGCCCCTCCGTCGCCGCCCGTGTCCCCCTCACTGATCCTCCTCACGTCCACCTCCCCGTCCACCTCCGGCCCAGGTGGAAGCAACACAGGCACAGACACCCGACTCGACCTCTCTACCTGAGGGACCCTTGTCTACTTCCGTTGCCTTATGTTGATTGCTTTCTCAACCAATCCATCGAATCATCACTGGCCAAACCACAGAAGAGTAGAAAGAAAGAAAAAAAAATACCTCTGCCAACACGGCGCCGAGCCGAGCCCCAAACCCGACCACCGGCACGCGCACGCTCAACAACACCATCTTGGACTCTTCTTACACGGATATCCATGTTATATCGCCAAGTGACACCTTCAGCTTCCGTCACCAACCTCCCACCGCTCGTTGTCGCCTCCACATTTTGAGAGACCAGCATAGCAGCACCGCGTGCTTTCTATACTAGACGATACTATACTGCACTACAGCACCATAGCGGTGCCTCGGAGGCCAAGCATCCACCACCCGCCCATCGTGGCACCGAATGCATCCTGCCGGTTATCCCTTTTGCGTCCGTATCCGTCCAACTCTGTCCCCGCCTACTCTACCGCCTACCCCTGCGTAGGGTAGCAGCACAGCGCATCGACAAGGAAAAGGCCGCGAAAGCCACAGGTCCATCCAGCTCGGGCAGAGCAAGGTTCTCGACGGTAACCTACTGTGTAAGTACGGATAGTCCACAGGACGGGAACCCACTGCCTCGCGCATCAACCACCGTCCCTTGGCCGCCGTCCTTTTTGACTTTGACCTCGTCAACCTCGCAGGCTCGCACCACGCACCCGTCAAACACCCCCAACCTGGCCGCCAATCCCCTGCGGTGCCTCGACCTTTCATCCTTTGTTCCTGGCAAACCCTCGAGCTCACGGACAATCTTCCAAGACCACACTTGCAGAGTGCAGTCGACCAATTCCAGCTATAATCGGTACCTTACCTCTGGCCCAGTCTGGCACTGGCCGCGCCGTCACAGCAACTCCGCCAACCAACCACCCCGTTGCGCCCGTGTGCCCGTGTGCGCCCCTTTGCCTGGGGCCTGGTTCTGGAGTCACATCCTTCTCCTCCCATTCGCAGATGCCTCGTCGCTTCTCGTCCCCCGCTAGCCTACACCTCGCTCGACGCTGTCCTCGCTCAACGCTATCCTCCGTTTTCCACGGGTCCGTCAGGCCGACGGGGGAACCATCGACTCCCATTGCCTACAAGGCCTTTCCCACCCGCAGACGGATGAGCTGCCCCATTTCCCACCGTTCCGGCCACTCTCGCCTCTCTTCCGTCGTCATTCCGTCCTAGGTAGTCCTCGACCCCCAACCGCCCGGCTGACTGGCATCTCACCATCAAGCCATCTGACTTTCATGTACCCCTTGTACCTCCCGCCAATCGACTCCACCCATACCACTACCGCCGTCAGGTCCTAGTCCTGACCCTGACCCTGGCGTCCGGCCCTGGCCCTGGACCTGGCCTGCCCTTGTGTCCACCACCACCAACTCTTCCTCGTGCACGGGTATCCGTACATACCGCCAGCTCTTCCGTTCGCTGTGTGTGCTCGTCGACGGCCATCATCAACTACTTACGAATCCTCCCTCGCCTACATAGCGAAGCGTCGCATTTCCCAGGTTTCCTTTTCCTCCCTCTCTCTTTCTGCCTTTGTCTCCGTGCCTCTCTACCAACTCTCCATAGGATCTCGACATGTACACCATTTTCACAACATCTACTCATCAATGACCGTCGCAGCTACTACCTTTTCTGCCCGTAACCCACTCAAAGACTCAGGAACACGGCCTGCCCTACGCCGCTCGGTACTTGGCTGATATTCGGTCCATACTGCAAGTCGGCAACCTACAAAAATTGTCGACCAAAACGCAAGGCACCCAGCTCGGAAACCCGTCAACTCGGATCTTGATTGGCATTGGGCCGGACTACATTGGCTCTGCGATAGCCCACAGACGCTCCCACCCAAATTCGCCGACGAGGTGCGCCGGATCCCCCCAAAGACGACACACACACACCTCCAAGAGGAGGCTGGTTGGTTGGCTCCTCCAACCCATCTTAGACAAACTCTGCCCAGCTCTTGACACTACCTGTCGCTAGACTCGAACGAACGCAAGCAGGCGTAAAGCCGGAGGCAGGGGGAAGAAAAGTCAGCGAGGAACCACTGAGGACCACTTTACTGCAGCCAGCAGGGTCAGATCAGGGCACGTCTTCCATCATCGACCATTCATCGCCACACTCCCCTGGCAGGTCCTTTTCTAGAGCCGCCTGCCCCTCGCCCTACCAACTTGTCTCTCTTCTCTTCGTCCTCCACCCTGCTCCGTACTCAACCGCGCTACCGCTACCAAACCGGCCTTGCACCTTGTTCCAGCAGACCACCCCACTCCCTCACCAGGCCCGGGATAGATCATCTACGTCGGTCGCACTTCCATCGGCGCTCTTCGATTCTCACCTCTCTCTACAAACCTGGCCCACGGCACCTTTGTCGCCCTTCAAAGCCCGTTGCTGCCGCCGCCGCCACCACCACCACCACCACGCATACTCGGAAAGGAAGACACCCAAGAGTTCCAACCTCGACACAACGTCTCGGATGAGTTGATACAGACTCGGGATATTTTTTTCTTCTTTCTTCTTCCCTTTACCCCCTATCATTCCCGCCCTTCCCCCGCCCTCCCTCTACCCGCTCTCCTCCTGGTTCCATCATTCTCAAATACCACCTCTCGCAACCCGTCCTCCCCACATCGGTGTGCTTTGTGCTCGACTTGGCCTTGCGAGCCTACGTCTGCACCATATATTGACAGCCAGCGGAATTTCAACAGGCTGTCCTTTGCAACGCCCGCTTATCCCGAATCATAGCACAGTCGGAAGATGGCCGCTGCGTTTAGACCAGTAAACTCACCGCTGCCTGGTGCCGACGTTAAGATGGACGACAAGATGACGACGTCACCAACAACGCCGAAACCAAACACCGCGGTGCTTCCGCGGACACCACAGCCCTTGGCCGAAGACGTGAAGACGCCTACGAAAGCGACCTTCAGCAGTGGCAACGGCACTATCGGTTTGGCATCCCAGAAGCCACTGCCGAGCTCTCCATTTCCCCAGGCCGTTCAGGTTCCCGAGAGTGCCGAGAAGGTCAAGACCCCGACAAGAGCGAACTCGCAACATTCTAGGAGATCGAGGGACTCGGAAGATGTGGACATGGACGACTCTGACGGCGACGGTGACGATGGATCTGACGATGATAGTGTAAATGCCGACGGTACCAGATCAAACAAGAAGAAGAAATCACAGCGCTTCTACTGCACCGATTATCCGCCATGCAACTTGAGCTTTACTCGAAGCGAGCATCTAGCCAGGCACATTCGGTAGGTCCTTTGACGTCCCCACAGTCGAGTATTTGCTAACTGTCCCAGGAAACACACCGGCGAAAGACCTTTTCAGTGTCATTGTTCGCGCCGTTTCTCCCGTCTCGATAACCTGCGACAACACGCACAGACGGTGCACGTCAATGAGGACATCCCCATAGATTCCTTAGCTGCGACGGGTGCTAGATTCCAGAGGCAGATGCGCACCGAGCGTGTGCGTCAGCAGGGTGGCAGGGCCCGCGCTTCAACGGCTGGCAGCGCGCCTGCTCCTGTTAGAGGTCACTCCAAGTCGTTGTCAACTAGCAGCATCGCTAGTGTCGGCTCCATCGGCTCTGCTTTTGGACCTCGCGATGATATTCGACGACGCCCTCCGCCCCTCGTCATGGCGACCGACCCCCGTTCGCGCCTATCACTCGAATCGTACAGAAGCGCTGGAGACGGACCTTACGGCTATCGCCCTGTCTCCCCGACTGACTACAGCACGCCGACGTCAGCGACGTTCTCCACTGGTCAGAGTAGTCCGCGCTGGGGATCGGGAATCGCTTCTCCCACCACCACGCACTCCCGATCCCACAGCATGTACTCTTCGGGCTCGAGGACTCCCGGTCGGCGACTCAGCGTGCCGTCCGGAGTCAACCCGTTCCAGTCACCACACGGCGCACCTGTCAATAGAATCGTGTACGGCAACGGGCCGGCCAACACCTCCAATATGGGTGCTTTCTCCCCCACCCCAAGCAGTCATCTGGCATCGCCGACAACGCCGACATCTGGATGGTCCGGCAGACGGGACTCGAACTCGTCTGCAGCAGACGAAGCCTGGCGCAGGCGGACTTGGCACCCTGATACGAGGACCTTCAGTACCAACACCAGCCACCTGAGCAACGTACTAACGCCCGGTCAAATTCAACCGAACCCCGCACCGCCCATCGCCAATGCTCCCAACCCACAACAGACGCTTCGATTGCCTGGCATTGAATCCTTTGATCCTCTGCCGTCAAGACAGCTGTCTCCTCCCAGACGGATTCCGTCACCGATGATGGTTGACGCTGAGAGTGCCCACCGTCGCCCCATGCTGCCTGGTACCGACGCTGTGGCCGAGGAACGACGGAATGTTGCCCAGTGGGACATGAGTTTGCACCGCGGCCTGACAAGACTGGACATTGCCTCGAACACAACACCGCCTCGCGACAGCGCTGGTGCGTGGGCAAAGGAGGTGAACCAGGCCGTGCAGGCGCAAGCGGAGCAAGTCCGCTTAAACCCGCCGATTGTGAGGTTCGAGGTTGACCCGCCGTCTTATGCCAACTCGGGTGCTTTCACTCGCAATCACCAGCACACAATGTCAGCGCCCTCCTTTGCACACCGAGATACCAAACGCCACGGATGGTATCACGGGCCGGTCGGTAGCAACGTTCACGGGCCTCGCCCGGAAGCGCCAAGCCAGGACCCTCGCGGACCCCACGTCAACCGGATGGTCCATCCCAACATGGGTCATTTTGCCGGATTTCCTGGGCGGCAGCCTGAGCCACAGCAAGCCCAGCAGCAACAACCTGGCAATCCTGACCCCCTGAGACGGCTGGAAGCGCTGGTGGCTGTTGCTACGAGTGAGGGAACCACCGCCACCGCTTACTGAGGATCTGTCGGTTCTCGTTACGCGTTGTCACAATCTACCCCCAATGTGCCTTATGGCGATGGTACACATACACAGCATGACTGATGAATTTCCTTTTTCCTTATCTGGAAAACATGTCGGCAGGGTTACTACTCTCTGCATGACATACAGTCACTTTCCCATCATGATATCCCGTTTCTTTCTGGTTGGTGGGCAATTGCATTTTTTTTTCCTATGGTTGGCGTTGATACATAGCGTTGATTTTGATCTCGTGTGCGTCCGGGTGTCACCACCCTCATCTCAGCTCATCTGGATCTTGGTCTTTTGCACTTCGCTTTTCGTCTCATCTTTGATATCCTCCTTGATCATTTACGATTTTCTTTTTCAATTTGCCACCAGGTTTGCCATTGAAAGGTTCCGCGGGTATTGTCGACAGCGATTTCGCAAGTAGAATTTCCTATCTCGGTTTTTGATTCCCTGTTACGCTTGCTCACGATCAATGAGATACCCACTCATTCCGGGATGGTGGATTCTATGGTGGATAGTAATGGACCGTTCTCTCGGCGGTTGAGGCGGACGAGCAATGGCTTGTGCTTATCTCGACATGCCAAGGATGGGAGGGAGAGGTTGGCGGTTATGTGGACGAGATACCCGAGCTTGGTAACGACCGGCTGCTCTGTGATTTACGGGAGGCCGGGAGGATGCTCACAAAGTTGGAAGCGATGGCTTCAAGGCCATCACCCAAGGGTCGGGCGGCATACCTCTTGTCTGTCGGCGTACAACCGGAAGGAATAACGACGTACATGCTCTCAATGATTATCTTATCTGTACCTTGACAGTGCCCTCTCGCTGACTGCTGTGACTTGACAGATCTGTGATGCGAATTTGCTTGTGACGAGGGGAAGTATACTCAAGTCGGCCAGCCTTGCATGCACGATGATGTATTTGTGGTCAGCGGTGCTACATCTGATTTTCAGACACGAGCCAATGAAGCAGGTTCAGTGACGACAATCAAGAGATTGTGTGATTGGGACTGAAGACGCCCGGGGGGGGGAGGATGATTTGCACCGGTTCGCACTAAGCGCTGTGGGGAATGCCGATCCTTTCTGCCGTGTTCTTCAGCCGTTGAAGGTGGATCCGACGTGCCCGAACCCAGCCGGGGGGTGTTTGTTTAAGCTATCCCCGCGCGGGTCAGGTGTTTTCGGACTACTTTATTTTGGCTCTCGGGATTAAAACTGCTCCGGGAATCCGACGTAAAGACTGTTGAACTAGAGGTGTCTGATATTTGCCGTGTTTTGTGTGTGTGTTCTCACTCAGAGGTACCTACTTGCCTGAGTAAGGTAAGTATAAGACAGGTCGCTGGAAGTTGGAGGATAGTTGGAGTACTTGGTTCGAGGGTCGCCGGTGTTTCCTGATCTGGTTCAGGGAGCTTTCTCGCTTTGGACCCGACCGTCTGATTGTTGTTTCGACATGGAGGGGGGGTGTTGCTTGGTGCGGGAGACGGACGGGGCGGAGTTGGTTTTTTTTTGATGCAAGCCGGCCACAAGGCGGGGGAAGGAGGGGGCAAGGGCGGGGAGGATGGAGACTCTGAACCTGGAAAATGGACTCGAGATAGGGATCCCCAACAATACAAGAGACGAACGGGACCGAGGAAGCCGGGGAGGGTTGGGGGGGGTTTATTTATTATCGGTGGGTGGCCCGGCCAGCCATGTTCCGGTACTGTTGGTGTAGGAAACGAACTTACACGGAGACCAACCAGCCTTCACCATTGCTCCATCTACCCTCATCATCAAACACACAGCACTGACACATCTCCATCGTAAGAAATGGTTCCCAAACACGTCCCGGCGCCCCCGGGACTCCTCTTCGGGACGGCGTTGCTCGCCATGGCCGGACTCGCGACGTCCACCGCCGACACCGCGTCCGTGAAATGCCAGCCAGGTACGTTCCACTTGCCCGACATCCCCGGCGTGGAACACGTCCGAACCACAGCGGCCGTCGTCCGCAACTACACCGGCTTCCCCAACAGACAGCACGAGCCCGCCCTCTCCGCACCGGCGGCCTCGTCCAGCGGGATCGCGCCCTTTTGCAACGTGACGGTATCGTACACGCACCCGGGCCAGGGCGACCTCGTCAACGTGCACGTCTGGCTGCCACTCGAGACGCGAGACTGGAACGGGCGGTTCATGGGGCTGGGCGGCGGCGGGTTCGTGGTCGGGGAGGTGGATGGCGATGCGCCGTCTGCTGCGGTGCAGGAGGGTTACGTGGCTGCCGCGACGGACGGGGGACACCTCGCGGCACAAGAGCCCTACGTGTGGGCGTTGAAGAGCACGGGGAACCTCGACTGGCCGCTGTTGGTGAATTTCGGGTACAGGAGTTTGCATGAGCTTGCTGTTGTTGGGAAGAGCGTGGCGCGAGAGTATTACGGACGGGCGGCGACGTATGCGTATTGGAAGGGGTGTTCGACGGGGGGCAGGCAGGGGTTGACTGTTGCGCAGAGGTATCCGGGGGACTTTGACGGGGTGCTGAGTATGTGTCCCGCTGTGGAGTTTCCTGCCATGGTGGTGGCGATATATTTCCCGCAGTTGGTTATGCGGTGGAGGGGGTATTGGCCCAGCGAGTGTGAGCTGAGGACGATTGTGGCGGCTGGGGTTGAGCGTTGTGATTTGACGGATGGGAAGAAGGATGGGATCATTGGGAGGTTGGGGGAGTGCGGGTTTGATGTGAGGACGGCGGAGGGGAGGGCGTTTAGGTGTGATGACGAGGAGGCAGGGAGGACGGAGGGGAGGGTGTCGAAGGAGGCGGTTGAGGTTGTCGAGGAGGTTGTTGGGGGGATTCTGGATGAGGAAGGGAGGGCCATGTTCCCCTCGTATGTCCCAGGGACGCAGTTTGCCGGGTTCCTTGCGATGATGAATAGTGTTTGCGAGGACGAGAAGGACCGAACGCGGTGCAAGGGCGTGCCTTTCCCCGTGTCGGACGCATGGATCCGGCTCTTTGTCGAAAAGGATGCGCAGTTTGAGCCGGAGTCGATGTCGCGGGCGGCGTACCGGGACGTCTTCCGGCGGAGCGTGGAGGAGTTTGACTCCGTCATTGGGACGCCCGTGCCGGATCTGCGGCGGTTCCGGGAACGGGGGGGCAAGGTGCTCATGTGGCACGGCATGGCGGACCAGGCCGTCCCCGTCAACGTCGGACGGGCGCTGTACGAGAAGGCCAGGGGGGTCGAGGCGGCGCGCGGGGTGGAGTTGGAGACGTATTGGCGGTATTTTGAGGTGCCGGGGGTGAATCACTGCGTTTCGATGGAGGGGGCGCCGTTCCCGTGGGATGCGTTTGCGAGGTTGAGGGCGTGGGTTGAGGACGGGGTTGTGCCGGACGAGTTGGAGGCCAGGGGGATTAGGAAGGGTGAGGGTGGCGGGTTCGAGATTGACGACGAGGTGAGGAGGATTTGTCTTTATCCTCTGGAGGGGGTGTGGGATGGCAAGAGGTGGACTTGTTTGAAGCCTGGGGAGAAGATTGGGACGGTGGGTGAGAAGGAGGAGCTTTGAGGTTTTGTGGCATGCTTTGATGCGAGTCCTTGAGTCTTGGGCATCTTGGAAAGCAGATCGCCGTTTATACTTGAGCGAAAAACTCATACATGATCTATATATACAATTCAAACATCTACAACACCTCACTTCCACCGCTTGAAAGGATGCGCCTCGGTATTGAACACAAACTCATCCAGACTCACCAGCCCAGGCTCGCTAAAGATGAGGTAGAAGTACTTCAACGTCTCCCCCATCCAAAACGATTCCATCGAGTCCGACTGCGGCGGCCGCTGGCCCTTGTCTATCGTCACGTCCCACACCGCCGTGTTGGCGAGCTCGGTGCTTGTCGCCTCGTCAATGGCCGTAAACATGTCCCACGCAGACTCCAACAAGCTCGCGTCGGCGGTGGTGCGGTACATGACAAAGACGCTCTCAATGGCTTCCGGGCGGAGGATGTAGCGGCGGTCCGGGACGGAGGCGAAGCCCGGCGGAAGGCGGTCCTTTTTGATGATTTCGTCTGCCGAGAGGTCTTTGTCGTCGTTGTTGTTCTTGTCTGCGCGCTCGACGACGTGTTTTTTGTAGACGGCTTCGTCCCATTTGCATTCGTCTTTGGAGGAGCAGGGGACAATGTAGAACGTCTCTGGCATGATGCCGTGGGGAAAGGATTGGTAGGTATATATGCACCCGTCGACGAGCTTCCGAGCGAGAGACACCTCGAGAGGGTGGTTGAAGAGTTTGCCGCCGAGGGCGAGGAGGCCGCCCATGAAGCAGACGAGGTGCTGGCCCTGCGGCTCGAGTTCGATGGTGCGGACGCCGTTGGATCCGCGGGCGTGCGCTTGGCCCGCGATCAAAATGTCCTCGTTGCCCGGCGTCATGGGCCGGAAGAGGTTGTGCTCCACGGCCGGCTGGACGGCGGCCTCGTACATGGTCTTGTACATGCCGCTGCGCCCGCCTACGAGGGCGGCCATTTTGGGGAGGTACTCGTAGAGCGAGTCCGCCATGGCGCCGAGGGTGAAATCGTCGCCCTGGTCAAAGACCTCGTCGCGCGGGTTCACGACGAGCGGCCAGAGGCCGGGGATGTTTGTCCGGTTCTGCTGCCGGGCGAAAATCTCCATGATGCGCTGCGTGGCGTCCCACCACTTTGGATCCCCCGTGAGGACCGAGAGGCGCGTGAATTCCATGGACAGGCTGCCAATCTCGGCCACCAGCGCGCCGTTGCCGACGTCCTGGGCGTCGCCGCGGGCCGCGTCGCCGACCTTCCAGCGGGTGATGGGCATGCGGTTGGGCGTGTCAAAGGCCTTGTAGAGCATCTCGCCGACCTCGGCTGCTTTCCGGAGGAGGCGGACGTCGCCGGAGAGGTCGTAGGCCGAGAGGAAGCCGCCGAGGTAGCGGATCGTCGTCTCAAAGACGTTGATGTCCTCGAGGTCGGTGTGGGAAAAGTCGACTGTGACGGCGGCGGCGACGGCCTCGGCAAAGTCGGCGCGCATGTCCATGATCCAGAGGGTGTCGAGGGAGTCGACGAGGGTCGCGGCCCAGCCGCCAAAGGTGTTGCGCCGGCCGCCGGATACGGGGGTGAGCTCGTCCGCGAGCCAGGCGTGTTTTCGGTACGAGGACCAGGCTTTTTGAAAGGTCCTTTTGACGGTTTGCCGGCGCTCTTCGCGGACGCGGCACTGGGTGCTGGTTTCGGGCGGGAAATGGGCCTGGACCGGGGGGAAGCGGACCGAGGGGGCGGTGGGGAGCTGACGGAGGGGTTCCGGGGCCGGGTTGTGGACTTTGACTGTCCTCCAAAAGTACGTTTTGTCCTGTTCCGTCATCCATTCTATCGGCTTTGGTAGGAGGGTTGATGAGGATGAGGATGTTGGGAACGTGGGGAGGCCGCTGTCGTTCTGCCAGAGAAGGAGGAGGAAGAGGAGGGACACGGGGAGGCCTAGGAGGACGATGCCTGGCATTTTCCGCCTGGCCAGGAGCATGATCTTTTTTTTCCTATCTTCTTCTGGGAATTTCCTCTGAGATTTCTCGCTCCGGTCTGGATACACATGTGTCAAACGTGATAGTGGTCGCGGACAATGAGAGACGGAACACGCGAGAAGAGAAGAACGAGCCGAGACTGTTGCGCGTTATTGGATGCGGCCCGGCCGGATTTCTGTCCTTATCAACTCTTCCGCGAGTTGTTGGGGGCGGTCTCAGGGGTTGCGGGCTTGTTTGCTCGTCTATCTCTGTCTTTATTTTTGGTGCCCTGCTGGCTGTGCCGCCCGAGCAGAGGATGAAGAAGAAGAGGGGCGGGAGGTCGGGCGCTTGGAGATTTAGGATGTACGGGCGGCGGTGCGGCACATCGCCTGCCCCTGACATTCATTAAACTTTCAACGTGTATATGACGGTTGGTTGACGCACCAAACTGAATCCTTGTCAGTCACAGCTTGGCGGCAGATCGCAACCGGTTTGACGCGACGGAAGATGGTCTGAGGGGTGAAGCAGGCCTGTCCACGATCGAGGCTGCGCGATAACCCTTTGGGAGTTCGGCTGTATGCCTGCCTCTATCGGCTCATTGCAATGTCGACTTTGTCTGTTGGTTCAGGTATCATGGGTAGCTCGGTCGTGGGAGGGGTTCCCTTGCTTCAACTCCGGCTTTGCAGCCAGAAGTCGAGATTCCAGGCCAGGTTGGATGAATGATTCATCTACCTATCTCGGTGTTGGTTCAGGAGGTACTGTACCCGGCCCTCACGGCGTTAAAATTCTCAACGGGCCACGATAAAAGGTTGAACGGCGGCCAGTTCAGGGGCCCTGCGACTACTATATAAGGCGTGCTCAAAGCCCCCCCCCCCCCAATCTAATTTCACTCAATATGCAGCTAAACGCCGGGCAAAGCTATCCAAGTGGTCGTTCCGTCCCGTCGGGACGGACAGCCTGCTTGCAAGCGTGTGCTATTGGTCGTGTTTCTTACTAGCTTCATTATAACGACATGGGTTTGTCTTGGCTGTCCTATCACCGCAGACGAGACTGTCAACCTGAAATCCTGAACCGACTGACAGTTTGAAGACTTGAAGAGGTACTGTGTCCGCAGGTGGCAAAGAGACAGAGCGACAGGGGCTCGTATGCTTCCGAGCTTTAGAAATGTTTGAGGGTTTCCCAGATTCTGTTGCGAGAGGCTGAAAAGGATTGGGCATGCCGCGGAGTTGTGGTTTGATGTGGGTGATTGAAGGCGGCGGCGCAGCCCGTGGCCTAGAGTTGCGGCGGGAGTTGTTGGCAACCATGAAAGGCTTGATAACTCGCTAGTGCCTCGCCGCAACCCGCCTGTTACAGGTTTGGCTTGCCTTCCTTTGAAGACTTCCTCATTTGTGCCTTGTGTTCTGGGAACATTAACTCCCTCAAGCCCTCAAGTTCAGTCCGGAACCTGGCGTTCGGGGTTGGCAGAGCACCAGTAACAGCAACGACATGGCATCCCATCCGTTCCGGTTCCTCCTCTTCTTACTCACTGTCCTTCTCTCCGGGGCACGGGTGCGGGCCGTCTGCTACTACCCGGACGGCAGTATCGCCCCCAACGACACGCCATGCCAGGACCTCACGGCCGAGTCGACATGCTGTGGGCAGGGCTATGCGTGCCTGTCGAACAGCATGTGCCAGGCGACGGGCAAGGAGTTGTCCAAAGACGGGGCGACGGAGCTTGTGAGGGGCTCGTGCACCGACCGGTCGTGGCGGAGCTCGCGCTGTCCTCTGTTCTGCATCAACCCGGAGACGGACAACGTGGCGGGCGGAATCGGGGTCGCAAGGTGTGAGGGGACGGCGGAGGAGTTGTATTATTGTATCAATTCGGTCATGGATACGGTTAATTGCACGGCGAAGAGAAATGTTTTGTTCTTTCAAGGTGAGTCTCGTTTGCTGTCATCATTCCTCACTGCATCTTCTTCAACTCTACGCAATTCCATTGTGGGACACGATCCCTGCCCGATGGTCCAACCAACTAACTCATCAATGTAGAATCACCAACTGCAATCACAACGATCGGCGTGGCAGCGACCCCAACTCCATCGTCGTCGACAACATCCGAGTCAACGACATCTTCCTCGGCCGCGATTACACAGACTTCTGTCAGCCCTCCTACACCGCCAAACCCGAGCTCCGTAGCACTAAGCAGTGTAAGTCAAAGACCAGCAGGTAGCCCGGCAAGCAGTCCCGAAGCCAACCCAGGTATCGAGCCAGAGGCAACAGACGACCGGACAGTCATCATCGGCGCCGCCGTCGGGGCATCCGTGGGTGGTTTAGCGCTCGGCGTTCTGGCGGCCTGGCTGTTCATCTTGCTCCGTCGACGCAAGCGCCGTGCAAGAGAAGAGGGCGTGAACAACCAGGCACGGGGGCAAGATTCCACGCCCGGGCCGCCACCTGCTCGATACGTCAGTCCGCCCGTCTTTGATCAGATTTACGAAGCGCCCAACGAGTGGAAACCTCCGTTGGTATCGGATCACTTTGCTCCGCAAGAGCTGCCTGGATGCGAACCGGAACCTCGGAGGGGTCGAGTCATTTGATGCAGATGTCTTTGTTCAGTATTTTACCTTATGATAGCATGCAATGATACCACCCTGTGATTTTAGTCCATGAATGCCATCACGTCACGGAAGCCGGTCCATGTCTTGAGGGGTTGAATCCAAACCCAAAAGGGAGGATGGGATGAGTCTCTACGAAGCCATGCTTATGTACTTTTATAACAACATTTAATACGAATATAGAAAGATCCCTTGCCCAGAGGAAATCAATAGCTGAGTAGCAGAGAGCCTTGTTCCAGAACTTGGCCTGGACATTAGCCAGGTCGTCCTCCTCAAAATGAAGGTCCTCGACTTTCGCTTCATTCTTTCACTCAACTGCGGGAGTGGTTTGGCAAGATCTAGTGTCACAGCATCCGAATACGAGCGCGAAGTCGAGAGACTATGCCAGCAAACCAGTGGTCTTTTGGTAGGCTCAACTCATAAGAGCATCAAATCGGTATAATCACTCATATTTGGTTGTCTGGCGGATGAAGAGAAGCCCTTTACGCAGCCGCAAATATCTCATGACAGGAAAACCTCCTTGGCCACCACCACCACAAAATCGAGCCACATTCGTTTCGCTAAATATCGCATGAACAAGATGCAACTGGGACAAGGCTTCTGATTGATGACAATTTCAGCCTTTGTGAGCGTCTCCATATGTTGGTAATGAAACAGAATCTCGAGTCTGATCTGTCTGTCACGGTCATCAACGTCCTCAACAAACAACTGATGCCTGTGCGCGACGAAGCAGAGCAACTGTGCCTCTACGTGACTGGCGTGATACAAGCCTTGTGCAGAACTCGGATCCAACTCATGTGCCTCGAACGTGAACCCGATCCGCTTTGAAAAGCTCAGTGTCTTGTGCGCCCAGTAGTTGGAGTCGAGCCTAGCGTACCCGTCGCCAAGTAACGGGGACTGGATGCCGATGCCGGCCCAACCGCCAACGGCGGCGACTGGTTCAAAGGGGCTGCCTCGGAGCAAGACGCCCACCGTCTGGTCCTGTCGGGCGATCGGGATGCCTCGTTTCGGATTGATCAATAGAGCAGTTCTGGCGTCTGGCGACTTGACGAACCGGGGTTGAAACAAGTTGGCGATATCAGACTTGGTGAGTGCGGTATCTAAAGGAGCCGCAACTCCAAGGAGTGCTCTGATGTGGCGTCGACGGCTCTTTGACTTGAACGGTTTCTCCGCGTAATCAACATGGCGATATTCCCTCTCCTCGTCGTTCCTCTCGTTCTCCTCGGCGAAGTCGGCGGCGATCCTCCCGTCTCGGTCTTTCTGTGAGGTACTTGCACCGGCAGCGAGAAGTAACCCGACAAGTTCGACGCGAGTCCAGAGAGCAGCCTCCATCAGGGGTGTGCGGCCTCGGCTGTCCCCAGCATTAACGTCCACACCTATTCTCAGTAAATCTTGAACATTGGTACGATTTCCATGAGCCACCTCAATTGATAGCCTCGAACAGCCCAGAGTTCCTTCAATACGCAGGTCGTGGTTGAAGTGAGGGCAAGTCACGTAGTCATGTACGCAACCCCAGCGGTCCCCTTTCTCATTCACTCTTGCTCTAGACGCTGGTGAGTCCCTTGTGCGGATAGGGGTCATGCGATTGTCCCGTTTTTCATCTGCAAAAGTTCGAGCCTGATCTTTGATGCTAATGTTCTCAAAGTGGTCGGTCAGACTATCTCGCTGGCTTGCCTGGTCGGGCTGTAGCAATGGATTAACTTCGGGCTTCCGGAAACCAACCGTTTCGAAGCACTGAAAGTGGGAGTCGTCAGTCCCCTGTGAAGCTGACGTCCTAATCTCCCAGGACAGCGTTTTCACGGCATCGTGCTTTTCGAAGGGAAAGACGAGCTTGTACGTGTACCCAGCGTGGTGGCAAGGCGCGACAACGAACCATCTCGTGTCGGAATCTAATCCGTGGAAAGTGTATGGACTGTTCGATTTAGGCTGACGTAGGTTTTCTTCGCCGTTTGGGAAGAAGCTGATTGCGTGCCGATGAGGCTGCTCGCAGAAGGGGCATTCGACGAGTGCCCACGTTGTGTCCCATCGTAGAACTCTTGCAATTGCTCGAGATCCGTTCCAACGCTGGAGCTTGGAAGTCGACGCGGAGGATGGAAAGGCAGAGTGTTCAACGCTAACTGAGGCCATTTCAAGTTGACTGCTGTTTTCCGAGAGAGCGTGGAAAATGATGTGGCAATGCAAAATAATGAGGACCAGGCCACCCCGTGAGAATTAAAACCTCGAGAAAAAAAAGGATCGTCATCTTCACAGCTGTTTCAACCTCGATGACTTGTTTCAATGTCCAAAGAACGGTTTTGGCCTAGGTTGAAGGTTGAAGCTTAGTAACCGATTAATCCGAAATGGGAACCAATCAACGATGGTGTTTTGCCTCACATTATGCCAGCGAGCTTACTTGCCATCACGGTCTTCCCCAGTACTTCCCAGATCGATTTTTAAGTTTTGTAAAATTGTTTTCAATATTTTCCAGTCATGAAACGGGAGATTTGTGATTCATTGAGTCTGGCCGGTTGGATGGTGGTTCATCGCGGCACAAGCCCGCGCTTGGCAGGAGTTTTTTATCTAGAGGTTAGGAGTAATTACATGTAGTCACCTAGTCATAGGAGAATAGAGGTAGCTCGGATTGTTGAGCAAGAGATAGTATGGGGTGCGGGCGACTCCCTTGACTCACATAGTTTGGTCTAGTGGCCATGTCTCAGCATGAGTATGGAAAAGTCAGCTCGACAAGGGTCGGGATGCCGGAACACCGGAAACATCTGTAGATTAAAATGGTAGAGCTGACAATTACAAAACCAATGCTAAGCACCCCGCAAAAGCAAGGAAAACTACCGCAAAAAGAGACGGATGTCTGAAAACCTCCAACGGCTTTCTGACTCGGCCCAACGACAGCCCTCTGACCAGCAAGCTAACATATTCACGTATTACTTAGCCCCCATTATCCATTACCATGCCGTGACCGATCCCTCAATACCATCTACTTCTACCTCCTTCCATCGTTCGTCGTGTACATTTCCCAAGGAGCGCCAAGCTGGACTAGCAGATGAAGAATCCTTCTACGACCAACAAAATGAAGACGAGAAACATTCTGGTAACTGGGAAAGACAAAACTGTCTGAGATCCAGTTGAGGACGAGACTTGAACAGGCGTCTGAGATTGCACGTTCTGACTCGTCTGCGAAGGGGCAGTTGCTGAAGAGTTGCTAGTCATGGTTGACAGAGGACTCTCAGTCTCGAGGGGGGCGCTGTTTCCGCTTTCGGGAGTCAGAGTGCTAGAGAGACCTTTTATGATGGTGGTTGGCGCTGTGGCTAGTGGCGAGCTCTCCATATCTCCCGCATTGGTCAGTGTCGTTGCCAAGGTCGGTGAGCTCTGGCCGAGGCCTCCGGACTCTTCAGAAACTGGGCTAGCAGTATTGGCGGTGACGTTGGGAGGCTTGGTTGTTGCAGACGGAAATAATGATGCAGCTTGCGATTCAACTCCTGACTGTTTACCCAACGGAGTAGCGAAGGCGGTAGGGAGAGGTGGAGAAGAGTTGGAAAGGCCAAGGGTAACGGTGGGTGCTCCTTTAGGCAAGGCGGGATCATTGCTGAAGGGTGAAGCTCCATGAGACGTCTCAGATACCCCACTGGAAGATACCGGTTGAGCTCCGGAAGAACCCGTAGGAATGGCCATATGATGGTTATCTGGGTCAGTGTTCCCGTCGTTGGTACTGGCAGTGACTGTTTGCACCGGAGAGACGACGGTGACCGTGATAGGCGCAGCAGAGCTAATGATCACGCCACAGTCATTGTCTCTGAGGCTGAGGTAAGGGGCTCCGAGTGCAGGCCCGGCGAACAAGATCATCAGTTGCGGGTGCATTATAAAGTGAGGTAGCAGGGCAATAGATGATTTAAAATCCAAGTTTTGAATGATGAATGAGGGACTCGTGGAAGTTATCGAAACTTGAGATTGATGACTCTGAATTGCCTCAGAATGTCCTTGAAAATGGCACTATATATATGTATATATATACATATATAGGATACGTTGCCAAACATGATTATTGTTGGTTTTCCCCTTATCACCGACTCACTACGGACAAGTTCCATATAGCAAAGGACATTTGTCTGTATCCGGCTCTTGATAATTCTGCAGCCGACGAACCCCGGCCGACGACATCTCTTGATGTCTCTCTGCACGCTGACCCCATTCCGACTGCATACGAACTGACGGACTGGGAAAGGTCAAAATTCGCAAGTCTTAGCCATTCTAGACCTCCAGAGCTGGGAGTAGTTTAAGAGATTTGACTTGAGAAATCTCCAATCCATCTACCAACCTCAGTGCACATAATACAGGACCATGCTGTGACATCGCGGCAGATGTGAGGTATTACTTTGGCTTCCAAATGCCGCACCTGGACTTCAATACCGTTTGCAAACAGAAATGAGGATGTTCGCCTTGGGGCCTTCTCTTAGTAGCTGGAGAAGGAACGATGAGTGTTTTAGGCAGTGGAGTGATGCTCAGCCCAGGTAATGCCAGGGGTAACAGAGTATCCCTGTGTCTCTCAATTTCAGCTTCGATCTTGGTCCCACAACTGACTCGACCTCGGAAACCATGGCCAGTACTGAAGAGCTCATCGCGATGCTATTGGACAAGCCATGTTCCAACAGTGAAGTGTGAGGCATGGCATCAATGGCTAAGGATAAGACGTCAAGTTTGCAGAGGTTGAGATCATGCTGGTTTCATCTTTTGGAGGATCATCTAGCCCCAACATCTGCGGCCTTCAGGTCTACGATTTGCAAGGGAGGGGCTTCCATGGCACTCGTATGTTGTCAAAGATTTGATAGATTTCTTTGCACCAGCCGAAGACTTGTGGATAGCTGGCTTGGCTACCACAGCAGACGGGTACGATTCTCTGCATGCGTTCCAGCCTATTGAATTTTGTATGAAAGAATTGAGGAGACGGAATGCACCAGATAAGAGCAACTGAGTAGGTGAAAAACAGTAACAGCTTCATTACAAGCAAAAGGTCTCGGAACTCCATATATAAACTTCGTGAAAGGATCTCGAGATGGAGAGGAAAACACTACGCCATCACTTCTTCGATTACTCTACCCTTCATTCATTCACTTGATGTTCTGTTCCTTCATCGGCCAACCTTTTACCTTTCCCGCCAAAATGCGCGCCTCAAAGAGAATCGCGCTTGCCACTGCGCTGGCATCGGCCCTGGCTCCAGTGTTTGGGTCTGCGAGCTCTAGTTGCGTTGCTCCCACAGGAGATCCTGTCACTATCCAGGCCTATGTCATAGTCGAGCATCTCCCAGTCCATGTCAGCAGAGGCATCTGTTCCAACACGACATTGAATATTGCCGGTAGTGTGTTGTCCATCACCAACGCTCCGACCTTTCTCGTGTCGGACTTTGTGGTCACGAGTACCATCACTCATACGTCTACTGTGTAAGCCCTGCTATGTTCTTTCACCATGATATCTTACATTTACTCGAGCCGCCCTAACACTAGATCTGTCTTAGAAACACTGCCTCGACATTTGGTGGTCCTTGCACTACGCTGACCGCACATGGCACTCCTGATTCTGAGCCTACCACCATCGTCATCCCCCCCAATGACGGCGATGGGGTTGGAACAAAGATCATTTGCAATCCTGCGATCACAGATAGAACTGCCTTTTCCGGCCCCTACACGACCATCACAGCAGCTCAGTGGTCTGGCCCGGGCACAAAGACTCTGACACTGACTCCGGCCGGCCGAGACCCGACAGGCACTCTCATTGTTTTCACCCCCCAATCATCTGGGCAAGTCGGTGCTCAGAGTATCTTCACAGGACCCTACACCACCCTTGCCGAGCCTTGGACGGGAAGCACCCCTACAACTCTGACCCTTCCACCTCAAGGAACCGATCAAGCGGGGAATCAGATCGTTTTTAGCCCTACCGCTGCGCCCGCTCTCTTAACCGGGCCTTACACAACAATCACTGGCACCTGGACTGGGATTCAGCCAACAATCTTGTCCCTGCCGCCTTGGGGAAGCGGCAAGACTGGCACTGCCGTTGTTTTCATCCCGGCATCTACACATGCAGGCTTGAACTCCTTCACTGGACCTTACACAACCGTCACTGGTCCCTGGGCAGGTACAGTTCCAACAACCGTTGTTCTCCCACCTCAAGGGACCGATCAGGTTGGAACTCAGATTGTGTTGACGCCTATCGCTTCCCCGACTCCCAGCTCCCTCACCGGAACATACACAACCATCATTGGCCCTTGGACTGAAGCAGCACAAACTAATGTTGTCCTTCCATCTCAAGAGACTGATCAAGTAGGGACTCATATCGCGTTGACGCCTACTTCTACTGCAACCACCTCCGTCACCGGGCCCTACACAACTCTGACCGGGACCTGGACCGGCACTAGTCCTATCACAGTAACCCTCGCCCCGTCTGGAACCGATGCCACAGGAACTGAAATCGTGCTTGTTCCTACCACGACCGATGCGACTTTCACGGGTCCTTACACCACTATCAGCGGGCCTTGTACCGGCACTATCCCCTCCTCGCTGTCCATTGCCCCTACTGGTACCGGTACTGTTGGTACTGTTATCATCTTCACCCCGGCTGACCCTTCGACTTCTGCAAGTGTCAGCTCTGAGAACTCAAGCAGTATTTCGTCGACGCCCTCGGACACCTCATTCGATTCTACCAGCATAACATCGTCTGACATAGCCACGAGTCTGACTACTTCGTCTTACTCCACGTCCAGCTCTTTGTCCGACTCTTCCACGAGTTCCAGCGACTTGTTCACATCTGCCAGTCCTTCTTCTGTCATCGAGACTACAACTTCTGCCGATTCGAGTAGCTCATCGCAAGGTTCTACCAGCGCTGTGTCAAGCTCTCCAGACTCCATTGTCAGCTCTTCTCTATCTTCTGAATTGTCAAGCTCGAGCTCTGCCGATCCTTCCAATTCCTCCTCGTCGACCGAATCTACTACATCTTCATCTTCCAGTATCACGAGCTCTGGATCTTCCAGCGCGCCTCCGTCTTCATCCAGTTCGTCATCTGGGTCCTCTTCTAGCTTAACTTTGTCTTCGTCCAACTCGTTATCTGAGTCTTCTTCCAGTACGCTTATGGGAACTCCCACAACCACAACCTCGCAGAGCTCGACCCTTTCCGCATGCATTGTTACCGCGACAGGGACTTCAGAGTACTGCAATATTGCCCTGCCCGGAAGTTGCGCCTCGCTATCCACCACCAGCGGTCTGGCTCTCGTGCCGGTCCTGGCATCTTGCACCGCGGCCCTTGGCCCATACGCAGCGGGCAACGTTGCGACGTGTCTCGCGAACAACGTGACCCTCACCACAGCAGGCTCAGACATTGCAACCTGCATTCTCACCGCTCTTCAAGGGCGCTGCATTTCTAGCCTGCCGCAGGCATGTATCGACCTTGAACAGTCCAATGGCCTCGCTCTCGTCGCAGACGTCGCTCAATGCACCATTGCTCTGGGCCCTTTCGCCGCTGGTAGTGCCACAACCTGTCTCGCGACAGGAACCATTACGGCAACCACCACGGGCACGAGTATCATCCAGTGTCTCGAGATTGCTTTTGGTCTCCAATCTGGCGTGGTCACGATTACCAACTCCGCCTTCTGCCCGACTGCTACAGCAACTCCTACGCCTTCGGTCTGCGCTACGGTTCCGGCGCCCTGCCAGAACCTCGCTTCAGTGAACGGCCTTGCTCTCATTGCGGCAATCCCGGTGTGTACGGCAGCCCTTGGTGTCTTTGGTGTCGGCAACGCCGCGACCTGTCTCGCTACCAACGTCATCGGCCCTCTTAGTGTTGGACAGGACATTGTGACATGCCTGACGACTGCTCTCAGTGCAACTTGCATCTCGACTCTGCCTGCGCCTTGTCTTAACCTGGCAGGTAATACTGCAGCGCAGTTGGTTGTAAACTTGCCGCTATGTACAGCTGCCCTCGGTCCATTCGCTGTTGGGACTGCGCTCACTTGTTTATCCTCGGGCGCTACCAACGGAGACTCCGTCATTGCCTGCCTCAATACTGCTTTGTTACAGACAGCCTAGTCTTGAGTTTTTGTTCGTTCGTGTTACTAGAAGCTGGGGATGTAATGAGACTTGTGCGGCCGAGTCTTATGCTTGTGAAACGGTTGGCGGTTTTGTGTGCAGTTCAATATGAAGAAGGGGACAAGTGGACGTCGGCTGGTGCAAACCGAGTGTAATCGCTTTCAGTTCTTAGTAGAATTGTTTGCCATATTTGCTGCTCTAATAATACTCTTTTCCTGGCAATTTGCCCTTATTGCAATAAGGTACTGGTCGTGAATGACAAGAGACCTGTGGGTTCTCATGATTGATCCCGGCAACATCGATATTTCAAACATCACGGCTGGAAATTCGCCCAATTATAAAATCGAAGAATATTTGGCATCGGACTCCTTAGCTCAATCGTCCCAGTCTGGTAGTCTGAGACATCCGCCGGTGCCAAACGCGGCAGACAAGCGGTCATAGAGGGCGTCGTTATGAGCGTGGGTTACATGCTCGAGTCCTTGATTTACCTCGGCTTTTCCCAATTCCACTCTGACCCCATTACGTGGCGTCTGCCTCTGGCTATCACCGTATGTTTCTCCATCGTCCTCATTGCCGGATTTACTTCTCCCCCGAATCGCCCAGGTGGCTCGTTATGAAGGGCAAGTCGGGGCAAGCTCGCGCCGTTATCTCCGTGTTGAATTCATTACCGGCAGACCCGATGGAGGTTCAGGCTGGGCTGTACGGAATCGAGCATTCAATCGAAGAAACCTAGGGCTCGCAGATCTCTCTGGAGGATGTCCTGAAGATGGGCGAAGACGAGCTTTGTACCGCTTCTGTCTGTGTATGCCGCTTCTGTCTGTTTATGCCGCTTCAATTCTTTCAGCAGATGGCGTCAATTGATCCTTTCTGAATGCCATGTCATTGATAATAGTATGACTCATCACGCGTTCAACAATGGTTTCAACCTCGTCAGCGTTTATGTACCGATGCTCTTCCAACCAGAACTCGATCTCCCTAGCCAGTATTCTCGCATTCTCAGCTGCGGAACACTGACCTAGAAATTCCTCGCCTCGTTCATCGCCTTCACCACGATCGATCAGTTTGGATGCCGCGCTGCGTTCATAGTCAGCGGCACTGGAATGTCTGCATGGAAACCGTGGACAAGTGCCTATGACGTATTCGCGTAGAGAGGAGAATGCACGTATACATGAAGAAAGTAACTTAACCCTTTTACCTCGAAATCATTCCTACAAAAGCAATTAAACGATCCCAATTAGAGGAAGACTTCTTGAACTTCAATTCATATGGGAGATAACATTTGTGAATTAAGGATATTGGAAACGCGTTCTGCCCCGCAGCGATCGAAACTTTGCGAGAGCGGCGACTCTTTGAAGTGCGGATTACATAGAATGAAGAGTTTCCTTGAGCTGTAGATGGCATGGGCACAAGGCATAGAAGTGGTCGTTGATAAGGAAATAAAAGATATTTCAGTCTTATCAGGGGACTAGACGTAGTACGAATGCTCACTTCTCGGCACACCTTTTGAGTGGCTATTGAAATCTATTCGCGAGTGATATCATTCTCCGGTAATTCATAACCAATAGCCCAATTACTGCTTTCAGATAGAAAGACCGACGAGGGGTCCTGCGGCTCAGATGTCGCGCTGGGCCAAGAGTCTTGGCTTGGCTTGGCCTCACCTTGGCTTCACTTGGCTTCAGTGCATTACGCCGATCCACCTCCAAGGGCCCGAACCTAGATCCAACATCAGTTGCAAAAATGAGTTGAATGTTCATCTTGATATTTGACGTTGTCGATGCGAGAGAAGCCCGAGAACGATGTGCTGGAGGCGACGAGACGTCAGAAAAGAGGTGAATCTCTCTTTGAGCATGACCTCGGCGCGAAATCGGGGGGGGCATATCCCTTGAAATGGAAAGGTGAGGAGCAATATGTGGGATCCGCTTCGCTTCCCATCCGGTTTTCGCTCCGGTCCCCTCAACAACGCTACCTTTGTCAGAGTCATTGAACAACAGGTCTCTGCTGTCATCAAATATTTACTTATCGCTTTTATCACCGAAATCAGTCTTTGCGGCATGCTCATCGCTGCCGTCGGCGATGACCGATATCAGTTACTCCGGGACCAAAAAACTGCCGAGGCTGTTCCCCATGGCCAGATGAGGCGCGGATCTTCAACTTGTCATTCCCAAGGCGTTGACATTCCCGTCCGCCCTATCGCCCGCCCATGGATATCCACAAATCGATTCAAGATACATTTCAAAATGGCAAGTAGGCGCGTACGCGCATCTCTGGCTGGGAAGTTGCTGATAACATATGAGCGGACATGGCCGCTATGTCCACATATGGTGCTCCCGCAATATGAACTGATGCGACAATGGTTATTGATCCCCCAGAGTTTATCAGGCCATACCCTGCTCATTACCCAAGGACCTACCGCTTTCGCACTATGTCCCCCGTGAGCCTTCCTAACTTGCTTAGTCCAAAGTGGATTCCCGCCCATGGTTCTTAATTGCCGGCTCCCCCGATCTCTGCGCAGCCGCACCGGCCCCATCCGCGTCCCCTTGTTGCCCACATACCGGGATCACCAGACTATCTGATGCTCTTGGCTGTCTTTTAACGATTGGGAACCCGGGTTGTGATATGCATGCTACCCACACTCTGCCTTCCACACCTCCTCGACATGGATTGCATTCCCGAAGCTTTTCTTGAATAGACTCAAGCTACCCCAACAAGTCTTAGTTATGCTTGATTTAGCTCGTTTTCACTCCTGCCAGATCAAGACTAGCCATGCTCATCGCAAACTACCCACTTTGACGAATAGGCGGAGACGTGTAATTTGTGACTTGCCATTGTGTGTGATTTCACCTTCTTGACATAGGAATTGCTCCGATCTGGCTTATCGTAGCCCTGTTGATGTTGACTGAGCAAACATCCGGTCATGATATTGACGGATAGGATAGAATGAATTGAGTATTTATACGGCTCAAGAATCGCCGAACAACACTCATGATGCACCTCTTTACTCGCCACTCCATTCATCTCTCATCCCTCAGGTCTCTCAGTCAAAATGGTTGCCAAGGCTCTCTCCGTCGCTCTTCTCGCTGGTGCCGCTTCGGCTACCTGCCCCCTCTCCATTGAGATCACCAACTCGGAGAACCACGTCGTCAACGTCGCCGTCACCAACACCGGCAGCGAGGCCGTCTCCGTCTTCAAGGGAAACACCGTCTTCAGCGACCATGCTACCCAGGACCTCTTGGTGACCGATGCCGGTACGTAGCATTCTGACAGAGAACCGGTCAACACACATCTCTTTGAAAACATGTATCTGACATAAGCAACAACAGAGGGCAAGGCTCTTCCTTTCGAGGGCATCTACGTCAACTACAAGCGCACCGGCCTCGACGCCAACCTCTTCCAGAAGATTGCCGCCGGCGAGACCGTCACCGTCCCCGTCAACGCCGCCAAGAGCTACAAGCTCGACGGCGTCGCCGAGGCAAAGGTCACCGCCATCCAGGGCTTCCGCTACGCCGTCGGCGACAGCATCCCCTCTTCCTTCAAGGACTTGGCCTCCTGCGCGGATGTCACCTCTGGTGAAGTCGAGGTCACCCCTGATCAGACCACCGCCGCCGCGTAAGTCCCATCCTCGCACACTCTCGCAGTGGATGACTATCCTCTTGCTGACACCGACGATTATGCAGGGACCACGTCTCGCGCAAGCGTGACGAGACCTTCAACTCTCGCATCCAGAAGCGTGCCATCACCTACTCGTCTTGCTCCACCTCGCAGACCTCGGCCCTGAAGACTTCCGTCTCCGACGCCATCTCCATGGCCAACGCCGCTTACACCGCTGCCGGTAACTCGGCCGACTACTTCACCACCTGGTAAGCCCACACTTTTCACTCCTGAGCCCAGAAAAAATCATCACTCCATAGTATCCGCGCGGGAGCCACTTGCTGACTCGACTCCCACCCTCCAACAGGTTCAAGTCGACCTCCGTCATCTCCAAGGTCCAGACAATCTACAAGGACGTCGCCGGCGTCCAAACGACCTCGCCCAAGATCTCCTGCTCGGACATCTACAGTGACTGCACCGACGGCTCCGCCCTCCTCTACACCGTCCCCTCGGACAACGTCATCGTCCCCTGCCCCAACAACGGCTTCTGGGACTTCCCCGAGCTCGCGTCAAAGTGCTCCGGCGACGACTACGACCGCGCCGGCAGCATCCTGCACGAGATGACCCATCTGTACGGCACCAACGACTACGCCTACGGCCCCAGCGCCGCCCAGGCCCTGTCCGCCACCAGAGCCGCCGCCAACGCCGACACCTACGAGATGTACGGCGAGAGCGTCCGCCTCGGTGGCTGCACCACCGGCTAAGTGTGTGTTTGTCGAATGACTTGCATATATACTAGTAGTTTGACAAGGGTGCTATTCCTTCCTAGCGGGATCGGCATCCTTCCTCCTTCAATGTCTATAATTCAGTTGGCGGTTCGGGTAGAGTGGGAACTACTGCGGAACGTTTATATACGTGGGGAGACCTGATCGGGGATGGCTTGTCGTAAGCTGAGTGCTAGAAGTAGCCTATGAAGTAACGGTTGAATTCCTGAAGTCTTGAGATTATCGCAAGTGACCGCTCACGTGTGAGAGACGTGCTTGGACGACTTGTCCGTCTTTTGTATACTTGGTTGAAATGTGCGTATTAGCGCTTGGGCGCCAAGAGGCTCCTGTACGCTTTTTGCTTAAACCCTATCCGTAGCTGTGCGTGCACCTACCGCTCTACAAAACTTTACTTGGACGTATCAAATGGGTGCACGCTTCCTCGTCCAGCGATTTAATGACGGCTCAAGTATGTATTTCGAGATTCGGTCCACCACGCGTGCACTATCGCGTAAATCTATCTCCAAGCCGACTCATGTAGCTTTTGACCTACCCAACAGCCTACTTTTTACGCGGGTTTGCTGGCGTGTATTGTCTTCAACCTTACATGGACTGTAACGTGTCAGTGACAAGGAGAAAGTCGAAACCATGCATGTTGAATTGGTGGACTGTGTTGTGTAGTTCGAATAGCCGCATTGCGTACAAACAAACACTCTTTGCTCAAACCTTATTTGGGTTCTTGTGCTCTCTTTCCGTATGATGTGCAATTCTAAAAAGACGACCCGAAATGACTTTCAATTGACTGCATGTGGATGTCTGGAAGGCAAGGGAAGCCGAACTCGGATGAACGGGGACCGTCCCGCTGGATCCTTCCTGAAATTAGACATGATCAACAAAGTCTCCAATTGTTCCTGCGTGAACAAAGCTTAGTAGATTAAACGCTCCATCTGTTAACCAGCATCCCAAGCTCTCAGCGAAGCCCAACTCGTATTTCATCCATGGCGACAAGTCAATATGCTGGTTCTTTGAGAGCACGATAGAAAACACCAAAATTTCCATCTGGTACCGCGAAATGGGAGCGTGGCATTGGTATTGATTCTCTCTCAACGGTCTCGCCAATGCGCGTATAAAAGCGGTCCAGGCGAACTTTCTCACAGCAAAGAATTAGAAAAAGAAGAAAAAAAAGCAAAGAAGCCATGTGCTCGCTGCAAACGTGACCCGGGTTCTTAGGATGCAACCAAGACCTGATAGTTATTAATATTTGACATCGTTCAGAATCAATATTTTCCAGCGACGACTTGGAGTACCCATAAATCAAATACCGAAACCTTCCATTTTCTGCGCCATAGCTCTTCTAATTTTGTCTTGGAGCCACTCGGGTCCATCCTGGGTGACATGGAATTACCTGGGGGAAAATCGCTTCGTCCTCGCAATTCACAAATACTCGGGGCTAATAGGACTAGACGTAATAGTGACTTACCCGTGAATCACATGGATTTTGACCGCCCGTAAAAATTTAATAAAATAAAAAGCCTTGCGTCAACACTTTCCGAGCAGTCGCGAAAAGTTGAAAACGAGAAACGATTCCGTGACCGTAGTCGGACAAGTAAGCTAGTCCCCAATATGCCCCGAAGAGAGGAAACTTCGTCTACTGTGCGTATGGGTCGCTGACTCAGCCTCACGGGGAAAAAAAGGAGAGAACGGCGCTCAGGGGCAAAGAGGGGCAGAGAGGGGCAGAAAAAGGTGCAATGCATGCCCTGTGGAAACGGCACTTTCTGGGGCCCCGGGGCACCGTTGGCGCGCGGCGTCGCGCCGGCCGACTGGGTGTTCGGTTTGAGGCTACCACGGCTACCAACGGTTGGTTGATGTACAACTAAACCGTCATGTTGGTTGAAAGTCACCTTTGACCCTTGACAATCAGTCAGTTGGCTGTTCTCGTTCCGATCCGAGCAGGAGCGCACAACCGTCGGTCGGCACCCCAGACCGGCGGCCACGCCATGTAACGCTGGCTGCAATGCACGGCACCAACAAATGAACATGCACGAAATGCTTTCACCCAGGGTTTCAGAATATCAAACCCCGGCTGTTCGCTCAACTACTCGCTGTAAGAAGAGCAGAACAGACTCCATGGCGGTACACTAAGAAACAGAGTTTTGGCCCCGAGGAACCGCTGTCTCCGGCGAAGGAGGAAACGAAACAGTGGGAGAGGAATGGGAGGCCGTCGATGACCGCGCTGCTGAAGGAGGGTTTGGCAGCTCACGGAGGACAGCTAGCGAACACGCATTTGCGAGAGAGGTTCGGAACCGAATGAGAGAGAAAAGGAAGAATGCCTTGGCCCGATGCCCCAAAACCAACCGACCAACCGACCATCCAACAGACAGGAACCAACGAAGCAACGCGTCCCGACCAGTCAGCTCCTCAGGGTTCCATCGCATAAGTAGAGTTTAACCACGCCAACCAATCCCCAGCATTTCCATGAGCGGACGGCAGGTCTTGTGAGGCATAACTCTGTAAAAATGGCCCGTCAGCCGCGCCTTTCGTGGCCACCCACTGCGCCATGCTTCCTCTCCCGCAAAGGCTAAAATTCCCAAGAGGGCCAAGAGGGAACACCCCAATCCCCAATGTGGCAGTCCTTTGCCCAGTCCGATCTCCTGCTGCTTGAATACAGTGCAGCAGCATCGCCCAGCTTTGTGCCGGGCGGCCCGGCGCAAGAGGCATCCTTGGAATTTGATGCTCCCCCCCCCCCTGAATGGAACTCAGGAAAACTTCCGTCGTTGTTGGGCCCGCCGGTCTAAGAATAGGGGGCTCGTGCAGGTACTCTGTACAGGGCTGCCGCCGCGCAGACGCAGACGCGCAAAAGATGAGCTCCCGTTTTGCCGCTCACGGCTCAGGGCTTAGGGATAAAGCATGCTCGGTTTCCATACTTGTTGGTACATGTCCACATGAACGACACACGTCGCAAGCCTGTCAGAAGAACCATACACAGCTTGATCAAGACGTTGAATACCAATCACTATGAAGAAAACCTGGACAACACGAGAAGTAACCCTCGACATCAGACCACGCCTTTGGGTTCACGGCACCTGGGTCATCCCTGCCGGCAGTGGTCGTCAGCCTCCCCTGCTCCGAGTCATTCGTACGCCTGTTTGCCGTTGACGTTGGTCCCGGCAGGCCCCAGAAAAGCAATTACTTTGCTTCGTCAACAAGGGGCTGTGGTAAACTCTATTGCAGTGGGAGGGGGGGTCCCTCAAGGTTGAACAGGATTCGCCGCGAAGCCCTTTCAGCTCGCACGACGTAAAGGTATTAATATAAACAAGAGGTCGTCCTTCCAACAGACGTCTGGTTGAAAAATCGTTAGCCTCGAGCTGATTACTTACCTTTCGACTTCACGACATTCTTTTGCTCTAGTTCGTTTCTCCTTCACACTGTTCTGATCATGTCATTCGCTCAACTTTCGCTCGCGGCCTTGCTGGCCGTGGGCGCTTCCGCCTCACCCTGCTCTGCGACGAACGTCAATACCTCTGGCGTCGTGGCCTCCGCCTACTTCGCGGGCTACCACGCGAACCGAGGGTTCCCCGTCTCCAAAATACCGTGGGAAAAGTATACCGACGTCAAGTATGCCTTTGCCGAGACGGCGGCGGACGGCAGCCTCAACCTCACAAAGTCCGCTCCCGATCAGCTTCCCGCCTTTGTCGCAGCCGCCAAGCAGCACGTATGTTGATAACCTCCAACACATCCAATACCCCACCCAAAAAAAAAACTAACACGTTCACAGAATGTAAAGGCCCTCGCCTCTGTCGGAGGCTGGAGTGGCAGCCGCTACTTCAGCACCGCCTTTGGCAGCCCCGAGAACAGAACCGCCTTTGTAAAGACCTGCCTCGACTTGGTCGAAAAATACAACCTCGACGGCCTCGACTTTGACGTCGAGTACCCGGCCCGCCAAGGCCTGGGCTGCAACACCATCAACGACAACGACACGGCAAACTTTGCCTCCTTCCTCACCGAGCTCCGCCAGAAGCAGAAGAAACAGCTCTACCTCACCGCCGCCACCAGCCTGACACCCTGGAACAACGCCCAGCTGGTCGCCAGCACCAACGGCACCCTCGCCCCCTTTGCCAACACCCTCGACTACCTCATGATCATGGGCTACGACATTTACGGCCCCTGGGCCGCGACCGGCGGTCCCAACGCGCCCCTCGCCATGGCCTGCGACGCGCGCAACACCCAGGGCGGCATCCAGGAGGGCGTCGCCAAGTGGATCGCCGCCGGGATCCCCGCCAACAAGCTCGTTCTCGCCGTGGCCGCCTACGGCCACGGGTTCTCGGTCAACGCTACCAGCGCCTTCACCTCGGCCGGTGTCCTCAACGCGTACCCTCCCCAGAACAGCACCCACCGCTTCCAGGGCGGCAGCTGGGACAATGACCCGGCCATTGACGAGTGCGGCGCCGCCTCGCCTCCTAGCGGGACCTACACCTTCTGGAGCATGATCAAGGAGGGCAAGTTCCTTGATGAGGAGGGCAAGCCGCTCAAAGGCATCGCTACCGGATACGACAAGTGCAGTCAGACTGTAAGGTTCTACCCTCTCTCTCCCCATTTCTCAATGTTTTACACTGAGGACAAGCACTAACATGATACATAGCCTTATCTCTACAATGAGACTGCTCAGGTCTGGGTTTCCTACGACGACGTCGAATCCCTGACGGCCAAGGGCAAATTTGTCACGTCCAACAAGCTGGCTGGCTTCGCCATCTGGGAGGCTGGTGGTGATTACAACAACATCCTCGTCAACGCCATTCGCTCGGCGGTGGGCTTGTAAAGGGAGAGTTTCTAGTTCAAGCGCGCATTGTTTAGATAAAAAGGTCTCAACGACACACGGTGTATTAACATCCACAGCATCATTCACTTTTCTTATATTGAAGATTCCCCATCAGTACTGGCCAATACCGATTTTCTTATCACTAGGACGCATTAGTTGTGAAATTAGTCTCTGTTGTGCTACTTCTGGCAGCTTCCAAGTCCCGAAACAAAGTACAACATAAACAAAGTTCAACCTTGGACTTGTGAAATTAGACCCTCCTTGATATAATACGTATGACAGGACCTATCGCTTTGAGCTATGGACCGAATCTCACTGAAGTAAATCGACCTGTCAAGAACTTTGTCGACACGAACCACTACATATCTCAAAACTTCCTTCCTATTCCCCCTTGGTATAATAATCTCCGGTTTCAGCTCATAGACGTGAAGCCTTTAAGGAGTCTTTTGTCTTGTACTCGATTGCTGACTTGTCGTTGGCGAAACAAAACATGGGTGTCAAAGGAGGAATTAGGCCTTTTTTTCTCGTCATTTCTGAGAAAGATTGACGAAATACAAATGAGATCCAGTCGCGCCAATAAACAACCTGCAACATCAGGAAGGAGGCAGTCTCATCGGGAAGGCTCCTTCCTCGAACGCTTCTTGCCTACCTGCCCAAAATGCCACATCAGTCGCAGTATTCCTGCCTGATCGAATGGAGAATAAAATCCTCTCTCTCCTTCCTCCAACAGGGCCACAAATTCCACCCACTCTCATCACGCTCATCACTCACATCAAAGTCTTGCAACTCATCCTTCTTCACTCGCAACGCAAATGCCCGAGACTAACAAAGTCAAATATTATTCTCACATCATCATCCACTTGAAATCAACTCAATCTACCCTCTTGCAGTAAGTCTCACGAGAGGCCAAAACCCATCTATCCTCATCTCTACAACTCATATCCTCACAAACGTTCACCAGAATCCCCCCTTCTCACCCACCACAAAGAAAAACCGCAACAATGCCTCCTAAAGCCGCCACCGAAGCCAGCAGCCACGGCCTCACCGACGGCGAACTCAAGCTCGCCCTCGCCATGATGAAGCACATTGACCGCCCCACCACCGACGTCCTCGAGAAGATGGCCTCCGAGGCCGGCCTCGCCAGCGCCTCCAGCGCCCGCACCCTTCTGGGCCGCGCCGCCACCAAGCACGGCTGGTTCAGCGGCGGCGTCAGCGCCACTGCTGGCGCCGAGGACGGTGGTACTCCCGCCGCTGCTGCTTCTACGCCCCGCCCCAAGAAGACTCCGACCCCACGCAAGAAGAAGATCTCCGAGGTCGAGGAGGCTGCCGAGGAGGAGGGCACGCCTACCAAGAAGCGAGGCCGCAAGACCAAGGCGCAGAAGGCTGCGGAGGAGGCTGCTGCCGCTGAAGCTGCTGCTGCTGCTACTGCCCAGGAGGCTGCTACCCAGGAGGATGAGGACATGCAGGAGGATGGCAACGACGATGATAAGGTCCCGGCTGTTGCTGCTGATGGTGACCAGGAGCAGACTGCCGAGCAGAAATAAGATGGTCCGCAGGCAAATTGGGGACAACACCATTTTCGTTGGATTCGGCAGAGAGTGGATGGCTGGATCGATGCTCTTTCTCTTTCTGGCTTCTGGATTGTTGATTCACCCTATGGCACGGAATTGGACTGCTCTCTAGCTGCGTGGGGATGGTTTATGGACTTGGGCATTACTTGGACTGAGGCAAGGGTCAGTTTTTGGGAAGATGATTCAGTACATGCCATTCTAGTATCGAGCACTGCTATACTCGCTTACTGAGTTGCTGGCTTTTCATGGCGCGGGATTGACATGAGGTACTATCGGAATCAAAACATCCCATCAGACTTTTGCAGTGTTGTATTTCTTCAACCGGGGGTTGCTGACTGTTCATGCCCTGTCGAGATCTGTACGGATTAGGGAATCTTTGTAAAAGTAAGAGGCATGACCTACAGCTCGTGGGACGCATCATGGTAATGAAATACGGCAGCTGGAGACCCTGTGCTGAGACTACACCCTCAATTTCAAACACACCCTCGATAAAAGAAATCTTGAGCCATGATCTTTCTGAACAAGGCCGGTGACCATGTGCTGAATGAACATCGCGTCTCTCATGGTGGGTGAACTCACAAATCTCAGAACAAAGTCATTGTCATCGATCCTCATTCCTGCGCCCGGAATTATTGCTAGCTTCATTCCTTGTCTCACGTCACAGGCTCTGCTATGCATTCACGTTCCCACTTTCTCCCAAACTATAATGTACTATCAGAAAGGGAAAAGAAGAAAACCCCATCAACGCGCAGTGACGCGCTTTGGCGTCTCCCGCGGAAGTCATGACATCATTCAGTCTCCAGCTTCAACGGCGTCTTCTAACTCGACCCCTTCCTCACCAGGACTTCGTTCCCGCAACCGACGGAATTCTCGCAATCGACGAATGATTCAAGAAACCACTCAGCGATTTACATTGACAGGAAGTACTCAAAAAAACTAGCGTATCAAAGCCGCAATGACTCCACGTAAAGAAACCCAAGCAAACAAATCGGAAAACGGAGCCGCTGGCGACACCGGCACCAAGCGCAAAGCCGCCGAGGCCTCGCAGTCCAACCCCACCAACGGCCAAGAGCCCGACACGAAAAAGACAAAGACGCAAGACGCAAACGCAGCGGTAGAGTGGCTCCTCAGCAAGGAGGCATTCTCCCTCGCCTTCCCAGCTCTCCCGCCAGGTCACGGAGAAATCGACTGGGACAAAGGGTCGCATCGCAAGGAACCGCCCCCCGAAAACGCCGGGAAACGCAAACCAGTCAACAAGACGGGCGATGACGATTCGAAAGAGAGCAATAGCGATAAAAATAACAACAACAACGACAACAACGAAGAGGATAATGACGATGATGAAGAGGCACCGCGTCTGACATATCCAGACTCCACCCTCACGCCGTTCCAGAACCTCGTCGCCGCCCTCCTCCTCAGCAAGCCCATCTCCCACCGCCTGGGCCTCAGGACGATCAACACACTGCTGAACCCGCCCTTTGGCCTTCGAACGCCGCGGGACCTCGACGAGGCTGGGTTCGAGGGCCGGCGGAAGGTCATGTGGGAGGCGAGGACGCAGCACAAGGAGAAGACTGCGGTGCAGCTTGGTGATTTGGTCGAGGGCGTGCGAAAGATTTGCAGTGAGGGTGAGGATGATGGTGGTCAGAAAGAGGAGGAACACGACGAAGACGACGACGACGAGGCGAAGGCAGCGAAGAAGGAAGAGGAAGAGAAGGAGGGTGACATTGAAAAGATGACGGCGCTGAGGCAGATGGTCAAGGGGATGAAACCAAAAGAGGCGCAAGAACAGGTTGAGAAGACGCTGACGGACGGGATCAAGGGTGTCGGACCGACGGGCGCTGGGATCTTTCTGCGGCGGGTGCAGGAGGAGTGGGAGGAGGTGTTTCCGTACGCTGACAAGAGGGCTGTCGAAGCTGCGGTTGAGTTTGGTGTTATTGGGGAGGGCGGAGGCGCAAGGGAGTTGGCGGACGCGGTTTCTGGGGATCGGGGCAAGTTTGTGAGGATGCTGGATGTGCTTGTTGGGATTCAACTGGAGAAGAAGATGGAGGAGGCGCTGAGGATGGTGAGGGGAGGTTGAAAATAGGGACTCAAGTCGTGGGGATGAGATTTGTTTTTGCCTCTTTTCGTTATTCGTTACCTAGCCAGAGCTATCTGAGTGATGGCCTCTGGATAAATCCAGCCTGAATGATTTCCCCTTTCCCTTTGACAATGTGTAAATTTTCTCAGATGCTGCTGTGTTTTTCTTTTATGCTCCCCATACCCCCATTCACCCCGTCCCTTTCTCGAATTGTTCCAGTACCCTAGTACCGCGGGTTTTCGCCGTATCCCTGGTTTTGTTCATAACTCTGGTTTCCGCTGTAGCCTTGGCTTCCTCCGTGGTCTTGATTTCCCCCATAACCCTGATTTCCTCCATAGTTCTGACCCTGGTTCTGGCCGTAGCTCTGGTTCTGCCCCTGACCCTGGTACTGATCAGAGTGATATTGCTGATACGATGAAGGTGGCTGGTTCTGATCGGGACGGTACTCTTGATGTGATTGCTGCTGCCCCTGCTGCTGGTAATGTTGCTCAGGTCGGTACTCCTGGCTCGGAGGAGGGTTATACGACTGCTGATGCGCACCCTGTCCACCATACTGCTGCGACGGGGGCGGTGCGTAGGTGCCCCCCGGAGCCTGGCCCGAATGATCCTCACCACCAAGCTGAGATCCCGCCGTCGGAGCACCGACACTGACGTTCTCGTTGCCAATGTCATCCGGCACGTTGATTTTGACCTTGGGAAGGTACTTTTGCACCTTTTGCTCGACAATGTTTTGCACAAACACCCAGCTCTCGCGCTCAAACTTGCGGTGGCCACCATTGACGACGCCCAGGATGCTCTCGCGCAGCGTCTCCTGCACCTTGCGAGCCAGGGCCCGGATCTTGTTCACCAGCTTGACCTTGATGTCGTCTCCGAACCCGCGGTCCGCGTGCCCGCCGGCGTCGCGATCGAGCTGGGCGTCAAAGGGGTTCCCGCCCAGGATCTTCTCCAGAGGCCGCTGGAAGGCGTCCGGCAACAGCTCGAAGAGCTGCTTCTCAATGGCACCCAGGATCTTGCGGAACTCTAGGCGGACCTCCCTGTGGACCTTGGCGAGACCCGTGCTTAGCTTGTCGCTAATAACCTTGGAGAAGCCGCCCCTCTCGCTCTCCCCTTCGCCATCGCGGTCACCGATGGCGCGGCTACCTCCATGCGAACTCTTCTTGTTCCCAAAGAGGCCCCCGAGCCCCTTGACCAGGTCCTTTACCTGGTCCTCAATCTCGCCTTTGACGCCGTCGCCGAGGTCCCGCGTGCTCGTGTTGTCGCGCAGCCAGCGCTTGATGTGCTCCAATGCAATCTTTGTAAACTGCTCCGCGATCCGCGCGTGCTGTTCCCGCAGCTTTATGCCAACCTTCTCCTTGATCTCGGGGCTGATGAGGCGGGCCTTCTCCTCGGGGTTCCGCGCGGCGTCCTTGACGGTGTTGCTGAGCACGCCGAGGAGGCCGTCGAGCTCGAAGCCCTGGCCACCGCCACCTGAGCTTTTGTTCTTGTCCAGGTGGTCCTGGACGACGTTGATGGCGGAGGAGAGAAAACCCTTGGCCCCGCTGAAGGAGTCGCTGTAGCTGATGCTTCGGGACTGTGTCTCGGGGCCGCCGCCGCCGCCACCTCCTCCCCTGGCCTCGTCGGTGAGGTTGAAAATGTCCCGGAGGTCATCGCCAGCTTCGTCCGTGATGACGCTGAAGCTGCGGGTGAGCTTGCCAATCTCGTCGGCGAAGGGCAGGGACTGGATGCCGTAGGCGTCTGGTGGTGTATCATTCAGCCCTCTCGAGCCATCACCGGAGGCCTTATCCTTGTTGAAGAGTGAACGAAAGGCGTCAACGACTTGATCCTCGAGGCTGTCGATGGTTCTCGTCTGGAAGGTATCGATCTCCGACGCGATGCGCGGTTGGATCTGTGGAGCGAGCGAGTCGACGTACTCGTCAACTCTTGTCATCAAGACATCGGGGAGGCCACGGGAGTTGGACATTGTTGTGGTCGTGAGTCAGTGATTTGCAGATGGTTAGCGTAGCTTTGGGAGGAGAGTCTAGGTACGAGGTGACCGTTGAGCTCTCAACTGGTGCTAGCTTGGGTGGATGGTCGGCGGCCGGTCCCGCTGGTGAGGTAGCCAGGATGAGCTGAGCTGAGCTGAGGGGTCGCGACTGCCCAGACGGCTGACGTCAGGTTCGGCACGGACCATCCGTGAGGGGTCGATTGTACGTACCTCTCACTCACGGAGCACTCACGGAGCTCTCACTCAAGCAATCTCTAGTCTACTCATCCATAAGTGATGCACGGTGGCTCAGTTATGTATGAAGAAACCAAAGCATGAGAGCGTGAGGCCCTGACCATGCGTTTTTCAATGCCCATTTCAAAGCTTGAAGTCCTGACTCACGACATTGCATTATTTTCATGACTTCGGTTCATCTCATTAGAACCTTTTCGCAACTCCCACCAACTCAATGCATACTTTGGTATAGACATATTGGATGACGATAATTCTAGTCATCAACCTTGTTCATATGAGGGAAGCTACTATCTTCAGCAGCACTTATAATTACACCATTGAGATGATTGAGATGACGGCAATAGCAATTGGGAGCCCTCACTTCAAGGTCGCGAGGATCAGCTTCTTGTAGTCTTCCACAGCACGCTCCAGATCCGACACAGTGATGCGCTCATCGGCCGAGTGGGCGACAAGAATAGTCCCAGGCCCATACAAGTAACGCTTGTGGGTGCCTTTTAGTTGAGGGACATCCGTGTAATAGTTCACCACGGTGGTGTTGAAACCTGTCTGCGTCAATGGCGATCCAGCACGGCACTCTCGTGGGCAAAGACGTACCTTCAACATCGTGGTCCAAGCTGATCGGCAGGCCTGAACCAGTGAACGTCAAAGTGACATATTCCGGCGTAACCTCCGCGACCGCCTTCTGCAAAACGTCTTGGATGCTCTTCAAGTCCGCCGTCGCCGCTCGAATGGACGCCCTCCCCGACGCGCTCTCCGGAATCACGTTCGGCGCGATCCCGCCCTCGATCAAGCCCACATTCAACGTGGTATTCCCAAACTCCTCCGTCCAAGGCAGCGCCGTATTCTCAATCTTATCCAGCGCGCGAACGAGCAGATCAATGGCGTTCCGCCCGTACGCGGGATACCCAGAATGCCCCGCGACCCCGTCGGCCGTGATATTGAACGCCAGCACGCCCTTGTGCGCCCGAACGAGGGTATTCTCCGTCGGCTCGCCAAAAATGACAGACTCCCACGTCAAGCCGAGGTCATTCGCGATCCTCATGCCGTCGCCCCCGGATTCCTCGCCGACGACGTACAGCAGAGCGACGTCACCCTCGCCAATCTCGCCGCTCTCGAGGAGCGATTCCACGGCGATGACCTGCGCCGCGACGCTGCCCTTTGCATCGGAAGCGCCGCGGCCCCGGATCTCATCGTCGGTGCGGGAGTAGGGAAAGTAAGGCGGCACGGTGTCGATGTGTGATGTGAGGAGGACGCGGGCCTCGCGGGCGGTACCGGGGTAGGCAAAGACGTTTTGGCGGGTTCCTTGGACTGTCTGGAGCTCTACTGTAAAGTTTGTCTCGAGGTAGGTCTTGAGTGCTTGAGTTCCGAGGGCCTCGGATTTGGTTGTCGAGTCGGCTTCGATGAGGGTCTTGTGAAGGGTGAGGAGGGATTCGGTGTAAGATGCGGCCCATGCTAACGAGGCGGCGAGAACACAGGTAAGCGCCGCCGAGGGAAGAGACTTCATTTTGCGGAATTCTTCACATTCGATACGCTCAGCAGCTGCTCGTGGGCGGTGTCGCACAAGTCTTTGTGTGCGGGAATGCGTTCGGATACGTCCCCAATCCCGCCAGTAAATAGGAGCGTTGGACTGCTTTTACCATTCATGGTCTGTATTGCGCCAGAACGTTTTTGTGGAGACCGATTGTTCCCGGTCATGTCGAGATGCACAACGATAACAGAGAGGGAGAGCCTGTGTTCCCTCGAGAGGGGGGTTGGTGCTGCGCCAAGGCGATAGACTGGTGTGCCGATGCAACAGATGTTGGAATCGGGCGGTCATTAAATTGTGCATATATTGCGCAAATCGACGAGTTGCGACAAGAAGAGGAGGATATATATACAGACGCTCACCTGTGACCCATTCTCGCATGCACAGTTGGTACATTCGAAGCTTTTGGTCAATGACTTGCCGCCTTCGGTCGGGTGCCCACGATGCGGGGTTGCCCATGGGGACCCGGCCGAGTCTCCCCAAGAGCTATGGGCACCGGGAGCCAAGCCGAGGATAACGGAGCCCAGGGGGCCGACCCAATGCAATGGGCTGAATCAAAATGATCAAGTATCACATCTACAAAGATCAACCTTTGACATTTCCCCGTAGACCCGCTAAGACTCGGTCACAGAGCGGGTTTCGGGGTTCGGGGAGCCAAGGGACGTAGTGGCCCCCTCGCTGTCTCTTAGCATATCCGTGGGTAACTGGGTTGGATTATCCTGAGGTTCAGAATCTTGGGAAAAGACGCCTTCTCCTCGATCGGACTTTGATCAGAATGGATTGCCATCTTACGGCATTCCCTTGCTGTATCCAGCTTAGAGGGCTCGTCTCGCCAACATGGCTCTATTTCTAAGCAGCTGAAACCCCCGGTGACTAATACTGAGTGCCTGTGCGCCCCGGCGTTCACAGATAGTTCCATATTACCTTACCTCACATGCCCAACTTCTTTGTCCGTGGAGTCAACTTCATGGGACAGATGCAATGCAGTGAGATTGTACCGAGTCTCAATGTTTATAAGCGCAATCGGCCCGTAACTTGGCCAACTATTACTTTGCGTCGTCCATGGCGTCTAGTTGCTCGTCTACGCAATTTCTCAGCAACTTAAACGCAACGTAAGGTATGTTACTAATCTCACGTGGTGTTTCGACATCTCGTCATATTAAAATCATCCTCCCCCTCCATCCATCTCGATCACACCAGCCTGAGAAACAATTTCAACATCACCATCTTTCATCGTCAATCTCAAGAATAGCTCCTCGGAGTATTCACTACCAGAATATATCACGCACAATAAAGATGGCTGGCACCATTCGAGCTCTCGTCACCCAGGGTGACAAGACCGCCAAAGTCCAAGAGGTGATTACATGATGTCATCCCGAACCCTAACTGTTCTCTCCTCTTTGCTCACCATCAACCCAGGTCCCCAAACCTCAGCCCGGTCCCGGCGAGATCCTCGTCAAGATCTCCGCCGTAGCCCAGAACCCAACCGACTGGAAGGCCACGTCCGTCGCCCCCGCCGGCCGCACCGTCGGCTGCGACTTTGCAGGCGCCGTCGCCGACGCCAACGGCTCATCCCTGAAGGAAGGCCAGCGCGTCGCGGGCTTCGTCATGGGAACCTCCGACGACCCGCCCCGCGGCGTCTTTGCGCAGTACGCCGTCATCGAGAGCAGCCTCGTCTTCCCCGTCCCCGAGTCCGTGACCGGCTCCCAGGCCGCCGTCATTCCCTTGGCCTTTGCCACGGCCGTACAGGCGCTATTCCAGCGTCTGGGACTACCCGAGCCGACGAGCCCGGCCAAGGAGGCGGTCCCCGTGTTGATTAATGGCGGGACTGGTAGTGTCGGCTTGTATGCAGTCCAGCTGGCGAAGAAGGCTGGGTTGTACGTCATCACCACGGGCGGCAAGAAGAATCATGCCCTCTTGAAGAGCCTCGGCGCGGATATCACGATCGACTACCGGGACACCGACTGGATCGACCAGGTCAAGACGGCCGCGAAGAATAACCTCAAGTACGTCTTTGACGCCATCAGCGAGGTCGAAACCACAAAGGCCGTCGCGACGGCGCTGTCGCCCGCCGGTGGCCACGTCGTCTGCATTCTGCCCCGCAATGCGAAGGAGGTTGGTGCTCCCGAGGGAGTAAAGGTCGAGAGCACGCTAGTATACACAGTCTTTGGAAGGGCCCTCACATATGGCAACTTTGACAACATTGACGGGGAGAAGCCAGAGGATAAGAAGTTCTGGGAGAAGTATCTGGGACTTTTGCCCGAGTGGTTGGAGGATGGAACCATCAAGCCGAACCCTCAAAAGGAGTTTGGTGGTCTGGATGATATCAACAAGGGCTTTGAGTTGCAGGCCAAGGGAGGGGTGAGTGCCGAGAAGCTGGTTTATAAGATTGTTTAGGCACAATGGAAAGATGGTGACTTTTTGTCTCTTGGAGTCATTCAGTCAGCCCAACCTTACAATGAGATGAGGATTTTCTTCCACTCATGGCTAAGCTGTGAATATTGACACGTGATGGCATAATCAGATGAATACAACGCAAATACTACTTCACCACTGCGCCTTTTTTTTTTTAATTCTTGCTCTTCACTTGGGTAGCTCTTGCCCTCAAAAGATTTCATGTACGCCTGCTTTGAAACTACAGTTTTCCCTTTTCACCTCGAGCCTTTGACTTCAAACATCTCACCTCTTCTCTCCATCCATCCTCTCAACTACATCCATCCTCTCGCCTTTGCCCTTTTACATCACCCATATCACAGTAACCCTTTTCCTTCCATCCTCTTCCCTTTATCCATCGCATCCCCAATCTTTCCATCACAAGCAAAGACGACTCAAGCCGACCTCAAAGTAAGAAATCACCGCCCGCCCGCTCTGACCCAAAGCTCATTCATCTACTAACGACCTCATCCCTAAAGCATGTCTTCATCCAACGCTCAGTCCATGTGGGAGCCGCTGGTCACCTTCACTGTCCAGCTTGCCCCGGTTGAGCAATACTCAATGGAGCTGAAGGGCGGTGAGAGCGGCCGTGGTTGGGCTCTTCACAATCCTGAGACTTATGCGAGCTGCTCCAATAAGGAGGAGCGGCATGAGACAGAGCAGTGCCTGGCGTGTAGCAATCCTTCCACCCGGAAGTATCGCTGCCCTTGCAAAGCCGCCAGGTATTGCTCTGCTGAGTGTCAAGCTGCAGACGACCTACACCCTCGCCTCTGTTTGGGCCGCCAGGCCGCCAAGGCTGTTCCTTCCCATGGGCTGGCGCTCGAGCAACGCCCCTCAAACAACCATTATGTGGCTGCCATCCTCCCGACGGATGATCTCGTCCCAAGGTTTATCTGGCTTGGGATCCATATGAATCCGAAGACCGGACAGATGACCTTCGCCACCGATCGGATGGATTTTGCCAAGTCTGATGGCAAGTCTGATGACAAGTCGAGCAACCCAAGCATCATCCACATCGGCCTCAACGCGTTGGACACCCCCATGAAGAAAGAGCTTGGCCACGGCGTTGATCTCCTTAAGTTTGGCCCACATAATGACACTACCACTCGGAACCTTAACAAATGCCTCCTCAGTTTCGGCAAGCCGGGCTTTGTGGCCTGCCACTTTGGCCTCAACATTGTGTGGGCCTACGATATCGACGCGAATGGGGCTTTCAAGTCTCCAAGGGACGTGAGCGTTCGCGACATCCGCCACGCAATTGACTGTCACGTGCTCAATGCATCCAACCCAGCCATCTCCCAGCCCAACCGCTTCATTCTTGCGGGAGGGATGATTCGGGCACTGAAGGTCAACGATTTATCGGATAAATGGATGGAGGCTCTCGGAGTGAGCCAACAGGTGGAGAAAGTGATGATCCCCAAAGAGCACGAGTCTTTCGAGGCCTACCCCGTCAGCCGCCTCTTCCACCTGGGCCTTCGATGGTACATACGCACCGCCATCCCTATCGGCACCCAACCCACTGGTGAGATCCATGAAGATCACGAAGAATTGTTGGATGTCTTCCGAGAGACGGTTATGATGGTCGCCTAGGAGAGACCACAGCATACCGTACCTCTCGGGAGACAATGGCAGGTCAGCAAGCTGAAGCACCCGTCGAGCTTCCATCTCCTGCAAGTCTGCGGCAATCAGATCGAATCAGCCCATCTGAATGCCCTTCTCGAGTACTTGAGGCTGGCCAAGGCTTCCAATACTCCTGCTTCTGAGAATGGATTTCGGAAATACTGGGAATATTTCAAAAGGAAGGAGACTGATAAAGGCCACCCGCTCGATGGCATCCCGTCGCCCTACGATCTTGAAAACGGCCGTGCGCACGATGCGAATTCTGCCGTCCTTGTCAATATGCTTCAGGCATTCAAGTCGTACGAGAAGTTTCTGGAGAACGTCACCGACGCAGATGACCACGTGGAGGGTGGCCTCAACAAGCCGAAAGCCGAACTCACAGGCCTGCCCGCTCAGCAGATTATCGAGAAGCTGTCTGGTATTCCTACCGATCAGACTTAGACGACCGCGATGGATTGCATTCCCTATAGTAAGTGCAGTCCAACCTCTTTCTCGGATGAAAAGACTCTGACAGTTGAGAACAGGGCAGCATCCGACCGATTCGAGATTCTAGCGAGATGGTAGAGGAAGCTTCCTGGGGTGAATAAAAGTAGTTCGAGGTCGGAGGAAGACAGTTGAGCAGGGGCAGAAGTCAGAGAGCCGAGATATACCTTCGCAAGACCATAATTAAGGCTCCCTTGCTGTCATTGGACTCGTCCGTGATTATAGCCATTCTCTTCAACGTCGAGTTGCCTGAAGTGCGGTAGACAATTTACAGCGTACCCTCAGGCTCTATATGTGTTCTTGAGCTTCAGAAATCGAGGGTGATCTCTCGGTTTTGATCCCAGAATCTCGCCATCCAGTCCTCTTCGAAGGATCCCATGGCTGCATGTGCTCTCCCTAGTCGTAAGTCCAGACAATCCATCCGGTACCAGCAATCCCATGAAGCCAGCATGCTCATCGTCCACCAGAACCCTTTCAAAGCCCGTTTCCCGCAAGTTTTGTGGCTCCTCCTCAATAATCCCACCCCCACCAATCTGAAAAGTCTCATCGCGTGTCTGGATCTTTGACTCGGCTTCTTCAACCAGTCTAACCAAAGTCGTCCCATCATAATGTTTGGCATCGAGTATGGCCGCGTCGCCACGCCAGTGGAAGAGCAAACTTCCCTTCCCAGAGCAGGATGGACCTCGATGAGCTTCACCTCAAAATTCGGGATCAGAATCCCTGCGTAGACGTCTGGAACGCAGCTTTTGAAGTCTGGGTCGGGACAAATGTACGAAAGGAGCTGAAGGGTTTCAGATATCAGCCTCTCCAGCATCTCATCCATGATGACGGCGTAATTCGGCCTAAGTGTGGCTGATGGAGACGATGGAACCGTCTTTCACGAAGCATCACCCTTCGCGCAGGCGATTGAATTGGGTATAGTATGGGAAGAAATAGAGCTGAATGTATGAGGATTTTTCGACATATTCTAAGTGGTGAAACAAGCTGAGAAGTGCTGTGATGGTTCTTTGCAGCGACTCAATCGATCGAAATATCCAGCTAACGTGTTCTTCCAAAGACCTCGAGTCCTCTTTTGCATCTCTACTGCCAATATATTCAAGGCTTGATTCTTCGCAACTTCAACCTTGCCCTAATTTAGGCCTGCCGCAATCTGGAAATGCCGGCGAACCTTGCCTTTGGGAAGAGGATGAATCACAGGAGGCGGACTCAGCATGCGCTCCTAGATTCGCGGTGTCATCCAGCGGCCCATTTTGAATGGCGAGAATCCTCGCTCTCTTCGATATAGAGGCGAAGTAATCAGGTAGCCGGTCTGTTCGAGCCATAGCGCCGAGGTGTCGTGGATATAGGCGTTTAGTCGAGCTGACGGCGATATGTTTAAGGGGCGTCGCTGGATCACGACGCGGGCTGTTTCGCGGGGTCATGCTTTCGATTCACGGCGATTCCAAATAATGGAGTTCGGAAAAGTGTTGCAGGACTTGCTTTGTTAATGTTTGGTCATCATTCTACATGGTAGAAGAATGAGGATGAGCTCACGCCCTGAGAGGTCGCAGAGATCTGAAGGATTGGGGGGTTACGGAGCTAAGGTACACGTGCCGATGACCCTACCAGATTGCAAGAAATCCAATCTATTTTCGCTGTAGAGGTAGGTGTAGATCAATGCACCCCTTCGATCTTCGATCTTCGATCAAGCTGTATAACAAGGAAACGTTGAGGGGATTGACCCTTTGACGACGTTTCTGGCCGAATATTCAAAACAGCAATTCTCCATCACGTTCGTCTCAGGACGCTGGAGGCGCCGGAACCCTAAACCTGCCACTCTGAATATCCTCCTGAGCCTTCAGACTCAAGTTGACAATCTCAATAATGATGTGCTGCCGCTCCGCCTCCATATGCTCTTCCGAGATGCCGCTCCCATACCACACCGAGGCATAAATATCAACATACCTGGCCCCGGCCACATTGACATCGCGAGCAGCAATCTGCAAAACCCCAAAGTTGGTGTCCTTGTCGTCAACGAGATTCTTATCGCCACACGCCTTGAGCCGGAACTCGGGCAGCGGCCGGACCATCGGTCTCTGCGCACAGGTCCGGGCGCTATAGTTGGGAATACTAAAGTTGGTCAACACGCCGCCCCAGCCCTCGAGGATCCGCGAGGTCGCCGCCGCGCCGGCGCCGCCTCCCGACTGACTCGAATTCTTAAAGTAGTGCTCCGCGTTGCCGCGGTTGTTGGCGGCGTCGGCAAAGGGCGACGCGGACCACGTGGAAAACGCCCACGCGTTGACGTTGGGAAGGGGCACGAGAGCGCGGCACTCGACTGCTTTCCATGTCGCGGGGTCGTGCAACGTGGAGTTGAAGTTGATGTCGTACCAGAAACGTTTGGCATCCTCAATGTCCTCGGAGAAGATTTCGAGGAAGGCCTGGTCGCCGAGTGCGGACTTTCGCTGGACGAGGATGTCCATGCATCGGGAGGCTGGGGTCGGCAGTGGAACCTGTCTGGCGGGTGCGTGTGTTCGCTCGTCGAGGAGTCTCAGGACATAGTGGCATCGCTCGATCTCGAAGTCGGTCTTCTTTCCCAGGGTCATTGGTCCGGACAGGATGTATGGATATCCGTTGAACTCCTCGGTCCAGTTGCCGAATTTGGGCCAAGGCGTGCTTTGCGCGGCAGCCAGTGCGGCGAGGGTCGCGACGAGGATGAGCAACATGATGAGATTGGGAGAGAAGGATGGGATGAAGATTGCTGTATCGACCAAACGCATCAGTCCTCGAATAGAGGCGAGGCCTCTTATGACACTGCGTGGCCGTGAGCGCTTATATCGACGCCGTAAAGCGTCCAATTAGCACCCATACCTGCCTCGGCTTTCATGACCATCTTGTACTGCTGTGCTCATGAACAAGAAAAAAGGCAAACTCTGTCAAAGCGGGTGTTGGCAGTTCCACTTTGGACGTCTTTCTTCCCATCAAAGACGTTGCCAGTCCATCCGGTGGTCCCACCAACCCAGGCCATTGAAGAAAAGCAGCCAATCTCACCGGTGCTGCCCCCGTACCGCTTGATGAATGCTGATGATGGAGTGCGGGGGTGCAATATACAGGACTTGAGACAAGCATATGATTGTCGAGGCCAAGGGACAGATGCTTGAAAATTGGAGCAGGGCCGATTCGCGAACTGGACGATAAAGTCCATGTTTCACCACCGACCCGGTTGGTGTTACTGTGTCCTACGACATAAACCTGTCTCTAAAACGACTCTTACATCCGGAATAATACCTACCTCAACGTGGATCAATATAGAATGGATGCTTATTCTCGGTCTGAGGTTTTGCACTTTGGGCTTTGATGTCGTTGAGCTCAACATCAAGTGATCCGTACGAGCAAACAAAATGTGCCATGAGCTACTCGAAAAATTTTGAGGATACCAAGCAGACCAGTATTCATCGTGAATAGGCGACGCAGGTTCGTTCTTGTACGAGGATATTTCCAACCCCACCTCTTGTCTGTTGTGTTTCGGCATTCTGTCCCTAATACAGATCTCATCTGGCGCATGCATCTTAGAATCAAATATACTGGAATGAGGTGACTCCGATCATCAGCTAAAGACACAGATGGGACGGCAAGATAGCATATTTGCTTCGCTAGGTACTTCTGGAATGCCCTTGCCCATCCAGGGCACTTTGAGCGCCCCAAATGCCACCTCGAGGCTTGAAAATTTCCATGGCGCCATCAGTCGGACTGCGCTTGCCAATTATATTGCTGATTTTCTTGGTCCTCCGGCCTCTGGCCAAAGCAAAAGACCCAATAGTAGAACAGCCTCATCCCAATCATCCATAAAACGCAAGGTAGATCCCAGAAGTCTCTCATGAAACCTCCCCCTGTTCTGCTAAGCGCCCAAAAGTCTCTCCCCTAAATCCCCTGGTCGTTCATGTACATGTAGGCCTGACTTCGGTATATCTACTTGCCACGTTTGAGCAGAATATTAGCTTCACTTCCGGATTATCGGTGTCTGTCTCCCATCACCAGAAGCCAAATGATACTTGGGACGGCTTTGTTACTACCGATTGTGATACTCATATTTGACCCGTCATCCTCAGCTCTATGAACAATCGTGAGACCTGTGAATGAATGCATTCTGTGACTTTGACATCTCTTAATTCTTCGTTGAAGTACATCCTATGTTTTTCCGACTTTTTGGAACGCTAGTTCGGAGCAGTCACCACGTAGCAAGGTAAAGTACAGAAACTACGGCACTCGATGAAGGCTTACCCACCGTTCAGGTCTGACTGTTATCACTTGTTCGCACTGTTGAGCTCTTCCTCAGGTACAGGCTCTATATGCATGTGATATCGAGACCACGACAAAGGTGATGGAAAAAACCATTCGCATACATGATCTCATAAAAACTATTCAATTCTCACAATTTCAAATCTGCCCACGATCAACAAGTCGAGGCGAGCTTGCAGACGCCTTTCAAGTCATGACTTCTCCAACTCTTTCGCTTTTCCATCGTCACTTCTCACACCGCGCTAAGCCATGTCGCTAATGCCAAGCAAGACCTCCCCGATGAATTTTTACCTCCAATTCGTAGCGTGCAGTCCGCCACCGGCACGACGCACATATCGGCATCGAGATCAGCTCATAAAAAGACGGTGACACGGGCCTTTCGTGTATCAAATGACCCCTATTATTCTCTCTCCAATAAGGTGTAACAGCTGATTGGGCCCTGCTTTGACCATCTCACCGACTCCACGTCTTCGGGTTCTGGTTCGGTGGCCTCAAACGGCAACATCGGCGCGCCACATTTTACGAGGAAAGGCATCAAGGACAATGGAAAAGCAATTTGAAGCACTAGAAGGAATACTCATCGTCGCCGACCAAAGTATTGCTTCGGCGCTTCTAAGCCATTTGATGTCTCGGAACATTTGTAAGGAAACTGTTCCAGGGTTCGACCACGTTTTATGCTCGGCATACCAATCCTTTCGGGGAGATGCAGGTAGGTGCCGAGCGTGATAAGGACATGGATTCTCGGAGAACTCGAGGTAGCCAAAGTTCTAGACCGCTCTAAAGGTCGTCATTATGATGTGACCTATCTCTACGTACAGAGGCGGTAAATCCTTTTTGCGACAGTTCTCCAAGACACCAGATTACAGTGACCATTGACATCCACGACAGCATGGGAATCTCGGGCCTGGGCAAGGCACCTGAATTATCGCACCAATGACTCTACATGTTTTCGTTAGTCCACATGAAGACAGCCATCGGTTCGAAATCTCTAGCACTTTTGAAAACGAGCACGCATCCTAATCTTTGAAGAAATTCGTCTGGCGCCGTGCTGCAAAATGTGGCGCATTTCAAAGACGTGTGAATTATGATAGAAATTTGGATATCGCAGCCTATCATTTCTTCGAAGTTAAATTAAAGGCCCCTTCACGAACTTGACCACATATGTCAGATGTGGTAAGATCTTCTCGAAACTTTGCGAGTGCAGAACTTGAGTCAGTAACATCGCAGGATTGAGATACTTGCATTCCATGAAGCATGTGTTTTGGCGTCTGCCACATCGAACTAGCGGTAAACCGATCCCGCGAATCAGCATACTGAGGATAGCACCGAGACACCGTTTGCGATCATCGTCAAACTAGTGGACCGGCTTACATATAAAGGGTATTCAGCCCAGACCGCACCATCGCCTCCTTTGTCCACCAAGCGCTGATAAAACATTGCCAATTGCCTGCTATCAACATAATTCATCACTTCTTGTCAACATCAATACAACTGTTGATACCGAAGCTACGATGGGTACCCAAACGTTTGGGACGGCCGTCTACTCTCTCGAGATACCGAGCATTTACTTCGGGGTTACCATTGGTCTCGTGATCCTCATTACCGTGAAAGCTTGCCAGCAAACAATTTTGATCTACATGAGAACGAGTTCAATCTTCAACATCTACGTGTGGATGTGAGTCTTCCTGCGTTGACACTCAATACGTTGCAGCGACCTAGAATGATAACATTCGCAAGGATCTGGGTCTTACTCATTGCCAATCTTCTCCAGGCCATCATCAACTGGCTCTTCATCCGCGGTGATTTGGCGGGAACGTAAGAAAGCAATAGTGTCTCGCAATGAGAGAAACGAAATTGCTAATTCATTGCATCAGCTTTGGCTTCTTCTTCGGGAGCTGCATTTTGTGGACACTACAGACGCAACTAGCCCTTCAAATTATTGCCAACCGACTGAGTCTCATCATGGTTGACAAGAGAAGGGTAACCATCATGAAGATATCTCTGCTCATTGTGGTCGGCATCATCAATATCTCGGTTGCCTGCATATGGATCCCGGCGCGTCTCACACAGGCAGAACACATGGTGCGAATCAACGAGATCTGGGATCGCATGGAGAAGATCATTTACCTCTTGATCGATCTTACTCTGAACTCAATCTTCCTCCGTAAAGTTCATCGGGAACTGATTGCCGGAGGCTTGACCAAGTACCGGCTGCTATTCAATTGCAATATCGTCGCGGTCTCTATTTCTTTATCTATGGATGTATGATGTGATTCCCAATTCTCGCGCATCTCATGACACCCCGCTGACAAGTATTCCAGATTCTCATCATTGTTATGATGTCACTTCCAAATCCCTTTCTTTACGCCATCACTCATCCTGTAGCATACAGTGTCAAACTCGTCATTGAGATGATGATGGCTGATCTGATATCGACTATTGCGCGAACACCACACCAGCTTCACAGTCTTTCGGGACTTTCGCAGGCATAGTGTGGAGATGATGGTGATGCCAAAGGATCTGTTGATGGAGAAAATTATCATACTTACAGAAGAACCAGATGATGTCTTCGAGATTGTGAAGGGTCAGAGGTCGTTGATGTTTGCATTCCTGATACTCGTGCACGTACCACTAGCGTCAATATTCATATTCTTCATTCTTCTACTGCATCGTTGATGGTTTTTCGTTCACGGTATTTTCAATGTGGCTATAGTGTAACCGGAATGATCCCAGTGACTTCGAAGACAGAGACGCTGCGGTGACGTTGCGGCCAGCCTTGACCTCCTCAACGATCTTCTTTAACGCAAAGCTGGTCACATCTCCGGCGGCGCTGTCTTGTGTTACCGGTGATGGGGTAGCTGAGCGGGCGATCATCATTATAGACAAGGACAAGCGTACCGCGTCCACCAATAAGAGCCAAATTCTCTTGCTGCGTGTGGATGTCACACAGCAGATCGGCACTGCGTTTCATGAGTACAATCTTTGTTGTGAAATCTCTGGAACTCGGTCCAAGCTGTTCGCATGCGTCTATGGTGGCGCTGGTGGCGCTGGTGTCGAGAGAAAAAGGGACTACAGGCAAGTCAACGAAGTGGCCGGGCAAGGGTCGTAGCGGACGGGAGCAATGGACCCTTTTCTCACCGTCTCGTCGTTGCCGCCACTAACTCTGGAGAAAGTGACGTCGAACGGGAACGCAGGGAGCTTTGACTCGGGAGCAACTCCGGATCTGCTGCCGGCAAGCTGCTCAGGTTGAAGCGAGTGTTAGACAAATTTCCTGACTTACCCAACACCCTTCGCCGCAATGAATACTGCAGCATGAGAAACCGCGGCCTTACTGATCGAGGGCATCCTCATCAGGTTCATTTCGGCCCTCGTAGAGGGGCTCGTAGGGCCAGGCTGAACGGTGTCTCGGTCAGTGAATCGGGAGGAACTAAAGAAAACGCCACTTACATCCGTCGCCGGTAAAAGCATAGCCTCGGCAACTTTGAATCCCAGCTCGAAGCCGCTGCCGACCTGAGGAAAGCAACGCTAGTAAAAGCACTGACTGAAATTGCGATGCTTGTCTGGGGATAGTTACATCGGGGTGCCACCAGTATTACCAACAACGCCAGCTTTGGCGCCCTTTCCAAATATGCCCTGCGCATGCAACTTGGCAACGCCAGTGGCGTTGTGCGAGGAGTACGGCTCATTCTCGCCTTCGACTACACGCTTGCTCTCTACGGCGTCGAGCTTTATGGCCACGTTGAGCCAGACGCTCAGGACATCCGGGAGACTTGACAAAGAGTCGATATTGTGGCTCTACATCTCTATGCTTGCGTCTACAAGGATTTTGTTGTTGTAGATCTCGATGCTTTTCACACCGTGAGTCTACGCGAATCCATCTCGACGCCGATTCCTTCCCTAAGACTGCAGGTCAATGGGCGATACCCATACGAGAATCATTCCAAGTCCGCTCACTAGCGCAAAGTCAAAAATGTAGCTCTTCGAGATTCGTCGATCGTTGTCTCTGAACTTGAAATTTTGACGACTTTTCAGCGCGAGGATACTACCGGCTTCGGCAAATGGAAGGGCAAGGGCGAAAGAGAACAGCCACATTATCATCCAGATGCCGGCCAGTGGACTCGAAAGAGGACAAGAGCTCGGTCCTTTCCGCACTGCGTCGACAGGCCCATTCTGCTCAGTGATGAAGTACTTGAGAAGTACTTGAGCTGCAATGCTTGAAGAGATTGCTGCCGTTGAAGGTTCCGACGCGCAGGGGAGCAGCTCAATCGCCGTGCCGGAGCTCATTTGAGCCGGCGGGTTTCTCTGAGGGACTCGACTAAAGAATGCAGCAACACATGCGGACGCAAGGTGAAGAGGCAGAGTCGAAGCCGGCGCTGGTGATGATCCCGCCATTGGCACAAGTCCTCCCACCCGCCGATCATGTCACTCGTGCCCTTTCAATCAATATAAGCTACCTTCTACCCATTTTGTATGCCCATTGCTGGGTTCTCTCACCGATGATGATTACCCACACGGCATTCCGTCCAAATTTTCATTCTTGACCGCTCCCATCAATCACGCTATATGCTGCTTTTCAAACTTACACGATAGAAAAATTAGTCTCAGGCGTGTCGCAGATTCTACGGGAAAAGTCAATTACGCAAAGAAATGGCCTGAATTGAGAGGCGGCCGACCGTGACGGCATCCCGCATCCGCCCGGTCGGGATTGCTTCGAAAATAAAAAGGTGGAGATCCCGAACGCAGGATTCGGCAAAAAGCCGACCGCTGGTCCGGACCCCGATAGGAACCCGGAAAGTCGGGCCGAAGCATTTGCCATAATCGCGACCGGCCGGGCAGCGATAAGGTCCCGTGAGCTGTGGTCATCCAGCGGGCGCAGTACACGTGTGAAAGGAAACAAGTTTGACTTTTTGACGGCGCGTGTGCGACATCACCCGCGGTAAGACCTTTTTTTTCATTAAAAATGTATTATTTCCCGGAAGCTTAATCAGCGTTCGCATTGGACTCTGGATGGCCAATGCTACCCCGTCAGCAGGGGTAAATGACTCGGCTTTTGAAAGGATCAGCGCTGTGCGGTCAGCGTGACTTGATATAACTTCATCTAAGAGTGAAATGGGTTGAAATCATGGGAACAAGTTAAAGATGCTCTGCCCAAAGGTGTGAGGCAGCGGTGATGTATATGAATTTCAGCGAGCAATGTGAGATTGCAGTGGGCAGTTTCACACCAAGGCACCCCCCCACCGGATACGCGTCCCATTTAGGGTGCTTGAAAGGGGCAGGTCGATGACATCAACCCCAGTAGATCCACCAGACGCAGGACCCTTCGCTCTGGAGGCACCGGATGCTATTTGCGTGCCCTTTCAGCTCCCTGGACGGATGCATGCGGCGTGCCCAACAGAATTTCAACTTGATGATAAATGGGGTATCTGACCAAGCTTTGCTGGAGAGAAGTTGGCACGTACCTTGCACGTGCCGCGCGAGCCAGCCCTCAATCAGGCGCGAGAATAATTCCGCCAACACCAGTCACCAGGGTAATTGAATGACCGAATCAGTTTACCTGATTTGACCGTGGGGTGTTGCAAGGCTGAGTGCTTATCATGACACAGAGGAACTTCTGTCTGAATCAATTGGAGATGATTTCACTTTTAGCGACCCAAACTTTGAGATGTTAGTCCTGGCATAGCGTGGTTTTTGTTCCCCGCTTTCAAAAAGCCAAATCGCCTGCCAAAATGCCAGGGCTTGTAGGCAAGGAATGCAGGTGTTAATCACCAGAGCTCAGAACACAGACGTAAGATGCTCAAGGTGAACGCCTTCATGAACTTGTCTGTCATGACTCAGGATTTCTGGTCAGGCAAGCCTCAAATTCAAGATGCAGAACCACGTCGATATGTACCCACAACCCCTTGGCACATGTCAAACTTACCTTAGCCACAACCTGAGTGAGTGAAGAATAAGGGGAATGGGGCCAACTCAAGGCCCGCAAGCAATGCTACGTTATCTACGAGTAAGTAGGCAAGACATGATGGCATTTGCATGCATGACATCTTTCACTGGCAGTGGCACTGGATGAAGCTGAACTTGAACGCTTTAACATGAGATCTATCCGAAATTCTATTCCCCAATTTATATACACAAAAACATAAGCCAAAGACAAGCATAACTCGCAAAGGTGTGCGGGATGTGGTATCAAGGACAAGGGTGTATTGGCATTATGTCGTGCATGTCCTAGGTGGTTCTAAGAGAAGACCTCCAAAACTCCTATCCGTTCCAGACGTCCCTGAGGTTTGATGGGCTCTCTCTCGCAAAGTTGGCAAATGGATTTCGCCGCGGACCTTGAAGGACATCGACGAGTCGCTCGAGTGGTGGTGGGGGTGGTGGACGCAGCGGGCTGAGCCGCGGCCATCCTACGAGCCACTTATCGGTGCTCGCCCTGGCCGATGCAGTAGGGGACGGGGTAAGAGGTGCTATTGCAGAGGCGGATGACACCCTTGACCCAGGCGAGGTTGCCGTAGGACTGGTCAGAGTAACTGTCCGAGGTGAAGCCAGTGACGGTGGGGCTGTCGGTGCATCCGGAGAAGACGTTGCCGATGACACGGCGGACGTTGGGCTGAGAGACGACGAGGCCGTACTGGCCATCGGGAACGGTGAAACGAAGGTTCTGGGACTGAGTTGTGGTCCAGGTCTGGGAGTAGCTGACGGACAGAGAGATGTCGAGGATATCCTTGACAAGGGTGTATTTCGCGCCAGCGGTAACGCTGACAGAGTTGGACAGGGAGTATCCGCTGTCGATAGAGACGGCGACGTCGTTGCCGGCGGCGCTGACGACAGGGGAGACGGCGACGTCCCAGTTGAGGAACTGCTCGTCCGAGAGGACCTGGACCTCGGTGGACTCTTCGCAGCCACGGCGGGCGAGGACATCGTCGAGGGAGGGGGAGGAAGCAACGGGAAGAGCAGCGCGGCGCTCGAGGGCGTCGTACTCGGCGGCCTTCATGACGGTGTGGGCGCCGTCCTCGCCAACGACGATGACATCGTCAAAGGCGAGGGGGGCGGAGCCAGGCGCCGGGGCGGCGACAGCAGCGCCGATGAGTCCAGCGGCAGTGAGAACGGAGAAACGCATCTTGATGGTTTGTTGGTTTGAAAAGAGTGGAAAATGTGGGTAGTGGTTCTTTGCAAAAGAGCGACTTTGAAAAGTAAAGACTGAAGAGTTGCTTTGTGAGAAAAGAATGTGGGGGAAGGAAGTGTATTGGAGAATAGACTGGTGAAGCAGGTAGTAGGTATTCCGAGTCTATGGGTGGGAAGAAGGTGCTCTTATACAATGTGGTGTGTCGAGATGTTTAAGCGTGCAGATGATCCCCAGTTGCGACATAGAGTTTGGACTTCCGCTCTCGGTTGACCGCGAGACGGCTTCTGCGTCTGTCAAACCGCCCGCCCATGTCCATGACTCTCCATGGAATCCGCGGGGAAACGCACATGTGCGCGCTCCTCTGGCCGAAGGGGTTGATGGATATCATTGCCAAGCATCCCTGCGGGGCTGCCGGCATGACCACCATGACACCAGAGCTTGGTGATCAGGCCAGCCGGTCAGGGTTCGATAAGTCAGAGATAATCAAAATTCCATTTTAGAGGAATTGCTATCATCAACCTAAACAATATGACTGAAGCAGGTCCAGCTCGAGTACGACGATGCCCTGACTCGGATCGTGGCAGGGCGACGATCGGTGAGGTCCCGTTGTGGGGAACAGTCGCGCGGATGGGAATCATGGGATGCTGGATATCAGGTGGGACTGGAAACGGGACGAACCACCCAGGACTCGGCCAGGCACAATAAGAGCCTCTCAGTTTCACATTGAAATGGTAGACGCCGGATCCGGGCGGCGGATGGTGTTGTGCGCGTGGATACTTTGCGGCTCTTGTGTATATTGGGTAGTCATCTGGTCCAATAGACTCGCGGGAGCGGCTACGAGTCAGTCGACAACCGCAAGTGGCCCCGACTCACCGTTTCGTGCAACGGCATCCATGCCCCCCTACATATCCTAATGTGGAAGGCCGCTGGAGATTGTTTTGCTCACGCGCGTCTTCTCCCCTGTAGAAGCCCCATCGCTTGGTCTATTCCCCCTTTTGCCAAGAATGCCCATCTTAGACGCAGACTGGCTCGTCCATGGTCTCAATCTGCCCAGCTAGCAAGGACTCAAACACATTCAAGCTCCAAAGGGCTGAAGAAAACCCCGGGAGTTTCCACTTTAAGGCGCCTATTAAGTTTGATGACGGATGGTCTATCATACCGAGAACAACCCTTGCGGGCAGGATTGTCTGCACCGCCTAGAGGGGCGCCCAGAGGTCACCATCATCCACAAGGTAAGCCGGCCCTGAATGGTGATCAAACTCCTATTGCGGGCCATGGGGCTCTTTCGCATCTGGTGACAGCGCGCGCCGAACAAGGCGCGCGAAGTGGGACTCTCTCTATCTGGCAGTCGGACCATGGTCCCCTTTACCGAACGCCGTTGGCACAGCATGACCTTGGACGTCCGAGTGCGATAGATTGTAAGTTGGGAAACAAAGTCAAGGCCGTGACTCGTTGTAAGTAACAACCCGTGGATATAAACCTCTCGAGGTTCCTCCCCCAATATCATGTAGCTTATCTCTATTCTCATCAAACTCCACACATTCTTTTCTTCGGTCCAGATCCAGTAATCGGTACCAACTTCCGTTCATTCTTTTCCAAACACAAACCCGTTACAGTCACTACCTTACCAACTCTCCAAACAAACAAACAAACCCCCCCAAACCGCCAAAATGCAGTTCTCCATCGCAAAGGTCGCTTCCGTCTTCTTCCTTCTCTCGGCTGCGTAAGTTCTCGACATGCATCCAAGTCTTTGGTGGCATCCGACTAACCCGTCTCAGATCTGCCAAACTTCACGACAGCTGCACCTGTCACAACGGTGACAGCTACAACTGGCGCATCACCATCAAGGCTTGCTCGCTTTACGCCTCCAAGAACTACCAGTGGGGCAATGGTACCTACAACACCGAGTCCGGACGTGTAAGTTTCTGCTCTCCCTCCCTACGCAATCCAATGCAAAATACAGGACTAACATCACAAAAATAGTGCACCCAGAACACCGCCAACGACCAACTCGCTGGCGATCAATGGGAGGATGCTTGCCGCGAGATCGCCTCCAGCGGCTTCGACTGCGCCGACGGCAAGGGCCTGTACTGCAAGGCCAGCCCCGACGACGTTCGCGGGTGGTGCTAAGCGTCTCTCGCTTAGAGATTTGCTGAGGGGCCCCCCGAAGATCTGGGAAAAGCGCTTCCTCTCCTCGCCTCGTTTTTTTCCACTAGCAAGGCAAGCCTGTTCATAAGGCTGGACAAAACAGCCCAGTCATCATGCACTCCACACCCACCATCTTGAGCCGGCTCTCTGGATCGTGGTGCCTCATGGAGAATGACACAAAAGGCGCCTTGATCTGGGGAGGTAGCTTTTCACCACATTGGTAGTGGGGATTTTGGTACATTTAGTTTTCACGAAATTGGAGGCGTTGCCGGTGTTCGTATCAATACCTTTAGAAATGTGGCATGGCGTGTCGTAAATATGCTCGTAGCTCTTTGGGCATCGTCCATAAGACAGCCGAATTGATCTGCTCTGTGTTGAAGTTACTTGAAAGTTACTCCTGTGATATGTTTTGACTTCTCGCTATATGCCCTTTCTTGACTTCAAAGAAGTCTGAAGATGAGCTGTAATACTTGAGACTTGACATCAATGCTAACGATAGTATCAATGAAGCTCGCAGTGATAGGAGATGAACACAACGTAAATTCATTTCACCATCGACTTACTGAGGTCATCTTCGTGGATTCCCAAAATCAGAAGATACATAAGGTACTCGGAGCTCACTCCACCCATAATGTCATCTCCTTGTAGCGTATGCCAACTGTCCTGGCTCGGCTCAGAGTAAGGAACTTGGCTCACGTCGTTGGACCTGCGCATCTGGATTGATACCATGACATTCCGTTCGCGGGGCCGCTGATGGGCTGCGCCTACACTTTCGACATACTGCCTGGAATCGTCCCTCCCAGCAGCTCGCTTCCCATCGCGCTATTGCTGGCCGACAGGAAGACCCGCATCGACAGCTCGATATCGTGGCAAGGATACTATCTTCTTCAGAGGTGGCTAAATATACAACTCCAGTCCCGCACTCGGACAAATCCGGCCTTCGGTGTAAACTACATGTAAGTGCCTTAAGATTCGATATGGGGATGGTGGATTCCTCCATCATTCCTTCGACAGCCAGTGGGAAGGTTGACACGCTGAAAATAATGCGATTCTAGAACGAATGTCGTGATGAGCAGCACGTCAACTGCAACTGACGGGGAGGTCACAGCATGCTTTTGGCGAAACTCTAATTAAGGGGGCGTATTCGGTAGCATCCGGGCCCGATTCGGGATGGGGGATGATGGACATTACATGGGACTACGTGGCTATTACCGGGATCTACCTTGGCATGACTCTCCAGCCAGCAAGGAAACCTTGCAGGTTTCCTGGTGCTGCCCTGCATAACCATCGAGTCCAGTGTTCCAGATTTATTTTTGACCTGCAAAGTCATGCCCCTGAACTTCTGAAAGAGGCATTCCCTCACTTGGCATTTCAACACGTGCCCATTGTTATTCGATCATAGTCATCGCATCGTTATCCTCTTCTTCTGTGCCCGGATAAGGCGGAATGAGTTTGATGGAGAATTTGTTTTCCCTCAAGGTGGGTGATCTCTATTTTTTGACCATCATGGTGATGATGTCAACATGAGTACGAAGGATATGTGCCATGCTATAATCTTAGATTGTTTACTCGTATTGATCGGACGTGCAAGCAAGCATTGGGCTGTGCATTTTCTCCCTCCCCTCCCCATCCCTTTTTCTTATCTGCCAAGCACAAGTCAATCAATGCATGGACCCTTCGCATCTTATTCTTGGCCAGGATAGACGTGGTCTCTGCTGAGCGCAAGGAACGGGGGATGGACAATGCGCCGGAAAACATGAAAACGTGCTGACACTATTCGCAATGCGGAAGAGTTGTCCTCATTGAGCTTTTTTTTCTTTGCCCGACTTTCGGGCGGAGTTGCGTATTCCGCAACTCACAATTTCTGGGGCCGAGCACGTGTATTCGGCGGATCGGTCCCTATGTGCTCCCGACCGACATGACCCGCCGTGGGCAGACAAACTGACTCGGTGAGAACGGTGATTTGGTCGGCGTTGCGCCGGACGACAACTCGGGAGTTTTACGACAATCTCGGTGCTTCGGACAAGAAACTTTGAAGTCAAGAACCTTGGTGGAATGACGTGATTTCCCGACTTGGATCGTTTCTGAAAGACAAGGTAAGTAATTACAGACAATATGTTTTGTTTCCAAAGCATAAGATCCACAGTTATATTTTGCTACTTCCCAACCAAGCTTTCCTATACACCATGTGGATAGACAGCAGAAAGGACCAGCTTCAGGCCCCATCAGAGTCATCAAATCGCAATCTTATCGGCGTCATGAACGGCGGGGCGTCGCCGACCAACGCGACTGGGATCTCCGTGTCCTGTGATCACTACTCGTCATCAGACCCTAAAGTTCTACGGTAGATTGAAGAGGAATTACTTCCAGCCTTGGTCTTTCTATCGAACCGAACTGGACCGAGCCCATTCGACTATGAAAGGCACGAATCTTTCCGCCCACGTCTCGTCACTTGTGAAACGCTTGGGAACCCATTTGCGTACGCTACTCTAGCATCGCTCATTGTTTTGGCCCAAACTACAGTACCCGCTCTCTTTCCGTCGATATCAGAACGAGCTGATCAGCTTAGATGCTCCGTATAAAACGTCCTCAGTGGGATGAGCACTCTGCGTCGAGTCGTGCACCTCCTTAACCCTTATCCAGGCCAACTTCCCGATGTATTCCCCCTTCCAACAAATGATATAAATAATTAATGCTGATGAGCATTGACAAAGCTGGAAAACTCCGCTCTGCCTCATGTTTGAGGAACCCAAATCTCAAATTTGATAGCTTGCGTATGGAAATGGAATTAGGGTTGCAGCTGTATCCATGAATTAAATGGGATGAAACATTCACCTGAACTAATTTTTTCTCATCCTTCTCGATTTTCTACTTGAAGAACTCTACATCCCTAAGTTTCACGCCTGTCTCTCTGAACAATGGCGTGCTTAGATTTGGGGTGGCTGAGAAACATTAAGGTTTTGCCTACTTCTTCAACCTAGACAAAATAGACCCATTTCACTTAAACCCTCATTCTTCCTGAATTTCTGAAAGATCAAAAGACTAAAAAGGATAATGTGGTTTAGCAATACTTCAAGTTGCTGATTCATTTGCGAGAAAAAAGACAATTCTCCTCAATCTCACAGGATCGTAATAAAAATAGGAATAATGATGTTAATGTTTTGTTCCTCGAAAGGATTGAAGGCTTCTGCAAGTCTGCAAAGTCTCCGGGCGGTAAAAAGTAGTTCCGAGTGTATATGTTGTATGTTAGAAAAGTACCCTGGCGTCCCCTGCAATATAGGCTTATTACCAAAGGCATTTATACCACTCACCTTATCTCCAACGAGGTGCGAGTTGGCATTAACTATCTCTCAATAGCAAGAGGGAATATAGAATGAACCCTAACCAAAGGCGATATAGATGTCAATCCGAGTCCGCGCAGTTCCTCTGTTCAAGTCGTAATTGGCAACCCACGCCCATACTTTTTCCGAATAGCCAGATTAGAGCGTCGCCTTGTCGATGGCTTTCTTTTCAACGTGTTGCTATCCGCCTTATGGATTGTTGGGATGGGGCGTCTTTCAAAGCTGGGTCAAGGATGAGACTCATCAATAATAGCGGCATAAAATTTCAGGTTTCTGAAGACGACGTAGCCGTCGTTGTTGCCGCCGCCATACGAGGCTTTACCGACGTGGGCATTGTCCTCCATCCAGAGACCCTCTCCCGATCCGGCCACAAGCTTTTCCTCATCTTTGTCGGTGTTCTGTAATCTTTCTTTCAGTTGAAGGAGCTCTGGTGAAATGGTTGGGTTTTCGGTGACTGTTCGCGGGCGGCGTCGGCTTTGGAGACACGGAAGGCAACGACCGCGATACTTTCGTCTATAGTAAGCGCAGCAACATCACCAGTGCGAGCCTTGAGTCCCGCATTTTTACAAGTTGCGCCTAATGGGTATTCAGGCGGGTGTTCCGGAAATACTCCCGGTTTCGTTCCATGGCTTCTTTTTGAGCCTACGAAAGATGGTCCTGGCCGCCGTTAGAGTTGATTCGCAGGTCAGAATAGAGTTGGCCAGCTGGAGGTGGTACAGAGGCACATGGTGTGACAGATGGGTGGGCTTGATAAGTTCGGGATCACGCTTCAGCTTTGACTGGGGACCGAACAAATCCTTGGCAAATTTTGCAGTGTCCTGCGCCTGTTGGAGTTCGTCCGCCTCAAGCTGGAGGCTTCCCTGCTTTCATTTCTCGAAAAACTCATGGATGGGAGAAGTCACATCAACAGAACCTGTGTGGAACGTCAGCAGCCGGAAACACAAGAAGGTAAGACAGACTCACTCGTGTCTGCAGTGACGACGGCCGGCGAACTTGCAGAGATTTTGGTGCCTTTTACGCAGGCAAGCAGAAGAATCAAAGATATGGAAAGGGAGGCAAAAGCATGGTGAAAGGAGTGACGGCAACCGCTCAAGCCTGCGAGAGAGAGAGAGAGAGAGAGAGAGAGAGAGAGTAGTACAAACGAGCGCGAGGAGTGAGGAATCCGATTATCCATCTGGCTTGGTCACAAGGAGGACCGAATGGATGAAAAATAGAACCTGAAATCAAGGGGCTTTCGGCACAAGGTATGGATGACAACCGAGGGCGTGCTGGGTAAGTGTTCGTCGAGAGCTACCCATCGCCAACAGCTGCAGGGAATGTGGGATTGTGTTCAACGTCATTCCGGCTTGGTATCATGGACAGTATCATGGACAGTATCATGGACAGTATCATGGACATGTAGTAATTTCTCGGTATAAAGTACTCGATCCGGGGTTTCTATTCACAGATTGGGCTGAACTCTCAACAAGGGGACCCCGAGTTGAAGGGTTGAAGACGATTTAAGCTCCATTGACAAGTACAGAGTCAATAGTGAACGTGTCCGCAATCTTACGGCTGCGCCGCAGCTGGTTCATTTACCGCGCAGGAATTTCATTTGAAAAGCTCTCACCTAACCCTTCCAACATGCCAAAAACCCCGGTCAACCTCTGCGTCTCTCGCAAACCAGTCCTTGCGCCTAAGAAGTCGAAGGCCTCGATGACAGCCCGCAGCTGGCTCACAGCAACCCATATAGCAAATCATGATGCCCACTTTCCACTACTCCCACCTTAACCCTCTCGATTCGCGTCAACAGATCGAGAAGCTGGCCATGGAGCCTCGTCAGATCGTGTACGTCAAGGAACCTCCTACCTACTACCAATGCCCCTAGCCGTCGTCTGCGCCCCCGCGGCCTCTACTTCACACCTGTGCCAAATCCTGGACACATCTCCCGCGGCATTACGCCGAGGCATTCGCCACCGCAAAGGATCCCAAAAAGTACGATTGGGTCAGCTTCGATATCGACACCATCTACCTGGCCCAGCACGACCTGAAAAATCTCAATGCTGAATGGCCGACGGTCCGCAAGCTCATTATTCTTGCCATAGATTCCGGGCTGTTCTTCCATACCTAACGTGCGCGGCTGTTTCAAATGAAGCATCTAGAAGCGATCACCATTTTTCAGATGCAGCCGCCAGAGAAAATAGACAATCGGTGGTGAACAGATTGGGACGAAATGATGGAGGGTTGCTAATTCCGTGCCGATCCTATCGCCTTCTACACGCGGAATCTTTACCCCAAGTGCCCGCCTTATGAGATGGACCCGACAACTACCTGAAGCTTGAGCGAGATGCCCGGAGGAAGCTGGGGGGCGGAGTATCCCGACTGGGACGAGCCGGGCTACGAGGTATCTGACTCGGGCGACGACGTCTGCGGACCAAGCCGATTTCGGAAAGGCTGCGTTCGAGGATTAGACTACGCACGCCTGTTTGACCTCCCGACCACTCTGAAAGAAGAAGATTGTGAGCCTCGCGAAGAAATCAAGGCAATGTCACATCCCACACGGATTCATGATGTGTTTTCTTTTTTTGCGATTAAATTAGTATAGCTGTGCCTAATGTTCTGGTTTCTGTTGGGATTTGAGGGACATGGGACTCATGGCAGTAGGTAGCAAGGTTGGACTGAGGTTGGCTAGGTGATTAACTGTTGCGAGTGTGACGAGCACCTCTGTGCAGTGTTTCTCTGCAAGGCCAGACACTTCCGTTCCACCGCTACAAGCATTCGAGCTTCAAAATGGTTGGTCACGTTCATTACTCTGTTCATCACATCCATGGACCCATCATACAGCGACGAAGGGCCGAGGAAGGCCCTGATCCACACAGTTATCTCACCATCACCGTCGGGAATAAGAACGCGTGTTGAAATCACAGACCACCTTGTCTGCCAGACGTTTCAACAAGATTGAACAGCAATATGGTTGTCTTCTGATCTTGCTCCGTCCTCATTTGCCATTACTGGCGTCCTCTCTTTAAATCAATCTTGTCGTCCGTTACGCGACTTCACTTAGACCCCAGACCACATCGCCTATCCGTCCTCGCCCCCCTTTGGCCTCCGATAATATGATGCGACTTACTCCCCTTTTCCTCTGGACCCGTAATACCATCGGTGTCGCAGCACAGGGCCTTCATGTCGGCTATGAGAAGGTCTTCATATAGGTAAGATACTTTGCGTAAGAGCTTGACCAAACATGTCCGGAGGCTCAACGGACCATCGGCATCAAGTGCGCCGAAGTCATCGACGAAAAGAAAAGGCGGCTCCAAGGATCCGCAGGCGCCTACGAACCTAGAAGGCACATAGAAACCTAAGTATATCCTTGACTAGGTCGAGTCTAAGAAGTTCGACCGCGGTCTGGACCAACTGGTGGTTACTGTACAGCTGGGTGGCACCCTCCGTTATTTTATGTCCTAAATTGATGGTGGGGATTGGATTTGCAATGTTATTACCCCTAGGCTTAGGCAGAGAAGAGAATGGAGACGATGGACGTTGATAAAACGGCTGAGACTATAAACAAGACGAAGGTGGACAAGAACTGATAATTAACCCGTCTGGCGCGTCATCATGAAGGCGACATCGTTTAACCGCATGATTCAGAGTGTTGGGACCTCCATCTTCCGGCGGAGAAGACGCTATGACTCCGGACGAGCTGGAGAACATCGAGCAGTTCTTTGACGGGGCGGAGCGTGCCACTGAAAGGATCAATTTCAGCGCCAGGGAGACCATCCTAAGCATCTGATACCAAACTTGAAGGCAGCAATTCCGAATGTTGATTTCAAGACGGATGATGCGGTAGTCAGCAATAATGGAGACATGGAACAGAGTTCCAACAACTTGCAAATACTAGTGACACCTGTGCGAAAATGACGGATGTTTGGAAATAGTTGGAGACTGCACTCGGCAATCACTATGCAACAAATCAGGAGCCAGTGAACACAAAAGTTTTATGAAAAGCTTCGAAATTACTCTGAACCAGATTAAAGGTGAGTCTTGTAGTGCGATCTAACGTTGATTGACTGGAACCCAACCTTTGAAGGATGTCAGGTGTTTTAAATTTAATACCAACTTGGATCAATTCATGATTTGCTTTATGGACAGTGCTCACTACAGCCATCGTGTCTAAATACTCTGCAAGTGGCAATCTGTATCGTTAAGAAGAAAAGCCGATGTCCAGGCCGATCAATCATGAATACTATGCCTGGATACCCGGATATTTGGGTAGTCTGTCACCCAGGTAGGGTCTCGCCTACAATCTCAACTGAGTTGTGAGATTTGATGAGACGGTGTTAAACCCTCTTGCTTGTTATTTTGGTTAATATGAATCCAACGGCCCGAAGCTGAGAGTTTCTGTAGAAACCTTCAATATTAATCTTGCACAGGCCGTGGTGGCAAAACTACAGTCCCATTCAGTAGGAATCTATAAGAAGTGATGTAATAGTAGGTTAATGATTCAAAATGGCTCTCACACATTGTTATACGAAGAAATCAACACTATGGCTTTGCCCATGAATATTGCTTGAATCAACTGGATGTTTCTTGCCCTTCGTCCTGGGCACAGTTAAACATCATCTGATAGGCTACTGGTAATCTTTGAAAGTTGAAAGTAATAAGGGATCGCAAAACTACGTTAAATTCATCAGCGTAAAAACATCTGCTATGATTAGTTGAAAATAGTTCACAGAAAAACACAGCTTAGGTAAATGATGTTGGTTTTAAGGTTATTGTTAATTTGTCACAAATAGCAGAGAGATGAACAAATCACAAGACCTATTTTCTAGTCGGAACGCTCTTGAAATAAGGTCCAAAGCGGAAGTATCTCCCAGCCGAACTTTAAATAACCCAAGCGTTCTTAAAAGTGCTCTGAGGTAGGACTGAGGTTTTACAAACGATTAATTACCGGTGAATGAGGTTCAAGAGGAAATGGCTATCTTGGATCTCTGTAGTGACCTTCTCGAGGTGGACGAAAACTTTTTTTCCTTTCTCCCTTTTTTCTATAAGAAAAGTGGCAGTCATGTTGACCAAATGAGAAGGATCACCGGTTGATTTGTCTGCATGGTGACGAGTATGACTCTGAGAATAGATGGAGCCATTAAGTCCGTTTCCAACAATCCGTCACTAGCTCAGTCTTCCATTCCATGACCGTCAAAACGTCCACTATGCGGCTGAATAGTGAGCTTGACACTTGACAGTAATATATCAAACGACATTTGGCGAGTTTGAGAATATAAAATGCGAGGTAGAAAAGACCAAATCACGTCAGTCGACAAAGCCGATGAACACGATGACCAAGACAGGGCCATATATGTCGGCACTCAAGGCGGGGATGGGGGGGTTGTCGAAAATTGTTTAATGGATATAGTTATGTGCACTGAGAGAAGCTCTTCCCTTCCTTTGAAAGGCAGCTAAAGAAGCGAGAAAATAAAAAGTTGCGAAACATGCTATTCCGTTCAGTGAAGCTTTGTGAGCTATGGCGGATGTTAGATGTATATAAACATGTGGCTTGCAGTCGGTGAAATCTGCTGTAAACTATGTTAAAGTGTTAGTTATATGTCAATGTACTAAGGACTTCAACCATTCAGCGGAATCTTTTCGTCATTGAAAACTTTGTCTGATTCCAACGTCACTCATCCTGCCAAAGCCGGCGGGCAAGGATGATACCGAAATCAACCCAAGCTGATATTAATACGTCGACTAGGGTAGGATCAATATTTTGCTGAACTTTGACATGAAGGACTTCGGAACACAAGGAAATGACTCTTTTCAAAAGCGCTGAAAAATACAAATGGTCCGCTCAGTATTTCAGAGGTAGATATGGTCTAAGAATAAAGGTCGAAAGATGGGTAGACTTTGCTTATCAAGCTTGTAAAGTCGTTGGATGCGGAAATGATCTTCCACCGATGGAACCCGGACGCCCTTCCGATGATATGAGCTGCAGGCAATTTATCGTCCGTTGCAGTTTTTTAATCTTGTCATCAGTCGGTCCTTCAATTCCTCATTCCTCTTTGGGGGTACGCCCACATGGTGGAGCTGGTGATGTGCCGAATACCCGAACGGGAGTAGCTGCGGCACAGTCGCGTACGGCGCAAGTACCATCCCGTCATTCAGATCCCGTATGGCGGAGCCGTTGCGCTACTCTCGAAGAGTGTTCGAGTCCGAGATATGTCAAGCATTCTTGGCATCCAGACGTATCGACCCCATCTTCCCCCCCAGACCTCGGCATTCCCACCACCACCACAATCACCACCACCACCACGACGTTAGGTCTGTAAACATCTGCAAACCCCTGTCTTGGCGGCGTACTGCCAAGTAACCAACCAACACCAGCGCAGCATTTGCCTTAACCGCCGGCCGAGTCCCCGCAGGATATCAGCATTACCGGCACTTACACTGTTACACACTGTCTGAGCGGGTAGCGCCACAACTTAGGGCCACTCTTAAAAGGAAAGTGGTATTCGTAGGTGGACTCCTGAATACAACGGTCAACACCGACGGCTTCACGATGATTCCGGATAAGGGAGGAGCTCAGTTGACGCTGGATGCACTTCGATGCAACAGCCTGATTCTCCATCATGTTTCTGTGGTGTTTTCTCCATTTTCAAAAGGTCCCTCGGGAAACACGGCAGCGTGATATCTACGGACCTGCGGTAAGGAGCATAGCGGCTTCATTGCATCGGGAGTGCCGGAAAATTGCGTGAGATGTTGAATCCCGGATGGCTGTTGTCGATAATCCTCTCAAGCCGCAAGATGAGTATAAAGATGAGCGTGATTCTCGGCCAAGTAGAATGAATTTAGAACAGCATCGCCAGCATCAATCCCAAGAAGCCCCTTGCCATCTCACCTTCGGTCCCAATTCCACCACCATCCATCTCTATCAGTCAAGATGAAGTTCGCCGCTTTCGTCCTCGCCGCCGCTGGCATCGTCGCCGCCGCCCCCGGCACTAAGCTCATCCAGCGCGACTACTCTCCTCTCACCCCTCGCGCGTCTCGCTCCCGCTACAACTCTGCCCCCCTCAAGAGACTTTCCACCGAGGCCGTCGAGAACCTTGAGAAGACCCACGGTATCCGCAACGTCGAGTACTCCAGCAACTGGGGCGGTGCCGTCAAGATCGGAAACGGCTACAACCACGTCACCGGCACCATCACCGTCCCCGAGGCCAGCGGCTTCGACGGTGCCGCCGCCTCCGCCTGGGTCGGTATCGACGGCGACACTTGCCAGACCGCCATCCTCCAGACCGGTATCTCCGTCTACGCTGACGGCACCTTTGACGCCTGGTACGAGTGGATCCCCGACTACTCCTACAGCTTCTCCGGCTTCTCCGTCCACGTCGGAGACCAGATCAAGATGACCGTCGACGCCTCCTCCAAGACCAAGGGCGTCGCCACCCTCCAGAACCTCAGCACCGGCAAGACCGTCACCCACACCTTCACCAACACCCCCTCCTCCCTCTGCGAGACCAACGCCGAGTGGATCGTCGAGGCCTTTGAGGAGGATGGCAGCCAGGTCACCCTCGCTGACTTCGGCACCGTCACCTTCACCAACGCCGTCGCCTCCGGCTCCAGCGGCTCCACCACCCCTGCCGGCGCAGATATCCTTGATATCTCCCCCGACAACGGCCGCAGCATCCAGGCTGCTGCCTCCGTCAGCGGCAGCACCGTCACTGTCAAGTACGTCGGCTAAATACATACTCGAAAGGGTACCAACGAAACAGTACATACTGTAGATGGTCGAACACAGGGTGGGATCCTGTGTCCATGGGGTTGAGGGGAGTGGCGAGTGGTGGATGATTGGGGGTTTCTGTTCTGAGTCGAATGGAAGCATTCCTCTCTTTTCTTGGCGATCGATGGTTGGCATGATATTACGACGCGGTCTTTTGACCTTTCATCCTGTGAATATTGAATAGTTTATGGAGTAAATAAGAACCAGTATTCTGCACATAGGCTCACTGTTCTTCGATTCCTTGGATGTCATTTCGGCATTGGATTGTGACTACACACATGAGCTTACTGATCGTTCATCTGACCGACTTACTTAATTCAAAGAGATCTATAATTAAAATCGTGAATATCACTTGTAGTATTTCCCACCATATAGTATGAGCCTGGCCACGGATTCCTCTGGAGACCAATACGACCTAGTTCAACCAATTCATAGCATCCCGGTGGCGTCATTGCGTAGAAAATACATGTAAATCTACCATATATTTTAGAGTTTTGCTGCTCTGCGTAACAAGGCTTTCAAATTAGACTTTCGGGTAGTTGGTGCGCCAGGTCGACACCTAAGTAGCTTGTCACTCTGGTCCATATGATAGTGATTGATGGAGCACAAGATGGCCCTTTGACCCAGAATCAGGGCGTTATCCTTGAAATCAGAAAAGAACCCCCCGAGATTAGTTGACAATGTTTTCAACATTTACTGCATCTACATACCACAGGCTTCACTTAGAAACCGGCGTGAGCCCAGATAAGGTTTTGAAGGAATTGCGCCAAAGGATCAAAGGATTTACCCGGGATGCTACAAAAAAAATTATCCGACTCGGTCCGCTCAGGCACGACATCAGCTAGGTCGAGTTTAAGTTTTTACGCCAGTTCATGTACTGATAAACTCTCAATGGGGGACACTATGTCAAAGTTTTTTGAAGATCAGGATCCAGGGATGTTCCTTTCAAAAAATGATGGGAGGTGGGGTCCGTAGGGCAGAATCACACAGTTGGCTTGCTTGGACTGGGCAGAATTATGCTCCTTTTTCATTTCGAGCTTCGCTTTGTTTTCGCTTTTCGCTCTTCTGCTTACTTTATGATTTCGATTGATTAAGTTTCCCAATGAGGACCCTCTATGAGATCTAGCCCAACATCTCCGTACCTAAAATTTTACGCCTTCTAAGGCGACCTCTCAACCATGTCGCCCCCAATGCGGAGAGTTATGGAGTGCAATAGGTGGGGGAAGCTAATAAGGCCACTGAAAAGTAGTGGAAATGTTCACAGACCAGGGTGCGCCGCTCGACAACGAGGCCACGCGTCCAAGCATATGCTCACTGTGCCTGAACGCCACGCTCGGCGCATACTGAGGAATCATATGGCCACTCAGCTTGGCAGTAGAGTGTGTGAAGCCGCGCTCAGTGTGGACCGATCCTTGCACGTTGGCACCAGCCCAGCTAGGGACGTTGTCGTCAACGTTGTTGACGGCGGGGATGAGGAGGTCCTCGGACGGCTGTTTCTGGAATCCCTGCTGGCCGTTCCACTTGATGTACTGGATGGCGAGCGTCGTCACGTTGGGCTTGATCACGTAATCCGCCTGGCCGGAGCCGACGTGGACGTTGTTCGTGCGCTCTACCAGGGTCCGGAACTTCTCCTCGTGCTCGGTGCCGTTGTAGTTGTCGTTGTCGTCGACAAAGACGGGGTCCTGGCATTCGCTCCACGTCGGGTAGTCCACGGGGACGTGGATCGCCTTTCTGACTTCGGGCTTGTTGAAGTACAAGGTGGCGTTGGGGGGGCTGTACATGATGGAGGGGAAGCCCAAAACGTCCCAGAGGACGGGGCACGTGTCTAAGATGTGATATCCGTTGAAGCATGGGTTGATCACCGTCGAGATCGCATCAAAGTGAGCAATGATGTCGCAGTCGTCAGTGACCTTTGCTGCCGGCCAGGGACGGGCAGGCGGGGGGTAGGTCAAATACTTGTCGACGTACTTGTCGAGCTCGCAGTTCTTGGCGTCCTTGGCTAGCTGCTCCTTGGCGCCGTTGGGAAGGGCAAAGACGCTCTCCCAGTAACGGTAGAACGAGGGGAAAGCGGCGTGGTCAAAGTTCAGGGCGTCGTCGTAGGGCATGACTGGGTCGTAGTAGACCGCGCCCTTGACATCGTAGTAGGAGGTGTCGTTCTTGTCGAGCATGGCAGCGCCGACGTAGGGCACATAGATTCCAGCGTAACTTTCGCCAGTGATGAAGATGCGTTTGCCCTGCAGGTCAAAGGTGTTGACAAAGTTCTTCCAGAAGCTGACAAATTGGTCTGCCGTCTCGGCGTTGTCTGTAGCAGTGACAGGGCCGCTGCTGAAGCCTGTGCCGATGGGGTACTCAACCCTGTTACCAAAGTATTAGCATCATCCTCTTGGGTGTTGGTACGAGGGAACTGCTCACCAGATCACATTTGCCAGCTTATGCCAGGACCATGCGTTGGCGACAGGCTTGATGGTTCCGTACTGCCACAAGAACGGGCCGTTCTCTTGCAGGAAGCCTACCGGCGTTTAGTAAATCCATCGTCAAATCGTCACCACGTTTGATTTAGCAAACCTTCCATGGAGGAGCATCCCGGGCCACCGTTGAACCAGATGATGACATCGTCTTTTCCAGCAGGGTTCTCGGTGGGGAAGAACCAGAAAAAGTTCTTCTGTTGTTCGCTCTCCGGCTTAGTAGCATCGACCGGAATGAGACCGGCATAGCTTTCGCCAACGTCAAAGTCAACGTCTGGGATTCCCGTGCCATCAACGTAAAATTCTGTGTTCCAAACGTCAGAGAAGCGCGTAAATTGGAGAGCAAAGACTATGGCTCACCACTGGTCTTGTTGTTGAAGTATTGCAAGGTACTGCCGCGACGCATAATCGTCCGCGGAGCTTGTACCTCGGCGTGACCAGGAGCGACGCGACGGAGTGGACTCCGGTGCAACTTTGATGGTCCGTAAGCGGCGATCAGCGGCAGGCTGAGCACAGCCGTCAGGCCGGCGATGAGACTTGACGTGCGCATCTTAAGGGGTTGTCGTCGTTTCTTGCCAAGATGTCAAGCTTTGGAGCCTCAAAGTCACCCTGCAGAGCCAAGAGGGTGCCAAGAGATGCAGCGGAGCAAGGCATTGCTATGTACATGTAGGTGGGTAGGAGTCTGGTTGACGTGGCGGCAGGTCGTGTGCCGGCTGCTCGAGATTGACAAATGATGAGAGATTTGAACATATCATGGTGGATTGGGGCTTGCCCCAAGGAGGCATGTCGACAGCCACGGCCCGTTTCTCTGCTACGGCACTCTATTGCTCCATTTTGATCTTCAATCTGAACGCCGCCTACCGTTAGCTACTGCATAAGGTATGGTTTGATTCATGTACAAAACAGGCAGGTCAACGAGATAATCTGGGGCATACAACTGATAAGAAGGCAAAGTGCCGACATAACCGGGGACGGAGTGGGGCACATTGAGATGAATGTCACCATCCACGGCCATAGCACCATTCAAGTCTGGCGGCAAAGCAATGGGTTCCTATGAATTTCGATTTAGAGTTGGAACGATTTCCTGATCACCGCCTGTCGTCATCAAATGAGTATGATAGTCTCGGGTTCGACTTGATCAAACCAGGTCTGGTCGACAATCTGCCCGACCCCAAGCCTCTCGAACTGCCTGTCTGTTCCCAGCCCGGGATCTGTTCTTGCTTCTGCGAGGAACATCACGTTGAAGCCGTCGGGATTTCCGTCCAATTCATTTGCTGAAATCATTGCCAGGTAGAATGGCTCCGGAGGCCAGTCGTCCAAGTCGAAGACCGCCCACCCAGCAGGCGTCATGTCCCTCCCAGAAAAGAGTTTGGTTTTCTGTGTCACGAAACCGCCGTACGTGATGGATCCTTTGGGATAAAATTCCATGGCGTGGTAGTCATCCCCAGATCGATGGGACGGGTCTCCTTCTCTCCTCGCCTCCCACTTCTTCAACTGGGCCACGAACCTCCAGGAAGACGCCGAAGCCTTTGGTTGGACGCGATGAAGATCCATAATACGGCTCTGCGCTGTTCGGGCCGGTGCGAGGAACGAGACGGCGCCAATGGTAGATGTCCAGGACCAAGACGGTTGATCTTGAAGGGCAGGCGGGCGAGTCAACGTCGATTTCGCGAACCAAAGCAGTTGGGTGAGTATGCAATGCGCATGGAACTCTTCATGCAGTAGAGAATCATCGTGGAATACCCCAGAGGTGTAGGTCTCGCCGATACCTTTGCCAACCTCGGTCGCCAGCCCCAAGATGGCGACAGGCTTGTCCGATTCGTACGTCAGGTTCCGTGCGGCGTAGGTTGACACAAGATCGCACCAGTCGGCGTAGAAACCTAGCTTCTCCTCGTCCTCCAAATCGAGAGTGCAATTCAATAGGGCGTCCTTGGCTTGTCGATATCGCCTGGCGCTCTCAAAGAGCCTCTGTTCATCTCCAGACGTCTCAATTTCACCGTCCTCACACTTGAGAAGGGTGCGACACGCCCAGACCATCCTTGCTTTCGTATAGTGAATAACGCGGGGGGAGAGCATCCATTCTTGTGTTATCCATGCCCGGCTTCCTAGGGGAGTTTCGCTAACAGTGGTATCCAGCGCATCGGGGAACAGGGTTGCGCACATGTATTCTCCTTGCTTCGCTTCTCCGTAGGGTAACCGAATAACTGGCTGTAGAGGAGGACGTGGAACGAAGCATCCTTCCGATCCGTCCCGCGCACCGGACGCGGCAATGGTTATTTCGGAATCTTTATAGATGCGACCCATCTGAACCGACTCCTTATGCCAGTCCTCGGCGTCATCCTGCACGATGCAGAGGCTATCGATCCAAAGGTACCGCAAGTTGAGAAACCGAACAATCTGGATAGCATCTTGAAAGGTCTTGGCCAAGCTGGAGAATCGGATGATCTTGCAGTGCTGAACCAGGTTTTTGGACGTAGTCGTGAGGATTCTATGCTTTCCCCAGCAGTGGCTTAGAGCGGCATAAGAGGCATGGAACCCGTTGGTTATGAGAAGTTTCGGTTCCTCTGAACCATCAGAAGGACCGACGTCAAGTACTCTAGTTGGTAGTGGTGGCACGACGTGCAAGTCGCTCGATGTCAAGGAACCTACCGGACCAGTAAATGTCTAGTTACATTCCGTGTGGCCCATTTTACAGGTATTGTACCAAGTCTCTACGAGTCCGAAAGCCTCGTTGGAGCCTGAGTCCGTCAATAACCTCATCCCAATAACGTCTTTATTGCGAAAAGGGGCGGTCTCTATAACATCAATGAACACGTTAGTCCGCCTCAGCAGCATTGGTAGTTGCCTGTCTGCCGAAGCTCTTACCAGGATCCGAGAATAAACTTAGCTTCACCAGATCATAGCCGTACTCAATGTCCGGGATATGCACATTGATGCCGAATAACATTGGCGGTTCGTTTTGCTCAATGCCATCTCCAGAGGCGTCCGAGCCCGGAACATCCAGTCCGTCTCCTACTCCAAACAAGTAAAGGGGCTCGGGGTTCGTGTTCGTCCGAATTTGTTCGTCTGTCTTGGGCGTCCGACAATCCTGGTCCATCGCGCGGCGTATGAGCCTGCAAAAGTCGCATGTTTTGGCTGAGTCTATGAGGTTATGCGCGTTCTCGATATGACGATAGCCATCAGGCTGAGCCAAGGCTTGCGGGGTTATACCCTGGCAAGCTGAGCAAAGAGATGTCATCGCTGCGGCTCATGAACTGATGTGCAGACAGGCGTCGCTGAAGTGTCATGAACACCAGGAGGGGACTACCAGGTATGTAGCCCAGTGGCTCATGTTTCAAAGTCTTCGAGCAGAACTCGGAATGAATGCGCGAGATTCCTCCTGCACCGCGTCAGCAAATATATCTTCCAATCGCCAAGCGGCAATCTCTCATGCAGGTCACCTTAGCCGGACTGGAACGCTGTTGGTTGAATCTTGACAACCATGTAGTGCTTAGTGGAGCCACGCTGAGACCAGCTCCTGTCCCATTTTAGATGTGGCTCAAGCCTCAGCTAGGCTTGACTTTCATACCCAGCTTTCTGTCTATTATACAACATCCCGTTATCAAGTCCCCAGGAGTAATGATACTTATATTCAGCAAACTATACTGGGCTCCCTTAAATCTCAAAACAAAATGACTACTGACTCCCGCAAGTGGTATCTGAAGCGGGATGAATTCGTCATTGTAAGAATAGCCAGAATGTCACTCTTTCAGAAGGCTTGCCACTTCAGACAGGCCTCACAGTGCTTTCGTCTCTTAGGATTGCTTGTTCTGGATCTGGGTTTTGAATTACTGATCTATCACTGCAGTGACTATGAGAGTTAAGGCAGAGGGTGCCCGGTGGTTGTAGGCAACTGAGGAGTAGCGTACACGTAAATTCAACCCCAGTCTAGTCTATCGATCAACAAGGAGCATTGCTGCATGAATGGATGCAGGAAACTATCTTGAATTTCTTGCGCTGGCTTATTACGAATTGATTCGAAAATTTCTTTGCTTGGTACCTATGTGTCTCATTAGGTCGGGCTCTCTGACGAATAAGTCCGAATTAGCAACAAGAAGCTCAAGCTGAGATTGATTAGTGATAGCATCCATGTGAGGAGAATCGAGTCGGGCTAATGCAAGTTCCGCTCCCGCCTCGTAAGTCACCGACGCCCGGAAAACACCACACCACGTCTCAGTTCCGCTAATTATTCTTCTTAATTTTGGAATGACAGCTTTTGGCTGAGTGGTATTAGCGGACCGATTGCCAGATTGGTCAGCAACTCTGACGTGTATGCCGGATCACTCATCTTGATCTAAATAAAATGGTAAATACAGGTCTCCGAGACAAGGTATGGCGTCAGCTCGGTTCGCGGGGGTCACACGTGGCTGTTGGACCTTGCTAATCAGTAATTATAATAATCAGCGGGCCTCTTGTCTGCCGTGCAAAGACTTTCTGTAATCTTAACATCAGGACCGCATTTAAGATACCAGACCTCTCCGGAAATATTAATTGGTAGGCACATCATCGACGCAATAGCCTCTGCCTCTCCAGTACCGGGCGACATCACGCACATCCTCGTCATTTTCATCGTCTTACCGCTTCGCTACGGTCACTTTTTCGGCATTGTGAAGCTTCACTTCACACCCCACGTCGCGACGGTGCAATGCCGTTTTCCCCGCAACATGATATTCCAAACCTGGACGGCAAGGTCATCATCGTGACAGGCGGCAGCAGCGGCCTCGGAAAAGAGAGCGTCACCCAGCTCGCCAAGCACAACCCCGCGAGAATCTACCTCACAGCCAGGACAGAAGCCCGCGGCAATGCCGCCATCAAGGAGATTGAGCAAGCTGTACCGGCAGCCAAGGATAGGATCAAGTATCTCGAGCTGGACCTGGGTTCCTTTGCGGCGATCAAGAAATCCGCCGAGGCTTTTCTCGATTCATCCGATCGTCTCGATATTTTGATAAACAACGCAGGCCTGATGGCTACCCCTCCAGGCCTCACCAAGGATGGGTACGAGGTCCAGTTTGGTTCAAATTACATGGGCCCCGCCCTCTTCACCAAGCTGTTGCTTCCGATCCTGACTAAAACGGCCGAGCAGTCCGGGACAGACGTTCGCGTCGTCAACCTGAGCTCCGAGCTCTTCAAGCAAGCACCGACAGAGGGCATCCTCCTTTCAAAGTGCAAAACGCCCCTCAACGACATCTCCAGCTTGGCCCGCTACGGCCAGTCCAAGCTCGCAGACTACTACCACACCCGCACGCTGAGCCAGCTCTACCCTTCCATCAAGTTCGTCGCAGTCCATCCCGGGGTGGTGAACACTGGCCTCTTTGACGACTTTAAGAAAAGAAGGCCCTGGGTTGGTGGAATGATTAGTGTGCTTGGGTCCATTTTCCTGACGGACGTCCACGCGGGTGCGCGAGCTCAGCTTTGGGCCAGCACCGCGCCTACTGCAAGTGTGAAGAGTGGAGGCTTTTATAATCCCAAGTTCAAGGAGTATAAGGAGGCGAACTTGTACGACGATGGTGCCGCCCAGGCGTTGTGGGATTGGACTGAGAAGGAGCTTGAGGGTCAGTAATCTTAGTGGGCGTTTACGTCTAGCCAAGTGATCGACGGGCTGAGGAATACCTGTTGACGCATGTCAAGTACTAACCTTGAACACGAATAATAATACTCTTTCTTGAATTGTACCAGTTTTTAGATCCGACCTCGATCTCGCCACGTGATTAGAGTTGGTCTCATCATATAGCCCTCTTAACCCCGGTCTATACTTAATCACTGTTGGATGATCTGAACATATTTGATCAAGGCTATTTCAAGTTAATGGAATATACTTTAACTTTTTGCCAGACTGATATGAAATACCGAGTTGGTAGGTTCAAGAAGACCCTGTGATTATTAATTTTTTACCTGGCAACTACTATCTCAATTGAGTGCATCAACCTAAGGCCGTTTCACTTGAAGCATCATGTAGGTTCAGTTGAATTAAGGAAGACAATGAAAACCCGATTGGGTAGAGGATTCATCGTTTACATTGTCATACCGTCCTTGAATTGTATCTTTGGTCATTCGCATTTACAAACGGAATGAGAACTTGCATAGTCAATTACTGACAATCGAACGTGTGTCTCGTGTCAGTGATGCTCGATCTTATCGCATTTTATTCCTACCGTGCCAGTAAGAGCATTTCAGCCACACAAAACAAATTGTGGCGGACGAAGGCGCTGCAGAACTATGACAATTGAGATGAGTGGCTGAAGGGACCACGCGCTCACATTTGTGGCGGTGCTGAAGTTTGATCAGGTCTGTTCCTCGATTTCGGCCTCGCACGCGGTGAAGTCTCAACCTGCCCAAGCTGCCTTGGCTCTTGGGTAACGCCTTACCTAGGTAGCCCCAAGAACTGAAATGAATTGGCGAAGTCGCCAGTAAGCAGGTGATGTGGCTTTCGTAGCTTGTTACTCCGTCCCAAGTTAGGGGTCGACCTCAGCTAATTGGCGTGAGACTCGCCCATTCCTTCGAGACGTCAAGCGGGAAAGAATGGGGTCTGGTTCCCGCCACGACCGAGCTTCTCTACGCACTTTCGAGGGACACGCTGCTTCATCCTTTGACGTCATTGCGAGTCTAATCCGACATTGAGCTCTCAACAACCCACCCCTCATTCTGTACTCCGCGTTCACTCTCATCGCCCGGGTGAGTGGGGAAACAGAGAAGACGAAGTGGCGCTAAGCAATAAGCACTGCCCCCCGGTCTACTCAGCCGCAGGCAGCCAGCAGATCTTCAAAAGTGTCGAGGTTTGAGCTGATCTGCCTTGGGGGAGGGAGCTTGGAATGGCGCACAAGCTTTCACATGTATCACACTTAAAAACACTCGTCATCCCCCATCTTCGCTTCACAATCTGCGTCTATTGATAATTCCTCCCTTTGCTCACCTTGCGCCCTCACAAACCACGATAATACCCCAGAAAACAAGACTCACACAGCAGTAATTGCTCAACACACACACGTACAACCACGCACCATGGCTGCTCCAGCCGTCCACTCCCTCCCCCCAGCCGGGAACTCCATCGGCATCTTCCCGCAGTTGACAGCGCGCCAGAGCGAGACCCTCGTGCTCAAGGAAAAGATCCTCTCCATCACCGGCGACAGCTTCGACATCAAGCTCGCCACCGGCCAGCCGATCCTCCGAGTGCAGGGCAAGGCGCTGTCCATCTCAGGCCGCAAGGCCGTCTACGACATGTCGGGGAACCACCTGTTTGACATCGTCAAGGAACACCTGCACCTCCACACGACATTTGCGGCGCAGGACCCCAAGGGCAACAAGATTATGGAAGTGAAGAACAGCTTTGCGCGTGAGTTATTTTGGTCCTCCCCCCCCTTATTAGTACCTAGCTCCAGTGGAAGAGGGCCGAGTAAGCTGATTGTAGGGGTTTCGCAACAGTGATCGGCTCAAAAGCTACCGCGACATTCGTCTCGCCGCAGACGGGAAAGACGGAATCGCTCGAGATGAAGGGCAATTGGCTCTCGACGCAGGCCGACATTGTCGACACGAATACCGGCCAGGTGCTCGGGCGGATCGACAGAAACATGCTCCGGGCGCGCGACTTTTTCGGGGGCAAGCAAACGTACGCCCTCACAGTGGCGCCGGGGGTCGATATGGCGCTCATGTGTGCCCTGTGCATCTGCCTGGACGAGAAGAAGAATGACCAAAAGGGTTAGGAGACAGCTCGGGGCTGGGCTGTGACGTTTCTGACGATTAATGTATGAGAATGGTTTGCGGGTTCCCTGTACCATGTATGATTGCGATTGATACCTTTGAGCTCACGAGAAGCTCACCAACATCTGAATGTTTGCCATCCTTTGTAGCAAAAATCCGACTTCTTAGCGTGTGCATGTCTCGGTCCCCGCGCCGGAATATAAGCGACTTATACAGACAGCAGGCGACTCAAGAAGCCTCCCAGAACACGTTTCCCCGCGTTTCTCCACAAGCAAACACCTACCAAATCCGGGGACTCCGTATTACTTCGCGCGCCTGGTCGGGGTGGGCTATCCGATCTTGAAGTCTCCACCCTCAGCGCCCCGACCCAGATCGAGGTGAAGGACACGAAGCAATTTGACGGACTCGAAGACGCGTTCGCGGGCGGACGGGCCGTACACCTTCTCCAACCAGCTGAGCAACAGCTTCCGCGTCCAGATGTTCAACCTCACGTCCGTCGGCCGAGTCACATCCCTGCTCATCCAGGGCAGCCCGAAGTGGCAGTCCATCAGGCTCTTGACGAACAGCACCATGTCCTTCTCAAGCGTGGGGTTCGAGGCGACAATCGATAGGGTACGCTTGAGCCCAAGGAACTTCAGGGGGTTTGAGAGTGATGACGAGATTTGGAACCAGGTGTGGAAGCTCAGTGCTATGGCGGCCACGGCGGCTTGCTTTGCAAAGGGGTCGCATAGGACAATCTGGGAAGTCACTGGGGAGAATGGAGTGTTTGCGCGCATCACAAGGCCAGCCCTTGGTCACTTACAAGACCAACTCGTGGAGTAGCAACACTATTGAGTTTGGAACCAATATTGAGAGGGGAGGAAGCTGATGGGCGACGGTGAGTATTCCATCCGTTTGCTCCACGAGTGAAAGATGTAACGTTGATAAGCCGTCACAGGAAGGAGTCCTTCCCGGTGATGGAGATACCATGCTCCTCACCGGCGAGCTTGCCGAGTCGAGCAGTTTCACCGATGTCAACAAGACTCTGACACCACCCAACACCTTCTCGCTGGCGTGTGGACCCGGCTTTGTTAACCAGACAACACTCACGAGCTACCTGTTCGATGTTTCCGACGTGCCGTTCATGCTGAAGACTGGAAGAACCAGACACAGCGCGCATCATCGCCGCCAGCACCTCGCAGACGGAGCAAGCCAGGGACACGCTAAAGCCCTAGGTCGACTCGCAGATCGCCAACGGCCAGATGAACACTTCGCCCAGCCTGGGGTACAACCTCACGACAGTCGCGAACGCGCTGGCGCCGCCGGCCGGGAGTTTCGGCTTGCAGGGCTCCCAGCTCCTCCTGGGCCTAATGGCCTTCAACGACCACGCGCGTCTCACAAACGACTTCGCCTGGGCGCGATCCACCTGGCCGCGGTGTCAGAGGGTGCTTGACTGACTTCTGCCGCAGATCAACGCTCCGACGGGTCTCGTAACCTTTGAGGTGGGATTCGCGGTTCACGGGGCCCGCGGACGGGGGATCTGCCACCGGAGGCGAGGCCGTCCAGCCTCTTCAACTACGCCGCCAACGTAGCCTACGCGCTGAGCGATACGACATCCGCCGCACGGTACAGAGACGCCGCGACGTCCTTGGCGACCGCGACGGATGAGCGTCTCTGGGACGACGGGAGGGGCGCGTACGGTCTATCGCCGGCGGATCTGGACTGCATCTCGGCGGCGGCGACGGCGTTCTGCATCACCTTGGGCATAGCGAACGCGACGCGCTTTTCGCGGTGCCTCGCCGCTGTGATGTCCAGCTTGAAGCTGAGACCGGGCTTCAGGGATAGCTCGGCAGGGCGCTCCAACGACTCGAGCGTCAACATCTCGCCCAATACCAGTGGGTTCCTGTTTTCGGCGCCGTTCATGAGCAACTAGACAAAGGCGGCGAGGGAGCTCCTGGAGATCCTCTGGGGCGCGATGCTGCCCGGCAGCGCGACCGAGGCGGCAGACCAGAGCGCGGTGGGCGCGAGCTGGGAGTACGTCGACGCCGCGACACGGCAGGCCGGCCGGTGACTGTTTACGGGCCTGAGTCACCCGTGGGGCGGCGCCGCAACGTATGTGTTGACGGAGTGGGCTACTGGTATTCGGCCTGCTGCGCGCAGGAACTGGGTGGTTTCGCCTGCGGCTGGGGTGGAGATGGGGTTGAGGTGATTGAGCGCCAATGCTGTCGGGGTTAGTATCAGGGCGCCCATTGGTACCCGCGTATGGGGATGAGAGCATTGTATTACATGAACGGTCCAAGTATCGGTTTACTGTTGACGCGCTGTGGGAGAATGGCATTGCTTAGATCTGCTCAACACTCCTAGCTTAGACTTGAGGATTGGAAAGTCTGTCATGACGGAGTCTACATGCGGCACTTATTCGAGCACGCGAACCAAGGGTAGTCTTGCATGTTAGTCCAAAGTCGTGACGTCGTAGACAATTATCGAGGCTTGGAATGATCAGATCACGATGTGGGGGAAAAGCCGAGACATTGCTCAGCGCTTTATCGTTCTTATTGTGGATTCTTACCGGGCACTGACATCGCTTGCCTCCACCCATGCAACGGGTTAAGCAAACAATCTATGGTTGTATAGTGTAGCGGTTATCACTCCAGATTTTGACTGTACCAAAACTTCTGGTAACCCCGGTTCGAACCCGGGTACGACCTAATCTAGCAGCGATGGTTGTCGCGTTGCATCCTTCTTTTTGTTTTCTCAAAAGACAGATGAGTTGCCACATCTTCTTGTGCACGACGTCCGCTCAAATCACTTCATGCACGTGCAGACTAGTACTACCGTCTTTTGCCCAGTGTATAATGCGCAGTGGAACCCGTTGAAAGAGAGGCCTCTATCGTGAACTAACCCCACGGCTTTGCCGTCAAATGTAATAGCAAAGCCGAGTCACGTACATAGGTAGGTAACGTAATTACTTCAGGTTGAATGATTGCTCGTTTACTGACCACAATCAACAATTGTCGAAGATGCGGAAGTAAAGAAAAAGCAATTTTGCCCCTTGGAGAACTCAGCTGCATTAATTCGCATTGCCTGCGCCTTGAAGCCAACATAGTGGTGGGAGAATAGACAAGAGGGAGGCAATGCCGGAGTTCTCGCCACCCGGGCCCGCGCCACGCATCACCGGCTACTTTCGGCACCTAATTCCGGCATCGGAGCTGCCAAACAGAGTACGCTGCCCCGCCCCCCTCCCCCTCAAACTCCGAACTCCTCGAACCGTCCCATCTCCGCACTTCCCGGTCACATGATGCCGTGATCTCGATCTCCCGTGAGAAGCTTCTCCGCAGTAGCCGTGTATCTCAATCCATCAGAATGTCAATGTCGGCTCGAATTTTGAGGAATAGCTTCAAACCCGCAGTTCGGCAACCGTTTGTTCCCCGCCCATCCGCCTCTTCACCGTTCAACCGCTACCGCACAATGGCTACCGCCGCCAAGGAGTTCCTCTGCATCCTCCCCGACAAGCCGGATGCGCTTGCCCGGCGCTTGGAGGTCCGACCGTAAGTGTTCTTAGACTAGCTGTTGTGAAGAGGCCGAGTGGGGGTTCCGGACGATTGCTGATATGCCGCAGCACACATCTCGCGAATGCCCAGGGCCACAAGAGCAACGGAAAGGTTGCCGTTGGTGGTACGTAATCAGTGAAACTTGCTTCTTCTTGTGAGGTCTGCCATGATGTCGATGCTTATAATGAGACTAGGCGCCATGTTTGAGAAGGAACACCCCGTCGAGGGTCAGACGCCCGGCTTCAAGGGTAGCGTGATGATCTACACCGTGAAGGACGCCGACGAGGCCTGGGAACTCATCCGAGGCGACGTGTATGCCAAGAATGATGTTTGGGACCTGGAGAAGGCTCAAGTCATTCCGGTAAGTTTCAGACTTTTGTGACCAAGGAAGGAGATCCGACTGACTCGGGGTGATTGGTGTAGTTCAAGTCAGCTATCCGCGAATCTTTATAAACATCTGCATAAAGTAGGTACCTGAGGAGTTCTCGATTCCGCCAGATCGCCATATAGACTCAGCGACGAGAACACAGATAGATACTCAAACTTTTCGGTGTCATTCACCATTCCTCATTCCGCTTTTGACTACAGTAGCTCATCAACTCCTCTCCCTATTCCCATCAACAGACTGTATCAAGTCCTCCACATCCAACCTCTCCGCCAAATCCAACAACGCCTGCGGAGAAAGGCCACCCATGCCGCTCGTATCAAAAATATCCCACCCAGCCTCCTCCATCTGATCCAAAAATGACCCGTGCTCGTGCCCGTGCCCATGATGTTGGTGGGAAGGGTGGTGGTGGTGGTGGTGGTGGTTCGCCGTACTCGTCGGCGGCGGCGTCGGCGGCTCCTCCCCGACCGGCGTCAGCGCCGACATGATGTGCTCCAGCTGGCTCAGCTCCAGCTTCCGCAGCGGCGCCACGAGGCTCCCCTTGGAAATCATCTTGTCCAGGACGCACTTGATGTTCTCGCACCACGCGTCGTCGTGCAGGATGGAAGGGCTGATGACCCGGATCAGGTAGAGGAGGAACGCTGAGGAGAAGGCGTCTTCGAGCTGGAAGGGGAGGAAGGCTTCGAGGAGGTCTTCGTCTCCGAGGACGCGTAGCGTTCGGAGCACCGTCTGTGCGGAGTCGACGCAGGATTGTAGGAGGGATGCGACTGGTGGTGTGAGGGAGACTGTTTGTGAGTGTCGCATGTCGGAGTGTTCAATGTGCATGTGGAGGGCACACATGACCAGTGGCCGAGTGGTCAGGACGACGCACTGCTGGGGTTAGAAAATAAGCTCCCCAGGTATATGTAGATGGACGTACGTGGTGGTAAGACAGGATGAGTCGCAATGCCATCCTGGAAGCTCTGCTGACAGAGCCTTGAAAGTGCGTGTCGAGGAGCGCGGTGAGATCCCGGGATAATCTCGCCAGATCCCTCAGGATCGACTGGGTGTTGGGAACCAGCGAACCATCAAACTCTTTGCCCACACCATAAATAGCTAGCACGACAGCATTAGTGACCCGTTTCCTCAACAATTAATTCCTCCTCCTGCTGGGAAACTCACTTGTAAGGATACGGGCCATGAGCCGCGATAGTCGGACATGCAGCGTCATATTCAGCGCATCAAGGGAATTGTCCATTTGCGAAGGAAGCTTCACAGTGATATCCTCATCCCGAATAGAAGTCGGCGCTCCCATCAAGGCCGAAAATTCCCTGTCGAGGGTGTACACCACCCAGAAAACAATATTGCAGCGTCGCGAGTACTCGATACCGACAACTTCTTCGGGCATATGTCTATAGATGCCTTCAACGATGCCGATTCGCAGCGCCTGTCCAATCTACAACCCCCCGCGTCAGTGACCCCGTATTCTCTTCAAAAATCTCGCGATAAAAAGGGTAAAAAGGAGGGCAAGCTCTCACGTGTTGATACGCAGCCAACCTCATATCCAAGCACTGAAAGTACAGCGCAGCCAAAGCAAGCGCCTGTATAGCAGGAATCGTATCCGGATTCAAGCCCGACAGGTCCGGCAGCAACGACATGGCCCTCGCGGCGTACTGGACCCCGGGCGGGGCCGCATGCGAACTACCGTTCACGACAAACGCCTTGCCGAACGCGAGGACGAGCAGGTACTGCGCGTACCACAGCCTCGAGGCGCTGGCCTTGCCGACGGGGTCCTCGTACAGCTCGTGGAGGTTCTTGAGAAAGGACGGCTCGTCAATGACGTAGAAGACGGCGCCGAGATAGAACTTGACCGTGTTGAAGAGGAAGAGGGCGTAGTCCAGCGGCGGGAGGTTGGAGACGTCGGGCGTCTCGGTGGCGCCTAGGGGCGTCCATTGCATCCTGAAGGCGCCCTCGTGGGGGAGATGCCACGGGTCTGGGGCTGCCTCTGGTATGCGTTTGCCCAGCAGGGCTAATACTCGTCGGCAGAATGACCATGATGAGGTTGGGCCCATGTACCCTGTGGAGCGGCATGAGCATTGTCTTGTTTAGTCAGGACATGGGCATATATGACTTACAGTACCGTTCCCCCACCTTTGCAAAGGTGTAGCCGCTGTCCACGAGCGGGTTCTGTCTAAACCCTGGGCCGAAATCGCCGTGGTCTTCGTGATTTGAAGGAGCATCTCCTACCTCAGTGTCCGGCTCAGACGCCGGAGGACCTTCAAGGTGCGGACTCTCTAAGACGTCTGCAGCGTCAGTATGTATATGAGTGCACCACCGGGCAATAAAAGAATTAGTGCAACTCACCATGCCTCGGTGTCTCGGACTGGCCGGCGGTGTCTTCACTCTGAGAAAGAGAAGTGTGATGCGGCGTCGCATACGCATCCGTATACCGACTCTGCACGTCCTCAACATCGTCGCCCCGACTTAGAGCCCTCGCCGGGCGGTCGGAATCCTGCTCGCTGTTCCTGTTCTGAAGTTCTCGGAGGTAACTGGAGAAAGTGGAGTCATTAGTCTTTGTTGTTGTTTCAATCCCGACAACTGAACTGGTCCCGACAACTCACCTCTCCGGCACCGATATCCTCTTATCCTCTACAGCAAAGATGCATCTATGCTTTTTTCGGTCGCAACGGGTACAAGGCTGAGAGCCGGAGCACTTGACCTTCATCACCCGACATCGTTCGCAACTTTTTTGTTTTCGCCCAAGTCAGCCTTTTCATCAAAAACTAAACTCTCCGATGTTCGGAACAAACGGGCCCGGGCAACTCCCCCCTCCCCTTTTCGCACAGAACGCACGCTTTTTGGCATTTTTTGGTCACTTTGAACTGTCCCTGGCTTAATTGCGGCATGGCGGACGGTTCTCGTGGAGCCAGTTTTGCGACTTCATGTCTCTCTTTCTCGTGTTTCCCGCGTGGCTGGTAGCGCGTGCAGTGCTCGCAACGTAAATATGTCGGAGCAGGGTTCCGACAAGTTTTACATGTGCGCAACTTGGTGTCTTTATTGGCAATAGCAATTTTGGGGCAGATGGACACTAGTGCGAGACCGCAGGACGGTTTGTTGGGGTAGGCGACTCGCCGTAGATAGCCGAAGGAGGTCTTTGCGCCATCCTTATCGTTGGGGGTGCTTGCTTCTACCCCACAAAGTCCACGGGCGTGTTCGTCCGTTCACAGTTCCGGAGGCACCGGAGTTGATACGGGTGATGGAGAATGGTGCTTCTGATGAACTACACACCTCACTCATCGTGGGGAAGATCGGCACGTGTTCGTCGAAACCTCAAGGAAAATGGAGACTAGGCAAAAAATCCGGGGTTGAGAGATCACGAGACCGCTTGGCTCCGGAGGGGAGGCTTTCGAGGGAGAAGAGGCATTGGAGCAGGTGACCCAAGCTACGGGGTAGTCTACCTTAGGTGGAGGTCACGCCCACTGTATCTGAGCAGATCAATGTCGGGCTCTCAACTAACACTGAATGCAAGAATAGCAGAGCACTTGGCAACCGGGAAGAAGCAAAAGGTAGGATCATCGAAAGAACGAATGAAAAGTCCTCGCTTTATCAGCGGATTCGACGAGCAGGACGCAGGGGATCCGTCCTCCTACCGCAGAAGAATTCGCCGAGATACCACCCTGACTGTTGTGAGATACCTGTTGCGTCAGATCTGCAAAAGGAAACCAGCTAGGTCGTGATTGAGAAGAGGCTTGGAAAAGTCACCGGATCTGCCACGGGGTGGCCGAGTTGTGGAATGTCGGGTGACGTATCCGACATTCCCCAAATATCCGATGACGCCGCCAAAGTGGGCATCGGATCGCTGTTCCGACCATCTCCAGGCCAATTGCGTCAAAGTGTCTTATCATACCTCCAAGCCGAGGCTTGTTTACCAGTGCCCTTGCTTTGACGACATAGATTGCCGACCCTCTGCGTATGTGACTCTGCATAGGGCCTGTTACAAGTCGGCATCCGGCTGCAACGCGATGCTTTGTAAGTAGAACTGAAGCATGTTTTTCAGCAGTTAATTTAGTGACAATGAGATTCCCCTCGTTGGGGCGTTTGACCCCGCGGAGGTATGTTAGTAATCGCCATACGTGCACCTCGGGAACAACCAGAGGATCAAATGCTGAGTTACCTCTTAGACCACAAATCGCACCACGTACACTACCAAGCCCAATGTGCACAATCAGAATGTCTTCAACCAAATTGGCAGGCTCAGCAGGAGCTATTGTAGAGCGTGTCGGTAACTTTGAGGAGGTACAATCTAAGCGCCCCGACTTTGACCACTCTGGTGCGCCAAGAGAGGTCACAAAGTCTCCCGATCCTACTTGGTCCTACGGCCAGGGAGTCCGCACCAGGGAAACCATCTCCGCAACCCACAAGGAGATTGATCCCTATGCACCAGACCGTTCCATGATCAATAACTATCGTCTGCTCGTGTCTGGAATTGCACCCAGGCCCGTGGGGTTTCTGAGCACCTTGTCAAAGGACGGCAAGAAGAACCTCGCGCCGTTTAGCTACTTCCAAGTCATTGACCATGACCCACTCATGTTTATAGTCGGCTTCTCATCTCGGCCGGGCGCTGTCAAAGACTCGTATCGGAATCTCCAGGAGACGGGCGAGTGTGTCATCAACACAGTTTCGGAAGACATGATTGAGGCGGTCAATGCCACGTCCATCGACGCGCCGCACGGCGTTTCCGAGTGGGCTATTTCTGGGCTGCACGAGGGAGAGACGACGACGGTCAAGCCTCCGAGAGTTTTGGAGTCGGTCTTTTCGATAGAGGCAAAGGTAGTAGACAGTAAAGAGTTTAGCGACCACGCCCAGGAGGGAAAGAGCGTGGCCGGCATGGTTCTACTCAAGGCTACTCGATCCTGGGTTAGGGAAGATGCTGCTGACCCAGAATCCAGTCGCATTGAACTCGAGAAATTGCGTCGGGTTGGTCAGCTAGGTGGGAAGTCGTATGGGCGCATCACGTCGACTTTTGAAGTGCCTCGTAGGAGATGGCAGGATGAGGAGCCGGAAAACAGTCTTCTTCAGAACCTAGGAAAGACGGCCTCGAAATAAGATTTCTTTTTTTGAAAAAGGGTTTTGCGCAAACTTTTGGTGACGTGAAGCAATGAACCCTTTCAGTTGTAGCACCCACGAGCGACCTAGCCTCATCGCGGGCCATTGGGAACACAGTCCCTATTCACACAAAGTTCAACGTGAGTACCCCTTACAAATGCAAGCTCGACTTTGAGCCTCCCATTCGTGGGATATCGACGAAATGGAATCCACGAGCCGCGACTTCATCCCCTCTCATTCGACGCCACTCGAAATGATCTTAGGACGGTAGGGATCTGTCGGCCAACCAATGAATTCAGGGCTGTTGGTGTAGTAACATTTGATGCATACGAGAGCTCCAATCGCTGTTGAAATGAGGCTCTCGCATATTACTTAACTACATAGGCCACCCATTCCTCGTCAAGCCTGATTCTTCTTTTGCTTTTACGTCTCCATACCAGTCATAACCATGATTGCATCCTCTGAAAACCTCTCACGCAGTTCTGTCGCGCCAAAAGATCCGTGGAAATCGCTTGTCGAACGAAGCATCAACGCATGGCCGGCGCGGATGGCGGACATGCATAGACTTGCGGGAGACTTCTTGCAGCATTACAGTAGCCTAGATGACTTCCTATGCGCTCCACAGGCAAATCTACTGTTCTGGTTCTTTCAACGGAGACAAGCGTTCCTCTCCCAAAAGAGGCTGTCAAAGTGGAGCAGAGATCGTCTGGCGGATTATATTCTCATGCCCGCTTCCAACGGATTCGTCTCACGGGCAGAGTGTCTCTTTGTCAGCCACTTTTGGACCACAAGCGACGATCCAGATCCTGATGGCACGAACTTGCGCCTTCACCAGAACCTACTCGCGCCTCAGTCTTGGTTATATATCTGGGTTGACTGGACGTGCATCCCGCAACATCCCCGAACCGAGAAGGAGGAGGCTTACTTCTTGCGCGGGCTTGAGACAATGCCGGGCATCATTCGAAACTGCGGGTTCAGTTGGTTTTATCCGCCCTTCCAAGCCCGCTTGTGGATCTTGTATGAGATCGCCGAGTATAGCCTTACGTGCGACTACGGGATTGAGGAGACTGAAGACAACAAGGAATTTGTGAAACACATCCAAGAAATGCAGGAGGTTGGGGTGCGGTCAGTGCTGACCAAGTACGGTTATAGGTGTAGCGACGATCGTGACAAGGAATACTTGATCTCGTGTCTGGAGCTTCTATGTGTATTGAGGCGATTACATTTTGACCTTCTCGATGTCAGACGGTTGATGAATCACGTGCTATGGAGTTCTCACGCGCAACGATTAACATACAGGGTTCCCGATGGAGTTGTGGAGTTTTTCAGGTTCGATGGGTTTTTAGACTTTCAAGGAGAGCGTCATAAACTCACCGCGTTTCCCAAGTGGGTAAGTTTTCTACCGCCATTAATGACTTGAACATCACTAAAGAGGTATCAATAGGGGGAGGGCAAATATTCCGCCAATGCCATATCTTCAGACTCTCAGAAGCGCTAGAAGTTTGTCCAAGAGGTCAAGTACCACAAAACGATAAGAGAGCAATGGGATTGTTGAAACTTTCTCAAATTTTCTCAGTGTTTTTGAGTGTCTATTATTGGATATCTCTAAAGCAAATCATTATGCATCGCTGTTTAAAAAAAAAATAAAAAAAGAAGCTTGGCTTAACCAAAAACCCGGCGTCTCAGCTCGCTCTTCAATGAGCCGAGCATATGTGCGCTCTCCGCGACGGCTCCCTTGTTCTCGACCGCCCTCCGGTGCAGGTAGCCCATACACTCCGAAACAGACCCCCACGGCAGATACTTGAACGGCTTGGGGATAGCATCCCTCTTCAGCCCAGAGTCCGCGACGCACGTGTCGTAGTTATCCAACAGCTCGCAGCTCAACTCGTCCGCCATGCCAAACAGCTGACCGCACTCGAGCTCCGTCGTGGCCTGGCCGTCTAGGATCCTGCGTCGGTGGGTAGAGATTGCGGTTGCGGAGCTGGCGGCGTTGTGTGTGGCGAGGAAGAGCGCGCTGGCGGGGAACTGGCACTCCTTGGCCTCCTCGGGCAGTCTCTGGCTGATAAACATGTCGGCAATGTCGTCAAAATTGGTGTCGGTGTCTTTCTTGGTGTCGTGGATCAGGGATCGGACTTCGTTCTCAATGTAAGCGCCGCGGACCAGCTTGACTCCCAAGCTCCAGCCCTCCTTCGCAGCCAGAGAAATATGGCGCTCGGAATTGGCCTTCGAGCCCTTGAGATAACCTTGAATAGTGTTGTAAATCAACGGCTTGCTCTGGCGGTTGTGCTTTCTCATGAGGTCGATAGTCCACTCGTCGAGTTGGGGCTGAAGGGCTTGTTGCTCGGCATCGATCCAGAGACGGGAGCCTTGTCTGTTGGTCTCCTCGCAGAGCTCATCCAAGGCCTTGCTCAAAACTTCCGGGATGGGTGCTTTCGACTTCAAGGCATCTACGGCAATGGGACCAGCGCCAGTTACCCTGAACTTGTTAGTAGGGAATTATGGGAAAGAGTGGCACTGCAACTTACTTGACAGCCAGGAAGTCGCCTGGTGCCATCATATGGAGAGTTTCGAGGTTTCCTTTCTTCCATTGGTCGACCATCGCATAAACCTGCGGAGCGTACTCTCCAGCTTGCGCTTCAGCGTCGGCGGCCTTCTTGTCCAAAACGATTTCTTTTGCGTAATTGAGAATGACACCCTGGTAACCCATTCGCTTCACTTCGGAAACAGTCTTTGAGACTTGAGGGATGTTCTCTCCTGCGCAGAAGTGGTCGTAAATGGTCCATCTGAGTAGCCGGTTCAACAAGGGATTCTTATCGGGGTTGAATAGTGCGAATTTGGTGTTGGCGATAAAGTGTAGTAAAGGTAACGCTGGCTTCATGAGAAGTGGTGATGACATGAATTGGGTGAGGAACAATGACCGGACCAGAGCCTTGGTTGAAAGCCGAGATAGAGGCGATTTCTTCGGGGTCGGTGTGAAGGTTCGTGGCGCTGTTGGAGACAAAGTTTGAGTCTTGGCCGCCGTGGTGCTGACATGCCTCGCCGCTCCCTGCAGTCGAAGGGATCTGCAGAGCGGCACCGGCGCATGGCTGCACACGACGAGTCTGGCCGGCATCGTGATAGCTGAGGGGGGTTTGGTCGGTTGAGACGAGACTTGAGACGCAAAGGGATGGTGGGAGGGTGCCTGGGCACTTCTATTTATCGATCACGAACGGCTACGGCCGGCATAAACTCTCAATCGCGGCCGAGTCGTGGTATCGTGGAGATATGTCTCCGAGCTAGCCAACCCCCGCCGTCGGCGTTCCGATGGTGTATCTCTGTGCCCCCCACCGGCCAAGACTAGAGTTTACGTGTGGTATTGCGGCTCTTGTCCATTGCGGATTACGGCGGGGCCAGCTTAGTATTGGATCATCAGTTCGCAGATGGATAAGACAAGCCCGCCACCGACGCATAACCAAGACATTATTGGGTCTCGATGAGATCAAAATCCAACACAAGCCCGTTATCGGAATGCTTTGAGTTTAGATCCATGAGATAACAGTGACCAAGTGACCAAAGTCGGGGGCTTAGACAATGAGGGGGCACCCCGGAAGTAGCAGGTGTCGGTGCGCCAGTCCCGACATGTCGGATCCTAAAAGTCGGAAGTGCTTATCGCGTCGGAAGTTCATCCCGACAACACAAATTTCCCCCATGGTAGCTGAGATGATTGACTCTGTAACTTTGTTCCACTTCAGTCCTTCCGACGTTCAACACCGCTTTTTCCTACAGAGAAACCCTTATCAATCATTTGAGCGATAGATTGAATCGACCGATGAATCAGCAAAATGGCTGGCTGTCCCTACATCTATCCCTGATCGTCGTGTGGGCCATCCTTACGCATATGTTTTCTGGTCATCATGTCGTCTCACCGTTAAGGACAAAACTACCGTGGAACTTGGGTAATTAAACGAGGGAAGAAAACAAACTGGCGGCTGCGGCTCTGTGGCTTCTTAAACATAAATAAGGTTTGAGCCCACCTCCCCTATCCAGGGATTATAGGTTCATCTTACCGCTATTATACTTTTCCGTTTTAAACTACCAGCGGCCTTCTATGTCGTTTCTAAGAGACGGACATAAGTACAGTGGATTAATCAAACTGCTTAACTTAACCTATACTCTTTGTTCTCATTCTATCCGCCTGTCATCAAGCATTACAAGACTCTCAGTACCTTCCACCTGTAATTCAATCATGTTTGCGACCAAAGTTGGGCAGAAAAGACCATGTCAACAACAGGAATGCCAGTGCTCCAAGCAGTATCGGAGACAAAACCTGCACACCATGGCGCTGTGCCTGAGCCCCAATGACAAAGGGTAGGACAGCTGCACCACTGCCTCCAAGAGCAATGGCGAAACCGATGGCACTGACATGTAGGTGCCGTGGTAACAACTTTGTGATGGCAACCATCATGGTGGGGAACAGGGGTCCCAAGAAAAACCCCTGAAGAGATACCGTGATTGCCGAGACAAAGAATTCGGGAATAAGCCAGAACAAAAGCTGTAGGCACACGGCAGCACCGAGGTAGAGCTATCAAGGTTTCGAAGTTAGTCAGCTGATTGACCGATTCATGTTCAAAATTTTGAATAGGCCCCTGAGGTTGAACAAACCATGACAGCAAGCTTCTCGCCCACGCGGGGTGTCACGAGGCCGAGAGCAACGCGGCCCAGGGCTAGACCCGCCCAGAAACCAGTGGCCGTCATACCACTGGCAAACTCTTCTCCATGGCGAACCTGCAACATGAATGTGACAATCCAACCGCCAAGGGAGACCTCCAGTCCGACGTAGCCCAAGGCAAAGACGGCGCACAACCATGTTACCCGAGCCGAGGGGAGTTTGAACAACGTTTCGTGTACAATCGACTCTCTCGGCTCTGGACCTTTGGGGTTTTCCTCGCGGTACGCACTTCCAGTAGCGGACCAAAAGGCCGATGGCGTCAAGACAAGCTCTACCATGGCCAAACCAGCCTGGATACACGATGACTTGGTTAGCGGACCCTCCATGACACATTTTGCGGAGATGTGCTCTCTCTCACCATGAAGTAGTAAAAAGTATGCCATGGCAGTTGAGCTTTGCTAATCATCACGGTTGCCGTCATTGGGCTGAGGACAGCACCAACGCCGTAGCAAGCATGCATCAGACTGATGACATGGCTTGAGTCCGCCAGACTCCCGACCCACGAGTTCCAGGCTGCATCGCCTATCCCGTTGCCCAAGCCAGCCAGCATGTAGATGAATACCAACGCTGGGTAGGGTGGATGCAGTGAAATGGCGACGTATGATGCCAGGTGACAGACAGAACAAATCACTGCTATGCCCCTTCGTCCAACACTCTCGTGAAGGCTGTTGTTCAAAATGGCAGAGAGCGTATGTCCAATGAAGGGTGCAAGGAAGATCAGAGATGTGAAGGAGTAAGGTAAGTCGTAGTATTTCCCCAGCTTCACATCATGATTCTATTAGATGCTGGTAGAACTAAGCCTCTGAGAGAACTTACATAAGGTATAATTGCCTAATTCAAGTTCAACCACTGGTTAGTCCTAAAGCTCACAATATTCCACGACGTATTGCATCCGACTTACCCCGTAAGAAGCATCGTTTGCCCCCATGACCAATAGGCTCCAGAATACGGCCACTGTACGGACAACGTTTGAACGTGAGCTGTTCCACTTTTGCATGGCTAAAACAGCGTCGTCGGGTGTAGAAGGGTACTCGGCATGCTCGCGACGACTGAATTCCGGTGATTGACTGGACCCATCGCGATGACCACCAGTGTACGCAATTGGTGTAAAAGCCTCGCCATACTTTGTACCGTGCTCTCTCTCGATGGACGAAAAAGAGAGCTGCTGTAACTCGATCCGCTGAACACTACTACTAGGCGCCATGTGTTGAAAATGAAAGCTTGGAAATTGGGAGGTCTATGCCTCGAAGTGTGGAGTCAAAGGCTCAAAGCTTTTCGACGGGGGTGGATTTCAGATATTGTATGAACGGCTCACCAGCCAGTGTAGAATTTGTAAAAACAGGAGACGTGGTCTGTTATTGTCAGACTCCTGGCAGATGTGATCATGAATGAGTGGTGCCTCCTGTCGGAGTTCCCAGAGCAGTAAGTCCGGCTGCCGGCGACCCTGAGGCCGGGGTACCACGATCGCTTATTCACATCAGCGACTATGCGAACTAGTAGGTACTGCTGGTGCTCAAGTCTGAAGTCATGATTGGCCTGAGCACGCAAGCACAGCGAGGGTTGCCTGCAAGATTTATAATCCGCTCTCGTCACTCTGCTTTGTTAAAATCAGCACATTTATTCCAGCGGCTGGGCCATTGACTCATCGTAGCTAGTCTCAGAAACTTCTGAAACATTCAGGCTGTACATGTTCGTACAAACTCATTGCTTGGATTCAAACGAATAGTACATGTATCTCCTAAGTAGGTGAATCGAACGCCGAGCTCGGGAAACTGTGGAGCAGCAAGGATTGATGTCCGGCAGTCAGGGACCACTTGCCGAATCAGGAAGTACTTCCCACCGGACATGAACTCGACTACCATGGTCAGATGAAACCATTTGCTTCGTGTTGTGCGCTGTGACTAAGTGAATTCTGCCTGAGTTCCTCGTCACTTTTCCTTTCCCCGTGTCTTCGTGCTTGCGGTAGCGGAAGACGTATGCAGGAAAGCATTGAAGGAGTCTAGAACATGAGGTGTCTACATTTCGCAAAACATTTTTGAACGTCATAAAAACATGTGATCATTGCGGGATCTATCGCTCAGGTTCAGGTCCTATGTCTCGTTGCTGTCCCAGTGAACAAGACTAGGCTGGTAATGACTCCTTCAAGTTGCTGAGAATTCTGTCCTGTAAGTGTGCACCATATACAGGGGGCACGTCCAACCCGTTGAACAAAGTCAAATCGGGATTGATGGTCTGGCTCCGCGGCCGAATGAATTTGTTGTTTGCATCGATCGGCATCTGAGGTGATGAGAAGAGTATTATTGGCAACGAGGCACGGTACTAAGCTTCGTTAGTAAATGTTGGTGACTGTGCAGAATTGGCGCACTTGCCTTGAATGCAAAAGTACTGTTATCTGATTCTTGGACGGTGATTTCGATGGAAAGAAGATGTGTCATGCTGATATCGTGTGCTTCCAAATCTGGGCAACATTGCTTTGGTTCTGAGGGGAGCGGAAGATTCTGCGACGTCTTGTAGAGCCTTTGCTCCAAGTTTTCGTAGTTCTTCACGGACATCTCCCACTCTGTAACGTCTCGATCGCCGATGAAGTCTGATGGCTGGTTTTTGCCAGTTTCAACTTTGTGTGACTCTAGAAGTACGCATCTCGCCCGCGAGATTCTCAACCCCGCCTTCAACGGCGTGAAATGCATTTCTAGAGGAATAACTGTGCCAAGAGCAATGGCACGGTGACCGATGGAAATTGAATAACGCAACCTCTCCGACCATGTGCCTTCGACCGTCGCCGGGTCCATTAACTCGAACGCCGAACTTGGCAGCGTCCTGTTTATCCGTATCGTCCTGTAAGTCTGCGGGGTTGCAGAGGACGTCTTGCTTCGGATTGTCGTGGCAGTGAGCTGGTAAGCGATACTGCACCTGCTGCAACCGTGGAATGTTTCCAGCGTGTCCCCAGGTATAAACAGTTCGAATGGCCATTCGTGAGTGGTAGTTGCTAAACCGTCTTCGTGGACATCTGTTCGACCGTGGTTGATGAGGAAAGGCGGCCATTCATGCTCGAATACCCGAATCGTGATTGAGCTATCAATCGTCCTTGAACTGGTGTCATGGTCCCTGCAGAGGCAGTCAACGTTTCATTGTCAATTATTGTGAGTTCGATCCATTTATCACCCACCTGCGACGTAGAAAGCCGTCCAGACGTAGACGCACACCAACTGCTGGGTCTCTTGAAGGTAAACGAAGACTGAGAACCCCTTCGAGGGGCTGCTTGCTAGCTTCATCCGCTGCACCTCTCAAAAACACGTAGTCTCGATTCATCCTATTCAGCGAGGTCAGCCAACACAAGATCGTCGTCGAGCTACTTAGCCGACAAGGCAGCACATGTGCTATTTTCGCTTACCGGATTTTGAGATGTGCATCTTTGCCTTCTGCGCCTGTTAGGCGTGATAGAAACGAAAGCATAGGGACTATAGCTATGGCCGGTTTGGAAGGTTGATATCGTCAAAGAGTGCAAGAATTTCCTCTTCATTGACCCTTGATAGGTGTAGAAGTAAATCAAAGCCCGGACAGTGGCGTTGTGAATCGCATCATACTGCTCCCTGTTGTGGGCAGAATCATTTAGTGGAGAATGGTTACCGCCGGGAGGAAGCGGGATTCGGTTCCGTCGGGAAGCTAGGCTAATCCAACGTCCTCAGCCTCAAGACAGCACTTCTGAGGTGGTCCGCGATTATGCAGAGACTCCTTCAGCGAGAATTGTCCTGCAAGGCACAGCCATGAATACGACTTTATTGAAGCAAGGACTCATACGGCGTGTCTTGGTCGCGGCACAACGTGACACCTGTACAGAGTACATCGAGTTGTGCCCTTTTCCCAAAGAGGTAATAGAACCCACCAGCAGAATAAGGGTGCGACTTTCCTAACCCAAGCATTACAAGCTTGTTGATCCTTCGACTTTTGGGAAGGAATATTGTTCCATGTTCGGAAAGAAATCCAGGGGTATCAAGAAGGAATACAATGCCGCCAGTTTCTGTCGAGTGATTAGGTCACAACCGAAACTATTGTTCTATACCAGCGCCAAAATCACATGTCGCATCTACTTTTCCTCTTGAAAGCAGAAAACAAGCGGAGTTGAAGCGGAGGTAGCGGAGTCGACCGCGTGCCGGGTCATCGCTCAATGTACCGGATTTGCCCCGTTCGGATCCCCGAAACCAGCTCGATGCTGACGGGCTTTAGAACTGACTTCTGGGGGTTGTGATTCGGACGGAAAATTGATTCCTAGTGACAAATCTTACTGTCTGACTAACCGCTGGCTGGCTGGCCTGGTTTGTTGGCCCCCACGACGACCGCATCCCTTGCTGGCGTTGGAACTCTCTCGGCTAACGATTCGTCGCTCACACCTAGTGAGACAATCAAGTTACGCTGTTGGGGCTAGCTGCATTTCGACGTCACATGCCGTAACATTCTTGCCCCCAACCTCCACGTTGGAGCTGGGCAAGCAATCGGCGGCCGGTGGGAAAGTAACTTCCTTCATACCTCTCCGTTGAGTCATCGCTGACCTCCCCATAACGTGTTGACGATGCCTTCCATCGATTGCCAGTGTGTTCCCTAGAGGTGTGGCATGTCCCGACCAAAGGCTAGAAGCCGACAATATTAATCTTACTATCCGTTGTCTTTATCGTTGACATAGACATTCACCAGTGATGATACCCCCCGTCTCTATCGTCGCATCATTGATCCTGGATACATAACCCCGCATTGGGCCAACCCAACCTCTGCCTCACCATCTAAGGACGACTAGGTCCCCCGAAACCACCAATTCCATCTCAAAAAGGATATCGCCCGATTCAATGTCGTCTGCTGCTTTATTGTCTGCGTCAATTATCACCAGCATGGCTGCTCTTCCAGCATACGGAAACTATCACCACGTTCAGCTGGCGGATGTGTTTGACTCTGCCCTTGATCAGAGGCTGGGTCGTCACCTCACACCCACGCCAGCCCATCTTACTCGCATCGTCTACGTCCCAACCCACAAAGACATCACTACTCATTTGCCTCTCTACGATTATGTTGAAAACTACGACAAGGCTGTCAAGAAGGAGCCTATCGGCAGCAGCAAGTATAAGCTGGGCCTTGCCATGATGAAGCGACCGTCCGGAGATGGGACGGATGCTCAAGTTCGATATCTGGTCAACTTTCAAGCTGGCCTTGAGGGAACTGTAGCAACAGTTGAGAGGAGAGCACCGACTCACAACGGTGAGATGGTTAGCATGTAAGTCTTTGCAAATACTCCTATACCTCGAGAGGATCCGACGGTTGACATTTTTGGAAGCCACCTACCTCGCGAGAGTAATGGCAACTTTAGTGTCGCTCCGCACAGCGTGGAGCAGGACATGCAACTGGCGGTGACGAGCTCGTTCCCCGTGCCTGACAGCAAGATGCACGCAACCGCAAACCCCGTCCGACACCCGTGGTTCACCATTTCACACACCTCGCGAGACGGAAGCATCACCGTTCCATCAAATCTGGAATGGAAAGTGCGCCCTACGGAACACGGGCCCCTGCGATATACTCTGGTCGATACTGACGCGGAGCTGGGAAGCGAGGAGCCGGCGATTCATGCCATCTACCACCACGTCGGCATCGGCTTCGCCCTGCCCAGTGATTACAGTGAGGGGATCTTGTTACTCTCGGAGGACCTTAATGAAGAAGCTGAAGCTTTGGCCGTTGCTACTCTACTCGGTCTCCTCCGACAGACGCGGTCGATCAACCAGCCTCCTCCGCGGCCGAGGAAAAAGTCATTGGTGAAGCGAATGCTGGGCAAGATTTGAGTTTTTGGTTTCATTAGAAATGAGTTGATGGACTTCATTGTTTTTGGAGAATGGATTTCAACGTGACCTCAGCTTGTATCAGCAAGATTTTCTTACATGGGGATATGAAGGGAGGAAGTGGTAGATACCCGGGAATTTGTAATGTTCTCTCTATTTAGTACTACTCGATAAGGATCGGTTTCGAATCATTCAGATCAAGAGCAATCAGCCGTGAGGTGGTATTTTAAGTCGTCCAGAGGCTGTCTAAGTACCCAGACTTTATCACACCATGTTCAAGCAATGACTACTTATAACCTTCCTTGGAAAGGCTTTGAGTAACCCAGCATTTTTCAAAGAAGTCATGACATGGGGTGAAACAGTTGGGAATATGTCTTCTTTTGGCATAGTTACAAGCTTCTCCGTCGAAGCATGACTCATTTGGCCGATCCATAATAATATGTCGATGGAGATGCTTGGCTGCATTATGACGTGCCTAACAAGATGAGGAATCAACTTAAGGACAATCAAGCAAATTCTCCTGTCCTCGGCCGGCCGGCCCTTCGCAGCCGTCGTAGCCCCACATACGGGTATCCATCAGTCGATGTAAAAAGAACCTCACGCCGAAGTCTCCATGATTTATAAGAACACATCAAGGCCACCAGGCTGTCTCCTTGCTTGAACAGTGAAATAACCTTTCATTGGCTTATTTGAGCCACTAAATTTTAGAAAGTCCATCTTCTATATCCTTCATATACCTTACCCTGTCTTGAGAAAAATCGCGTGGCATCATGCAACCAAACAAGACTTCCAACATGATGCCCGTACGTCTCATCACTTTGAACATTCGCTATGCCATCAAAAAGACGCTGTTGCCAAATGAGGAGCCCTGGGAAGTCCGTTGCCCCAGGTTAACGTCTCAGCTAAGATTTCATACCGCAGGCCTGACGAGTGCCTTTCTTTGCATCCAAGAAGCGCAACATCAACAACTACACGACTTGAAAGCTGAGCTCGGTCCACAGTGGGCCAGCATCGGTCGTGGCCGTGCGGACGGGGCATTCGATGGAGAATATTCGCCGGTCCTCTATCGAACCGATCATTGGAGTGCCGAGCGGAGCGAGACGTACTGGCTCAGTCCCACGCCGGAAGAGCCTTCAAGCGCATGGGGCGCAACTATCAACCGCATCGTCACGGTGGGCCTCTTCAAACACAAGACTTCCGACGCCAGGATCGTCGTCATGAGCACCCATCTCGATCACAAAAGCCGAGAGGCCAGGCGCGAGAGCGCCAAACTGCTACTCGAGATTGCTGAGCGCTGGCGGAAGGATGCCTCTGAAGGCCAAGAGCAGGATGTACCGGTGTTCCTGGGCGGCGACTTCAACAGCGGGCCGAATGACGAGCCGCATCAGTTTTTGACCGCTCAACCTGGCGGCATGACTGATATTTCGGACTTGGTGTCAACTCGCCACCATTATGGGAACCAGATTACTTACACAACCTTTGGCGAGGCGGATGCAACGACGATTGACTATCTTTTTGTGCTGAATCCTGAGCGCATACGGTTTTGCAGCTTTGCTGTACTATCAAACCGCTTCGATGATGGTGTCTATTACTCAGATCATCGGCCAGTGGTCGCGGATATGGAAATACCAGTTGCAAAAAGCTGCTAAAGCTCCTTTTTGCTCAACTCATGGCGAGGTTTAACTTGGGGTTACTTCTATAATCAGGACTCTACAGTCATTTTTGAACCAATGTCTGCGTAAAACCACATCCTCGGCACAATTACGAAATCTTACAGGTGCATCTAGGCACCTTCAATAATCAGCATCCAGTCCTCTCATTACTTGGATCGCCATTTTCAGGCGGATCCGCAAGGCAGAATATCCAGACTCACATATACAACCTGCTATAACAAGTGTCTATTCTCTGCAAAAGACCCTGAGCAAGTCCTCCTGAGGGTAGCAAAAAGTGAGCTAGAGGTGTCTCGACTGCGGGTCAGATTCGAAGAAGGAGAAGGGCCTGCGGCGATGTGCACACCGTCGTTCTTACCGCCGGTCGGGGAACGGAGCGGCTAAGCTTGAAACCTGCCAGCTTCAGTGCCTCGAGAAGGTTGTTCCGGAGGGCAACGTTGCTCTCAAGAAGACCATCGACATTGGACCAATCATTGTGGATGTATGAGTAGTAGAAGACGTGATCAGCTCGCACACCGGCCCGCTTCACACTCTCGGCAATCTAAGCAGGTCCATCGAGAAAGCCACGAGTGACCACCATCTCGATTCTAGAACGAGCTTCCCGTGACAAGAAAGCCATCATGTCTTCCGGCCGGGGCAAACGAGAGAACCAGAAGATGGTCTTCCAGCTCTTAGGCCGTCCAGGAGAGGTCTGTTTCGTGTACATGTTGCATGCCCCGGAGTCCGTCTACCGCGAAGTTCTCTGAACTTTTATGCATGAAAATACTCTGTCTAGACCTCAAAACAGACGATGCGCTCTACCATTTCGAGCTGCGTCTAACACAGCCACCACAAGGCCACCATCAATGATCCAGGTCTCTGGTAGGGTGTAGATACCTATACACTCGTCGAATTTTTATAAAAAGCAAATCGCAAAACATCTATCCTCACACCCTGTTCTTCTCTGATGCACCGCCAACCTGTCTTGTCCACAAATCCTTGTACCTAGTCCCTTGTGATAACAACTCTTCATGAGTACCACTTTCCACAACTCTACCCTCGTGAATAACCACAATCCTGTCTGCGTTGACAACAGTTGAGAGCCTATGCGCTATTACAAATGTCGTCCTTCCACTCTTCAAAGTCTCCAAAGCATGCTGGATATTGGCCTCAGTCATAGTATCGACTGCACTCGTCGCTTCATCGAGGATGAGGATGGGCGGGTCCTTCAGAAATACCCGCGCAATGGCGAGTCTCTGTATCTCCCCACCCGAGAGCTTGACTCCCTGCTCGCCGACTTTACTGTCGTAGCCGTCGGCAAACGTAAGGATCCGCTCGTGGATTGCGGCAGCCCGACACGCCTCGAAAACCTCTTCATCTGTCGCAGTCGGCCGTGCGTATCGCAAGTTTTCCAAGACTGACGCATTGAAGAGCAAGGGGTCTTGGGGGACCACGCCGAGGGCTTCGCGGAGCGAAGACAGGGTGACATTGCGTATGTCTTGGCCATCAATGGTGATGCGACCGCTCGTTACGTCGTAAAATCGGAGAAGCAGTTTCATGATTGATGACTTTCCGGCGCCTGTCTCTCCAACCAAAGCAATGGTCTTTCCTGGTGCTGCCGAGACATCAAGCTGTTGGATAGTCTGTCGCCTCGGATCGTACGCAAATCCGACATTTTCAAATGTGACGTGACCTTTCACGGGAGTGAGATCCCTGGCACTTTCCTTTTCAACAATGGTTGACTTGGTCTGCAAGAGGTTGAGGAGGCGTTCGGCATCCACGAGGTCCGACATCAAGTACCGGTAATTGTGGGACAGGAACTTGAGAGGCCAGACCAGGTACTCCCAGTACGACAAAAGCAACACGAAATCTCCCGCGGAAGCTCGGCCGTGAGAGATCTCGTACAGCACCAGACACGCCAGCACGAAAAAAGTAGCTGGTACAGTCGCCTCGAGGAGGGCCTGTATAAAAGCGTCGCCGACCTCGTACTTACGGCTAGCGGCAAGTTGCGAGTCCACAGCCTGGCCAAAACGGCGCTTTTCGAACATGAACATGTTGAAATACGTGACGGTCTGCCATCCCTGAACAGCCTGATGCATGATTCGCGCTTCCTCTCGTTCGGCTTTGCTCGAGGCCCTGCGATTCGCGAGATTCATGTTCGAGGTGACGACTTCCAAGGTGGTGAAGGCCACAGAGGCCACGAGCATGGCCAGGGAGACGTAGGCGTTGAACTTCCAGTACAGGAACCAGAGGGCGATGAACATGTCCGCCACGGTCGGGAGGATGTCAATCACCGCGGTCTCCAGCAGATTGCTGAGAGCCTCGCCCTGCTCAATGGCCTTCATGACTTCTGCCGAGTCTCTCTCAGAGTGGAACTCCATTGAAAGGTTCATGACGTGGCTGAAGGCCGCGTTGGTGATCTGGCTGTATGAGAATTGCTTGATGGGGATCTTGGCCAGCGTCTCGATGAGGCCCAGACCTGATTCGCCGCTGATGAGGCTCAGAAGCAGCCAGATAGCCAATGCACCATACGGCGCTTCTTTTTCCAGGATTTTGTCTGTGATGATGCCGAGTTGACGAGGGATCAGAATGATCATCGCTCTCCCAGCGGCGATGCAGAGGAGGCAGAGGAAGATTGAAAGCTGCACCTTTCGATCGTTCCTTGGAATCAGGAGCGGGACAAAGATTGAGAAGTCTTTCAGATATCCCAACCATCCACCTGTTTCCTGGAGTCTTTTAGCTCGGCGACGCTTGATGCTGGCACCGTCATCTTCATCATCGTCGGTGTCGTCATTTCCAGAGCCGTTGCTGGCAATTTCGGTGTCTGTATCATCTCTGAAGCGTCCGGTTCCATAATCGGCTTGACCCTGTTCGTGGTCTCGTGAATGAGATCCAAGAAACGGCTGACTTTCCTCAGAAGACACTCCGCTATTGCATGCTTGTATTTTGCATGCGTTGGCCAAAAGTACCACCATCAAGCCGGAAATGGTTGGAATTCGGACCCCTCGGCAAACAAGACTAACCACGTCGATGGTGGAGGAGACTTGTTTCTGAAGACTTAGAACCAGGATTGGAATTTCGAACAAGAATGTGGCGGTGGATGCGCCAAGCAAATAACGTGGCCGACTTCGATGGGGGAGGAACGCTGTCCAAGCAAAAGCTGATAGTAAGACATGAACGATGTGGGCTTGTTGCTTGTTGAAGGCATCGGATTGAAGTGCTGCAGCGACTACTTCCGAGAGGTAGGTGCTAATGATGATAAGTTTTGCAAATTTGGTAAACATTGATTGCCGACGATAAGAATTTTTTGGCGGTGGACTTATTTGTTTGGCTTGACCAAGATGTACTAAGGCTGATATCCCGATGAGCGCAATGCTCAGGGCACAGCCGTAGTGCAGAGCTTGGGAAGCTTGCAAGGGTTCAACCATAGCGAACGAATTGTCGATGATGAAGATGGACCGGTCTTGAAATATCGCAGCTGGGGCTTTGTTTTAAGTACCTAAGGTAATTACCCGATTCAATTATGGTTTTGGGTTTCCCGGCAATTCCCGTGCTGCGTGAAACGATTGACACTATGTCATCTTACCCCACGTAGCATTGCCATAAGATGACTGAGTACATCGTCGCATTGTTAGTGCTGATAACTTTTCTGATAAACATTTACGATCTACCCCAAATGGGCTTCTACATTTCACATGTCACTGGCTTGCAATCATCCAATGCCTCGAAATTACGCCCCGTACTAGTCTGACTCATACCAGCGGCTCTGCATGATTCATTAGGCATCATTGCCTAGCTGAACATCAGGCCTCGATGGGATAAAGAGGCAACTTTTCGTTAAAGCGTATTCTATGCTGACTTGATAGAAAGACTGCGCCACACGTTGGTTGGCCAGAACCGATTGCAAAAACCGCGAGCTGGACCTGCCTGTGAATCAACATTTTAGCATGCTTGAAAGGCTCTCCCGGAAAGCTGTGTCAATATGCATCATTATGGCTCATAACTGGTAACAAGCTCTGAGACTACAACATTTGGAATGACTCAAAGTTCGAGTTTTACGGTTGTACGCCCCGAGATCTCTGAGTAACCTGCCGACACATCTACTTTGGCTACATGTACCCTACGAGGATATCGACGACTGTTCTATGATCCTTGCCTTGCATAACAACCTTCTCTGAAGCGCGACTAGAAATTCCATCACTCGCTACCCAAAGCAATTGTAGCCATCTGTTTCGTCGCAACGGAAATTGGCCCTACATCTTTGGATTCCCCCACGTGAGTCAATCGCTCGGCTTCAGCTTGTCGCTTTATCCAGTCCCTAGCTCCGTTATAGGTACAGTTGTAGTCCATGAACTCAGCCGGGTTCCTGTAGTCATTAGCAACAGACCAAAATGCTCGACTTTTACTAGCTAATACTAACATTGTGATTTTGCTACTGGTCTTGTCAGTTGCCGGCTTACCGGATTGCCTACTGTAGCCCTGAATAAGCGTGGCCCTGTCATAACGACAGTCAAATACTGCCTGTGAGACTGTTAGCCAACGAAACCCAAGATTTGATAGCCAATATGCTCACCTTCAATCTGGTTTCGATTTCCAGCCTGGTTGGCTTCCCCTCGACATCTGCAAAGATCGCTCCAAGGGCTTCTGCATCTTCGATCGCCTGGCTGGCACCTTGGCCTTGCGTAGGAAGCATGGGATGCGCGGCATCTCCGATGATGATTGCTCTACCGTGATGCCAAGTATCCAATGGGTCCTGGAATGGCGTCAGAGGCGTCTGTTAATATTGAAGAGGGGACTCCAGGCTTACTAGGTCACGCAACTGCCACAGACCAACCTCCGTGCAGTTCTTGAAAACGGCCTTGGCCCACTTGGGGAACACATCGAACGTCTCCCTAAGTTTGTTTGGATCCCCCTTCGTGGTCCACGATTTGCCTTCGGCGTTTTCTTGCATTTGGTCTTCTACAGTTAATCGCCGTCCTTTTGCGTGTCCCCAGGAACAGCAGGAACAGAGTGCTTACCATCTGGTACTAGAGCTACAATGCTGTAGATGGATCCGTTCCTGGCGGGGCCCATGATGATCCGTCGATCATGTCCCATGATCATGGTTGTGAATGACTCTCTTGGATCTATCACGGATGTAAAATCCTTGTCCTGCTCCAGCTCAGAGCTGTCAATCACCAGCCGATATGCTGGTTTCATCTCTCATCAGCCTCGATTTTGGATACATGTTTTTCCATAACAGTCGCTTGCTTACCAGACAGTCCGGTCGGTATCGCGGGGGCTTCCCTTCCGATGATGGATTGACGAAGGACGCTCTTGCTGCGGGGACGTTAGAGATGCGACCCGTCAAGCTTCCAGCGAATATCACTCACATTCCATCAGCCCCAATGATTAGGTCTGCAGAAAGCACTTCCCCAGACTCAAGTCTCACAGTTCCAGCTTCGGGTTCGCATTTCTGAACTACACAGCCCGTTCGAATATTGACTGGGTTGATGCCATCTTCGCCCTTTGTTGCTGCAGACTTTAGAGCATCATGGAGATCGACCCTGCTTAGTTAGATGGCTAGCTCGATACAGCCAATTCCATTGTCACACACCTATGATAGATCATTCGCTCCTATATCGCAGTCAGTGATTCGGATCGAGGCGTAAAGGATCTGAGGCAAAACAACAAACTTACTGCACCATAGCTCTTTTTCAAATGAAACGGGATCTCGGCATGCAACTTCCCTTCTGTGTTATAAATACGGAACTAGACAATTCGCTTCAGTCATGGGTGTTCATCAGATTTCCGAGATCAGTGTCCTGAACCTACAGCTCTGTCGGCCATAGACCCCTTCTTGGCAAGGGTTTCTTCAAGACCCCATTGCTTCTCAACAATCCTACGGGCGTTAGGTCCAAACTCTTTGTTTTGGATCACAGCCAATCACTAACTTTGAAGCGTTTGGTTGGAGCCTGAGAGTTATGGGTCAGTCGACTTGTACCGTGAACGAGCCTGTGGCTGTGAAGTGTAAGGGGCTGATGATCTTACGATATTGTGGCACCTATCTCCCGATTGAGGTGACTCTGTTCCAAAACAGTGATATTTCGATTGGGTCCTCTCAACGCAATTGCCTGGCTTGTTTAGCGACAATCGGGCTTCGTTCGGTCTTAGAGTCAATTACCGTGGACAATCCGGCAATGCCTCCACCAACAATGATAACGTTGAACAAGCTGCTTTCGCTTGAGGAAGACATCTTGACATGGATTAATAATCTCTCTGGTGTGGAAGAAGTACGACAGATGTCAAGAACAGTTGAACTCCCAGGCCCAGCACCGGCAGATCAAGTACTGTGAGATTGGCGCGTGCGAGATGGACATGGAATACCCCCTCGGGCAGGACGGTGCATGTTTTGCCCAAGCCGAATCAGTACCCTCTTTCACAGCTCATCCACTTTCCGATAATTGTTTTGGGCTTTGTGTGTGTGAGGAGGAGTAGGCACATGTTTCTAGCGTCTGGGGTTATGGCCGGGCTGCGGTGACCAGCCTTGGGGAGCCGAACCGAGCATGCGAACCGAACCGAAGTCTCCATTACCAGCAAGCAGGCGAAACGGAGACACCACATCCGGCTCACAACCTCGGAGATCATTCCAGTGATGCCTGAACTGTGGATAATGTCAGTTTGATGGAAGATGGAGTGGCAATATTGCTCCAAGACGTTAAAGTCAAATAGATCTGCAGCTTGCAAGTTGCAATAGCATTAAGACCTCAACCGATGTATGCCAAAGCCTCGCTGCACCTACGTTCAGATCATACGAAGCTACAAAAATCTTTCACCATGGCCACTACAACTGTCGCAATCACCGAGCAGCCCAGTGCCGCGATTAAGACTGTCGACGATGGCAGAATGAAGATGGATGGCCAGGATCCATCTTACGGCGACTGGCGCGATGAGCTACTCAGAGATGGCTATGCCCTGATCAAGGCCGCCATCCCCAGGAAGCGCGCCGATGGCTACGCGGACAAGATGTATCAACTTCTGGAATCGTTGTAAGTGCTCTCTGCTTCTGATCGCTCCAATCCGCAGCAACTGACCGGTGGCAGCGGCCTCGGCTATGACCGAAATGATCCATCGACTGTTCATCCAGACAAGCTTCCCGTCATCAACGAGAAGGGCATGCTCATGGCGTACGGAGCCTGTCATGAAGACTTCGTCTGGGACATCCGCAGCGAGCCCGGCGTAGTCGGTGCCTTTGAGAAGGTGTACGGCACTGAAGACCTCCTCGTGTCTTTCGACGTCATCAACTACGGCTTCGCGAACCGTTCCAACCTGCCCGAGAATAAGCCCTGGCCCCATCAGGACCAGGACCCCGAGAAGCCCGGATTCCGTTGCCTCCAAGGCCTCGTCAACCTTCATCCATGTGGCCCTGATGACGGCGGTCTCATAGTGTGCAAGGGCTCCCACAACCTGAGCGCGCAATTCCACAAAGACCTCAAGGACGAGCCTCGCATACCGGCTTGGACAAAGGAATGGTATGGGTTCACCGACCGCGGCATGGAATGGCTGAAGGAGCATGGGGGCGAGTGGATCAAGGTCTGCGCCGACCCAGGCGACCTCATCGTCTGGGACTCGCGCACCGCGCATTACAATGTCCCCGTCAAGAGCAAAGTTGACCGCATGGCTGTCTACACTTGCTACATGCCTGTCTCGGACGCTACCCCAGAGGATCTCGAGCGCAAGAAAGCCGCATATGAATGTAAGCGATTGGTGCCGAATGAGACCCTTGAAACAATTGACTAACTCTCCTCTCTCTTACAGCCCGACTTGGAACAACCCACTGGCCGAATGCGCGCCACACGGGGTCCAACACCGCAACTCGAAATGGAAAGCCGGATCACATCGTGCGGGAGAGGCCACTGAACGACAAGGCCTTGAGTGAGAGAGCTTTCAAGCTTACCGGGATTCCTTACATTCGGGCTTGATTCTCGATCCTCAGTTGGATGAGGATGTTTCGAAGTTTACTATCGGGACACACGGCCTCAAATACTATGCTCTTAGCTACAAACATGTCACAATCAATAACATCTTTGCTGATAAATGCACAAGCTGTAAGGCCATACCCGGTCAAATGATCTTCTGAGTGGCGGTCAAGACGTCTTACTAAACGGTTGGAACACCACGGTAGCTAAAGCCTGGATAATTACGTACTCTTACAGTATTGGCTTGCAATAGCTTTCGGCTTGATCAAAACTACCCCAGATCGTACCATTCTAGTCGAGATAGCGGCCAAGCTATGAGGTGTGTTCGGTGTTCACGATTGCCATTGCTTATACGAGAATGTTGCCTAGCTGCAAGGCTTATGGCACGATAAGGACTCAGGAGTTGTTGTCCAGACATAGCATCAAAGGTGACACAAAAGAGTATTGGCTGTACGAACCACCGGCTCTTCTGGACGGAGCCGTGTTTCGTCTCGGTCCATTGACCGAGCTGAAGTTTTGATTCGGACTGCGTTCGGACTACATTCAATAGACGATTTTGAGAGCAGAGGATGAAGCAGCCCGGAATGTGAGATCCAGGCTCAAGACCGAGGGTGAGAGATAACTGAACAGCATTCCCTAATCTCCGAACCGAAGTACGCCAACTACAACGCGTCAACGCCACGACGGCACGGATATTGAGCCGAACACGCCAATGCCGGAGCACGATGAGGGGTCACATCCAAGGTCTCACCCAGGACGTCCCTGTTTGCGTACGCTTCCCCGCACGCTGGTGAGCGACCTTGGTTTGCCGAACCAAACTAAGTGGTAGACCAAGCGGGGCCCCTCTCCTGTACCCCAGAACGTTAACCCCCATAGTGAATCTGGGGTAGAGTCTGGGGATGCATGGTCGCTTGCCAAGGGCAGAAACAACAACAGAAACCAGGTGGCTGTTGAACTCCGAAGCTGGCGAATGATACCCTAGACATTTGTAAGAGTGCCTGTTTTGCAGAAATACGTTGTGTCTCCCGGGCATCTATCCAACGTCGAAGATAGCAACTGGTTGATTATCTATCAAGACACAGTCCTTGACAGTGGACAGCCGTCGTTCTATTTTAAAATTTGACACTTGATTTTATCGCAGGAAAGGCGGAAACCCTCTCCACTATGGGCGAAATAGACAACAAGTTCACCGAAGAAAGGGTTGAGTCTGCCTCTGACTTTCCCCAGAAGCCGCAATTCGGCGATGGGAACTTCAAGGCCAATGTGCAACTTGCCGATGGAGATGTCACTTACCTCATTCCAACTCCAAGTTCAGACCCGCGAGGTAAGACAGCAACCATTCTGAAGTTCTTGAGCAGTGCCACGTACTTTTAGCAAACTGGTTGACTCAACAACTCAGATCCCCTCAACTTGAGTCCACTAAGAAAATGGGTATGTTATCTTCCAAGAAGACTATGCTTGCGTATCTGGTTGTGAGACGGGCACTAATGGTGTCATTTGTTATGCAGATCATTACGATGACTTGTGCAACTTTTGCAGCGGTCGGCCTCGTCCAAGTCTCCGGGCTAGGAGCCCTTCTTGGGGAATTCATACCCGAATACGCAGCTGAAGGAAGGGGATACGATGACATCTCTCATCTCATGACGTACCCTTCCTTATTCATGGGCCTTGGAAACCTGATCGGAATGCCTCTGGCTCTAGCCGTAGGTCGCCGGCCAGTCTTCCTCGGGTCTTGCGCTTTGGCCGTGGTGGGTTCCATACTCTGCGGATTCCAAAAGGGTTATACCTCTCACCTCGTTGCCCGCATGGTTCTCGGTCTAGCCGCTGGTCAGAGCGAGGCTCTTTGCCCACTCATGGTGCAAGAGGTCCACTTCCTCCACGAACGCGCACGCTGTCTGATGTGGTTCACCCTCTGGCAGTCAACTCTCAGCGCGGTCTACTCCCTCCTGACTTCCTACATAGCCGCCGGCATCGGCTCGTCGGGTTGGTACTTCTTGGGTTCTGGCTTTGCCGCCGTTACTCTGATCTTTGCCATCTTCATGGTCCCCGAGACCAAGTACGACCGGCCGCTCGCCGCCTATCAAGGCCAGACCGCCCAGGTATCCCACTTTGTCAGCACCGCTGGCCCCGGGGTTGATGACACTACCGGGGTTTACACCGAGATGCTCACCCGCAAGACTACCACGGAGCCCCGGCAGCTTGACTTTGTCAACTTCAAGCCTCGCACTTTTGCCTCTGACCTTCGGCTGTTCTCACAAAAGCCCGACTGGAAAGAAGGTTGGCAATGCTGCACTGGCATGGCCCTTGTCACCTTCTTCCCGGACATGTTGTGGGCCCTTTTGCTCAACGGACTGACCATGTAAGACGCGACCTTGGCTTGAGCCAATCCTCCCATTCCAACAAAGTTTCAGTGTACTGTCACTAACGTATCTACCTTGACAGCGGCGTGAATATCGCTCTTGGTACCACTTATGGCGAGATCCTGCAACGCGCTCCGTACAATTGGAAATCGTCAGTCGTCAGTTTCGCCTTGACGGGTCAAATCGTCGTCGCATTCCTAGCCCTTCCACTCTTAGGTCGAGGATCAGACTGGGTCATCAAGTTCTTCGCTCGAAGAAACGGCGGTGTACACAAAGCAGAGTACCGACTTATCCCTCTCATCATTCCTGTCATTGTAGGCACACTCGCGTCGGTACTCTACGGCCAGGCGGCCGAGCACCCTGACAGGTTTCACTGGTTTGCCATTGTGTTTTCCTTGAACGCCTACTATTTTGGATTTGTCGGAGCGAACCAGGTCGGCATCACCTATGCCCTCGACGCGTATCCGACGCGATCCGGCCCGGTGCTGGTCATCATCTGCGCCATGCGCGGTGTCATCTCCTTCGGAACAAGCTATGGCGTAACGCCTTTTATCAACTCAATGGGATACGATGGCGCCTTTGGAATTTATGGAGCTCTGACGGCAGGTGTAGGTGCTGCTGGAATCTTTGTCTTTATCTGGGGGACCCAGATCAGAGAGATGGTTTCCAAGTGGGCTGTTGCAAGCACCACGACCACCCCTTCGTACAATCATTAGGTTTTGTGCCTAGAATTCTTTAAGTATGTCGTGGCTTCAGAATTTTGGCTTGCCGTTTAGTTTCTACTTTCGGATTTCTTTAGCCCTAATTTGTCGCAGTATACGTAGCTTATTAGTTCGGATGACGTCGAGCCGGCTGAGGTAGGAACATGTTAGTTGATGAATGAAATGGAAGGAGCATGACGAGAAAGGAAATATTACATTGTGTTTGCTTTAATTCTCCATATCCTGATCTTCCTAAAGCTTGCGCATATTCCACATTTCCAAGTTCTTCCAGTCGTCTGTGGTAAGACTGGACATCTCTTGAAACTGGGGCGCCAGAAAAACCGTGTTAAACACTGACGACTTATTGAGTAGACTATGTCAGCAATTTTCCGCATTCTTTTTGGCCTCAAAAAGACTGGAAACCAGATGATGAGGACATTTCGAATTGAAATTATGTTGATCTTTGGTACCAGGCATATTCAAGAACCAAGTTATTTTGTTTACAAATGGAGTGTAAATGCGGATACCAGGCAGGAGTCACTTGCAAGTTGAATTTGAAGTCAGTTCTTAAATAAACTATTCAAATCCTCTCTTCTCCAACCTTTCCTGTACAATGTCCATTCAGTGCTTACGAATGGATGAAAGGCAGGATGATGCGACTTTGTTGTTCCGGCCCGCAATGAATGAAATGCTCGCCCTTGTTCCTCTCAGAATCCGGACGCTCGCTCGAAAAGGCCTTGTACTCAGCAATAGAAGGGAACTGGCCACCGATCTGCACCTGAACAGATTCTCCCGCCTCGTAATCTACACCCATGGCCCAGATGCCAATCCCCAATTCCACAATGGTGCCGGGTGGAATTTTATCTTCTCGATCATGGGGGTGGAATGGAAACTGGGGATGCATCGATCGCTCCGGGTCCGTGTTCCGATGAGATGCTCTCAGCTGGCCTACGGAGCCGAGGTGCAAGTTTGTACTGCTCTGGTCCTTTTTGGGGATGTCGTGAATCGACTTGACGGGCGCAGCCCAGAATGGGAAGCAGAGGTGCATCATCGGGTTGCCCTCCTTGTCAAGCTTCCTGATGTTGACAAACACGTTCATGTCGTCGTGGGAAGGGCATGACAAGAACAAGACTGCTTTTGGTATGCCAATCAGACGAGACGGTTTGTCAAAAGTGTAGGTGAACTTGGCAAGCGAATTGCCATCTTCCGAGTTGTAGGATGTCTTCGAAGTATTTGAGGGAGCAGACTCGGATAGGGTGCCATTGTCGAGATAGAAGGTTTTGTAATCCGTGTTTGGTGGAGGGAAGTCTTCGAAAATGATGTCGCTCTCCGGTTCTTGGTCGCCAAACTTTAGAGATGTCCATCGCACTTTGGGCGTCTTCTCCCAATCGTTTTCGATGCCTTTGAGGTACCTATCGAAGAATTTCTTGAGTAGCGATTAGTAAGAATCCCGAGACACAATATTGAGGAGACACCGGAAGACTTACGGCCAGATCCTCGTTCGTCTCTGGGACGCTGTAAAGATCGAACCACTCCTGCCAAGCGCTCCATCGGATCCACTTCTCAGAAGAGCCGAGTTCGATGAAGCCTCTGATGCTTCCCATGGTATGGATAGAACTAAAGTCTGAGCCGGAAATGTAGGCGGGAATGTTGATAGCCTTCATGTTTGCGCGCTTATCCTCCCACCAGATATTGGAGAGTGGACTTCGGCGGTACATTTCCGCAAAGTCCTCCACACCCGAGGTGCCTTTGATGATGAGGCTAGTGATCAGATCGAAGTTGCTCATGGAGAAAATGCCACCCCTGACAAACTGCTCCCGGAACAAATCACCACTCGCCTCCCATGGTGCGATTGCTTTCAGAGATGGTGGGTTGAGGGCGGCAACATGCCATTGAGCAATGGCGAGCGCAGAGTTGCCCGCCATGCCGACATTTCCATTGCACCAATCGAGCTTTGCAATGGCCTCGATAACGTCATAAGCGTCTTCGGCGTCCTGCAAGCCCATAATTGGGACCTGACCGTCGCTGTTGCCGGCACCTCTGCTGTCGACGCTGATGATGGCATACCCTTTCGGGCACCATCGTTGCGGATCGAGGCCCTCGAACTTCTCCAAGCCGCTGAGTTCGCTCTTTTTGACGCAGCAAGACCAGGGCGTCATGGGGAGCATGGTAAGAGCACTGTATTTCTTGCCGTAGGGTGACCAGCCGACTATAGCGGGTATCTTTTCGGTGCTGTCCGCCGGACGGTATACATCAATGTAGAGTCTGCAGCCGTCTCGAACTTTGATCTCAACATCGTGATCGATCCGAATGTCGCTTTCAAGGGGCTTCGCGTCGTAGCCGTTCCAACCTTTGGGCAGGACTTCGGTCCGACCTGGCGTAAAACCCTGGTAGTTGTTGGTGCCGATTTCAGGCTTGCCGATTGGCTTATACGCAATCTGGATGGGGAGAGGCATGGCTTGGTCGATGTCTTGACAAATCGAGAATGATGAAGATGATGTGAGGTCCTAGGGGATCACGGGCATTCCTCAGATCATTGAGCATGCAAGCAAAGTTCTTTTTATGGAACGTGTCTGATAATTCGATGGTCCAATGCTGACGGTCAATTCATCGCGTAGTCGCGTAGCTCAGGTCTGATAGCTAGAGAGCCTCGGTCTAATTCTGCCCGGAGCGGTCACCCCAGGGCAAGGATATGCACGACTTTGTGGGGTATCGAGTCCGCCGCACCACTGGCGCAGATCCGAGGGGCACCCGGCCCCACCGTTGCTGCGAAAATGCGGAGAAGAGGAGTTAAGGATAAGCTGTCCGAACCGAACCGAACCGAACCGAGTAGCCCGGACTCATGAGGTGAGTGTCAACAACACCAAGCTCCACGGATGACCGAACCGGGCCTAGGGTGAAGCCCGAGGGATTACACGGGCAGGCATGGAAGCGCAATGTGGTCAACGAAACATGCGGGGAAGCTGGGGCTGATGTCCCAGGATAGCTTCACGGGCTATGTAGCTATTGACGACTGTGCCATTTGGCAGTCCGAAGTGAAGAGGCATAAAACCAAAGCAATGTTGTTAAGATATTTCATTTTCGTTGCAATCTATCTTTCGTGACTGATAGGCACAACCGCTTGCAGCTTCCTATCAAATAAACAAACAATCCCACAGTCTGCCATTGAAGATGGCCACAGATCTCTTGACTGCGAAGTCAAACTACGGTGACTGGCGCGACTTCTTTTTCGAACATGGCTACGCCATCATTAAGAACGCTATTACTCCTGAGCGAGCGGAGTACTACAAATCAAAGCAGGTCGAATGGCTCAAATCTTTCAATCGCGGATTCGATCCGGCGAATGAAGACACCTGGACCTCTGAGCACCTCCCAGTCTCGTTCAAGGGGGGAATGTACGGGTCCTACTGCGCCCCACATGAGCGGTTCGCGTGGGAAGCAAGAATGTGAGTGGCCCCCCCTCCCACGAATTCCCCCGGTCGACGATGCAAGGCGATACATGTGCTGAACCGATACAAGGGAACCCGGTGTGATGAACCCATTCATTCATATCTGGGAAACGGAAGAGTTGCTGGTCAGTTTTGACATGTTCAACATTACACTTCCTCGTCAGAAGGACTTGAAGTGGTCGCCATGGCCTCACTGTGGTAAGTCTGATCACGAGGATCTGTATCATCCAAGTTTCTAAAAGCGAGGTTCTAGATCAGGATCCTAAGAGAAAGGGTCTTCAATGCATTCAAGGACTCCTCAACTTCGCTCCTAATGGAGACAACGACGGTGGTCTTATCCTGATGGACGGTTCCGCCAAGCTCTATGATCAATTCTTCAAGGAGACCAGAGTGATGGCAAACCACGAAGACGCCCCACCTCCGAGCGAAAATTACCGTGATCTGTTCATTTTCAAGGAAGAAGATGTCAAGTGGTTCGAGGATCGTGGGTGCCGCCTCATCAAACCCAACCTCGAGCCAGGAGACCTGGTGCTATGGGATTCACGGTACGTTTCCCAGATTCCTCCACCAATTTTATTTTTCACGCCGTAACTTCATACTGACCAAGTCAAGATCTATGCATTATGCCAAGCACCCTGAAGGAACTCAAATTAGGCATGCGCAGTACGTGTGCTTCACGCCAGTCAAGTTTGCGGATCCCCAGAGTTTGAAGGAGAAGGCGGACATCTTTAGTTCGTGGGGAGGCACCACGCACTGGCCGCACACGAACATTCATCCTCAGGGAAAGGCAAAGAGGGATGGTGTAATTGACCCGCAAGAGCGAGAGGAACCTCTGGAGAAACCCATTGTAACCGACAGGTTGTTGCAGCTGGCTGCGGTGAAGGCGTATTGATCATGGCTGATCGAGTTGGCCGCAATTGCTTTCAATCGTCAAACCCTGATCTGGCTCAATAGTAAATGCCCCAAGTACTAGTAGCGCTCATTCGAATTGCAGTTCCAACAAACTTTTCAAGCGTACCGCCTAATGAAGATGTAGTGCCTCTCTCTCATTGTGACGGCGGACAGTCCGTTATATACTGTAATGGCTTAAAATGGCCAAGCTTTCAATGGCCTTTGTTTTATTCAGAAGGGCTGATGACTTTTTCCGAAATTTGTATGTGAGACATGTACCATGGTCTTTCTCAGTGGCCCAATGTATCAACAATTGAAATAGATAAATGACTGTCAGCATTATAGACGTAGTGGTGTCTGTGTTGGCATTCACTGTCGGCCCAGAGTGTGGACCGCATCAGATTGAACTCACATCCATGTGCCCACATACCACGCACTGAAACACAAGTCTTAAGTATCCGCTGTTCCAGCAGTATTGAAACAGAACTTGAGCAGACATTACAAATGGCGGCACGTCAACTGGCTTTGTTTCCCGAAGAACAATGCCGCAGACCCCGCCCCCGGATTTCCAAGGCGGGGTTTTCCTTGACTGTGATAGTAGGTATGGATTAGGACTAGTCGGCATGGGGAAGCGTCAAGTGAGCCCCACGCTCGGGTCACACGCAACCTGGGGAAATGCAAGATAAACTATCTGTGACCGGCACACGTATCCCTTTTCCAGCCAAATGCAACACTTTGTTTTCCAGGTAACACAGCACAGGTAACACAGGACCCTTTGTGAGGGGAACCCAGTATATACCTTGCTGTTGAAGACATCCGATCTCGACCGAGGACCAGGCCCGTCCTCTCCCGCCGGCCAGCACCGGATCACGCAACCGAAACCTTCAATCGTTCGACATCCATCAGCCGTCATGACGGAATCCGTATCCAGCTCCGGCGAGCAGGCGCCAGGTTCCCAGCCGAAGCGTATCCGACTTTCTCTCGCCTGCAACCAATGCCGCAAGAGAAAGGTCCGGTGCGACGCCCAAACTCCGAAATGCCACAACTGCATCCTCCGCGGCGACGACTGCCAGACGACGAACCCCAGGAACCCAAACCAGCACGCCGTTCGGAAATGGGCGGCCAAGAGCGCATCCACGCAGAGCCAGGGCGGCGGCAGCGTACACGAGCTGGCCGAGACCCCCCGAGATCACCTCCGTGCCGTCTCTCCGCGGCCACGGCAGTACCTATCGCCGGCGTACGACGACGCCTCTGAGGCCGAAGACGCGGCGCTGCGGAAGCTCTCATGGGTCGCGGAAGCCTACCGCGCAAACGCGCGAGAGAATCACAGTCCTCATGAGCATGCGGATCTGAACCCCGACATGACGCTCAACACTGACGAGAGCCCGCATCGGCTCAAGTTCATGGGCGGTAGCAGTGTCCAGTCTCTGACCATGTTTGCCGATCTCTTCTTTCGCAAATGCGGTCTTCGACCGTTGTCGCCGTACTTTCGCTTCGGCATGCACCATGTGGAAGAGTTCCAAGTACCTCTCTCGTTTCAACTCCCTCCCTTGCCTCCGCTTCCAACCCTCGATGCCTACCTGGATGTTTACATGAAGCGAGTGTTCCCCTTGTTTCCCGTCTTCGATGAGCCCACTCTTCGCTCGGAACTGGGCAGGCTCACAACACTGCAAGACGCCGATGCGTCCGGATCTCTGCAAAATTCCATCGAACCATCCCAAGTACCTCTGCTCGTCTCTATATACAGCATCATTTGTATCGGTGCAGACGAAGAAACCGGATCATTGGCCGAAATCGGGAGTCACTACCTAACTGCAGCATACAGCCTTTTGGCGCACGTAATATCAACACCATACATGGCTTCCGTGCAGGCTCTACTTCTCCTGTCCATTGCACTGCGCGGCCGTAGCAAAGAGGGCCAGGGCTGGCAGACTCTCGGCCAAGCCATCCGCATAGCTCACTCTATTGGGCTCCACCGACATGCCTCGACCCGGCATTCCCGCAACCCGCCCGATCCCGGAGACTCGGCAGCCTCGCCAGGCTACCAGGCGAACCGGAAACTGAATAGCCAAGTCTGGTGGGTTTGCTACACGCTCGAGAAGCTGATGGAGTTGGAGACTGGTCGTCCGAGTGCGATACACGACTCGGATTGTGACCAAAAGCTGCCGGAACCAGTTCCCGTCCCAGCACCTGCAACACTGCCACGATCAGCATCCACTCCAGAAGGCCAAGGTGACCGTCAAAGTATTGACTATTTCCAGCCCTGGGCTTCATTATCCCGCATAATCAGCAGTATCAGCGCTCACATCTACCGGCGCTCCGGACAATCCCAGACATCACGGATCCTCCTCGGCGACACTGTCCGTCTAGATACCGCGCTGACAGAATGGGCTCAGTCGTTACCGGCTGAGATACGCCCTCCTGGGCCCAATAGTGGAAACGTCGACCTGTGTGAGACGGGGCATCAGCACTTTGCAATATTCCTGGCCATCCACTACCACCACGCCTTGATATCTCTCCACCGCGCGGCGCTCGTCTTCCCCGAGTCAATGTATCGAAAACACATCAACGCGCAAGCAGACTCGGGAGCACTCTCATCCGTTGAGCTCACGAGACTCAGGCGGGGCGCGGAGATCTGCATCGGGTCGGCGAGAGCAATGGCCAGACTCATCGGGGAGATTGCAGACGACTCAACCCCTACACCACGCGTTGCCGGTGGCCTGTTCGCCCAGTCCCACCACAACAGATCAGAGTCCATGATCTTCACAATGACCCAGCCGCTCATGTCAGCAGTAGCTCTGGCCCTCCACATTCTCAAGCAACCCAGCTCACGGCTTGCCCGGTCCGACCTGGAGCTCCTGGGCATAGCTGCGCAGTACGCGGAGGAGCAGTACACAAAGGTCACGCAGAACCCCCGCTTCATCCAGGCGTGCTCCGTTTTGCAGGCCAACATGTCTGAAATCGTGTCTGGTCACCGCCAGAACCGGGCGTCCCTCAGCTTGACGGCACTGGAGCCCTGGCAGGCAGAGCAGCAGACGCCGGCGAGGGATCCCGGCGAGGCGAACGCGGACGCGGATATTGAATTGATGGACCTCGAGCTTCCGGACTTGTCTGGGATGTTCACCGAGATCAGCAATACTGACTTGTTTGGGGGTGTTCGGCTGGAGCATCTTTGGGGAATGCTTGGGACAGACGGGCATTTGGCAGACGGGACGGAGCAGTGGCCGCAGTCATGAGCTGTGTCGCGTGTGTATCATCATCGTATTGCGTCCAAGCATTGTTAGATGCCCGCATCAATTGGCTTATTGTTCAAGATACTGGAAATTCAAAGCGCACTTGCTCTAAAGAATAAAGGTGAAGGCTGGCCTCCTACAGCCACCGTAGACTTGCTACGTTGGGTAAAATGCCATGGTAATAGCTACTGAATCTAGCTAAAGAACAACATACTCGGACGGAATCATGGGACGAAGAGCTAAGTAAAGCAGGTATCGTAAGTGGCTTGATTAGGTAATCAAGCCACTTACTATTATGCACGCCTTCCGTTCGATACCTCGCTTTGTGATAATATGTTACAGTCCCTCACTATATCAACCTCTTACAGTTTCCACTATCCCTCCCTCATTATTGCTCGAGGAATGGAACATTGTATCTATGATTAAACCTGAACTGAGATAGAGTCGCACCCTGCCTCAACCCACCAGCGTCTAGTTCTTCATCATAAACACTGGTAGCAGCCGTGCTCTCGCCGTTCAACGACCCGTCTTCCGAATCTGCATCGCTAAATGGGATTTCCAGCGCTTGATCTTTACGAATGATACTTGACTTGACACTGTCAGGAATGGTACAGTTTCCTTCTGCGAATCTGACCATGCCTGCAGGAGATCTTGCCATTTGGAGATGATCCTGTGGACAGGGGTTATTACACTGTCTCTATCAGAACAATAAGAAAACTCACCTTGAAAGACTTTGGCTCCGGTGGCTGATAGGTTTTGTTCGTAGTACCTGGGAAATGGGCAAGGCCTCCAAATATTTTTTGCTCCCAGGGTTCAATACGTGACAACTCCGAAGAGATAATGTCGATGGAATATCTTTGTTTTGGATCAATAACGAGCATCCGATTCATGATCAGATCCAGCATTTGGCTGATGAAGTTTGTGCAGGAGGCCGAACTCCTCAGTCTTGTAACCCACTGATGACAATAACGTTAGCGTTTTCAAGAAAGTAAGTCTCGACAGTGTGTAAGGAACTTTCTGCACTCACCTTCTTTACAGCTGGGTGGAGGTCAGCTCGCTTGCCCCCGTGAGGCATATAGGAAGTCACGAAGTAACTGTGATCAGGTTCTTCAATGTCGTCCACATCATCCGAACAGCGGTCGAGTTTGCGGTCTCTCTGGAAGTTCTCAACGTCTTCATATCCAAGTAGATACCAGATGCAAAACTCGAGAAAAACGCATCCGAGGGACCATATATCATACTTAGAAGAGATGGGGTTGCCAAGGTCGATTTCCGGAGCTCGATAGGTCCCGGTATAACCGTCCACTCTCATAACGCGCGATTTTGTGAGGCTGGAGTGGTATCGGGTTAGTCCCAAGTCAGCAACAACGAGGTGGTCCCGATCTTTTCCGTGGGTTAAGAACCACAGGATATTGGTCGGCTTGATGTCGCCATGCCGCCCCCAATCCTTGACAGACGCCTCTTCAGAGTTAGGGTTTGGTGGCCTCTCTTCCTTCTGCCATGTTGCGAGTCCATGAATGCGTTTGATGGCATTTGCAATACCCCGGCATTGCTGTGCCATCCACTTTGTCGCTGAGGGTGATTTCTCAACCTGTCTCGTTTTCCAGAATTCCTCCAGGTTACCATCTGCCCACTCAAAGACAAGATATGGCTTATTCCCATGCTGGAAAGTAAGAAGTAGCTTTATCAGATGCTTCTCCTTCTGTACCTTAGCGCATGACTGCTCAAGGGCTCTAAGCTCCTTGCGATAGGATTCGTGGTCAGCACCGTTAATCTCCTTGACTGCAAAACACGGCGGTCGCCCCGTGGTCTGAGAGCAAAATAGTCAGCAAAGACCTCAGGCAGAATAAGTATGAAGCTCTCACATCATCCCCTTTGTAGTCATGGTGGCTCTGATGAATCTCGAGCCGGTGGATAGTTCCGTGCCCACCCATCGTCTTCTGCTCGAATTTATCCCATGGAAGCCTGACGTTACCATCGAATACATATGAGCAGAGGCGGCCATTCCCCATGCTCAAGAATGGGACGAAGATCATTCTCTGGTAAATATAGAACAGATCGACGTGAACGCGCTCCCAATCTTGGAACAGTGTCGTGTTAACGCGGTCATCACCAACAAGGGTTCTGAATCCTTTCATGCTCTTGGTATCATGGCACAGTGGTAAGTGGTGATCAAAGATCTTTTCCAGGATAAAGTCCTCGATGTGGCTCGTCTGCTTCATGAAGACCAGGGTGGCGAAGATCCGTCGCCGGCTACCCGTACCATCGCACCAGATCTGACCAGCCTTGTGAATGATTTCATCTTCGCTGGCAGTTTGGTACATAGCTCTGATGAGAGATACGATGGTTTCGATGTCGAAAATCATGTCGAATGAACCGAGTGGAAGGTATTCCTCCTTGTCCTTCTGGCTCCAACAAAGATTGCTCTCTATCTTGTGCCGAATCTCCTCCTCTATCTCAGCAGCTGACTGGATTTGCTTTACTGTTTGCCCTTTGCTTGATACGTGATCAAAGACATCGCTTTGGCTGGGTCTGCAGCTGAGGGAGTGGTGTGTTGACCAAGGTGCCGCACTGAAACCTAAGTCGCGAACAGAGACGACGGCGTCTGTCTCACCAGGCTCAGAATACCCGAGTCCGTTTTGATGCGGACTCGACGTCGCAAGGCTGTCGTAGTCGTGGCTCCCAATAGCTGATCCGCCTGAAAATCCACCTTTCCATGCAACTGGCACATCTGTCACAATCCTTGGAATATCTTTCATAGTGCTATACGTGACCGTGTGATTGTTCTTGACGTATGTAGTGTTCGCTTTGCTCGTGGATTGCCTCAGTGGTCTCGCCGTTACCGGTGGTATGTTTAAGGACAGTCGTTGGGCGTCGGTGGGGCCACCCATGTCCATGTATTCGACTTTCGATAGGGTGGGCATGTGGATTTGGGATCTATGCATCTGCCTTGATGGCGATACAAGATGTTGTAATGTCTAGATGTATGCAGAAGGTAAGGAAGAATAAAGATGTTGTAATGTCTAGATGTATGCAGAAGGTAAGGAAGAATAACTCTGTTGGATAGCACTCGAAACGAAGAACGATAGCTAGAATGATGGTGTCCGCGGGTACAAACCTCCTACCCACAATCAAGGGCTTGAATCGGGAGATAGGGTCTTTATACGGATATTATCTATTAATACAGTAGGAAAGCCTCGTGGGGCGATTTGGATTCAGCGCTTAGGGTTGCGTGAGGCGCTGTGCGACGCGTGCGCAACACTACATAACTATGTACGGGGCGGCCATTGGGGGGAGCCTGACCCCCGCGTGCGCCTTTCTCACTGCCAATCAGTAATTACTATTTTGCTGCGCCCACGCAGTTCTGCCTTGCCCCGAAAGTGGAAAATGTCAGCTAGCCAGGCTGCGGCCGAACCGAAATATGGATGCGCCTGAGACACGCATCGGTGAGTCTTAGCGAATGAATCCGTTTTCAAGGCTTGCGGTTCACAAGTGAAGAAGTTAGCAGAGGGTCACTTAACGGAGGTAGGTATGGGTAGTTGGCAGCAATCGAATCTGGGGCTCTAACAGTGGGTTTAATATAGAGGGCACCCATGTCAGGCACCTGATGTGACATCCGTGTCCAACACTCACTGACGACGCGAGTTCTCGCAGGATGCCAAGTGCCCCGTCAGCACGAATCCATCAATATTTTCGATAAATGCGAAAGGTAACCACAACAATAACAAAAAGTTAAAAATAAAAAAAAAAGCGTATTCTCTATCCGATTGTGTGCTCTGGGCCTCAGCTACTGCTACACTATGTGCCGCTGTGTGTCACTCAAAATGGATAGCCGAGAACGCCGCCAAGCAGACGGCTATGAAGGGGGCAGTGTTGATGCTGTGTCACGCAAAGGCAGAGAGAGAGACCTCATAATAACATAATGAGGTAGGAGTCCCCGTTTATTCAAGCATTAGTGCAGCTACACTAAGAAATAGTTAATTACCCAATGTCAACCCTCAGGCCTTCCTCCGAAACTTGCTTCTCTAAAAGGGATGCAACCCCGACCCTTTCATACCGATCATGCTGAGAATCGTTTTGGCTTTTGCAGATGACAAGAACGTGGGCTCTCGCGTCGAGGCCTTCCTTGTCACGACCGATGATGACAACCCGCAAGTCCTCGGCTTTGCGCTCGTTCTTCTTGTCAAAAACAATTTGCGACGCGATTTGCTCTTCGCTCATGTCCATGCGTCTGGCAACACCCCGCAGGATAGTATGTTTCTTATCGCGACCAAAATATGAACCGCCGGACAACATATCGGGATGGCGGGAGAAAGGGCTTTCGAAATCTCCATTGGCCCAATCAATCTTGTCGAACGCGAGCTGCATGTACTGAATTTTCCCGCTCTTGGAGAACCACGACCAAGTGGGAACAAGCCATGTTGACTGAGCAATGGCTGTCATGTCTGCTGTTTGAGCGCGTTTCCAGAGGATATTCCGGGCGAAATATTTCTCAAAGGACCCGTGGGCGGCTTTGGTTTTTAGTGCCCGCGCCAGCCTCGTTTGGAGACCAAGAATTGCGACGGCCCTGTCGGACGCCACCGTAAATTCGAGTGCAGAGTACCTCTCATACAAATCTTGAATAAGTAATTGTCTCCCATCTTTGTAATAATCCAAAGCAGACTTGGGGAAGTTGGCGTCCCCAAGAAATGCAGCTTTCGAGCTAGGAGTGGCATGGTCAGATAGTCTTTCATCTCCGTCTCCGGGGTAGGGCCCAGCTCACTTGTACAAGAGACTCAGAGTCTCACATCGTATTCCATGGCCACATTCCCAGTAGACCTGCTTTGGAGTAAAATAGATGGAACGTCTCGATAAAGCTCTTTCCTGCAAGACCCAGCCTCGCCTGTTGATCTCTGCCAGCTCGACATCTTGATGGAAGTCGTCGATGTATCGGCACACATACAGGTCTGGAGAACCGTTGAACCGCAGATGGACGCTTGGTCTAGGCGGGCGATCTGACAGGAAGCCATCTAGTGACGATTTGGCAGAAGCTGCACTGATAGTACAATATGCCGCACTGAAAACCTCTTCCATTTTTGTTGACTCGTTCTCCCAATCGTCCATATCGTTCTGGATGATACATAAAGTGTCGATCCAAATGTAGTCTACTCCGAGGCCGCGAGTGACTGTGATGGCATCCTGAAAGGTTTTTGGTAAACGGTAGAAGTCGATATGTTCCTGTAGCTGAGAATAGTTTTCCCGGTAAAGACAAAATCGTTCGTGCTTCTGCAACTGGCCCCAACAATGGCTTAAAGCGATGTACTGACAAGGCTTCATTTCACTTGAGCTCAAGACTTGAATCGGCTCTGTGACTTTGATGAGGCGAGTTGGCATCTCCAAGTCTTCCTGTCCCGTGCGACGCTTGCACCCATCATGTGTCGAATCACAGCTATGCAACCACTGTCTCATCAGAGTGAGCTGTTCTGGGCTGTTTATCCCAGGAAGCCTTGGTAAACCGATTTGCCTTCCCGGCGGGATTTCGGGACCTGGGTGCAAATTTTAGCTGGTGTGAAGTTGAATTGTTTCACAGCTGCGTACCTGGTTCCACATAGATCGAGAGAAGATTTGGCCCGCCTTCCACACCTATTATCGTACCAGTCTGGCGTAGCCTAACAACTTCCGGAAGCTCCTTATATACCTGAGACAATGCGCCGAGAAGTATGCTGCACAGATCGCAGTGTGAATGAGCGTCTGATGGTTTGAATTTGCGGGGGAACAGAGATTCCGACGATACCGTGCTACATTCCGCGCAAAAGGTCTCCTTCCCTGTGAATAGAGGTCCCGATTGACCCCAGTTCAATTGGTCAAAGATTTTTGAGGCGAAGTTACTGTCGTCAAGGGACTCCCATGAGTCATTAAGCTTGCTCCGTTGCTTAGAAGGCCAAAAGTTAGCTGCTTCCTCGTCGATACATCAAATCAAATCTAATATACTTACAACCTATTGTTTTATTAGCAAGGTATCATCTGCTGCTGCTGGGTTTTCGACTCACCGACTGGTTCAAAGCAAAAGTTAGAAGCTGCTATATCAAAGAGCATCTAAGTGAGATGATGAGGGAACTAACATTCTAGTCGGTGGAGATATTAGCATGATGATACAGTGGCGCCCCTGACAAGGCGCATACTGACATACTGACACCAGTCTCCAGTCAGCATTTATTCTACAGCTCTTTGACTTTTTGCCTGTGGATGCTTCCACTTACTTCTTCAAGTTTGGCATTTACCTCGAAATCGTTGCCCTTCGCCAGAGATCGCGTAGAGTTTGGCTCCAGATCTTCCGTCGCCTTGCGCTCAATGCCAACCAGTCCATCAAACTCGTCAAGATTGGTTTCTTGAGAAGACAAGGAAGGATTTATACCATTGCGTTCATAGTCGCGTCCTGGGCTCAGTCTACCGTCCATGGTGCTACTTTTGAGTTGGCCATTGATCAACTTCACGAATTGAAGTTTTTCTCTCGTCGAAACTCACACAGGGTAATACTTTGCCTGCAATCTTCTCATTTCCCTGTGAGCTGCAGACGCTGTTTCGCGGCAGTCATGCGAGCTAACATTCGAATTCTCCGAGACCTTGACGACGAGAAGCCTGGTTTCCACAAGCGTCAAAAGTTCTCTCCACACTGATCGCGCCGGCAATTTCGTAGAAAGAGCGTTGATTTGGCGTCGTGTCTCGGACTGAACACGATACTTCTTCTCTTTGCCTTCTGCTCGCTCCCAGAAGTACGCGGTTCCCTTTCTGAATATTTCCACGGTATCATCGGGGTGGGCAAGCCATATTAGTAGCTCCAAGACAACACAGCCCATGGACCAGATATCATAGGCTCTTGAACGAGTCTCGTGGGCGGGTATCTTCTTGTCCCGATCCTTATCCATCTCAGGGGGTTCATACCGAGATGTTCCCGGTGGCGTCAAGGTGAGGATCTCCTTAGCTCTTCGGATCCTGGTCGCGGCATCTTGATCGTGGAACGTAGTTAGTCCCAGGTCGGCGATTTGCAGTGTCTTTTTGTCGGCCATATCGATGAACAATAGGATATTCTCAGGCTTCAGATCACCGTGTCTGCAATTTTTTTTATGCAGTTCTTCGAGGGCACCGAATAGGCCAGCGAGTTGACCGAAAATCCATGCGTGCTCGTCCCTGGTCAAAGATTTTCCAGTGTTACGACTCCAGTATTGCGCCAGATTGCCCCCTTCTGCCCAGGGGAAAAGGAGGCAGCGATCATCTCCGTGTTCGTAGGCCGCAATGGGCTTGATCAGGTGGTTCGACTTGTATTTTCTCAGTTCCTCGAGATTATATGCCTCCTTGTCAAAGTATTCGCGAAGTCCAGGATCGTCGTTCGCCTTCTTCAGTGCAATCGCCACCGAGTTTCCTGTGATCTGCAGGGCATGGTCAATAAGTGACAAAAGCATACGATGGCTATAGTTGAGTGCTTACCCTAGTCCCTTCCGGAGGCTTGACATGTGCTAGATGAATGTTGACTTTTGACACCTCCCCAAAGAATCCCTGGTTGACTGATCTTGCTTCGTGTTCTACGTATGGAAGTATCATCTTTTGGTGGAACTCGGAGCGAAAATTTTGGCCTGTTCCAAATGTTGGGGCCATGAATTTCCACTGATAGAGTTCGAAAAGTGATTTCTGGATGCGACCCCAATCGTGAATGTGAAGAGGATCTCGGGGTTCGGAACTATGCCACGTCCAAGTCTTCTTGCGACGGAGAGCATTTCTCGTCTCGTTAAACGTAATGGGGAGTGAATCGTCCGTGAAATGATTGTTCTTCAGATCTTTCAACAGAAAAATCCACTGTCTCTCTTCGGATGACATTGATGCGAGGGTTAGGAATAAACGAGTGGCATCCCTCATCACAAAGTGAATGAGGCTGGGGTCAGTGCCAAGGTTTGCCGCCCGGAGAATTTCGACTACTCTACTTCTTTCAACGAAGAGACGGATTTTGTGATTCGGTAAGAATTTCCTTCCATTGTGATTGCGGCACAATGCATCATGAATCTCTTCGCTGAATGCGGAGATCGTTTCAAAGTCCGGTGACCTGTACCGCAGTTCTTGAGTCAGCCGCGACACAACAACGAAGCGAGCACTTCTAATTTGCATAGAAGAGGACTCGAGAGTCCATAACGATAGACATTTGGATTCTTACGGATTGCCTCCTTGGTTCTGGCCAGTGGCATGGCCTCGATTCGCTCTGGGGTCGGACATGATACAATACGAGACCGTGACGGCCTCTCGTCATAGTGCGGTGTCTAAGGATGCAGTGACCTGGGATCTCTACAAGTGGGTTTGAGCTGGGGATGGTCCTTACTTCCAGGACTGGCCGAAGTAGATAAAAGGCTGCGCGATGCCTGGGCACCTTCACACCCTCACGGGCAAAAAGAGGGACGTGAATTTAGGCAGGTATCGCTCACGTGCTGCGCAGTTCCTGGCACGAGTTTAACTGGCTTAATTGAGAAGGTGGCGTGCTTCACGATTGCCTTGCGCCTGTTCGGCTTCGCGAGAGGTGGTTCGCTTCAACAACGACGTTGTCAGAGGCCGAGGGGTGTCATTGAGATCTGACATGGCTCCAGTAGCGAATGGAACGTATAAGCGCTGAGGCAGGCTGCGTCTTCAGCCCCGAGGCATGTGCTTGCGAATGCATGCGTGTGGGAGGGGGCCTGGGAATGGTATAAGTGCGAGCATACCTTCAACGCACATTTGCGCGTAGGTATAACACACCAAATCTCCCCGTTCTTCTCATCGCTTGTGGTTTCGGCTGGTTTCGGCAAGTTTTCAGCGGAGCCCAGAGTGTCCAATGTGTATCCACCATCCACCTCTCATATATACAGTCCTTACAGACGACGGAATTCACGTCTCTGGAACACAAGCTCCATGGATCCTGGAGAGAAATCTTCCGCCGAGGACGGCTTCCTCTGTGACCAAGCAGGCTATCCGTACATGCAGTCAGCAGTAGGCTCCCGCAAGGCAATCTTATCTCTGCCTCCATTATGCATATGACTTTGGGTCATGATATGAACCAGTCTTCCTGTTGGCTGCGCCACACATATGCCAAGACGTTCGGGTGGGGTTGCGCCAATCGGCCTGGACATATGGCGGCGCTTCTCAGACCGAGCTGCGAGACAACACCCATTTATCCATCCCCAGGATCCCAAAGGCGTTCCAGCTGCCACACGCTCATGCGACGAGTTTTGGATGCAGATGACGAGATTTTCCACCATCCAGCCAAAGCTGCAGACGACGAGAGGCACACTAATGGGGCATTGCTGAATCAGCCCTTGGTTAAATTGGAACGCGGTTCCATTCCGTACTCAGTCCGCGCTTTCTACAGGTACCCCTTATCGAATCCTTCCTCCGGTGCCCCGGGTTCCCATCCTAAATCCAACGTCGTTTTTGATGCCCCCACCGCTCCGCTTGTCGGGCAATCCATGCTTCGCCTGACGGCTGCGCAGGGCGACGCATCGGCGAGCAGCTTGCGGAAGCAGCCAGCATGGTGACGGCGCATGGGACGCAAGAGGAACTCGAACGAATAGGGTTAAAGATGCTCGTCTGCATGCTGGACTACCAGTTAAAGGGCAGGGGCTACGACAGCGCTCTGATCAGCGCGCTGGCGGTAATGGACATGACCAAACACGGCGGCTGAGTCTACATTCTAGGTTATATAACGAAATATTTCGCTAGTTTCAAGTCGGCGCGCAAAATATTTAGCCGTAAGGTATGTATCGAGCGAGACAACGAAGTAGCCAAGCCAAAAAGATATCCGAGAAAAGTTTTAGTAAAGGACGCAGCGCGGAGCTTGTTCCAGCTTACACAGGCAAAGGTGCGCAGTCCAGTGCCACAATCTCAACCCAGGGTATTAGCTTAACGCGTCCGCAAATATTCTAATAACAAAGAGGAATCATTTAAAATCAACAGCCATTCGTTTGCCGGGGCTTAGCGTGTAAAGGAGATATACCGGTCGGTGTAAGCGTGGGCATCATACCAGATCATAATTACCTTTACCATCGGAACCCATCACATACGACCATACCCACTGGAGAATTCGGGATCCCGTCCGCTCTCCCATCGACAAACCAGTGAGGGCCGGATTAGTAGTTGGGTCGGTGACGACCAGCGAATACCTGGTGTTGTATGTTTTTAACGCATCTGGTGATGCTCTCCTTTTTAGAGGAGTAGGCGGGGGGTGGGGAGCATTAGCTACGTCCACTCAACCACAGCATAAACATATTATAATTACGAAAATCTTAACGATAATCTATTATATGTTTTTAATCACTATACAAAATAACTTAAATTAAACAAGAAAAAAAAAAGCGTGCTTGAGGCGTTTCTTCTAGCGTTGTGGTCGCTAATCCAAGTGGCCGACGACGGTGCCTTTATCCGCTAATGAAAGCTGGCCCACGCTATGACTCCTGCTGGCCCCCGCATCTCTACCTCCGCCCTGTTTACTGTTGCCCGCGTAGCGAACCCTCCGCGTACCTGAATAGACTCGTCTTCTTAGCTGTTACTAACCTTCGGTTTAAGTGAACGTGGGCGGGCTGTGAACGATGTCCTGGTGCCAAGCCTACATGTATACGCTACTAACCGGAACGAGTTTATTACGGAAAATGTCGATTGTTTCGCGCCAGGCTGTCATTGTCGGGATCAGTGGGGAACACAGCCTGATCCGTGGCACAACGTCATCCGTCTCCTCTCTGGCTGTCCCCAGATTCCTCTCCTACTATTACAGAGCCGGACTACTGTAATGGTTCTTGCGACTCAAAATCGGGCCCTTTCTGTTTGCTTATCAACCGTGATACTGTTACGAGGCGAGAAAGACAAGAGTCGAAAAACATTTGGAGGTTGTGGTGGCTTTGGCTGTCGATACGTATGGTAACGCGCCACGCGGCACTAGCACGACCCTCCTTTAGCGCGACGCGATGGACCCTGAGCCAGATCCAACGTCTATCACCGTCGCGAGAGAGGCGACAGAAGTGACCGACGCCGACCAGCCATTGCGGAGGTCACGAAAACTAGCCACCAAAATTCGGCTGAACAAGAACTACCAAGAAATTAACGGATATGCGATCAGTCGAGCGACCGAGACCGCCGCGAGCGGCAGGCGGATGACTGCGACGCGAGCCACACCGGCGGCCAAAGAACCAAGCAAAACCACCCAAGAGGACGTAAATATACAATGTTAGGGGTTGTGTTTATTTACCTGCCTTTTCTTCTAAAGTACGATTAATTATTAAAGATTGATTTATGATAATTTGTACTGTTTAAACTTTCGAGTGCTAAAGCCTTTACACATGACTCAGTCATGTGTTTGATCAAGATTGCATTACACTGTAATTCGAGTAGACTAGCGCGCTGGTCCGAACCGTTTGTTCTATTTTAAACGCTACAAGGGCTTGCGGTCATTTCCGAATTTCTCCACCTACCGCCCTACACATAAACCTTAAAATCTAGCAGCCGTCTTTAACCCTTCGTTAACCAGCTTAATTGTTTTGTGTATTGGCGGACTGTCGGTTGGCCCGAGTCTGATAGTGTTTCAAGGGTCAGCCACTCCTGCAGTACAGCTGGTACTGAATCATGCGCACCGTGTCACTCCATGATTCTTACGACTATGGGATGGCCGATGCGGTATTAAGTCCAACGATGGCCAGCCCGTCTGCTTAGAGGTGAGTCGTGTGCGCGTTTACTCAAGTCGACAGCTCTGTCTGCCATCTCTCTCTCTCTCTCAGGTGAACTACTCATTGCCGTTAAATATCGCACATCACATCTATCAAGAGGCCCGACGCCCCCCCGCCTCTTTTTTTATTTTACTTCTCCTTTTTTTTCTTTTCAAAAAAAAAAAAGGACTCACATATTTCTAAGACGACTAACTCACAAACTATACAACCGATAAAAATGAAGCTCCAAAACCTACTCGTCCTCGCAGCCGGCGCCATCGCCGTACCCACCCCAGACGCAGTTGCTGAACCCGCTCCTTCAGTCCTGGGCCCCACAATCGAAGCCCAGCGTCTCCTCTGCGCTGGGGACACGGACGCCGACACTTTCAAATCATCCGGGGACATCCAATGGGGATTGGACAACCGGAGAGACGAGCTAGATCTCCATGCCGGATGGTGGAACGAAGTCGACACCGTTTGCACGGTATGGAATATCACTGCCCTGGTCACCCCAGGTGTTTTGATAACGTACAACCACGCGCGAAATCATGAGGCGATGACAACACTGGACGGCGGCAAACATTTATATTGTAGGCCGCTAGACGGTTGGCGACTAAAATGCGACAAACCTTGATTCATATCGATTTGCTCAGGTTAGAGTAACTAGCGGGAAGGATTTGGAAATATGTTTAGATAGGGTGATATTCAGTAAGAATAAAGAGATATTATCTAAATAAAAACAATCGTTTGTAGGCCACTCACTACTGTAAAGATAGATGCCTGTGATAAGCCTATCCTAGTTTATATATATTTAATACATCCCTTATTCGTATATTGAAAGCGCTAGTTTGTTTTTTAACAAATGGAATTCATATATAGAACTGGAGAGAGGCGAATGGCAAAGATGATAAGGTGAAGTCGTGACCGATTCGGCACTGTTGAAGTCGAGGGGCAGGATGGTGCGTGAAGATTCATGTCGATTTGTGGGGTCACTGAGGCTGAGACCCCACCGGTCTACGCAGTTGCTCAATTAACATCGCAATTTTGTTATGCAACCGCGCAGTTGGTGGGTGTCTAGAAGAAGAAACAAGCATTGACCTCGAAATGGTCAACGGCACGGGGTGTCGTAGAATGAGGTCCATCCCAGATGGCACACACGTCAACCAGTCCAAACCGTTTCGGAATGTGAGATGAACAAACCAGTTGAGACGTTCTAACCCGCCATAGACATTGGAACCTTCAATAAGGCCATTGCGGAGCGACTCCAACGAAAATGCATTGCATTGCTCCAAGAAGTCTTCTTCAGTATTCGTGGGTTCCAGGGCCATCTAACTGGAGGTAGTAACCCGTCACAGACATGATCAACAAGGCTAAATGTCGGAGAAGCCCAAACTTTCGGTCACAAGTACTCTCTCAATGCAGCTTCTTGCTGCTCAATGCCATAGGAGCCATCAAAAGGCCAACTTACTCAACCACCGGGAGCTCAGATTTTCAGGTTCGCGCGAGTTAATCACACGTATGCTGTACACCCGACGGGAGACTCGGGTGGGATGACCTGGGCAAAGTTATCCGCTCCCCGCTGGATATTTTAGGTCAGAGAGGCCAAGAAGCTCCCGGAACCCCATTCCTTAATGAGCTGTCTTCGCCACAGGAAATCATCCTTGACGAGCCCTTGTTTAGTTTCTATCCCTGCACGTCTACAGCTGTTCCAGCGGTAAGAAGCAGTGTTGTGGTCCCCTCGGAAGTCGCTACTCAACCAGCTGCTAGGCTAGGCCAGCCATATCCTTGAGTCTATGCAGACAAGTAAATCGGAGGATTACGTTTAGATGCGGCTTGGATAGCTTTGAGGGACTTCTTCTTCTTCGAGAAATGCCTCTAAGAGAGTGAAGGGATTCAAATATTACTTATTAGGACACAATGTACAGATCACTCTTTTTGTGATACATTTTATATTGCATTGCTTCTGTGTTCCATTTTCAAAAGCTGTAGATCTTCCCGCATGTGTATTCTTCAAACTATTACGGCAGTCCTGATGGAATCTCTGTACCCCTTGAAGAACCTCATCGCAGGATCAGACGCGGTTGTATCAAAGTCTGCGAACCCTACGCGCTCACAAATATGAGCAGGTCCGCCGGGCTTGCTGCGGAGAACCATCAAGCAGTAGGTTCCAGACCTTTGCTTGTCTGCGGTTGTATTTGGCAAAATGCAAACAACCCAACAAAAGTACTTGTCCCTATCGCTAACTGCCCCAGTTGGTCGATCAAAGTAGAACGGGACTGTCTCCGTATTTCTTCTCATGACTCCCGCAGATTGCTTTTCCAATGTGATCTGCACCGATACGTCGAGAAAGATCCCGCTGACTGTTATACTTCCTCCGATTACTGCGCCCGCATCATCTTGTGTTGCTGGAATGATGCTGACGTTGCGAACTACCGTCTTGTCAAGATAGCGCGGGGTGACTGGCTCTTCAGAACCCCCATAAGGGATCCACATGGTAATGGGTCCGTTATGAGCTGCCCAAGACCACGATGGAGCAATGTAGTCATGTGAAAAGGTACGTTCGGTTTCCCTGGTTCTCACAGGCGCCCAGCATAAGCTGCAGAGGAAGTCGCGATCTAGCCAGTGGCCGGCAGCGTACTTGGTGCCGAGGCTTAACTCCACAATGCGAGCAACTCCCGATAGTGCGGTGAGCCTATCGGTGGCCATTGTCAGCTTCCGCCGCGTATAGTGCTCGACGGTGCTCTGCCACATCCAGTTGGGCGTTTCCAGGTCACCTAGCTGTAATCGAGGCTCATAAAGCTCCTTGATTGTTACCAGGCCCAAGGGCGAGGCAGGGAAGGCACACTCGCATCGGTATTCGTCTTCGAGGCATTGGAAGTTCATCTCGCCACCGAAAAAGGTGAGGAGTCGAGACGCGAGAACTTCCTCTTGGAAACACCAGCTGCGACTCAGTGTCCCGCGGGCCTTTGGTTCTGCCAAAGTAGACCAGCCAAGCCAACTATGGTCTAGCATTGGTCTAGCAAGAACTGACATCGGAGTCCTTTCATCCCTTGTGTCCCAGTTGTCCGGGTCTGAACACTCAAATTCGATGAATGTCCGTGATGATTGAGTTGTTGAGAGAAAACCATCGTCGACACAATCGGAATCCGCAGCCGCGATTACCAGGACTGCATCTCCGTAGATTTCCGCCATCCGAGAAGACTGTTCCGCCCAATCCTTGGAGTCGATATCGCCTTGGATAATGCAAAGCCCGTCAATCCATAGGAATGGTATGTCCAAAGCTGTTGCCACCTTGATGGCGTCCTTATACGTCTGTGGTAGATTTTCAAACACTATACCTTCTAAGCGAACTTGGAGGTTCTCCAGGGTCGTCACTCCGGTATTTTGTTGACCCCAGGTGTAGCTAAGACAAGCATAAATACCATAGTCTCCTGAACATTCGATCAGACGCAGTCTTTGCTCCGATGCAAATACCCGAAGATCAAGAACTCTTCTAGGTAATCGCGAAAGCCCCCAGCGGTTGTCGTGAGACTCAAGGCTGTGAGATACAGTTTCCGACCCTTGATGACCCGAAAACACTGCCAGAAGCTCGTCTTCCACATTGTCTCGCTTGTTTCGGTTGATCTTGTTTTCGCGGTCCGCTTGGAATGTCTTTGCTGCCAACCCCCCGCTACAGTTGTGACTGCTGCAGCAATTATCAATCCAAGCTTTTGCTAGAAGGAGCCTGACCTGCCAGCTTTTTTCTAGAGGCTGCTTCTGGATCACACTGTCCGTTTCGTCGAGACTCAATGGCCGTCCTGTCGTGTGTCCGGTTAGCTAGACTGATTCTTGCACCGAGCATACGATGATCATTGCCTTCTGTAATGAATAGCTCAAGGTTTCTTGACGGCCCAGCAGCAAGGTCATCGAGTATGCGGTATGGATAGCAAAGCTCTATTGTCTCTCCTAGCGGAAGGAGAGCGAAAGCGGATTCGGCGCAGTCGCCCATCCTACAAAGTCTAAAGTTTTCCGGCTGACACTTGTCACACTTGCGCCTGTTGGTGAAGTTTCTCCATCCGGGAGAAAGATACGTCAGGGCCTTTTCAATGACACAGCATCCAGCACACCCGTCTGTCGACTGACTGCGCACTAGGCGCAAGTCGACTATAATCAGGTCCAACGGCCCTGAACCCTGACCTTGACTCGATTTTCTCGGCCGCAGGCCGCCGCAAAAGGGACATTGACCAAGTGTTCGACTGTTCAGATAACGCTGAGGTGTTTGTGGCATCGTGTGATGCTTTCAGAAGCGGGGTAAATTGTAGCAGGGGTATCGCCTTTGCCTCTTATCACATAGGCGGAGGTAAACGCCAGCCGACTTTTGAAGCGGAGTTTTGATTTCGATGGCTTTGTTGCAGGTTGTCACCGTCTTTCAAAAGCATGAAGTAGTACAATATCGGGGAAAGTGATATTCCCAGCTGATTGGCGAGGAATTCCTCGTGGGTTCACAACCACCTGACCTTGCTCGAAAAGCTCCGAGGTGATGAGGGTGATGACTAAGGCAATAATTGTTGTTGATGTTAGATCTGCTTTCAATCATTATGCTAGCTATCCGTACCTAGGTAGGTAAGCTCGCCACCCTTAAGACTGAACCGGACATGAAGGACTGAAGAATTGAATAGTACAAAAATGAGTCGGCATTAAACAGCGTACAAAGAAGAGCAAACAAGAGTAAATCGCAGCACATCAAGACCCTGCGAATTCTACAAAGTCTCTTGCTAATCCATCAGCTTCCTTTTTACAGTCATTCGCAGTCAGGCCATTGATATCTCCTCGCCTTCAATGTCACGTCAATGAAGAACTCCAATGTTTTTTTCTTGGCCCAGCTGAAATTGGGCTTATTCGATTGACCAGTGCAAACCTCTCTTATTCCAAATACCTTTCTGTCATTAGAGGAGAGCCAGGTGGACACACTTTTACTAAATTCATATCTGTCGGGCATAGATAATGGTCAAGAGGCTTTATGGCAACAATGTGGCCTCAAAAACACGGAAAATTAACACATTTCCATAAAACTGCCGACATCATCACGCGTTTTGGCGCTCTCTCTCGTGCGGTCTTGGAGGCTCACAAATAGGGAGTGAGAGGCTCTCTTGACTAATGATGCTCTTGTAAGACCCACTGATGTCGTCTTCTTGAGAGCAGCTGGGGTGAGGGAGAGCATCAGAGATGCTTTATGCAAATTTTGTAACAAAAAGCGAATGCCGCTGTGCAAACAGCACAGCTATCAGCTCTTCCACGCCTTTTTCTTCCGGGAAACTTGCCTGAATTAACAAGTTTAGAAACGTGCTGATGTCGCAAGGCATGCAAGGGCCAGAAATTTGCCAAATCATTCGCGCGTCAGCAGGTTGCAGGATGAGAATTTGAGGAGAATTCGGGTTATGATATGGATCGTGCGGCGGTACGTAACGCGTCAGCCGGTTGCAGTAGTGCATAGATCAAGTGGGCCTTCGCTTCTTAGTTGCTTCGGGTTGTGATAGGGAGGGGATGCCAACAGCAATGATGATCCACCCCCAGAAGTTCACGACAGTCCATCTCGTCAACAATGTTCGTCTACCGTCCGGGATCGATCGACCTCTCCCGATTCATCCGCCTCGTTGGCTCCCGTGCCTCACTCCCACAATGCCGCAGTCACAGCCATCAGCAAGCTCCCACGTCCCTAACGTTATCGCCGATACGAGCGAGAAATCCGTCTCATGCCCTCTGCGCATCCAAACTTGAACCCGAACGCTGGGGACCCAGCATTTAGTCGCCTTACCAATAGCCGGCAGTGGAAGAGCACTAATGATGCTGGTGTGATGAAACACTCACTCATGCGATGGTAGTGCGATCCGTGACGGAGGCTCAGATTATAAGTACCGCTGGCAGCTCGATCATGAGAGAGGGAATACTCGCTTGAACTCACATCGTTTCCAGTGTCAACAAATCATATTGATAACATTCTCGCCAAATTTGTTGCTTTATAAGGTTCTCAAACGTCTTCAATTATCCAAAAAATGATCCCTCAATTCCAACAGCCCCTGGACACCTACCTGGCACGGCATCGCCAGCTTTCGCCGACGGCGGCCGTTCGCGTGTCCCCCCTCGCTCTTGGCGCGATGAACTTTGGCGAAAAGCAAAAGGCCACCATAGGCGAATGTACCAAGGAGACCGCCTTTGCTATCATGGATCACTATTACTCCCAAGGCGGCAACTTTATCGACACCGCGAACAACTACCAGGCCGGCCAGTCCGAGGAGTGGGTGGGCGAATGGCTCGCCTCGCGCGGCAATCGCGATGACATTGTGCTGGCCACCAAGTACAGCAGTGCCTATCAGCTGCACGACAAGTCGAAACTTCAATCAAACTATGGCGGGAATAGCACAAAGTCGCTAAAGCACTCCGTCGCACGATCGTTGAAGGCCCTCCAGACGACCTACATTGACATCTTGTACCTTCACTGGTGGGACTATTCCGCCTCGATTCCCGAGGTCATGCACTCCTTGAATGATTTAGTCGTCTCTGGCCAAGTCCATTACCTGGGAATTTCAGACACCCCGGCCTGGGTGGTAGCCAAAGCAAACCAGTACGCCCGTCTGTCAGGACTCCGCCAGTTCGTCGTGTACCAAGGCAACTGGAACGCTTCGATGCGCGACTTTGAGCGGGACATCATCCCCATGTGCATCGACGAGGGAATGGGTCTCTGCCCCTGGGGCGTCCTCAATGCCGGACGCTTCCAGACGGAACAAGGTTTCAAGGAGCGCGAGGAGCACAACCCCGGGAGACAGATCAAGGTGTCGGAGCACGACAAGAAGGTTTCCAAGGCCTTGGAAAAGGTCGCCAACGCCAAGGGTGCGTCGCTCCCCGACGTTGCAGTCGCCTACGTAATGCACAAGGCCCCGTTTGTCTTCCCTATCGTGGGTGGGAGAAAGCTGGGTCACATTGAGAGCAACATCAAGGGACTTGGACTGGCTCTCACCGAGGAGGAGATTTGCGAGATTGAGTCTTCTCACGAGTTCATTCCTGGATTTCCTCACACTTTCCTAAGCGGTACTCTGCTGTTCGGGGGAACTCCCAAGGGAGCATACCATCCCGGGGACGTGTGGTTGACGAGCCTCATGGGGAAGTTTGACTGGGTCGATCCTCCTAAGGCTATTCCATTCGAGTAACCTCGATCTTCATCATGAGTAATAACAGCGATTCGGAACCATCCTCCTATGTAGCCGTGTAAAAATAGATAAACACCGAGCAAGTTGAAAGATCTCAATTATCGCGTGTCCAATTTCACATTCACCGAAGCATTTGAACTATTTGTGAGATATCCACAGACTCATTTTGCATCACGTGTGAGAATTTGGTTTCCGAAACAATCCTTATTCCTAGAGCTTGACACTTTATAATGATACGCCGGGAACCAATTCACTTCTTCGTCCCTAATCGCGACGCGAAGTACAATAACTTCGGGTCCATTTTCCTTCCAAGACTTCAAGAAGCATTCTACATGGTTGCTAAACTCGTATACATGTGATGAAAGACTATACGGCTCAACTCAAGACGAACCACGGAAACTTAACATCGTCACACATCTAACGTCCCACCTCATCCCAATTGCCCTAGTTCCGCCAAAAACAATCACGAATGCAACGAAATTGGTTTCAGAAGCTACCTCAAAGGAACCAGCAGTTGTAGAAAACGAGCCTCCCCTCCTTGCCTTGATGCGTTTGCGCAACTCCTGTACCAGTCAGAATTACAAATTAATCGGTCAAAGTTAAGACGAACAAACGGCTGACGCTGGCTTGATTCCCTAGCTCGATCCAAGCCCGGCTTAGAGTGGGTGGAGATTCGAGTCGCTCATTACATCTGCACTACCTCCCTGGATCGGGCCATGGAGTGATGATGTTATTCGCACAATATCTAACATAGAGCCGAGGACGAAATCGCGGACATGAACAACGCCTCGATTGCCAAGACGCTGTTGAAAACACGCCGGGAAAAAGACCGGAATAGAGCCGCATCCTTGCATCGATCACGGCGTGACTACTCGCTTGCACTATAGCGGATCAAAAGGAAAGTAGATCGATCGAGACAATGACCGAGAACGACAGCAACCCAGAATACGTCTGGAAGCATATCAACGGCTTGGACCCAGCGAAGATTCGAGTTGTCATATTTGACCCGGAAGAGTTGTTATGCTTCTAGAATTATGAGAAAAGTAGTAGTACTGAGTATTCTCGTGCGGGTCAAGACAAGAATAGCCCACTATTGGCTCCCTATCGAGTGGCGAGGTCACCTCGATGCTTCTCGGGGTCTTAATGCGGTCTCGAAAGCTTCATATTAGTATTACTATCTATTATGATTATGAAATGCAGCGGCGGTGCTAGGGTGCCTCCATGACTCCTCTGTCCACCGTGATATACAAGAATACCAAATGTAGGTATGCTTTGGAAGCATCATGTGCAGGCATACTTGCGCACGCGCGTCTATGTCAATGGTATAAGGCCGTTTCCATACGAGTAAAGCCGTCAATGCTACCTCCGTCATCTCAATCGCAAAAATCAAATGTCTCGACTCCATTTATCCATGTATAATGCAAGCTTTTAAAAACAAACACCTCTTCCCCGCTCTTCGCGCACGCACGCTTACATGCAGTTGGATCACTACCAGTTGCAGAACATGAAGTAGTGGTTGATGAACAGGTTGTAGACGTTGATGATGATGAGCGGTAAGGGGTGGTACCATGTGAAGCCGGTAACGAGGCGCCATGTGACGACACCGACCATGGCACCAGTAACAATTAGGGTCCAGAAAATGCAAAGAAGGCGCATGTTGCGGTACTTGTTGCTCTTGTGTGCCTTGGCGTCCCCAGATGCAGCCCATAGAAGCTCAATGTTGAACAGACGGTCCTTGATAGCGGTGAGGTAGGCGTAGCTCTGGACCGTCATTGCGTGCTGCACATTGAAGCCGTACTTGGCCTTGGCCCAGCAGCGCATGAGAATGACGCCGTAGAGAATTGAAGGGATAGCGAAAGCCAGATTCCAGAACTTGAACCAGTTCGGACGGATGGCAAGGAGGAGTGTGCCGGCGATAGGGGCGAGGAAGATGTTGAGAGAAACCGCGGCGTAGTACAAGAAGCCTGAGAATAGTCAGTTGATGGACTTGCCGTACTTGAGAGGGATGTAAACCTGAAAGGTAGCAGATCTTCTGCATCAACGTGAGGTTCGAGACCCAGAAGTGGCCGTTTGTAAGAAGAGTCGTAGAACCGCGGGCCCAGCGCATCTGCTGGGAGAAGAAGGCGCGGGGAGAATTGGGGCAGACACCGGTGGCGAGACAGAGAGGGATGTACTTGACCTTCCAGCCGCGGTCAACAGCGCCGAAACTGTGGCATATTTAGCAAAGACTCTTGCATACCACACTGAGCTCAACTTACCCTGTGTGGACGTCTTCGGAGAATCCGATCTCGGCAGTCCCGCCGACTTCGACAAGAGACTCGCGACGGTAGAGGGCGTTACTACCGACGCAGATGGATGCACCCCATCGGTTACGGTTGACCTGCACAACGCGGTAGAACAATTCCTGTGTAGCACCAGCGCCCTGCTCAACCCAAGTCTGGTCATCAGTGACACGGAAGTATTGAGGACTCTGAACTAGCGCCGTCTTATCGTCGCCCAAGTGCTCGACCATCAGTTCCTTCACGAAGTCTGGGCGCGGGCAGAAGTCGGCATCGAAGATTGCGAAGAATTCTCCGCTGGTCTGGGCAAAGGTCCATCTCAGATTGCCTGCCTTTCGGAGACGAGGTCGGTCATCGCGAACAGAGTAGTTAAAGCCGTATTTTTCAGCGAGGAGCTGGACAGGCTCTGAGTTACCGTCGTCCATGACGTGAACCTGAAGCTTGGAGGCAGGCCAATCAATGTTGACAATGTGCTTGTACGTATTTTCCAGAATCTCAATGGGTTCGGAACAGCATGGGAGGTATATATCGACAGTGGGGGCATTCTCCTCAGTGATGGGAAAGCGCTCAACCAGCTCCAAGTGAGCTTTGTAGTCCCAGTCTCGTCCGATGATTCCGACGATGTAGGAAATCAACAGGTAGATGCACATTGCCCCCGCAAAGACGCCATACCAGTAGAATGCCGGAGCGGAGAGCGCGAACAGCCACATGCCTGCGCCGAGCGAGAGGAAAGAGAAGACACCAAAGATGTAGAGAAGAAGCCGATTGGTATGGACGTAACTGAGCTTCTCGGTATCGTTCGGGCACAGTGGCAGGACCAGAGGCGGCTCTTCCTTGGGGCAGTAGGTTGCGCGAAAACGGCCGTAAAGTCGCTTAGGGAACGACTCACCCGAGGAGGGTGGCAGAGCGGTGGTGTGCGTCTCTTTTGCCTTCTCAGGGTCAGATACCACTGGTGGAATATGACCGGCTTCGACATCTGTCCCGGACGAGGACTGGTGATGGCTCTTTTCATTGTAGACGGGGACTTCTCTGGCCAAGGGCGAAGGCTCCTGGTGTTTGTTAGTTTTGTCTGAGAATGTGCAAAAGTTGAGTAACTTACAATGTCGGGTCTACTCAGGCGGTGGTTAGAGGAGCCGGCCCAGCTTGATCTTTGAGCTGATCTGCCCGTTGTGTCGTACGGATGTGACTGTCCAACAGCATTCTGCAAGATGTTAGTCTCTGCTTCGTCCGGCCGAATGGCATTACTGGCGACGGAACATCACTCAAACGTACTACGGTGAAGGTTGAGTCACTGGCAAGGGAATGAGTCGCGCTCGACTCGTTATCGGTGTCGAACGGGTTGGAACCGAACGGATTAGTTGGGGGCGTCAGACCCGAGTCGGGGGTAGCTCCCCGTGGTATGAAAGGACGCGACATTATGGCAATAGCTACGAAATCCCGTGAAGCGACTGATATTCTCCTCACTCTGATGAGTTCGTGGTTGAGGGTATCGAGAGTCGGCTTCCGTTGGTAGTGGAACGTATGCGCCGAAGGGGTGATGTTGCAAACGAAGATAGCTTCAATTGACGGTGTACGCCCATTAGGTGTTGTCGAAGCGTACGAAAGAAACTTTCAGCAGCAAAGGCGAGGGGGGAGGAATGAGGGATCGAAACAGGGTGAAGGGAAAAAACAACGAATGTTGTCAAAGCGAACGAGTCAAAATTGTAAGTAGACCAGCCTCGTGGGGTTAAACTAGCGAGCGAGAGAGGCGGCGAGAGTAGCGCGGTGATGGCAGCGGGAGACTAGGAATCAATGCCAACCTCTACGTGTAGCGAGCGGGACAGAGGTAGGAGAGGTTCTGTTAGAGGCAAGCCACAAATACGGCGGAATGACGGAGGTAGAGGAGGGGGTGTAGGTGACCTTAGGAGAGGAGGCGAGGCGAGGTAAGGTAGAGGTGAGGAAAGGCGCCAACGAGAAGCCGAATGGTATGAGGTGAGACCGTGAGGGCGCAAGGTGAAGTCGTGACGGGATGGGCTGGTGAATTGGGGGGATACCTCAGCACGGCATAGAGAGAGAGGAAGGTGCAGCCTCGGCAGACAGACACGCAAGCACACGAGAAACAAGAGGAGAAAGAGGCTTGGAGGCATGGCAGGCAGGCCCTACGAATACACCGTCTTGCTTCCTCCTGCAAGGATATGAATACGGTATCACGGCCACGGAATGAGGTACGAATACGTACGGCATGGTAGGTGGGTACCTTATTGCTAGGCTAGGTTGGACTGTAGAACACAGTTGGTTGACCATGTTCATTCGTCGAATAATGTCCGGACCATGACTGAGGATGGACTTTGCCCTGTCCCTCGATGGATATCTCACCAGTCCACTCGGCCTCCTAATGTGCGGGCAAGTGGAAAGGGTGGAAAGGGGAAAGGATCGTGGCAAGGATACGGCGGTCATTGGACAGTTTGACAGTTGCAAGGGCCCGATGGGAGAGACGTCGTGACATCACCGTCTAGGAGAATTAGAATACCCGGTGTCATTGCAGCTGGACCCAACACGTCAGATTAAGGTAAAGAATGATAGCGTAGCAGTATACTGCATAGCTTAGCTTGCTTATACTAAGTTGCCGTAGCTCACGAGCTATGGCCGAAATCTGCATGGAGAAGAGTTTGACTCTTGCCGCGGATTGCAGACGAACGGTGAAGCCTAGAGGAAGATTATGACATGGTCAAGAGTACAACGAGGGGTGTGGGGGGATGGACGGGGGTTGGACCGTGGACGGGAACAGGCAAGAAGAACAAAGCCGGGCAGAACATGACAGACAAGGACGAGAGAGGAACGAGAAGCAACTGCTGCCATGCCGGAGTGCGGTGGAGATGATTGCACATGGTTGGAATGTACATGATTGGGCGGTGCAGCTTCTGAACGAGGGAAACATTCGCCTGCCATTCCGGATAGAGAGATGTTGAACTAAGCTACCTAAAGTAAGTAAGGTAGTAAAGCAGATAACGCATCGCAGAAGAAGGACAGATACAAAAGATCAAAGCAGGGTTGTGGGAAATAAGGTAGGTGTCCCGTGCCTGGCATCCATGGCAAGCCGCAAAGTAGGCAGGCGGAGGCAGGTGGGAAAGGGAAAAAGCCACCTGCATCATCAACCGTGTGCTTATTTCCCGGTTTGCCTGGTAACCCTTTCTGTAGCCTTTGCGGCATCCTCGGATAGTCACAACTTGTTCGGAACATTGTTGCATGCAGGTGCGCAAACACCAAAATGGAGAGGAGAGGAGGTGGATGGATGGACATTGGAAAAAAGCCCATGAGGAAAGAGCCGCCAAGATGCTATCGGCAAGCCATGAGCTGACTATCGCGGTACGTACCGCGTTCTGGACAGGGGTCGATCTGCAGGCGTTGCTAGCGTCAACCACATCACGGGCGCCAAGGCCCCAGAGGGAAAGCCGACATGCGACACGGGCTGGCACAAGTGAGGAGGGTGGGAAGGAGCCACGAACTGCAGCCACCACGGCGCATCATCTTTTTGGGTTCCTTCTGGATGAGCAGCTGCTTCTGCTGTTGTGCCTGCCTACCTACCTGAGATACCTGAGGGAGCTACCCCCACTCCTTCCTCGGTCACTCTTGCTGTCACTTCTGCCTACCTTACCTTACGTCGGATACCTTAAGGTTCGGATACCTTAAGGTGAGAAGTTACACCGCGACATCGACACCGAGGAAGCTACGGGGAGACAAAGAGGCAGGGATACTGTAGGGGCTGGTAACTGTCGACCAGGTGGTCCTCGTCAAATGGAAGGTGGTCAGAGAATCAATCTGGGCCGTGATTTGGCAGCATGAACCGGGATGTGAACCAGGATGTCGATAGCAGCGCAAACACCCATCACGAGCACATCCCGAACCCATTCACGCACTATCGACTTTGCATCCCACCCACCAGTGCTGCAAACTCACCGGCCATCCTCAAGCTGCAATCTGCCGCGATGGATCGAGAAACTTCTGATTCCACACCCGCCAGCTCCTCTCCTCCGCCCACCGCGCTAAGCAAATAACCTTGGAACTCAAAAACACAAAGCGTTGGGCTAAGGCAGCCCACGGTGGGAATGGCCCGCCATTGGCATTCGCACACCAACTACCTTACCATGCTAGGCCCGAGACGGCGGCCGTTGTTATCAGATCCACCTTCGGCAGTGGCCGGATTGACTGAAGATGAAAGCTTCAGATGTCCTGCTCTTTGCCTTCCCCAGCTTCCGTGCCAAGTTCCAACTCTGCCGTTATCGACGGTCCGTGGCTGTCCTCCTCCGAGGCCTCCCCAATGACAGACGACCGACACTCTTGTCTCTCTGCTGGCCTCAAACCAACAAACCGCCGTCGCTGCAGCACATGCAAATCCATGCCAGCCATTTAATCGCCATCATACACGCAAACCGTCTCACTGGCAAACGCCGCCTTCTTCAACCCAAAGCCCCGGAGAATCAATACCACGCAATTGGGCCACGGATTCGATACAGTCTATTAGGCCCGCCCACTGACTACGGTCCCGACGCCAATAAGCTAATAAGCGTAAACCATGACAGCATCCACCTCAGAGGCTATTTCGACATCCCCATTCGCTGATGCGTGTTCTCTTACGTTTAACCTGCCTTCCCTGGCATTCGTCTTTCTGCAATGATTTTATTCTCTGCTGTTTGGGCATTGACCCGTTAGCCTCTCGCTCCCCGCCGGTACTTTCCCAAACGTCCTGCGGCGTTGTCGTTCGCCGCCCTTCCCGGCTCCGCCGAACATGGCTGACGAGTCCTTGTCTTACATGGCGCTTGGCCTGGGCAACGATGACGCTTCATCATGTCGCTTTCCGGTCAGAGAGTCTCGAATAGAGCTGTTCATTATTGGCAATGGCGATCCCTTGAAGCATGATCAAGCGCCGTCGACAGGAAATGGGCCGGCGCCAGCCGGACTCTTTTGCCCGATCTCGAAGGTCCGATTTCTGATCTGACTGGGGCATTCCTCAATAATTTTGCCCGTCGTTTTTCTCTTCCCGATTTACAGATACCCATCCCGTCATTGTGTTGGAACATGGTCACGGAAACTCCTTCATACCCCAGTCCAACGAATTCCGTCGGCTCCACCGTGCCACGCGCGCAACGCAAGTCTCGACTCACCTGGCAGAGTCAAGGAACACAATGTCGACGATTCACACCCGCCATGTCGATCCGGTCCTTCAATACCGAGACATCATAAGTCAAGGCCAACTGGACAGCTGGAGCGACCAGGCAACGAGGCCGCCCCACTGCCTCGTGTTTTTTGTTGCCCTATGATGCTTTCTCTATCGCAATCGCATCCCAGAGGCCAAGGTATCCGTTTGTACGGGCATGGGATACCAATGCCGCATCCTACTTTGTCCTGACGGACGATATTGAGGTCCTTTTGTACGGCGTAGCAGGTAATCGATCGCACATGTGGAACCAGGTATGATGATCAGTGGCAGTGACATCCGTTCGAAAGAACTCCACGGGTATGCTGGGCAGAATAAAGGGGCCAAAAGCACACCAGACCCTGATTTCTGGACATATGTTTAAAACTCGGTTCCTATCCTACAGCATATCGTCGTCAACAAACCCCAGTAAATCACATTGAAAAAGCAAAAATTCGTCCATCCCAAACTCCTCCCCGCCTCCATACTTTGCCATGGCCCACAGTCGTTGTAGCCGCCCGTTGTCTTGGCCATTTCGGCATGGCGGCACGCGCGCCAAGCCGCCAATACGAAAGAATAGCGCGCCAGATAAGCACCTTGTCTTTTTTTCCTTGGTTTCCCTCACACCATCAACGTTGAAACGACAACACAAGTTCTCCCGCCGTTTCTCGCCGCCATGTGTGGATATCAGACTACTGTCAATGTCCTGTCCAACGCATAGTCTTGTCCCGGATTGAGGCCACTCTCCGAGGCGTGGATCTCGATGACGCAGCACCTCGACGCAATTTGCATTTCCCTTACTGTAAGCCTGCAGCGAGCATTATTGATGTCCGAATGGGGCTTCTCTCTGCAAGGCCTCTCTCCAATCCCGCCGCTTTCCCATCCATGTCCGCCAAGACCGTGCACACCATCCCACTCTCCCCCCCTCCAAGGGTGACGGTTCCCAATCCTTGCTACATTGTCCCCAGCCAAAGAAACATCCCGGCAGCTGATCCTTTGCGAGATGTGTGCTGCCCACCACCAACTCATGGAAAACGAGATTGCCATACGCGTTCTCGAGAGTCAGCACCGCGTGATGCCCGTCTACAGATTCCAGTAAACAGCGGCATGGCGATCTCTCGCTGTCCCTTTTTTGCATGCTAACGTGCCCCATTGCTCACGCCGAAATGCCCGCGTCGGACAGCCGACCAAGCCAACTCAAACCCCGGTGAGCACTATGAAGCAGCCTTGTTACACCGTCTACCAACCGTCAGTGGCTGAGGCTGTTTCTCACACTGAAACGAGAATTCTCCAATGAGGCTGGGGCTTGGTGCACTCGAGGAGTCGAGTTGCAGAAGGCAAAAGCCAATAAGGTCATGTTTGGCGTTGCCATGTCGAAATGGTAGATCCTGTCCGTCTGGCGTGGGAGGCCGCCCTTTTTTCTCCGAAGGCTGAATGCTCTAATATTTGGAAACGTATGCGCGTGTGTGTGCGTGTGTGATCAACGATCTCGCATAGCCTATAGGTAAGGTAGGAAAAGATGTCACTCAAGAAAGGTACACTCGACTTCTTTAGGGGACCTCTCGAATTGAGAATTCATGCATGTGCTCCGAGAGCTTTTGGGACTTTGTGACTGACTACCCAGTCCTTTTGCTGTCACATATAGCTTGCTGCCGTTGTCAAGCTGTTCATGCGGAGTGACACAGGATCTTCAAAACATCGTGAAAACAGAGGCTGGCAAATTGTTTGCCCAGTCTGTAATAGGTCTTCAGGCTCTCTATGTCATTATCTTGTGATGAAGTACAATGTCTTTTGAGGCTCAATTACCTCGAGCTTCATGTCGTTTTGACCCGGTTACGATGGATTTGATGCTCGGGCTATCACCGAATCCACACGCTCTACAAACCAGTAAAGTGTGGTTATTCCAATCCGTTACTCCCTTAAGCGCACACGTGAAAAAAGAGGGATATGATTACATGGTCAAAGCCCACAGCGACAGCAGCAACGCCGACCCCAAGCCCAGCGTAGACAGCGCGCCTCTGCCCGCCGCGTTCTCGTCTTTGCCCCCATTGCCGCTGCTGGAATCGCTGTCGCCGTTGTCGAGCTCCATGCTAAAGTGAGCCGCGCTGAAGGTGATGTTTTCCGGCGAGTGCCAGGCCTCGGAGCCGAACTCGACCAGACCGAGCCACGATTCGCCGTCAATCTCGCCAGAGTCCAACACGAACTTGAGCAGCGGCGTAATGTCCTCGTCGAACTGAGTGACGTCGGAGCCGTCGCGCGTAACCCAGGTGAAGACCTTTTGGTCACGTTGGTTGGTGTCGAACCAGAGGGAGCTATCAGGTGGAAGCGAGTTTGCGTCAGCATGGCCATGACTTGGAATCAAATACGAAGAAGATCGCAAGCGAGGCACTGGGTGGAATGCTTACAACTCTGTAGAGCCGAGGGTGATATTGGTGAGAATGGAATCTCCCATCAGCGGGTACGGGTTTCCGACCTTACCCAGCCAAATCATAATCTCCGCCCCCGAGTCAATGGGGTTGTACGTCTTGGTCTTGTCCTTGTCGACAAAAAAGTCCCAGGCGGCATTGGCGACGACGCCGTTGAGCTCCGCCTTGCTTTCCGCCCAGGTGGTGGCGGCGAAGTCGCGGGGCGGGTCGTTGTCGGGGTTGCCTTTGCGCATGGTCCATTGCGTCGCCAGGCGCATCGTCTTGATGGCGCTCAGCTTGGTCGGCAGCTTTGTCGAGTTGAAGCGGACATGGGGGAACGAGTGGACATTGTTCTTGTCCTCTTCCCAGTTCCAGTTGGCGTCGAAGGCCGGGATGGACTGGTCAACCTGCGCATCGTGAAGAGTATCGTGTTAGTGGAGGTGGCCAGGCGATGGGGGCATGAGATTGGCCTGGCGGAAGAAATACGAGCAGAATACAGATAAATGCCACGATGGAACTCTCGTGATAGTATGCAGGGTCAGAAGAGGATTGTGGAGGCAGGGTGATATGGGCGTAGATAGGAGGGGTAATGATAGGGAAGAGAGAGCATGGAGGTGTAGAGATACGGGGGCTCTGCAGCTCGTATACGGCAGGTCGTCACGTCACATTACTTACCGATACGCATGAGGAGCCATCTCCAACCGGGTTCCAGGCATTTGACTGGACTGCAGAATTCTCGTGTTAGCTGGGGTTTGTCATGAGAGGCAAAATGATTAGATGGTGATTCAATGTGTCGTGATGGCGTTTACATGGTGTACATCCTCAACGATCCGGAAGTAGAACGAGGGAATGGGAAAGGGCAAACCACACACATATGAATTGGGTATCTGAGCTCGTAAACTTATTTGTCTTGCCGCAAATTGTCGTGTCATAGGCGGCAGACGCGTGACGGACGGCCGTCAACCCGGCTGCGAGAAGAATCGCGTTTCTCATATTGTTTGCGCCGTGTGTGTGTGCCGAGGCCGACAGAGGTCTGGTGGGTTGAATGCAAAGAGACAACTGTCGTATTAGTGCGTGCGAAGGGGTTGATTAAGGCCGTAAACACCAACTGGAGCACTTTCTCGGTCGTGAAAGGGCTCGATAAAAGACACAATAACGAAAAGAGGACAAAATGTCGGGGTGCAGCTCGGATGACGAAGATGGCAGGCGATGAAGAAGGCTGACCGCTGACGGGGTCCGCAGAGCAATGACACTCGCACTCGCTGCACACGATCCCGGGGAGGCAGGCGGGCAGGCTGGGGGTCTATGGGTGGATCAAACGGCAGGGGGGGAGAAAGAAAAAAAGAGTTGGAGGGAAAAGATGACGATGAGCAGCAAGGAAGAAAGAGAGACACTGCGGGAGAAGGAGGAGTCTAGGCCGTTTGGTGACATTCCTCGCGTTTCTGGGCCCAGCCCGCTTGCTCGTCCAACAGCTGAGAAAATATTGGCAGCGGTGCTGAAAAGGGAAAGGAACCAGATGTCGACCCTGCCCGCTTATCTCGCGTCGAATGATAGCGGCAGGAGGGAGGTGAGCCCAGGGTCGGTGATTCGGTCGTGGTCTCCCGTTCCGTGTTGGCAAGTGGTGTTGGCATTGGCATTGGCAGTGGCATTGGTATTGGCATCAGCATCGACCTTGGCTTTAGGTCGACGTTGGCAGGTGCCGAGCGTCCTCTCATTACATCACCTCACCTTGAAAGTGCTTCTCCTGCGATGAGCTTAATGACAGCTCTGCCTGTGGCTGCGTGGTCGAGCTAAAATCAAGCATATACGCCGTCTTTTCCCGATTGGGAAAAAGGCGTTGGCTGGACGTGGGGACGGCGTCGGTGGCTGCCTTGCAAAGATAAGATATGTTCGAGCGCTGAGGTAAGGTAGTTTAGGCCTTGCGTGACAGTCATTGAATTGAAGTTTTGAATGCGCAATGAGTACGTGAGTGAGTGAATGATTGGGTGAGTATGAGTTTCAGGTGAATGAGTGAGTGAGTGAGGCAGCCGATCAGTACCTAGGTATTTACTGCGCTGACATTGAATGACCTTTGGCTCGGGCTCCGGGTAACCCCAGCAGGGTGGTCTATCAAGATCTGACCTTGCCTGAACAAAATGCAAGACTCGGTCGAACATCTTCCATTGTCAGGGAAAGCTATTGAGCTCACTCAAGATGGTATGCCGGGCATGGCGCATTCGCAAAACGCCAAGAGGTGTGGGTGTCTCCGCCTAACGGGCCAGCGACGATGATATCCTAATGTCCGATGCGTTCTTGTGAGGTACCTTGAACAAGACCTCAAACAAGAATGGCATCTCTGTTTAAAGCGGCCTAAAAGTAGATTCGAGGAGACTGCTGCTCCAAGTCTGATCAAGTCATTACGAGGGCTGAAAGGGAGTAAGAAGGGTACTCGTTGCTCGCACTCAACAATGATGATGTCGCCCTCGATCTAGTCAGTCGCATCCACCTGAACCAGCCTGTACCGTACAGCTCGTTCAGAGTCTTCTGGGTCAGGAGTCACGTCTCACACCACGCACGTTCTTGAGAGACTCGCTCACAAAGTAGCAGTCGCCTGTGAGCCAAGGCGGAAGATTAAACGAGGCAAGGCTCACCTCCCTCCAAAACTTGCACTCATACTCTCAGATTCCGGGCAACATCCCCCCCCCCAGAGCCGCAAACAGTTTGGATTTAACCATAAATCGCCCGTCAAGGGCCCCCAAAATCGCCCTGCACGCCTTGCAAGGCACTGCAGAGCCTAGAACATTACCTTAGTAAGCCGCCCGGGCATTGATAACGCTTCGCCCGAGTCATATGGCAGTCCTCCTCCGACAGACGTCTACCGGGCTTCTCGGCCACCGTGTCAAGCCTCTGCAGCCATGGCTCGTAACCCGTAACATGCCCAAAACAGCATGGTGATGGGCGAGGGCATCCAGGGGTGAATACTAAGGTGAGGGATTGTATCCCTCGGAATCTCGTATTTGCCCGCCTCTGCAGTACATAACCGCTGCGTCGCCCCCCCTTTCACTCTCTACTATTGCTGTCCTTTCTTCGTCCACCAAGAAATCTGACCGGGTAAGCATGTCGGGGTTCGTAAAATCCGGATTTTTTTTGGGGCAACATCGGATCACGATACGTTTCCCACACCCACCACCGCCGCCTAGAGCTTGGCGTCGACACAGATTCGACGAATCGAAGAACCCCGGACTTCGACCCGGTAGAAAAAAAAAAAAACGGTAGCGGGAGAAGCCCTTATTTCCGCCTCGTCCGAACGATCAAAGGCCGCACCACCACACCAAGACCACCGAGATCTTCATGTCCCCAGCATCTTGCAGGTTCTTCAAGGCTTCCATGACCTCCATTCGCCTGGGAAAAGGCGATTCCACGACAAGAAAGAAGAAAATTCTGGTCAGAGTGCCGCCGTATCCGTTCGCACTCACACCCAGAGACCTTGATACGGTCTTGGGAGACGCAGGTGCAGTCGAGACTCGTGAAGGATTTCACCACCCGCGGGTAATGTGTAAGGATCGGATTAGATGCTTCCACTAGCAAATGCGCTCTTGTCCAGGAGGATGGGCATTTCCGACCAGTGGCGGACGGGCATGGAAAATATCAGAAAAATTCGTGGGGGCCGCAGGGCCAAATCGGCGAGTGACTGAACTGATCGACCGACAACGATGAGCCGCCGACCCAGGCCTGATTGAGGCTAAAAGCGCGAAGGCAAAGGACAGTCACTTTCCGGGCCCTCCAGTGCGACTCCAGATTACCTACCACGCCACGACCCAAACAACCCAAGTCGAGACAGGAAGCCCCATCGTTTCTCCCTCGCCTCCTCGAATCCGAACCTCTCTGCCCGTCCCACGATCCACCTTGCCGAGCCTGTAATCAACGAGTCGTCGTCAGCACCAACAGGGGATGACACTAGACCGGGTGGGAACCTGCGTCTCTCCGCTCTTGGTGCCAACTTGCCAATCCGCTGCACCAATATCCGGGGGGGCCAAGTCCGTACGAATACTGACGTTTGTCTCCCCAGCGTATCAAGAAGGGCTGCTACTATGTAGTAACGGTGCGTCCAACTCCCTTCCACCGCATGTTGCACCTCATACACCCGTGCCTCTTTGATGCACCGTAAGCTTCGCCTGCCCGTCTTCGAGAGACGATGCTCAATGGGCTTGCTTCTTTGGTGTATTCTTGGCATGTCTGACCGCTTGATCGCGAATCGTCCCACGCGGGACTGTCGGGTACTAGCGACCGAACACCAACGAGCAACAAGTATAGTCTTTAGGTACCGACCACAGCTCCTACCAAAGACTTGAAGAAAGTCTGTATCACTGGGCATCGCAGTGGCTAATTCCGCGCGCATCCTCTTATCGATCTGAAGGGGATCTCCTCGCAAGCAGCGCGGCCTTGCCTGGCCTGGCTCGAGGTATGGGGTAAAGGTACATGTCAATGTGCTCATCTGTCGGAGGCGCCCACCCACGCAGCTCGTGATTCTGATGAGGCGCGCACGGAAGCACGTCAAGACTGGGAATCAGGTTCATCTTGGTCGTCGTCGTCGCTCCGTTCTTTGCCTGTCATTGAACAATGGCACTCATCGCTGCGTACCCTCCCACTGCTCAATCACTGGCAGATCGCTGTCGCGTGGAAAATTTTCTTGCAATGACCACAGGTGTCTGAACTTAGAGCCTAGATTGACTCTCGCCCTTGTTGTGGATTGTCTCTGCCGTCGTCACAATGTGTGACAGGAGCGAGAGACTCAAACCAACGGCAAGCATCGTATATTAGTTGTAGCGGCCCCTTCGCGCGGCAATTGTTCGAGTGAGGTGGCTTGGCCAATGATGAGCAAGTGTCTCGTCCGTCTGTGCCTGAAGATTGCGACTCTCTTCTCCAGCCCTGCATTGTGCATGCTGCCGCAGGGTACCAAGTTGGCCATGGCAGTACTTAGTGTCCACGTCGCGCCGCGGTAATTTGCGCGAGACATTTGAGCTCAACGAACCTCTGCTAATTATTTGCCTCTCGCCGTGTCTGGCCCATGGCGGCTATTGGATGATTGCATGCGCTCCCTGTCGATGTGCAAGCCCGAAGCTGTCTTTGGCAGCTTGTCATTGGGAGCCTATGGGTTGACGAGGTAAGGCGATCAATTGGAGGAACCGTCAGGCTCTAGCAAGTCTCAGTCTCTGCGGTATCCTGCAGCCAATGTGATTTTCCGTAATGAAGGTCCCTCCATGGACCCCCGTCTTCATCTCCTGAATTCCGCCACTCCGATGGAGGAGGAGGGCGGGAGCTTGGAGGAGGGGTGGAGATGCGAATAAAGGCAGAGGAGGATTCGCAAGCGGTGTCTCGGGCAGCTGTCACCTTGCCAATCCCGTCCGGGCGTTGGTGAAGCCCATCCGCGATGACTGAGAGCCTACTGTCGTCCGTTACGGCGTTGTCTCGTGCTCACTCCAGAGGGTGGCCTGAGACTCTGAGTCGACGGCGGAAATAGTAACACATGGCTGGCGGAGGACGCAACACGGCTGAGCCTGAGATTCAGGCCCAGCATCCGACTCCTTTGCAAGGTGAGGGGATGACAGACAAGGTCAGGGTGACCCCTCGGAGAATCGTATGGGTAAAACGACAAAGCAAACGGATGATGGTGATCAGCGAGTATGTCAAACCGATCCTAGTCTACTACCTTAATTCTGAGGCGATGGAGATTCCCATGTTCGTTGAGAGATGGGGCCACCGTCGGGGGTATCTTGGTCGTCTCCCCTGCCTGGCACGTAATACGGTGGATGTGCGCCGTATCTGACGACGAGCAGGCCACGCGCAAGTCGAAATCCACTGCCTCAGTGCACTCGGCAGGGGTTTGTGGCAGATGAAGATCGCTGGTGGAGGGGCTTCCACCTCATGTTGAGCGCAAAGAGTGCCGAGTCGGAGTCGGAGACGGCCAGTAATCTCAGTATACAGATACGTACATGTATCGGGGAAAAGCCCTCGTTCGTGAGAAACGGGCCACGCGCCGGCTGAACGGAAAGCGAGAAGCTCGGATGGACTTTGGTCGCCGCATGGATGACGGGGGAGCAATTCCAGCTGACTCTGGAGTCTGGACAAACGAGTGGAGTCTGTTCATTAGCCATGCGGGTTCGCAGAATGGTGAAATTCCAGGAACAAGTCTCTTTCAGGCGCATGCATGGGTGGAGTGATGAGCGCTGGTTCTCCTGACGGCGAGAGGTGTTGCGACAAGTTGGTAATGGCCATTTAGCCAAACTGAGGGTAGTAGAACCACCGCCGCCGCCAACACAGGCGCGCCTACCGTCTCTGAGGTGGGCGGGAGGTGAAGCAACGGAACGAGCAGAAGAAAGCAACAGACATTGGCATTGCAGAGACTGACGTGACAGGGTGGGGGACCTGTGGGAGGCGCTTTAAGCTTGAAGGAGTTGCCTCCGACATGATGCAGAGATGCCAGACTTGTCTTGCCTGTCGTTGCCTATCTCGCCGTAGTTTCTTCTCTTCCCTTCCCCTGCTCGTCTGCCTCTAGGCTCTTGGTGCTTCTCGGGTAACAATGCACCGGGGTTATCTCGAAAAACAAAAACAAAAAGACATTACCTGCAAAAGCTGCAAAAGCCGCTTCCACAATCGAGAAAGCCCAGGCTAGAGTACCGCCCTGTACCGTTCGAGATGATGTCACAGACTTGGACCTGACAGGCCAACAGCAAGTGAGGCTAAGACAGATTCAGGTCCCTTGCTGGCATGCCCGCCATGCCTGCCATGCGGCGCCGGGCTAGTGCAGCAGTTGGGACCCGGTAGTCAGTCTCTGCTCCTGTCGTTCCGTGCTTTCTGGCAGGGGCAACTTCCTCTGAGTAGGTACATGTATTTGCACGGACATGGACACTCGAACCAAGACACAACACTGGAGGAAGGTTGGCAGGCACGAAGTCGGAAGGATACGGATACATGTACTCTTTCCTGAATCCAGAGCAGAGAAAGGGAGCAAGAGCTGGACAAGACGAAAGGCAAGGGGAGGAAGGTGTCGAGAGTACGTCACTACGTGACCAACTGCCAAGCAACTACGGGGTCCTCCTGATGTATCTGTAACGGCCACTCAATTTCACCGTGTTACCTTTGATCTACGCTTACCTTAGTCGCCTTGTTGTACGTACTCCGTCCTCTTTCCGCACCCATTAGCCTCCAATCTCCAATTCCCAGGTCCCTCGGCTCCCCCAATGGCCCCGATATTCCAGCCACCGAGGTACTTCATCTCACCACACGAAATTAGTGCCACTCCGATGTACCTCACGCAGGGTGGAAGGGAGGCATCAGAAAACGGACTCAGGGGCCCTCCGTTTTTGCTTTCATTTCCGACCTCCCGTTCACTTCCCAAGTTCCTCCTCCGCGGCACCGTAATGGAAGGCTTGTCATTAGTCATGGTCGAGCATCACCGCCCGCCAGATCACATCCAGGTGACACCGCAAAACCACTCTTCCAGCAAGCCTGCAGCAATCAAGACCGTCAAACAATGCAGAGATGCTACGGGAGGGTGCTTGGAGTTGTTCCATCGAGGAGATTTTCCTTGCCCCATCACCACTATCTATGCTCCAAGACGCCAGAGTCCAAAGGCCAGAGACTGAGTGGCGATTGGGCTTGGACAGGGGTCTACTCTACCTTAGCATCGAGAACTCAGGGACCGGGCCATGACCTTCCCGTCGCTTGTCCTACTCCTGCTCTCAGGCCAGCCACCCTCGACTTTCCAAAACGGAGGACGCGCATCCCTTCCACGCCATCCCATTGTCTGTGATGCTGCAACTCTCCTGGGCATCCCGCCACGCTTGCAGCAGCAGCAAGTGTCCAGGGCATCCTGCCTGCGTCCGAGTACAGAGTTGGTACAGAGTGCGCCCCCCATGCATACGACGCTTTCTTGCAGAAAAGCAAAGATGACAATAGGAGCAACGGACGACATGCCGATGTATGCACGGCTGGGTCCTCGTGTCCCTTGTTTGCGAATTGATCCAGACTCTCATCCGTACACAGTACGTTGCAGGAGAGGAGCCGCTGCACGACGAAGGAGTCCCGGGATTCGATTACGGCTGCCGTACCGAATGCCAAGCCTTGAGCGGTGGAAATGTTGCCGTACGATAAGGCCAAGGAATCTCCAAGGCGAAAACCCAGCGCGCCAGCGAACAGCAAGTCACTCCCCATGTCATGCGGCGGCATCTGGTTATTGGCTTCTTTTATTTTCTGCTGCCACTGCCGCCGATAATCGTCCAATATCTCCCGCCAGCTGTCCGAACCTCAAAAACGGACGCATGACAAGGTAGCCAGAGTGCGAGACCACGTCAGGCTCAGTAAGAGAGGCAAGGTACATTGTAGCGGAGTTTTTCATGATACGTACCGTTGAATACCTCTCCGACGGGCCCAAGTAAGTAGGTAGGTACCTTGCTCCTCACGTCCTTCCACTACGCTATTCTAGGAAAGCCAAGTACCTGGTCCCGGTCCCGGTCCCTTTCTCGCTCCTCTCCTACTACGTACTATAGCAGGTGCCTTCTTGTTGGTACCTCCTGGTCCTTGCTCTTGCTGCTTGCTGGGACGAATACTGGTGGGGGGAGCAGCAGCAGCAGGAAAACAGAGCAGAGTCGCTACTACGAATTCGCAGTAGCAGCAACGGCAACCGGGATGGATGGGAATTGCTGGTCCCCTCTGACCTTTTCGACAAGGATGCGATGTCCTTGCCATGCCTATCTTCTTCTCTCTCCATGCCATGCTCCCATCCAATCCACTTTGAGGTCCCGCATTGCCCATCTCCAAGTCTCCATCCCATCCCATCCAACCCACGTCCCATCCAACCCACGTCCCATCCCATCACCCATCACCCATCACCCGTCGTCCATCACCCATCCCCTATCCCACTCGTCCGATTCTGTGGTCCACAGTCCACAGGCCATAGGCCACAGTCCACAGCTCTCGGACGGCACCGTCGATGGGGAAGGAGGGGAGCAACAAGAAAAAAGAGCCAAGACCCCGGAGGATATATCAAGAAAGAGCCCCTGTGCCCTGCCGGCTGCGTTTTCCACTTGAAATCGTCCGTCCCGCCATTACTGTTGCTGTATTCGTGCGCCTTGCCCTCACTTCCGTTGGAGATTGATGAAGTCCGGGTTTGAATAAACCTGCCGCTCGCTCCACGTCCTCCCAGCTTCCTCACCTTCACTGCCCTTGCGCACTTCACATCAAACCACACCAGCTCCTAAGCCGCGGATCTTCTCCCTCCAAAGCTCTCTTCACCACCCTTTTTCCCGGTTCACCTGTCTGGGTCACATCACCGAACCTCATCGACCACCTCCTTCGAACGGGCGCCACTCCCTTGTGAAGCTGGTTTGAGCGTTAGTGCACCTGTCCAATCCCACTTTCGCTCCTACGTACGCCGTCCGTCCTACGTCTACGCCGTCACCCGCACCCACCTTTCCGATCCCACCAATCTGTACTTCTGACCTCCCAAAGTACGACCCGACTCGATTTGTCTCGCTGTTCATTCACCAGACAAACCGCAGGAAAAAGGAAGCAGAAACCGACTTGCCAAGCCACGCAAGGGAATTCAGCTTTGGGCTTTTGAGAAACCCATTCTCAGTTATCAGTCACTTCTCAGACCCATCAATTTACAACTCTCTCGGCCACAGTCCGATTGCCGGTGCCATCAATTCACCACAGCAGCGCCCAACTCGTGCGCATTCAAAAGCAGCGCGCCCGTGTCTTCCACTACTCTAAACGATCATCAACAACGACAACTTTTCACTTCCCGCTCTCTTTCTTCAGGCAGGAGTCGACTTCATCTACTCAAGAATCCTACAGGCTCTTTGAATTTTCCGACCTGGAGCTCGTCGATATCCCACCAGCTTGCCTACTCTACAAATACCCCACGCCTGCGTCACACTGCACAAATAGGGATACCAGCCTGTTTGTCATTCGTCGGTCCTCGTTAGCTCTGTTCGTCAACAGAGCATTCCATCGATGGCTGTAAGCTTCGCTCGTTCAAGCTACATCACAGCAGACTCGTCTTCAACGGTCGGCAGTATGGTTTCCCAATCACCGGCCCTCAGCACAGGGCACTCGGATGCTGGTTCTGGCAGCGGAACGCCGAACTCCTCTCCTCCCGCTTCAAGACCTCGCAGTCCCGAGCTCAAGCATCACGAATCGCTGGATGCCTCGGATCTCGAGCCTCTCGAGCCATTGAACGTCAAGAACGTCTGCTTCGTTGGGGCTGGCTTTGTTGGTAAGTGAAACCTTGGCAATGGCTGTCTGCAACGCTTTTTCCCTAGCCTCCGTAGTCATGACTCTTGTCAAGCCTCCATCCTTGTCCACTCTACGTTTTCCAAGGCTTGAATTGCTTCATGAGCTGCAGAGTCGAAGTAGCTGGCAGGCATCGCGAACCTTGTATTGTCGGATGCTACCTGACGCAAGCGTCATCGTCAACCACGGACTCATAAAGATCTCGTATTTGATAGCATCAAAGACGGAACTAATGAATTGTTGCAGGTGGCCCAACTGCGGCTCTGATCGCACTTCACAACCCCGACCTCACTGTCAATGTCGTGGACCTCAACGCCGATCGCATCGCCGCGTGGAATTCTCCCCATCTACCAATCCACGAGGCTGGCCTTCCCAAGATTGTACGCATCTCTCGCGATGGGACCAACGAGGCGACAGCCTTCCTTCCTTCGGTGGGCAACTCTGTAAAGATTGCCCCTCGCAAGCCCAATCTCATCTTCACCACCGACGTCCAGCGATGCATCGGCGAAGCAGACATTGTGCTTATCTGCGTCAACACGCCCACCAAGACCTACGGCCTCGGCGCTGGCTACACTGCAGACCTGAGCGCTCTGGAAGGAGCTTCTGAGACTGTCGCCAAGTACGCAAAGGACGGCGCTGTCATCGTGGAGAAGAGCACAGTCCCCACGGGAACAGCCCGCATGATCCGTGAGATTGTAAGTTTAGGCCCCGAAGAAACGAAGAGCGCGTCGTGATTCGGCTTCACCATAGGTATGAAACGAGGTTAATAGTTGAACAGATGGCCCAGTATCAGCCCGACGCCGAATTTGAGATTGTCTCCAACCCCGAGTTTCTTGCCGAGGGAACCGCCGTGCGCGATCTTATGCACCCCGACCGTATCCTGATTGGCAGCTCCACGACGCCTGCTGGTGTCCGCGCTGCCAACGCTCTCAAGGGCGTGTACGCTGCCTGGGTTCCGGAGGAGAAGATTTTGACCGTCAACACCTGGTCCAGCGAGCTCACCAAGCTCGTCGCCAACGCCATGCTAGCCCAGCGTATCAGCAGCATTAACAGCATCAGTGCTCTCTGCGAAGAGCTCGGTGCCGATGTTCAGGAAATTAGCCAGGGTATTGGTGCAGACACTCGCCTGGGCAAGAAGTTCCTCCACGCCGGTGTTGGATTTGGTGGTTCTTGCTTCGAGAAGGATATCCTCAACCTGGCCTACATGGCTCGTACGCTCCACCTGGACACTGTCGCCGACTACTGGATGGGCGTCCTCGATATCAACAAGTACCAGCGTGAACGTTTCGCCCAAAAGGTTCACCGCGCCCTCAATGGCAACTTGCGCCGCAAGAAGGTGGCCATCCTGGGTTTCGCCTTCAAGGAAAACACCAACGACACCCGCAACAGCATTGCGGTCCACATCATCAACGAATTGGCTCACGAGATGCCCAACGAGATTGCCATCTTCGACCCTGGCTGCGACCCCGTCGAGGTGATGGACGAGGTTCGCCAGTCTATCCCAGACGAGCGTGTGGTCGAGCGTGTCAAGGTCCACACCAATTGGCGGGACACAGTTCACGGTTCGAGCGCCATCTGCATTCTTACTCCCTGGTACCATTTCCGTTACCCGAAGCAGGCTCAGACCACAGCCCGCCGCTCATCCGTCTGGAGCAGCCCCGAGGCTTCTCGCGAGGAGGCCAAGGCGTTCATCAAGGAGTCTCTGTCCGAGATGGATATTGTTGAACTCGAAAAGTTTGTCTCCCGTACCAGTACCAACACGCCGACAGATCCGTTGAAGCGCATGAAGGCAGAGGCCGAGTGTCAAGAAGGCTGCAAGGGTTGCAACTTTGATGCTGCCAACGAAGACCTGGGCGACCCCGTTGACTGGGAGTGGGCTGCTTCGGTTATGAAGCGCCCTCGTCTCGTGCTCGACGGACGTAATGTCGTCTCCGTCCCTGAACTCGAGAAACTCGGATTCCAGGTGCAGGGCATCGGCAAAGGTCTGGTCATCTAGGATGATTTGGTCTTAATTATAATGACGAGTCAAAGAAAGCGGTAGATGCGTGAGACTATATGAGGCTCTGCAATTCCTTCAGACATTCGACAATGGCGAAGGGGTACATTGGACGATGAAGACCTCAAACTGCACAGTATGGCGTTTCAGCGGGCAAAGGCAATGGGCGGCGTCCCATTTTCATGTCTTGGGGACCATCGTTTCTGGATCCTCGGGGCTTCTTTCATTTTCACTTTCACTTCCACTTCGTTGGAGGACATCTTTGGGTCTAGCCAACTTTGTAATATTGGCCTTTTAACTGCCCTCGAGGTAGAGGGGAAAAGCTTTAGCTGATGCTGGGATCAATATACCCACGAGTACACACTTTCAAGGTGACTGGAGTATTGTTGTGCTATGCCTTGTGATCTGACTTGTCGCCGACGCTTGATAACGTGATGGATGCGTACGGCCACTGGACTTGAGCCTCATGTCTAGTCCTACCTTAGGTGCAGAATTGAGTGACATGCATGCAACGCGACCGTTGCCCGGTTCCGACTCGGCACCATCCATGCCGAGACACCTGCGTTACCAGGTATGAATTTAGCCTGCCGCGGGGTGATTGCGCGTCCACCCTCCAGGCCAAATCGATCCCTTACTCGCCACGTCGCTCCACCGTTTTGAGACTAATCAAACGGCAAAGGAGTAGAATGCCAGACTGGTGGCGCTGCATGACGATTGGGGCTCTTGGGGATTTGGGGGGGGGGGGGTGAAATCCATCAGGCGCTTCCCGGGGACCCTGTCTAATTTACTTGAAGGTGCCTTTTGGTGGGGGCGGTGCTGGGAGCCCTGGCATTTTGTTTCATTTGGTTCTTTGTTCTCCGTTACAACTTTATTCGAATGATCTAAACCCCCCACCGCATTCCATTGTATCAACGTTTTCAATTACGGAGCGAGACAAGATATTGAGTAGGCGTACGGTTGGATAGTGAGGACTTTGCCTACATTGACAAGCTTGTAGACAAGAGCATTCTTTTTGTTCTTTTTTTCTTTTGGCGTTTCTCCACAGCTGTGCTTCGGTCATTGACTCGCATACGCGGATTTCCTTGCGTTGCGACGTGGTCTGCTGAGTTTCAATTTCCCTGGACGTTTCTGCTATCCGTGAAATACTCTGCACCGAACGGCAAATGGACCCAAGCGGAACAGGGCAGGGGAAATCCAAACATCAGATGACAGTATCTCGTCCTTGAATCTTTCTGTACATGACGATCTTGCGACATTCCCATCGGCAGCTCGTCCGCGCGACGTTTGTGATAAATTGGCAGCCAGCAATTGCCGTCCGCCGTTTCCCAGCCCTTTGGTGGGGTTCCCTTTTCTCGCTGGGACGTGTTCCCATTGGCGGTTTTTTTGCTGGAAAAACTTTTTGACGTTGCTGTCAATGTTTCATCCGCTTATTGCGCAACTACTTTCCATCAAACATTGGCTCCATCCGGTGTGGAAGATCTCATTACCACGGTTGTTTTGCTCTTTGCGGGGGGTCCTGGGATCATGTTTGTTCTGGCATCATGTCGCGCCATGCGGATGTCCCAGAGCCCAGAGGAATAGCAGGATGGCAGGATGCGGCTCACCCGGTGCCAGGTAGAGTGTAGGCGGTGCAGTCGGGGCCGTTGGCGCCATCGACGGAACGAGAAAGCTTAGCCCTTTGCTCTGCAGACTGCCCCTGAGTTTGGTCTATGCTGGTGTAACGATAACCCACAATGAGCGGTGCAATGGGGTGGGAGAAACTCGGCGGATGTGGATTGCTTGGGCTTCTGGTTCCTCCTATGGCGGGAGGGGGACGCGTGGGCGGAGGATTAGGAAAGTCGGGACTCTTGAGTCCGAGTCATCCACAGTTACGGAGTAGAGAAGGGGGCTGGACCTTTTGTGAATAAGGTACAGTAGAATATGATGCTGGGTTGGCATGGATTTTACTACGTAGTCTCTGCTACTTACCCGATGGTTGCCACCAATTTCCGCCCGCCGACAAACCAACGATCTCGCATCGTACACGCGCACGAGCGCGGGTGGCAGCGGAACCTGCGGCGGGTGAGGGGAAGGAGAAATTGTTTTTTTTTCCCTTTTTTTTTTGGCTGGCGTAAGGTGGTGGCGCAGGAGGCGGCGGGCCGGATCGGACGGCGCGGCGGGGCTTCATAGAGGGGGTGGTCCCTGGGCACTCATCTGCCCCCCGGACGCGTGTCTTTCCGGGTGTCCGGCACGGCTGGATCTGAGTCGAAGGTTTGGGGGGGGATTGTCAACTTCAGATGTCTGATGCGGATTCGTAGATGAGATCTTATCCCCCCCCCTTTTGAACGGCACGCGTTTACAGCAGGAACCAAGATTGATGGGTGAAGGGTAATTTCTCTCTGACGGTGCGGCGGTACCTGCAGGCGTTTGATCAATTTCCCCCCTGCCTTGCGCATGGGCAGGACGAGACTGCATGGCGGGTTTGGAAATGTAGATCATTGTGCCTTGAATGCTGAAGACTTGCAGGTCGCCAAACGGGCTCATGTGCTGTCGATTGAGACATGATCGTGGGTACGGGAACCATACATCTCTTGGACATAGCTGGTGTCTTGGGCATAGCTGGTGATGTTTTTTTCAGCCGACGTTTACGGTCTACGTAATGTACTCCTGCTTAATCGGAGAGCATTGGCTATGCTTCAAACTCCTGTTCTCGGCTTGCTGAAGAGGATTGGGGGGTTGGTTGAGGTATAGAGGTATAGACTCAACAAACCTCGAGCCTCCTCCTCTGGCGTATCAGCTGAGTATCCTTCTGGTCAGGCACCTCAGACATGAATTTCTCCGTCGAAATGCCCCTCGAGAGTTTTTCGATCCCGGAGGATACACGATGCCGTGAAGTTGTCCGTTATTCCCTCCCTGTTGATGGCGGTTGATGCATTCGACGTCCACGTCGTTGAATCGGTTGCCCGCGTGACGGCCATCAGATCCTGGAAGTCTGCATCTGCGCCCGCATCCGTATCGGACGTCAGTCTCAGGTTTGGGCAGCAGCTCGGTGAAATGGAATAGACTTTGCTTGGACAAAGACGAAGCCGGTCAGTTGGGGTGGCAGGCAGGGAAAATTGGGTAGATAGGCTGCCCCGACATCTTGCTGATTATGAAACAGCGCTTCAGGGCGGATTGGGACGCGTCTTGCTAGAGAGTCTACTCGATCCAGCTGTGATAGGGACTTGAAGGGAGATCAACGGGTGAGAGATATTTTGGTAGGCATATGCCTACGATTAGACCTATGTGCGTCGTGCTTCATTTCTAGGAAGATAGAACGACCATTGATTTGAGATCACAGATGTGGTCACCGGCAAATTGAAACAGTAAAATCTTCTTCGCGTTGTGAGCAGGGGGGCAGTTTGATTTCTTCTCCGTCCTACGCCTTGAGCACCGTCTCGGGAGTGAGAAGTACTGCCTGCTGTTCGGAGTGTGGTACAGTCTGCGCCTAGATATCTCAGTGGCTGAAGCCAACTAGGCCGTAAAACTGGTATTTCTTTTGCGTGATGCTGAGCTTGCGATCAGCCGACCGGAGCTTTCGTTGTTCGCCGTGGAAGATCGGGTGCATGGGGCGTTCACCGCCGTCCGGAGAGCCGAGAGCGGAGACCGGGCGGAGGGTGGACCCGGCCTGCGGCTCAGGAAACTCCGCTGGCCAATTTTCTGGCAAGCAAGGTACCTAGGTAACAAAGCTGGACCACTCGGAACAGTGAATACTACGTGAGAAGACTATACTTGAAATAAGTTTCTCTAGGATACCACCAATACTTTGCCGCTGTGAATAAGATCTGCAGGCCTAGGAGAATACAAGTTCGAAAAAATATTAGCATCTAAAGTGATACCTATACTACGAGGCGACGAACCCGGATCTCTATCGGCTTGTGTTCTAACAACCGAGACCGTCGACTGACTAGATAATCCCACAGGATTCCCCCTAATGTCAACCTTGAAGAAGTATGCTTTGATCAACTGAACTCGAACACTTTGCCAAAGTTTCAAGATGCGACTTCGTTGGTGTCACGAACAAAATGGACCCGTTCGTGCGGGTAGCATTAACCACATCTACATCTCGTGACAATTGATATAGTAGTAAGGCGTGAAAGAGGCAAGAGTGACTGTAGCCTAGACAATGCGGGACTCTAAGTACAGGCTGCTATGAATACTTATCCGAGAATCAGATAAATCGCCATTCTGGATCTAGAAATCGCATCACGATTACCTTTCCAAGTCTTTAAATAAAGACTGCGTATCTGAAATGGAGATATCCAAGTGCGGTCCTCGAAACTTTTGCCTAACGCAGAATGAAAGCAGGAGCTTGACCATGAGCATTCAATGTGCTGATAGATCGTATAGAAGTTCGAACGGGGCCTCCCAGTACCTGCTCTAGCATAGATAGCGTATTCATTGTCGCAATTGGACGAGCCGGAGTGGTTTCAGTCAATTCCTCGTAGAACGAGTTGATTTTGAGTGCTACCTTGCAATTATATTTTGTAAGCATTAATTTATCCACACGTAAACGAGGCTAAGACTTACACAGAGTAGCTACACTATTGGCAATCTAAGCTGTGCGAATTTTTATTCTCCCTTCATCCCGCAAGAATTTTTGTTTTTGATGCTGCCATCACACCTTTCAAGTTTTACTCGCCAACATAGATGTACTTACACGGGTAACGCAGCCAAGCATCAATATGAGGTAAAGACTCTCCACCAAAGACGATTTGCCTAAGCTTTAATCCCCTATGGCTACGAGCTGTGGCAGAGGTAGATAGGTACTGATGTTTTCCTCGCCAAGTTCATCAATCTTCCACAGCCGATGAAGACTCGTCAAGTTTGGAGAGTGCTGTGCACTAGCTCGGGAGACAATACGGCCTAGTATCAATGCAAGCCAAAAGTCTGATTTGAGTCTGAAAGGAGAGGCAAAAAATGGAATGTAGGCCGCGAGGTATGTCGCGCCTCATAGAAGAGCCAATGCCTTTCCAATCAGATACCCGAGTGGTATAATTTTTGCACCTTGAGCATCGGATCCAATCACATGTGCAGTAGTAGGCTGCCTGTCGATGTAAGGCAGACAGTCGAAAGCGGGCGCGATGGTTGGCCTCCTGCAGTGACGTCGCTGCCAGAACTCGTTCCCCAGCCATTCACAGGTGACGGCGGGACACACACGACCTCGGATGCGACGTGATGTGTCGGTGCTCATTTCCTGGCCAGATAAATCATGGAGTGACAAGTGCTCGCAGTGTGAACACTTGATGAATTTGGTACACAAGCGGGGTCAGGCAAGATGTTACTAAAAGGGTCTGCTCGAATTCCAGATCTTCAGGTCGTTGACTGACGTTATCGACGATAGCTGTACAATAAGAAAGATTACTGAGGGGCTATATGAGATCCATTAATAGCTGATATAAAATATTCACGCCGCCATGTTCAACCCAAGTACCAAGGTTAGGGGCTTCGAACCTAACTGCACCAGCTTTCTGAAGGAGATTCTTTTGGCCTGGGCTCTTATTTCGTCCCGGCCGCCCTCAGCGGATATCTCCGTGGACGGGCTTTGCGGGCATTCAGATAATTCCCCAACTGCAAGATTTTTATAGCCAGGCTGCGCAGTCCTCTGGCTGTGGAAAATCAAAGCGAGTGTCCATGCCTATGGCATGCAGGCGGAGTGCACTTCAAGATGGCTCAGTGGTCTCGATCTCGATCATTACAGGGATGAGATTGTGCAATGCGCACCAAATTTATCAGGCTATCCGTAAGGCTGTTGTATCGCGTCTGGGGTTGGGGAGATCGGAAGCGCGGGGACTGGGCTTAAAACCAACTCGGTAGTATTGTTGAGCGTATCAGTATATCGAAGATCGACATTTAGCATATCCTTGTTCATCGCTTTCGACGGGTAGTGCCGTGATGAAGCATGTATGGCGAACGTTGTCTGAGAGTCCTCACCTGAACAGCTCCTTGCCATTAGTGAATAGTTGCGTATTCACAACGCCGCCGCTCCCACGCCCAATCCTGTGCCGCTATTGATTCTCAAAGAGCCGCATGCTACACGATTGCGACCCTGATCTTTGTTGTCACTCGCTGGACCACTTGTCCAGGGCCAACTGGTGAACTGAACTGCAGATCATCCAAGACTCTGCCCGCAGTGCTTGCAGGACATTGTCCAACGTGGACATCCTCCGTCCAATTGTTTGGACGTAGGCTGTCGTGCAGCTCTCACCGACTGCGAGTGTTCTGCATGCGCGTCTGCGGGTCTGTTACTGTTTTGCGAACCGCCTGCTGCAGTGTCTCATTGGCCAGCCTTTTCAGAGATACTGCCGACAGCCCTGCATTCCCTTTTGTCGGGTTTCAAGCGAGCTCTGGGGAACAAGGAGAAGCCAGTCTCTCACATGAAGAAGGTGTGCGTCTTACAGGATCATGCGGACTTGGTTGCATCGTTAATGTGCCGGATGACAATATCTTCCGTCACCGTACATGAGAAACATGGAATGGCGACCTCCTCACAAGATGCAAGTCTTTGCCTCGAGCAGCCTGCCATGAGAAAGGGCAGCAGTGAGTTTCACGTCCTATAAAACTTGGTCGAGATGTAGGTAGTCCGCTTTGCTCTTCGGTGGTCGACACATCTGCCATTGAGTGTGGCATCCTTTTCCCGAACCACATTAATGGCGAGTTACGATGGCGACTTGTGGAACTCATCATGTGAGAGACTCTCTGGTGATCATTAGAAGCAGGGACGTTTGATATGTTGACAAGACTTGCTAGGGACATCAGCCCCAGCATTGCAACCGCCCAGTCTGCGGGATGAATTGCAGCCCGCCAGTATCCGGTTCATGCACAACACAGTTTCTCGATAAGTTTGATAAAACGTTGAACCAAATAGCCGAGAAGCTCTGCAGCATGATGCATTCGCAGGAATGCATCACCAACCAATTTGACGACAAGTAAGTAGCTTTGTTCCAGGCGTGGCCGGACAAAATTTACTCACGCAATAATCTTGTATCAGATTGAAGAAGATCGACGAAACCGTTATGTCTATTGAGAAAGCCCTCAATGCTGTCAGCAAAACTGTTTCCGATGATCACAATATCCTGGCAGAAATCCGTCCTACGATCAATGGCAATCGTGGCTCCTTGGCAGCAGTCAACGGCAGAGTAGACCAGATGCAAGCTGACATCATGGAATTAAGTAACACCACTGGCCAGACACGTACTGCAGTGACAAGAATGAGCACCGCCGTTAACGCCACTCGGGACGACTTGCGAGCAGTCAGCAACACTGTCAAAGAAATTCAGGGTGCCCTGACGGCAGTTACCGTCACAGTCAATAGGACCCGAGAAGTCGTTATAGAAAACGGAGTTACTGTCAATAATATTCGGGGCGGCCTGGAAGCAGTCACTCCCGCTATCACCGACACCCTGGATATTGCGAGAGTGGTCAACGGTATAGTCGACCAGACACACGAAACAGTCACCAACACCCAAACAACTGTTTTGGAAGCAGCCGATACGATTGGTCAAACCCGAGATTCTGTAGCAGTTATGAGCAACAGGCTCAATCAGACACAAGCTACAGTGACAGAAAACAACAAAATAGTCAGCAGAATTCTGGATGGACTAGAAACAGTCACTCATATTGTCATCAACACACATGAAGTTGTTTCGACGACGGAGAACATCGTTAATGAGACGCAGCACGCGCTGGCAAATGTACGCGAAACCGTTACTGGCGCCAATGAAGCATTGGCTGCAATTGGAAACACCGTCCCAGACACCCATCGGATTGTAATAGACGTCAACCGTTCCTTAAACAACGCTCAGAATACCCTGGGGATGATTCGGAATGGAGTCAATGACAGCAACAACAATGCTTTACAAAATCAGGCCGGAATCGGTAATGCGCATAAGACCGTTCGAGAACTTGTCCTGGAAGTTCGGGCAGGGTAAGAATGCATGGGTCTATGCCGCAATGTTGTGCCTAAATTGACTTTTGATAGTCATTTCAATGATGCAGCACGCCTATCCAATCGTTTCGCAAGTTGCTGCACAACTTCCATACGAAGCTTCCATGGTATCAACGATCAACACGTCCCTGGATTTCCGACCTCATATGCCTCATACAACAATCTTTCAGGTAAGAAAGGCTTCGAATGGTAGAAGATTTACTAACAGGGCCACAGACGATCAGTTGAGCGATATATTAGAAAGCTTGGGTTTACCTGAGAAAGGGTCATATTTGAGCAAGAAGACTCGCTTGAAAACCTTCCTGGGACTGAGGGCATAAGTCGAGGCTTGAAGATGGTTGGAGCATTTTGGAAATAAATGCGTTTACAATGATGGCAGCGAAATTGAGACCTAGACTCGCTTTGCGCTGCAGAGACGAGGATGCGCAGTGCGCCTCGGATGTGTCAAGATTGGCAACCATAGCATGCTTGTTAGAAGATCAGCTCAGCTTTGCAGTGTGATTGCGCGCGGCTGTAGCGATTCAATAGTCAACTCTCGCCCAGAAGCGGCAAAGGAACTCCTCAATCGCCGTGAGCCGGCTTTTGGTGCGTAGGCTTCGGTGCCTTTGCTGAGGTCGAGTCAGAGGGTAGAGTCGTGTGCTCCGAACAGGAAGATCCATTTTGAAGACAACGAAACTCAGTAAGTCTGGACGGACTTCGGAGACTGGACACAAGGGACGGCTAGAGATATATGTGTTGTTTTGACTGGGAAAGCCCAGGGTCAGGATTGGTTTACTGGTCGACAAAGCGGCCGGAGTAGGTCAAGAGCAAGAGCTGATACGAGATGACGTGTGATAATAACTGTACTAGGTAGGCGGCTCGAGACCGACTGAATAATAAATGTATTAGAACACGGCCCGCTGGCTCGCAACTCTTCTAAAATGAATTACCTTGGTTGTTCATTTCTCGGTAGCGTTGAATGACTGAGATCTTCGATAATCCGTTCCGAAAGACAAGCAGATACTGCCAGGACTTGAGATCCCCGGACATCGACCTGAATCTCTGGACCCGATGGCCGTCTTCCAAATGCTTGCCGGTACACGGTCTCTTTCGGTCGTTGGTGGGCCGTCTTGTTGCGAGTACTCTTCAGAGCGAGATCTCTTTCGATCTTGTAAACTAGTCATGAATAATCCATTATTGAAAGTCAAGCTTGAAGCGGGATTCCAGGCTGTGTCCTCCACTTCTTGACCATTAAATACCACCCCGGCCACTGTACCATGACCTGAATACGGTATTCAGATAAATGCGCAGTAGCATTCGCTCGCAGACCAAAAGGAGGGTCATGCACACAAGCTATAGCCAGACCGTTCGACCACGTCTTCATGTCTTACATACGTACGCCCCAATTCTTCAGTCTAAGAGATCAAACGACACTGCCAAGGCATCTTTCGCAATCACAACCTTCACTATATCAATCCGAGAGATAATTACTGCAGCAACGATGACTACACATACTTACATATATTTAAAAAGACAATTCCTACATCATAAAGCTTACCCTCGCCCTCACCGCCCCACTTCCCACAAATGCTATGGCAGGAAAGTTGAAGATAAGTCACGAGGACAAGACTCTCAGAGATGGCTACAGATGTCGCGCTACCAAAGCTGTAATTGCCCTTGTTAGGAAAGAGGACATTATTCTCTCAACGATAAAGCAGTAAAGGCTGGCATCGTATCAGCCAAGGAGGAAGTCGTCGTGTCTCTAGGAGACCGTATGCTTAAGGCTAATACCATGCCAATCAAGAAGGAAGTTATTGTTCCTCTTTGGGACCACGGGTCCAGGCAGGCATTATTCCGGTAAAGGAGGAGGACATTATCTCGCTCAGAGACTAGACAGTCTCAGTCAATCATACGAGATTATAATGGTGAGGGAGAATAATGATGTTCTATTGAGATTTAAGCAATAACATGTTACTCAACAACATAGGCATTGCTCAATATATAACGCTCAAGAAAATAAGAATCTTCCTCCACCAGTCCTTCCTACAGCACCATTATCTCTTAGAGCCTGTATCGCCTGATCGTGACCTCCAACCGTGGCGCTCTGAAGTGCAGTCTGGCCTTGCCGTCCCTTGAAGCTATAAGCATTCACATCAGCACCGGCTGCCAGTAAGCGCTCGATTATGTCTACGCGGCCTTTCTCGGCTGCCGCATGTAAAGCCATCCCATCTCCGTAAATGCCTCCCAGGGCGTGGACATCGGCGCCTTTCTGAAGAAGAAGGTCGGCGACCTCAAGATGACCTCGCAGACATGCTCCCTGAAGAGCCGTGTAGCCCTTGTACTTTGCCGAGGCACCATTGATGTCAGCCCCGTGTTGGAGAAGAAGCTCCGATATTGCCATGTAGCCGCCACCTGCTGCAGCTTGCAATGCCGTGTAGCCCGCCGTTGGTGACGGCGGGGCATTCACGTCGGCTCCCAGTTCCAGTAGTCGGCTGACCAGATGCTCATGTCCTCGCTCTGCTGCTGCTTGAAGGGCCGTTCTTCCATTGTACCGCGTCACGGCAACTGATGACGCTGGTGACCCGTGTACCGGATTCGCAGACTTTGATGACACCTCGTTGATCTTAGCACCCGCACTGAGCAGGATGTCGACGACCTTCTCGTTTCCATGTCCGCAGGCGATTTGCAAGGCATTCCGTTGGAAGTTGTTGCCCCCGCAGAAGTGGATATCGGCCCCGGCGTCGACCAGCATCTGCACGGCCTGTTCGTGGCCGTGCATGCACGCAGCCTGGATGGCCGTCTGTCCGTAGTATCCGTGTGGGGGCTCGTTGACGGCGGCCGGGTTTGCGGCGAGGATTTCCCGGATTTTGTGCAGTTCTCCGCCTCTGGCGGCAAGCTGCAACGGCGTCCAGCAATACTCCTCTCCGTCGTCGGTCTGCAGGGTCGGATCCCACGCGGCGTCCAGAGGCGGCAGGGATTTCTGCATTATGTGGCTCGAACGGAGGGGCCAAGGCTCGGAATAGCAGGTGGTATGGTGGGATCAAGAGGGAATCATCCAGCATTGGGGCTATAAAAAGACGAATTGGAGCTGTGTTGCTATCAAAAAGGCAGGCTCAGTCAGCCAGTCAAATCTACGCTTGAAGACATATGCACTGAGTCGCGTGCTGTTGGCGACCGGAACACCCTTTATATTGGTCGGCCAAGGCCATTGAGTTATCTTACATGCGCTAAGGTATCTTGCTGAATCCTGTTGATTATCGGGATTCGGCACAGGCCCATTATCAAGATGCGGGGGTTAACAAAGGCATGGGTCTAAAGCGAGGTGAACGGTTAGATGAATATTACTCTCTCTTTTGATACCATCTCATCTCTGTATCGAGGACAGTGGACGACAGAGAGTCCTTCACGTCTCTCACCGCGACTGTCTTGTGCAGCTTTGGACGTTCACCAGCTCTGGCACTATCCGCAGTGAGGCTTGATCCGTGAATGGCTTTCATATCCATGGCCATTTCGCGCCCGCCATCATTAATAACAAGAACTCGGAAAATTCACTGCCAGATTCGAGGTCAATGTTCAGGCGGTCTCAGGCGGTTTCACAGATTGATTGATCGAGGACGACTATGCCTGCAATATTGTCGCTCAGCTCTGTTATAGCCACGAACAATATGGCTATCACTCATCTAGATCGCGATACTGCTTGAAGATGGAACTCTTAATGGTCTGAACGACAACGCTTGGATCAGCATTGTAGAGGGTCGAGCTGTCCTCGAGGAGCTATTTGTTAGAAAAATCCACTACCAGAGAGTGGTGCCGGCCGGTAGCTGCGGAAACAGCTATCTGGCTTCAACTAGTTGACGATCCTTAAAGACAGGGCCTGATAACGTGTAAGTGCGGGCTCGAAGTCAAGCCGGAACCTAGATAATCGGTATTTATACGTACCAAGAGTCGTTCGCACCAGAACACCGTCAGCAGCGGCATCGAAGAAGTTTGAAACTACGCACTCCATGAGCCTGTCCCAGTTGACGCATTCATGTGGACTGATGAGGTTCCGGATCGGTAGGAGACCGGTGGCGTTCCATTCGTCAGTATATCGGGTAGTCTCAAGTGAGTCAGAGAACTGTGAAATGGACTCTCTTGCCATTATGCTCGGCCGTCATGTCTCTCTCTGAATGACCTTAGCTGACGACTTTAATGTTCCCAATGCTCTCAAGGTACTTTTTTGACGCCAAATTTGCATGTCTTATCGATGTAGGACAGTTTGTCAGGATCTAGTAGACTGTGAGAAGAATGCCGTCATTATTCAAGATCATCAGCGAGACTTAGGTGCCCCACTATCGTCCTCTTGGGGGACCTGCGTAATCAATGCCCCAACGGAATGGCCTAAACAAAAGGTGCAGGAGATAATGGGATTGGACTGGGATTTCGTGGGGAAAGCGTCATCAATTTCGCTGCCGAGCTTGTTGAGCGAGCCTGATTACTACTTGTATTATACGAGTCTGGATCATCATAGAAGCGAAATCCACACCTCACCGATTTAAGGCGAAAGGCTAAACTTGAATGCTTTTGCACGCGAAATCTTAAGTCATTACTAATCTCTGAACTAGGTTTCCCAACATCTGCAGATTTCTTGATATTCTTGCTGCCCAAAGGCGCTTCTCGGGATTTGAGACCCGGTGCCTCTTCGTATTCCGCTCCAGTACAAGCGGATCGAAGCAGTGAGAGGTTCACGTTGCTCTGCCTCGCTGATACATTTGAAACTACTTTCGACCTACTCAGTTGTCTAACTCTGAAACGATCGTTGTGTTCCCCTTGCCCCCGCGACCGTTTGCACCGGGGTTGAAGTACATATCGATGAGCCCAGATCCCTTCAGAGGGATGCCGAGTACGGTCTGTTGTATATCCAAATCTGTGATGATTATTAGGCCTGTTCTACCTAGCAATATTGCAGGTAGTAAGAGACTCACTCTGAAGACCGAGAACAGAAATAAGGGTGTTGTTCAATGTAGGATCGTCCGGGGTATAGGTCGTCAGCTGGGTCTCAGGGTCATATATCCACATCGAGTGACTGATCACTCCTGGCGTCTTGGAGTGTTCGGCGTACAGGTCTCCACGTCTGTTACCCTGAGCGCCGGCTGCCAGATTGATCTTGATATACCAGGACCCATGGTTGTTGCATGTATTTGCTGCCACATTTTGAAGAATAGGAGGGACAAAAAGAAAAAGGCTCTTGTAAGAAATCATATTGTATTGAGGTAGTCGAGCGTTCAGAACGGCCGTATAGTCTGATAATCCGTTATCAGGGACTGCAGTCAAGCAATTACCAGTACCAGACGTTATAGGAACACAGGATTAGATCATTTCGTCAAGTAGAGCAGATGAAGCCTTTATACCTCATGGCAATGAGCTTCACCGTTTGCCCAGACCCCACGATACGATGTTACACTGATTCTTTTCAGCTGATGAATGGATTTGTATTCCTAGCTAACTACAAGACGCCTGCATCAATAGCTTCACCAATAGCTTCTATACTGCAGAAAAATGCGCCTCAGTGTAACATCACGTCTGATGGTGGCAGAATTCCCCGCTTCGGGGATCTGAAAAGGTCCTTCTAAGAGCTTGTGGACTCGTCTGGTTTCCTTGAGAGGGACAGAAATGTAACCCCGACAAAAAGAACAAGATTCTCAGAGAATATTCTTTTGCCTTATCTCTTGCATCGGGCTTTTGGCATTGTGTCTGGTATGTGGTACTGGAAGCGTGTTGAAAGAATTGCAGGAGTGGCGTAAGCCTTGATCTGAGACTGCGGTCTTGTTCCATTCTGGGTCGCACACAACTGTCCGCGGACAAATCACGATACTTTCCGGCAAATTTACTTAATAACATGAAGCCAGCTACCAACTGACCCAGGAATTCCGATGACTGATACGAGTCTCCATCATAGTACTATCTCCTACTGACTAAGGTACATGGATTCGTGACAGCATCCGGCGGATCTTACAGACGACGGCCCGAACGAAGTTGTAATGATATGTTCATTACAAACAAGGATATAACTGATGATATGGAGACTGACCATGGATTTTGGATCATGGTCCTTCGGGAGCCAAGAAACCCTTGAGGCAGGCCAAGGTGCTGGTCAAGTTTGGTACCCATCCGCCTAGACTTGAAAGGGGCGCCTCCAGACTAAATATGCAAGTCCTGGTTCGGGTTTTGAACAGCTCTTTAAATGTCTTGGCCTGCTTTCCTTTCCCCGCACTCTTCACTTAGCGGAAAAGCCGTCCTACCCCATTGACCCCATGGGGAACGCAAATATTTTCTCCAACGATTAGGCTCATCTGGCTCCGCGCTTGTTGACCCGAGGAGATGTCTGCCGGTCGAGCTGGCATTTGAGGATATATATCTGAGCTTCCTCGGTCCCTATTTCAGACTTGTGTCTTCAACCCGCGAACCCATGGACTACCAAACTTCACCTCCTCTGATTTTGAAGACGGATCGCCAGCTGGAAATCTGCCCAGTATCAAATTCCTGAATTTTCTGCTCGATTGTTCAACAGTCCTCCTTTGCAGCCTCTTATCTCCACCTCGACCGCCTTCATGCGTACGACTGGTAGACCAAAATGGCGCACAATGCACATGACGACACACCTGTCTCTTCACAGGACAAGGTTGCTGTCCAGCAGATGGAACATGTCTTGAATACTGACGATCCCGCATTCATGAAGCAGCCCATTGATATCGAGAAGGTGGACGAGTTCGGCGCTCATACAAAGACGGACCCTAGGGAAATTGCGCTGGTGAAGAAGATTGACTGGTACATCCCGGTATGTCACAACTACCATATCTCTGCCCAAAATGGCACTAGGCTGACGGCAAATGAAATAGCCAATCCTCTGGATGATGTATTTTCTCAACTTCCTCGATGGTGGAATATATTATTTTTTATTTATATTACTGTAATAGAAACCAGTGCAATGATCAATGGAAATTAAACGGCTTGGATAAGGATCTTGGCCTGAAAGGCACGCAGTACAACACCTGCGTTTCCATCCTTTTCGTCGGATACCTTTGCGGGCAAGTACCCTCCAACATGATCCTCAACCGAGTTCGTCCTTCCTATTACATGGCTGGTATGTTTCTTGAGTTATCGACGAGTAAACCACAGCTAATGTCAGCTCAAGGCTTCCTGATGGCTTGGTCAGTCGTCAGTCTGTTAACCTACAAGTGCCACAACTTCGGAACAATGCTGCCCTGCCGCTTTCTGCTCGGAATCACGGAAGCACCCGTAAGGAGCAACCTCATCTGGCTGGATGAAGCTAGTTTCTGACATCAGGTTGCAGTTCTATCCCGGTGCACTCTATATGCTTAGCATTTTTTACACCAGAAAGGAGGTCTCAACCCGCATGGCGGTCTTCTACACCGGCAACATGGCTGCCAGTGCTTTCTCTGGGATTATTGCAGCTCCCATATTCTCGGGAATGGACGGCGTCCAGGGTCTCTCTGGCTGGCAGTGGTAAGTCCTTCATTATGCATCATTTCCCTCCCTCGCCCAAGAGGAAAGAGACATTCGACAAAAGACGCTGACTGGCAACTTTTGGTGCAGGCTCTTCATCATTCAAGGTGCCATCTCCATCGTCGTAGCTATCTTCGCCTTCTTTCTCCTACCCGATAGCCCCCTCAAGACACGCTGGTTGACCGAGGAGGAGCGCCGGCTCGCGCACACCCGGGTCTTTAAAGACACCACAGACCGTCGCGAGGGTACTAGTGTCTGGACCGGTCTCCGTGAGGCCTGCACGGACTGGCGCACATGGGTATTCTGTCTCATGGATAACCTGAATCTCTCCGCGAACGGATTCAAGAACTTTTTACCTGTTTGTGTCCCCCTACATGAAAAGTCAAGCTTGCATGCTTGTGTGTTAGTAGACTGACGTAACTTATGCAGACCGTTGTCGAAACGCTTGGATACAATACCACTGTCACTATTGTGCTGACCTGCCCGCCATACGTCTTCTCTGCATTCTTCTCTGTCTTGGTTCCCTGGTCATCCGGAAAGTACAATGAGCGCACGTGGTACATTACGATTAGCAAGCTCGTTGTTTGCATCGGCTTTGTTATGGGAGTCTCGTCCCTCAACATGGGCGTTCGTTACACTGGTACGAAGCCAGGAGATCCTCTCCCACCCACCCTTGCGCGACTTTTCTGGTGCTAATGCTCATTCATAGGTACTATGCTATTTGTTGGAGCTACATACGGTGTAAGTTGAAGTCAGATCAGTCTTTGCTGCGCATGAACCTAAACTGACTGTCGGCAGGTAAATAACTTGATCCTCGGCTGGACCTCATCTGTTCTCGGACAAACCGATGAAAAGAAGGCAGTGGCAATCGCCATGGCTAACACTCTTGGAAACGCGGCCAGCATCTACACCCCCTATCTCTGGCCAGATTCTGTCTCCCCTCGGTTCTTGACTGCCATGCTTGCTAGCATCGGGTTCTCTGTCGGAGTCGTCATCTGTGCCTGGGGAATGAGGTGGGCCTTGATGCGTACCAATCGCAAGAAGAGAGAGGCCGACCCCAATGCCTCTAACTTTTATGTCTAATAGTGTCAGGTGTATAATAGTGCGTGTTACAGGAGAGAGGACCTTGAATGAACGTGGAGTCAGAAATTGGTAATCACACAAGCCGGTCAAATTGACATGGAAAATGGGCCACGATTCATAATATCGATGTCCCATCATATGAGCACATCAATGCTACCAAACGCACTCATCTGAACGTCTCATACAGATGTATTTCAGCACCATCTATCAGAGTGAACCATAAATATATGTCAAGGGGGCGCCGGAGTGCCCAAGGCTCCCAAGGTGATCGTGGAACATGGCTCGTCGTACAAGCTCGGCTTGACGAAGTGTGGTTCAAGATCATTTTGGACAGCCAGAAGAACCAGCGACGTCTCGCTAGGGTCAAACTTTGGCCATCCGAGGACCGAACTCAATCCATCTACCGGATCATCGGCGAAAGTCGCCCAGGCGCTCTGCATGAGTGCCGTGGTTCGCCTTTGAGCATCGGACGGCTGTATCCCGCTCACATCCCCAGAGGCGCCAAAGATCATATGCAGGTCAACACCGTGGTATGCGCCGCTCGTCGGGAATAGACGTGTGTTGTCCCAATCTCCAAAATAGCGATAGATCCACGCAGAGACACCATGCCTTAGCCGCGCTTGGCCCTGATAAGAGTTTGGGCAAGTGAAAGACTCCAATAAGAAGGATTCGACTTGCCCTGGTGTGGGTACTACGCCATTGCCGTATGCCGGGATTCTGTAGTATCCGTCTTCGTTATGGTTGTTCCCAAAGAGGATCGGCTGCAACTCAAGGATTAGATGCCGGCTTTGGGAGCTCAAAGAGAGGCACAGGCTGCCAATCACTCACCAGCTTGGCAAATTTGCCAGACTCTGTCATGGAGACGTAATCAGGAAAGACGGTTACGTTGTCCACTGTAGGATAAAATGCCGGAATCGCTCGAAGAACGCTACTGGAAGACGTTGGCCTGATAGCAGCGGTAGCAGATTTTATATCTTCCCAATTTCGAGTTCGCATGCATCCCATGGTATCGGTAGTGTTGGTGCAATTCACAGCCGCCACGACGGTGTTCCAATTCCGCGCCGTGACATCTGGGCTGTTGAGCGGGAAGCTTAAGGCATTGCCAGACGGTGCGATGAGGCCGTTGACGATGGGACTTTTGACGTAGGCGTACGACCAATAGTCCACGGCGACACCGCCCGACGACTGGCCCGCGATGGTGATCTTTGCCGGGTCACCGCCGAAGCCGGCAATGTTATCGCGGACCCATTCCACGGCTACGCGTTGATCCCTCAAACCAAGATTCTGCGGCTGGCCTGGAGCCCCGGGAAATCCAAAAATGTTGATGCGGTAGTTGACCGTGACTACAACGACGTCCTGAGCATCCGCAAAATACTTGCCATTGTAGAAAGGGCTGTTTGTGTTGCCGACAGCAAATCCTAACAGGCTTCGTCAGTGAAATTTCAGAATCGAAGCACTTGCAAAACCAGTCACGTACGACCACCGTAAAAGAATACAATGACGGGTTTGGCAGCGAAGCGTGCCTTTTCGGTCGACCTTGTCCAGATGTTCAGCGTCAAGCAGTCCTCACTCTGAGGTGTCCCGGCAGCAGAAGCAAAGTATCCGATGATACGCTGCGCTTGTGGTGTCATGTCTGGGTAATCGACCTGGCGAGAAGGGGAAAGAGGGCAGTCAAAGCCGAAATGAGAGGCCTCATGCGACTTATTCCCTGTGAATCTCTGTGGTGGAGCGAACCGCAGATCGCCGACTGGAGGTTTCGCATAGGGAATCCCGAGGAACTCGAGAACCTCGGAGTTGTTTGACACCGGATGACCTGTAATCGGACCATTCGATGTCGGCACCGGACCCAGACCTTTTGCGTCACGTCTTGCCGATGACAAGCCCGTTGCATAGCCGTTGTTCAAAGCCAGGAAGGCCAAGAACGTTGCCAATGACAGAGAACGCATCTTCCCGACTATCATCAAATGAGAAAAGCAAGACGATGAATACAGCATGAATCAAGGCATTCACTTCTTCTTGTGTTCCTGCTGACAGATCTGCGTCTCGCTTACTGGGATGCGCAGGCCCCATGCCGTCTGTCCACGCCGCTAATCTTAGCACGGAATCCAAGTCCGCGGCTGATTTCATTGCGCCGATCGTATCGGACGTTGTTGCCCACCGAAAGCCTCGAATCCTGGTGTCATTGGCTAAATTGCGTGTGCTATTCAGTACCCGAAAGAGACGGGTCGCTATTGTCTCTGAATTCACTGTTGAGACTGTGAGTCGCACGTTATCATTCTAGAAAGCCTCTAGCGGGAGCGGCTCAGTCTGTGTTCGAACTACAGTTGAAATCGGCTATCTACGGTTGGTCACTCATTTCTTAAGCAGGCTCTTCGTTGGGAGACGAAAGTCTCATTCGAGCTGCAATTACAAAGCCAGCATGCATGCGGCCATCTGGTAGCGAATCTATGGCGCTCTTCTGTGCAGATTCCGTCGTGACTGCGTCGGTCCCGTGCGCGGCAAATGCGTGCTTCAGCCGTCTCATCAAATGCAACCAGTTTGCGGTTTGTTTTCACCTCAATTGCCATCTTCGAAATAGCTTTATTTGTTGCCTTTCACTCAACATGAACACAGAGAATCGAGCTTTTGAGTCACAGCGGCCTATATGTAAGAAGTGGGCTTCGGATATTCCCTAAAACACTGCCAAGTCGAAGAGACGTGGGCAACTAAGTAGTTGGCAAAGCTAGACGACCATAGTCTTGACCTTTTTTCTCTCACATAAATTGTTCGCAGATCTCATTGTCGTAATCTAGGGGCTTTTGATCTCAAAACTCGGATTCCTAAGCTAAGTACTGTGTATCGAGATAAACGCACGACTATAGTCAACCATCAAATGCATCCCCCACCAGCCCCGAAAGCTCCATTTCCATAAGTTTCAATATGGCATTGACTTAGTTGTTGTCTGTCTGTGGGAGAGATATTTGCTCAGGAACTCACATGCTTCTTTAAGTAGACCTTTCCCCGCACAGGAACGAGCCCGTTCCGAGTTCCCACCGTCCTTCGACTCCTTCCACACAATCCTCTCCAGACTTGGCCTGTTCTTTGCAGAACTGATGTGTCTCGCAGTACTCAATAATGATTGGATCCTATACGTTGCGAACCAAGCCGGGGTTGTGCCAAGCGTAATCATGCAATCCTTCAAGCGCACCTTCCTTGAAGAGACAAGCCTCGCGATAGATCAAGACTCTGCCTTTGAAAGCAACGGACTATAAATGTGTATATTGGACTTTGTTCCCGACATTGTCCTGAAATTTGAAACACATAGAGACATTTCATTCGCCAAGAATCAACTAGTCGCAATCAAAATAGGTTGTGTAACCTGGTCGCGACTCGCCGTCATAGCCCCTTCTCCAACAAACTTCTCTATTGTAAGCATTGCCACTCAGCCTCTCACAGAACGACTGTTCTACACTTTAGTTTCCATAAGCTGACATTGAACCGAGTAGCGTCAACATGGTCAAAATCGCCTTTGCTCTTACGATTGCCGTGGCGTCGATTGCCCGTGCCGCTCCCGAGGCCATCAGTGCTCGTCAAGCTGCGGGTTGCCAACCTGCCGATACCGTCTGCCGTGATGGCTGGGCCTGGTGCTGCATTGGCTCGACCTGCTACGAGTTCGCTCCACCTACGGCCTGCTGAGCGAACGAATACATTGATCATGACGAACTGATCAGACAAGACGGGTCGCGATGGGTGGCAGTGGCTTGTCTCTTCTTCAACCATGTTATGTGATTATTTACTTCACTCTTTTCTCGAATCGTAGTTCGAGCATAGCGACAATAAGGTACAAATACCTCAGAAGCCTTGGTTTTGGCAATAGATTGCAACATTCGCCATTATAGCGCTAACATAATGTAGCATCCAATGTTCATTATACTTGTCTACTACCTGAAATTCATGTACATACTGCATGTAGCACGGATTACATGTGAGTTGAGACCGACATAGAGAAAGCAGTCAAACTTTACAAAGAAATCTTTTCCTAAACCCTAGACTCACGCGAGGGGCTTCTCAGCAAAGAAGATGTTCGCTGAAACAAAGCCGCCTTGCTCAGTCATCTCCTTCATGTACCTCTCCTCCAAATTCGTGTAGATCGCCGGGTCCATAGCAGGAATCAGCACTACGGTAATGGTCAGTACAATAAAAGGGCGGAACCCGTCCAATCAACTTACTCTGGATGCTCTTGGCGACAAGCGGGATCGTGTACATAAAGGGCTCGATAGACGACTTAATGGCCACCTCTTCACCCTGCACTTTACCTATGCCACACTCCACTCGTTCGGCCTTGACATTCTGGAGACCAGCCATCTTCATTGCCTCTGGAATCTTGGACGCGTAGTTGCGATCGATGCCCTGCTTTTCAAACAGTGAGCCAACGATGTGAAGGAGATCCCTCAAAGACTGGGGCTGGTTCGGCTGGCCTGGAGTAATGTCAAACTCCATAATCTGCAGCCAGCCTCCCGGAGCCAGCGTTTCTGCATCGATTAGATTAGGAACACGCGCAATCCGTCATGCCCGCAACACCCGACTACCACGTTAAAGATCCCAAGACGTACCGACGAGATTCGCTACCGCCTGCTCGACGCCGGACCGGTGGGCGCTGTGGAGAACGTTGCGAACGTGGGTCAGATCGAAGTGCACCTTGAGATCCCCAGCAAGTGGATCGCACACGTCGTGGGTTACGTAGTGGATGCTGCCCTGAGCTGACGTGGGCAAAAAGACGGGTTGAAACATCTGCGCCGACCATGTGCGCGGATGGTGGAACCTGCACCTGCTTCTGCAGGTCCCGTAGAAGTATTCCTACGATGTCGCGTGTTAGAATTCATTTCACAGTGCGGGTGAAGGTTGCCGGCTGCAGGTCGTAGATTCAGTATCGGGAGGAAGTACGGAAATACCGTCAGCGCAACCCATGTCGAGGACCTTGAGCCCGTCCCTGGTGATGTCCACGGGCGCAAAAACGATTTTATCCTTGAGGCACATCTGGATCCAACGATGCTGCACTTGAAGTCGTGTCAGCTCGGCTTGGACATCGCCAACCATGGCTAGATACTGGTTGTCGGCCTGGTCACTCTGTCTGGTTTGGCTGCTCCTGATGAATTTTAGATTGAGGATTTGGTTCAATGCGATAGACTATGGACCTTCAGGATTACTTTCTACGAATCTTTAGAATCATGTGGAGGTCGAAATCATTAAATGCATCTCCATCTTCCCGACCTCCACTGGTCACAAGCTTCCCACATAGCGTCTGCTGCTAACCATAATTAATCGGCAATTTTGACAAACAGGCAAGCCCTTCACCTACCTTAGGTTGAAGCTTAAAAGCCTATTCCAAAAGGTAAATCTAGTTTGGCTCACTCCAATACTGTGCATCATGTCTAGGAGGCTTCTGCATGAGATTGAGCCGCAGGGTAACAGGAAATAAAAGGAAGTTGTCAAGGCCGAAGAGGCGAGCTTGGCGTATCAATCGCGTGACGAGAGCGATAGTGAAAGCGATAGCAGGCACGTCAAGATACAGCAATCACGAACACGATAAACATCCGATAATATCAGATATCACCCGGCTTCAATGGTGAGTGCGACTGGACGAACTTGTACGATTTGAGAGTGGCGTATTGATCATGGATGCAGGGCGGACGAATACGTTGATGAAGGTCTGGAACTTGACGTGAGGGAGGGCAGGGTCGGAGTTGCGGGTTCTTGGTGCGGGCCATCGTCCACGTTTGCTTCTCCGAGACAGCACAATTAAACATGAGTCTGCCCTCAGGTCATGCAGCAGACCGTAACCAGTCGCAACTTGCAAAGTCGCAGACGACGTGGAGAATTGCCGAGGCTTATTTCTGCAGGTGGCTGGCTGATGGATAATCGATGTTTTACGGATATAGTACAATTGACTTTGGAGCTTGTCACCATGCAATGGGCCCGGCGTGCTCCCACTCGGGCCCGGTGGGCCATCCGGGGGCCCGTCCCCCGCCGAAGGTCAGGACTCAAAGAGGATCCATGATCGGGGATGTCGATGTCATTATTCGGGGGATTCCAAGTAGAGTGGTTTCCTCAAGGGCCTCTCATGCAACCCAATTTGATGCCGTGATATTTTGGAGGGGGGAACGGATGGGTTACAACACTGTGTCACATCGGCGGAGGCAAGCGGGCGATCCATGCTCCTGCAGCGTGCGTATCTGCGTATACTTGAAACAGTTAGGCCCAATCTTGATTTAAATAAGCAAAGTCACGCCATCCCTGGTGCACACTGCAAAAGCCCAAGATTACAAACACCGTAGTCTATAGTGGGAGATAGCCACGCAATGGATGATAGGTAGGGAGACGGGTAAACAGGGCCAAAGAGGCACAGCCGTGGCCAAGCAACCACTGACCGTAGGGCTGTTTCTCTTTGCAAATCTCTCTGTGCATGGCGAGCTTCCTTAAGCGGGTCAGTCTAGCTGATCTGGCTCCCATCTTGCTGCAATGACCGTCCGAAGATCCGAATCTCTCACGCCCATTGGCTCCACATCAGGACAGTCAAGGTTTGGTGATTGACTAAGACTGTCACAATCTTACATAGTATCCTTACAGACACACACACATACATCAGTCTGTTGCTGGTGGTGTGCCGCACCGTGCAGGGCCTTTTTAATAAGCCTCCGGGGACCCCTCATCCGTCTGGCACTCTAAAATGTTTTGCATTCTTGTGTTTGCGCCTTTCAGTCCCTACATGTACGACAACGACGAGCGAGAGTGTTTGCTCCAGTTATTCTGCCTCTCTTCGAGTTGATCTCGACAAAGAAACACGTCCATTCCTTAATCGATACGCGAGACCGAGAGAAACAGTCTCTTCGCAACATCCCACAGACAAGATGAAGACATCCGTCGCTTACATCATCGCCGCGGCCCTCTTCGGAGCTACGCAGGCTGCCATCACCCCGGTGAACAACATCATTCGCCACGAGTACAACCTCAACGCCAGAGCCGGCGTGCACGGCAACATTGAGCGAGACCAGCCCGAGGGTGCCCTTGAGGGCGATGTTCTGCAGCCCTTCGTCTAAGGGACTGGACTCAGTCCGGTTCCCAGCGAAATACGAGCCAACATGAAGGCATGCCACCTCGCCTGGGTTCTGCAATGCCCCGTTTCTGGTTGCCGGACTGGAGCCCGAGACGGTTCACTAGCTCCCCCGCGGCTCTGGCCCCGAATTCCTAGAGGGCTTCACACAACAAACAATATCCACAACTTCGATTCTACGCATGCTTTTAGACATGCGACCTAGGGTACATACATCGACGGGGAGTTTGGGTGGAGACTGAGATACGACGTGGGCGTTTGAAGGATTCTTTTTGACCGGTGCGGAAAACTACCCGGGGATGGGGGGTTGGTCCGAGAGATTGGAAGGGCTTGGGTTGGCTTTGATATCCCAAGACAAGGAGGGGAGCGCAGGCTCAGCGGATTGAAGTCACAATGAATGCAAACTTTTCCAAGTCCAACTCTTCTTTCTATGTGTGCACACATTGATGATCCTTCAGGCCCATCAACTCGGTAATTATCGCCGTCGATCACCTAGTGAATTCCCACGTGTAGTTCCACACCTTACGCCCGTCAACGACAAGCTCATAATCCACCCTCCAACGACCCTCCTCCGACGTGTCAAAAGACACTCTGCCAAACTTTGAGTTTCCCCACGGATGCGAATACACGGAAACGTCCGTGTCCTCAATCTGCCTGTGGAACCGATCAAAGGGTTCATAAAACTGGTTCAAGGGCGAGGTAGAAAATTCAATCACAGACTTACCACCCTCGTCCGTCGTGGGTGGAAAGATCGTCGTCGCGTGTTCATGCCGGTCCTAAGAAAGAAAAAGCAAATATTAGCGCAAGCAAACTATTGAAAAAACAAGAAATACGTACCCCACTCAAGATGATAACTCCGTCCGTCTGTCTCATCTGATCCAAAATCACGTCTCTCTCCCACAGATATCCCGACCAACTATCGGCCGCATCGGGACCCCTCCAATTTCGCGTGAACGGAACGCTGCTCACCACGACTTTCCACAATGTTTCTGTTTCAAGCCACTCTCGTAGGTCGTCCAGCTGAGCCGCGCCAAGCATCGTCTTGCCAGGCCCGTCGTCCATGTTCTCAGCCGATCGATAGCGCCGCGTATCCAGGACGAAGAACGAAACATCGCCCCGGCGGAAGGTGTAGTGCGTCTTACCGACGCCAAACGGCGAGGGCGGGTTCGCGTGCCCTTGATAGGACCAATATGGCCTCATGGCGGACTGATAGAGACCCGTCTCATTCGCCGCCCAGTCGTTGATGATCTCGTGGTCGTCGTAGGCGTGCAGCCACGGCGTGGAGCGGAGCGCGGGGGACCAGCTGGGCGAGGCGTAGACTTGGCGGTACGCGGTGGTGTAGTGCTCTGGCGTCCAGCCGAGGGCCACGGGCAGGTCAATGTAGATGAAGTCGCCCAGGAAGAGCATCATGTCTGGCTGGTTCTCCGAGACATAGTGGTCCAAGTGCTCCAAACCTGCGATGCGCAAGCCATGGTCTAGAGGGCTGTACGGGTAAAAGGGCTTGATGCAGCTGGTCGAGATGAGACTCCAGCGCTTGGGGGAGAGGGCTGCGGTCCTGAATGAACCGGCGTGGCTGGCGTTTGTGGTGTAGGTATACGGCGTGTCTGGCTTCAGACCGTCGAGCAGAAATGTGGCTGTGTGATCGTCCGATTTATTTACCATAACCGTTTGCGATTTGGCTAGCTTGCCACCTTCCCCGGGAGACGTCCAACTGATCTCGACATAGTTTGTTGAGAGGTTTGGCGCTCTGATCACAACCCGCGCAGAAGTTTCGTCCACATAGCCCATCCGTGAAAAAGTGAGATCGTAGCTCTGGTGAAGTAAACTTCCTCGATAAATGAAGTCCAACACGGCCCCCAAAGACAGAATATTTAAAAGAACAGTGACCAGAGATGCAAATGGTGATGTCCGGTCAACCCAGCCCAGGAGCAAAAGCAGCCATGGGTGGCGCTTTTTGGAAGCCCGCTTTGAGTTGAGCAACAGAAATCTGACCAATAGTGTAAGTGCATATAGCGCAGCATTCCCATAGATGCGATTGAGATATCTCTTTCCGAGAGGGTGCTGCTTGGTGGTTAGGATAACGTCGATCAACGTCACAAGATGGGAAGCATGGGATCTGTTAAAACTCACGAATCTGGTGAACAAGATTGCCGTTGACCTCAAAGTGAGAGTCGTTACCGCCAGAATGGCGTTCAACACGCCACCAAACACCATCTTGAAGGCTGCGCTCTATGGCAAGACTGTAGTTGCCGGAGGGCCAAGACGCGTCTGTGTTCCGTGCCTCTAAAGTTCTAAAATCTCACGAGACCACGCACCGAGTTTGAATTGTCTCCGAAAACGGGTGGGTACCGAGGAAAGGTCGTTCAAGAAGAGCACTTCACCCCAATTTTTCTCTTGAACCATGGACCCAGAACCGCGGTCATGGTAAAAACCCAAAGTGGACTTGAAGGATGAACACTTTCCCCATCGACTAAACACAGCCGTGCCGCCAATTGTCAAGACACGTGCAATCCCATCGACAACTCTCTCGGGAGCAAGTTCTCAACCTCAACATGGGTCCTTCGCGCCGTTTTTCCCGAGCCAAGTGCATTCTCCTGCTCGGGATGCGTTCCCTTATCATTATCCGGAAGACCAGCGTAGCTGCCGGGAGGATATCAGTGGGCCGCGGGAACGGGGCCCCACCCCGATGGACGTCTAAGACGATGGCATTTCACCACGTGGGCATCCGTAGGACCACCGGGGTTTTCCTCCGAAAGCGGAGATCCACCGGGAAGAAAAAACATTGGCGGCCAAGCTCCGAGCACAAACTTTCCAGGCTAACCAAAGCTTGTTCCTACGGCGTTGACCACACACGGAGGATGATTCCGAGGGAAAGGAGAAAACAATGGCTACTTCCTCCAGGAAAGGGAAATCCGGTGGCTCCCGCATCTCGGGCATCTTCCGAGCCTCTTGGCCGTTGAATAGGCTCTCGACTGCGGCACTGGCATCAGGGCACGTGGTCGACATGGCGCATCGAATGGTAAGGTGATTGTTACTTTTGCCTGAAAATCCCGATTGTTCGGCAAAATAAGCTTGGACAAAGTCCCGCCAGTACGGGGCATCCTAACGATTTGGCCCCCTTGAGTGACCATCTTTTGTTCTTATGTTCCGGCCGACGTACATGCGTTCCAAGAACTTGGTCAAGAGCAGGGATTCCACGTGGTGAATTGGGGAGTAAGCAATCTACATATGTGTGCCGTTCTACATGTACTTATAACAGGCATCTCACCATCAAAGTGAGCTTTTGGGGTAGCGCATTTATCACCGTCGAAACCAATGTCTGCCAGCATGGAGTCTTCACCTGTGACAGCGTTCGACGCGAACGACACCGCAACCAAGAAAGATCCCGGAGTCTTTGTATCCTCTGAGAGTGATGTTGCATCATCTCAAGAGCCTACTGCTCCTGGCAGAATCTCCGGAAAGATTGACGTGCTCGTGCAAGGTGTCGCATTGTTCTCTGATGGATACAACATCCAGATCATCGGATACATGAACACTGTTCTGGCCAAGCTGTGAGTCTGCGATCGACACCAAGCGACAATATGATCGTTGAAGACAGGTTTCACTGACATGTGCCGACAGATATCCGAAGCAGATGACGAATGCCGTAAAGACTAGGCTTTCCAACTCCATCTTGATTGGTGACATTTTTGGCATGCTCATCTTTGGTCTCTGCATTGATAAGTTTGGTCGAAAAGTTGGTATTATTCTGACCACTCTGTTTTTGGTACTGGTGAGTGCTGACCCTTTACTTCAACTTCTGGACCGTGTCGGAGGCTGGTACTGACAGCTGTGCAGGGTATCGTGATTGCGACTGCTGCCCATGGCACCTCCGTCGAGGGCATGTTCTGGATGATGGTCATCGGCCGTGGTGTTGCGGGTGTCGGTGCTGGTAAGCGAACCCCAGTTGGGCCGTACAAGAGAATTTGGAGACTGACAGCTACGCAGGAGGAGAGTACACGGTCTGCACATCGCAGGCTTTGGAGTGCGCCGATAGTACGGAGGCCATGCGCAAGCGACGCGGAATGCTGGTCGCCGTTTCAACAAACGCCGCCATCATCTCTGGCTTTGTCGGATCTAGCATCGTCTCGCTGATTGTCATTGCGGCATACAACGGACAAGCCAGTGACGGAATTTGGCGCATATGCTTTGGCGTCGGAATCTTCGTGAGTCAACCCAGACCGGTAGTATCTTGGAATACTTGCGAGAAAATTTGACTGACAACCTTGCCAGCTTCCTCTGGCCATCTTCTTCTTCCGGCTGCGACTCGTCGATTCACAGCAGTACCAGAAACACGCCATCCAGCGCAACATCCCATACCGCCTCGCCCTCAAGTTCTACTGGAAACCGCTCCTCGGATGCTGCAGCGCGTGGTTCCTCTACGATTTCGTCGTATACCCCTTCAACCTGCTCGCACCGACCCTCGTATCCGGCTTCTCCACCCAGGAGACACTGATCCAGTCCATCGGCTGGTCCGCCCTCGTCAACGCCTTCGCCCTGCCCGGCGCCTTCATCGGCGCGCTGCTGATGGACCGCATCGGTCGCCGCCAGACCTACGCGCTCGGGTGGGCCATCGTCTCCGTCCTCGGCTTCGCCATCGGCGGCAGCATGATCCAGCTCAACCACGTCTTTCCGCTCTTCGTCACCCTCTACGGTCTGTTTCAGACCTTCTTATCCGTCGGCCCGGGCGACTGTAATTTCTTGGTCTCGAGCGAGTCTTTTCCCACGCCGCTCCGGGGTCATTTCCTCGGTTTCGCGGCTGCTGTGGGTAAGGCCGGCGCTGCTATCGGCACGACGGCACTGAGTGCGGCTCTTGCGAGCTTTGATGAAAAGTTGAAGGGGCAGCAGGCCATTTTCCTCATCGGGAGTGGCGTTTCTGTCGTTGGTACTCTGTGTGTTTGGTTCCTTATTCCCGATGTAAGTTGCTCGATAATGTCCTCGCTATCGATTTGTCTGACTTGTGACTAGGCTCCCAAGCATTTAGAAGATGAGGATATCCGCTTCAAAAAGTATCTTGAATCCAATGGCTACGACACTAGTCAGATGGGGCTCAAAGCATAATTTCGGACTCAGGCTTTAATTCCAACTCCGATGAGAGGGAAAGGAAGCCAGGAATACGTCATAAAATGGCTCTAATTATCGTCTCCTCGCAGGAGATTTTTTGTAACTATGCTGTCCCATAAAACACTAAGAACTCAGAAATTACCATCCTTCACGACGCAATCTTTCCCACACGTTGCTTCCTTAGCGATACTTCGGCTCCTCAACGATATTTGCGTGACGTCCCGCTTGTTTGTTTGCACCACTCTTGGAGGGCTCCTTCCTCTCCTCGTATTGCTGCTCTGCAATCTTCTATCTGATCTCGGAGTTACTCGACGGGTTCTCTGTTTGTCATCAGCTCCTGCGCCCGACCATGTGTCAAGTAACGAAATGAAACATATTGAAGGTACAGGCTTGAGACTGGCATTGGGACATGTTGGAGAACTTATTTGTTTTGAAAATGAATGTTTTTGGATCAAAAGATTGGTGTGGTTAATGAGTATAAGAAAGCTGTCGATGAATTGGGATTTAAAGCTAGTCTCGAATCGCCTTGCGACTGAGGGACAACAGAGGTTGTACTCGAATGACAACAGAACACTACCGTCTCCTCAAATTTATCAAAGGCGATCTTTTTGTGATGCAAATTATGTAGATCGATTGTCAGTATCACTGTATGTATCGCGTGTCTCTAGTGACATCGACTGATAGGTCTAAATATGAACATTGTCGGAGGAGACATCGACCACCAATGTTTGATTTTCTAATCATCACCAGTAGAAAGCTTGTTTCTATGAAGACTGTGGGCCGCGTACTAGTCGGACCGGAAAAGAGTCTCCTAAACAAGCATAGCAAAAACTGGCGGCTGGGTGAGTGTGGTTGAACAGTCCAGGGTCTCGAGACTGTAAGTGTAGTTTACAATTACGAGGATGTCCCGATTCGAACACTGGCATATCTAAGCGAGCTTTATTTCAATTCCAGATGGCTAAAAATGTGGAAATACATCACCATTTCGAATCCGTCTCCCAAAAAGCTTTCGAGCCGCATCGAACCCCCTCTCACCTGATGTTCAGACCTTTGGTACACCAAGTCGAACAAGGTGGTCTATCAAACCGAAAGAATCCCAACCATCTCTCTCTGCTTGGTCGCGTAGCCATACGAGACCTACCATACCCGCACCATTAGCCCCCACCCCGTTTCTCCCCACAAGTCGTCGTGGAACCACACACACCCAATCTTCAGCCATGATGATATTGTAGTCTCTGCCTTCCCCGCGAACTGTCTGGATTGTTCTTGATGCGGAGACTAGTCTTGTGATAGTGCGATAGGCCTGTTCAGGAGTCACTAGTTGTGGGAGTCGCAACACGAGGTGGAGGTTGGGAACCCCATGAATGTTGGATTCGATATCTTCGTTGAAACATCAGTATCCGTGTGTGGTAAGAGATCCAAGTGTGGCACCCCCGAGGGATGGCCAGGGTCAATTTATTCTTACCGCTTTCAGAAACCGCGTTCTGAGGATACAAGCGTAAGTGAGTTGGCTGGGGAAAGATTTGCATGTGCTTATGTCCCTGAGACGATCCGGCATCGACTCCGCAGTTAAAGATCATCAATTGCGGCCCCAGAGTTGGCTTGAGCGCAGCCATCACAGCCCGGGCGGCTTCAACGTCGAACAAGCTGAGGTCTTGCGTCTGGGGCTCAAAGACTCGGGTATAGAGGACGAACGCCGGCCGATACATGCAACAGAGATTGAGTTTCAGCGCATGACGAGGCCCAACTTGCGTAACAATAAAGTCGGGATCTGGATTGAGGAACGGACCCTTTTCCATGGAACGGTTAGGGTCATCTCGTTCCAAGTATGGCTTCTTTTGCAGGGCTGGACTGATGCGGAACTCGAACTGGTTGAACTTGGTTAGAGATCTGCCTTCAAGTATAAGGTATCATTAGATTGAGTTTACTACGCACCTGAAAGCCTTTGTGATGCACAACTTCGCTCCGGGATTCGCTGAAGAACAGCTTCCCTCTGGAAACCAAATCGTCGAACATGACGAGAGATTTCGGACCAAGATCCTCCGTAAGGGAGATCTGAGAGGTCGCCATTAGGGTAGCCTATGAAGACGGAATAATGCCCCCTTGCGAAGTTGCGAGATGAATTTTGAACCTGGATCACGTGAGGAGGTCCAGGTCGTCGAAAAGAATGAGCGGTCTGAAGATAAATAAATCATCTCCCTCAGTCTTTGGGGTGCGTGCGGGGTCCTTGGTTTGTGGGCGGCTAAGCCATGCATGCAGGTAGCGTTATCAAATCATTCCGTTGATTGAGCAAAACGGGCACCTAACAGGAACTGGATAGTTCTTTTCTGCTATAAGCACTTGAACTTCTGGCTATCCAACGAGACAACTTAGTCGTGAAGATTTGTGACAAGCATGTGTTCACTGGGACGTTCAGCTATCTACGCTTCCAAGTCAGAAGCTAGGCTCTTGATAGGCTTTAACTTGGTTTGCAAACGGATCAGTTTAGGCCGTCTGGCTCTCGTGGATTAATCTTGGAGATATGAACACAAAGCATACAAAATTCCCACACCCGTTCATTAATTGTAGATCGGAAGCTCGATACTGAAGGAGTTCACCATCACGGCGATGATGCGAGCCCCGAAACAAGCTCAGGTTTCTTCTTTCAACTAACTGATCACAAGATCTGGACATGGAACTAGAGTCAAATCAGTCACGACGTCGACCGATACATAAGTCGGCCTCGCAGAGGCGCAAACGGCACTTTCACTTAAAGGCCACTGCAATACGGGTAGGATAGCATGTACATTTCGTGTTGAAGAATAAAACAAAGATCTAAACTCCGAAGCTATGATGACAAGGTCTTTGTCGCCTCGGTAGCAGACCTCTTTTGGTTTTCACGTCCATCCTCACTTTGGACATCCACCTTTTCCAACGTGGCAACACTCCCTCCAGCCCCCTCCCTCAACGCCTTCCAATGGAGACCAAAGTCAAGAATATCGGGATACCTCCGCACATACCACAACATCCCCAGCATCGAAGCAATACTGCCCACGCTAAACGCCGCCGCCAGCGGGAAACCGATGGGATACCGCGGCGCGTCGGCGGTCCTCCACGCGCGGAGCGGAATCGTAGCGTGGCCGACGTACACGAGCGTCACCGCGAGCCCGACAATCACCGACCTGGCCTCGGGCTCCTTGCGCAGAATGATAGCCAGCCACGCGAGCAGCGCGTACCCCCACGCCGACGTCGCAAACGTCAAAAAGTAAAACGTCATAATGGTCCCCCTCCCGCCGGGCCAGGCCGCGAGGACGGAGGTGGCGACGAGCTGGAGCAGCGCCGCGCCGACGGCGACCTGCCACCGCCAGTCCTTCCAGTCGCTCAGCGCGTTGAGGGCCACGTTGGCCACGATGGAGATTGCGTAGCCGCCGAGCGGGATGAGGTTGACCGTGTAGACCGAGTAGAGCGCCGTTTTGCCGTCCGCGCCCTTGAGGCCCTTGAGGTAAAGCAAAAAATACGAGTTTGCGCGCTGGGACCAGGCGAACTGGAGGTACGCGGCCAGGAAGAGGTAGGTGATGGGCGAGGTGAAGAGTTTCCGCACGCGGGACCAGAGGGCTTTACCCCTGATGACTTCCTGCGTCGTCGTCCCGGACTTTTTCATTCGCGAGGCGGCGAGGACGCGTTCGTCCTCGGTCAGCCAGAGGGCCCGGGTCGTCGTGGGCGCGTCCGGGATGACGAGGAACCCGTAGAGACCCCAGACGATGGTCATGATGCCCGAGACGACAAAGAGCCACTGCCAGCCCTCGAGGCCGTGCGCGCCGTTGAGGTTCTTGTACAGCGCGGCCTGGAGGATGCCCAAGAACATGCTGCCCGCCTGGCTGCTCACGCCAAAGATGGCCAGACGTTTGCCGAGCTCAGACGGCGTGTACCAGTTAAAAATGAGGTTCACGATGCCCGGCCACGAGCTGGCCTCAAAGACGCCAAGGAAGAAGCGCAGGGCAAATACGGTGCGGGCATTGCGCGCGGCAAAGGTCGCGAGGGTGATGGCGCCCCAGACGACCTCGCAAAAGGGCAGCCAAAGGGACGGGCGCACGCGGGTCTGGATGAGCTGGGAGGGGACGATGAAGAGGGCGTAGCCGATGGAGAAGTAGGTTGTGAACTCGACGAGCTCGTTGCCGTAGAGGGAGAGGGCCTCTTGCAGGCCCGAGACGTAGGCTGCCGTCGTGGCGGACTGGTCCATGTCCTTCATGAGGCCCGCGACAAAGGCCCATGAGAGGAGGAGGATGTCGAGTTTAAGGACCAAGACGTGCTCTGCGTCTTCAAAGTAAGGGTGGACCTTTGCTAGCCAGGGAATCGACGGCTTTGTGAGCTTGGGACTGGCTTGCGCCGAGGCCGTTTCGGTCTCGGTCCTTGCCATTGTCAAAGATGTATCCCCTAAGACGTAACTGGAATGGATAGCTGCAAATTCAAGACTGGGCGTTATTTTTCCTGAGAAGGATGCCGATTGTTGACAATGAAGCTGGTCTTTAAGCGGTGGCTTTCGGGCTTGTATACGGATATGAACTTGACCATTCAACCGACTTTTGCCATTGCCATATACCAAGACTTCGCCTTCGAGCGGACGGATTCCGACAAGACGTCGGGTGGCACCGACACTCAAGATCGAAGATGCTGCTCAAAGCGATATGGCAACATTGCCATACTTCATGATGAAATGGAGAGCGAAGGAATCGAGCGGGAACTTCAGAAAAAAATGTCGGGGACGCCAATCACTTTTTTTTTCCAGAATTTCAGACGAACCGTTAGCCAAAACTCTGTTTCTCGTTGCCGAGTCGTAGCGTTCCATGGGGGCGCCCCATCCCAGCTCCGGGGAAGCATCGCCGGGAGACAGGGATACATACATGTCGCCATTTCAACGGCTTATGCCGTGACGCGTCGGTGTCCCGCCGAAAAGATGAGTGGCGGCAGACATTCTGCGTCTGCGATTCGACCGTCGCCTGGTGCGCTTTGGGACCTTGTAGTAGGCAACGTTTTGTCGGGGTGGCGCCGATCCGACAGTGACAGAAAACCTGGCGTGATATTCAGTACAGTGTCATCGTCCGGAGACAGCGCTGGATACATAAATCGACAACACGCGACAGGAAACCCAAACGAAGAATGATTGCGTGCTTCGCTGTCAAATCCCAGGTCAACATTTGCATACCTAAGGTAGTATACACACAAACAAGGGCCCAGTCCGAGCCAGTCACCATGCCGACCCAACCGCTGTACCCAGCCTATCTCCCGACCAGGCCAGACGGCTTCCAGCCGACAATCGATGTGCCGTTCTTTGAGGCCGAAGAACCCGGTGTGCAGGCCAAAGCCTCCCCCTCCTCCATCTTCCGGGACGGCGGCGGCGGCGCCAGAGTGGAGAACATCACGCCCCGCGTCGGCGCCGAGATCCGGGGCATCCAGCTTAGCCAATTATCCAAGGAGGGGCTCGATGAGGTTGCGTTATTCGCGGCCGAGCGAGGTGTTCTTGTTTTTGTGAGTTTCGCTGCGGATTTGGGGGTAAAAACTTGTACGGGCTGGGGGGTGGCTGACGGCAGGTTATGCGCCCGCGCGTTTTAGAGAGACCAAGATTTTGCCAATGTCGGGTTTGAAAGGCAGAAAGATATTGTAAGGCATTATGGACCTCTGCATCAGGTATGATTTATCATCCTTAGAAATCGTGAGAAAGGAAGCGGAAGTATCTACAGACGGCGTTGCTGATCTGCTTCTTCCCTTTCGTCCCAGCACCCCACGATGGGATATCCCAAAGGCACCGGCCCAGACTTCCACGTCGTCTATGCCGATGAGAAAGCGTAAGACACCCTACCCTACTTTTTCTCTCACATCTAATCACAGAAACCCTCACTGCGAGTGGCCAAGAGATGAAATGATACATACTCACACACAATGTCATGAACCAACAGAGGCAACCTCCGCACCCTCCTCGGCCCCCGCACAACCTACGACCTATGGCACATTGACCAAACCTTCACACCCAACGTCCCCTCAACAACCTTCTTCTGGGTCCTCGAGCAACCGGCCTCGGGCGGCGGCGACACGGCCTTCACCTCCCTCACAGCAGCCTACGCCGCCCTCTCCCCCGCCTTCCGCCGCACCCTAGGCGGCCTGCGCCTCCTCCACACCTCGGCGTCGGTCGGCGAAGTCGCCCGCGTCGGCGCCGAGCGCGCCCTCCGCGAGGCCGTCTCCACCACGCACCCGCTCGTCATCCGGCACCCCGTCACAGGGCAGCCGAGTCTGTTTGTGAATCCGACGATTGCGCGCGCGGTAGAAGGGTTCCTGCCCGACGAGTCGGACGCGCTGTTGGGGTTCTTGCATAATCACATCAAGAGTTTGGATTTCAGCTGCAGGGTGCGGTGGGAGCCCGGGTCGGTCGTGGTGTGGGATCAGAGGAGCGTTGCGCACAGTGCCGTGCCGGATTTCAAGGAGGGGGAGAGGAGGCACATGGTGAGGATTATACCGTATGGATCGCGGCCTGAGCCTGCTTTTCCTGAGGAGCATAAGCGGGGTGGAGGGGAATGAGGTGGTGTAGGGGATGTTCCTTGGTGAACTGTGCTCATGAGAGGGGTTGATTGTCTCGACGCCGAGAGTTCACACCCAATGGGTTTCTCAATGTAAGCTACCTGTCTTGGCTGGATGCGCGAGAAGTTGTTTGCTTCGCGATAGACGGTAGAACCTCGAATAGCCTCGACTGAGTTGTGTTACATCGATCTCACACCGGAGTCCTTTGTCGGCAATTGAGCCTCACAAGAATCTGACATGAGACCAGCCTCAGGTGCGATGGGGTGAGCAAAAGTGCGCTGATCACACAACTCTCTTTTTGGAGTGCGGCATAAGTGCGATAAGTGCGGTCAAAGTGCGACGGCCACCCCATTCGCCAGCTCGTCTTGTCCCGCTCTCGTGCATAATGGAGGGTGTCGCACTTACAAGTGCGATGGCCAACCACGTTGGGGATGACACTCTCACCAGTGCAAAGGCAATTCCAGTGGTTGCCCAGCTGTCCAGGGAGTACTTATTGTCACAGACTACCTTACGCAATGATGAACAAGGCTACACCTACTCTCAAAGTCTTTGGTTGTCAGACTTCAAATTTGTCGACAGTCTCAATGGCGGCCAATCCAGACATTAACATCCGATCGTCAGCTGGACAACCCATTGCACCTCCGTTCTCGAGCCCTGTCCAAATATCGCCCTTTGCATCATCTATTCATACTCTCCAGACGTCATCAGACGTGAAAATTTCACAGGATGACTCCAACAAGAGGAAGAAACCCCCCAGAAAGTTAGACAGCGAGAAGTGCCAGCTTTGCAGGCAACACAAGTTGAAGGTACTTCGCTTCTCTCTGTGCATTGCATACCTACCTTAGTCCTGCCTTCAAGACACAGAGATCAAGGCTTTGCTTGGAAATCTGCTGACAGCTGGGCTACTCAGTGCCTCCCCCAGCCTCGGACATGGCCGCAAAAGTGTAATCGCTGTCTGTCCAAAGGACTGGAGTGCTCGCCCGGGGAAGTCAAGAAAAGAACACGAAGACAGGTCCGAGGTGACGGAGAGTCAGACAACATGATGCATAGCCCGGGGATCCGAGCATTTCCCAGCCAGGGCCATGAAGCTTCCAAAATTGCATGGGACTGCGAAGACCTGTAAGCCCGATACTTACCTCTTTGTGAGACGAAGCTGAACTTATTTCACAGGATGGACATGCTTACCGCAGTCCAACTCCTCAACAGCGTGTATGAAGTTCACCATCACCAAAGAGCCTCCTTGATAGATATCCTCGACTTCCAAAAGGCTCCCTGCCAGAGCAATGGACCCGGATCCCAAGCACAGCTAGAGGTACCCTATGTTTCGGGCCTGCACCAGAGTCTGCCGCTGCTCAAAGATAGGATTTCCGTCTCGCTGAAGACAAGCCTCAGGTGCGGCGGGCCGACGTGTCTGGCGGAGAGGATGCTGTTCGAGGATACGCTCGTTGACTTGCATGGCGACTTGCCGAAGCGTCCGATGGTAACTGGTCGAGTCGAACGCCACCAACTACTCCTGAGAGAGCAAATTTGCGACCTGCTGTTCCGGTCCAGGTCGAGTGTATCGGAGACCATTACCTTGAAAGCAGTAGTCTCGCTATCCACCACACTCTCTTCGAGGCTACCAGCTCTCATGAAGAAGTTTGGACTATACGATTGGTCCTACGTGGAACAGGGCTTCGGTCCAGAGTGGGAGAAGCTACTCCCCCACGCCGTTGTCGGGTGCCTCCTCTTCGGTCCAGGTGACCTCTACTCGGGCGCAATGTCATACGCAAAGATCTGGGCCCACGACATCTTAGTCAAAGAGGGCGCAAAATACCTACTGGCAGCACATGACCTCGCCCTCATCCCGTCCAAAGCCAGCAGCTGGTCCCTGGAAGACCTGGCCTTCCTCACCGACCACGTCGGCCCGGACCCCAAGGACAATCAAGGGCTCACCCTCCTTCACGCCGCAATCCTCGACCGCAGGCCCGACGTAATGCGTCGACTCTTGGAACCAGGGGGCGCCAAGCCGTGGCACCGCATCTTTAGGAAGCGGTTCTCGCTGTTCCACTTCGCGGCCTCGGTCGGGTGTGAGGCATGCTACGCAGAACTGCGCTGTCACACTGAGCTACAGCCGGCAGAGGAGACGCGGGACCGAAACGGATTGCTGCCTTTTCACATCGCTGCTCTCCGCGGGCAGGTACGTGTGGTGGAGGCCATTCTGATAGCCCATTATAACGGAGAGGAGGAGGATGAGGAGGACTACGTTAATCGAGAGACGTCCGAGTCCGGGCATACTGCGTTGTATCTCGCCATAGCGCGAGCGGATGACGATGCCACGGCAAGGTTCTTGGCCATGTACCCCGGCGTGGACTTTCTCGTCGATAGACAGGTGCGGCAGACGGCCCTCCACGTTGCGGCGTCCGGCAAAAGGTACTCGCTCTTTCGATTTCTCCTCTCCAGGGTACCCGAGGAGCTGCTCAATACGCAAAACGAAGACGGCGAGACGGCGTTGCAAATCCTCGTACGTCACGGCGACCGAGAGACGTTGAACAGCGCCCTAGATATCCCCTCGATCGAACCCGACGTGACGGCAAACGATGGTTCTACGCCACTCGTCGAGGCCGTGATGAATGCGAACGCGGGGGCGGTGGAAGTCTTGGTCGGCTGTCCGGGGGTGGATATCACGGCATTACGGCGGCCTTTGGAGCCCTTTGGTTTTTCTGCATTGGAACATATCACGCAAGAGGCGGACGGCAATGATGGTTCCGGGGGTTATGTGGAGATTTTGGAATGCTTGCGAGTGCGTTGTCCCGAGTTGGAGGAGGATCTACGTGGGAGCGAGGTATCGGTGGCTGGGATGGAGACGGATGATGAGTGACGACGCCGTGGTTGAATATTCGATTGATATCAATTCGAAAACGGCGATTTTGGGCGGGCGAAGGACGTATCGCAGAGATCCGCACCCCAACAAGCAATATTTGTGATAATTAGTTGTGTTTGGTGCAAACCCCATGGATAACGTCTCTCTTAAACGGACGTTCAAATCACGTAAAGTTTAACAGACGCATTCTGTCTGGGAGTCGTCGTCGTCCTGTGGAATCCGAGCAACTGAGATTGAGCAACAAGCGTGCCGATAGCGCACTGACGACAATGGTTGACCCGACGGCGCAGGTGCAATATCGCTTAAGGACGAGGTTTTCGCCGGGGTGGTTGACTTGGAGGGCGGGGATCAAGGCGGACGAAACCCTGGGTGTTGGTCCCACCGATTGCTCATGGAGCGATGTAACGCCTGATGCGAAGGTTCAGGGGAATTGGGTGGCGGAGAGGGGCGGGAGGGGCAGACACGAGGATGATGCTATCATGGTCGGTCGACTGGGTGTTGGTGATTGTTCGGTGCGTTATCTGGATTCGGCTTTGGGACGCGGTTGGGGAAGTGGGATGGAGACGGAGATGGTGTGCAGTCTGCAGTTTGGAGTCTGGAGTCTGGATAGAATAAGGTAAGCAAGTGACCGTAAGCCTTAAGGTGCTAAGGCAAGGTACGGATAGCCCAGACAGGACAGTATATCCGGCTGGGACATCTGGTGCAGCACTAACGGCATCGTGGAGCATTCCAGGCCGGATCGACGCAGCGGATCAACGTTTGGGGGGCAGTGCCCAACGTGGAAGTGTTCAAGTCGAAGGCGTGTCTCGACCTTTGAGTTTTCCGGTGAACGGTGGATAATTCGTCAACGGGCCGAGACGGGCGAACCATACAAAAGAAAGCAGAAGGGGGACAGGACTCGAGAGTCAGTCCTCCACGCCTCTGCCGTTGGTTTGTGGCCTTGGCTAGGTAGGCGCCAGTCGTGGGAGGCTGACGGCTGTGGCCAAGGAAGAAAAGGAAAAGAGAGAGAGAGGAAAAAACGTGACATAGTCCGTACAGACGGATTGAAACGGCCGCGTCGACACGAGGCACAAACGGCGAGTAATAGAACGAGGGCGGAGCTGAAGAACCAACAAAGTGCACGAGGAAAGTTGGGAACGAAGGCAGGTGCAGAAACTCCACCGGAAGAGGAACGAAACTCGGAGCAGACAGCAGGAAAGAGAAGCAGCGTCCGGGGGCCATGCAGGAGGCGGCTTAGGAAGCTTAGGAAAGGGCAGGAGAGCACATGGCTGGACAGGGAAGGCGCCCAGACTGGCGCCATGTCGTTGGCTACGACTGCGTGGAGAGTGGGGTCGGATGGAGATGAGTGGATTCATGCTTATGGGTATTGGTTCAGCGCCTTGGCCCAAAAAGGAAACGATGGGCAGGAACTGACAGGGAAAGAACGAGGCATGAACCGGTCTATCGGGGGACCCATGGCTTGTTCCATCTTTCGTGCTTTTCTCAATAGCTGCGATCATTCATCCAGGCGCGACGCTGAGGGTGAGTGACATTCGATATGCATATCTCAGGAAGGCTGCACTTGCCCTGCACTTGTCTGCAGCTGCGTCTCCAATTGTGCAAACTTCCAGGTTCAAGCTGCTCCCTCCCACGGTATCCACCCCTTCACCACTTCTCTACAGATACCGTCCAGGTTCCAGATGCCCGAGCACCTTGCTCCACTCCGTCCAGAGGAAAGACCTCTTGCACCCAACTCCTGCACCTGCCACCTGCAGCTCTCTGCGCCTGCTCCTTGACACACACACACCATTCCATTCCTTCCCGTCCTCTCCTTTTTCCCCTTCGTCTTGTGCCTTCCAACTAGCAGCGTATCAAGGTTCTCTTCCTGCAGCTGCAGCTGCATCCATATCTCTATCTGTATCTGTACGGAGACTCCGTAGACGTTCCTTCCTTCGCGCGAGTCGCCCAACGTCGTAATCGAGTCTTTTCTCTTCCTTCCCCTCCTTTTCAGTTTCCCCCTTCCACTCTGGCAGTTCCCTTCTCGGCCATCCACCCAAATCCCTTCCCTCGAACCTTGTCATTCGTTCCTTTCCACCACCACACCACACGGCACGCATACACACCCACACACCTCACCTCCGGCCCGACCTAAGGTACCTTTCCTTCAACTCGCTTTACCACCTTGGGCCAAGCCGCCGCCGCCGCCATTCTTCCAATCTTTTTCTATCCATCCCGGCCAACCTAACCACTTCAGACTGGATACAACACCTCCCTCACACTCGCCCAGTCCACTCGTTGCAACTTAATAAACCAAACCACCCAAAGGCCTCGAAGCCCAACGTTTTGACTTTCCCTCGTTCCCACGCTCCCGCACCGACTCCCAACACAGACGTTCAGCTACTCTCAGCCACCTCATGCCGAAATAGAAAGAAAGAAAAAAACACCCTAGAGTCAAAGCACCCGATCACGGCACCTAATCACCTGCCGTCAACCAATCCTTCCAATAAGACGTCCCGCCGCAAACGCCTGCCGGGAGAAAGGGGGAATTAAAACACATCCGAGCCACCAGAGAGAGACATCTGTGCCACAAGATTGCGACCTTCGTTCCACCCATTCCTGCCGCGACCGATAAGCTTTTCGTCTGATCTGTTGCGTCCCTACTTTACGACGTGCGTCTGCCACCATCCACTGAATTCGACTTTCCGTCCATCACGCCCCGTCATCTGTATTTGCTCGACCATCTCATCCCAAGTCAACTTGATTGAGTTTGCTTCGTCCCGCCATCAACTCAAAGCTAGCTATATCTCGAACGACCTCGATACAAAGAACGCTCTTCGAATTCCTACCGACCATCTCTCGAAATTACTTCACAATGGCTCCCGGAATCATCGAACGTATTCAGCAAAAGATTGAGCTCTTCCGTCTGGAGCAGCGTTACACTCGTCGCCGTCACCGTCGCTCGACTTTTGTCTCCAACGCGGTCTACGTCGACGGCGAGTATGTCTACCAAACTCCCACTTCCACCGGCTCCTCGTCCGCAGGCACAACTACCAGCAAGGAGTCGACATCACCACGCGTCAATGCCCTCCACCACGCCGAGCCTGCTTCGCCAACCATGGTTTCGACACAGACCGAGCCTAGCAAGAAGCGATTGAGCCGTTTCGCCTCCATGCCGGGCTTCGGGTCGTCAAAGCAGAATCCCACTCAGGACTGGAGGCCAAGCCGCGTCAGCGTCAGCGAGATTCAGCGGTAGAAGCGTCTGGCCTATGCTACTTGGGGCGACTAAATGGGGAAAACAAAAGCGTCCTATATGGACGATACACAGATCAGGGCGGCGATCTCACGACGGCAACATGATTACCCACGGGGCGAGTCTTCGAGGTTCGACGACGACGAGGTTTTGCTCAAAAGCAATTGGCATATTACAGTTTACGACCATCTTCCGTCACGTCTCTTAGCGGCGCACTTGCATTTGCATTGGGGACGTGCTCTTGCTCGATTTTTTTTTTGTTTGCTGGGAGGTTTGCATTGGTGGACACGCCATATGCATATTTGATCTGCCACCCTCGACATCACCAGACGCTGTGTGCCAATCGCACCAGCGCTGGTCCTTGCTTGTCTGGACACACTACACCGGCTGGTAGTTTTGACTGCTGCTCGGGACATATACCCTTCAGCTCACTGGCGTTTTGCACGCACATTTTCTCTTGTACATATCCAACGGATTATATGACTACTTCAAACACTTTTTCCTTGGTGCCCCATTTGTGATGTTTGCGGATCGCTAAATCAGAGGGCCTTGTTTGATGAACGATGGAATTTAGTGTGATTGCAAACGCTGTATGCCGTTCCGCGTCTCGGATTCTGGGTGGTATGGGCAGTGATCGGCCGCGGGTCGACCGGCTGCAACCTGATGGCACGTAGAGAATTCGAACGATCGTCCCGGACACATCGGCGACGCTTGGTTTGTCTGACCCGGTGTGGCTTGGGAGGGGGGGGACCCCGAAAACCCACCCTTTGCGGGGTGACAGTCCCAAGCTCCCGACGGATCCCACGGTTGATCTTGGGTGAACCTTGGTCTCCTGAAGTAGATGCTCATTCACATCAAGAACAAGCAAGGGTGCCCCCTCGAACAGCTCGTCCCATGACGAGAAATTGCGGCTGTGCTTTGCATTCTGCTGTAGCCTTTTTATCTAAACGAGCACCGTCTATCATGCTCACCGTGCCCATTTCTTCGCCAACCGCTTGCGTCCCCGAGCGCGGATTGAATTCCGCTCACGACTATTGGCTAAATGACAAACTTGTGTGACAGCCCTGCGCTGGTCGCGACGAAAACTTGACGATATGTTGTCGGCCTGGTGACGTCGGGTTCTCTGGTCGAAGACAATGCGGAGACTTGCGAAGGGTGCGGCGTATGCTGCTGACTCCCTTTGCCCGAGAGGAGATGTTTTTACTTCGATACGAGAACTGTCCTGGGCATTGTACTGAGTCCTACGAGAGACTGTTGATGGCGTAGATCGTGGCGGCATTGCACGTGTTGTCATCAAGGCTACCTATCCAGGTATCTTTCGTTTTGTGGTCTCCGCTCAGTTTTCTTGGGTGCCAACCAGGCCGCCGCGGCTTCCGTGATCCCTGCGGCCCATTTCTCGAGCGGGGCAGTGTCGAGATACGCCAGTACGGCAGGCATTTCTTCTGAGAGATGCTTCGTTGCGTCGGGGTAGGTTGCGCGTCGTGCTCGAATTTCGTTGATCCGGATCAGAATCTTGGCCGGGTCGTTGGGCACCAGCCTCCCGGGCCTGCAGGCGTAGGTAAAAAAAAAAAAGCTCTCGAAGATTGCTTGGTAGAGTTCACAGCTGGCGAGGATTATCCGGGCGACGGCTGTCTCGCTGGTGTTGCCGCGGGTGGACGTGCCGAAGATATCAAATACCGTGAATTGCTGGAGGAGGCGGTAGACGTCTGTGTCTGATTTTGTGACGGGGGAGAAGACGCCATGGGGTTGGATTTGGCTTCATGCGCCGTGGACGTGGGACTGCCAGGGCGCGTTGGCGGAGAATTGGATCTGACTATGGAGTGTTAGTTTTCGGCACAGGTAGAACTTTCCATGGGACAGAGAGAGGTGAGTGAGTGGAAGAGAGTGGGAGTCGGAGAGGCGAAGGGGGAAGTGAATGAGTGAGAGTGTACCTGAGATGAGAGCATCGCCATGATGCCGAGGGCGACATTCGGACGAGAATTTTCGGCGGTCGATGACCAATTCCTGCCAGGTTGGGGGTACGTGCAGAGTTCTCGGCTCAGTGCTTGTAAGGCAACGGCTTGGGATGCAAAGTGGACGCTCATTCAAGTCGACCTGCCGCCATGAGTCTGGATGATTCGGATGCGCTGCTTTGCGTTGATGGATCGTGTGTGGAGGGGGAGGCGAGTCGCAGAGGCGGCGAGAGGCGGCAGACCTATTGTCGTTTATTGACTTTGATGAGACACTAGGTGACGACGACGATTGCTCGCTGGTGTGTCTGTGTAGAGCTGCGATGGAGTTGTACGTTTGGTGGAAGTACAAAGCGAGCGAGGCGATTTGGTATGGGAAGACTTGATACGGTGATGGGGATGTTGAGAATTGGGACTAGGTCCGGCGGATGTTACATGGTGGGTATGTGCGGGAAAGTCGTAAGTTGGTTGATTAGTTGATCAGCAAGGATGTGTGATTGCGGATGTGAGAGTGAGGTTGTGAGAGTGAGAGTATGTGAGTGAGTGATAAAGGGTGAGTGAGTGAGTGAGGATAATTGTGTAAGGTATGTGAGTGTGTGCGAGGCAACATGAGTTATGAGATACCCGCAATACTCCCTGGCATCAGCGGTAATCCTCAGCTCCATGACCGGTCCGGCCGTTCTTGGCGATCGGCACCCGAAGCCAAGGACGGATGCCAAAGACGGATGCCAAGGATGGACGTTGGGGCCGGGGCCGGGGCCTGGTGGCTGCTTGTGTGCTGTCGGTTCCGGCCGCGATCGCGGTGGTGATCCGGCGGCGGATCTGCGTCCCGGACCCGGATGACGACGTCCTTTTGCGTCAGAATGAGAGGGGGTCCCCCGAAAGATGAAAGGTCTCTTTTCCGCCACAGCCCGGGCATTCGGAGACTAGGGCGGGACATTTCCGGCAGGCGGGGGGCAGGGAAGAGTTCGCAGCGGAGGCGTTTCTTACGGGAGCGCATGGCCCCGTGACGGAGATGGCTTAGGCGCCGGATGGAGGAATTGTGGCGTTGGACGGGGATCCGTGGCTGAAGGGTAACGGGATTGACCGAGATCGTCCCCATTCCTTACTACTAGACGACAACTTCCAGGTTCTTCGAGATTAGTATTCATATCACTGGCACGTAACCACCGGCCTACGGCGAGTTCGCAGAGTGGTGACGTCGGTTCCCGAAAGGTTCGCCGGGTTCAGCTCCAATCAGTGGACCGTCGGTTGCCCGAATCGGAAGCATGAGCGGTATTCGGTAGTTTCTCCTGCGGCTAGCCGACGCCGGAACGGGAGGGCCTCGGTGTCGATTCACTTGGCGCTACGCTAGTCTTGTGCATGGATCTAGTAAACGGGAGCTCGGCGATGGTGATGTGACCACTGCAAACTTCGGATGATGAGGAGAGCCTGCCCTGCGCGAGCGAGGCCGTTTGTTGGGATCGATGCCCGATGAGCGTACAGTAGCTGCTGGATGGGCATTTCATTAGCAGCCTCGAATGGCAATGTGGTTCCAAGCCTGCGAGAGATGCCGCGTGGATTGGGGTCAAGATAGCAGCACAGCCTCGCAATCTTGGTTACAGGTCGATGGTGACAGTACCCATCTCATTTAAGCGGAAGGGAAAAAGATTTGATCGACGAAATACTGGGGATGGGGGGGGTTTCTGTGGCTCTCCGCTGTGTTCATCTTTCTAGAGACTAGCTGTTGCCCATGCCGTCTTTCCCATTGATGCAGTGACGCAATGTGAAGGAGATCCAGACTTCATAGTTCCTTCGATACTCTTTTCGGTCTGCAATGAGCCCAGTCCCAAGCATGCTGATGGAGTCGGATGCTGTGAGTTTCCCGGGGCATGGCTGGCGCAGAGGGATCCGCTGGATGCCAATCTTGAGAGCTGACGACTGCCCCGGTCTTGGCGATCGAGTACCCCTGGTGTTTGCACTTGATTATGAAGGTACAAAAGAGATCTTGATAAAAAGTACTGGAGGGCTTGGTGCATATGACTTGTAGCATTTCGGGGGTTGGGAGAAAGTTGTTGGCGGTGCAATGACGTTCCGTGAGGAGGGGTTTTATGATGCTGTCGATGTGACAATAGCTCGCGAATTCTACATGTCGTCCTTGACTAATTGCTAGTCTGGACGATTATGTAAGTCGGGATTAACTTTAGAGTCAATTGTTCTGTTTCGTTTTCGATGCATGCGGTTTCAGTTGCAGCAGAGTTGCACAGTTCAATGGCATGATCTGGCGCGAAGCGGAGGGGAAACGAGTGTCTGCGACAGTACTTCAATCGACGCGGGTATGACACTCGATCCGCGCGGATTTGCTGCCAACGCCCTCGCCAAGTTGCCAATTGTCCTGGCACTTTGCTAATTTCAGGAAGAGGCTCTCTTTATGAGGCTGTGAAGTTCACAGCCCCAGCCCCTTTCTATGAGTACTTTCCGATTGCGACGATGCCGGTTCTCATGTTTCTGTTGTCGTTATTTCAGGGTGAGGCTTGGAAACTCGTCGCGTCTGGCATTCCCGAGCTGCGCCCATCGCCGTGTTTCGATGCATGGACTGGACGGACTGGGAAGATCACGTGGTTGAAGAGGACTCTTCGCATTCTTGGAGAAGTTTTCGAGGCGAAGAGGAATAGGTAAAGTTGAATATTGAGTCGCTGGCTTTTCTTATTTTATTTTTTTTTACCTCAAGTGCCAGGACTAGGGTAGAGTTTAACTTCGTCAAGTTTCATTGTTTCAACAGGTTTATTGTTAAACATCACTGTATTTAGTGCTTGTCTGTTGGTTACGCTAACTACCTTATTGATCGGTACGGATAGTTCGGGCACAGCAATCCAATGAAACGGAGAGGGGGCACATTTGCCATGGCTTTGCCCACAATGCGGCCCTCCTCTTCTGGGCCTCCCGTCGTCGGGTTGGACAAAGACCGGAGCCAATCTCGGCTCGATATTGCCGTCGGGTGGTAGTATTGAATCGCTAGATGCTGATTAGATAGCAGCCGCGCAGTCTCTTCACGAGGCTACCCCTGAGCTATGCATAGAGTTATGCTTAGGAGCGGGGCCAACAGTCTGCCCGATTCAGTCCCCTTAAGTTGGCTTAGTGGTTCAGAGCACCGCTAATATATCCGTACCCGTAAGCAACATAAAAGGAACAAGGAAGAAGAAACAGTGAAAATACTCGTATAGCCGCCGTGCGTGCCGCCCAGCCCACGACTGATTTGTCGAAGCCGGGCACTTGCGGTGGGTTCGATTGGGTCTCGTCTCGTTTCAAAGGAGGGTCTCCTGTCTCTGGGCCGCGGATTTCGCGCACAAAAAAAACGAAAGAGGATCGCTCACCCAGTCATGGGCTGTCATGCCAGTCCTTAGGCAACCGGATATCGTCTTTGGGGGCAGTGCAGGAAACGAAAACGACCCTCGATTGGAGCGAGGACGGCGCGCACCAAAGCTGCCAGAGCCGTCCGAGAGCTGCCACAAGCTGCCAAAGTTGTCACGGACTCATGGTTTGTTCCCCCCCTCTCCTCTTCAGCTAGACAAGGGGCTAGAAAGGTACCGGCATTGGCTGGACAGGAACGGCTTGGGCCGCTCTTGGTGATCCAAAAGCCCCGTATCCCATACGCAGGTACGGCGGTTGGAATGCGACGGGATGCGTGATCGTCGTGGGCACTGTTTCTCACATCATCTTCAGGTGGGAGAAAAGAGCCGCCCAGCTGCCACTGACCAGTGGCTACGCGTTCTCGTCTCTCTTCCTCACCCCTTGGGCTCTGGCTGACTCCTTTTTACCACCGACGTTGGAGGAAACGTTGGAGGCAATCGTTGGAGGCGTTGGAACACGGGCCATGGTCTGGGACTTTGGGAGCACAAGGCAAAGACATTCTGCTACTGCTACAGATTCTCGGTCTGTCGATTGTTTCCGTATGAATGAGCTCGAGGTTGGTTCGAACGGCTCAGGCCCACAACCAAGCTTGCTTCGCCTCCCCAGCTATGCCGGTTATGTACAAAGTGCAACGAGGGTACACGAATAAGGGAGCGGCAATGTCACTGACGGATCGAGTATGTGCACAAACCCAACGGGAAATTGAAGCTTGGCAACAAACCACCCTTTTTTCTTCGTACCTCTCCGTCTCTCGTCGCCAATCTATCGGGGCTCCCTCGTTTAATGTATCCGTAGAAGAGCGACCGTGTGCCCTGTTCCCCGTCTGGTCTCTTTCGATCATGCAACGCCGCTTTCTGTCTTTCCTTTAACAAACTGACGTCGAATTCCAATAGAGCAATAGGAGTAATTCGACGTCGAAGGGGAAGAATCCTCTCACTCACTCCGTTTCCCCCCCCCCTTCCCCCTTCACCCTTGCCCAGTTGCCCCCTTCCACTCTTTCAGGGGACAACCGTGGAACCTTAATTGGACCATTTCGAGCTCATCGGATGATTCTGCACCGCGTTCAACCATCGTGAGTAGAGATACACATCCACGCATAGAGAGAGACGCCGATAGAAAGAAAGCCTGAAGCTTCAACGTCACCCTCGTAGGGTGTTCCCAATCGCAAGCTGACGATGCCTGCGACCAGATACCTTTGACAGGAATCAACAGCCAAACATCAACACACATAGACATTTATTTCTACTAAACTAAAGCAATAATCATGAAGCTCACCCAAGTCGCTCCTTTTCTCATCTACACCCTCCTCGCCGCCCTCCTCCCCTCCACCGCATACGCCGACCGCATCCTCCAGTCCTCGTCCCTCAACAACTGCCAAAAGAAATCCGACTTCTCCGCCAGCCTCTTCAACATCGTCGTCTCCGCCAACAATGGCTCCGTCATGGCAAATATCGCCGCCGTCGTCTCGGTCGAGGGCAAGGCCGTCTTCGACGTCGCCTTGCGCATCTACGGCTACGAGTACCTCAAGATGACGATAGACCCGTGCACCATGAACCTTCAGGGCCTTTGTCCGATGAAGCCCGGCAAGCTCGACATGGAGTTCTCGTTCGAAATCGGCGACAAGCTCGACCAGGTACCCGGCATCGCCTACACCATCCCCGACCTCGACGCCACCATCCGCGCCACCGTCAACCTCACCGAAACGAACACGACCGTCGCCTGCGTCGAGGCAGACTTCTCCAACGGCAAGACCGTCGACCTCGTCGGCGTCAAATGGGCCACCGCCATCATCGCCGGCCTCGGCCTCGGGTCCGCCGGCATCATCTCCGCCATGGGCCACACCGACGCCGCCGCCCACCTCGCCGCAAACGCCCTCTCTCTGTTCGGATACTTCCAGGCCCAGGCCTTTGTCGGCCTCTCGGGCGTCGACATGCCGCCCATCGTACAGGCCTGGACGCAGAACTTCCAGTGGTCCATGGGCGTCGTGCGTCTGGGCTGGATGCAGAGCCTCTGCACGTGGTACCAGCGCTCGACGGGCGGCCAGGCGGCGCGGCTCCTTGACTCACTCAGCGGCGTCTCGGTGCAGGTCTCGAAGCGCTCGCTCGACATTGTCAACAGCATCGGCCCCGTCAAGCGCGGCATCAACGCCGTCGCGAAGCGGGCCAACATCCTGCAGGACAACGGCTCCTACATCGTCTACGGCATCCAGCGCGTCGCCTTCCGGGCAAAGATCGAGTCGACGAACCTGTTCCTCACCGGCCTCATCATCTACTGCTTCTTCATCATCTTCGCCGTCCTCATCATCGCCGCGTTCCGGTACGGTACCGAAATCGCCGTCAAGCAAGGCTGGTCCAAAAAGGACCGCTTCGTCGAGTTCCGCCGCGACTGGAAGACGACACTCAAGGGCGTCCTGTTCCGCCTCAACCTCATTGGCTTCCCGCAGGTCGCCGTCCTCTGCCTGTGGGAGTTCAGCCAGGTCGACTCGGCCGCCCTCGTCGTCCTCGCCGTCTTCTTCTTCCTCGGTACCCTCTTCACCCTCATCTGGGCCTCGTGGAAGGTCATCCTCATCGCGAAGCAGTCCATCCTCACCCACCAGAACCCCGCGCACGTTCTCTTCTCCAACCCCCAAATCATCAACAAATGGGGCTTTCTCTATGTCCAGTACCGCGCCTCCGCGTACTACTTCATCATCCCCTTCATCGCCTACATCTTTTTGAAATCCGCCGTCATCGCGTTCGGCCAACGGGCCGGCGTCGCCCAGGCCATCGCCCTCATCATCATCGAGGCCGCCGCCCTCATCGCCGTAAGCGTCCTCAAGCCCTTTATGGACAAGAGCACAAACTCCTTCAACATCTCCATCTACGCCGTCAACTTTATCAACTCCGTCTTCCTCCTCATCTTCACAAACGTCTTTGACACCCCCGGCATCGTCGTCGGCGTCGTTGGCGTCATCCTCTTCGTCGTCAACGTCGTCTTCGCCTTTGTCCTCCTCCTCATGGTCCTCATCTCCAGCGTCCTCGTCTTCTGGCGCGTAAAGGGCCAGCCGACCGGCACGGGACCCACGCAGCTCAACGACCCGTCCATCCTCGCAAAGGGCGACCGCACCGAGAACAAGTCGCTCCTCGACCTCGACGAGGACGACAAGCTGAACCCTTACCGCCGCGAGTCGCTGCGCTACGGCGAGGAAAAGGCGACCGAGAGCGGCATGAGCCTGCACGTGTCCACGTCGAACCTCGACAGCCGCGGAGACAACCACGAAATGTCATATCTGCCCTCGCCGGGCTCCAGGCCCGCCGTGAGCCCGTCGGTGCCCATGTTCCCCGCCGACCGCTCATTACGATCCCCCAGTCCCGCCCCGCCGCGGTCTCCGGCGAGCGACTTCCCGCCGCCGAGTCCGTTTGGGAACGGATCCGCGCGCAGCATCCATGAGTTTCGATCCCAAAACAACAATAGGTGCGTTTATCTTGAGCCGCGAATGAGTCTTTGGTTGGTCCCTTTGCTAACATTGTATGCACAGTCCATGGCAGCGCGGTGCTGGATATGATCATTGAGGATTATAGATAATAGGGCACATTGACCAATATTCATCTTGTCTCTTTTTTCTCTTTTTCTTTTTTTCCTCGTTACCGTTTACATCACACTTTTCCGGGGCGTTATATTAGAGTCTCATCTGGAAACCTGCATCAGCAAGCGTGCGTAGAAAAGAACACCATCTACTTTGTATAATCGGGCGTACTTGACAGGCTTCCGGGGTGGCTAAACCTGACCACTTGCGGGCTCTGTTCGCCCACGTGCCTAGAGTTGAGAAAGCTTTGGCTGGCCAATGGAATAGGTTCATGAACCAGTGATATGATTCATATCTTTGCTTGTGTATCGAGAATCCCAGAATGGTTGACAATACGGTCGTCTTGACCCGTTTTCGTATTGGTGTGGTGAAACAACCATGGCATCTGCCGAGTGGAGGCCATTATCGCAGGGAGAGCCAAGGAAGAGCTTGGGTAGCAGAGACTCAAAACCGTGTGATACTTTATTCTCGTGATGGGAGACGTGTGTCACCGTCCACATACACTTTGCCTAGTTTGATGTAGCTCCATACTTATTTACCGCTACTATACTAGAGGAGTTTCTTAACTCATGTTGTCATCAACGTGCAAGTCGGCGAGATGCCCAATACTGATTACTTTCAGCATAGTCTTTCCGGAGTGCCCTAACTCTTGACATATTCTATATGTGCTTTACATTGTCACGGCCTCTTCCGCTGACACCTCTCCCGAATTGGACTTTTTTGGAACCATACCCATACGAACGGCCCAGTTGTCTCTTCCTGTCTCCTTGACCAACTTATCAGCCAGATCTTTCCGCCTGCCGAATTGCTCTCTTGGCTCAACAACCTGTAAGACATGATCATGCATCATCAGACTGTCCGTGGTAGAATTTGTTATTGCGAGCAGTCCCACCGAGCCTGCAAAGAGAACCACGATGAGAATTTGCCCAAAGAGTGATGCGTTGCTGACCAGGGCCGCGGCGAGGTATAGGACCAGCGTTGCCACAGCTGTTGCCCAATTCTCAAAAGTCTTTTGATCTCGGAGCCATTGACCAGAGGTTACAGCTTTAAGATGGTCGACTTTGCCCTTGATCCTCACCCACCTGTCCTGGCTCAAAAGAATGAAAAGGTCGCCATCTACACCTGGCTCAGGCGCACCAAACCAACCGGGCCGAGCCCGTCGACGGATGACAATGACATTACAAAGACGGCATGCCACGAGTAATAGAACAACGCCAAAACCCCACCAGTCATTATATACACCGAGAAGGAGAATGATAGTAATAGCCCACAAAACCGATAGTCCGTACGCGATCGCTGGAAGAAAGGATGCGTCAGGGGTTGCAAAAAAGGGAGGTATGACACTGTTCCACTGTCTCGTCTTTTGAACCTCTGAAACTTTTAGGTTGGTCAGTTGACCGGTTCTTCCCACTTTTTGCAGAAAGAACACTGTAGCTGGGTTTTCGACTCGAAAGACATACCCTGTCGTAAGGGCGCCACATGCCGGGTATTCGCCGCCATTAAGACTCGTTGAGCTTTGTTGCATGTGTATACCGGGGCAGATTACGAGGCAATCCAACAAAGTAGATGTGCCCGTGAGTGCCGTCCGTTTCTGGACGGTAGTGAGATCAGCTAGAGCGACGAGGCCAGCAGCATCGAGCGAGATATCTGGAGTCTTGGGCAGGGCAGGAGTTCCCAGAGAGCGATAGAGATTCTTTGAGGGTCATTAGAAAATTATAACACCAAAGGTGTACTCTGAGCTTGCCTACTTTCATGTCAAACGACAGGTACATTGATACGGTCGTACCTCAAGGCAAGTGATGTGAACCTATGCAGCTGGCGAAGTGTCCGAAATTTGAGTGGCCGAGATGTTTTTACGTTGACAGGCGAGATCTCAAGTTTCCATACCATCACATTTTCATCATTCCGTGACGGGCACTGGGACCTGATAGGAGTTGGTTTAAGCATCGGGCAGCAACACGGCCAGGTTGCCTCATAAGGCTTACCCCATGTGGCAGCACAACGCTTGCCGCGGACTTGGTCAAAGGCTTCCTTTTTTCCTGCTTGAAGATCCTGGTTACACAGAGTCTGCATGAGGTCTCTCACCTTGATTGCGGATAAGATGTCAGCCTATGGTGAAAAGCTGTGATAACGACTTGGCGCCAGCCTGCTTGCGACTATTGACGCATGTATGCATGACAGTGACTGATGCAGCCTGCTTGCATTCGGAGGTTCAGCAACTATGAATGATTGGAAAGAATGCTGACCACGTCGCCAGTGGCTGAACCTTGCGTTTCCGTAATCTGTCAAGGATACTGGTTGAAATGAGGGGAAATGATGCCATGGATGACCAGAAGTGACGGCCAAGATATCGTCGGGTCACAGCCTGCCGAAGGAGGAACGGTTAAGTCGACGGGACAATCCAGCTTGGCACTGTAAGCTGTGAGACACCAACAAGTGGTGGGAAAATGAGGATGGTCCTGAAATAGAACACGATGTAAAAAATATTGAAGACGTGTAGTGCGTGTGTGGGCATGAAAACTGACAAAATTGAAATTGGCTTCCGGGAAGCTGAAAATACACGGCGGCGCCCCCTCCTCAGCCTACTCCATCGATCCGTCATTCTCTCAAAGTACGATTTTGGTTTCTTGCCCGTATTATTGTTTCACCTATTACCAGCGACTTTGTAGAGTGTCTCTACAACATGGCTAGAAGCGAATTCCATGAGGGCGAGTCATCGACTGCGTATGCATTGCCGGATCTGCCACGTAAAGCCATACCGCAACTTGTCAATTATGGGTTTCGAAAGCAAGGCAACGAGGCCGCTCGATCTTGAACCAGTCAGCTCAAAGGCAAGATACATGACCTGCGCGAGGCACAGGAACGAACAAGACCCGAACGCGAAAAGCTCTCAAATCTGGCCAAAAACGACTTGAAAGAAGCAAAACAACTCGCGCGGGATTCGGCTAAGCAAATCGAAGATATGCGCGAGGAAGACCTGGCTTCTCTGGGAAGAAGCATCAAGAGGCACCTTGAGGACGCAATAGACGCTTTGGATCGGACACTGACGCAACTTGACAACGCAAGTCATGTCCAGACGAGTACGGACAATGGGGACACGGCGCAGAAATTGGATATCAGACTAAGAGCATTAGAGTTGGAGAAACATGAAAGGGAGAAGACGTTGGCCGACATGAGGGCGGCGAGGAGGGAAATCGAGGAAGAAATAGCTAAATGGAGCGACAGCGATCAGTCAGACAACTCGATGTCAGCAAACGAAGCAGAAGAATCTGAATTCGAAAGCCACGTGGATGGCGGTGGAATTCAGCTTCCAGAGGAAGGCCACGCCTCGGAAACCGCGGCGCAGAACATGTTGACTCATGACACCAACGGTGCCGCAAAGCGTGAAACACAACCGGCGAATGAAGCAGAATCGCCGTGCGCGATGTCTTCTGTAAGGGAAAGCTGGTCTGATGACCCTGGGAAGAATTCCGACGACAGCAACAAGTCGGAACTAGAGGGCTATGAGGGGCATGAAGAAGAACACGCCGTTCAGATTCAAGGAAACCCAGCGGAGGGGAAACAGGAGGGGGGAAAACAGGAGGGTGGAAAACAGGAGGAGGGAAAGCAGGAGGAGGGAAAGCAGGAGGGAAAGCAGGAGGAGGGAAAGCAGGAGGAGGCACAGCAACAAGAAAGTAAGCAACAAGAGACTGAATCCGAAGAAGAGGATGAAGAAGAGAATGACGACAAAAAGAAAATGTCGGAAGAGGATGTAAAAGGTTGGGAGAGAGACAAACGACACAGTATTCGAATGCAGATGATGTACAAGGGTATTGAAATCGGCGAATCTGGAGAAACCATCAAAGTGTTGAAAAGAAAGATCGCACGACTGAAGCGAAAATCAAACAGGAGTAACAAGAGGAAGATTGATGACGAGTCCGATGCCGAAGAGGATCTTGACCTGGAAGAAATGAGAGCAGAAAAAGAAAACAAGCAAGAACTCAGTGAGTACGATCGTCTGAGCAAAAGAAAACAAGCTTTGGGTGCATTACAAGTCGAGAAAGCCGCCCTGGAAGTCAACTATAGTGGGGCCTCTTCAGGAGAAAGGGCAGATTTACCCAGGATTGCGATGAGAATGCTCCATCGAATGCGAAGGTCCGAGGAACTAAGAGGTAATAGAGACAGAAAATGGATGATGGTCTTGGATATGATGGTTCATTTACACAGTCTGGACCATGGGGATGCTCCAAGAAGCAACTCAGATACCTCGGACGACGATGATGAGGCCGATGACACAGCCAAGACAGTTAATCAGAAATTCCTGGAGCTACAGGGAGAGATGATCAAGAAGACGCAGACTCTTGAAAATCTCATTGAGAGGATTTTGGAACGTCTTCTAGGTCATAGGCAAATCTTTGATCTCAGCAAAGTTCTGCGGAAAGAGATGGATTTAGAACACAAGTGGTTGGCACATCTTGAGAACTCGGGAAAGCTCGACACTGCCGAGGACAGTCTAATTTACGGGAAACATGGCCATCTTTTCACCGATAATCGCGACGAGGTCCAAAACATGTACACGGAACTGAAGGGAGACCAGTTCAGAGTTTTCATTCTGATCCCGGCACCGGCGGCATACTATCCCATTATCTGCAAAATGGAAACATGGTCTACAGCCAGCCTCTCCCCAAGCGCGGGAGGTAGGGGAAAAGAGTACGCAGCGTTGTCGTACTTCTGGGACTCGGAAACGTACAACGGGCGACTCTACTTCGTCCACCCCGACCACGATGCATCGGTCAAGGAAAGCGAATGGGGTTCAACAGCCAGGAACGCTGCACAAGTTCGCATCCGGAATAATCTCTATCGGGCTCTACTACGCCTTCGCCGATGCGGGCGCGATGCCCAGCCTGTTGCTCTTTGGATTGATTTTCTTTGTATCAACCAAACGAACATGACGGAAAAGACAGAGCAAGACAGAGCAATTATCGAGGATGGTCGAAATCTACAGCGGAGCAAGCAATGTTTGCATCTGGCTCGGCGAGAGCGACAATGAGGGACGGAGTGACGAGGCGATGCAGTTTATTTCCACCATCATGGACTTCGCCTTGCTGGATCGTCACGCTCATGATGCCAAACAGGCCCGAAAGTGGTATGCACTCAGCGAATTGATGCGAGATCGTTGGTTCTCACAGCGCTGGGTGGTGCAGGAGATCGCCCTCGCCAAACACGCAACTGTACATTGCGGCGGAAGAAAAGTGCAATGGTCAGACTTTGCAGATGCGGCATCTCTCCTGATCTCCAACCAGGAGACCGTCAGTTCCCTCTTTGACGATCATTCAGAGTGGCGGGAGGGTCGCAAAACTATAGGCGACGTTAGCACTTTTGGAGCTGCAATTTTGCTTGAAGCGACAAACAACTTATTCCGCCGAAAGCCAGATGGTGATATCAAAAAGCCCATCAAGACCATTGAGTATCTTGCGACTTCGTTGAAGACATTCGACACGGGCGACCCTCGCGACCTGATCTACAGTCTCGTGAGTATTGCGAGCGATACGGCCGGCGAACTGTGGTCTCCCGAATCTGAGTCTTCTGCACCTACCCTCGTACTCGAGGTCGACTACCAAAAGCCTCAGGTAGTTGTGTTCAAGGACTTCACCAAGTTTTGTGTGGATATCTCCAAATCTCTGGACATCATCTGCCGTCCATGGGCAATGCCCATAACAGGGTCCAAGTCAGATTCACTACCATCCTGGATCCCTCTGTTAGAAAACTCAGAGTTTGGCACTCCGGAGGAGGTCTACAGCGGGCGTAAGAACGGCGACGGTTTAGTTGGTCCTGCAGGATCTCCAAACTATCAAGCTTCAGGACAACTTGTGTGTCGAGTGGAGTTCAAGCTGGGGGGCGACTCGAGTCAAACCTCTGAGAGTCATATGGACACGGGCGTCAATGATACCACCGCGGAGCAAGACTCCGACCTGGGTCTTGTAGACACGGACGATGTTCTTCTCGCCAAGGGTTTGAAACTGGCAGAGATTACCGCAGTCTCACCGCGGAACACTGGTGGAGTCATTCATCGCGAGTCGTTGCAGATGGGTGGCTGGGAAGGCTTCAAACGCGACACCAATAGTGTCCCGGATCGGATCTGGAGAACTCTCGTGGCCGATCGTGACCAGAATGGTCACATTCCCCCCTCGTGGTACCAAAGAGCCTGCTTGCGGTGTCTTGAGATCGCCGATACTTTCAACAATGGAGATCTCAATGTCAGCGAGCTCTTGATGGGAAAGTCGGAGATGCTTCAGAAGTACTTGTCCCGTGTACGCAATGTGACGTGGAACCGCCGATTCTTCACTACAGAGTTGCCAGATAGTGAAACTTTGCGAGAGAGAAACGGCGAAGAAATCGAGGAGACGCTTTCAGCCGGGTTTCCTGTGGTTGCCACGACACGGGACATTTCAGAGTCTGGAGATGCCGAGTCAACGAGGTCAAGAGAAGGAAATGAGCAGGAGGTGGAAGAGAACATGCATCAACAGGGTATCGAGGAGGCAAGACAACTGGGAAGTGACGGAAACAGCACCAGGCGGACATCGAAAGAAGACCAAGGCAGAGGGCAAAGAAATGATGACGGACGATCAAAAGCCCAACAGAAGCTGTTCGGACTTTGTCCCCCTGACACTAGAAAGGGAGATATTATCTGCATCTTGTTTGGTTGCTCTGTCCCGGTTGTTCTACGCCCAAAACCCTCAACAAATTATTTTCGTTTGGTAGGCGAGGCGTATGTGCATGGGAAGATGGACGGTGAGGCCACAGAGGACTGTAATGTTGCGGATGATTCGCCAGACACGGTGGAATTCCGAATCTTGTAGATGGCTCGGTTTTGATTTTGAACAGTCTAGTCTTTTCGGATTTCTTTATTTCCTTGATAATGCTCTTGATAGTTTGTCTTGGCTGCTACTGTCTTGTTTGGGAGTGATTCTCATCTCCCTTCACCGCTGGAGCTTTCTATTCCCCATTGTGTCTGCTCAAAGTCATCGTGCAATATGTAGTAAAGAAATAGCTATATGTAATCTGGGTGCTGTCTTCGATACCTTGACATATACTCAGTCTAAGACGAAGCTTCCTATGCAGCAGCAAAAGCATGAAGACTGCCTGCTGCCCGAGCATAGCCAATTTGACGTATCCAAGGACCCTGGGCCCCGGAAAGTCCATCTCATCCAGAGTACCCCAGCGCCCTTCCCCAGGCATGTGAATCACGCACCGATCACTAGTTTTTATATCAATCTGGCCTCTAGGACCGATGCTAATCCACCTCTTCTTGCCATCATCGAGTTTCTGCACCAAGTAGTCGGCACCAAACTCTCCGTTCTCCCCGCCCATCATCCCGTAAGGCTGGTGCACGCAGCGCTCCGAGACGATGAGGTTCGCGAGAGGAACCTGACACTCAAAGTCTCGCACGATTCCACAGCCTCCCCCGGATTTCCCATCACCTCTACTGCCATTTCGGATAGAGAACTCCCGGATAAGCACCGGGTAGTGCTTCTCAATGATCTCAATGTCTGTTGTCCGAGTGTTGATCACATGGACCTGGACTTCGGAGGCGCCATGCTAAGTCAGACCGGCGCCATCACCACCACAAATAGTTTCACCGTATCCGAAGCCGAACCCTTCGGCGCTACTGTCTTGGTATTATCTGGAGAACCGGCAGGAGTAACTCAGTTGCCAAAGAATCCGGAACAGTTTATGCATCACTGAGACCCAGCTACTGCTCTGAAGGCCTTGAGGAGCAGATCAACCAGCCGCTGGGATCCCGAGATCGAAAAGATTCGGCCTGGACTGATAACCAATATCGAGGAGATCGCGGAAGTCTTGGTTGGCAATGAATGCATGTCGAGTTCCTTTTCGCTCCAAGAGAGCTTAGTCAGATGTTAAATAGTATCCTCGTTAAGCTTTCAAGCAAAGTTGACTCGCCGTTGGTGGCGATGGTGGTGCCCATTCGAATAGAGCGGATGAAGTACTTCGGGATAGGAGAACGGCGAGCAATGGCTGTGCCAGAAACGATTTTCAAGACCCCGTCAGATACCCTCTGCTGGTGCATCGTCAGAGTTGCCCGGGTCTACAGACAGAAATTTCAACACTACGTCACTTCGGTCAGAAATTGATTAGGAACATCCAGTCTTGGATATCTCCACGTTTGTTCGAGGCTTGCGATGATCTCTTGAAAGAGCTTCGATGATCCAGAGACTCTTTGCCAACTCAATTTGAGCTCGTAGCGGCAGACTAAACCCAAGCGCCGGCAACAATTGCATATCGGGCGTTGTTCTATAGACTCAATTAGCGTGTAGGTAATGATACGGCAAGTGGATTTATGGAGATGCAACAGGTCATTTCACATGGCGCTTTATAATGAATGGAGTTTCAGCTGGCTGTAGACTTCACATCCTGCGACTCGGGTTTACGGTACATGCCTCTGCATGTGTGACATCTACTTCTCACTCGGTAATCTTGGCTTCCCCGCCGCCGTGCCGACCTCTTGGAGTTGGACATGCTCAAACTACCTGCTAAGGTGAAAGAGTAGAAAGTTCCCAGATGTACCAGAAGATACTAGTCATTTCTATAGGCCCATGCAATCTTGACGGATAAAGCTCCAGAACCTCAAAGCACAGATGAGGGTAACTAGGCGAAAAGTTCGCATATCTCAACAGAGGAAGCCCGGACTCAGTCTCTTTACCCCGCAGATACATACACCAAATGAGGGTGAAGATAGGCGGCGATAGGGATGGATGGGGCCGCTTCGGTTTCGTTGCGAGGGCGCCGACAACGTGGCATCGGACTGGGGTCGTCATTTTCACTTCCCCGCGGTGGACTTCTTATCTCGGGCATCTTTGCCGTGGGTGGCCTGACTCCGAACTGAGCGGCAGAACGGCCCTCAATCCGACGTCGGAGCTGATGAAGACTAGGTGCACGGAACTCAAAATTGATATCATTCCACTGTACTCATATTTCTCCTCGAAATGATGCGTCATCTGATGACACGGGAAAATAATAAAAAAACAAACAACATGCCGGATCTGCAAGACCCGATATTGATCGTTGGCGCCGGCACCTTTGGGCTGTCAGCGGCCTACCACTTCACCCGGGCCGGATACAGATCCATCACGATACTTGAAAAGGGAACATCGGTTCCCTCGTCCCTTTCGGCAGGCAATGACGTCAACAAGATTGTCCGCGCTGAATATGAAGACCCCTTCTACACCGAGCTGGCATTGCAAGCCATGTCGGAATGGACCGACAACAAACTTTTTGCGCCGCACTACCACCAGACCGGTTACCTCTTAGCCAACTCAGCAGCGGCGCCAGAAAAGACGAAAAAGACCCTGACCAAGTCTCTCGAGAGCATCCGGGTGCACCCGGCCTGGATTGGCAAGATCGACCCGATCAAGACCAGGGAGGATATCATCAAAGCTGCGCCGGCGCTGGACGGACCCATGGAAGGGTGGGAAGGGTATTTCAACCACTTCGCCGGTTATGCGCACGCTGAAAATGCTCTTAAAGCGCTTTATGACTATGTGAAAGCTCAGGGGGTCGAAATTCACACCGGAGAGGAAGTTGCGAGTCTTGTATACGAAGGTGATAGGTGTCGAGGTGCGCGCACAACATCTGGGAAACAGTTCACGGCCACTACGACGATTCTGACGCTCGGGGCCTCGCTCGGAAACGTCCTTCCGTCCATCGGACGACAGGTCACAGCAAAGGCATGGAGTGTCCTACACATACAGCTGCAGCCGGAGGAAGCGGCGCGCTTGAAGGGCATACCAGTTACGTACGCCCGGGACCTGGGATTCTTCTTCGAACCAGAACCCGGCACAGGGATACTCAAATTGTCCCCCAGCGGTGGAGGCTACACCAACTACTCAAAGACAACGGGCTTATCCATACCGCCAGAGCAGAATGACTTCGTGCCCGAGACCGATGTGCGTCGGATCCGGAAACTTCTCCAGGAAACGCTTCCGGGCCTGGCTGATCGGCCTTTTGTCGACCAGCACATTTGTTGGTGTGCCGACACGGCGGACTCGGATTATGTCATTGATGCTGTGCCTGGGAAGCAGGGCCTGTACCTAGCGACGGGTGATTCGGGTCACGGTTTCAAAATGCTTCCTGTGGCTGGAGCATGGATCAAGGACCTGGTGGAAAAGGGGGAACAGGATACCGTTCGGTGGAAGTGGAAGGAAGGGAGCGATGCTGGTCAGAATGTCAGTTGGCGAGCCGGGGAGGTGGTGGATTTGAAAGACATCCAATGCGGGTCAACGCAGTAACAGGCTTCGAGAGAAGAAGGAAACTGTGGATGCTTGGTTTTGGTCAACATAGAGGTTGAAGCTTTCGCTGCGGATAAGGATGCCAGAAAGAACAAGGTGAAGAAGTACAGTCAGTACTGGCAAGCCCGAAAGAGATGCACCCGTTCAAGATCTTTAAGTCTCGGCTCAGCGAATTTTAGGCTTCAGAGTTATTTGAAGCTGGTATTTCCAACTGCTTCAAATGTCTTCAAGCGTCCGGTGCACGATGTTGTATCTAGCATCGTCAACTTGCTCTGAATTCCGAATTTTCCAGGCGTTGAAAGTATGCATACAAACACGTATCGGCCTCTGATCCCATCAATGCTCAAATTTACAGGGTTGATATGGAAAGAATATCGCATCCAGTAACAATCCATATTGCTACCAACTGAACAATCGGCACCTATGTGAAGTCTTGGTTCATCTTCGTGTGAGATCTAGACCCTGGCTTTGCGGCTGCATGGCACGGACCACGGCGCTGCTTCTTCTCACCCTTCGATATCACTAATAGAGTCGGTCTGTCAAATATCCTGTCTTCTCGGGACTTAACAACACCTTGGGATGCATTTGACAAGATGCGTATGAAGAGGGTTTCCATGCATCTCAAAATGAGCAGCACCATTTCTGGTCCCTTGTGGGCGGAGTGTTCGGGACCTGCATGCGCAGACGATGAATGAACAAATTGTTAAAATTAGGACGGAATAGGAATGCGCAGCTTGTTGTTAAGCTTACCTTAGCGTGCCTTGGGATAGCTGCTTCGCCTCCCCGCTGGAAACAAAAACACTGCAGCCTGTTCTAATCATGTATGTACTGTAAGCGCTACTGCGCTTGTGGTTGGGTTGAGAACAAGGATCATTGGCCCATCAGCGTAGGATGATTTCCTCCCCATCGAGTCCTCAGTTTCTAGAGTGCGTTCACTTTACGCCTGAGTGGCCAAGGGAAATTAAAAGAAGAAGGGCTCAAGAAGATGCTGGACTCCTACATTCCATGATGCGTTGCGGCTTCTGTCCGTACGAGTGAATCCTCACGAACTAAGCTGGGGCGCGACGGTAATGTCGGCAAGCGGGCTGGGATGAGCGACTCGTGCTCCTTAATTTGATCTCTTTGCGCTGTCCCTCGAGACAGTTCAAAATAGAGGACCAAACATGGCCGAGAATAATGTCTGAGACCAGAGGCCGACAGCTTGACCAGTACCACGTGGAGCGGAAGGATGAAGAACAAATACTCAAACATAGACCGGCCGAATCCCACAGCCCTACTTGGCAGACCAAAGCAATACTAGATGCTGACAGTGCTCCAACGGACGAACAGACTCCCGTCCCTCCCCACCATCCTTCGCTATTTGTTTCCCAGAAGACTGGCACAACTTCCGTGCACCGCCGACGTCAGCCCCGGTTGCCCATCAGCACCAACATGCAGCAGCCATCCTACGCCTGCGATATTCCGGGCTCGTGGCTAGGGTAAAAATGCTGGTCATTAGTATGAACCCATATTCAGCAGTGCAGCTGCAGCTGCAGCTACAGCTTAGTTGACAGTTCCGAACTCACATAGACAAGGAGTGCTATCTTGGTGTGGCCTATGTTGGCGTGATTGAAAAGCCTTGAGCACAAGGATGTTGTGCCGCACATCGTGGGAATCATCAACCTAGAGTGAGTACAGATGCTTGCCGGCTTGGATGGGGCTGGCGCTCATCTGCGGCCGCCAGGTGTAGCATACAGCATTGTAATCCTCCGACATCACGATGGGATTATATAAAACCCTCATCGAGCGTCTCTCCATTCTTGTCTTCTCTCCCCATCACAAGCATCACAGCCCCAACAAGCAAACAGCTTCACTTTCCAGTTCTCTATCTTTCCCTTTTCTCTTTTCCTTGTTCCCTTTATCAATTTGGCTTCTCTCTCCGTCTCTCTGTCGCTCTCATAACAAGAACAACCACGATCAAGATGTACACCTCCACCATCCTGTCTTCCCTCCTCTTCTCCGTCGCCGCGCTGGCTGCGCCAACCACCAGCCCAAACCACCCCTCCTCGCCCGCTACCCTCTCCACCCAAACCGACACCAGCTCCATCGACAACGTCCTCCCCCCAATCGTCCCCGTCAACACCCGCGCCGGCAACGCAGACCTCATCACAAAGCTCATGACCGCCCCCACCCAGCAAGAGCGCGTCCGCCTCCTCAACCAGCCCGGCGACTTCGTCTTCGACTTCAACGACGCCGGCGCCCCGACGGGCTCCGAGTCCCGCGGCAAGGGCGGCTTCTCCACCTCGGCCACCGCAAAGACCTTCCCGGCCCTCATCGGCAACGGCGCCGCCATGACGCTCGGCTTTCTCGGCCCCTGCGGCATGAACACGGCCCACGTCCACAACCGCGCGACCGAGCTCAACGTCATTGTCAAAGGCCGCCTCGTCACAAACTTTGTCGTCGAGAACGGCCTCGACCCCATCGCCAACACGATGGAGACGTACCAAATGTCCGTTTTCCCCCAGGGTGCCATCCATCAGGAGTTCAACCCGGACTGCGAGGACGCCGTCTTCGTCGCCGGCTTCAACAATGTCGACCCGGGCGTCGAGCAGGTTGCCCAGGCCTTCTTCAACCTCCGCCCGGATGTCGTCTCGGCTACCCTCGGCGGCGTGCAGACCATTGACGGCGCCGACCTCGAGAGCTTCCGTAAGCACATCCCTGCCAACATTGCTCTCGGGATCGACGCCTGCTTGAATAAGTGCGGCATCAAGCGCAACGCGAAACGCGACCTCAACGAGATCTTTGGCGCTCCTCAGAACTAAACTAGTGAATATTGGTGGCTTACAATTGGAACCGCATTTGTAAATATGCATTGCTATATGGGACATGATAGTCAGTATTGGTCACGGGCGTTCAGAGGCATTGGATGGAGCATAGCATCGGTTGCATAGCCAAGCACTTTGGCTGATAGGCGTCTGGAATTTTGATATCACATTTCTCAATTTGAATATTGTTGATACATAGGTACTCTTGCACTGGTCTGTTCTTCTCCATCCCACCTCAGTCGAGAGTACGACTCGATAAGAAAACCGTCGTCGAGCTTCTTCATTCGGCCGAGATTGTGAAATGTAACCCAAGAAATGGTGACAGATGACTTAGATAACTCCATTCCCATTAGTCCCAATCGATGTCGTGAAAATAGATTCAATAATCTTGGCCACTGGGTTCCTGACGACATAACCAACTTGAAGTTACATCGAAGTGCTTCAGCACTGCCTACTTAGTAGTTAGTGTCGCATCGCATGGGACAAAATGCCAACCTTGCATTAGACATGCGAAGATCACCAAAACAAATCAAGCTGCTTTCGCCCACGGCGCAGCACAAATAGCCACCTTGTCAGGCTGTACAGTAGCCAAGGAAAAGCAATGTGATGCCGCGCACATTTGCCGATAGTTCCGCCGCTAGGGAGAAGATCGATCCGTCTAAGAGGTTTAGTTGCGGAGGTCATTTGGCTTGTGTGTGTGTAAACGAGAAACACTTTCTCAGCTCGTTGGAGTATAAAAGAGGCAAGCGGGTATAGATCTCACTATTGACTGAAAAACAAATCAAGACAACACACCACTCCGCATCGACTCTTCCCATTATTGTCACATTGCCGTCATGGCCCAAGAATTCGACTTCATAGTTGTTGGCGGTAAGCTTCTTCCCTCCTCAGTCAAGCTTGCGTGAGGGGGCTACACGCCGACACCCTCGGGTACCTCGAACCCCTCACGAAAGAAAAAACAAAGCCCACTAACCTGGCACACACGACGATCAGGCGGCACAGCGGGGTGCCTCCTCGCGTCCCGCCTCGCAAATACGGCATCGAAACCAAGCGTCGCGCTGCTGGAAGGAGGCGGAGACATCAGCAAGCCCGAATACAGACGCACGGCTGAACGCTTCAGCACCATGGCCCAGCCGGGTCTCGACTATGGCTATGCCTCGACGCCGCAGGAGCACGCGAGGAATCGCGAGGTCCCTCAGGCTCGCGGCAAGGGGCTGGGAGGCTCTAGTGCTACAAACTTCCAGGTCTGGTCGCTCGGTGCGCGTGCGGAATTCGATGCCTGGGCTGCGGATGCTGGTGATGATGCTTGGGGTTTCGAATCCGTGATTGAGCGTGTGAAAAAGGTTAGTAGAAAGACAAGGTCGAGAAACACAAAACTCAGCTTGGATCATTCTACTGATTTCTGAAAGCTGGAAAACCTCCACCTCGATAACCTCTCCAAGGAGTGGGCCGAATATGTGAAGCCGGATCCGAAGTACCATGGGTTCTCTGGGTAAGAAGACCCTGCTTCTTGGGAAAAGCCGATATTCTGACATCCATCAGGCCCATCGATGTCTCAATTGGCCATGTGGAACGAGAAACCAAATCCTTCATAGATGCTGGGGTTGACCTAGGAGTGAGTATGCAAGGTTTGGACATAAACGGTATGAGCCGATGCTGACCTCGGGGATAGCATAAGCGCAATCTAGATCCAAACGACGGTGATCCTATTGGCTTCTCGCTAAACTCGGCAACTAGTCTGAACGGGGTTCGAGTCACTGGTGCATCTGCATTCTTAGAGAAGAAAGTGCCGGCAAGTTTAACAGTCTTGACTGAGAGTCGTGTTATCAAAATCATCTTCGAGAAGGATCGCGCAGTTGGTGTTCTCAAAGAGGACGGTTCGCAGGGTAAGTGCATATCAAAACCTGATTGGAACGGTTTACTGACCTTGCCTTTCAGTACGGGCAAAGAACGAAGTCATTTTGTCGGCTGGCGCCCTCGACAGTCCCCGTCTCTTGCTGCTTTCAGGCGTCGGTCCTCGAACGGACTTGAAAGCTCTCGGAATTGACGTGGTGAAGGATCTCAATGGGGTGGGAAAGTCATTTACAGACCATCCCATGATCGTGACTTGCTTCCAGATGAAATCTGGCTTCACAGACAGAATGGAGCTTTCTGATCCAACGAAGTACCAGGAGGCGGCGAAGCAACTTGCCGAGAGTGGGAATGGGCCGCTACTGGGGCAGTTCTCGTCCGTTCCGCATGCTTTCCTCAAGAATGATCGCGCCTACAAGTCTCCTGAGTTTGAGAAGCTCCCTGCAGATGTGAAAGATTATCTGCTAAAGGATGGCGTCCCTGGCTATGAGCTCGTGGTAAGTTTCGCCCTCAGCATACGTCTATGGGAAGCTCCAACCCCGCCTAACAACATCAACCCACAGATTGGCCCCTTGATCCCTCCTGATCATGTCTTCGAAAAGTCGAGCGACGGTTTCTTCTCGGTGTTTGTCGCAAACATGAATTCTGTCTCTCGCGGAACAATCAAGCTTGCTTCTGCGGACCCTAAAGACGCCCCTCTAATCGATCCAAAGTATCTCAGCAATCCATACGATTTGGTCAATCTGCGAGAAGGTCTGAGGGAGGGGCTGAATTTGTTGCAGACTAGCGCGATGAAGGACCACTTCGTTCGACCGATATTTGCACCGAAATCAGGTAGCGACAAGGATATCGATGTAAGATTGAAGCTTTAATTGGTATTTTCGCTTTATCCGGCTTTACGTTTTGACTGATTGCAACTCCAGGAGTTCATTGAAGAGAATGTGGCAGGATTATGGCACCCATCTTGCAGTGTAAAGATGGGCAAGAGTGAACGAGATGGCAGCTGTGTCAACGCGGATCTTCGAGTCCATGGACTGAACGGACTGCGGGTTGCCGATCTAAGTGTTACCTCGATACTGCCCAGGTATGTTTGGCATCTTCCCCGGGGGCGTATAAGACGATGGCTAATATATGACGCCAGTGGTCGTGAGTTCGCCTTCGGAACAAAGACATTGTTGACATCACGGGCAATAATTGTATGCCGTTCTTTGCTGACCGGTGCTTACAGATCCTCAGATTGTCGCTTACGTTATCGGGCAGCTTGCGGCAGAGAAAATCACGCGAGACTACGGATTGAACATCAAGAGGAGAGAAAAGCTCTAGTCAACGCAGAATGTAGGCATGTAAGAGTTCAGAGTGATATGAATGGTAGAATTGCCACAATAGTTACCCGTCAGATGACATATCGAAAGCCTTTGCCAATCAATTGCGCCTGACCAGCAGCCTCCGCCTCCTGCTCTTTGATCTCCAACTTTCGGTTCTCTCTCTTCAGCACAAAGTGTAACACAGTAGCTGCGACAATCGCCATCAGTGCCATTGCAGCATTCACGCTGAAAGCCAAAACGAACCGGGGCGTCGCGTTATTGGGGTACAAGTACGATCCGTAGATGCCTGGCAGGGTGGCAAATGCATTATTCAACGCCACCGCAGCGGCGCGCTTCGCCGTCGGTCGGTGGATCGTGTTGGCGGTCCAGACCATGGACATGTTGAAGCCAGTGTAAATCCCGGGGAGCATGATCATGGCACCAAAGTACCGTGGCCCGATACCCGTCGCCGCACTCGAGATGATGAACCCGACGAGCGAGCAGGCCAGCGGGGCAACAGTGTGCCAGTACCTCTCGTTCATGCGATCGGCACTCCACGATACCGCTGCGCAGACGATACAGGCCAGGAGGTACGGGGGCGAAGTAAGAAGCAACGTTGTGATTCGATCTTTCCCGAGGCTGGCGACGACGGTGGGGAAGAAGCTGTTGATAGAAATGGACGACGCGGCGCCGAAGACGAGCACGACGAGGATCCAGTTGATGGGGTCGACTATGATCATCTTGAAGCCATCAAAGATGGGCTGCGAGGAGGAGCTCGTCCAGTCCTCCTCCCCCGCGGCGTCGACCTCCATGCGCCACACGGCTAGCTGCCGTTCCTGGTCCGTCAGCCACTTGGTGTTGGCGGGAAAATCAGGCAGGACGAAGAAGGCGCCGATGGCGATGGCAACGGTGAGCGACCCTTCGATGATAAATAGCCAGCGCCAGGCCAGCAGGCCGCGGGCGCCGTCCATGCCGTTCGTGATGCCGGCGGCGATGAGACCCGAGAAGGCGCCCGAGAGCATGGAGCCGCTGTAGAACAAGCCGGTACGAACGCCGAGTTCTTTGCGGACGTACCATGAGCTGAGAGTTGCCAAGCAGCCTATACTTACGGCGTCATTACTATTGTCCCTGAATGCTGCTCTTGGGCGAAGCTTTTGACTTACCTGGATAAAAGGCTGCTTCCACAAACCCTAGCAGGAATCGAGTTGCCAACAGACCGCCGAAACTATGGGTTGCACCGCTGCAGGCACACAATATACCCTGGTAGTTTGCATGGTTATCAGCATATGACATCTCGCAGGATGGTCACACAGAACCAGATCCGAATGAAGAAATTTCCGGGTGCTATGAGTGAGTGATGCGCCACGTTACACCCACGCAATGCGGCCATGGGTTCGCAACCAACGCGGGAATGAGATTCAACCGGTTGGTCGTGGATGTGAAAAAGAAAGGACTCCAACCAGACCAGACTTACCCAAACGCCCATACACCCCGTCAAGTAGATCGCAGGGCGCCCGATCTTGTTGAGGAACATGTTGGAAGGTACTTGCATGAGGACATACCCGACAAAGAGGATTGATACGCAAGTCTTGAGTTATCACTGGGTTAGTTACTACACGACTATGAGGTTGAGACTTAGTCGTACGAGGTTGAGCTTACCTGGAATTCATTGCCAGTCAGACCCAAGTCCTTTTCCAGACCACCCAGCCTGGCTGAACCAATGGCATTCCTAGCGAACTGTGAGTTCGACGCTCAGAGTAATTGGGTATAGGAAACTGGCTTACCTGTCAAGGTAGTTCATGATATAGATCAGAATCATTGTTGGCAGCATCCGCAAGTCAACTTTTCTGATCAACTTCTTCTCGAGGCTCTTGAGTTCCTCCTCGGACAGGTCTCTGAGAAGCTCCGGCAATCCCCTCGCAGGCCACACCGTCGCTTGTGCCTCTGAACTCGACTTGCTGTCGGATGCCAAGTCCATCGCTGCTTTCTGCGGGTCAGATGGTTAGCCACAAATCGCCCGAAAAGCATCCACTTGTAGCGGCTGTTGGTGCAAGGATGCCGTAGCTTAGAAGCCAAGGATGAAGAGTACGAAAGTTTGAAAGTCACAGATTGTGGGGGAAAGAGAGAAATGATTGCAACAAGGAATCTGTCAGTTTATCAGTCGGCCGCTAGGGCTGAGAAGCCGAAACGTTTTGTGAGGTGGTAGTCGCACAAGCGACGCTGTGCCATTTCTCCCCTCTTTATCTCCCCTTGTGTCTCCTTCCCGTCATTGTTCCCCATTGATTCTCTGCTTGGCTCGGCGAGGGGTTCGGCGCCACGAACCCTAAGGCGCACGACATTGCGCGCTATCGTCGCGGAGGCGAATTTCAAGCCCGATAGCAAACGGCAGCATCTTCCGTTGGATCTCTTGTCGAATCGAGGGGTGGCGGACTTGGCAAAGGTAGCAGGCATCGGTTGGCAAGGGGTCCGGATCGCTGCGCGGTAAATCTGGGCTTTTGATTGGAATCTCGAGTCGGCCCCGTCCCACCGATGTAGTTCCCGGGGAAGCACGGGTAATCCGCCTCTGGCTGCGCCGCATGGGTGCGGTCGTAGAGTCCTCGGTTTCTTGGTCGGTGGTCTTTGCATCACCGGCCGAACTCGACACTCCGGCATGGTTTGTAAGAGTCGGAGGTTTGGTCAGAAGGTTAAATAGTTTTGGATTGGGCTTTAACTAGGTACCAGAGATCAAAAGCATCATCTTCTCAACTTCAAATCCGCGATCCCTCAAATACCTTGATCTCATCATCAATATGGCTAAGCCCTCAATCCTGATCGTGGGCGGAGGCGTCTTCGGTACATCCACGGCCTACCATCTCTCCCAGCGAGGCTACGACAACGTCACGGTACTAGATCGATTCGATGCACCCTCCAAAGACTCTGCGGCAACAGACCTGAACAAGGTCGTACGCGCCGACTACCCCAACCCGCTGTACGCGAAGCTGGGCATGGAGAGTATGCAGGAGTGGAAGGACCCTAATTCCATCTTCGCAGGGATGTATCGCGAGAGCGGTTGGGTCATGGCGGGCCACGGCCTGACGCGGGGATGGCTCAATAGCGCTATGGAAACGGCCGAGAAGGCGGGCCGTGAGGGGGTGCGGTTCATGACGGCCGAGGAGATGAAAAAGAGGTGGCCTGCTCTGACCGGGGAGTTCCCGGACTGGACCAACTTGTGGAGTCCTGCGGCTGGTTGGGTAAGTCTACTTTGCGACGAGATATGGTTTCTACGACACGACCAACAGCCTAACGATGATCGCGGGTACAGGTGCCGTCCGGGCAGGCTCTCTTGAGAATGGCCAATGCCGCAAAGTCACAGGGGGTGAAGTACGTCTGCGGAGAGTCTGGCTATGCCAGGAAGTTGGTAATAGACGGCAAAGGGAAGTGTGAGGGCGTCCTGGCCGCAGATGGGACGCTGCACGTGGCGGATATTGTCGTGTTGTCTACTGGTGCCAATACAGCCACCCTGGTTGAGGCGAAGAAGGAAGTGGTCGCACAAACATCAGTCATCTGTGTGATAAAGTTGGAGCCCCACGAGATCGAAAAGTACAAGGACATGCCCATAATTGATGACTTTGAACAGGGTAAGTGGACACTTGAAGGGTCGCAAGAAAGACTTGGAAGTAAAACTGACTGGATTATCAGGCATCATATTCCCTCCTGATGAGAACGGCTTAATCAAGCTCTGTAGTTGCAGATGCCTTACCAACTACCGCAACAGATATGTCCCGGGGGCTTCCATCTTACACTCTCTAGGCGATTATCCTGACGACGGATGTCCCACGGAAGTCGAAGATGAGATGCGTACGTTTGTCAGAGAGATGATTCCGGAGCTTGCTGACCGGCCATTCATCTCTTCCAAAATGTGCTGGTACGTATTCAGACTTCATCCTCGAGGTGATATTGCAGAATCCACCGATCAAATATTTGAACGCGCAATGCTAAGTCCGATTCCAGGGACGGGCTGGCTGGTGATCTTAATTTCAGAATCTGCCCTTACCCCGAGAGTAAGAACTTGTTCGTCGCCACAATTGGCTCAAATCATGGGTTCAAGTTCCTCCCAATCATTGGCAAGTACGTCGCCGACATGCTTGAGGGGAAGCTGGGCAAGGAATGGCAGGATCTGTGGGCTTGGAAGTTCGGCAAGGTTCCTGATGACTTTCAAGATCCTCACCCGTGGCCGCTCCGGGATATATCGGACTTATCAGGTTGGAAAGGGCGGAATGCAGCTGGTGAGGGCAAACTTCCGTGGACATGGAGTCGACTTTAGAATAACACATTGTACGGTTTTGGTGACCTTCTTCAATGCGATGTACCCGATATCCGTTCTTTTATTGCATTGAATGCTTTGAATTTTCCAGACCAAAGCCTACTGCCTGTTTCTTTCGGAATAAAGTCGTCTGAGCATCGCACTGTTCCGATTATTCCCATCCGCAACGCAGGATCCGTACTCCAACATACCATCAGAGCCTGGCCGTTGCAACCAACAGCGATTCACAAGTTGACAAATCCTGGTGCAACGCCATTACACATGACAGCTAGCAGGGGCCGATGCATGCCGCCCCGCCACTATCACAGTGTACGACCCAGCAAACATGCTCCCAACTACCTACTTAAACGGGTTGTCACATAAACAGCGCAACCAGTTCTGTCCAAATGGGGTTAGTGTGTTTGCCGCCTTAACTTAGGCCTGGCTCAGTGTGAGCCGCCGAGTACCTCAAGTCATGTGGTCTGAGCAGCTCAGTTGATCAAAAAGTTTCGGATGCATGACGGAACGATTATGAATAATAGAGAATGGGGTCTTGAATCGTGCATTTCACAACACCACCCGTTTGTCTACGTCGCATATAAAGATATCGTAATAACAGCATGACATCTACAGGGTCGTTTGTTACAGCTTGTCAACTTCCTTTCCTGCTTCCTAAAACCTTACATTAGGTATTTGTCTGGCGCTTCTGGTAGACTTCCTTCTGTTAGTGTGTACCTCCCTACTGATCCCTCAACTTATCACACAACAATACATGTAGAACGTCATTAGTCGAGACACTCGGGATTCACACGCAGCTCCTCAACGCTCTTTCAAATGCTTGCTTGGAGAAAAGCAGGCTAAAAAGTGCTTCAAAGACTAGTGAACCGCGGCTATCAGACGCACTAAGACTCTGAAGATCTCGGCAATGAGAATCAGCAAGTTGTATCAGTTGCTGCATGTATAATGTTTATCTGCCTTGCTTCAAAGAGTGATCCCTATAGAAAGCTGTGAACGCCATCTTCTACAAATGACCCTGTAGACAACCCGGTCATTTGAGGGGAAGACAGACAAGACAGCAGCAATAGGTCATCTTCGTGACCTGGTGGTCGCTAATAGGTGGGGTCGGGGTGTGAACTCCCGTTTTTGTGAAAGTAATGGTCAGGAATAGTATGATCACGTGCGGTAGCCCACAGACACCTCGTCGAGACAAAGTGAGTGGCTAAAATCCCTCCAATCGTGAATGGACAATAGTTGGGTCTCGTTGACATGCAGCCATGAAAGTGACACTGCACTGGAAAATTGCACAATTGAGCAGCATGTGGGCGCTTCATCACCTGAGCTAATAACTTAAGGGCTGCTTGATAGTACCTTACTTAAATCCGCAGCAATCAGGTTCTTAGCTAGCTGCTACGATACTCTTTCTTCTTATAAGTATCAATTACTTTTTTGAGCCTTCCTAAATCCGATTCTCCTGCTTTATACGACGAACTGAGAACAATACCATGTCCTTTAGGCGAAGAATAGAATGACTGAGAAGGAGAAGGAGAAGGATGGCCATTCTTTGGGAGAATATAGCGGTGTTGTTGAGGATGCAAGTTTTGCCGTTAGTATTCCTGGAAGTAAGGTGGGTAGCCTAATCTTCTCGGGTCAGAGTACCAAAAAGACGAGATGAGAAAACAGGAGAGAGAAGGAATAGCGGGAGAAGGAGGCTATAGAGAAGAAAGGATGACGGCAGGGAATCTTCGCGCTGCGGCTGTCAGGCTAGCATTGGCCGCTAAATAGAGACGAGACCTACCCGCATCTGCTACGCTCGCCCAGTTAAACTTACAAACGGGATCCGGAACTTCTTCCTCGATTATTCGTCATGGAACAACTATCGAAGCTCTTTTTCATACTCGCACCTATATACGAGCTTCATCCGAACAACCTCCTCCGAGTTTCGAGACCAGAACCTCAAAAAAATCCTCTCCGCTTCTGAAGAAAGGGATATCGGTGGTACTAAATGAGCCTCGAGAAGGGAATACATCGCATTCACCGAAGATAAGCAATACCAGAACCACACCCCCTTCGATTTCCATATATCCTGCATGATTTTGGAGAGCGTGATATTATGGCTAGCCGGAGCTCTTATGGCCTGCTCCTCTTTACGGAAGATGTCCATGAACTCTTGTCGGACCACGTTAAAATAGTTAAAGCTCTCGCCTTCAATTATGTCGATAGCACAGCCGGTCACCTAATACGGCACGGTGACTATCTCTGATAGAAGGGCACACATCCACTCCAAGTCTATCAAGCCGGTTACATTCCATTATTCATTAACCAGGATATTACTCGTGTGAAAATCAATAAGCTAGAATAGAAAAGGGCCGTTTCGAAGATCTCTTTTAATGAAGTCGCGGGAGAATACTTGGAGAAGCGTCTTGACAACCATCTGCCCACGGCAATCAACCTTATCGTAAATAGCGTTTAGCTAGCTGAGAAACCGTTGGTCGTGAAATATAAGTATATTAGATATATAGGCGTCGGTACACCTATAGGTCTCGTCCTTCTGGATTATTCTAGTCCCGTCGTCGTTTTCTAATATCATTATTGAGTAAGATAGCGATCGATTTATCAGTATAAAAGTGCCGTTTTAGTTAAATCGAAACGAACTAATTCGTATCTAGGGAATACGCGCGAGAGAAAGCACAATCCGCAAGACACCTTAGAATAATCTCTATCTCCGCGCCCCATCTTCTCAGTATATATCAAATGTGTCTAAAAGCATCCGCCCCGTCTCGGGGCCAAGATATTCTAACAGCATATATGCTGAGTGTGACTACTACTCTGGTGGGTTGTAGATGTAGTAGGAAAACAAAGGAAGTCGGAGCAGGTTATGGATGAAGTGGCAGAAGTATCGGACGACGCGAGGAAGAAACGGCATGTGTGTTGCGTGGGTGAACTGATCGATTAGCGATGGCCTACGGCCGTCGACAGAGGAGACTCACATAATGACCATTAGAGAGTCCAAAACCATGAAGGTGCGGCGTGCGGATTTCCGGGCACTTCTCTTCAATCCATGCATGCGCTCCCACTTCACAGCCTAACTTCTCGTCTATACTGCCGGGATATTTAAATTCGGCAAGTTTGTATGGCATTGGACAACGGAAGACGACTTTCCTAGACGAGCTATTGGACAAAACATCGACCATAACGCAGATATTAAAGCCACCTCGGATCCAGTGATCCGGCGGCAACACGATGCATTTATCTTGTTTTCCTAGAGCCATGTGATGTCGGACTAGAGCTTCTACTCGATCTCTATATTCCCAAAGCTCATCACAGAGCTTTGCAGTTGCATGCCCGTAAGAGGCTTGATTGATGACATTGCCTTCTTCCTCAAGGGCCGCCTCGATCGTGGTAGGGATTGTCGCCATGTCGATTCGTGGGCTCGGCGATGACCGTTGTTGTACAGTCTCTATCCGTTTGTTGGATTCAATTCCCGATCGTAAATAAGGGTGGAAGGACTTCGGAGCGGAACATTGAGGGGGCCGAAAAAAGGAACACGACTGGACCTGCACCTAACTACCGGTACGGTGCGGCCCTGCTGGCCTGGGGAGGCAGCTCTACCTCGGGCGCTAAGGTGGTCAACCTTACATTGTAGCACGCGGTTGACACATCTAACTATGCTCACCAACTTGAAATATTTCACGGATATTGATCATTAGAATTCATATTCAAAAAGCAGGAGAATCTACTTGGAATCTCAAGCATTCGCCCTACATAGTTTTCTTTCACCTTCTACATATACCGCTTTCCAAGCGATTGTGCTAAGAACTAAGGGTGTCGATGGAAATATACTAGCCAAAGTGTTAAGTTGTGTCCTCTTTTTTTTGTCAACTGCGCGATTGGGAAGACCTGGCGACCCCCCTGGCCGCCGGTCAAGCCAAGTCGGTCAGAATGGTCTAATCGTCTAATTTCAACTCCAATATCCGTATGCACGGATCGCAACCTGCCTCCCTGCAGGTTGTGGCCTGTGCACTCATGCCCCCGTTGTCATACAGTAGCAGTGTGGATAGGGCATTGTTGGCATACATATATGCGGAGCAGCTGCATACATCATAGAGCTTCTATCCTCATTGAAAGGAGTTAGGGAAGAAAACAGCATCGATATGCTACCGAGTTGTAATCTTCTTTGAAGACCTACTGGCAATTCTTTTAATGCTCATAGGACATTCGACTATTTGCGGGTAATTTTCCTCTTCTTAAATGGTCGTTGAGAGAGACATGAGTTAGTTCTAGTCCTTTTGTGACGACCAGTGCCGAAGTATGCCCTCAAACCTTGCTTTTCGATCAGGTCGTCTGTTCGAATAGAAGATCCGCTGATGCGAAACAGGTTGAGCATCCTAGAGTAAAATCGATACCTTATCCGTACGAGGCAATTTGACACCCATCTCAAAGTTTCCCAATAGATCGATATTACATTCTTTACGAAAATCGATAGTATTATTATTAATGATAAAGTTTGCTTGATTTCTATATAGTATATCGTAAATTATAGCTAACGCAGGATCTAATGCGTTCCTTATACAGATAACCTTACCCTTAATATTGCGGTTTAGAATCTCTTTAAGTTTAAAGTAGAAAAGGTAGGAAACAATTCTGTAGGCAATTTCTTTAATCTACTATAAGAGATCCTTATCTATTTCCATAACCGATTCTAGGAGAGGCATACACGCGACATCATCGAGACCCGGCTCGGACCCGTGAAATTTTACATCTAATCGTCGATATCTATGTCTCGAATGCCTTTTCCTTTATAAAATGAAGTTATCCTATATGGTATTACCGCTTATGATGGTCATTAAACCTCTGCCCAGCCGGGCAACGTATATGCCTTGAAGCCAGCTTTTTGCCTTTTTAGTAATACTCTGAGGTTCCGAGAGAGACATATTACCGATATTCAGTAACAAATCAGGATTAGTCGAGTCCGGATAAAGCCGATGTATTTCCGAGATTGAATAGAAACTGGGATTATTGGACGAGATACCGGGATCTTGAAGAGATCCAAGGCCGTCAATATAGTGAGAGAACAAAAACTGGAGTAAATGAGTCTATGCGCCTCATGAACGTGGTATTTAACCTACAGTGGAGGTGCAGTGTTGCTCCTGGCACTGCGAAGAGTCAATGACGAGGACATACGCAGGGTGATTAAACCTGCAAGAGGAAAACTGCTAGGTACTCGGAAACGATAAGCAGACCTTCAGAACTATCGAGAATATCTTCCACGCGCTCGAGAGAGGGATGATAGATGCTGCGCACATGGACTACATGTTTCTCTGCGCCAGAACCGGAGATGGTTCTAATCATGAACCTGGCTGAAAACTTGCGGCTTTTGACAATTTGCCTCTCAGTTCCAAACTCTACAACGAACTTACACTTGTAGATGTCAGAAAAACAAGGAACTTATTTGGGCGAGCGTTTTTTTCCAGACGGATTTTTATTTACCGAGGACATACTCTGAATAAGATGCTTGCAATTGATGAGGAAACAAAGTTGTGCGCATTTACTAGACAGTGATTCAATAAGTGTAATGGTCACGGCTTCAGGGCCCTCAAAAAATTCACACGGCGAGAATCTTGTGTTTTCGGAACTTGAGTATGGAACACGATCCGCCAGTTGATACAAGGCTCATTCTCACCGGAAAATATGGTCGCTATCAAATAAGGTATCTTGGTCTAACAGTCGACTAAGTACAGCAAGTCTGAGGCCTGCTTAGTCATCTACACGGGTCTTTGAATAACGGTCTAAACGGCATTCCTTAGCTTCTTAGATGCAAATTTGGCTTCCCACTCAGATCGGCTGTCAGTTATGTATACATGCAAAGGGAAGTATCATCCAATAGCATAAATCTGTATAACTTCGCATTATCCTTGTGCACAATGGGGCTACGCATGCATCCATAAAGTGGGTAATGATCAGGTACTCAGTCTTCGGCTCAGGTTCGGCTCAGGCTCTCGCCTTAGTCTTAAAGTGGCAACAGCTCAGGTCATCGTCCCAAAACAGATAAGGGTTGTCGCTGTATCAATAGGTATGGGTTGGAGGATGTTCGTTATCAGCAAGAACCTCCGCACCGTTGATATCATTCCATCATTCCGTGTGGTCAACGTGGGTCCTCCTATTGACCCCGTATCGCCATCATCTTGGACACTCCCACCTCCGATACCGCCGGCAAATTGTAGTAGGCAAAGGAGCATGTTGAATGAGGGTCTTGATTTTGATTCTCCGTCTTTTAGGAGTATCACTACTCCAAATTACCGCTGAAAAATTGTCTTACCAACGAGAGGAGTGGAATACAATCGTGATGATGAGTAGAGTACCAAGAGGTCGAAGTGCAGTAGCCTGCAAGGCCTGCCATACACAGAAGCTTAAGTGCAATGGTGGTATGTCTTTGCATCGCATCCATCTCCCATGGGCTGACTGAGGATCCTTGAAGGAGCACCATGCGAGCGATGTCAAACACGTGGACGACCCTGCATTTACCCCGTGAGAGAAAAGTACATCACGGTGCCTCAAAGCTACTTGAGAAAACTTGAGAGGCAGCCAGCCGTGGCGCAACGGCCTGGGGATGCAATCTCATCGCCAGAGTTGGTCCGGGCGGAATCGTTTGACTTTACGACGCCGCTCTCGCCCAAGTCTAGTCAGGTCATCAAAGAGGAAGAACTAGAAGATTGTAGTGCAGAGTTTTTCGTGAAAAGGCTGCGACAACTCTCTTGGACAGCAGCATCCGGTGACCCAAATAGCCGACAGACAAGGGAGTCTTCGGGGACAAGTGCTGGGAGCTACACATATTCCCGGCTCAAATTCGACTTCCTACGTGAGTGAGAGGCGAGCAACTAGCCAACTGGGCCTTTATTGATGGCATATACAGAGTCAGAAGTCTCGTTTCGACTCCCCCCGAGGCCCTATGCGTTCCACCTGCTCCAGACCTTCGATGAAGGCTTTAGCGAATATCACTGGTTTCTCCGCAAGAGATTCCGGGAAAGAATAGTCTTGACCTACTCAGACCCGCAGTCACAGTCTCATGACCGCAACTGGCTGTGCAGGGTGTCGGTCGTCTTGGCCCTCGCCGAGAGCTGGAATCGATCACGAATGTCTTCAGCTGTGCACATGGAAACCGCGGGCAAACATCCGGCTAGTCCACCTCAGAAAGAGGCCGCCGTTCCCCCGGAGCTACCTACGCATCCGCAGACAGCGTCACAAACACTGCCGCCGCCTCCGGGTTCCGACTTTTTCGAGCAGGGGCTGATGCTGCTGAAGATGTCCGCCGAGGAACCCGTGCCCGAAGATGTTGAGGCACTATGCTTGATTGTGAGTACACCAGACCTAAGGATTGGGGCGATCATCGGCTAACAAGGTGCGCAGGCGTTCTACTGCTATTCACTCAACCGACGTAAAACGGCTTACTCGTATGCCAGCCAGAGTGTGGCACTCGCCAAGCTCCTGCAGCTCCACAAACCACAGCCCCTTTCTAAGAATCCAGAGCAACAGCGACAGGATCGCGTCATGAATGAGCACAGAAAGAGGCTGTGGTGGACATCCTACTGCATGGACAGAATGATATCAACTGAGTTGGGCGTTGCCGCCGCCGTATCCTGTGTTCCGGAAGGGATGCAACTTCCGACATCAGTCGGACTGGACGCCAACGATCTTGAAGAGTTCTCCGATCCGGGACTTTTGACTATGCAAACACAGCTCTGTGAGATCAAGCGCAACGTCGTCAGAACCGCGGCTCAACACGTCGACGTTGATGACGAGCGATGGTTGGCGATTATCAAACCATGTCTCGATACTCTGAAAGAATGGAGATCAAGTTTACCACCACAATTCGCTTTCACGTTTGAGGAGAGCTTGCCTACGAGATTGATGGAAGCACCTCATGGTAGAATCTTGGCTTCCACGTACATGAGGTACCACCAGGTGAGTTTTTGTTCTGATGAGCGTTTTCTATCAATCGTATACATGTATCCTTACAATTTCGCAGTGCTTTATCTTGTTGTTGAGACCTCTGTATCTTCAGAAATTATCTTTGATCATCCAGAAACGGCGCTTGGACAGCCAGTCAAATGTCACCAGCTGCGACACAACATTAGATGTGGACGATCCTACGAGGACTGTCAAGATTCATTGCCTTCAAGCCGCTCGAAACAATTGCAAGATATTAATCGGACTGTGGAATTACGATAAAATTGGTAAGAACCACCTCCGGTGCGACAGCAATCAGCAAGTGGAAACGTACTAACAGCTGTGAACCTAGCGAAATTCGGATACTGGGAGTCTCTGCATTTATTCTCCGGCCTAGCCATCCTGGCACTCGCCCGAGTCTCTATCGAGCGAGGAAAAGACTTTACACCAAACAGCGAAGACGACGTGGCACTCTACACGCGGACCAGAGCGCTGCTCAAAGAGATGGCCCGCGTGGGTAACCCCGCGGCCAAAGATCACGACGTCTTGCTCTCGGATGTCGAGGCAATGGTGAAGAGAATCTCCCGAGAAGAGAAGACCACGCTACGACAATCGAGTGTCCAGGAGACTGAAGGGAGTGGTGGAATGGAGGTTGATCTGAGTTTCTCTGATCTCATGTTTTCTGACGCGGGCGCCGAGCAGCAAATTTGGGGCGACAAGGACTGGGAAAGTATTTTGAGCACGTATACGCAAGGCATCTGAAAAACCTTCAGCTCTTATCACGATTTATAATTGCCACATGTACGTTATGCATGCTGAAGAATGTGTGAGCTTACGTGTGCTGCGTCATGGGTTGTGGAGAATCAACGGGCTCAAAGAACCCAGAGTTTGAACGAGCAGCGGATGGTTCATCAACGCCACTCTGTGGTTCAAGGACACCCAGATTATCGTTCCCAGTGATTGAGAGAAGAGAAGGAGTAAACGGGTTATTATACCAAAACTTTCCAAATAGTTAGCGCAAGTGCTCAATTGTATTAGGAACTGCATTATTATAAATGTAGTCTCGGTGACAGCTGCACTTCTTCACAGTTTGGATACGATTTAGATATGTGGGAGATCTATTGATATGTTCAGATTCAAGCCGCCGATCTTTACCAAACTTCCAGATCCAGACCTTGCATCTGGGTTGTTCCATTTGAAAGCATCGCTGCTCCTCGCATCTCTAGCTTCTGTCTCCTAAACCTACTTCCGGCCAAAGGCTTCGACAGTTCATCTGATGGTGAAAAGCCCCTGGCTTCCACCCCTTTTGCTAAATTATGAAAAGATTCATCATGATTTTGTATAAAAGTAAGCATTATCTCCTTGACCGATTGCTAGTTTTGTCTGATGTGTTCTTCTGGCGATGGTGACCCCTGCAAAGGTCAGTCAAGTTCACGAGCAGTGGTTTCCTTGGAAAAACTCACCGACATTGGAAGATGGATAGCCCGATAACGAAAGTACCGGCAAGGCTTGAAAACCCAACCCCGACCCATCCAATCGCTCCAACGTAGGCAACTAGACCCAGCGACAAGAACAAGAACGCTAGAACTAGAAGTATATGCACCAGTACTGATGATGCTATACCAACTTTATCCCAGTTTCGGTGCCAAGATCTATCGTCAGAATCTTGAGCTTGTTGGCGTAAAATGGTGAGGAGACTTGAGCTGTATCCTGCTATAGCTATTGTAAGGATGAAACAAAGCCATGCCACTGCAAGAAATCTCCTCACCATAGGCAAACTAAACGGTGGCTGCTTTGGCTTCCAAAGCTCTGCTGGGTCCTCCATTTGGCCGGCGATGATGGCGAAGGTGGATGCGCCAAAGATGGAGATTGTAAGTGTAATAGTAATAAATATCTGGTATTCTTTAACAGATACATCGGCTGTATGATCGCTCGTATACGGCGAATTCATCTTCCCAGAATAATCACTGGGTTTAGGCGAGCCCTCTGTTGGTAAGGCTTTGATCGTGTTGCTGGTTACTGTGGAGTTCTCTTCCACTTCTGGTGAGCTTAATAACATCTCATTCGTTTCTTGCATTGTGGCTGCAAGAGAGAGTCTTTCGTGGAATTGAGATTCCTTCTCTGAGGAGTGTCTCGCCTCAACAACATGAAGTTTTGACGGTGTGGAACAATACTAGGGATGTGTTTAAAATTTCTCGTGTGTTGGACTGCTTGTTGATGACGTGGCTTCTGCCTAAGATATCTTGGCGGTAAGCCTTTCATCTGTGAGGTAGTGAGACAAGCCGAGCCAATGTCTTGCAACTTGGTTCGCCATCCTCTATCAACGAAACTGTCATACAGGCATTCTGCTTGTGCATACAGAGGCTCGTGCGTTACATTGCCCCATATATGATGTAGTAAGCCCACCAATTCTAATCTAGTTCTCGCTCTCTTCTTCTCTACCTTCATGTTGTTTTTCGCGGTTCGAAAGATGCCTATGACAACCATAGAGTTCTTAAACGACACACAAACTCGCTTGCTGTGCTTTACGACGTCTTTTGAGCATACTGGAAGTCGCTCACACTTGATCGGTTCAGAAAGAAATGATTGAATTTGCAAGTAGACCTTCCATGGTGAATTTGAAATTGTTAAAGTGGCAACATCTAACGTACTGCTTCCTTTCTAGGCAATCTTTCTATTTCAAAGTTGTTGCTTCGCCGCACTAACTATTATCAACCCCTCAGATGCAGGAGCTTTGGGACTTAATCTTCTTGCCGATCCACTAGATGCAGAGTTAGAGTAGGTAGCACTCCATTGATGGATGAATACTTTGAATATCAATCAGCTAATTTTTCGATCAAGTATCATCGCGGTCCATGGTCTAGATGGTCACTGGAGAAAGTCTTGGACTGCTGAGAATGGCGTTTTCTGGCTCCAAGATCTTCTGCCAACGCGAGTTCCAAAGGCGCGCATATACTCCTACAGTCACGATTCCAGGACCAGAGGAGGCGATGTTCCTTTCACACTTGACATATCAGACCACGGAAATGCACTGGTCAGCGATTTGACTATTGAGCGAGGGCTCACCGCGGTTAGTGATACATTAGCTCAGAGAAGATCTGCTGAGTCTCTCACGTATCACTTTGAGTCTTTGAGCCCGGAACTAAATGAGTCAATACAGACAGAAGAGCGACCTATCATTTTTGTTGCACATAGCCTCGGCGGTTTGATCGTCAAGAGTGTAAGGAAAGACAATGACTAAAAGAAGTCGTACTTAGATAAATGCTCACCGCGTAAAGGCCCTTCTTCATTCCGACATTAGTCGCGCTGGTCATTTAGCGGAGCAGAAGTCAGTCAAGCTATCAACCTACGCAGTACTGTTTCTTGGAACACCTCACCAAGGCGGACAAGGGGTCGAGCTTGCCCAACTTTTTACAAAAGTACTATCTGTATTCTCACACACTAATAACAAACTACTTCAGCGTATGAAGCCAAATTCAGATTGGCTCTTTGACCTTCAAGAACGGTACAACGCCATCAGCCAGGATTTCAAAACAGTTTTTTACTATGAAACCCTGAAAATGCCTGTGCCGTTGCTAGGGTCTCTTCTTGTAGGTCAAAATGGCACTTTTGAAATTGTATTGATGAGAAGATTTGCCCTGACAGAACTTGGTATAGGTCGTGCCAAAGTTCTCAGCTGTTATATTCGGAGCAGCGGACACAGTAGCTATCCCACTGATTGCTGATCACGCGACAATGGTCAAGTTCACAGGCTTAGACGATGAAAACTTTTCCAAGGTTGCACAAATGATAGAATTTTACTCCAAACAGGCTCCTGCAGCTGTTTTGGGAAAATGGGAGCACGGTGAGCACCGGAGCCGCATAAGAGGTTCGAGCATAATTTGGTATCCTTTATTTTCGACTTGGCTGATATTCTCACCAGGAAATGGTATCCAGTGTGAGGTTAATCCTGATAACGAACAGGTACCAAAGGAGTTCGACATAGGCATTACCTTCAAAAATGTTTGGAATCGTCATTTCACCGGCAGAGATCAAACCTTGCACCTCATGGACGAATTCCTGAGGCCCGGATCATGTCAACAGGAACTTAATGTGGTTGTGACGTACGGGCCAGGAGGCGTAGGTAAAACACAGCTTGCACTCGAATATGCCCGCCGACAACAACACCATTTCGGATCAATCTTTTGGATCGATGGACGTCATCCAGACACAGTCAAGACGAGCATAAGTGACTGTGTCAACCGCATTTTGGCACATTACAAGGTTCATGGAATTACACATAATCCACGATTCGATTTCCTAAAAAGAGAACGGGAACTCGGAGGGGTGATCGAAGCTTTCTTCACGTGGCTAGCCTATGGAAAAAACAATTCCTGGCTTCTAATCATTGATAATCTTGACGACCTGGAAATTATTAGCCTGAGGGATATCCTCCCTTCGACTGCATGGGGATCTGTCCTTATTACTAGCCGGAGGTCAGATTTGGCAATCACCTGGCAATCAATTCAAGTCCCTATGATGAATCACGACGAGGCCTTGGCCCTTTTGATGCGCAGCAGTAATTTGGAGCCTGATGCCGGAACAGAAAGTATGTAAAGCGCATTCTTCAAGGCCCTTTAGGAATTTAATTAGTCGCATGTAGCTAACACAAGTTCAGATTTTCAAAGCGCACATGCTATTATTCAACGACTGGCATATCTACCGCTGGCAATATCACAAGCTGGAGCTTACATAGCGATGCATCCCTCTCAGATGCCATTCACAGCATATCTCGATCTCTATCAAAAATACCCAAAAGACGTTCTCGGTCAAAAGGCGAGAAGGTTGGAATGGGATATCAAAGATGACACCGTACTGACCACATGGGAAATCTCGTTCACTGCCGTGCAAAAGAAATTGCCAGAAGCTGCCATGGTACTCTTAATCTCAGGAAACCTAGCTCCGGAAGGTATTCCGCAAGAGCTCTTCACCTTCGGTGGTTTCTTTTCCGGTAAGCTTCCTCTACCAACATTCAAATTCGGAGACTGATCTTATTGGTATAATCCAGAGTTGGAAGTGCAGCAAGCATTCAGCATACTTTTCTCTTTCTCATTCATCCGACATTCTATCGGCGCCAACGATGTTTCTGTGCACCCTTTGATTCACTTGTGGGCAAGGCTTCGTCTGGAACACGATGAGCAAGAAACAATAAAGGAAACAACGCTTCTCATGCTACATGACTATGTAATGCGTGAGGCATCCACTTTGTATGGCACCGACAGGCCTCATGTTTCGCACTTTTACCAGATTTACACCCGCATTGAGCCGTGTACTTCTCCGTTTCAGCATGTCGACCTTTCCTTCACTTGGTATCACGTCACCAACAGCAATGTTTTCAACCTCTACCCATACACTAGAGCAGTTCATAACGCCTTTTCATATATTACGGCCATTGGGCATATGCTTCCCAGATTTCCGTCCCAGCAATTACATAAAAAGGAGTTCGATCGCTTGAGGCGAAACATTCTTCTCTGGGATGACCTCGGGAGATTACTCTTCGATTACAAAATTGGCGGGTACAATGAATCCGAAAACCTCCCTGCATGGCAGTTTTGCCAGTCTACGAAACTCTTCCCCACCCAAGACGAAGCTACACTCAGTAACTTGCTCGGTCATGCAGGGACTGTTATGTACGAAGATGACGATATAGACCATAGATGGTACCCATGGCTCTTAATATGGCTTAGCCAAACCACTATGCATCTACACCCCGTTATTGCAGGCTTGCAACTTGGGCTTGGTTTGATATTGGAATCCTGTCACATGGAAATGAAAGACCTCTTTGCGTTATACAAGTCCAGTGAAAAGGAAACCGACATCGACATATTTAATCATCGCCAGAACAGACTCGAGCTATGCCTCGACAGGAAACCTCACAATTCGAGTCGAAAAAATGTCCTATTCCGTGCGATTGTGTCATGGAGTCTGGTGGTCATGGACTTTTGCCTTCAAGAGCCATGGAGTCCTTATTCTGACTGGAATCACTTACCTAGCGGTGTCGACTACCCCCGCAGCGCAACGGACCCTTTTTCAAAGGCAGTATTAGACGGGGTTATTGGAGACGACACGAATACGATAGCATTCTACATGCTACTTCACCTCCTTGACTGGAAAGGTTGTGAATATCTGAGATCCTGGCCTTCTTCTCTCGCCTACCTTGCGAGAAGTTTCCGGACTTTGGCTGGAAACAGATTTGGCGAAGAACAAATCCACCGGCTTACTGATCTGTGGTACTTTGAGCGCGGCGAACGAAGCCCTGTGCAGATGTGTTACACATACGAGTACATGACAACTGATGGCGAAGTCAGTTGTTGCGTCGAAGACCCTTATGGGCCTAAACCTCCTGATGGCCAATATTTGCATCGCCGAATTCAAAGGGAATGCCCCAGGGATGGTCAGAACTCGGAGTTTAACTTTTTGCACGAGAACATATGCCAGGCAGGCCAGCTAGCGCTGTATCTAGCGATGTGGCAGGCTGGAAAAGGCAACATCACCGGTGCTAGGTTCTGGCTCTCGAACGTTTACACTATACCCCTAGACATTCCAGGAAGCCCAAGTATCAAGTGGCATGAGGGATGTCTTTTCCATGCGGAACAACACAAGCGGCGGCAGGTACGCCTAGCCTTCTTGAACGAGGACGGCCACTCTCCTCTTTTAGCGAAATACGAAACTGACGGAATCTTCGACTATCTCACCCACACAGCTGTTGATATTATCCGAGGATTCCATCATACTTCAGTCCGGAAGGGTTCCTTTTCGAAACAAGGTACTCTTGAATGGTTAGACATGTCGAGATCGATAGCTATCCTGTTACTCAGACCGGGCATTCAACAAGCCGCAAGTCGAGATGCAGACTTTGCCCAATTTCTGGCTCACCCTGGAAATCTTCCAGAAGCCTCAGCATCAGAAGAGAAACGGATCTTTCGGGCCTGGGATACATATGGGAGGAAATGTCCGGGCCGCGTCTTGCGGCAGAGTCTTGCAGAGTCTTTTAGCTGGGATGCGTCGCAAAAAGGCCAGCCAATGTTCTGCGCTGTAGAAAATCAGCTGCTGATGGTATGCACGGCGATTCAAAGCGTGTTGAAGAAGAGCCACGAGATCATTGTGGTTCAGGCCAGGGGATATGCCATCAGAAGGATATGGGAGCTTTTGAGCAGGAAATTGAGGTGGATTTAGCTTTGGAATGGAGAACAACGGCAACGTTTAAATTAATCAAAGATCTCGCTTAGCATTTACTTTAACCCCTCACCCCGCTGCTATTAATTTCCTGCTTCTTCTCTGTCTGTTTTCGGCTGTTCCCACTCCGTTTACACGCGGTAATCTGTACGGAAAACGCATCCTCACGCGCTTTGCACTATGCTCATCCAAATAGTTTTCAAAGCGTCATCGAACCAAGCGACAGTCTACAGAAGGCCCTGCATGTGTTTTTGCCGGTCAAGCGACAGACAGTTTTCTCTAAAGATGTTCCCCAACTCTGCGAAACGCCGATATCGTGAAGCCTACGCGGTATGGATAAATAAAACGGTGTCCCTGCTCAATAATTAAGGTATATTAAATAAACAACACATGAATTAACGAGGTTGTTTTTTTCGGCTTTACTGGCTTTGGGGATCAACCCCAATGGGATCCAGCTCTCAAGGGAAATCAGAAAGCGCGGTTTCCACGTAAATAGCGAACCCAGGACCGGAACAACCCTTTATCACGAATATCCTTTCGACTCTACCTCCTTATCCAGCGGTATAGGTGGCTCAAGAGCAGCGAAACAGCCAGGCTTAGCAGATCTTCTCCATTCAGGCACGTAAGATCACCCAATTTTCGAGCAACAAATTACCACACCAGCCTCCCTATCCGGCTATCCAGCAACCAACTTCGCTTTGTGACACTAGAGCTGCTACTGGACTTTATTTTCAGTAATGCAAGTTTGCGCCTTCCTGGTTTTTCGGTACATTTGTACAACGTCTCATGAATCTACCAGAAAATGCACTCACGTCTAATAACACCTGACTATGCAAAGATGGACAGGCAGAGCGTCCTTCACCACCCACCAGCAGGCTGCAGCCCTCTGGATGTAGTTTGCCTCAGTTTGCCGGGCCCCCAAGTTTTCAAACTGTCCCATCATCCCTCGAACGAAACCTGCAGAGAATCGATATCCATCTCCGGCGCCTCCCTCCGCCTCATCAGCACCTTGGCCGTCCTGTCCGACGAGCAGAAGAAGCCATACTCCTCCCAGCGGTGCTCATATCCGGGCGTGAGCTTCCAGTCGTACTTCATGAGCAGGTGCGCCAGCGCAATCTTCAATTCGTTGGCCGCAAAGAAGCGGCCGGGGCACGCGTGCTGGCCGTGCCCGAAGCCTAGGTGCGAGGGCGAGGTGCTGACGAGGTGCGCCTGGCTGTCCTGCCCGGGGCTGCCGCGCATATTGACGAAGCGGTACCCGTCGAACTCGTCGGGGTTGTCGTAGACGGCCGAGTCGATCATCTTACCAATGTCGGCGACACAGCGCTCGCCCTTTTGAAGTTGGAGGCCGTTGGGGAGGGTCACGGGCTGGGTTGCCACGCGGATCATCGGAGCTAGTGAGGGTCAGTAAGTTAGACTTATTAATAAAAGAAAATTGACGATAGGCTTGAAAGTTGTTTACCTAAAGTGACGGGCTTGAGCCTCTGCGTTTCCTTCAAAACGCTGTCGGCCAATTTCATGTTAAACAATGCCGTCTTCTTCCAACCGTCAACACTAAGGACCTCGACAATCTCCTTCCTTAAAGCTTGAAAAAGCTCAGGGTGCTGCGCAATCCGTAGCATGGTCTCAACAAGGAGGTCAGTAGTAGTATGAATAGCCACAACTGATAACCCCAACTGGGCTCCAGCGGCGTCGTACTTGTGCCCTTTGCTCTCCTCTTCAAACCAGTCAAGACCATCATTAAATCGTGGCGTCGGCTCATTTTGTGCTTCAGCTTGTCGGCGCATATCCCTTCGTTGCTGAAGGATAGGCTCAATAATGCGCCGGGTGTCCTCAACTTGCTGACGGAGGGCCCTGCACTGCGGCATAAACCAGTGGGCTAGCCCGCGGAGCCAGTACGGGTAGATGCGCACGATCTCGGCAGCAGCGAAGGAGTTCACGGTATGGGACTTGGTGATGGAGAGCCAGGCTTCATCGCGGCATACTTCGGCGCCTAGGAATACGCGGGACGAGAGGCGGGAGATTAAATCGAGAGCATCGTCTTTAATGTTGAATTCGCGCCATTCTAGGTGTGTGGGAGAACAATGTCAGTCTGGACTCGGTGCATGTTGGTGGGAACTTGTGGGAGGAATAGGAGGTGACTTGTGGTTGGAGACGCACGGTTAGAGGTTCCGAATAAGAGGTCGACTGCAAATTTGGCTTCGGAGGATAGAGGCTCTGTAATTTGATCTGAAATTTTTGCTCAACGTCAGTTCATCTCATTACGAGGGCTCGCAAGTATAGTGAAGGGAGAAATGTTTGATGTGGGGTAGTATAGCCAGCAAGGAGCTTGCAATGACTTACTCAACAACTGGGTGATGCGCTTCTTAATGACCAATTGAAAGAGTCCATCATCTCTATCGCCTGCTGCAAAGGCTTCGAATCCGGGCAGCTGAGGGTGGAAATTGTCCGCAAAGGCCCTCATAAAGCTAAGGTCGGGCTCATTGCGGATATCGTGGACAAATTCGGACGGGATGATGACCGCCTCGCCCACGTCCGTCATGAGCCTGTACAGCTGGCCAGGGTACTGCTTCCTGCCTCTCTCCAGTAGATTACGGGCGGTTGACAAAAAGGTTTTCTTCCTGTTTTGATCGAACAGGTCGAGAGACTGGCGCGGGTTGAGACAGGGGAGCTTGCGGGATGGTTTGCGCATGTTCGGTACTGCGGCAAAGACACCGAGAAGGACGATGCCGAGACATAGTGATGTCCAAATATCCATTTTCCCGAATACGGATGACTCAGTCCAGGAGCTGAGGAGGTGCTTTGGAGTTTGAATGGTCTCCATCTTGGATCAAGACAGTGTCAGAGGGGTTTCAGTAACACTAAAAAGGAGAGCGAGAAGATGGGCAGAGAGTCCTGAGGAGAAGATGGAATGGAAGATGGAATGAAAGATGAAATGAACGGTAGAAGGCCAGCATTCAGAGAGACCTATATAGTAAGAATTTGCAAGGCCGAGGAGGAAAAGTAAAAGTCGTATTACCTAAGTCAATATGTCGATAATACCTGGCCTGGTGAGGCTGTTCACAGGCCATCTTTACGAATATATCGCGGCGTTATCCACCGCGGTCTAAGCATCCCGGCATCTACAGCACTACGCAGTTGCAGTAACGCGCGCGGGAGGACCCGCGCCATCCAATCAGAACACGGCACGAACGAGTCAGAAACCCCACGTCCGCGGCCTTTGGCCTGTTACGATTCCCGTCTTGCAGCCATCTCGGAGGTGACAAGTGCCCCGGCTGCTCGCTGAGCGGATCTCCCAAAATTTGGGTTAGTTTTTGATGCCCCCGAGTTCAAAGTCTCAAATGGACGACCGTCCGCCTGTTTTCGTTTCGTCTATTTCTTGTTGCTAACGTCACATAGCCATCTACCACTGGCGACCTTGCCCGTCATTTTGTGGAGTATATAGCTAGTCTTTGAGCCTCCCCTAATTCTATGGACGGCCTATTTACTATCTCATTATGATCAAGCTGCTTATGAAAATCTCAACTGGTGTCATCCCCAATGAGACCCGAACCTATCTAAGCCGTCGGTTGCTTACAGAAAGCATTCTAGGGTTATAGGGAATCATAAAGAACTTGAGACCATTGCAAAAATGCAAGGCAAGGCCGGCCTCGCCGCCGGTGCCGTCAATGAGACGATCATCTTCGTCTACCTCGGGAGCGGGGCGGCGTTGCCCACCGTGGCGGCCCTCCTCTTGGTGATTCTGGCCGTGGACCGCTGCCTTATACGAAGCACCTCAGGGCCAAGACCCTAAGGCATAATCTGACCGAAAACTCCAAGTTTTGGGAGAAGGGGTTGGCGGAGAGACAGCTATCGAATAAATCGTTGGCAGGAAACGCTTGACACCGAACGTGTTCTCTCTGGCTGAAGTGTTCCAGGATAGGCAGCGACCATGCGACTACATTGTCTTGAAGATTTCCGGCCGTTGTTCATCATATTCTAGATTATTCGCCGTAATGGCCGTCAGCGGCGGATTTCAAATGGGGAAGAGGTCTCATCACACATTGAAATTTCTTTGGACAAAATAATGTGTCCAAAATTTAGGGACAACAGGGAGGGGAGCATAAAATCAACACTCTACGAGGAGTCATCAGGGCGGGCGCATGTCAATTTCATATCTTTAATGTCTCCCACGAGGAGGCCATTTCTACTTCCCGAGAAGAGTATGCTGTCTCCCATTCCTCGAGCACCGGCAGTCACATTTGCTTGCATAGTACCTTACAGTCCGCAAAGGCAACATCCTGCAAAGTTGTCTCTGAAAGCCAACGTGATTGCAGCTCTTCACTCAAAGTAACTCCAACAACCATCCAACCAAACCAAATGACTTTCAAAAAATTGCCAGTCAATCAATAAAGTAGTGGCCTTAAATTGGGTAACTTGATTTATAGACGGATACTTCTCCGTCTTATGAAAACGGAAAAAAGGCGGAAAAGACGGGAAAGAGCGGGGCATTTTCATAATCCGCCGCCTCCAGCGCCCCTTGTTGCGGCTCTAACACCCCTCAACTAGGTACCTAGTAACCGATTAGCTTTTCAGAAAATCGTAAATCAACCAATCAATTATAGGGCTAAATTTCAGGAGGTTGCTTTGAGTAAAGCGCTGCGTGATGACAGTCTGGCATCAACCCAGGAAGCCACAGCCACTGCTCAATGAAAGTCGCAGCCATCAAGAAACCTTCAAGCTCTCATGTAGCCCGGTTTCTCAGCTGATGAGCTTCATTTTGCTGTCTGCCAGTTGCTTCGAGCGGTAACTCTTCTCCCTGAACCGGCTGTTCTAGCGAGTCGGGGTTTCCCCGATCGACGCCTAGAACAGCCGCCTTCCTCTCATCACTCAGATGGTGCTCTGATACGAACAAGTTGAGGACCAATGCCAACCCTGCAAATGCAACATACTGTGTGCTCTTGTCAGCAGAGGAACGCAGGCAAAAGAGCAATTATTTGATGGCCATGACGACGATCACCCCACACCTCAAAGTGCTTCCAGTACAGTGTTTGGTACTTACCATGATCCAGACCGTCTTGAGTGCTCTGAAATAGGCCTGTCTGACGGGCACTTGCTGATCAGCCGAAAGAAGACCAATATCCTCCACATGAGCCGACGCGTTTTCTCCGTCAAATAGGCCAGCCAGCTCGGCACCAATCGCATCAACCAGAGCCGGGTTCTCGGCCTTCATCTGGTTTTGAAAAACGACGCCGCCAACAACGACAGAGATGGCCGTCGCAATCGACCTCAAAAAGCCCATAGTCGCCAGCACAGCGGCGGTATCGCGCACGGTCGTCGCAGCCTGCGCCGCCAGCACCGGCGCCTCGATATTCAGCCCAACGCCCACGCCGGTGAGTATCTGGAACGCAAAGAGCTTTGCCAGGTCCTTCTCGAACGCGAGGTGGATGAGCAAGCCGGTGCCAAGCATCAACAGCACCTGCGCCGCGTACATGAGCACCCGGTACCGCCCCGTCCGCTGGATAAACACCCCGGCGCAGGCCGCGGACAGCGAGCAGGAGACGATCAGGGGCAGCAGGTACAACCCCGACGTCAACGCGTCGGCGCCCAGCACGGCTTGGGAGTACAGGGGCAGGTAGTACGTGATGCCGATGAAGACGTACGAGTTGAAGGCGAAGACGCTGTAGGCCGCCGCTTTCGACCAGCTCGAGAGGAGTCTGAGGGGCAGGACGGGGTTGGCGGCGAATTTCCACTCGTTGACGAGGAAAATACCGATGACGAGGCCGCCAAAGACGATGAGGCAGATTATGGTGGCGGAGGACCAGGGGTACGCGACGTCGCCAAGGTCGAGGGCGAGGAGGACCATGAGGGCTCCGCCCATGCATAATGCGCTTCCTGTCCAGTCGACGGCTTTGAGGCCGGCCAGTACCGGCGTGTTGGGTGATGGCAGGTCGAGGAAGAAGAAGAGGACGATGAAGACTAGTCCGCCAATAGGCACTTTAATGAGATGGTTAGTTTCCGTCAGACGGACGAGCTTCGATAGAAGGTTGCTCACGATTAATCCAAAAACACCATCTCCAACTACGACGAGGACGGAAGAGTCAGCAAGAGCAGGAACAAGCGGGATGAAAGAACCCCAACGCAGAACGATGCCAGAGAGACTCACTTAAGCCGTGTCGTAAACACACCGCCGAGCACCGGGCCCACCGCACTCCCAATAGCCCAAATGACAGACGTAACGGCAAGATACAACCCACGGTCGCGAAGCGAAAACATGTCGCAGATGATGGTATTCACCATGACGCCCATGCCGGACGCACCGACACCCTGTACGGCGCGGCCGGCAATCAGAGCGTCCATGTGGGGTGCCAGCGCGCACAGCAAGCTTCCGGCGAGAAAGATGGTCAGCGCCAGCAGGATGATGGGCTTGCGGCCCCACAGATCCGCAACGGAACCCCAGACGGGGGTCACGGCCGTGAAGCCGAGGATGAAGGCGGAGCCGACCCAAATGTAGCCGGCGACGGAGTGGAGGGAGGCGACGATGTTGGGGACGGCGGTGGTTACAATTGTCAAGTCTAGCGCGGAGAGAGTAGCTGAGAGACAGAGGGACGTCATGGTGAGGGCTATAGAGGTCCCCGAGAGTTTCGGGACCGCGGCGCTGGGGACGTCGGCGAGAGGCGGGTCGCGATTGTGCGCATCACCGAGAGCCTCGTTTGGAATTGGAACAATTTCATCGGCGGAGGCGTTTAGCTCGGGCAATCGCGGTGTTATTGGGCTTTCGTGGACTGTTTCAAGATCAGGTTCTCGTCGCAAACGAGGAATAGTTCCTAGCTTGTCGCTTCCATGCTCCGCAGGATAGACGGCCGCAAGTCCCGCAGACATAGTAATTGTATTCTGTCACAAAATACCAGTATATGAGTGTTCAAGGAGAGCAGAGGCGGTGTTTTGAAGTTGCAGTGTGGTAGACACGAGATGGATGAGGGCTTACGCGCAAGCGTCCAGATGAGTGGTGTGATGAAGTCTGATGGAAGTCGGCGCCGGATAATTGGCTCAACCGGTGTAATCAGCCAGCGGCGAACTATTTGATGGATCCAATCCGTATTTGTGTCTACTAAGAAAGGTAATTAGACTTTTACAGGACACTGTGTAATCCTTGGCGGACTCTGCTGACATTATGTTTTGGCGGCCCTGGAGATCAGGTAAGCCGACACATTGCCAAGAGGCGGATGGCAGTCGGCTTTCCAACAATTGTCTACCCGAAAAGGTGAAGTGCTGCGTACGTCTGGGACGCAATCGCTCACTGTAAAAATTGCAGAGATCCAGAGCGATCCATGATAGTGGCCAGACTTGATCATAAGTTCACTAGGCTAATGCTCTTTCTCATTATACCTATGCACTTCAAGGCCTTTGGATGTGTGCAACATTTCCAGACTTCCTCGCGATGATAGAAGTCTTTTCCTGCGTATTAGCCCAATTGACGAGAATACTCTGATACAAGTATCCCCTTCCCAAACGAAAATTAGGTCGTCCGTCGAGCTCGCCGGACAACTCCATTCTCGGCATTTTCCCGCGCCGGCCGGCCGGGTCTCGGCACTGCAAACCGGCCAACCGTGCCGAAAACGGGCGGGGGCCCCATCCGGCCCTGGCCGGATCTGACCGCTTGCAGCTGAGGTACCTGTCGAGTAGAACCCTAGGTACCTAAGTACTTTAGCCTGCATGTACCAAGCTTGGCCCTGCATGCAACGAGGTCGGTAACCCGGGCGCTACATTTTAAAGTGCTGCCTACGAGATGCGGACCACAGTGGCATTATGGGATGTCAGTCCGATCTTGACTCGCATCGGAACCGCGCCGGGCTTCATCAAACTCCCTGGAGACAACGACATCGTCGCATATCTTGGCCAGTGAGCCAAGGACCCGCTCGCCCACCCGATCTCACCCCCACACCAACACCATCGCGAAACCAACAGGTGGGTGATGCCCCGCCAAACCTCAAAAGCAGCTGCCTAACGGCTCAAGTTCCATAAGATCGCGACATCCCGCTCTCGGTGGTTACCTCCTCAAGCCCAAATCACCCCCCCCCCTCTCGACGACGCAAATCGGGAGAAAGAGGTACCTTCACACCGGAATCATCATCAGAAACCTCCCCAATGGACCCCTCCACAACCCAACACCCCCGCAAACCACCCCACCCCCCACCCCTCTTCACCACAACACCAACAAAAATCATCACCACCATCAACAACCTCGTCGCCACCTACCAACAAGCCCAAGCCCAAATCACATCCGCCGTCTCCACCCCGGACGCAACCTACGCAAACGTCCTCCTCCCCCTCGCCCAGGCCGAAAACGCCCTCTACTCTCAATCCGCCCTCCTCCTCTTCCACAACGCCGTCGCCCCGTCCCCAGAAACCCGCCAGGCCTCCGCCCAGGCCCGCGCCACCCTCCGCGACGTGGAGCTCGCGTCCGCCACGAACGAGGCCCTCTTCGCCCTCGTCGACGCCGTCTACGACGATGCCGCCGAGACGCGCTACCTGAACCCGGAAGCCAAAAACTTTTTGACAAAAAAACACAAGGAATTCGTCAACAACGGGCTCCGGATCCCCCCCGGCCCGGACCGCGATCGCTTCCGCGCCATCCGCGCCGAGATTGAGACGCTCACGTCCGAGTTTGCCAAGAACCTCGCCGAAGCCGACGTCTCGCTCTGGTTCACGCCCCGCGAACTCGAGGGCTTCCCACCAGACGCCCTCGCCCGCCTCGAAGCCGGGGACGAAGCCGGAGACGAAGCCGGGGACGGCGGAGAAAACGCAGGCAAACTCCGCATCAGAATCCCCCTCCACCTCGCCCAACTCCTCCGCACCGCCCACCGCCCCAACACGCGCCGCCGCGCCCGCCGCGCCTACGACACCCGCTGCCCCGAAAACGTCCCCCTCTTTCGGCGCGTCATCCGCCTCCGCCACGAGGCGGCCCGCCTCCTCGGCTACCCGGACCACGCCAGCCTCAGCACCGAGGACAAAATGGCCGGCACCCCAGCGCGCGTCGACGCATTCCTCTCCTCGCTGCGCGCGAAACTCGTCGAGGGCGGGCGCGTGGAAAAGGATCGCCTTCTCCTGCTCAAGCGGCGGGACGTGGAGGAGGAGAGGGGTGAGATTTATGACGGCAAGTTATATGTCTGGGATACCCCGTACTACAACAATGTGGTGCTGCGGGACGGGTACGCAGTCAATCACGAAAAGGTGGCAGAGTATTTCCCGCTGGGGCCGACGGTGGAGGGCATGCTGGGCATCTTTGCGCGGTTGTTTGGGATGGACTTTTGCGCGATTGACAGCAAGGAGGAGCGGGACGCGTTGTCGGTGACGGGTAACGGCGACGATGTCGTCTGGCATGAAAACGTACAACTATTTTCCGTCTGGGATTCTGCTGGTGAAGGCGGCGGGTTCCTCGGGTACCTCTACCTCGATCTCTACCAGCGTGACGGGAAATACGGGAACCCTGCCAACTTCAGTCTCGTCCCCGTAAGTCTCCCTTCAAAACCCCAAGACGTCAATATCTTCATGCCTTCCCCCCCTACATATCATGTGACCAAGCACTAACATCAAACACATGCCCCAGGGCTTCATAAACCCAGACGGCACCCGTACATACCCTTCCACAGCCCTCATCTGCGCCTTTTCCCCTCCCCCATCCCCAGCATCTCCGACTCTACTAGGACACGCCGACGTGACAACCCTCTTCCACGAACTAGGCCACGCAATCCACGACCTCGTCTCCCGCACCCTCTTCGCGCGCTTCCACGGGCCCATGGGCACCGTCGTCGATTTCGGCGAAGCCCCCAGCCAGATGCTCGAGAACTGGTGCTGGGCGCCGGAGCAGCTGAAGGGTCTGGGCCGGCACTACTCCTATCTCTCGGAGGACTGTCTAAAAGCCTGGCGTGATAACCAGCAGCAGCAGGAGCAGCAACAGCAGCCGCCGGAACGGATCCCTGATTCCGTCGTCGAGGGCCTCGTCAACGCGAAACGCATCGGCCATGCGCTGAGTACACTGCAGCAGCTCTTTATCAGCATATTTGACATGGCGGTGCACCAGCTGACCGGGACCGTCAACACCAACCCGCCGCAAGAGGGAGCTGCCGCCTCCGCCGTCGCCGGGGAGGGGGAGACCGCCGTCGACTTCACGGAGCTCTGGAACAGACTCCGACGGGAAATTGTCCCGACCGATGACCCCCCCTTCCTGCCAGGTGACGACGTCAACTGGGCCCACGGGTACACCAACATCGGACACTTGATGGACGAGTACGATGCCGGGTATTACGGCTACTTTTTGTGAGTTATTCCACAATCTAATGGCTGACTGTGATACCCCCCCGTCCGGTCATGTCTGAGACAAGGTTCACTGTTCACTAATCGATTCTTATTCGGATCATATAGCTCAAAAGTCTACGCACAAGACATCTTCTCGACAGTTTTTGAAGCAGACCCCATGAGCGCGGAAGCAGGCCGCAAGTACCGGTACGGCGTCCTGGAGAAGGGGGGCGGGCAGCCCGAGATGAAGACCCTGTTGGACTTTCTTGGTCGCGAAGTCTGCATGGAGCCTTTCTATGATGAATTAGGGCTATCTTGGTAACCAAGGCAACACCCGTGTACGTGGTCTTCAGGATATCGCAAAGTGCCAATGGCGGTTGCCAAGGTAGATTTCAAGTAGGTCTGAAGTCGTGCACAATCTCCAGGATCCAATCAAGATACCATTGACACGTCGAGGCATCTGGGTAATCTTATAGCAGACCAGGAGTACATCACGTTGACAACAAGGAGTTGAAGTGAAAGCCGTCTATCTTGTCGGAGAGCTGACAGCGGAATGGATTTAGCGGACGTGGGGTGATGAAAAACCCGAATTGGACAATTGTCACGAACCGAGAATTCAACCAAGCCGTGACTCCGGTTCTCCACGCTTTTCCACCGAAATAGCAGGTACCCGGAGAAGATGCGGGTCACCACAATCCGGTACGAAAGTTTAATCAATCCATCAGCTACATCATCGCCGAAGCGGTCCCGTATCCTCTCCACCTTCGGGCCGCTACCGAACGTGATGCCATTCGCGTCGCGAATCACGAACACCAGGCCAGCACCTCGCTAGGGATAGCCACAATAGATGCGTAGGCAATCGAAGCTGGGCGTTTTCCAGACTACAGTTATTTGTTACTCTTGGTAGGGAACATAGGTCCTAATCCAGCCATGGGAAAGTGCCGATTCACGCCACGGCCTCCGGATCTCGCGTCCAGTAAAATTGGCGGTATTGCTGAGCGATGCCGCTTATCTCTGGTTTCCCCGCATGCGAGATGCGATGGCGTGAGCCAAAGGATGTATTGCTTCAATGCTCGCCATCCCAAGCCGATTGACGCGATAGGATATTGGAAATCCAGAATTGCTCGATGGAGTGTTTAAATAAACAACAGTTGATGGAACCGCTTGACGCAGGCTAAGGAGGAGATTTTCTGGATTGCTCAATCGCATAGAAAGAAAACAAACGCAGAAGATGTCTACAACCACCACAACCAAAACTCAGGCCGAAGCGCCATCCGTCAAGCTGACGTTGGCGTACAACGACAAGATCCACGACCAGGTATGCACTCGAAACATCACTCGATGACTGCCGCAAGTAAGACAGAACTGACAAGCGAAAACAGTATAAATACGCCAAGTACTTACCCGTCTACGACGAAAAGACATCGTTTCCCCCGCTGCAGCCATTCGAATTCAACGACCGCGGCCTCGTAGCGAACAAGGAAAAGTTGAACCTCCTTCCCAAGGACAACAATGATATCAAGGCTACAAAGTTGACGCCTGTCATCGGTACCGAGATCCGCGGACTGCAGCTATCCCAACTCAACGACAGACAAAAGGACGAGCTCGCCCTGCTCATCGCCGAACGCGGCGTCGTCGTGTTTCGTGACCAAGACTTCAAGGACATTAGCATCGAGAAACAGAAGGAGTTTGGGCAATACTTTGGTCCTCTTCACATCCATGTTCGTGACCCTATAGCCCTTGCCGTTCCGACCGCAGAATTGCTGACAAGCTTCAATTAGCCTGTCGGCGCGCACGTCAAGGACCACCTCGAGCTGCACAACATTTACCTGGGCCCGGACAACGAGTATCGCAACCGCAGCAAGAGCAACAAACTCTCAACCATCGGATACCACTCGGACGTGTCGTACGAGCACCAGTCGCCGGGCGTCACAATCCTCACGCTCCTCTCGGTGCCTGAGACGGGCGGCGATACGGCGTGGGTTTCGCAGACGGCGGCATATGCACGATTGTCGAGGCCGATACAGGCCCTTCTCGAGGGGTTGAGAGCAGAACATAGCGGCTTCCCACAAGCCGACAACGGTCGTCGGGACGGCAAGTTTGTGCGTAGAGAGCCGGTCAAGTCGGAGCATCCCATCGTTCGCATCCACCCGGTATGTAATGACGCTGCGAACGCCATCTCGTGCAACACGTTGTCAGACTAACACCTGAGTTCGCAGGCAACCGGCCAGAAGGCATTGTTTATCAACCCAGGCTTCACGAAGAAGATTATAGGCCTTCGTGATGAAGAGTCAGACGCGCTGCTGAAACTCCTATTCAAGGTTCGTGGTAGTATCTTTAGAGTTTTGGGTCCTTCCTAACAAAAGAAAAACAGCACATCAATTTCGGCCAGGACTTCCAGGTCCGCATCAAATGGGAAGAAGGAACGGTCGCGCTCTGGGACAATAGAGTAACAGCTCACACTGCCATCTCGGACTACAACGTCCACAACCCACAGGAAGGGCTGCGACACGGATTCCGGATCACCACACTGGCTGACAAGCCGACGGGGGTTAATGGCCTGGAGTCCACGTGGTAGGCCGCATATCAGCATTCGGTCCGTTGCACACGGATCATGAAATGCTTGGGTCTGCAATTTGGACGCGTCTGAAGGTGCCGATGGGCTGTGTCGGCGACATTGGATTTTCGTTGGGGATCGCCGGGATACGTCGGGACCACAGGGACAGCCATGGAAGCTCGGGAGTTGAAACGGGAAGAATGATTGTTGCGGGAGGAAGTACAGCGAACCATGCGTTACCATGAATGCAACCCAGGACGTCCCGGCAGCTGGATGACAGAGCAACGCCTGGAGGTTTGATGGAGAGGTCGGATCTGTGCGCTCATCGTGGGGTGCAACAATAGGTGCGCATAGCAATGCAGAAAGATACCGCAGTGCGACCGAGAAAAGTGGATGATGGCGATTATCAACAAATGGGTGTATGACTGTAACATGTCGGATGGATCATGATGGAGATGAACTGCTGCACCTGAATGCCGAGCGAGCGAGTGTAGGGGCTGGGGCACGTGGCTGAGCCGACAATCAGGCCGTCGGGACACAGGGATGGTCGCCTGACGAATGTCGAGTTTCGATTCCTAAGCCAGATCCAAGTGTTTTTTTCCCCTTCTCGTACGAAAACCGACCACAAAGGTGATTCTTCTAGAAGCGACGCGTGACGGGAGTGGAGATTCGGCGTTGTCCATGTTGCGCGGTTGACATGTTCGTGTTTGGCCTGTCTGGGGATAAGGTTCGCTGCGAGTGCGTGACTGAGGTGATGAAGAAAAAAAATTATGGAGACAAAAAGGCCCGAGGCACGATAAGCTACTATACGATAGGCATCGCCGAACCCCGCGGGAGCCTCATGACCTGCTCTTACGAGACCTCTTACGAGGCACCAGACGAGGGTCGAGACTCGAGAGGGGACGCGGGGGGGAAGACGGGGCGCGATGGCGATGTGGTTGGCGGCAGCGGCGTGGTAGCGGAGGCCGAAACAATGGGGACGTTGTGAGACATCTTTCAATCGCATCTCGTTCCCCAGAAGGGGCCCCGAAAGATCCATTGAAGAGAGACAGAACGGGTTGAAGAAAGAGAGGGACAGTGGACCAGATCTGGGTGCCCCGAGGGGAAGACGGTGTGGTTCGGGTGGGTGGGAATCGTGGGATGGAGGGTTGTTGGAGCATCGGCAAGCTGGCGTCGGGTTTGCCTCGGACAGCGACCGACAGACCGGTTAGACCTGTAGAAAAGGGCATCAGGCTCTGGGATTTCTGGAGCTGGGGAAGAGACACGCAGCAGGAAGGGCAAAAGAATGGAGATTTCTGGAGAATAGTTGGGGCTTGGCTGGAGACTCTGGAGGTTGAGGGGAGAAAAGGGCCGAAAGAGAAGCCCCGGACGGAGAAGAGCACGACGACACGACGACGTGAAGAACGGAAAGCCGGAGGTGGGCTGTGGAGGTGTCGCGGCGATAACTTTCGCCAACTCTGATGCTCTTTTCTTTTGTTCTGTTTTTCTCGCGACGTCATCCGATGTTAGCGGGGATTCCTTTCATTTCATTTCATACGCGCTGGTTTGTGGGAGAGGTGAGCGAGGATGCGTGGCAGGGATTAGAGGCATCGGGTGCCGGTTGTGGTTCAATCAAGATTTCTTCGGACCCGTCCAGCAGAGCTTGTTTGGGCCTCGGCTGTCTCTCGTTGCCAAATACCAAGTCAAGGCTATGAGAGCCGTTGCGTCGAGTCTCGATAACTTGGCAAGCCATTCCGCTTTGGAAATTGGAGGGGAAAAAAATGCACACTGGTCGACGCAAAGAGACCAAGTGCATGCGGCAGGAGCGCAGCGATCGGGACCTGCCTTGGGAGTTGGAACCAGTGGTCTCGCCTTGGCAATAGTTCCGATCCACCCGGTCGGGAAGCTGCTTGGCGATGATTGGCAACGCCGCTGCATGTCGTCGGGCGTTGTGCCTTCTCACTGGTGCGCAGTTGGGAGTGACGTGGGCAGCAATTCCGGCAGCGCCTGCCGTCGGTCTACCACGGCACTACATGTATCTTCCTATACAAGTCTTGCCGTCCAGATACATCCCGTATCATCTCACGATGGCCTCAATATCGCCCCTCTTTCCAAGGTACTAGTAACCTCGGTTCCGTGAGAAGGAATCGAGAAGAGTCATGACTGTCACGTGCGTTGGTCTCCTCACCATCTCGACATTCCAGGACTCCAATTGAGTCTGCTGTTAAGGTAACCATAAGTCCACCATGCAGATCCATTCCTAGTTGCTCAATGATCTGATTACAACTATTCAGTCCGAACGTCCCGGGGAGAATCTCTAGAGAATTCATGAGCAACTACTAATGTACACTTGCTTGTGCCTGTACCCCGGCCCCGGTCCCTCCGGCACACCCTCCCTTCTGCACCCAAGGTACCATGCCTTAGTCTACGGTACGGAGATACTTTGTGCACCAAAACGGCTTCTCTCGTACCGCGCACCAAGTTTATGCGCCAAAGATACTTTACATGCAAAACGGCCTTGAGCGGATCCGGCAGCGAGTCACTTTCATCTTTACATCATCTCACGCCCCCCTGGTTTCCCACAATGGGCACCTCGTCCACCAACGTCATTCAGCTATTCTAGAATCTCACGACCTTCTTCCAGGGAACAATCGACAGACCACGTTATCCCCGGCTCTCCAAGGTACCCAACGCTGTCTGCCTGCGCTCTTTGGCTCCCCTTCACCCCATTCATTCCAATGGACTAGTCTGTGTCCACAATTCCCAAGAATCCCATGATTTCCATCCCCAGAGCCGCATTGGTAATCTAGTGTTCCCGGCCTCACCCACCCCCCGTAGTTCGCCCACGTATCCAATCACCTTTGCCCAATCTCCATCTTCTTCCCCTCGTCTTCCTCTTGCCTCTGAATTTTCTTCTCTGTGCCTGACACCAGAAAAGATGGGGAACGGGCCGATTCCTCGACTTGGAGACCCCGGGCCCCGGACGGCAACACCTCGGTGGCATACGGTGGCACGCCGTCCATCCCAAGTCATCGGGCACGCTCTCACATCAACTCCCAGTCCTCGGCCCTCTCTTGACGTCACGCCCTGGGCCTACTGAGACGCCCCCGACTCTGCCCACCCAGTTGGCACAAGTGTACTGTGCTTGCGAGCGGCCCTCAATTCTCGTCTCGTGTGTCGATCGACGAAACATCCATATAATACTGCCCGCCATGTCCCCTTAAACATGGTCTCTTTTGTCTCGGACGAACCATCATTGGCATCTCTCCATCATCTTCACACAACACATCACTCAACACACGCAAATCGTCGCCCAGCATGGGGTTCTCGACGATTGAGTTCGACAAGTACAATCCTTCCTCTGAGAAGGCAAGCGATGCCCGCCAGGACCTCGCTCACCTCGACTACTCCCCGCTGAAGCGCATTTCGGGGCGGTCATGGGCCATGGGTATCCTCATCTCCATGGGCGGCATGGTCTTTGGCTATGACACGGGTCAGATCTCCGGATTTCTGGAAATGCCCGACTTCCTCGACCGCTTCGGCCAGCATAAGGCCGACGGCTCCGTCAAGTTTAGCAACGTCCGCTCCGGTCTGATTGTCGGCCTCCTCTCCATCGGCACCCTCATCGGTGCCTTGTGCGCAGCCCCAATCGCCGACAAATTTGGTCGCCGGAAATCCATCTCCTTCTGGTGTCTCATCACCTCTGTCGGTTTCGTCATCCAGATTGCCGCCGATAGGTCCTGGGTACAGATCATGATTGGCCGTCTGGTAGCTGGCTTTGGCGTCGGTGCCCTCAGTCTCATTGTCCCTATGTTCCAGGCCGAGACCGCACCGCCATGGATTCGTGGCGCCCTCGTCTGCGCCTACCAACTTTTCATCACCCTCGGCATCTTCCTCGCCGCATGCTTGTAAGGGCGCATCCGCTACAAGGCTGGCAAGACAGTAGCTAACATAGACACAGCAATTATGGCACCGTCACTCACCAAACACACAGCTCTGCCTCCTGGCGAATCGTCATTGGTCTTGGTTGGCTCTGGACCATCATCCTTGGCGTTGGCATCCTCGCCTTTCCCGAAACCCCTCGTTATGACTACCGCATGGGCAACGTGGAGCGTGCCAAAAGCACTCTTTGTCGAGTTTACGGCGCCCCCGAGAACCACTACAGTATCTACATTCAACTCGAGGAGATTGAGAGCAAGCTCCGAGCCGAATCACAAATCAAAGGGAACCCTGTCCAAGAGTTCGTCGGCATGTTCAAGGCTCCGAAAATGGCACATCGTATTGCTTTGGGTTGTGGACTGCAAATGCTCCAACAACTCACAGGTATGTCGCACAACCGAAACCAGTGATACGGGCAGTGCTTACCATACGGAATGTAGGCGCGAATTATTTCTTCTACTACGGAACGACAATTTTTTCGTCTGTGAATATCAACTCTTTCATTACGCAAATCATTCTGAATGTCATCAACTTTGGAACCACCTTTATTGGTCTCTACATTGTTGAACACTATGGCAGACGCAAGTCGCTGATGGTCGGCTCTTGTTGGATGTTTATTTGCTTCATGATCTTTGCATCTGTTGGACACTTCAGCCTGGACCGAGAGAATCCTCGCAACACCGTGAGCGCTGGCATTGCGCTCATCGTTTTCGCTTGTTTCTTCATTTTGGGCTTTGCCACCACGTGGGGACCAATGGTGAGTAATTACCCTCTAGATTTCACACTCTCTAGTGAACCCATACACATGTCAACCCTCCCCATTTACACGTACCACGTACTAACCCATCCAAGATCTGGACTATTCAGGCCGAGCTCTTCCCATCAAGATACCGCGCCAAGGCCATGTCCCTTTCCACCGCCAGCAATTGGATTTGGAACTTTTGCATCGGCTTCTTCTCACCCTTCATCACTGGTGCCATTGACTTCCGGTATGGCTACGTCTTTGCCGGATGCAATCTGGTTGCTGGATTCGTCGTCTATTTCTTCGTCATTGAGGGTCAGGGGCGAACTTTGGAAGAGATTGACACCATGTACTTGGAGAGTGTCAAGCCGTGGAAGAGCGCGCAATGGGTACCTCCTTCCGCCGAAGAAATGCACCGCATCCGCAAGCAGGCCGGCACAGACCTCGATGCCAACGCCAGCGATTCTGCTGTCCAGGGCGAGAAGACGGAGGGATTGCAACCCAAGGGCGCCCTCGACGGGACTTCTCACCAGGAGAGGGTCTGATGAGAACGGGAGACGGGAGTCTTTACTATACCAGTCATGTACAGCTGCGACATGGTCTAGAAGTTGAGGAGGCTCCGAGGTTGATCTTTACATCTAATGAGTTTGCACGGCACGGCGTTGAGGCATTGGAGGCGAACGTTACATTTCACATTATGACATTTCTCGCAATATACCACAATCAATACATCATCATCAAGAATAACTCAACTGCATACTGCTATTGCCTCAAACTCCCAAAATACTGCTTGGACATTCATTATGCAAATGACTCGGAGACAGCTGACAATTTAGTCCTTGGATAAATATCGATATTGAGAAGCGGGCAATGGGTCATCTTGCCCCACGACTCTGGCCTCGCTGGTTTACAGGATGAAAACTTACGCGTCCAAACGTCACTTCGCTATCCAGTTTGCAATCCAAATCCATGCAGCAGCCTGGCACTCCTCCACCCCCCGCGAATCCAATCTGCGGGGTCCGATGGACACCACCGCACGCCGCCATTGGAGCCAACACACCAACCACGCACACCCAAAACACCCAAACCCGCATACACAGCCCGTCAAGATCTGACCTAATGGCTCTTATCAATAATGGGACATGCATGAGATACTATCAAATGAATCATGGAATCTCGAAAAAACTACCCGCTATCCCCACTGCATTCGGATTCTCCTGCACTCATTCACCGTGCGAGACATCTCGGTGAGGATCGACGTCGCAATCATTTCAGAACTCCCTCTGTCTCCCTCCCTCCCCCTTTCCCTTGCGCCTCAACTCCAATCTCGTCTCCGTCATCCAACTGGAATTCTCAGTCGCCTTCACACCAAGCCAAGCCAAGCCTGCTCTCCTCCCTCTGAAAATTTTACCAACGATGAATTAGGCGGCATGGCGCAGCAGTAGTGCAAGCTGTACTGTCCTTGCCGGCGAAACCTCATCCAACAACCACCGCTCCAACCTGAACAGAAAAACCAACAGAGAAAGAAGATTCCCGGTGCCGCGGGGCCATCGGTCCGCGGCCAGAACGTGCAGCGCTGAACCGCCCCCCTCATCTCGCTCACCGACACAACTGGCATTCACAACGCCACAGGAAAACAAATCGCTGCATCATCGGGTGTTTGCTTCGAGTGAACACCACCCCTCCCCCATATTTCAGAGTTGCAGCCAAACTTCAAACCGTCATAGTTTTGTTTGTCAGGACGTCCAACTTTCGTGATTTATCAAAGGTCGCCTTCATTCAGACATTCGGTTAAAAAAACATCTTCACACGCCGCCACTCCTACTCGTGACTAGCAAGTTTTCAATCACGAACTCGTCCACACACTGGTCTCGACACACAGCCAAGACCCTCGGTCAAAAAGCAAAATAGACACTTCGCATTGGTTTGTGTGTGCTAATGAAATTACAAAACTGAGCAAGATAACAAGACACATAAGACGCCCAAGTAAAGTATAGGGGTGAAAAACAAAAGAAAAAGGAAAGAAATGTGGAAGAAAAGGCAAAAGAGCAAATCGGCTCTGTCTCCTCCTCCGCAAGACGAACCGGGCTCCACATCCACAGCCACCTCCGCGTCCATATCCGAAACCACGGCACCCCAAGGCTCCGCTTCTTCCATGCTCGCACCCGGCCTCTCGGCCCCTCCCTCGGCCTACGATACCGGACCCAACTCAGAGACCCACCCGGACCTCTCTTCCGCCGCTGCCACCATCGCGACAGGCCGCGCCCTCGCCCTCTCACCAAACACCCCACCACCATCGTTCCCAACCGAAGACACGTGCCTAGCGCACCTCCGTCTCCTGACAGCCTTTAACCGCCTCAAGACGGAGACGGGCTACCGCGACGGGCTCTGGGACATTTGGAATGCGCGCGCCGCTGTAGCTGGGAATGCTGCCGCCGCCACTACCGGCGACAAATCCAACATCAACATCATTCGTAACGGCAGCAATGGCAATGGCAATGACAACAACGGCAACGACATCAAAGCCACAAAGGGAAAAGCCGCAGAGAACAACAAGACCACCACCACATCATCATCAGAATCATCATCATCAACAGACCCTGACCCCGAACTCAACGACGACATCCTAGTCAAGCTCCGCGAAAAGAGGTGGGCAGTCTACCTCGGCCGCGCAGTAGACCGTTACGCCGCGTGGTGGCGGAGTTTCGTCCCGGACATGCTCCTCGAGAGCGACATGACGACTGTCGTCGAATCCGAGCCAAGGCCGCCGGCCGAGACTGGGGGTAGTAGTAGGCAAAGGGGACACCGGACCCGGGCCCGGTATGAAGGGTTTCCAGAGTCGGAGCCGTTGATTTGGCGCGAGGATATGCTTCCTCCTCTAGGTACAGTTTCTCCATCTCCAGCCCCTTCTCCTCCTACTCTCTGCCTTTGGCTCCGCGTAAAGAGTATGGTTTGACCTTTGTTGGGCCGTCTACCTCCTCCGTGCCCGGGAGAGAGGTGCGGACGGTGAAAGGGAAGCGTAGCCAGCGAAGAAGAGCAACTAACATGTCTATATCAAGATGTGTTACTAGTCTGGCACGCTCACATGCTCAACCCAAGACTCTACCTCGAGGTTCGTATGTCCCCTCCTCTTCTTCCCTGCCGACCCCCCACATCATCATCAATATTGTAAATATGAACGTCATCATCAACATGAACACTAACCAGCACCCAGGACTGTCTCCGCTACGGCCACAACGCCCTCTGGGCAGGAGGCATTCCCTGGTCCGCCATCAACAACGCCATCACCGGCACAACATTCGACTACGTCGTCTCGGACGCATGCGAAGCAAATTGGGAAACCCGCACGAACCTCGCCTGGCACAACGAAGACGACCCAGACGCCAAAGACGTCCAGTGTCCCGCGTGTTCTACCGTGGTGTCCATCCCCTGGACAACGTGTGGACAGCCGCGAGGGTATCCAGGGGCACAGTGCGTTCCTCCCAGGAGTCCATACCCAGATCCCCATCCAGTAGATTTGCCATCCTAATCATAGGACCCTCCAAAGATCTAACAAAATATCCAGAAGGCAACCCGACATCGTAGGCCAAGGCCTCGCCGAAGGGCACCTGGCCCACGCCTGCCCATCATGCGCCCTAACAATAACCCACGAATCACTTCGCGCAGCCAAATTCCGCGACGATGTTCAGGCTTCCATAAAATCCAACCACGCCATGCCCGGTACGATTCTAGATCTCAAGACAGGTCTACCGAAACCGCTCCAATACGACTCGGATAACGATACTTCTGCGGGATGTCCTGACCGCCTGTTCCCCGCACGCCTCGCCCGTCGTGGACTCCTCGCCCACGTCGTTGGAATGTTTAAGCCCGGAGGAAAAATCCCGCCGAGCATGATGGCCGTACGAGACGCCATGGAAGAGAACTTCACGGGCAAGTTTGCGGATCCCAAGAACCTGCGCAAGGTGATGAATCGACTCGGCCATAAAAAGCTTACAGATTTCCATGTGAGCTTGGATGGGAGGCGGCAGACGAGGAAGATGATGTCGCGGTACTGGGAGAACTCGTCGCCGTTTTCCATCGACCTGGTAGGATGTGTGATGAGACAGGCAACTTTTACCGAAAAAATGTGCAAGGTGAGGCTGAATGAACCGCCCCTCCTCACTCATGTCTTGAGGTGAATAGTCGACTAACCTCCAAAGCTCAACTGGCTGCACTTGCCTACAGCGCGGGACATCATGGCAAACCTTCTAACCAAGTACACCTGCTTCGTCGAGATCATCGCTATTGCCTCATCCACAGAGGATAAAGTGGCTGTTCCGACACTCGACGTCGACCTCGCGTGGCACACGCACCAGCTGTCTCCCCAATCCTACCTCGTCTTCACACTCGCGAAGACGGGGGCGTTTGTAGACCACAACGACAAAGTCGACGAGGATAGGCTGAGTACGGCATTTGAGTGGACAAGCAAGACGTACCAAGAAAAGTACGGTGAGATCTACTCCGAGTGCAAGTGTTGGTACTGCGAAAGTGAGTGTCACCATCGGTACCACCCCAGAGCGCTATCACCTTGATCTTGCCACAGCCATAGTCGAATTTCGTGATATTGCGTCTCCTCGCTGGTCGGCGCACTCCGACGGTGGTATCGACAATAATGTGAGCATGATTACTGACTGCAGATGTGTTATCTATAGCCGTCAGGGTAATGGCCTTGCCAGCGACGAAGATGTTCGGAATAGGCAAGGAGGAAAAGCGTAAGGCAACTTGCAACCACTACACTTCCCCGCGCCCCCGTGTATACCAGTGCTGCTCTACAGTCCAGACACACTTGCTTACCAAACCCCTGCTGAGCGTGCATGTACCTTAGTTCTCGAAGCATGGCATGAAACTTCCAAGGCCAATAATGTACCCATGCCGCCAGCCGCCGAGTCTGCGCATGTCTCGTCGCATCCGGCTGTGCACACCAACGAGACGACAGCGCTGCGGACAACGACACGTCCGTTGCGCCTCGAGTTCAGGAACAGACTGGAAGAGACGCATTCCAAGGCGCGCAAGAGGGCAAACAAGACATTCAAGGCGGACTCTGGAAAGCGCATGGGGCCCCGGGGCGAAGATAAGACGTCATTCTGGGGTAAAGATATCGCCGTTGACGGACCTTGGGCATCGGGCTTGGCCGTCGTCACGACGAGTGCCATATATCCCGCTGGACCAGGCTTTGTCAATATGGGGCCCGGGGTTGTTGGCAGCTGCGCGACGGGAACGTGTGGAGGAGCTACTGGCTGCGGCTCCGAGTTGCTGGGCATGTGCTCAGCAGGCTGTGTCGGGGTGAGTGGTCCTTCTTTGTTTGGTCAAGCTTACTACGTTCTGCGGGATATCTCCCTCCCCGGCCGCTTTTTCTTATCGACGCCGAGGCTTGAGCCTGCCCTGAATCTTGACTGACACGTAAATTACGGCAATAGAGTGGCTGGTTCGGCGGAAAGGCCGGATGTACAGGTATGGGCGTGGGAACGGGCGGTATGGGCGGCGGCGGGTTCTGAGAGCGAGTCGAATCGTTGATAGGGCGTGTTTGGCTAGGAGATGATAGTGGCCAGCCGAGATATTCTCCATGATATGAGTGGCGTGTGTGTGAAGTTGTAATTTGGTGCCGCTTAAGCTTAATCAGATGTAAGGTCCGATCGGAGGTAGGGATGTGGGCATTTGCGTCTTGCCATGCTAGGGAGGTCCGCCTCGCACGAGTAATGAGACGGCCAGCTAATGAGGACGGGTACAACTACTTGGAGGTGCGGCGGAAACTACGTTCAATGGCCAAGCAGTGAATGCCAGCCCATGTCGTACACACGCTTTGGGATGATGATCGCTATCAGCGCTTGGCCGGGCCTGCTTGGCTGTCGTAAATGCAGTCCAACCAGCGGTCGAGATGGCTTCTCCAGGTTTGCACTGGCCAGTGGTGATCCGGGTCTACCCTCCCGCTGACCTGCCTCTATTCGTCTGGCGTGAGACATTAGGCTTCGATATTTGTGCTGCGAGGTGCAGCCCGCGGAGTGTCTCTTCTCGACGCTCGAAGCCCAGAGAGGCTGCTATCATGGCCGTCACCCCAAGGGCAGGCTTCCTCTCGACCAGATGACGACGCTTCATCGGTAGGTGGCTCCCAAACAGGAAGGTTCATGGAAGCCCCCGTGCACTATTGTCGAAGGACCCGGGACATGGAGGGGTTGACGTGCAGCGGACAGGGCCAAGATGAAAGACAGAGACCAGGTTGCTTCTCACAGGTGGTTTGACTGTGACCGATAAGATAACGTGCCGGTGCCGGGAGACGTGAGTGGCTGGTCTCGTGAGCTTGGCGAAAAGTTGGGACGGACCACCGGGACCAGGCTTAAGGTTGAGAGCGCGGGAGCCGTCGCGCGCCGTGCATCGGCACTCAGGAGTCAGGACCAGAAAGACGAACAATGTTTAGATTACCCCGCCAATAACATGAGGGATCAAGGCACACGGAGCTGTCAGCTCGCGCACAGAACCCTGTGCGCCCCCCTCCCCCCCTGCGAAGCCCTATGAGATGGTTGCTTTGGGTCGTACTGCGGCCGGACAGAGTGCCCTTTTTCAGAACAGCGCGCCGTTTCATCAACTCAAAGCCGCATCGTCGGCGGGTTCCTGGAGGGTCGGGCTGGAGATTAAGACACTTGGTAGATAATCGTGGGGTCGGACGGCATGGTGACTGGCTCGACGGAGCTGCAAACGACATGAAGGCAAGGTAGGGCGGGATGTTGTACAAGCGAAGGAGACGTAGACTTGGGAACTCTCGCGACCCGCCGACGAGGTCATCCTGTTGATGGCAAACGAGATAAAAGGAAAGGACATTGACGAAGGATATAAACCACGGCGGATCTCCCGCTCGGGGTCGTTTCTGCTTCATCGTCAGTGCCAAGTCACCCGTTCATCACATCACCCCAGCCTCAATCCCAGTCTTCTCACGCGGTCCATCCATCTGTTTCTTCTCAGCCGTCACCATGAAGTTCACCGCTGCTTTGTTCATGCTCGCCGGCGCGGCCGTCGCCTCCCCCGTCCCGGCTCCGAACCCGGTCGCTGAGCCGCTGCCGATGCCCTCTCCCGTAAGTTCGAATTCGTTGCCGGCCGTTGTCGAAGCCGCCAGCTTATACCACATCCGCGTTTCTGACCTTTGCATGCAGTCCGGCATCCCCACCGCCGCCGCCGCCAAGACCCAGCTCGCTGCTCTGACCGTGGCCGCCTGGTCCAACACGGACACGTACGACCGTGACTTGTTCCCCCACTGGTCAACTGTTTCCGGCGCCTGCAACACCCGTGAAACGGTGCTCCAGCGCGATGGCACAGGCGTCGTCGTCAACTCTGCCTGCGCTGCCACCAGCGGTACCTGGAAGAGCCCATACGACGGTGCCAGCTGGACCGCCGCCAGCGATGTCGACATTGACCACATGGTCCCCTTGAAGAACGCCTGGATCGTAAGTCTGCTCCTACACGGACGGAGCGCTCAACCTGTCCTCGGGCTCCGTGCGCTCTGCTCTGTGCGCAATCTTCAGATTGAAGGTACATGCTAACATGGGACGACAGTCTGGTGCCGCATCCTGGACCACTGCCAAGCGCGAGCAGTTCGCCAACGATCTCACCCGCCCTCAGCTGTGGGCTGTCACGGATTCAGTCAACCAGTCCAAGAGCGACAAGAGCCCCGACTCGTGGAAGCCTCCTCTGACCAGCTTCTACTGCACATACGCCCGCAGCTGGGTGCAGGTCAAGAGCTACTGGGCCCTCACCGTCACGTCTGCCGAGAAGACTGCTCTCACGTCCATGCTCAACACGTGCTAAGCAGAGTGATTTTAAAACGGTTTCGACGCGAGGGATTAGGTTTCTTGAGCGTGTCCCAGTGGATCTGATGATAGTCAGCGACTAGGATACCATTGGGTATTTTGTTTATACAGTTTTTTTCCTTCTTACCATTCCAATTTTTCTCTCCAAGAGGATAACTTTAACTCGAGACCATGGAGGAGGGAATACGAAGAAGCCGAGGACGCGTTGATGGATGGTCGAGGGACAGGCTCGCTTGGCGCCATTTACGAGACAACTTATGATGCAAGGGGCGACGGGACAAGTCTATTGTTGCAGGATGTGTTTTTACAGGCCGTGCAAAGGGAGACAAAGATGCAAACTACTACATATTAGTCAGTCTCAGTCTCGCTAGGACGGAACTCTCAAAAGAAATGCAGAAGGCAAACTCAAACGACAAACTAGGGCAGCCCGCAGAACTCAACTAAGCCATTTTATAGGACTTTGATGCAACCAGTGATTGTTTTACTCACTCGACACCTGCAGCCTCTGCGCTGGGTAATTTCAGTGCAGCTCGAACGGACGCATCCTATTCGCAAGACACCAGACGGCCGACCATCTTGGCGACCCGCTGGCGTCGATCGCTAGTGATGCCCTGAGATGTAGGGCTGGGCATGAAGCTGGTCGCAACTGCTGTCGAGACTTTGTGGGCGGGCAGAGATCATATTCATGTCGCGTTAAGCGTGAGACATTGTTGACGGGGCAAGATGTCGGCCGAGGGCTGGGAATGGGACCCCGTGGGCGTCGTTGGGGGTGACGGACATCTGCGATTGAGTGGCAACGGCGTCATGAGCGTCCTTGGCTGGTTTGATCTGTCAGGAGACAAGACGATGATGTGGTGTGCGAGGAATGTAGAGGTTGGGAGGGTCGAGAGTCGAGAGTCGAGCTGGAGACGGCGCAACAGGACGAAGGCTGTGGGAGACGGAAACGGCGCCAATTCGACGATTCAACGCGACCGAGGCAGGTGAAGTAGTTGGCGCTGGATTCAGAGGGTTTGATGCGCCACCAACGGCGCGACCAGACACGAGCTGAACGGCAAGATCGAGGTACGTACCGATTCTAGTCACCTAAGATAAGGTACCTAACCTAAGGTACCTTAGTAGGTAGGTGGGCACCTTAAGGTATAGGTGGGAGAGGCGAAGGGAGGCAGGTGCAAGGAGGAAAGAAGCTGAGGTAATCGGCGTTGAGATCCCGCTTGCGGCAGCCAATTGAGCCAAACCAGCTGGCTGGGGAGAAAGCGAGGGTGCGAGCTAGTGCGTGTACCTTTCCGCCCGTCGTTTGCGGCAAGGATACTTGGACCCTGCATTAGCGTCACTTATCAAGATTGGAAAGTTGCCCAGCCTCCCATCTGTTGCACTTTTTCCTGCCAATGGGTGAAGAAGATGCGCTTGGCAAGCGCGGATTCGTTCAAGCGAGGGAAGGCGCCCAGAAATGGAAGCAGACTAGGTAATTAAGGCAGGCAGACCAGCGACGATTTACAGCGACTCTTCGTGTCATCTCACGCTTACTGCCCCCTAATGCAGCAGGAAAGGGACACAGCCATCCTCGGGTCTTGCTCTCCCCAAGCATCCGCACTGGTGCCCGGCTTCACCGTTGCCGCCTGCTTTCGTCTCTGCTCGTGTTCCACGCCCCATGGCATGATTGATTCACTTTCTTCAACTTGCCCAAAATCCGCCAGCCTCCCGTTTCTTATTTCCAACCAGTGGCTTCAAACTAAGCTAGAGACAGCGTCCGGTGCCGTCCTTTCACCTCTTTCTGCTTCCTTGACCTCCCACCTGCCCAACGCGCTAGTTCCTTTCTTCCATCCTCTAGCCTTTCCTTTAATTTCTATATTTAGGACATCCTCCTCCTCAGATCATCGTCCGGGGCTGTTTACTCGCCTTGTGCTACATCTCAACGTCGATATCTTCTCTTGCTTCCGCTCCTTTTCTGCAGCAAGCCCTTTTCGACGACGTTCACTCACCAATCTCAACCTCCCTCTCCCCACCACTTCCTTCCACAACACCACTCAGGATGATGCGTTACGCCGCCTTGACTGTGGCCGCTGCTGGCCTGGCTTCTGCCCAGACTTTCTCAGCTTGCAATCCCGTCAAGGGCGACAGTTAGTTGGCCTCTCCCCAATCCACTTACACCAATATGTGGAATTCCCGTCATCTAGCAAGCCGACGATGCTAACATCATCCCCCAGCCTGTCCTGCCAACACCGCCTTTGGCGGCGAAGCCAGCTATGATTTTCGCACAGCCACGAACATCAACGACCTCGAGTCCTTCTTCATTGTCGACGGCGGCGTCAAGTACAACCCCAAAGTCTTGTCTTTCTCCGCCGATACCGGCGTTGAGATGACCATCTTTGAGGAGAGCAACGCCCCGACCATCACCTCAAAGAACTACCTCTTCTTCGGCAAGGTCGAAGTCGAACTGCAGGCCGCCCCCGGTCGCGGCATCGTCACTAGTATCGTCCTGCAGTCTGACGCTCTCGACGAGATCGACTGGGAGTTTGTCGGTGCCGACCAGACCCACGTCCAGACAAACTTCTACGCCCTCGGTGTCAACGACTACACCCGCGCTCGCTACTACGAGGTCCCCTTCAATCCCATGACCACCTTCCACACTTACACCATCGAGTGGACCAAGGATTCCATCGTCTTCTCCATCGACGGAAAGGAGTACCGTACCGCTACCCCCGCCGAGGGCAACTACCCGCAAACCCCCATGCAGCTGAAGCTTGGTACTTGGGTCGGTGGAAAGGGTACTGCCCAGGGCACCATCGACTGGGCTGGTGGTCTTGCTGAGTGGGACAAGGCTCCCTTCGCCGGTCATTACCGCTCCCTCAAGGTCTGGGACTACGCCGGCGGTGACAAGGCCGGCGCCAAGCAGTACGAGTACTCCAAGGGCTCTGATGGCAAGTGGCAGAGCATTCAAATCATCGGTGCCGGCGAGAAGAGCGGCAGCTCCGGCGGTGTTGGCAGTGTCGGTTCCGTCGACGGTCCCAAGGGCGACAAGTCTAGCGACAACAACGGCAACAACAAGGCCCAACAGTCCGACGTCCCGACGCAGAGCGCTAAGAACACCACCACAGTCGTCCAGACTCCGACTACCAGTGCTCCGGTCCCGTCTTTGACTGTCGCTGCCAACACCACGATCACTCAGGCCAACGGCACTTCATCGACCCTCACCCGACTGGTGTCGAGCTCTGGATCGCCTACCGGATCTGTTAATGCTCAAACGACTCTGCCCTCGACAACCGGTGGCACTCATGCTCAGACAAGCGCACCGGCGCCAGCTGCCGCCTCTTCTTTGCATAGCAGCTTCTTCGTGGCTGGCATCACCGCCTTGTTCGCTACCATGCTGCTGTAATCGAATCAGCATCATGATCGATCAGCTTCGCGCTTTGCCTGCTACTTCCATTTGTGCATATCTTTCGGAAGGCGGGCGTGTATGTATGTATTTATGTATCATGAAACGGGACGGGGGCGTATTGGCATTGGGAGCCAGGCTTGCTTTTTAGATTGCTCTCCTAATAAGACCACTTTGACTACATGTTGTGTTGTCCTTTAAAATTCGGGTTCCTGTTGGTGATCCTATCGTGCAATCATTGCGAAGGTCTTGAAGGACATCGGCACTGGTCAACGCATATCGCAATGTTGGAGAACGTTAAACACTCGATCGAGATATTCCTCCTTTTATTTCAAGTACGAGAGCCTGTGTGAACCATGAAATACTTGAGCAGCCGTGGACTCGGTTGCCTGGGACTTGGTCTCGTTGAGCCAGCCCACAAGTGGCAAGGCAGACGTCGCCTCTAGCCCTGTACGGCCTCTTCTATTGTTTGTCTTTCTAGATTATCTTAGTCATGAGAATTATATGGAGAAATATTCTATGTTGATTAGTCGTGTGTCGGTGTCTTGAAGATTTGACATTTGGGCTCTTACCAGGCTCTTGGCCATTCGCCAGCCGGCAATTTAAAAGAGAATGATAGGCTGTGCTTGAAGTTAGATCTGGAGGGAACGGTCTGGTGGCTTTCTTTATGAAGACCTACTTTTCTTACATCAACGGAGGCTGAGAGGGTCATGGCTTTGCCTCGGAGCTATTGGAAGACCCGCAAGTCGGGCAGGTTTTCTACATTCTATGATCGAACGCGAGGTATCGGCTTTCTCTTCTCTCTGCAAGTTTAGGGGCAGCCTTATCGGGCTTTCTGGCTCACATGATGTATACTTTAGTTGAAGATAGACTCGAACAAGATTTGAATTCTACTTTTGTCTCTTTCCAAGCAGATGGCTGCCAAATTATTATTGCCCCCCGAGGTTACAGTGCTTGTATTCCTCCCCCGATTCCCCCGCTTTTTTCCTTTCCTTTTGGAGGTGACTTGATACGTATTTACATACGACTCGGATTCATCTGTATTTAAAGAAGCCCAAGTTGAGCCCTAGGGCAAGCCACCATCTAAAGAGCGTCGAGAAATCTGACCTCGAAGCATACCCTACTGGGCCCATGCATGCCCTAGGACTTGAACATCTCAGCACTTGAACCCGGATTGTTTGACGAAAGTACCTTGTTGGATGGACAGAGCAACGAAACCATATCTCGGCACTCGTTGGTCTAGGAAAGCGGGATGAACAAGAAGCCTCATCTAAGAAGCACCATGTAATCTCGTGGGTAAGTAACCAGTACCAGGATGGTCGTCCGCATCGCGGGACCATCGATGTGCTGCATGTACGCCACAGATTCTAGGACTCGACATCAGGCCCGATCGACGTACGGCCCAGCTTCATCTACAGGACTTTCCAAAATAGACTTTACATTGTCTCTGCTCCGTGATCCCTCAAGGCTGAAGAGAGGTTTTTGGAGACATGGATGGTCTACGTCGTGGCCGGCCCCGTAGCATCCTTCTGTTCTGCCCTGATTCTTGATAAACGTCGAGTGCTCCTACGCTAGCTGCCAATTTTTCTCCTCCATTATCATCTCGATATTTGGCAGGGCTTTTTGATGATCTATTCACCTATCAGATCCATGGCAAGCCGAATACCACACAGTAACTCCTTCCTTTGTCTGAATCTACCTTGATTCCGTCAGCATCAGGATTTTCTGTCCCTGGGAAATCGCAAGGAGCTTTCCCGCCACCCTTCCGGGGCAATGGAAGGCCGTTCCATGCATCCTGTCCACATGGACGAACAAATGCCACGTCCACTTCACGAAGTCATGTTACCACCAACATGGTTCTCGAGGGAAGCTGAGCCCAATCATCCTGCTGGCACCTCAATCGATGGCCACGGCCGTGGCCATGGCCAAAGTCCAACGCCGATTCCTACCCAAAGCCCCGAGATGCTCTTCTTCTCGGCGCCGACATCAGCCTCCCAACCCCGGCGCTCTAGATCCGGCGACGGCATCCACCTGCCCCGCCTCCAAGGACCAGCACCCAGCTTGAGTTGGTATCCCGATCGTCCCCCGAGCCCAGCCCGGCATCTCATCCAGGAAGTCGACAGCAAATTCGGACCACCCTCCCACCGGCGTCGTCTGGACGAGTTCACCGCGTTTCCGCACGACGTCAACTTGCATTCTACGCGTCTTGACGACGTTGCATATTTCAGGGCGCAAGAAGGGCGATGGCCCCTGATCGATTCGCTATATGACCGGCGATTCCTCGGGGAGGCTCTCCCGTCGGAAACAGCTAGCACCGTCTCCGTCTTGTACAGAGACGGGTACCGCTCTGCAGGAGAGTCCCCGCCCCCACTGTTGTATCACGATCATCAAGAACCAGGGCCAGAACAGGATCAGTCCCCGGCCTCGCCGCCAATTATGTTGAACGGCGTTCGAGTCCCTCCTGCGACGCAATTCTACGGCTTGCCGCTCATCCATGAGGTGATCGATGATGAGAGGATGAGAGTTGATGAGGATGGGGATTTATCCTATACCGGAATGTTGAATGCCGAAGCGTAGTCTAGCTTGACGGCTATTAGGCTCACGAGCTTTGTTGGTAAATGAGTTGATGACAGTTGGGCTTGGTAAGTTCTAAATAGGGCTGCGGAACATGGAATTTATTCATATCGATGTCTAGGCCACGATCATCAGCTCCTCTGAGTGGCTTGGATTTACTAATTCGCCTGGCAATATCCTCGGGGGTTGGGCTGGATCTAATAGAAGGACTTGGCGCTTCGAAACGGAGTTATGATTTGCTAAATCAAAGCTATTTACAAATCGTTGGATCAATCCCTTATTGTACTAGATTCCCAGGAACATATCAGCCAGCGCTTGCGGTGTTGAATTGCACAACTATACAGACAGATCAACAATTCTCTAGTACCTGAAAACTACCCTGTGCTTAAATGCCATGAAAGTGACCACCCATTCACCTGCTCAGCAAACCCTTCAACTTTTGCAACGCATCCCTCTCCACCTCGTCCACAGGCGGCCGCACATCAACGCCAACGACGTCGGGCTCATCGTCCTGCGGCGGGTCCAGGCTCTGGAACTGGCTGTGCACCAAGTTGGACCCGGCAAAGTGGCCGTGCCGGTTCTTGACGCGCTCAAGAAGCACCTCTTCGGGCGCGTGCAGTGTGATGAAGTGGACAAAGATGTCCTTCTCCGGGTGCGAGGCGCCCCGCAGGACGTCGCGATAGGCGCGCTTTAGGGCGGAACAGGTGACGATGACGCCCCCGCCGTGCAGGCGGTCCTGGTCCTGCGCCAGCTCCTTGAGGGCCTCGTCGCGGAGGGCGTCGAGCCAGCCCCAGCGGTCGTCGTCGGTAAGAGCCTCGCCTCTGTGCATCTTTTCTATATTCTCTTTGGGGTGGTACTGTGTGTGTCAGTGCGCTTTGCTGGTGTTTCTCAGAGTCGATTGTTCATCTGACTAGGGATGTAGGACTCAGCAGGAGAGAGGGGGGCACAGACGTCGTCGCCTTCAATAAAGGTCATGTGAAGTGAATCTGTCAGATACTTTGCTATCGTGGTCTTGCCGGTTCCCGTAGGACCCGTCAGAAAGACAATGTGCTGTTTCGGACGCGACATGTTTGGCCTAGGACCGTCGCTGATTCAATGCCAGTGGAAAGCCTGAGAGACTCGACCGGCGATGTGAACCAAAGCTTGGAGCAATGGTTTTCAATGTCTGGAAACAGGGCTGACTCCCAAGTGCTCCTTGCTTTGAGTAAGGTGAGGCAAGGTGGGGGGAGGTGTGGTGATGCAGATGCCAGTGCGGCTGCGATTGGATGTCACGATTAGGCAACGGCTGGGGAAAAGAGAGTTCACGTAAGGTAGCAAGCTTTCTGATCCAGATTGAAGGGAAGTGAAATTTCAAGGTTCTTCCCCTTTCCGAATGGTCTGATATGGGTGGTTTCCTTTTCCTGAGTGACCTCTGGTCCACACCTTCCGGCTGTTAGTGACTGTGCAGAGAGCAACTAAAGAGAGGGGCGTTCGGATGATGTCATGCGGATGGATCTGACTATTTGAGCAAGTACGGAGTAAGTACAGAGCCACTGCCTTACCTGAGGACGACGGCTCGAGGAATATTAGGGCCCTTGTTTTCCTCTTCTCCATTCTTTGCCAATCCTGCCGGACGACGGATCAGACATTCCAGAACGAAAACAGTGCGACGAGACAGAGACAGCGACAGAACCAACACTTGGACAGCCGTTCAAGAAGCTTGCCAATGTCGAAAACATGGCAACGGGCCAATCACTCTCTGTGACCGCCCCCGTTTTGGGACAATTCCCTCCGGCCGTGGGTAGCGGCGCGGGTAACGGCATGAAAGAAGATCCCATCCACCTTCAGACTTGGTTCGGCATGAGAACTTTCTTTGGCAGACACCTTGCGTCAAAATCGATTCACTCGAAGACATCCAATCAATGCCCAAATGGTCTCGGTGCTCTTCCGTGTCATCCGCAACCTCGAGACCCGGAATGGATGGCTTTTTTGGAGCAGCGACACCACGCCGACGCAGTGTCAACTGCAACTGTCAGCGGACGGCACCATCTGCAGCTCTGCAAAGCATCATAGCTCGCGGTCTTAGCGCCCTCTTCAGCAATTCTTAATTAGCACTGGTCTATTAGTCTAGTTGGTTAGGACGTCGGATTCTGATTTTCAGGACCTTCCGTAGGCCCAGGTTCGAATCCTGGATGGACCTCATTCGTTTTGACATTTCAACCATGGTCTGCCGCACACCGCCGGCTCTTGCTCTATATTTTGTTTTGTTCGTGCCAGCCAACCAAGGAATCCATCCGAGCCAGACCAACTTTCTAGTTGACTCGTTCCAACAATTCGCTTGAACCTGCGGTCCGAGACGCAAATGACGGATTGTTCGGCCTGCATGCCGCGGGATAGTGACAAGCGACCACGCACTGACGGGTTCTCATCCTCTGAAACGATCAATTCATCCCCGAACATGAGAGGAACATGGTTGTATCTCTCTTCTTCTCTCCTCTCAGTCTCATTCATTCGCAACTCAACAGCTGGTATTGGTCGATCAATCAATTCATGGACAGCTTCTTCTATGGGGGTTCTAGTCATCGAGGGTTCCGTCTACCCGTACCGCACGTCGCCGGCGCCCTCGCGGAACCAGTCATCTGCCGCCAGCGCCTCCTCCGGGCTTGCAAAGCTGATGATTGTGCTCTTGGTTGTCGTGTAAGCCTGGTACGCATCGATGCCGTTCTCGCTGCCAACACCGCTCGCGCTCGTTGCGCCACCCCACGGACTGCTGGGATCGTTTCGATGGTGCGTATTCACCCACACGATGCCTGCGTCGATTTGTTCCGACACTCGAAACGCTTGCGCCACGTCCCGCGTCCAGATGCCCGCTCCTAAGCCGAATTCACTGTCATTGGCGAGGGCGATGGCCTCTGATTCTGTCTTGAACGGCGCCACCACAATCACCGGCCCAAACGCTTCCTCCCGCCAGATGCGCGACTTGAGGATGTCGCCCTCGGCACGAGACACCAGCACCGTCGGTTCTAAATAGTATCCCTTGGCAAAGTCGGTTCCATCGAGACTACTCGTTCCAGACATGCGACGGCCGCCGGTGAAGGCTGCACCCTCTGCAGCGAGCGCTTCATTCACCAGCGCCTCCACGTTTTGCAGTTGCTTCGCCGACACCAGCGGTCCCATCATGGATTCCTGATTACTCGGTGAGCCCATCCGCCGAACGATAGATTCGGCCTTGGCTCTGAGTTTCTCCAGCACTAGCTGCATGATGTCTTCCTGGACGAGGATTCTGGTGCTGGCGACGCATGTTTGGCCGCTAGCAATGAATGACCCGAATGCGATGCCATTGACCGCAACATCCACGTCGGCCTGGTTGAAGACAATAAGCGGCGCTTTGCCCCCCAGTTCCGCCGTGTACCGCGCCAGATTGCCGCCGACAATTGAGCCAATCGCTCTCCCAGCCACGGTTCCGCCCGTGACGTCGACTTTGCGAACGAGCGGATGCTCGACGAGGGCCTTGCCAGTTGTTGCACCGTACCCAGGGAGGACGTGGAACACTCCGTCTGGCACGCCCGCCTTCTGTAGAATCTTGCCCAGCAGCAGCGTCGTGAGCGGCGTCAGTTCGCTCGGCTTCACCACGACGCTGTTTCCCGCTGCAAGGGCGGGCGCTATCTTCTTGACAGCAATCAGGAGCGGATGATTAAAGGGCGTGATCTGTACCACGACACCCAGCGGCACACGGTCTATCCAGTTGTGCAGCTTGCCCACGGTCGGCAGTACCGCACGCTCTTCGGTGCGCAGCAAGGCGGCATAGTACTTAAACCACTTGACCAAGGTGGGCACCTGGGCACGCATCTCGCGTATCGCGCGTCCAGTCTGGCGCACCTCGAGAGGGATCAGCGAGGGCAGCTCGGCGGCGAGCAGCTCAGCTGTCTTGTCGAGAACATCGGCGCGAACATGTCGGGGCGCTCTAGACCACGTTCCAGCCTTGAAGGTTTCGTGCGCCAGACGAATCGTTTCTTCCACGTCTTCCAGGGACGCTGCGTGACAGCTGCACGCATTCGGACGCCAGTCAGTCTCACCCGTGTGGGAAATGATTGCGGACGGGCATCGAAGTTGAGGCTGGGGGCTGAGAACTTACTTGGCAAAGATCTCACCTGTCGCGGGGTCTTCGACCGGGATCCTGTTGGCGTGTGAGAGTCGAGCATCAGCATAAGTGTGAGCGTGAGCATAAGCATAAGCATGAGCATGAGCTCGAGCACAGATAAGCGCCCTGCAACTCTCGCGCGGGGTACGCGGATACTTCGAAATAGGAACAAAAGGAAGAAAAGGTCACGAACTGCTCTGCATGACCCGGCTTTTCCTGGCCTCCCACCCAGAGATTGTATGCCTGGGCTGTCATCTTGTCTCTTGCGCGGCTGTCACTCAGACTTTCGTCGGTTCAAAGGCCACTTCGCAAAAAAGGATGCTCACGGCTTACCTTTTCCCTTTTTATTGGGGGGGAAAAGGGGTGTGGGTGAGCCATCCATCTATCTACCTTTAATTCCAACTGCGGGGAACTATGCGGGATGCATCGATAGCCAACTCCGGCCGGCTCCGTGCTACCATGCCCCACTCTGAGCATCCATCCTCCGCCGCGATAACAGAATCCCTCTATCCGTACCTTGCTTTACGGGGTTCCGTTGGTTCACTGTGTCAACCTATCTCGTAACACGCGATGCAAACCACAGACAGGATTCCCCATCAACATGCAAGACTATAACAAGCTTATAGGCTAAGGCCGACAGTTTCGCTAGCTTTGTTCTCCCCGCCAAGCAGAGAACGGATGGGGTAGTCAACATAGCCTAGCCTTGAAGGTGGAACGGCTGCAAGTTTTATACTTCAAGGGGGCAGAATCTCGCTCGGCTTCTGTACGAAACGCACATGCTTTCTCGACAAAGCCTGTTTCTCGGTGCTGCAGCATCTGCACAACGCAATGAACCATTTGACCAACGGTCAGCTCAGACCCTACTTCAAACCTACGCAAACCTATGGGAAACCTCCGTACAGACGCAGAGACGCCTTGGAATCTGCCATGGACATGAGCCCAAATTCCCCTCAAGACGGATGGCATCTATTATGCCATATAAGCCGGCGTCCGACATCCTGGCTCCCATGATTGCGACCGCCAGTTATTTGAATTTGTGTTCAACGTTTGGATTGATTTCCCTTTCTCTGGTCTTGTCCTGGTTTGGTCTGCGGCTGGAAGTCTTGTCAGAGCTCTTTGCAGCCAAAAACGACACCGCTCATCCTCCTTTTCTCCACATCGTCATGGACTATGTGCGCTCTTTTGTCGGCCGCAAGCCCAAGCGTACCCAGCTACCAACAGTAGCCACGGACGATGTCTATCCGGTTCACTTCTTTGACGATACGAAGCCTTTTCGGGAAATGCTTCTGAACTGGACGCTTCGGTTCGACGATGTCCTCGACGCAGAGAAGCTTAACTCTTCTCTCTCTCGGTTGATCGAGATTGGCGACTGGAGGAAACTCGGTGGGCGCATGAGAATGGGAGTAAGCGTTCCCTTACTTGCAGATGAAGACATGTCTAGCACTTGAACCCTTCACTCGAATGCTGTTTCGCTGACTCGACCAACCACGCAGCCCGACAATCAACTTGAGCTTCATGTACCGAAGCAGTTCACACCTGCTCGCCCCGCCATTCGCTTTTCCCACGACGTGCACGACTTTAGCATCAAGGAGCACAACGTTGCCAAGCACCTCCCAACCACCACCTCCACTCCCTCCGTTCAGCCCGGTGTTATCAACTTCTACAACCTAGGTGCTCGTCAAGACGCTCCCAAGACACTCGAAGACTTGATGTGCTCCGATGAACCCCAGATCGCCCTCCACGTCGTCTCCTTCAACGATGCAACCCTCGTCGGTCTCCTATTCTCGCACGTCATGTTTGGTGCTGCAGGTATGCAAGCGTTGGTGCAAGCCTGGTCGCAAGTTCTTGCTGGTCGCGAGGCAGAGGTTCCTGTTCTCCGCGGTGCGCACAAGGACATTCTCGACGACGTTGGCGTTGATACCGATCCTGAAAAGGAGCAATACTTGCTTGATCAGAGACGGCTCAAGGGTTTCCGTCACTTGAGATTCAGCTTGCGATTCCTCTGGGATATGTACCGTCGCCCGGAAATCGAGTCCAAGGTTCTCTGCCTACCGGCCGACTTTGTCGCCGGCCTCCGTGCTCGCGCCATGGCAGACCTACACGCCATGGACGAGAAGGGATTGGGCACCGAAGAGGCGCCTTTCGTCAGTGAAGGCGACGTCCTCACGGCATGGTGGACCCGCCTCGTCTGTCTCGCTCGTGGGTCAAACCGCCCTGTTACTGTTCTCAACGCTGTGGATATTACCGGCCGTCTCAAGTCTGTCTTCGCTCCCGGAAAGCTATACGTCCAGAACTTTGCCCTCGGAACCTGGACCCTCCTCAGCTCTGCCGAAGTCCTCAAAACCCCCCTCGGATACGTCGCCCGCTGCTTTCGTCACGACATTCAGACACAAACCACGCCTTCTCAGATCATGGCTTTTATGCGCTGTCTCCGTGCTGGAGGTCGTTGCAAGTCCCAACCCATCTATGGAGACCCGAACAGCATGCTCATCATCTTTACCAATTGGGCGCGATGCAAGTTCTTTGACTGCATCGACTTTTCTCCAGCTGTGATACCGCGCATATCTGAACCGGTCACGGCCAATGGCGACATCCAAACTAACGGACACACTACTGGCAGCGATCCAGAGAAGACTGCCAATGCCAACAATGCGGAAGTGCTCAACCGCCCCCCTCCCGGCAAGATCGCGTACCACCACTCCCTGGCCCGGACGCGCAGCATCCTCTCTCGCAATGTATTCACCATCCTCGGCAAAGACCTCCAGGGCAACTACTGGATCTCGGCCCTGGGACACCCTGAGTGCTGGGACAAGCTCGAGAAGGAGGTTTCCATGTCGTCCATGGACGAGCTGAGACGGCTGAACCCTCCGCCTTTGAACTAGGGCATTTGTTTCTTTTCGCATCATTCCCATGACAGAGGCCTTTTGGTCCCAGACCGGAACCGTAGCATGAATCAGTCACTCTTTCAGCTTCCCATCCCTTCTAACCAGAATCTATTGCTTCAGCAAATTGGCCGACCTTGGCCTTCAGGTTACCCAGGTGGAGAGAGGGGTGGGGAGAGAAAGATACAGAGAGAGAAAGGGACTTAAGGTAAAATGATTCCCAGGAGTTCCGAGGCATCTAGCTAGCTCGTCACGTTTTTCGAACTTGGTCTCGTCTGAAAATTTGGTCTGCAGTCCTTTTTGAGGGGAATGTTATTTCCTCTCCGTCGCTTTCCCCGGGGGTTGTTCCCATGCATGTTCCGACATTTCTTTCCGCAATCGAGCAGGACGGTACTGTACTAGTGATGAAGAATGGCGAGGAGGGAGGCAGGCTAGCATGGTTGCCCGTCGATGTAGATGTAGTGTACGATGTCCCAATTGTACTGCCATGACAAGCACGATCCTGAAGCATGAGCAATAGTGAGCTGTGTCTACCATGGTCCTCCCCACCTCGTCTTCTTCTTACCCACGTCCAGCCTGGGCAAGGTAAATCTTGTGCAAGGCGGCCCTGGATTCTCATGGAATGATGAAACGTGCCGCTGCCTGACAGTTGGCATGTACTGTGAGTACCTCCCAGTAGGTAGCCAAAGCATGCCCGTGTCCCCTCAACGTTATAAGAAGGTTTTGCTACGGTGTACAACATGTACCTCCCCTCCCATTTGGGTTGTCGGCCGGCCGGGGGGGAGGGGGGTTTGCATGTATGCACTGCAGCATACAGGCCAATTAAAAAAAAAAGACAAGACGCGTCAGCGACCAACGGGCAACGAGACTATGTAATTTGGCTCTAGCCAAACGTTTCCAACTCTAACGACGTTACCATTATACTTTTTTATGCGATTTCACATTCAGAGCATGTGGCATTTTTTGTCCTTCTTCTTATGGCAACATTCATTTAAAGGTATCAACATTGTTTGTGGGTTTGCTACAGGATAATGCTACGGGATATGTAGACGGTGCTATGGACTGTTTCTGACAGGTGCTATGACATGTTTAAAAAAAAAAAAAAAAAACAGAATGCGGTCTGCACTGGTATCGAAGAAAGGATCAAACCTGCCCAACAAATAAGTAAAGAAAACCCAAATAAAAATAACGACAATGGCGCCAACGCAAAGGTATCGTAATGGTTAGAGAAGTTGTAAAAGAGAAAAAACCCAAACGCCATTCCCGTAGTATCGATAATCGCACTTCATATTCCATGCGGCGGTGCCTCATGAAGCGTGGACTACGCCCTTTCCCAAAATACCACGAATCTTCTCGAATGACTCAGACCTTGGCCTCGTCTTCATCCATGAAGAACTTGACGACCTGCTTGAGATCAAAGAGGCTGACACCGCGGCGCGGATAGCAGAGATACACCTGCTCGCCCAAGACTCCAAACTTGTCTCTGAACTCGGCCTTGTTGCCGAGACCCAGGCTCTTGACGATGCCGGCGTAGGTCTTGCTGAGGAACTTGGCCCTGACGCCGTGCAGATGCTCCCCAGGGACAAACTTCTCGCTGACGCCGGCACCAAAGGTGACGGGGCCGGAGATTGACGACAGCGCGTGCTCGACGAGAACTTCAATGGTCCCGTTGGGGGCGTCGGGGAAGTCGAGCGCCCACTTGACCTGCCATCCATACCGGGGCGCCAGCTGCGCGAGCACGACCATGCAGAGGACCTTGCCGTCCTTTTCGGCGGCAAAGTAGCGCCGGTGAGCTTGATCGATCCAGGGACGGATCTCTGTGAGGTGGACCTGTGTCTTTCCCTTGCGCTTCTCTTTCCAGGCCTCGATGGACTGTTCGGCGCGCCTCATAAAGTCTTCGTCGGGCTTGAGCTCATGGACCTTGATGCCCTCTTTCTTAACCCGGCGAGCGGCGCGGTTGTCGGGCGTCGTATGCTGATCGGCGTCGGCTCGCTGCTCTACGGTGCAGCTCATAGTTCGCCAGCCGATGCGGCGGCCCAGGATCTGTTGAACCTTGTTCGATACCAGCATCCACACGGGTGTCAACTTGAGTTCGTCTTTGACAAAGTTGATGAAAGCTGGGACAACCTCCTCGTATTGACCTCGGTCACAGAGAGGGTCTCCAGTAATCATGGCAAACTTGCCTTGCTTGACGTAGCCGACCGCGGCACCACTGCTGTGTCGCCAAAGTTCGAACCGTTCGTCAAGCCATGAAGTGTTGCTGGCATCACCATAGTTGGCGATGAGTTCCTCCAGTCGCGGCATCTCCTTACCGACCCAGGCCTTGGTGGTATCGGCATTGGGATGAGGCAGAGTAAATGACCGCTGGGGCAACGACTTTGGATCGCGGTAGAAGAGAGTGCCATATCGTACATCACCTAGGTTCAGGAGGAGGAACACAACTCGGTCTAATCCAAGACCAGCACCACCATGTGGTGGAGCACCAAGGTCAAAGGCCTGGAGGTACTCGGCCATCTCTTCTTCTGAAATACCCTTGTCGGCCATGTTCTTACGCAGCTCCTGGGGATCGTTGATGCGCTGCCCTCCAGTGCAAACCTCTTGCCCGCGAATGAAGATATCAAACGAGTTGGTCCAAAACGAATCGTCGGCTTTGTGTGTGTAGAATGGGCGGGCGTTCGCGGGGAACTTGTCCAAGATGTAGTAATCGGTTCCGTACTTCTGCTTCACTAGTTCGCCCAGCCGAATTTCGTCTGGTGTGGAAAGGTCTTCTTCGGCCACATCACGACCGTCATCACGTAGCATTTGCAACCCTTCCGGGAATGGGATGATGGGGGTCTCATCCAGCCATACCAGATCTTCGCTTGGGAAACGCTCGCGAATGATCTTTAATTCGGGCATCGCCTGCACGGCTGTAAAGATGTTTTTCAACACCTGATCGATAACTCTGATGAGCTCGTGGTAATGCTTGTGAATCTTCATCTCGATATCGAGTCCGGTATATTCGGTCAAATGACGATGCGTGTTGGAGTTTTCAGCGCGAAAAACGGGTCCAACCTGAGTGTGTAAGTACATGTCGGTCTTGTCAGCTGTAGAGAAGAATTACTCACTTCGTAGACCTTGCCAAAGTCGGCAGAGATGGCCATCTGCTTTGCCAACTGAGGGCTTTGCGCCAGGAAAGCGCGTCGACCAAAGTAGTTCAGCTTGAAAACCTCGGCACCGCTTTCGGTGGCGGCTGGCTGCAGCTTCGGGGTTTGGATCTCGATGAAGCCGCTGTTGTCTAGTGTTTCGCGGAACTTGCGTGTAATCATGGCTCGTACGCGGAACAATGCCTGGTTACTAGGGTGTCTCAAGTCTAGGATACGGTTGTTTAACCTAAAATTCATGCTCTCTGGTGGCTGGTAGTTGCTGAATGGAGGTGCCTTGGCTGGATTTAGAAGATGGATGGAGTAGACGTCCACCTCAACATGGTGGTATTGCGCAGACTTGACGTCTTGCACGGGCTTCTTCAAGGTGCCAGATACCTGAACAATGGATTCAGGATGCAACCTCTGAACCCATTTCACCATGTTCGGCGTTGTGTGCGCCAATACGCCTTGGATTGTGTCGGTTTGATCGCGGAAGAGAATGAAGTCGAGGTGCTTTGAGATGTTCCGCTGGGTGTGGATCCTCGCTCGGAATGTGACTTTGGTGTTGATATCCAGCTTGACCGCCTCCCCGATGGTCGTAAGCTCGGTCGGGTAGTTCCCGTCGTCGCCCTCACCGTAGCGCGCTCGAGTTTCTTCATCTTCGGCACTGCGGGCTTGTTCATATTCGATCCTGCGGCGCTCTTCGAGCTCGCGCTTCTCCTCCTCTTGGCGAAGAAGCTTCTCGCCCCGTTGCTGACGCCTAAGCTCAGCGCTTCGAGCAGCGCTTTGCCCGGTGCTAGATTTGCTGGACTTGCTAGATTGACTGTTAGAGCTCGAGGCTCGGGCCTTTTCGAGGACGGTCGTCTTGGTGTGGGTGGTGGTCGCAGAAAGCGATGCCTTCAAGGGGAATGAGAATCTCTGAGCTATGCGGGAGAGGGTGCTCGACGAACGCCGTGGAACTACTTGTTCCGTCATGGTGTTTGCTGCCTCCCCAAGACGAATGTCGGATGAGGTGGTATGCTTGTGCGAACAGCTTGTTTGGCAGGCGTGAGGTTTCGCAAGAACGTGTCTCAGTCGAGGCAGGGGCCAGTTGTTTTGCCAAAAGTAGTTTACATTAGGGACAGGAAGGAGACGTCAGGGTAGCTGGGTGCGGGAAACAAGGTATAAGACAACGCAAGCGGGAAGCGGAAGGTCGGAGGGCTGCGAAGGTGGGTGACTACGGGACCGGAAGAAAACAGACATTGATAATGACACAAGTGACAAAAGTCGGGATCCGTCATGGTTCATCGCGGCCGACCGTTCAAGCTCTGCGTGGGCACGAGGTTGCTTCTCGGGTACTTGATCGACGTTGGGCGCCGTGTATCCGATACTTGGCAATGGCAGTGGGCAGGCCGAGCCTCAAGAGGCACACGGAGCTGCCCGACGGCTAGCTTTGGCTCCCAAGGTAGGGACCGACGGCGCGGTACGTGACCCAGGAGGCTTACACGGCACTGTGGCAAGGCGTGGATGATGCAGACTGACTGCCCATGCGCGAGGGCTGGTAGGCAGGGGGAACTACTTCTAGGGAAGTTTATGGAAAAAAGCCGAGGGGCCACATGCTGTAACCTGTACTCCATGAGCAGCCATGGTCTCGAGTACCGCTTGGTACGTGACCTTTGCTGGTGTCCTCCACTTTGTGAACACAGTATCGAACGAAAGAAAGTGCACTACGATGAGCACGAGGGTCCACGGGCAGACAGGAAAAGAGTTTGCCGAATACAATACGCCTGATGGTGCAGGTGCAGGTGCCGGTGCAGGCGCAAGAGCATCGATCGCATCGCATCGCATCGCATCGAACAAGAGCGGTCCTAGACCGGCCGTGGGTCCAGAGGTCAATATGTGGAGGTGGAATGGTCTCGCAACTTCCCTTGGAGCTCCCATGAACAGTCAAAGATTCCTCTATTTCCTCTGTTTCCTCGAGGAAGCCTCGGCTGTGTGGTGTCAGCGGAACGTCATTGGCAGCGGGGCAAAACGATACCGGTACGTATTGTTACAGACTGTGCTGTAAACCAAAGGTATGGCACGCAAAACGGAAAGAAGGGAGCTTGGGGGTAGTTACGGTGAAGAAGATTGGATTGGAAATGGAAGTCGGCAAGGTCACGGACATCGGATCCGAGAATCTGCGTTGCTGACACACCGTCCAATATCGTGGCCACTCGTGGACCGTTTGCTCCGAGGAACGTCCCAGAAAGCAGGTCCGCTCCTTCCCGTCTACAGGGGTGCCTGCCATGGTCACTATCGTGGTCATCGACTCATTGACAAAGAGCCGGACCAGGATACAAATTAAAAAAAATAGAGTCTAAAAAATGGTTCCATCGGCTGGGTTTCTGGCATCGCCTAGAAAACCGCTGCCCATCTGGCTTGGTGTTGCCAAACATGGTCCAACACTCAAGTGACTCCCTAGACTCCGAGTTGGCTCCGATCGCATCCCGGAAACGACGGCCCCACATCCCCACCAAAAAAATGCCAAAAACGGCCCAGGAATGACGTCAAGTCCCTCGGTATTACCTTCCTGGTGCAAGTCGCCGCTTCACCAGCCAAACGTGGCAGTCACTCTCTTTGACACCAAACGGCAACCTCACCTTGACCTCACCTTACTGTAACTGTACTCTTATGGGTGGTGCCATTCTCATTATGGCATCCAATCTCGATTCCTTCCCTTCACTGCCTGAGGGTTGCACTGTTGTCTACCTTTCGGCCTCGGCTCCCCCTAGTTCGCCTTACGTCCCATTTTTTTGATATTCATCCTCTCCGACAAAGATGCTTCATCACTAGTGTACAAAGTCAAATTTCAGCCACAGCCCACAGGTGTTGATCTTTACCTGTGCCACACCTGCCACCAAGCCAGGCAAGGCAAGGCACCGTTGCCAAGAAAACCCTCCTTCATCGTCAACGACACCTAATGCTTTTCCTCCCACCCGCCCGCTGTCCTTAGCTTCCTGCCAGCGGAACACCTTTGCCGTGCGGCGTGCTTTTGCAGCCCTTACTCGACGACGCATCCCGAAGGTTCCTTTCTCATCCTTGATTTGCCACCTTTTCTTCCATCCTCCATCTCACCTCGTCCCCTCGACCTATTATCAATCGAATCGCGTTCCGTTACACCCGGGGGATTTGAGTACTGTTTACCTGACCTCTCACCGCTTGCAGCCTTGAGACATCCAATGTTCGTTTGAACATTCGATTGCTCCTCGCTGCCTGCCAGCCTCACCCACTAGTTTAATCCTCCTGACTCTTGCACGCGCTCCGCGCAGTCCGCATCCCCGATGCTGCAGAGGAAGCTCACACGCACCGTCTCCAACCTCTCAATTGTTTCCAAGACCAGTAGAGCCAGCAGAAAAGAACGAAAAGCTGAAAGCAAGGCCGCAAGTAAGGCCAATAGCGTCGCCAGCAGCGTCGCTAGTAGCATAGCCGAAGCTTCCGACGATGAATACAACAACCCACTCGAGAACGTTGCCCGTTGGCGCTTGACCGCCAACGCGGTTGCCTTACGCTCCGGGGCCGCTTTCGCCTTCGGCCTGCAGAACCTGTCCGCTCCCGTCCCACCGGCTGCGAATAGAGTCATCTGGCTGGACTCTACCCTCTCGGAATGGAGCGGCAAGGAGAAGATCAGGGTCGATGTCTATCTTCCTCCCACCACCACCTCCAGCAAACCCACCGGCAAGATCCCTGCGGTCATCAATTTTCATGGTGGGGGGTTCGTCGTCGGGCAGGGCACTGACGATGCGCGCTGGGCTGGCGCTGTAGCGACAGCCCTCAACGCCGTTGTCTTCTCTGTCAGCTATCGCCTGGCTCCCAGCTATCCTTTCCCCACACCAGTCGAGGATTCCGCCGACTCTATTCTTCAGATCGTCGCACGTGCCGAAGAGTTCCGCATCGATACAAACAGGGTCATCTTGTCGGGTTTCTCGGCTGGAGGGACACTAGCACTTGCCAGCTGGAACATTCTCCAAGACCCTAATCAATGGGGATACAAGTTTAAACTCCCAGTTCCCGACATCTCCGGCCTGGTGTTGTTCTACCCACTCTTGGACTGGACCATGACTAGGCCGCAGAAGCGGAAGACATGTGGAAAGCCAGAAATGACTCTTCCCAAAGGCATGACTGACCTCTTTGATGCGTCGTACATATACCCTCCAAGACGACGGGCTGAGCGGGGTGATCCGCGTCTTTCACCCGGCCTCATGACGAATGAGATGATTGATCGCCTACCACCAGTACACCTGTGCATGTGCGAGCACGACATGTTGCTACTGGAGGGCCAGTCTTTTGCGGAGAGAGTAAGATCCCGCGGTCGCCGGGTCAGCACACGTGTTGTTGAGGCTGAAAAACATGCCTGGGACAAACCTCCACCTTTTGCACCCAAGGAATCTGTCATGGTTGAGTATAACGAGGCCATTAAAGCCATCAAAGAATGGTTTGACAACACAGGGATGACATGGAACATTGAGTGAGGCTAAAGTGAGGGACCATTGAAGCCAGAAACAGACCTTAGAACTGTAAATTGATTTCGGATGAAATGAGCGGAATAGAAACCTGATTTGGGGGCCCTGATTGGGGAGAGATTTAGACGCACGCGCACATGTCTGCTTAATGTCGAGATGGCTAAGTCAGCCAAACATTGCTTTACTATCACCGTCATAGTTCTGAATCTTGGTGCAATCATGGCAGTACAAGCCTCTTAAGTGGCGCGTATCAACATTCATCGAAGGTTTCTCTCCCAATTGCGTGGGTATACATCATGTGACTTTCACGAGCGAAAATTACCATCAATGCTCGGATTGTCATGTCTTTAATGAATGGCAGTGAGGCATTTGATGACGTTGGCAGAATAAACTCCGCAAGCCACCGTGCCAAGATGTTTTGATTCGTGGAAAGCCAAGGCGAATATACCTCGCAGATGGCTGTAGCATTCCGCTCTCTTGCTTTTTTTTTTTTTTACTTTGACTTTACCCTACGAATACTTGTGGCTTTTTCCGATTAGTAGGGAAACTTTTTAAACGTTCCTGCGGCGCCCCGCGCGGCGATCGTCCGGCTTGCGACGCTTTCTTATGTTGACTTTGAAGGTTACTTGCACTGCCCACAGAGTGGGCTTGTTTTACCACTGGATGCAAAGCCAGTCACCACTTGCATCTATGTACATGGTTTCATTACCAAGGGGGGAAACAAGACTGGAAGCACGGCGTGCCTAGTCTCCATTCGTGAATTTGCCCAATTCATGGTACAGGTCTCGCTACCTTGCCTCAATACTTGTCTCCTGCGGTGCGTAGCTATGATTCCTTTACCTTGCAGTATGAAACCCAAGAAAAGAGAGCATAGAGATTTCCAAAGAGCCATATGAGCAGACTTGACATCCTTCCTTAGGGTTGAACAAGATGCAAGCTCAATCGGGGATAGAAAATTCGGAAATATGATTGGACCCGACATTTCTAGCAAGTATATAAGTAGATAAAAGGAAACTTAAGTGTAATTCCTTTAGCAAAAGCAAAAGGTCTTGTTACAAATCAAGAAAAGATTCCAAGCATCAATACCTCGTACAAACATGTCTCTGCCCCTCTACTAACTAGTCTGGAATTACACAAATGAGGCAACCCCTGGCAAACAAGCAAACCAGGCTTGAAGCTTTTTTAGAAAATAAATAAATAAACAGAAGACGACTAAATCATTAGAGGCCTGCAACAAGACGGCCCCCACACCACACACCCCCCCAACAACCCCCAAACCACTCCAATCTCCCCACATACAAACCCTCTCGCTACCTCACCACACACCCAACCGTCGTCCAACCCCCTAATTACCTACTCCTTCGCGACCCCCCCGCCTGCTTAGCAGTCGCCCACGACCCCTCCCCCCCCCAAATCGTGAGTGGCAATTTCTTCCATCTACTCGGTGCACGAGATGGGCCCGAACCGGCTCCTATTCGCCCCGTGAAACGCCTTGTGGACGTCATTCTTTGAGCACGCGATGCTGGTTGTCATCCACAAAAAGAGGTCGTCCCCCCTGAGCGACGACTCGCACCCGTTGGGCGGGTAGACCATGCAGCTGGCCATGCCCTTGAGGTTCTCCCAGAGGCGGCCGCAGTGCCGCTCGATGTTGTCTCTGCCGACGTTTTGCATTGTGATTTCCCAGTAGTAGCCGCCGGCGATGTATTTGCGGTCGCAGTGGGATGCCGCGGAGGATGTAGCGACGAGGGCTAGGGTGGTGAGGAGGATAGATGGGGCGGTTGAGGTGGTCGTTGTGAGCTTCATCATATTCTTGGCGGGGGATGAAGTTGAGGGTCGAGGGAATCAGTGTTGTTGTTGTGGTTTCACGAACCTGGTTTTTGGCTCGAGACTGCGCGGTTTTGGAGACTGTATCCCATATGTGTGGAAGCGGAGAGGACGTTTGGCTGTAAGTAGAAGGCTCTTTGGGGTGTGGGATATGTGGTTTCTTTTATTATATGAATAGACGCGATTGAAACGTTCGTAGTCAACTTTGACCGCTTTGAACGGAGGAACAAGCTGGTTCGACTGACAAAGGCTTACTGAATACGAGCAAAGGTGGGTGTGGTACGACGTCAAGATCTCGGACTTTGCATTGCTCAATTGAGACAGGGAGCAATTTCTCGTGCAACTTCATGCTCGAAAAGGACGCAATTTCCGCTTCGGACAGTTCGTTGTTTTGGAGCGTCCCTTCCGCCCTTTATTATCAACCTAACAACGCTCTCATTCAGACCATTTCCAAACTTGAAAACGGACGATTGCGTTTAAGTAAGCCATCTCGCTCATTCAAGTAGTAGCCTGCTGTACGACTATGTAAGCAGTGGGCAACGCAACGAAAACTATCACCCTTGTAATACTGTGTTTGGAACACAAGTGAGCAAGTTTGCTGCCCTAGCTAGTTATTGGGGCTTCCCACTGATAACCATACATTCGGTAACGATTTTGCGATTGTGTGCGTTTGTCAGTGACCAAATCATTGCCGTCTTCCAGGTCGAAATCAGAGTGCAGTAGGGCTGGGAGTAATTGGATGACTACTTTTGATCGAGGCGCTGTATCTCGAGATCAGATTTAATGTCAACATGTTTCCTCTTCAATGTCTGCGAGCGCGAGCAGTTCTCATCAAGCAGCTTATTTTCCTGCCGAGTCACATCGTCGCTTGGTCTTGGCAAAGAGGGGGTAGTAAAACAGGTCAGATATGGTTCGATAGTGAAAATGACAAATTTCCAGCACCCACAGACTCGAGGTGTGGGCATTGATTGCGTGTGACACAATACCCCGATGCAGAACGTCTTCTGCGTCCTGCGCCGCTGTACCTGCACCAACAGCGGGTTGTGATCACACACAGCTCGCCAATCAATTGCGATGAACAGATCTCGAAAACCCCGCTCATATCTGCCTGAGCGGCTCTTCTATCTCCATCAAAAAGCGCGGTCCATTCCCTCCCCGCCAGGCCGCGTCTGTTGGTTGGTTTCTCTGTTGCACTCTCTTTACTCTTCCTATTTCCCTATGCTTTGCGTGAAAATACCAGGAAACCTTGTTACCCTCCACAATAAAACAGGTTGATTGAACATGTCGGACATGGAAATTGATTGGCACAGCCCGGGCCAATCATCAGATCTCACATCCGACGACGGATATGCGGTTTGTTGATCGATATCCACGACTGCAGCTTAAGAGTAGCGTGGCTGACGACTCCGCGAAGACGGATAGTGGTGTGTCCTCAATGGACGAGCAGATGTACAGTCTTTTCCATATCCAAAGCTGGAAAGATGACTAATTCGCCAGATCAACATACACTAAATCAATCACCTCATCCATTGTCAACTATCCTCAGGAATACGGCCGACGATATCACGCTTACAGGGCCGGTGGTACACCTTTCCGTAATCCAAAAATTGTGGTAACCAAAGCTGACATGCATATTTCAACAACAGTGTACGCCTTTCCAAACGATGATGTTAGTGTTTGCTAGATACTTCCGCGGGTCCGAGGAAAGCGGCTCTCTAACATCCTAGCAGCCCGAGCTAGATCGCATGGACATGGCTCATGTTCTCATGTTCAAATCAATCGGCTATAAACTCTACCTGGCACCACTTGTCAGAGAACGAGTAAACAGAATCCTTGATGTTGGTACAGGTACTGGAATCTGTAAGCTATCCCTTCTACAAGCCGAACCTTTTCCCAGCGGATTGCTGAGCCTTTGTTTCCCGTAGGGTCTGTGGAAATGGGTGACAGGTTCCCCAACACCGAGGCATGCGATTGAAGCTCCCCCCGGACTTGAGTCAAGTGAGCCAGTTATGACTGACTCACAAGTAGGTCATTGGAATTGATTTGAGCGCTGTTCAACCCCCTTGGTAAGCTGGCTTCAAACGATTATGAGGGAGATGTGAACTGATAATCCCTAGGGTGCCACACAACGTAAAGTTTGAAATTGACGATATTGAAAGTCCATGGGTAGGCGACAGGATGTACGACTACATCTTTGTCCGATACATGCTAGTATCTATCCAAGACTGGCCTAAACTAGTTCAAAACATCTATGAGTATGTGCATGTGACCTTGCGGTTTCATGGCCTATACATTGTGTCACTGAAGCTCATTCCACCTAGGCATCTAAATCCCGGCGGATGGGTAGAATTTCAAGACATGGACGGCCTCTACTACTCAGACGACGGAACCTACGCCGAACACTACGTCACGCGCCTATGGAACCAAGAATTCGTCCAGGCCTGCGAATCCATCGGCCGCACAGCCCGCCCGGGCCCGCAACTCGAGGGCTGGGTCACAAACGCCGGGTTCCAGAACGTGGTGCACAAGAGGTTCAAGGCACCGATTGGGCCGTGGCCCAAAGACGCCCATTTCAAAGACGTGGGCATGCACAATTTGTGTCAGCTTTTGAACGGCTTGGAGGGCTTTAGCCTGCGATTGTTCTGCGGGGTGCTGGGTCGCTCGGAAGACGAGGTTCTCTCCATGCTGTCGAATGTTCGGGAGGAGTTGAAGCGCGGCCTGTTCCACGCAATGTTTGATCAGTACGTTGTCTGGGTCCCTTTTTCCACAATTCGACTTGACACTGCGCTCACACTTGTTTTTCTTGCCTTTTTATTAGTCATGTTGTGTATGGGCAGAAGCCTTTGGAGGGACAGCAACAGCAATACTTTGCCTCATAGCCAGCTTTTGAGCGAAGTAGGCAGAGCAAGCTGTCACAGTCTGACTTCTCTTGGGAGACAAAAGTGCAAGTTGCATAGAACTAGGAGGCGAATCTACCGTCAGACGCGGTACTTTAGAAAGCATTCGTCACTTGAAACGATTATACTTCAGCATCAGCGTGACTTTGCCTTTAGTATAGAAAGTGCCGACGAGCCCTGTATTGGCCAATCGTTGAAATGGGTGGTTTGGAGAAGTAGTAAAAGTGTTTATTCCAAACAATCCCCATAAAGTTAATAATATGAGTAATCTCCTCAAATTACACCTGCTTTCCTGTTAAATTGAAGTGCGGTATCTTGAAAAAATCATGATAGTAATCCTCAGTTCTGCGCAACAGCCTTGCCTCTCCCAGAAGCCGACTCAAACTTGGCCTGCCACTTCTCTCCTTGCTTGAACATGGCGACACACTGCAACGCGCTCGGATTCCCATACTCTGGATCGGCGCCGCCTTCAAGAAGAACCTGAATGTGATGTGTGTCAGAACCCAGTCAGATAAAAGAGTTGCCCCCCGCCCCCCGAGATATTTGAGGCCTATATGAGACACCAGCCACGAAAGCCCCATCATCGGCGAGACCGGCATATAACAATAGCAAAGAGAACCAAACGAACCTCAATAACTCCGTCTTCTTGCTTAAAGACTGCACCAGCAAGAGGACTTTGCCCCCTGTCGTTCAATCGATTGGGATCAGCTCCGTGCTGGATGAGCAGCTTCACCAATTCCGCGTGCCCGTGATACGCGGCCAACATGAGCTATATTAAAAAAAAAACAGAAAGTAAAGTCGTCAACGATAGAACGTTAAAAAAACACTTTTCAAAATGGGACCGCATTTACCAATGTATCGCCCTTTTCATTCGTCATGTTGGCGGGTAAGCCAGCCGGCAAGGCCTGCTCAAAGATGGCGAGATCCCCCTTTCGCGCGCTGTCGTACATGCGCCCCGCGAGAGCAATTGCTTCCGGGGGTAATGACTGCGTGGCCTGTGAGGGGGCATCCATGTTGAGATTTAGGGAAACCCGGGGGCCGGGGGGGCTTGGAGATATCGTCAGTTTTTTTTGACCAATGTTGACACGTGAAAGGCGTGACGATTTTCTTCGCAGTGTGTGGGAAGAGTGTTTACCAACTGAGACGCAGAGACCAAGCTTGCCTTTTGGCAGAAGAGTCAATATAGCCTGGTTTTGAAGGATGCGGCAAGGCCAGAGTTTGTCTTTCCAGGAACGCCGTCAGACAATTGAAATATAAAGATAACTTGTCTTAGGTAAGGTAGTTGAAGATTGAAGGCCGGCTGGGTTGGAACTTGGGAGTTGCAGCGAGCCATCAGAGAAACGTGGTGGGGTAAAAATTACCTAATGCCGAGTGGATGACGTGAAGTCGTTCGCGAGACCCACGCGCACCCCCGGCGGGGAATAGCGGCTAGCACCCGGAATGCCTGAACCAATGGGAAGCAACTCATTCGGCATGGCCAATATTCCAACGGTTTCAACGTTTAAGTTTACTGCCGTTTTGGGCTGTCCTGATAGAGCCTGGTGGAGAGGTGTAGATGATGACGCCTCATGAGAATTTGATAGTAAGATCTCAACACATCCCGACTGAGTTTGTGGCCATGCACCAGCGGTTCAAAGACCAGTTTAACGACCTCTTGCAAAGGCAGAGAAACGCTTCTACGATGCTGGATGAGTTCTTCAGACATATTTCCGGCACA